AATAAGATTATCCAGCTTCTCCCTAAAAAATAATAGGGAAAAAAAGATTATCCAACTTCATTCCGACCATACTTAATTGGGAGTACAATTATTTAATTAAGAAATTCCATGAGAAAATCAAGAATATAAATCCAATTCGCTTGGGAGGGTTACGTAGTTAAATCTTTTGCTCCCCCCGGCGGTCACTCTTTGGATAGCTTTCTTCTCCTCCGGAAACACAGCATCGGCAAAACAGTGTCATCTCATTCTCTATCTTCGATCTTGATTGATCAACACAACCTTCTTTGTATTGTATTGTATTGTATTGACTGTGGTTTAATTAAACAGAACCCAAGTAATCGAATTATCGAAAGCAACTGATTGATTTATGACGCGACGTGGTATCAGAACTAATTTATACTTTAATGTAACGTGTTCAAGTCAGCACGACGATACTCAATATTAATCGTTGTCTTATGGTATGATAGATATGTGCAAACTTCTCGATCATAAATTAGCTTTTGTTTGAAGAAATGTATAAGAAAATAATTAAAATTCATGCATGAACCTCTCTCATGTACTCCCACTCACCCGCCACCTCCTAAATTAAGAATACTAATTAAGGTCAGTCAAGGATCTTCCCCACGTCATAGAATATAATTCATGTTTGGCACATATGCTATGGGTTTGCATTTTAAGGGTGGGACCATCCATGGCATATGTTAGCTACAATCCAATCACTATATCGGAAATATAAGAAAAACGACCAGTATAGTAGTCATGATTTTATGCAGGATGTGTTAGCTACATTCCAATCACTGTATCGGAAATATAGGAAAAACGACCAGTATAGTAGTCATGATTTTATGTAGGATGGGTTCGATTTTGTCGAAAATTATCGTAAGAAAATTCTAAACCATTCATATGCCCACAACTACATACTTAGCTTGTTCTCGTATTTTGAAGAACTTGTGAATTGTGATATGCATTTATATTATATCAGTATCAATATATATTACCGAATAATCATTTGTGATTTTGTCAGTACTAATTCAATATTAAAGATAATTTTTTTGATGTAGCATTGTTGCTCATTGTAAATGTCATTTTAATACATGTAGTGGAGACTTAAATAGTAACAACAAGGATAAATTACTTCTTTCAATGTTTACAATAAATCCATAATCCTAAAAAAAAACTCAGAACATAGAGCATCTCATAACGTGGATAGGCTAAAGCCCTAAACACCTTTTGACTTTGGATACCAATTGATTTATATCCGGCCAATAAAATACAAAGATTAGGATGGTTCGGAAAGTGGGATAGGGTGCATAAACTGTGCCTTTTGTATAATGGTAACTTGTGCATAAACTGAAAAGAAGCCAACATTTGTCAAAAAAAGGCCCCGCCACTCAATAATGTCACATTTTTGTTCGATTCAAGAAACCTCGGATCGATCGATCCAAAGATTTTAGAAAGGAGACAGAAAGAAAGAACATTGGTCCACTTGCATTATTTTTCTTTTTCGTGAATGCACGATAGGGATATGTAATGTAACGGCTATGGTCTTCACGTGAGCTAGGCAGAGAAAATTAAATATATTGCATGCATGCACATTCTGCCAAAAATTCAAAGGAAAAAATAATAATAATAAATGCCATGCAATGCATGGCTTTGCTATATTTTGTCTACGTTTATATAACCTGTTAATGTATTCTATACGAGGACTTGTCTCTTATATAAGGTAACTTTTGTCTAAGTTACGACATGTGTTGAACTTGTTGCATGTTTTGATTTGTTAACCGCCCTTAGGGGCATTTCGAGGCAGGGGAGATTCTGGCAAATTCGGAGATATGAAGAATTTGGTGTCTGAAAATTTTGGTTGAATTTGAATTTGGCGATTTGCATCGCGTTTGGGTTTGGTGATTTCGATCACATCTGGATATCTGACGATTACGATTGCATCTGAGTAAATTTGGCGATATGTATCGCATCTGGGTACATGTGAAAACTTTGGTTGCATCTGGTACATCTGGCAACTTTGGTTGTGTTTGGTACATTTGGTATTTGAGAGAGAATTCAAGTCAAGGTGGAGATTGTTAGAATATGACTTGAATTTGATTTGGGTTTGTTTTGTGTTTTGGGTCTATTTTGTTTGGGCTTTGTTTGACCTTTTCCTTGTATGTTTGGGAAAAGGTGTTTGGTTTTCTGTTTGGGATTAGGAGAAGAGTTCTATAAATACTCTTCATCACCCTAGTTTGTAGTAAGGTCAGTCATGTTAGTTTGTTTGGTTTGTCCATTTGGAATTTGGTTTGTAACCTGTACTCTCCTCAAATCAGTGAAATTTGTTCCCCCCTGCTCGTGGATTAGCTAGCACACATTGTGTTAGTGAACCACGTTAAATTTGTGTTTGTTCGTGCTGGTTTGGATTATCGATTGCACGCTTCTGTTTTGACAAATTCGTATGTGAGATAAATGTTTAGTTGGTAGTATAAGAAAATCTAAAATTATTCAAATATTTTAAACATTAAAAGGATTGGTAGTATAAGAGAATTCAAATTATTAAAATACTTGAACCATTTAAAAGGATCAACATCATAGTGTTTTCTAACATTCTAACGGACTCGTAGACTTAAAATTCTTTATTTAAATGAAAGACAAACCTCATGTGAAGTAACCAACTACTATAAAAATGTTCAAATTACCTTTTTATTTACTCCTCATTTTCAGAGATTACTTCACGTATTTTTTTGGACTTGCTTTCATTTACTCAACGACGATGAGTAACATCATCATCTCTACCTATAACAATGTCTTCATCTCCCTTTGTGAAAACATTTATCTCTATTATCAATGGCCTCTTCTTTTCCCCTTGCATTTCAATAGACTCTTCCTTGTTTTCCTTCATTTCATTTAGCACAAAAATTTAAGGAAACCCTTTTGCAAATACAAATTATCTATTTTATTGGAGTAGAATTTACCTTGTTCAAATAATCAACAACATCCACGATGTGGTCTTGCTCCCCATCATCGGTACTTGTATATCCCTCATGAACAATGTCTTCTTTTTTTCTTCTTCTCAACATCATCATCTCATCTAGCATTGGATTCTTTACTTGCAACTTTAACAATCTCGTTCTTGTTTTCATGCATTAGAATCGTTAATTTAGATTTTTGACATTCAAAAGCACAACATATGATTGGGTTTTATCTAATCACGGGTAATTTATATATATTGGAATAAAAATTGTAGAATGATACAATTGCATGCATGTTGATGGATGAGGAAGCCCAAGCTTCTTGCTCGTGGACTATAAGTCCATCAATCGTCTATCAAATTCTTCCACGGCAAGTTCAAGCTTGATGATTGGTGTTCCTCATCTGTGGCTGAGGAACTTTGAGCTCAGCAGAAATTTGGCAATTTCATAGATATAACTCAATGACTTAACTTCTCGGAATAAGGAGGACGATTAACTCTTGGAATAGAGGGCTTGCTTCAAGTTTCGCCAACACTGAAAGAAAGTCCAATAGACAGCAACTCTGAGCACCAATAACTACTAGCTAGCTACGGAATAACTGCTTGACATCTATGCTTGTGAGATCTCTCCATTTTTCCAGACAAATCTTATATCCATTTCTCTTACCCACTGAGAGTCAGGGTTCACAAGTACATAGATTGGTTTCCCATTTTTGAAGCACCTCCTGACTCCAAGGAAACCGAGGCAAAACTCGGGTAGCCGGCAAGATCGAAAGTGGTTTTGGCATCAAATGGATATAACCGAAGTCTTAATTGGTTGAATGAATTCAATATAGGTTCTCATTTGGGCTAAGAGACTACACACAGGGTCTTGGATTTTCCTAGAGCTAAGGCATGGATAAAGAGAAGGGAGAGATGGTGATATCTCAATTTCTTGTACTTGATAATCTTTGATTTGTTTGGTTGGAAGTTGAGAGACGACTAGTGAGAGTATGATTTTCAGTGTTCTGAATAACAAGAGATTAGGTGAGACTCGAGGTCGGTTACCCTACAATTAATTATATAATTATAATATTTTAGTATATATCGATCACAATCTCGTCATCTCGAATCACTGGCGGATACATGGCACTTTGGGGGGTGTCTTGGGACACCCCTAAAATTTGGGAACACGATTATTCAACCCTCGATAGTATTTTGCATATTGGTGAAAAAATTTTAATTGATAGCGAGACACTCTTAAAATTTGGAAAAATGATTATCCAACATCCAGTAGTAGTTTGCATATGTGTAAATAAAAACGTTTAAGTGGTAGCTTATGTAATTTGAACTTTGGTCGCTGCTATTATTAGGAAACATATTTTTCATTAGACCACAACTCATTTGTTGTTGTATTTTAAATCCAAATATACTAGTAAAAATTTATTCTTTATCTCCAATTATTTTCAAAAGCTAACGATTAAACTCAATTACGGAATCCCCTTGATTAGTAGGATATATCGAGAGAGATTTGTAGTGCATTGTAAGACATCGATGATATTTTATAATTTTTTCAGAATACAAAAGACGTATTGTGCTTTATTGTATTTTGTACAAGTCATATATATTCTTATTTAATAATTATTTAATTATTAATTTAATTAAATTTTTAGATGAGGACACCCCTATCTAAAATTTCTGAATCCGCCACTGTCTCGAATAATACTTCAAAATCAATCTCAACCTCAACCACAATTCCTAAAAAATAACTCGGTACTCGATAATATCAGATAGTGATAAATTAAATTCTAGCAAACTTCCAGCTCTAAAAGTAAAAAGAATTAAAAAAGGGAAAAAGGAACTTGATCCACTTGCATTGTTAGGAACAGTGGCGGACCTGTTCAATGCCAAGGGTAGTCAGTTGACAAACCTTGGCTAAAAATTTGGAACAAATTAGCATAGGAAAAAATCTATTGTTGTTAAAAGTTCCATTAAACCACTATCCAATTGTTATTATAGACATTCCAGAGCAAATATATAATGCTCAAAATTAATTCCCGTCTAATCTGTCGAATCCAAGTCCCATTAAGATTTTATTCCTTCTCTTTTTTGGGAATGAAAACTCTATCCCGATAAAAAACAACTCTCGACCCTCTGATTTCCAATATTTCCAATTACAATTCCCAGTTTTTTGACAGAACCCTTGCTTGCCCTTCTTCTATCATCGACAACTCATTGATGTACTTTATGAATTAAACTTTTTATTTTTATTTATTTATTTTTGTGAATACCCTTGACAAAATTTCTGGGTCTGCCACTGGTTAGGAATGTATGTCGACATGTGGTGCAAGACATAAATGTAACATAATATGGCTGGGGCACGTGAATCATATATAATGAAATTAAATCATGCACCATTAATGCACATCTCCCATACAAATGGAAACCATTAATGCATTCAATGCAAATGCATGGCTAGCTATATCTACGTACGTAAGTTTGTTCAACATGCACTTGTTCTTGAATAAGATTATCCAACTTCATTCGGACCGAACTATGGAGTTGCAATTACATAAGAAATTATATGATGAAATCACGAAATTTAAGTTAGGATAGATGATAGTAAAATTAGGAAGACGTTTAATCCTTATGTTAAATGAAATCAATGCTAGATCAGTAGCGGTAATCTCTGCTATTATGTATACTTTACGGAGCAGGAAAGCGGAGAAAAAACAAGCGTGGGTCGCCGGTGTGTGGGCTGTTAATGGGCTGGGCTTGGTTTATATATTCCTTCTGTTTCCTCGGAAAGAAAAGAAGCCCCACCCCAGTTCCAAGGAGGGAAAGAAGAAGAAGCTGCTCGCACGCCGGCCGTTGACAATCTCAAAACAACGGCCGAGCAAAAGGATTTTGTGAAGTTAGGGATGATTTGGAGGTTGATATTCTCCAAATTGAAACATTTAATTACTTTGTGTAATGATTAAATTTCATAATTTGTACAGTACCTTATTTTGGAGGTTTATATTGTGTTTTTGGTCAAATGGAAAGTTGAGTAGACAATAATTAGTAGAGATTGATGATCACTCATTTTGAGTGATTGTAGATTTGTAGGTAGGCTCGTAAAAAAAAGACAATACATGTATTATATATAAAATATTTACCGAAAAATAATTTAATCTTAACATTACATGATTGAAATCCCGACCTTCAAACCACTCTTAGTTTTCCTTCCAATTCTTCCCGAGTGAAATCTACCAGCATCGAAAGAAAAAAGAAAGCTGGAACATTTGTCAAGAAAGGTAGGGAACAAGGACCCCGCCACTTAATAATGTAACCTTTTTTTTCCCCCCTATGATTCAAGATACCTCGGATCGATCATGGTACAAAGAATTATGGAAAAGGAGAAAAGGCATTGGACCACTTGCAATATTTTTTTTTTTTGTATGAATCCATGATAGTTATTATCGATACGTATGTAACATTATATGGTTGTCACGTGACACATACTTTTATAATGCATCCATGCATATCCTGCCAAAATGGGAAAATGTCCCATGCAAAATTGCCATGCATGGCTTGCTCTGTGTTTACGTTTACATAACCCATATAGTGTTCTTTATTCATTCATTAATAATAATAAAACCTGTATGGCATTATTTTATAATGAAGGTACGTTCAATGTGGGTTCGTGCCTTCTTTCAGCTATGCAACTCTTTTGTATTTTTCCATTTCGGTATATCGAGTGAGCTTTATTTACAACAAAAAAAAAGAAGAAAAAATGTCAAAAGTTTATCTTACTAATTAACTATTTTTATAATGTTATTAAAAAATACATGCGTAATTATCCATAAAATATATATAGTTCTGGGTCACTGTAAAACAAAGTTCTAGGTGATTTATTTTGCTACTTTCAATGACATAACTGAATGGGCTAGGATGAAGACAATACTCGTAGGGTTTTAGCTTACATTACTTGTAATGTTGACTTCATTACTTCAACCAGCAAAACTAAGAAACACACATTGAAGGTGGAGTGGTGGACACACCCAGTGATGGAGTCAGAAAATTGAACAATGAGCTAAATTTCTAATGTGAAGGACTCGAACCGTGATCATTGCTGAGGGAGGCTAGTGCCTTACAACCTAGTCTACTTTTATAATTAGCTAACAAATTTTACATGTAAATTTACCTACATTTGAAAATTGAGGGAGGCTGGTGCCTTACCAACTAGTCTACTTTTGTAATTAGCTACAAATTTTACATGTAAATGTACCTACATTTGAAAGTTGCGGGCGGCCTGTTGTCTCCCCTAAACTTAACGTGGCTCGTTCACTTGACACGCCTATTATAAACTTTCTAGGGGATATTTCATCACCCGAAGTCAAAGTTTTCAAGCGAGGTACAAAACATGTGTCTTACTACCTCTGGTACGAATCATACCACTCATGGTATTCCCGTATAAGAGGGGTATAATTCGTATCAAGTGGTAAGATACTGAATTTTGTATATTTTGTAGTTCTAAATTAGTTAAATTCATGGTCCATGAAACTGTACCGTACCAGCGGTTCAACGACGAAATACCAGTATTGGAGACTAAATCGGTAGTCGGTATTTAACGATTTAGCGGTTGAACGGCGATTAAACCACGATTTTACCATAAAATACCCTACCGCTGACTTTCTCGGTACGGTTTCATGGACCATAGTTAAATTGCATTTGTAACGCCAATTACTATTAAAAATTGAAATAAATATTAAACTACTCATACACCCAGTGGCGGAGCCACTTGGAGAGGAGGGGGGTGCTTGGAGAAAAAATTTCCGAGTAGGGGTATCTACAAATTCTAACCAGTGACCATTCAGTTGCAGGAAGAATTTCTTATCATTTTGATCGAGTGAGTTTTGTTATGCAATGCACTTTCGTCTTTATTTATAGTAATAAATTGTTGTCTTTTGTTTAAACTCGCTCATTTTTTTTTTGTAGCTCTACAACAGAGAAATTTCTTGTCTTTTGTTTAAACAAAGTTGAAAATGAAGAAGTACGATTTTTTTTTTTTTTTTACAACAACATTAGTCCATTAATATAACAAACCAATGGAAGGTAACAGATAAAGGGCAAGCCCAATAAAGGTTCAACAAAGAAAAAATAATAGAGTTACAGCCCAACACAAAAAGCCCAAGGGCCACAAACCAACCCAGCAGAGGACAGAAACCCTAAAATTTTCCTTCATCCCACCGCACATACATCGCGCCGCTGCCGAGAAAAGGGGAAGATGGCATCTCCTCCGGCACCAGATCCAAACAGCTGATCGAAAAAAAACGAGCAAACCTTGCTGAATCTTGGAAGGGGAGACGTCAAGAGCGAACATCAAGAAGAATGAAGCCCCCACAAGGACACAAACCACTCGAGGAAGGAAGAACACAAACTCGAGCAGGAGGATCCAAGCAGCAAACCCAGAACACGAAATCAGCCTCCAAAGTACGAACGATAACCCTGCTCTCAGAAAACAAGGAAGAGAGTTCAAAGTCACAGAATGGACCAAAGCTCCACCGAATCACCACACCATTCGGGCAAAGCAAGGAGGAGGAAGCTCATAATCCTTGAAGAAAGAAAGCAAACTAAAGAGAAAACTCCTTAGCTCATTCTGAAACCACACCCAAATCACAGATCTGTAAACAATTCCAAGGTACGAATTGAAGTTCACTTGTTTGTTTCACAAAATCAATTCCAAGGTACTTCTGAGTTCTAATTTGTAATATTTGATGAATGGAAGTCTTGATTTGTATGTACAGAACTTATTTGTTTGACGTTGTAACCGGTGTACGTGAAACTATTTTAATGTAATTGTATGAATTTAGAGTATTGCGGTTGTTGACTTTTTGTTTAATTTATAGTTGACTTTTCTATTGTACAGCTAAGTTTTTATGATATGATAAAGACACTCCCTTGGCCAATTTTCTGGCTCCGCCACTGCAAACACCCAACCCTTAATTACCATTATTATTGTTTAATCCCATCAAACTCGCTCTCTTTCCCAATATTTTTGGGGGTGGACCAAATTCCAGAACAAACGAGCCGCACTCCCAAAGTTCTTCTCTTTCCCCCTTTCTCCTCGATCCCTCGCTCCTTTACTCTCTCATCTGAGTTACATGGATGAAACCCTAATCTGAACACTCCTTCATTTCATAAACCCATCTCCGATTCCTTTGTGTCTCTTCGATGTCGTGATAACTTGATCCTGTTTTAGATGCAAGAGAATACTCTGTAGCCGCCGACTCCGAGAATCGGGCTTTGATCAGAAATTCGCCGCCGCCAGTGACAGGGGACGCGATTGTGGACCGAGCCGCCGGGGAATTTGACGATCGGCGGGCGGTTGTGGGCGCCTCTCAGCTATGTCCATTTTGTAGATGTTTGGTGCGAAATTCTACAGTGCCTATCAGGTGTTTGCGAAGTTCCCTGTGAGTGAAATTTCTTGTTTGTCTATGCTGTGTGTACTGCTTGTGCATTTTGGTTTAGCTCAAGAATGGTCCAATTGATGAAGGCCTTCTAATTAGCTTCTGTTAGGATATAGAAACCAATGTCTGGCTTGGTCTCGTTATAATTGTCACCCCATTCGAATATCCAAACACAAAAGCTTCCTAGGTGCTCTTTTGTTCTGTTCCATGCTGAAGAAGATTCTGTAATGGATTGCTGCAATATAGGGTGGGGAGAAATGATATCTTAGATTACTGCTGTTAATATAATGGGGGAAAAGAACAAAATTTGCTGCAATGTGTTTTTTATGAGAGAAGAACAAAATCCCAATAAGATATGGACAAGGAGAAAAGCTTTGGAAACTCTATGAGTCCTTATTGACAACTTCTCTTCGTTATCAAAGTCCTTATTGAAAATGCTTATGTACATTCCCAATGTGGTTTGGCGTTTGGGATGGCTAGCATCCAATAAGAATGAAAATTTTGTATCATGGATGTCCATGATTCTGGGTTGATACCAAGGCATGACATAAGCATTTTCAATTCTTTTGTTTGCTTTTTACTTATAGTTTCCTGTATGGTGTTGAGAACTTGTGAAGCTGGCTAGCTATCTCTAGCTATGTCTGAATATGAAAGCCGAAGTTAGTTTTCAAGTTTCCTGTTAGAACCAAATGCCTGCCCTTTTTCTTCTAGGACTTGATGCTTAGGGTTTTGGTTGCCAAAATACGACATGCATTAAATTCTTGTATTGGTTGGTCAGTAGAATTACTTTTCACATAAATCTTCCACCATTAATTGCAAGTACGTGCATGATCATATTGGTATTATTTTGTTGGAGTGTACTCAGCTATCACCAACACTCATCCGGACAATTTACAGTATCATAATTAAATATTTTATTGACTGAGATATGAGAACTAGGGATGCTGATTTTTCTTAATGAAGGCAAACGCCCATTTTGTATTGCCAGGGGGTGGATCTGACCTCAGTTGCATCTATGTCCTCAGAACTTTCAGTTTCTTTGTTTGAGGTCTGCAGGAGTTTATAGCACAAGATTGCAAAATGTACACATGCACTCAAAGGGAGAGCTATTTAATGAAGGTCCAATCTCATATTTCTCTATGAAGTTCAACTTCTTTGCAAGCTTTGCAAGAGCTTCATATGGCATTGCATGGCATAAGGCTTAAAGCCAAATGACACCAATTGCTTTTCTTTTGGACAGGTAAAACTAGCATGTTCCATGTCCGAAAGGTTGTTTTTCCATGGTGAAAGTTAAAGAAGAGGTGAGTTCCCTATGATTTCTCCGTGAATTATTATCTAGTTGCTACCATTTTGTCATTTACTTTACTTGATTCGCCTTTGTCCATGCATCATATATATGATGATGAACAAATTCCCTGCAAATGTTAGCCATCTGGTGTTGCAGCTACTAGATCACCCCTTTTTTGTCCCTTTCCTTTGGTTTACTTCGAGACTTTTGCCCGCCATTTTTTCTTACCTTCTCCAAACTTAGAACCCAGGAAGCTGCTATAAACAAGTCAAATGAAACTGCAGTTACAAGTTTGAGCTTTGACAGTAACAGTGGATTTCTTTTCTGGAGAAATTTTTTTAAGCCAAGCATTCACTTTTTTCTCCTTCCTCTCTCTCTCTCCATTGTCACCAGCAACTGTTTGAGTCTAAGGTCATTAGATAACTTCTCGCCCTAATCTTCTGTGTCTTGCGTCAAAGTCACAGTAAAGGTGGTATATATTACTTCCTGAAAATAACGGCATAAGCAGTTTTTTTTGTAGTGATCCGAAATTCTGATGTTAAGTGAAGCTCACTGCAATTCTATATCTACTCAAGATTAACTGAACATGCTTTTGAAACGACGGTCCTTGGCATCAGAGATCCCCCAGTGACATTGAATCAGAATCAACGACATTACTTACTTGCTCAATCGGTAAGTTGATGAAAAATAAAACAATGACAATACTGTGTTCCAGATTCCCGGATTCCCTGTACCCAACTGATTTTGCTGTTCTTGGCTGCAGTTTGCAGTCCTTCCAAGATGTGGGCTCTTACAAAGACTCTATTCTGATACTCCTGAATCCTGATGATAGAACTCGAGCCGAGCTCTACCTAGGGAATAGGGATTAGGATCAACTAGGGATTGATCCTGGGATTTGGGAAATGGAAAGAGTGGATTTGGGGTTGGTGAAGAGAAGCGGAGGGAAAGGAGGTCGCAGCCGTGACAACTGAGGAGAAGAGGAGGGAGGAGGGCTCGGCGGCCAAAGGGAGAGAGAGGAAGATTAACAATAGGTTTAGGTTTAATCTTGCTTAGTTGTCTAATTCCACTTACAAGTGATTAATATAATAATTGGGTAATTCCCTATCGCTACCCGACATATAATTTATTTCCCAATTCCCGAAATAGTCCCAATAATCTGAAATAACAATAATCCGATAATTAATAAAAATACTAGATACTAGTTTCTATTATCTCCGCTTTCTTCGGAAAACAACCTTGTCCCCAAGGTTGTCCTCTAGCTCACTAGGTCTCCTCCTCGCCATCTCCGGCGTCCTCATAACTGCGTCCTCCGACTCACAAGGTCGATTAAGTTGGCATACTTAAGTTCACAATGCACTTTTGTATAATGGTAACTAGGATGTTGGAGCCTGGCATATGTGTTGTGACCATTTAATCACTTTTCCGGGTTGAGGATGCCATAAATAAGCTTAAAGCAGTGTTTCTCTTTTTTCCTTCCTGTTAATATTTTTTTAAAATAAATTTTCATGTGAACTTCATGTTCAAATTTTTTCGCTCAGAAAGATGTTTTGATGGTAATATATAAAAGTATTAGCCATTTCTATATTTTCCAAATTACATTGTGTTCTTCGAAAAATATTCATAGTCATTTTGCAGTTAATGTTTCGTCATTACAAATTAACGATTAATGAATGGTATTTCATTATAAACGAGATAATTTACATAAGAAATAAACGTACAAAGGAATATGACTTGCATGACAAATCATGCCAATTTACATTATAAACCACAATCTTTTTTCGTTGTAAATTATGACTACTTACCGTACAAATAAATAAGACTTACACTACAGATTGAAATTACTTTAATTAGGATTACTTACATTACAAATTGTGACTAGTTATTATACAAACTCATACGACTGACTAACGTTACAAATCATACTATTTTCTCATTAGAATTTAATTTAATGTGCAATATAAAATGGAAAAACTTTCAATATAAACCAACATAGTTTCTATAAATCAGACTATTTTTCTCTAACAAATCAATATGACCTACTTATACAAAAAAAAAAAAAAAATTGACCAACTAGAATGACACACATTACAAAGACCAGGAACTTAAATTTACGTTTTATAACTTGAGTGACTGATTGGTAATTAATCAGAGGGCTAAAAAAGAAAATAGAAATATGATTGCGTTTCGTGCTCTGCTACTGCTAGAGAGTAGAGACAAATTTTTAGCAATTCCTTTTGTTCCATCTCACTCTCACTCTCACTCTTATGCCTTGAAAACCCTATTCGATCGCTTCGTCTTCTCCTATTCCGGCGGCGTCTCTTTCGTGCTCTGCTCATTTCGGCTTCGTCTTCCCCTATTCCCTCCACCTCGGTCCCGCGGCCATCAAGAGACGGCAACTCGGCAATGACCAACGGCAAGTCGGCAATGACCAAAGGTGGAACGAGCTCTTCTTCCCCAAAGAGCTTCTCATGGAGAAAGAGGGGAGTGCTTTCACCCATCCGAACAGCTCGGCACAGTATGTGGTTACTTTAACCTTTACTTAGATGCCTTGATCTAGATTCTAGTCGCATTGTCTAATTCTTAGGTTTTGTGCAGATACCTGCGTTTATCGGGCTTTCTGCGATGTAGCAGACGCTAGAGCCCGAATCATGATTGGGAGGTCTAAGAAGTCATCCGACCTAGAGTTTGCTAGGTTCTCCGCCTACAAGCTGTGGGCTAGAGAGAAGGATTGGGCTTACGGGGAAGGTAAAAGTCGGTTAGATTTCCACGAATTCTACTGTAACCCCTCACGGCTTCTTCCAACGGCAGAGAGCTCCATGGACGATACGTTTATGAAGTATAAGCTGGCCGATTTCCGGGCAGTGCTCCCGAAGGAGGAACCAAATGCCGTAGAGTTGGTTAAGAAGAGTTTGAAGTCGGATGGTCCGGTTATGGGAGGATTTCGTGTTCTCTATGACTATCTCGAAGGTGGACCATACCTTGCAGCAGGAGAAAATGTACCACTGAGCAAAGATGATGAACGAAGGCCTCCGAAGGTAGACGATCCATATGGGCCTACCCAATTGTCTCCCGAGGATCAACCGCCTCCTGAAGTAGTCAATCCAGTCGCAGCACAGGCACTGGCCGCTTCGGAGAACCCTTCGAACAAAAAACACAGAGGTCATGCTGTGTGCATCGTGGGATTCTGCACTAAGGAAGGTCTCGACTACTTTGAAGTACAAGAATCACACGGCAGGTTAGCTTGGGTGGATGGCTTAGGATGGTTGCCGTGGAGGCGTTCATGTCGTTTTTTCTGCCAAAGCTCGAGAGATGTAATTAATTAAGCAATGGGTATGTGTATTCCTTGTCATATGATCAAAAACTTAATTTGTTGATTTGGTGATTGATTAGTTTGTTGCTGCCTGTAGGAGGAGCTGAATACAGTGGAGGAATTGACTTTTGATTATTGCTGCAGCATGCAGGGGAGGGAGGAACGTTCAACTATCTATTCTATAGCTTATATGTATAGGATTCCCAGAAACTGCATCCACGTTAATTGAGAGTGATCATCGGGGATACATCGATCCTCAATTAGAGAACTATAGTTGTTGAAGAACTATTTCTGTTTGCTTAATTATGCAAGTAACATATCGTAGTATGAAGGACGCATTGATAGAATTGAGTAATGGTGTGCACAAGGGCCTTGCTTCAGATTTAGTTCCAAGTGCAAGTGGATGGACTTGATGGTAAAACATTACAAAAACTTAAATCAGCAGGGTATATATAACGACTTCCTGCCCCTCCAAACTTAGGTTACCTAATTAGCCTAAACTACCTCGGCGTTCCCGCTCCAATTCGCAAAAACGCGAATTCTCTATAATGCGTATAAAATTCGCGATTTTTGTATTAACAGAGCGCGAACTTCACAATTAAGAGCGCGGATCGCACCCGGTTTGTTATCAATGATGCTCGACAACCAATCTTTCTCAACAAAATTTCCAGGAGAAGACAAATACTTCCTCCAGTCGAAGACGGTTACGGTTGATCTACAATCCATTGAAGGGCCAGAAAGATCTAGATTGCATTTTTTGGGATTTAGCAGTTGATTAATCTGTAGGGGCAAATATCGGAGTTGCCATTGCGGGTCGGAAATCCAGACTCTGTTTGTCTCTCCCTCTGTTTTTCTGGAGGAATTAGGGAGGATGAAGAAGAGGCTATAAGGAACGAAGTTGGAAATTGATTTCGAAGTTGAATCCTGAAAGATCCATCGGTTCCTCGAACGCCGTCGTGGCGGAGGAATAGAGGCGGCAACGATAGGCGGAGAAGCGAGGATGAAGCTGATAGTAACGGCGATAGAGATGCGAAGAGTAGAGACATTGTTTTTACTTTTTAACGAAAAAGAGAAGCAGTTGCATTTTTTAATGTAAATAAACGATAATTAAGAGAACGATTGTGATTCTTTTGCTTTCTATTATTATAATATTAAAAATTTAATAGGTTTTGTGGAAAAAACTGAAAATTTAATTGTTCTGTAATATAAAATGCATATCCGTATGGGTGTTCTTGCAAATTAATTCTGAGATTGAATTTGTAGTCCCAAGGTGTCAACAAATCACGTAAGCTAATTTTGTAGTAGTCGATAATGATTAAAAAAATATTTACTAAAATCTCATAATTAATATATATACATATATATTAATAAATAATATAATATTGACGCTCTCTTAACGCTTTCAATATTGGATTCTTGAAAAATAGACGCCCTTGCGCTCTCGCTCCCGCTCCCGCTCTCGCTCCACGAACTGGTTACCTAACTCGAAACTACCACGAATTTTGTCGCTAAACGGTTAGATGACCTTACCGATCTTCATGAAGCATATTTCATATTGGGTTTCTCAGTAATCGTAGTCGGATGAATGTAGCGGTGACGCGGGCAAGATGGCAATGTTGTTTTGGAAGTGGCTGAGTTCGTTCCGTTGTGATGAGGTAGGGCCACTTTATATATGTTATGCCTTCGGGGTCGGCAATTATGGAAGAATGTGTGGTATTTGCATTGCATGTGAAGATGCGGCGGGAAACGTGATGATATTTTTTTTATAGAAAGAGCGAAGCGTTTAATTTATATTAACTAAACGTTCATGAGAGGTTCCCATTACATCATGGCAAAGCCATTGAATTAAACCAAAATCTCGCACATTGAGATTGTGTGTACCAAAATGGAATTCATGATCGAGATTCACCAAGTAGGCAGCTGCAAAATTGGCCTCTCTGTACACGCGATCGATTTTAACTTCCCATTCGAGATTGAGGAGCTGTTTGAATTGGTGAGCAATGCTGCCATGTCTGTGATCTTCATTGTCTCTGTTTCTTATAACCTCAATAGCCGTAGTGGAGTCCATCTTGAGGTGTACCTTTCGATAGCCCTTGTTCCAAGCAATTTTGAGTCCCTCTGCTGCGCCCTTTAGTTTTGCTGCAGTGGTGGAGCATCTCCCAAGGTTGCAGGTGAAGACTGTTGGGAAAATTGTTCACGTATACTATTTTCTTGCAACACAAGCAAACACATAAGATTAAGAAAAAAAAACATGCAAAGACATGCAAGCGTCCTAGCCGATAGAATTCACTATCTCTCCTTAAAGAATCTTATTCCCCTCAAGCACCCAAGGTTGTGGAATGATTCCTCCCAGGATAGAAAGGACGTACCTTTTCCGGCGTAGCGGTACCTCAAACCCCGGAACCCATCGAACGCAGCGAACCGGCGAGAACCACACTTGACTCGATTTTCTCTTTGAAAAGAATGCAGAAAAACTAGTTTTGGATTTTGGCAGAGTTTCAGTACCGGGAAAAATCCATGTAAAACTCGTAGTCAAAACTAGAGGAGGTATGGTGCTATTTATAGAAAATGAAGGGATGCATTGAAGGGAGGCAACTCTTCATATGGGTGGTTACACCCCAACCATTGCATTGGTTCGTTTAAAATATTTCAACCATTTCATTGGTTCGGCCTCATGGAAGTTGGACCGGTTTGGTTATTCCAACCGGCATATCGGTTCGGTTCGAATTGGTTCAACTCGGTTTGGTTCATTTGGTTACACAAACCAATTTAACCAATTAACCACATATTACATCAAATCGATCGAATTCGAGGCCATGCCTTCCCACATCTTACCAACATGGTACTTCAAGAGACTCTCTTGAAACTTTCCCCTTTTATTTCCATTCACACCACTAAAATTCCCAACAATCCCCCACATGAATGGAGAATGTTGTACTTTAAAAACTATGCAAAATATCGTGTGATTCTCGACTAAGAATTAGCTGCATCGGAATAGGTAGGTTTCCCTTTGAACCTTCCTTAGTGAACATATATCGAGTATACTCACCAATCGGTAGATGTGATATCTTTGAACCGTCGGTTTTGCTTGTATACTAAGACAACATATGTCACACACCTAACTCTTATCCGTTCACTGGTTCTCATTGTTGTGTTCGTTTCAGCCATGAACACCGCCTGGTCTCATGAGTGCTTAGAAAACTGGCCTTCTTTTATTCTCCTTGAAGCGGCTCCACTTCACACTCACATAGGTGATTTCTAAACATGTATTCCGAAAATACACTATTTGATCAAATCCTGTGTCAAACTTAGAAGCCATTAAAAACCTTCCATCTTTAGGTTTACCCTTATAGTTGGACATTGTCTCATCATGAGAATGGACTTTGAATAATTTGACAATGTCGGACCATCATTCACAACTTTGTTTTCTCATTGAACCTAGAGGTTGGGTCTGCCAATCCTGCTTAGGTAGAGTTACCGCCATGATGATTTGTCCTAGGCCACGAGTCCATTCCCTTCGATGCTTTAACAAATTTCTAGGTGGGCCCCACATTTGTTATCACTTGATCTACATGATCAACTTAGATAACTTCGCTAGAAATTGACCTTAGTGTTATGTTTCCATTATCAATGACGAGATTTTTCACATAACACTTCTAGCCCTTGCAATACCAATTTTGTGCACAAGTGCGTTTTATTAACGCCAGTCTTTGTGGGCCAAACTACTCAACTTCACCGGTCTTAGAGTTTAACTTGGACGTTTTCCAAGATACTGCTCCTCGTTAGCCAGAAATGCCTATCCATTAATGGATTGCCTTTTGGTTCATCCGGTGAGTTCCCTTTGGGTACAGTACACCAAAGACTCGTCTCTTTCCAATTCACTACACATCTTGTGAGCTTGACTTGATTTTATTGTCTTGCAATAATCATAACACATGCCAACGGTATTGAAGTCTCTCCACTTCATTAACCTTAGAGTACTTAAGCTTCACAAGTATCTCTTCAAATGTAGTGACATTTATGACTTAGCTTAGAGTTTACGTTAAACTCCTAAGTATTCACATCACTTCACTTTGGAATCACCCAAGCGACATTCCACATCACTTCTCCCCAATTTATCCCCCACATTTCAACTATTTCGCCATAGTTGTTGAAACCAACGTTTCCGGGTTGGGGAATGTTGTTCATATACATTCATGTATATGGTCAAAATCATCTCTTTAAGAAGAGTGGATCAACATCAATAAATATTCTAGCCTCTGACATAACGTCAATATATGGTAGAGTTTACTCATAAGTTATACCCTTGGACTGGGTAAACTCCACAAGGTTTAAGGACACCTTCATACTTTCAAGTATGACTTTGCTTACCTTTCCACTTTTATCTTATGAATAGGTTTGCGTCCCATTGTAGGGTCTTGAGATAGTAGCCGAAACAATGGGCTCTTCTCCCCCACAATTCTACTCTTTGCCAAACATCATGGAATAATCCCATTTATTTTTCATGGTTTTACTTATTGAACTTGCCAACCACTATGTGTATCTAATTGTTTACCAATGGTATGATCTCACTCGATTAGCATAACACAAACAGTTCAGATTTTATTAGAAAAATCATCCAATTACTTACCAATGGTATTGATCAATGCAACTTGAGATGTCATAAGTAATTCAGATGCATTCCAGTAATGGAAATCCCATCTAATTACTTTCCAATGACATTTCATATACGTAACATGATATACCACAAGTAATTCAAACGGATTTCTAATTCAATTGTCTAATTACTTTCCAATGGTATAAACTTCATAAATATACCACAAGTAATCCAGTCTTTAACTTCAATCAGATCATCTCAATTGACCTCTCATTCCAATTTGTTTTCCAATGATATACATTTATATATACCATAAACAATTCCTGGCAATTAGCTCCACGTTGATAATCATAGTCAAATTGTTTTTCCAATGGTATAGTGTACTTATACCATAAGCAATTCTGACCTAATGCTTATCTTGATGACAACCATCATTTGACAAGCTTATTAAATCCGTATAAGGATCAATCACTTCATTTTCCTTGCCCTCGTGGCATAGGAATCATCAAGTCCTAAATCACATGCATGATAAACAAATTATCATGTCTTGACCAACATCGTTGGAATTACAATTCCTTGTCGCTTGTGGATAAACAAGCATTAAACAAACTTCATCTCCACACAATGGAGGTATCTTTTCGTACTATGTTCAATTTACTTTGAACATAACTTATGCAATCAATTTGGAACCATTCCGGCCCAGATAGATATGATTCACAAGTCCCCACTTGCCACGCGCCATAGGTTTTACATACCTATGAATGTTCATAGTTTCCCACTAGATAGTTTATTACTATCCAAACCACCGTTACTTAGAGTCCATGAAGGACTATCATAAGTACTTCCATCACTCTCATGCATCACCTTGAATGAAAAAGTGTCCAAATTAAATTGGAACAATTATCATTCATCGATGCCACATAATTGAGATGGACCAATACAATAAAAGCATTAAAACTTTGTGGTTAATTTTGGAATCAAACAAACTCATAAGGCTTTATCCAACTAATTTTCCACGTAGGAAAAATGTCATTTACTTATCATTATGTAAATATATCATTTACACATAAGTATCATCATGGACCAACTCCATGTTTCGAGAATGTTTTACGCCATATTGTATAGTTTCAATACAAGGCCACAAGTGTTGCAACTTTCAAGAACTTGGAATTGAAGTTTGTTACACAAATTCCAATATGAATACTTTCAAATTCAATAACATTGAATTTTCACAAACTCTTCTCATAATATAAATTATGAGTTTGTTCTCATCTCAAGTACCACACAAAGTATTTGATGTCATTAACCCTACCAAATTTGGTTTACGATCACCAGATCAATTCTCAATCAAACTTGCCTTTTTCAGTCCATGTTATACCATAAACATATATACGCATTGATAGATTGCTTTCTCAAACCTGTAAATAAAAGAGAAAGAGATAGCATGTTACCAATTTTGATGACTGTCGAAAGCCCCTTCTTCCTCTCGGCGATCAACCAACAAGTATCAGTAGTCACCAACTCTTTAATGGCTCATTTGCAAATGCATGAATGAAGAGCAGACATTGCCAGTGCACTTCCACCATCATTTGCAGACATTAAATATCATCTTTGCCATACTTCCTTTCTTCGTTTCCAAAAGCATAAACAGAACAAATATATATACAATCTATGTATGTATGTATATATATCACAGATGTATATCAATTCTATGGCACATATATATACATACTCTCAAGTTCATATTTAGGCATGTTATCACACTAACCGATAGAATCAATCGGAATTGGTTGCATGGCAATCGAGTAAATGACTTGAAAACACAACCCTCTACAGATTCACTGAACACATGCACAATCAAATTATGAACAAACCAATTTGTACTGCAATTTCCTCTTAACCTAATTAACCAGTATCGTGAGCAGCATGAAATGGCAATCAGAATCATAAACATTCCACGAAATCACACAATTTATCATTCAAATGCACGATAAGAACATGATCATGCAATTAGTGCTAGAAACATTCGGTTATGCCGGCATAAATAGTATACAAGAATAAATAGATTAGGATTCTTTAAGATTGTTGGGGAAAATTGTTCACGTATACTATTTTCTTGCAACACAAGCAAACACATAAGATTAAGAAAAAAAACATGCAAAGACATGCAAGCGTCCTAGCCGATAGAATTCACTATCTCTCCTTAAAGAATCTTATTCCCCTTAAGCACCCAAGGTTGTGGAATGATTCCTCCCAGGATAGAAATGACGTACCTTTTCCGGCGTAGCGGTACCTCAAGCCCCGGAACCCATCGAACGCAGCGAACCGGCGAGAACCACACTTGACTCGATTTTCTCTTTGAAAAGAATGCAGAAAAACTAGTTTTGGATTTTGGCAGAGTTTCAGTACCGGGAAAAATCCATGTAAAACTCGTTGTCAAAACTAGAGGGGGTATGGTGCTATGTATAGAAAATGAAGGGATGCATTGAAGGGAGGCAACTCTTCATATGGGTGGTTACACCCCAACCATTGCATTGGTTCGTTTAAAATATTTCAACCATTGCATTGGTTCGGCCTCATGGAAGTTGGACCGGTTTGGTTATTCCAACCGGCATATCAGTTCGGTTCGAATTGGTTCAACTCGGTTTGGTTCATTTGGTTACTCAAACCAATTTAATCAATTAACCACATATTACATCAAATCGATCGAATTCGAGGCCATGCCTTTCCACATCTTACCAACATGGTACTTCAAGAGACTCTCTTGAAACTTTCCCCTTTTATTTCCATTCACACCACTAAAAATCCCAACAAAGACTTCCACGCAGTGCCCCAGATGGTCCCTGAGAAGCCCTCCAGCAGTAGCTACTCCTGTCTGTGTCAAGACAGACCCATCAGATTGCAGCTCAATCCATCCCACTGCTGGGAGGTTCCTAGCCAATGTACGTGATGGTGGGAGACACATCCTTGACATTAGAAGTCTTCATGCCATCCTCCTTTGCTTGTTGAACAATTCTGAACCAGGCTTGGATTCTCACCACCAAGCCCTCTTTGGAGATTCAGGGGTTGGGTCTCGGGTTTGGGGTTGGGTCAATTATTGTGTTGGTTCGCGGGTTGGGCAAGTAGGGCTGACATGGTGGATAAATATGACGTGGTGGGTCGGGTCGTCGTTGTTTAGTGTTAAAATATGCCGACTGTGATTTTCTGTTAGCCACGTCATCACTTAACGGTCGTCATTAACGGAGTCTAACGGAGAGTGACCGAACTTGGATTGTTCAACTAATTTAAGTGACTATAAATGAAATAAATCAATTTGAGTGGCAAACATGAAATTTTGTAGCAATTCAAGTGACCAAACTTGCAATTAAGCCCACCCAATTCCCGTCCTAGTTCCTAGTGGGAGACGGAAACCCTGGGACAAGAGGAGACGACCAATATATCAATAGAGAGAGAAGAGCTGCACGGCATTGTGATCTGCCCCCAGCCCAGCCCAATTTTACAATCCTCTCAGTCTCAGCCCACTACCCACTGGCCCAATACCCACACAACTTAGCATTAAGAAATCCTGAGGCCCAACTCCATTCTTCCCACACCTACACTTAGGGCTGCTAAACGGTACGGTAACCGGTTTACCGTTTACCGTTTTACCTGTTTCGGTAATACCGGAATTGCAAAAACAGTCGCCGGCTACCGAAACCCTTCTCCACTCGGCATACCGCCTTACCGTTCGGTACGGTAACGGTAAGGGAAACGAATCCCGAATTACCGGCTGCCTGAATTTCATCAACGCGCGCCTCCCTGTCTGGCTGCTGTCTGACTGTCTCCCACTCTCCCTGTTGTCGGCTGTCTTTCAAAGATGCATGATGACTCGGTATTTGCACATGTTTTCCCCTTTGTTTCTTGATTGTTTGAGCTTGAATTATTGCGTCTTTGGCCTATTTTATGCTAGGTTGTGTTCCTTTGTCCCATTTCAGGTCCTAGCACATAAAGTGAAGCATAGGCGCAAGTTTCAAGTCAATCAGAGATCAATTGACGATTCGAGAGAAGAAACTCGGGCATGACCTGAAGAAGAATGGATTTCTACCTCACTTTATGGACAAATAATCATGCAAGCTTGTTATGAAACGAAAGAGGACGAGACTACGAGCGTCTGGGATCAAACGGCGATTGATTCGGAGTCCGGACGAGGGAGAAACGAAGCATTAAACAGAGGCTGAGCAAGCTGCACGGGCAGACCAGCGTGGCCACGCACGGCCGTGCAAGTGACCAGTTTGGCCGTGCGGGATTGTGCGTGGGCACGCACGGGCACAAGTGAAATCCGCACGGCCGTGCAACATACAATTCTGGCCGTGCGAGTTGGCTGAGGTTCAACTAATTGATACGCCGCGTTTTGAGGTGCACGGCCAGAATGGTGATGTGCACGGCCGTGCACCCTGGCCGCGCGAGTCGGGATTTCCTGGTTTTAAGCCAAATTCCGAACCAAAGAAGAGGGAGAGCTGGGTTTTGGATCCCAAACACCCAAGGGACGAACCAAAGAGTGAGAGGGTGATTTGAGGGCATTCTTGGAGTGGAATTGGAGGATTTCTCCGCCTTGAAAGCTCGAGGAACAAGCCCGGACTTGAAGACTGATCATCTGAAGATTCTTACTGCAGTCTCTCTCTTCTCTATGGAGTAACTTCCCTTCACTTAGGTTTTGAGGAACCCTAGCTATGTTTGTTTGATTGGATGATTGTATGAGTACTCTGACTGGATAATCTTGAGTTCATATTCAATCTATGCATTTTTCATGATTCAATTCTGCTTTAGTCGAGATTTCACTTAGGTTTTGAGGAACCCTAGCTATGTTTGTTTGATTGGATGATTGGATGAGTACTCTGACTTGATAATCTTGAGTTCATATTCAATCTATGCATGTTTTCATGATTCAATTCTGCTTTAGTCGAGATTATTGATTCTGCTTTGATCCTATGAGAGGGAATACCTGATTAGGTCAATAGAGCACCATAGATTGATAGTAGTGGATCGATTGCTTTAGTCGAGGGTTGATTCACTGCTTTGTATCGATTGAGAACCCCTTTCGATAGAGGGAGTCTAGTTCAGAACGCCTTGATCAGTTGTTCTAGAGAAGGATACGTCCCTCTAGGCAATTGACTCAAGAGGGCCTTGTTCCTTTAGTCGAGACTCAAGGTCTAGTCAAGGATTCTCCGCATTGTGAATGAAAGTGAAACAGGTTAGAGATCATCAATCATTAATCTGGCTAGTGGCTAGGGGGAATCATACCTAAGTGAGTTCCCAACCTGTAATTAGATTAACTTTAACTGTAGTTTGCTAGAGTAGTTTTAGTTCTTTCATCTTAATCTGATTTGCTAAATAATAAACTGAAGTTGAGTAATAGTAACTCTAGAGACCCGTGGATTCGATATTTATCACTTGAGCCACTATACTGCAGTCCCTTTCATTGGTTACACTTGGCCTTTGTTAGGTGTTGTGTTTTAGAGCATCAAGTTTTTGGCGCCGTTGCCGGGGACTTTCTAGAGTATTAGGAAAGGCAGAAGTTTGTTACTTTAGCGTTTTTCTTTTCTTTTCTTTTCCACCCTTGCTTTTCACTTGGGTGTTTTTGTTTTTGTTGGTGCAGATCTGAATCATGGATCCTAATGGCTTCTCCAATCATTGGGGGTATCCACCACCATCTGGGTGGTATTACCCCGAGACTCCCTGGAGCAATCAAGGCGGAGAAGACTATGGATTCGGGTTCCAGTACCAACCGGACCCCTGGGCATATCAAGAACAACCTCATTATCAAGAAGAATTTCAACCACAACCAGAAGGGCCATCGGCACTGGAGTTACTCATGGAGCAGTATGCTCGAGACTGTGAGAGAATATGCTCCAGGATGGATCAGTGTGTCCAGGCCTATCGTGAAACAGATGAGATCCTCCTGAGCTTTAAGAAGAGCGTCGATGATCTTGAGCGATCTTGGGCGCAACCTGCTCCAGATCACCCTTCTGCTACCATACAAGAAGAGGAGGAGGAAGAAGAAGGCTACAAGGGCATTGTGGAACACACTGAAGTTGTCACGGAGAGCTCCCGTGATGATCATGATCAGGCCTGTCATGTCGTAGCCGACCACACCTTCCCACACCCCAAACTGAGCTTTGAAGAGGCGGGCATGAGTGAGGAGATGCAAGAAGATCTCATGAAAGAAATTGCTTGGCAACTTGCTCTCCAATCCGTGCTAGAAGAAGAAGAGCAAGAAAGGGTGCAGAAAGAAGTTGTGGAGGATGACGAAAGTGAAGCTGGAGGAGTTCTTGATCATTTCCCAGGGGTGATACCACATGAAGAAGGAAGGGAGGTTGAAGAGGCGATTGGTGTCCAGGCTGAGGACGAAGTTGAGGTGGAAGAGGCTTGCACCGGCCATGAGTTACATGTGATATCTCCACCAAACTTCGAGGAACTGCTTAGCAAGGACCCATTTGCAGTGTCTCTTTGCCAGACCAAGGCCACATCGACATCAGTCCCTCTTGGTGGACGCGATGGTGGCCAATCGATACTGTCATATCTGGTTTGGGGCAATGAGACGAGAGAAGAGAAAAAGAGGTCTCGAGGGTGGAGACTTCATCTGCATCAAGTACATGAGCCTTCATCACCTGCCACATCACATGCTCGAGACTTGAGACTCCACCTCATCGACGAGAACCTCAACTTCAAGGAGGTTCTAGCATGGACCGAAACTTAGGAGCCATCGTCCGGCTCACGACGTGAAAGAAGCGCTTGTTGGGAGGCAACCCAACCAGTCGGTTTGCATTTCTTTCTCTATTTCTCCTCGGTTGAGTCAGTTTTGTTATTTGATTTTAGAGTCAATAACTCAACCTTTGTGAGATTTTGTGTGGTGTTTGTGTTCTGATTACTCTCTCTTCCTGGACTGCACTGCCTGACCCGTACATCATCATTCACCCTTGATCTGGTAACTTCGTTCAACCCTCCTTATCTTTCCTCCATTGAGGACAATGTCGTGCTTAAGTGTGGGGGGGTGTTCGATTATGTATGCGGGTGAATGTTTGGCTGTTTGTGTGCTTGGAGCCTAGTCCGCTGTCCAAATTTTTAAATTTGAGGGCTCCAAGTACGTGTTCCATGCAATTGCCTGCTCAGTATGCTTTGAATTGACAGTCTTTACAGTAATATGCAACCTAGGGAGGTAGTGTAGCACTATGGAGGATGTTGATGCATTTAAGAAGTCTCATTTCTTCTTCATATAAAGTTGGTTGATTGAGTGAATTAATGATCTTAGGACCCTTGAATTGTGTGGTGTTGTGGATTTTCTACCTGTCATGGACTCTTGTATCATGTTTTGAAAATAACAGGTGCTCGAAAATGTGCTTCAAAATAAACGTCTCCCGTGCGAATAGGGCGAAAGTGTGTAAGGGGAGACGGGAATCCGTTCCCAATTTCCACCTACTACCTCCAGCCCCCTTACATGTCTTTCCCCCGCACGAGGCTCGAGACATCCGCTCCTGGCATGGCCGGTAAGAGCAGGTTGGGACCCTTGAAAAGAAAAAAAGAAAAGAAAAATATCAGAAAACAAGCAAAACAAAAAAAAAGGGTCTCAACCATCTTCAAGAAGCAGAAAATAGAGCACCTTGAAAAATGTGAGTCCATGATCTGTTGTTTTTGAGAATCTCCTCATCCACAATTCATTTGTCCTCTGTTCACTATTTGCCATGATGCCGACTCGCCGAAGAAGTTATGAGATGACTTGTGCGTCGGTTGACCTCGTAAGCTGCTAAATGATCTAGGAAGTCCTCTACCTACGATCTGGGTTGTTTGTTGCTATAGAGGTCTGGAGAGTTGCATTGGTTTGAGTTAGGTTTGCTTGGGGACAAGCAAACAGTTAAGTGTGGGGGGATTTGATGACTCGGTATTTGCACATGTTTTCCCCTTTGTTTCTTGATTGTTTGAGCTTGAATTATTGCGTCTTTGGCCTATTTTATGCTAGGTTGTGTTCCTTTGTCCCATTTCAGGTCCTAGCACATAAAGTGAAGCATAGGCGCAAGTTTCAAGTCAATCAGAGATCAATTGACGATTCGAGAGAAGAAACTCGGGCATGACCTGAAGAAGAATGGATTTCTACCTCACTTTATGGACAAAGAATCATGCAAGCTTGTTATGAAACGAAAGAGGACGAGACTACGAGCGTCTGGGATCAAACGGCGATTGATTCGGAGTCCGGACGAGGGAGAAACGAAGCATTAAACAGAGGCTGAGCAAGCTGCACGGGCAGACCAGCGTGGCCACGCACGGCCGTGCAAGTGACCAGTTTGGCCGTGCGGGATTGTGCGTGGGCACGCACGGGCACAAGTGAAATCCGCACGGCCGTGCAACATACAATTCTGGCCGTGCGAGTTGGCTGAGGTTCAACTAATTGATACGCCGCGTTTTGAGGTGCACGGCCAGAATGGTGATGTGCACGGCCGTGCACCCTGGCCGCGCGAGTCGGGATTTCCTGGTTTTAAGCCAAATTCCGAACCAAAGAAGAAGGAGAGCTGGGTTTTTGGATCCCAAACACCCAAGGGACGAACCCTAGAGAGAGAGGGCGATTTGAGGGCATTCTTGGAGTAGAGAAGGAGGATTTCTTCGCCTTGGAAGCTCGAGGAACAAGCCCGGACTTGAAGACTGATCATCTGAAGATTCTTACTGCAGTCTCTCTCTTCTCTATGGAGTAACTTCCCTTCACTTAGGTTTTGAGGAACCCTAGCTATGTTTGTTTGATTGGATGATTGTATGAGTACTCTGACTTGATAATCTTGAGTTCATATTCAATCTATGCATGTTTTCATGATTCAATTCTGCTTTAGTCGAGATTATTGATTCTGCTTTGATCCTATGAGAGGGAATACCTGATTAGGTCAATAGAGCACCATAGATTGATAGTAGTGGATCGATTGCTTTAGTCGAGGGTTGATTCACTGCTTTGTATCGATTGAGAACCCCTTTCGATAGAGGGAGTCTAGTTCAGAACGCCTTGATCAGTTGTTCTAGAGAAGGATACGTCCCTCTAGGCAATTGACTCAAGAGGGCCTTGTTCCTTTAGTCGAGACTCAAGGTCTAGTCAAGGATTCTCCGCATTGTGAATGAAAGTGAAACAGGTTAGAGATCATCAATCATTAATCTGGCTAGTGGCTAGGGGGAATCATACCTAAGTGAGTTCCCAACCTGTAATTAGATTAACTTTAACTGTAGTTTGCTAGAGTAGTTTTAGTTCTTTCATCTTAATCTGATTTGCTAAATAATAAACTGAAGTTGAGTAATAGTAACTCTAGAGACCCGTGGATTCGATATTTATCACTTGAGCCACTATACTGCAGTCCCTTTCATTGGTTACACTTGGCCTTTGTTAGGTGTTGTGTTTTAGAGCATCAATGCACCCACCATTATTTTATCACTTATCAGCACTCAGCAGCATGGCCTCGTCCTCATCAATCACAATCATCAATCATCATTCATCAGTGATGATTCAACACCATTCAGGCATTCACCAACGCCACGTCGCCAGCCCACATGCCAATATGCCATCATTATTCATTATGAAATGGTTTCCATTCCAAATTTCCAATTCACAATGTGACTCATGAGAATAGTAAACACTAAACAGAAGCAAAAATTATGGCCGCAACAATTTTTAATTTTGTTTTCAATTCTTAATTTTAATCCAACGCCACATTCCAATTCAATTCTTAAGATAGTAAATAAAATTGAGAATAATAAAAAAACTAATTCCATTCCAAATGTCAATACTCAATTATCAAATACTCAAACCAAATGTCAATAGTTGTAACTTGTACGTAGTACGTAGAATTCCAAATAGAGAAAATAGAGCAATCTGGTCTGCAGCTTCTAAATGTTTAAATTAAATTCGAAGACATGAAGATAAAAAATAAAATTACTAGTTCCTCACTTGCCACTAGGACCTGTACCACCAACATCAACAAAACCTTGTTGCTTCAAAGTGGTGCGAAGGTTATCATCACCATTATCCTCCTCGTCCTGGTCCTCCTCATCCTCGTCTGAATCTTCCTCCTCTTCCTCCTCCACCACAACAGGTAAACTTTGTTTGACACCTTCACTTGGCTTGGCAGTAGCTCTCTCCATTCGAGTTTGGAAGTTAGTAGTGACTAAGTGTAAAAAAAAAAATACAATTGTTACATTTCATCTAATAATATGTAATCAGAAATTGAGTAATGGAAAACTTAAAAATAAATGAAATTAAGAATTCTTACCACTTTCATAATCGATTTGGTCTTGATTTTCATCTTCTGTATCATCAACTTTGTCTGCTTTCTTTCCTCCTTCATACCTTACCCAATCTTCAGCACAAATCAAGGCCTCTACAATGGTGGGGCTCAACGAAGACCTAAACGGACTGAGCACTCGACCTCCACAACTGAAAGCAGCCTCTGAGGCAACAGAGGAGACTGGAATAGCTAGGATATCCTTAACCATCTGGGAAAGAATAGGATATCTAACGCTGTTCTTACTCCACCACAGCAAGATGTCAAACTTCATATCATTATCATCCTCGTTAATAGCATCATCAACATCTCTTAAGTAAATGTCTAGCTCAGAAGAACCTCGAATCCCCCTCTGTAGTTGCTCCTTTCTCATCTTGAAGAATTCAGCATTAAATGTCCCTCCATTAGATGCAGATCCAGTACCATCATCAGCACTAGGAGTGGTAACAGTAGGCTCTGAGGGTTGAGGTGCATACTTCAATCTGTAAACCTCAAACATTGCAGTCATCTCTGCAGTCACATCTTTCACCAAATCGTCTCTTTTCTTCTGCCCATACATCTTACCCCACATCCAATACAAATAAGCCATTTTACGCCTAGGATCTAGCACACACGCCATGTAAACCAGCCTATTTATCCTTAGGTTCTCCACCTCTTCATCATCATCATCATCATTCTCAAACCAATATTTTCGTACCTTTGCCTCCATTCTTGCTGCCATCCGTTGTATCTCTACATCCATGTCTTTCTTAAAAAGTTCTATCACTTCATAGATGTCAGCAATAGCCTTAAAGAAAGTATGAGCAGTCACATAAGATGTTCCTGATACATCCAAAAATAACAACAAATTATTCACAAATTATTTGAATTACAAGTTGAATCACAAAAGAGTTATGTTTGTTCACATACCTGATACCCGAAAGGTGAGCTCATAAAAGAACTTCAAATACTTCATTAGCCGTCGAATACTGGTCCAATCTTCCTTAGTTGGAAGACCTCTCTTTGAGTCCACATAATCCCGAAATGCAGAATCAGTGGGGCTTCCATGCAAGAAGTTAAAGACAGTCTCAAACCTTTCTGCAGATTCCAACATCAAATAAGTTGAGTTCCACCTAGTTGGAACATCCAAAGATAGAAGTCTTCTTCCAACCATTGATAGATAATCAATGGCAGATTTGAACTTTGCACTTCTACCTGGTGATGACTTCACCCATTTAACACAATCTCGAACCCTTTCTACAGCAACTCCAACCTCCTTCAACCCATCCGACACAACCAAATTGATTATATGTGCTACACATCGAAATTGCAAATACTTCCCACCAATCAATTCTGTTCCCCACTCTTTCATCTTTGTTCTCATACACTCTGCAAGAACATTATTAGAAGAAGCATTATCCATGGTAATGGAGAACAACTGTTGTGCTTTCCAATCTTGTAGACATTCTGCCAATTTATCTGCAATGTCCTTCCCTGTGTGACTAGTGATGGGAACAAAGCTAATGATCCTCTTCTGCAACTTCCAGTCACTCCCAATGAAATGAGCAGTCACACACATGAAATTCTGGTTGTTATCAGAAGTCCATGTATCTGTGGTGATAGAAATTCTTCCTTTGCACTTGGATTTGAAGAACTCAGATAGCAACTCTTTTTTCTCCAAAAAGATTATATAGCAATCCTGCCTTATTGTCTGTCTTCCAGGTATCACAAACAATGGTTGGGTTACCGCCATAAATCTCTTAAACCCTTCATGCTCAACAAAGCGAAATGGCAGCTCATCCAAGATGATCATAACAGCTAATGCAGTTCTAGCTCTTTGTTGATCAAACTTCCATGGAGTTAGAGAGCCTACCTCACCATCCCCAGGTTGATAGTTCAATAGTGATTGACCACTGGCTTCCTTCCTCTTCCTCTCACATGCCAAGTGATGTTGCTTCAAACCAGAAGTCCCGTTATTGGTCGAGTGAGCTTTGATCAACGTTCCACATTGTTTGCATTTGCCATATGGGTAGTCATCCACCAGAACCTCATCATAAGGATTCCACCACGGGGACTTCTTCTTCCTTTTTGTCACCTTCACTATTTTCTTTGCCTCACCCACTTCATTTGCTTCCCTTCCCATATCAGTCACCTCAGCCTGTGTAGGTGTGGCAGCTGCAGGAGGTGCAGTAGCAGGTGGAGATGTAATGGCACTGGTAGGTGTAGGTGTACTAGCTGAGACATTCCCTTCTGCAGCTCCAACATGAGCACCCACTTTTTTGGAAGTGGTTCGGGGAGGAATGGAACCACTTTTTTTCGGAGCATCTCCTTTACGAGGATGAAAAGATTTCGTCCTACAACAAAAAGAAAAAATATAAAAAAATTATAAATCATAAAATTACCAACATGTAAAAAAAGGCATAAACATTAAACCATTAAACAATTATCTTAAATCTTACATTTTTGTACTTGGTTCTCAAGTAAATAATTTAGTACAAAATAACAAAAGTTCTTATGCTGGGCTCAGGGGCTATGCTCGGCTCTGCCTTATGTAAACGGTAAACCTGCAAAAATTAAAACTAAAGCAAACTAATTAGTAATTATTTATTAATAATCAAACAATTGAATTAAATTAATTACTTGCTTTGCTTCATCAATTATTCAATGACAATTGAGTATTGACAATTATAGTATTATACAACACAATTCTTTCATCACTTCACTGTTGACCATCAATCAACCGCTCCGCTATCATGCTAATTAAGTAATTATTAAAATTATTCAAGTAACAAACATTGTTGAATCTAGAGAGCAAAGGTGAGTTACACACCATAAGCTAAGCTTCACCAAGAAACAATTAGGTCTCTGCCATTAAAATGAGTAATGAAAAAAAAAAAAAAATTTGGTTTGCTGGACGGCTGGACCTGGTCGAGACAAGACAACTCACTCACCAGCTGTTTTACTTTTACTGTTTTACAATCCTCATTCCTCAGTTCCTCACGTCATTAATATTCATTAAGCAAATGCAAAAGTGGAAAACAAATACAGATTACAGAGTGAACTGTGAAGGGACGGTGAGCAGCCCACATGTCTAATTTACATGGCCAGTACAGACACCGGAGAAGGGACGTTAACCGGGAGAAGATTACCTCTAAAGTTGACGGAGAGCCGGAGAAGGGACGGCGACGGTCTGACGGAGTTCAACGGACAGCGGAGCGGCGATGGGAGAAACTCGCCGGCTGCTTCGACGGGGTTCGAGTTCGACGGCTAGCTTCGACCAACGACGATGAACAGGGTTCGACGGCTGGCTTCGACGGGGTTCGAGTTCGACGGCAGGCTTCGACCAACGACGATGAACAGGGTTCGACGGGGTTCGAGTTCGACGGCTGGCTTCGACCAACGACGATGAACGGAGGAGGAGGGATCGGCGGTCGTTGACTCGAGGTTTGATTGGGATTTGGCTGGCTGGCTTAGATCGTTAGGGAATTAACAATTAGGGCTTTTTAGTTTTTAGGGTGGGTGATTTACGGTGAAAATCAATTATGAGTTTATGACAATCCGCATCCACCGATGAAAACTCAAAGTCCCATTCGGTGTCGGAATCCCGTTTTGCCGACGGTAACTTACCATGCCGGTCCCGGCATACCGCCAAGTGAAGAAGTCCCCTCCGCTTACCGTTTTACTCGGTTACCGCAGTTACCGGTACGGTAACCGGTTAAACCGGCAACCGAGAACCCGTTTGGCAGCCCTACCCACACTCCACTTCCACTCCCGCCCGAAACCCGAACCAATTCCCAAATCCAGAAATCCTCCCACCTCTTTCTCTTCGGCCTTCGCTTCTACCAAAAACCCTAGGCAAGAAGTAGCAGCCGTTATCGGAAAGGGAAGAAGAACAGCGGTCAGCCGAGCCCGATCGGCGATCTCTCCCAGACACCGGCCACCGAGACTCGTCGCTCTCCGATGGCGACGGCCCGACCTGCGACAGCCGTCGGCAGCAGTTCCCAATCTCGAATCAGCGATCGAGCGGAAGGCCAAGCGATGGAAGAACCACCTTCACCCAAAAAACAAAAGACTCAAGGCCGACCTGATCAGCGCGATGTGGTAGAGCCCGCGCCGTTTCCGTTGCCGTCGGCGCTTATAAATCCGGCGCCAGAAGAGAAGCTAGCAGTCGATGCTATAGAGGAGGAGGACGAAGAGTCGCCTGGCAAATATTCTGATGAATTGGCGGCATTTTCCTGGACCAAGAGGGACCCGGAAAAACCATTGTGGTGAGTGAATTTTTTCTTATTCATTTTATTTGTTTGCTTGTTCTCCAGAATTACCTGCTAGCTAGGGTTTTTTTTTATTTTTTTACTAGTTTCATGATTAGTTTTTGATGTCTTCTATATATATGGCAGGTTGGTTAACTCTGATGATGAGACTGAAGAAGAACGGGAAATCACGAGAAGAGAAACCACCATGCTTGCCAAGGAAGCATTGGACTCTTTCAACCAGAAGAATAAGGTACAAGAAGCACCACCACCTGGTTCTAGTTTGTTTTGTGTTTCTTAGTTGATATCAAGGTTTGGAAAAATTGTTAGGCTTTTGTGCAAAAGAGCGACTTTTTAGTAGAAGTAACAACTTTCTAATATGATTTTTTTAGGGTTCATAACATAAATTGTCCATCTACTATGATTTTTTTCTCAAATCTGCCCCTCTATTATGTGTTACATCAAACTTGCCTTCCTACTATTACTCTAATTAAAAAAAGGGTCGGTAAAAGTCTAAACATATAGCATCTCGTGCAGAATTAATCATATGAATGAGAAGAAGGGTAGGGCGTAAGAAACAGTAGGAGAGGAGAGGGAAGCAATTAACCATATGGGTCTGCCTGCATCTAAGTATACAGAAGTGGGCATTGGTTGGTTGGGAGGGATAGAGCTGTTCTGGATTTTGGGGTTTCAATTGGTAAAATCTTGCTATTTGGGGGGATTCCTTCAGGTTTTGGAATCCAGGGAAATGGGGGATTTTATTGTACTTTTAACTATATGTTTATTGAGGAAATGGTAAGGGATGTTTCTCTGTAATATTGCCGTTTAGAGTACTGTAAATTGCAGAGGGAAAAGATAAACTTCGAGGTTACTTTGCTCTTCCACTTTGAGATATATGGATTCGAACTTTTGTGTATATTCATACTTGCTTACTCAATGAAAGTCGATGGTGCTCTTAAGAATAGGCATGATGGACGATTTCCATCTCACTTGAGGCATAGTATGGAGGAGAGGAGCCGTTTATGCTATTAACCCTTTTTTTTTTTACTTTTAGTTCAGTTTGAAATGATTAATAACTTAACTAATCATACAAAAAGTAATCAAAACATGTCATGATCTAGAATTGCAATTCCAGATCGAAGAACGTGAGTGAAGGATGTATTTGTGGAGGGTAGCTGGAGATGGTTTCGTTTTGAAAAAGATCAGTTATTGTCTCGTTTCGATTAAATCACGTCTTTTACCGATAAACTATGGTCAGCTTAGCTTTGTATCTGATTTTGGGCTTGCTATGTATGATGCAAGGGTGTCAAGTTTCTGTTCGATGAGCCCAGGCGTAGCAGGAACACGCTCTTTCACCTTGCAATTGTCGCCCACTTCAACTTCACTGCCAGGGAGGAGAACAACCCTTCTTCCTCCCCCCACCGGTTTTTCGCAGAGACTGTAAGATACTATCGTGGACCTTTGAACGTTCTGAATTGTGTCGACTTGGAGAGTTTTGCACCTGGTAAGTACATTGATTCAAGCATATATATAAAAAATAAACTGTATTCGGTTTAGGACTTAGTGACTTTGTAAACAGATAGATGGATGAAGGTAATAATGACAATATCGCTGATTTTGCTAGATCAACTCCACAAAGCCTGCATCTATTGTCCGGAGGAAATCGAGCACCCTCCCGAGGAAAATTTCGAGTACGGCAAGAATACGATCGATGATTGGAAAAAGTTCGAGTACGAAACTGCAGAGGACGAGGTGATGACCCCCGATTCACCAGACTTGGGTGAAAAATGAAGCTGGATTCGGCAGCTAGCAACATAAGATACTAAGCTGCCGATCTAACGTTATTTAACTTATTTTGCACTCCATAGCTCGTATTAGGAGTTTAAAACTTTTATCTCGTTTTGGTATGTTATCTATGATTTGTTGCTATTAGTAGCACCATCTATTCGGTTTAGGTGAGCGTGCTTGATGTTGATGATCTGCACTCAGTACTCTTTTCTAGTATATATATCTGCCATCGGTCATGTAAATTGGTTATGACCATGTCGACTTATTGCTCAGTATTCTGATTCTCAATTGTATGCTTATGAGTTTGATGACAAATTGTCAAATTCCCTCCCCCGACCTTGCACCAGAATAAAGGATGCTGCTGCTCCTTTTCACACAAGAAAGGATTGAAGCACGTTGCTGGGCAGGAATGAGCCTGTTCAGTATTCGTGCTTTATAGGCTACACAGGATTGTCTAGTATTTGATTCTCCAAACTTAAAAAGACTATATGTTCTTCATTTTACTGTCTAAAGTTATTATGTACTCTCTAGCTAGTCAGAATCAGCAGTCTGCCTTGCTCTGTGCAAGAGTTCTGACTGATTCTAGTCCACATACTAAACTTTGAAATCCCACACATCACCAAGTCATTCTTAGATAGGTTGGTGATGGAAAATAAAGAATAACTAGCTAATTGCCCGGCCCTTGGCCGGTCGTAGTCTCGGAAATTGACTCTTTGATTGTAACTGATGTTACTCGTTAACATGTATGTGGCGATGGCTGGAGGTAGGTCAACAATACCACAATAATATGATGGAAAGTCATTATCCCATTGCATTACAAAAGAAACAATAAAACATAAACACTATAATGGACAATCCAAACCAAGCCATTAGCCTTGAATATAGCCAGTATTGCCATGCACCATGATGCCCCTAGAGTAAACATGAACAAATCAAAGGAATGTTTACCTGAATCCAATTGTCGATGGTAAAAATGGAATTCACCAAGAGATTTCATAAGAAAATCCAATATAGATTGCCCTTAGACCAAAAAGCACAATGATACAAAAGGCGATGAATCTCTGGCTGAGAAAACAAAAACCAGCAACGTCCAAATCAACTCGATGGAATGCGTCGGTCAGTTTTTTCTGATAAATAGTTTTGTTAATTAAAATGACAGGAAAAATAGAAATACAAAGCATGCAATCTGCTTTAGAAATCTCATATACAAACAAAAGAAACAGGCAAGCAATATATGCCTGGAAGCACCAACCGATAATAACTACTGTTAATATACCTACCACCGTGAAATCCTACCAAATTACAGCTCTGTACTTTCTTTCTCTTCAATCTGTATAAACCAATCGTCCCCATTATTACGATTCTTATCCTTCTCGACAGCAAACACACTGATTGGTCCACTCTTACTCCTTTTTTGTGGAAGCTACATGACATTTTGCATCATTGCACATTAATTCAAACAACCATTCCTTGCTGCAATTTATGGGTTGGGGTAATATCACTTCAGTCATAATACAGATTAACATGAAATGAAAGAAATGACCATTATAATAGCCTTGTAAAATTCAGAGTACCAATGGCGATTCCTCTCTTCTCCTCAGTGGCTTCGGCAATAAAATGAGATTGATGACTATCTCTACCAACGTATTTAATATGATCATTGTATGACCTTTTGTATAATCCATTTCTGTCTTACCCATTTTCGCATCACAACTCCAAAAGCTAACTTGTTGGGGTTCTCTTCTAGGTAAACAACTTGTATCAACATCGTGCATGAAAACAAAAATTGCTTTGGTTGAGATACTATCAGGATCTTATGATGCGGTGAAGAAGGCTATATTGTTTCCCAGGCATTGTCAACCCCCAATCAATTTGATGTGGGTCATTGCTCTCTTACCATCTAAATTAAATAGGAAGCTCAGGTTGGCCTCTTTTATAGCTTCACTTGACAATTTCTTAGAGGAGATAAAATCACGATTCACAATTCTAGAACAACCACCTCATATAATACAATCTTATGGAAACAACACTAATGAAGCACCCAAATTACAATTCCGTACATGTTTCCTATGAGGGTGTGCATATGCAAATTAGGAAAAATATAATGCTTAAGGAGAGAGCTTACTTGGCACCCGACTTTGATGAGCAAAAATCACGTCAATAAATTCCAGGTGGAGATGTCCAATCGATCGGGTCTAGACATGCGTATATATCAGCATGCTATACTAAAAATACAAAGAGTTCGGTTTGTCCTTCCCATGACAACATATTCTCACCATATATTTATTCCTTGCAGAGAGAAGGGTATCAAACCATCTTGTATCTGCTCCAATTATGGCTATCACTCGTTTTTTTATATTGTAGTAATTAGAACCCCACTTTTAAATCTGAAAGCAAGTGACACTGCCACAAAACATCATATTGTAAAAACTTATCTACAATCATGAGGTTATTTCACTCAAAAGAAACCATGTTTTATATGTTGAAGATCAGCATTATAGGTTGAATAGTTTAATTCGAAAATGATCTCAACTCTTACATATAAATTTTGTGTAAAAGTGGTATGATTGAAGCTATTCCCTATGTTAACACTAATTAGAATAGTCTTTGTTTACTAAAACTAACCACAAAAATATTTCAAATCAGAAAATGATGATACTGAACAGGAGTATCATAACAAAAGCAACAAAAAAGTACACTATTTATCTTTAATCATCTCAAAAGTCAACCTAGAAGATCAACCAAATGAACTGATGTTAAGAGATCACACATTACTCTCAAAGAAACTAAATAACCCATCAGTTAGCTCTCCAAGCAAGAACACTCAACCTTTCGATATTTACCCCTCCGAAAATTGCTTTGCGTAACAGTATAGGTGGAGGAGGTTAGGCGGTTGTCGAGTCCGATGGGAAGGTTTGGAGAGACGACAATGGTTGAACGTTTAGTAGATCGGGAGCCCGGAACACTGTTTATTTTTAATCAACTCAAAAGTCAACCTAGAAGATCAACCAAATGAACTGATGTTAAGAGATCACACATTTCTGTCAAAGAAGCTAAACAATCCACCAGTCAGCTCTCTAAGAACACTCAAACTTTCTATATTTACCCCTCCGAAAATTTCTTTGCGTAACAATATAGGTTGAGGAGGTCAGGCGGCTGTCGAGTCCGGTGGGAAGGTTTGGAGAGACGGCGATGGTTGAGCGTTTAGTAGGTCAGGACACCATTTAGACCCATTTACATTAGTTGCGCATTTTCAATCTGCATTCAAAATGTTGTTGCTTTATGATAGTTATATTATTTAAGTCTATGTCAAGATTTCTGCATCGCTTCTACACATTCAATACTGCAATTCGACGTGCAATATTTGCACCAATGACATTAGAAACAAATTTGTTTAGTGTAACTGATTATGTTTCTTGTCTTTTCTCAAAGAGATCAAGATTCAAATCCAATCACCAATGTACTTTTCCTGTAAATAAGAAAATAATAAATGACTGTGAAGACAAATCTACCCTTTCTAATTTTCTATGGATGCAAAGATTTTCTAATGGGGGAAACACCTTTTCATTTAACTATTATATTAGGTTTAGCGAAATTAACCTGGGTGGTTGAGCGTTTAGTGGGTCAGATACTATTTAGGCCCGTTTACATTAGTAGCGCATTTTCCATCCGCGTTGGGAAAACCAACAACACTCAATATTTCCATATTTACCGATCTAAATTGCTCTAGTGTAACAATAGAGGCAGAGAAGGTTAGCCGACTGTTGAGTCTGATGGGAAGTTTGGAGAGACGACGATGGTTGAGCGTTTAGTGGATCGGGACACTATTTGGCCTCGTTTACATTAGTAGTGTCTTTTCCATCCGTGTTCGGCAAACCAACATCTCTTAAACTTTCCATATTAACCCCTCTCTTAAAGACACATGTGCCCCATATTCACTCAAAAGTTCTGTGTTTAAAAATATTGTTACTTTATGGTAGTTATACCAATTAAGTTTATGTTAAGAAGTCTACATCGCTTCTACACATTCAAGAGTGCAATTCGGTATTCAATATTTGAATCAATGACATTTCAGTTGCTAACCATGATGGAAAAGTCCTGTGATTTTTTAGATTTAAGCTTCCTGTATGTTCTTTTTTGAAAAAGGTCACACAAATGTGTTTATTGTAACTGGTTATGTTTCTTATCTTTGTTCGAAGAGACCACGGTTCAAATCTCATTACTGATGTATTTTTTCTGTAAATACAAGTTAATAAATAACTGTGAAGATGAATCTACCCTTCCTACTTTCACTCTAGATGCAGGAAATTTGAAATGGGGTTTCAAGTTTTCTCATTTGGCTTTTATTTATTGTGTAGACGTATACTTGATACTACCGTTGTAAATAGGGCTGGCTATTTGGTCCGGATTTTTTGGTTTTACCCGAGACCGGACCGGGACCGGATAGTAAACAACCCAATCCAATCTTTGGGCTTGGATTTGAGGTAAAAAAACCGTTCGGGACCGGATCGAAAACTGGATAAAGACCGGATAAGAGAGCTCAACACCCAAAACTTAAGGGTAATTTGCATAAACAGCCACAAACCTTTGCACTTAGTACAAAACTTAACCAACTCCTCACCCTTTCAGGCCTTAGGCCACTCAAATCCCCACATGATCAATATAAATCAAGACTGAATTGGGACCGGACCGGGTCAAGACTGGACCTGACCAAGACCGGACTGTATCCAATCCAATCCTTGGTCCTTATATTTTCAAAAAGACCGGACTGGACCGGATCAATTTGGACCAATTTAACCGGACCGGACCGTATAGTCACCCCTAGTTGTAAACGAACCAAACCGCTCAGTAGCAGCTCGACGTTCAACTAAGAAAAAAACCCATCGACACTCAACTCGTCAACAAGCTAATTTATTAAAACGAGTCGAGTTTGAGTTAGTTGTTGATCAGCTCACTAGCTCAATAAACCTCACATTCAAAACAAATATATCAAACAAACAAGTTACGAGTCAAAGTTGTACAAGAGCCATATATGACAGAAGAATGAATATTAGCATGACTAAACCTGACGTAAGACCATAATGGCCATTAGTTGCTACAGCAACTAATTGTGGAGAACAACAACAACGATGGAAGAATAGACCAATTATCTGCTACTGTGTCACTACAATGGCCATTAATTACTTGCTCAACATTCATGTTCTTCAACTCTATATGTATATAAAACTATATATATATATTCCTCCTATTTACTGAAATCCATTGCCTTTCCTAGTGGGATGCCATTGCCAATCTCAAGCTGTCCGATCACTTCCCTAGCTATTATACTTAGCCTGGTCGCCTCAAGCTACCTGTAAAAGGGCCAGATTTCCCCATATTCATAACCCTGCCAGAAACCCGACCCAATTCCCAAATCCTCCCATCTCTTTCTCTTCGGCCTTCGCTTCTACCAAAAACCCTAGGCTAGCAGTAGCAGCGAAATCGAAAAGGGAAGAAGAACAGCGGTCAGCCGAGCCCGAGCGCCCGATCGGCGATCTCTCCCAGACACCGGCCACCGCGACTCGTCGCTTCCAGATGGCGGAGGCTCGACCTGCGACAGCCGCCGGAAGCAGTTCCCATTCTCGAATCGACGATCGAGCGGAAGTCCAAGCGACGGAAGAACCTCCTTCACCCAAAAAGCAAAAGACCCAAGGCCGACCTGATCAGCGTGATGTGGTAGAGCCGTCGCCGTATGCGCTTATAAATCCGGCGTCAGGAGAAGAGAAGCTAGCGGCCGATCCTATGGTGGAGGAGGAGGAGGACGAGGAGGAGGACGACGACGAGTTGCCTGTATCATTGGATGAACACGGTCGCAATCGCAACAGCAAATTTTATGAACAATTGGTGGCATGTTCGGTGATTAACCGAGACCCGGAAGAACCAACGTGGTAGGTGAATTTTGTTCTTCTTTATTTTGTTCGTTTGCTTGTTCTCCAGAAATTAGCTGCTAGCTAGGGTTTTTTTTTTTTTAACCAGTGGGTGTCCTCGATTTACATTCCAGGTGGTTTGACTCCGATGATGAGACCGCAGAAGAACGGGAAATCACGAGAAAGGAAACCGCTATGATTGCCAAAGAAGCCTTGAACTCTTACAACGAGAAGAACAAGGTAGAAACAGTAGCACATGATTAGGGTTTGTGTTGTTTTTCTTAGTTCCCTGGCTAGCGCTTTAGTTTCCCCCAATAATCAACTCCTCACTTAACTTGTTGCCGTTGGATTGAATTTCTGCTTTGCTTAGCTTAGCTTTAATATGGTCCGCCATCGGATTTTGGTTTGCCGTGATGCAGGGTGTCAAGTATGTGCTCGATGAACCCAAGCGTAGCAGGAACACGCTGTTTCACCTTGCAATTGTCACCCACTTCAACTTCACGGCCAGGGAGGAGAACAACCCTTCTTCCTCCCCCCACCGGTTTTTCGCAGAGACTGTAAGATACTATGGTGGACGTTTGGAAGTTCCGAATTGCATCGACATGGAGAGTTTTGCACCTGGTAGTGGTAAGTACTCCGATTCGACCGTACATAAAGAACAAATTGTATTCGGTTTAGACCTTAGGATACTACTTAGAAACTTGGTAAACAAATAGGTCGATGGATGAAGATAATAATGATTATAGTGCTGATTTTGCTTAGATCAACTCCACAAAGCCTGCATCTATTGTCCGGAGGAAATCGAGCATCCACCCGAGGAAAATTGCATGTACGGCAAGAACACGGTCGATGATTGGAAAAAGTTCGAGTACGAAACTGCTGCTCCTTTTCTCACGAGAAAGGATTGAAGCACGTTGTTGGGAAGGAATGAGCCTCTTCAGTATTCAGGCTCTATAGGCTACAATATTGTCTAGTATTTGATTCTCCTCAAACTTAAGACTATCTGTTCTTTCATTTTACTGTCTAAAGTTGTTACGTACTCTAGCTACTCAGAATCAGCAGTTCGCCTTGCTCTATTAGGGTGCGTTTGTTTGGATACAATGATTTGAATTTGGTATTTGTGATTTGGATTTCCAAATACCAAATCATGTGTTTGGATATTAATTACATTTGGTATTTGGATTTGTGTCAAATTCATGGGGTGATTTCCAAATACATGTCTAGTGTATTTTTTGTCAACTTCAAATACATTTCAACTAGTGATTTGAAATACCTCCTAACAATGAATTTGAATTACATGTATTTCAAATGCTAATATTTCAAATACATCCATTTCAAATGCTAATATTTCAAATACCTTACATTTAAAATACACTTATCCAAACGCACCCTTAAAGAGTTCTTACTGATTCTTATCCACATCCAAGCAACCTTCCCATACATGTTATTCATCAAATTATCAATAATTCAGTTGGATCAATTCTTGTATAATTTATAATTGAAAAGTGACCTACCGAATTTTGATAGCTAGCTACCTAATAAAGTAACACACTATAGACATATAATAAGGACGAGCTTATGACCAAAGAAGGTTTACGTTAATAAAACCAATGTCTTGGATTATAATGCAGCGTAAATATAATATATTATCCATAACTATTAAGAAGTGGAAAATTATAGCTACAATTATCGAAATACAAATTATTAGGCAAACGTTAACTCTTTGTTAGCAATTCCGTTAGTAATGGTGACTAAGCTTTACGATGCTGATTTGTCTCTCACGTGACAGTCGCCATTCCGCCATATCATATTTTAATTTTTAAACAATAAATAATTAAGAAAATGAAAGAAAAAATTCTAAAAATTAAAAGAAATCTCCCTCTTCTTCTTCTTCCTACTCTCTCTCCTCCTCTCCGACGAGCTCTAAAGAGCTCCTTCCTCCGAGCAAACCCAGACCTTCCTTCCTCCTTTCCACCTCGATCTTTCTCCTCTTCAATTCATCCAACGATTTCTTTGGTTTCTGGTTTCTAATTTCAAATCGTACTCAATCTGAATCTTGGATGTTGCTTCGACTTTTAGTTTATCAGAAGAGAATCTGTGTCAATGTCGATCACAAGAAGAAGGCGCTGGTAGCGACGAAGAGGCCCACAGCCGCCGCCATCAGAATCTGTCTCAATCGGTCTCTGTTTGCTTATTTTTCAGCTAGTTTGCAAGCCAAAAGAGAAGGAAGTCTTCAACATCGATGCATCAGACGCCGGTAAACATCTCGCAGCTAGGGATGGGTAATGGGTGGGTTTTTGGGCAAAATCTACCCACCCATTGTTATGGTGGATGATGAAAAAATGACCCACACCCACCCATTTTTATCGTTGTGGGTGAGTTGGGTAGGTGACAGCGGATGGTGAGTGGGTTTTTGGCGGTTTTGGTGAGTCAAATTATTTTGAATTAATTAGACAATTATGAGCCATAAACATTTGCATAAAACTAGCTAATTGAAGCTGGGTTGGCAATTCCTGAACAACGACGAGAGTCTCTGGGTCAGGGTACTTCATGCAAAATACGTTAAGCAGAACGATGATGGCAGCGTTGCATTCCGCCAGCAGCGGGTCTCTCGGCTCTGGAAGGGGATCAAGGATGCCCTACCTCTTCTGAAACAGAACACCATCTGGGACATTAGGGATGGTAGAAGCGTCAATTTCTGGAAAGACCATTGGATTTCGGCTGGCCTGGCGTTGAAGGACCATGTTGTCACCAATGGACACACCGTCGAGTGGAACAGCTCAGTTGCGGAGATGGTGGATTCATCAGGTGAGTGGAACTGGGGAACTATCAAAAATCACCTCCCTGACACGTTTCTTTCTCTTCTTGCAGGTACTGATACCCCCCTCCAAGAAGCAGGGGAAGACACAATTATATGGGGACCAGAAAGTGACGGCAGATTTCGAATTGGCAGTGCGTACAAGGTGGCGGTGGAATGGCTGCAGGAAAATAACCATGGAGATGCTGCTGAGGGCAACAACACCAAGTGGATGAGCGCCTGGAAGTGGCCAGGACCAAATCGATTAAGACATTTCCTCTGGCTTTGCCTACATAATCGCCTCATGACAAATAGCGAGAGAAAGCGGAGGAATTTTGGTGACAGCGACACATGCGAGTTCTGCAAGTCAGGATCAGAAACGATAGAGCACGTCATCAGAACCTGCCCCTTGGCAGCTCAGGTATGGCAACGCCTTGGCTTAATAGACACCCCCCTTACACACGGTTTGAACTTTGCAGGTTGGATGGCGACCAACTTGAAGAAAGAAGGGACAAACCTGCTGTTTGGAGTGGCGGCCTGGTTCCTGTGGAGAAGAAGGAACGATTGGATCTTTGAGAAGAAATTTCAAGAATCGGAGATCCTGGTGCATCGGATCCGAGCGTGGGCTGCAGTTATCAAGCAAGCACAAGACAATAATCGGCAGCTTCTCGTCGACACGACGGGGGACAAAACAAGACAAGAACTGGCATGGAAACCACCACCTGCAGATTGGATCGTAATCAACTCTGACGGGTCTGTCAAACACCCAAACTCGGTGGCAGCTGCAGGTGGCTTGCTCCGCAATCATCTTGGCCGATGTGTGGGAGCCTTCGTCACCAACTTAGGAAGCTGCTCCATCACAAGGGCGGAGATCGTCGGGGCGCTCACTGGACTCCAACTCGCTTGGGATCAAGGTCACAGGAAGGTACTCATGCACATTGATTCTACTGCAGCGCTGGCCATTTTAACAGGAAAAGATCGAGATAGCAGGCGGTATCACAACCTCACTAGGCGCTTTCAGAACCTGCTACAGCGTAACTGGGAGGTTCATCTCTCCCACTCATACCGCGAATGCAACAAAGCGGCAGACTACTTAGCTAATAAAGCCCATGGGTTTAGCCTTGGCACTCATACTTTCGATATTTCGGACTCGGGTCTCAAGTTTTGGATCTTGTATGACACTATGGGGATTACCAGGATCGGTTAATTTAATTTCAGGCAGGGGCGCCCTTTAGCGTCTCACTTTCTACCAAAAAAAAAAAATCAATACTACCAATCAATAAAATTGGTAGCTATTAAACATAGTTTATTGCATAACCTAACACCAATATCTAATTTGCTAACACAAAATATTTTGTTTATAGTTATCATATTTTAAAATGATCAGTTTTATGTTGTAAATCAAGTAAATTTTATAAAAATGATTGTAATTTATTTGAATCAATCATGATTGAAGTTTTGACATAAGAAAAAATAGTGTTCTATTATAGAATGTGCATTAACAACTTAATATATCATGTGATTTTCCATGTAATGACCCACCCGCCACCTACCCAAATTTTGTGGGTGACAAAAACGATAACTCACACCCACCCAGACCACGTACATTCAAACATGTAATGAGTTGATGGGTTGGGGTGGATTTAGCGGTTGACCCACCCATTGCCCATACCTCCCCGTTGCCGTCAAAACCATCCTCACAATTAGCATCATCAACCGTTTTCTCTACGTGAAAATCAACCCGAGGAAGGAGCTACAGCTCGTCGGAATCAGCGCCACTCAAATGGCATCCAAGTACGAAAAGATCCGGCCGTCGGAGGTCAACGAATTGGTCAACATCTCCAACGGAGCCTACTGCGGTCAATAGATTCTGGCCATGGAGAAGACCATCCTCACCCATATCGAATGGACCCTCACAGTCCCGATCTAGTTCGTCTTTCTCACCCAATTCGCCAAAGCAGCTGCGGCGGCGAAGACCCCGGCCGCAACTCCGGTGCTTGATGGCGAGGTGGTCAGGTGGAGCACATGGTGAACTACCTGTCGGAGTTCGGCCCTGATGGACTATGAGTGCTCGGTGATGTTTCCCTCCTCCATAGCGGCAGCGGTCTGCGACAACGAGGAGGAAGAAGAGAAGAAGATGAGGGGCGGGGATGAGTTTTATTAATTTATTGTTTTAAAATTGTAAGTCAAAAGTAATATGGCGTGGAACGGTGGAGGACGACGTGGCTGTCTCCGTTATAAAATTAATGATGGTAACAAATTGTTAGCTATATCTTGACCCGCAACGATACTTATGGTTAATAATTTGTATTTCGATAGTTGTGGCTATAATTTTCCGATGGGTTATAGGTATATATGCCCCTCTACTATGACGTTTTATCAAACATGTCATTCTACTATGTTTTACATCAAACATGCTCCTGTACTTTGTAAAAATGATCAAACATGCTCTTTTGTTAAAATTTTCATCCAAAAACAGTTAACCAAGGCCGAAATTTAGTTTGGGCGACACAAATCTGAAAATTTCACTATAGAATTTTTTTGTTCTTTTGTATAATAAAATCATTCAAATAATTTCACTTTGAAAAGACCCAAAGAAATAAAACTGGCGAAAAAACTGATATTTTTCCTCCCATTTGCCGATGTCGGGTCGTCTAAATATCGGTTCAACCATGATTGACGATTTTTTCAATGGAAATTTTAATAGAAGGGCATGTTTGATAATTTTTTCAAAGTACAGGGGCTTATTTGATGTAAAAAATAGTAGAGGGGCATGTTTGATAAAACGATTATTAATAGTTGTGAGGCTAATATATTGTATTTATCCTAAAATGTATGTTTAGATATGGCCAAAGAGTTTTATATATATATATATCTAGTAGACTTTCATTGTTCTCCGATCAAAACAACAATTCTACTATGCTATATAGTATTGGTGCTTTAATGTACAACTTTAGGTTGTACCATAACAATAAATATATAAGTTTAGGTTGTATCATAAAAGGAATTTGTATCATTATGTTATGGTATAACTTTACAGGTTGAAGTTGTACCATCACATAAAGGTACACGTTCAAGTTGTACCATAAAAGAATTTGCACAAAAAGTATTGGTACAATTTGATGTTGTACCATAACGTTAAAGATACAATTTCAAGTTGTACCATAAAGATAAAAACCTATAGCACCAATACTATATAGTATTGTAAAATTCCTCATCATATTATTTATTTACATATATCACAATGTTAATAAGAGGTCCTGAGTTATTGAACTACACATATATACTAAAGGAGTACCTACATATATACTACCATATTTATTTTTTCCAAAGCTAAAGTCTCATTACAAATTGACAAGATCCTTTATATTGTGGAGTGTTTATTTATTCTCATTTTACTCTTTAGAAAGAGGAGGAAAAAAAAAAAAAAAAACAGGTGTGGGCTGTTAATGGGCTAGTCTTTGTTATGATATTCCCTCCTTCCGAAAGAGCTGTAGGAGGTGGAAACCCTACGACGAGACGGCCGCGATATACCAAACAGGGAGAAGAAGAACCACGATCGAGCGAAAGGCCAGGCTATGGAAGAACCTTGTTCACCCAAAAAGCGAAAGACAGAAGGCCGACCTGATCCGCCGTCGGCGTCATCATCGGCGCTTATAAATCCGGCGTCAGGAGAAGAGAAGCTAGCAGCCGATGCCATAGAGGAGGAGGAGGACGAAGAGTTGCCTGGCAAATATTCTGATGAATTGGCGGCATATTCCTGGACTAACATGGACCCGGAAACACCATTGTGGTGAGTGAATTTTTTCTTAATTTGTTTGCTTGTTCTCCAGAATTACCTGCTAGCTAGGGTTTTTTTTTTATAATTTTTTTACTAGTTTCATGATTAGTTTTGGATGTCTTCTATATATATATGACAGGTTGGTTAACTCTGATGATGATACTGAAGAAGAACGGGAAATCACGAGAAGAGAAACCACCATGCTTGCCAAGGAAGCATTGGACTCTTACAACAAGAAGAATAAGGTACAAGAAAGCACCACCTGGTTCTAGATTGTTTTGTGTTTCTTAGAATCTTAGTTGATATCAAGGTTCAGAAAAATTGTTAGGCTTTTGTGCAAAACAGCGACTTTTAGTAGAAATAACAACTTTCTAATATATTTTCTTTTAGGGTTCATAGCATAAATTGTCCCTCTACTATGATTTTTTCTCAAATCTGCGCCTCTATTATGTGTTACATCAAACTTGCCCTCCTACTATTACTCTAATATCAAATCTACCATTTCGTTAATATTTCCATACACCTGGATGCCATCAACTCCGACTCGACCGGTCATAATTAAAAAAAGCGGGCATTGGTTGGTTGGGAGGGATAGAGCTGTTCTGGCAGTGAATTAACCAAAACAGAGGTCAATTGGATATTTCCCATCTGTTTTTTTTAATTCGGACCGATCGAACCGGAGTTAACAACACCCGGATGGAAATATTAAGGGAATGATAGATTTGATATTATGGTAATAGTAGGAGGGCAAGTTTAACGTAATAGAGGGGCATGTTTGACCCAAAAAAAACCATAGTAGAGTAGCCGTTTATGCTATTAACCCTTTTTTCAACTTTCAGTTCAGTTTGAAATGATTAATAACTTAACTAATCATACAAAAAGTAATCAAAACATGTCATGATCTAGAATTGCAATTCCAGATCGAAGAACTGAGTGATGTATTTGTGGATAGGGTAAGCTGGGGATGGTTTCGTTTTGGAAAGATCAGTTATTGTCTCTCGTTTCGATTAATCACTGTCTTTTACCGATAAAATTATGCTTAGCTTAGCTTAGCTTAGCTTTGTATCTGATTTTTGGGCTTGCTATGATGCAGGGTGTCAAGTTTCTGTTCGATGAGCCCAGGCGTAGCAGGAACACGCTCTATCACCTTGCAATCGTCGCCCACTTCAACTTCACTGCCAGGGAGGAGAACAACCCTTCTTCCTCCCCCCACCGGTTTTTCGCAGAGACTTTAAGATACTATCGTGGACCTTTGAACGTTCTGAATTGTGTCGACTTGGAGAGTTTTGCACCTGGTAAGTACTCTGATTCAAGCATATATATATATATATATATATATATGGTGCCTTCTTCGGTACCCCGGGTGAAATCCGGGGTATCGCATATCTTGAATATGAAAACGTTATCTAGACCTTGAATTAGCAGGATTTTTGGGCATGATAGTATACCCTAACCCTTAATAAGTGAACCCTAGGTCCTAATTATCTAAATCATAAACTATAAACCCTAAGATGGTGCATTGAGTTTCCCCCCTATATTTGGACGAATCATAACCGTCGATTATTGTTTCTAATTAAATTGATCTTGGGGTATAAGATTTAGAGAATTAAGACCTAGATTTTGATCTTTAAGGGTTAGAGTATAGTATCATGTCCGAAACATCAGTCAATTCAAGTTCTGGATAGCGTTTTCATACTCAAGGTATGCGGTACCCCGGATTTCACCCTGGGTACCGTAGAACTCCACATATATATATATATATATATATGGTTATGTCTTCGGTGCACTCACTTTTTTGGGTGCATTCAATGCACCCGCCTTATAATCGTCATTCTGAACAGACGATTCATGTGAAAACGATGTCAATCATCCCTTGTAGTATGATGAACAAGAACCACATGAATTTGTACCAAAATCATTCAAGATTCACTTTAATTTGAATGATTCAGGGTTTAGAAATTTAGGGTTAGGGTTAGGGTTTACAATTGGGATTTTGGGTTTAAATTCAAAATTGAATGTTAATAGGTTAGGGTAGTGGGTTGATTAGTTGTGATTCTGTGTTATATCATCATATGAGACTAATGCTACCCATTAAATTTCAAAATTTGATGTATTATGACCACTTTTAGAGGTGGGTGCACTGAATGCACCCAAAAAAGTGAGTGCACCGAAGTAGCCACCATATATATATATAAAAAATAAACTGTATTCGGTTTAGGATTTAGGGTACTGCTTAGTAACTTTGTAAACAGATTGATAGATGGATGAAGGTAATAATGACAATATCGTGATTTTGCTTTGCTAGATCAACTCCACAAAGCCTGCATCTATTGCCCGGAGGAAATCGAGCACCCTCCCGATGATTGGAAGAAGTTTGAGTACGAAACTGCAGAGGACGAGGTGATGAATACAGTTTAACTTATTGTGCACTCCATGCTCGTATCAGGAGTTTTAAACTTCTCTTGTGTTGGTATATTAAACTTCTCTTTTCTAGTATATATATGTTTGCCATCGGTTCTGTAAATTGGTTTTTATGACCATCGACTTATTGTTCAGTATTCTGATTCTCTCAATTGTATGCTTATGACAAATTGTCAAATTCCCTCCCCGCACCTTGCTCCAGAATAAAGGATGCTGCTGCTCCTTTTCTCACAAGAAAGGATTGAAGGACTTTTTTTTTTTTTTTTTTTTGACAAAGGGCATAGAAATTTCATTACTTGTGGCAGAAGCCAACCGTTACAAGAGGAGCAATAACATCAAGTACATGAATCCATTCAGTGGGAAGGTGTTTCTTCGCACATGATCCTGCCACCCAATTCGTTTTGGAGTTTCTTCTTCTGCTGATGAAGTCAAATCTGATGGTTGGGTGGTTGGTTGAGAGGTTCTTGATGTGGTTGATCCATCCTGCTGCTCGCCATGGCCATATTTCCATTGGGTTAGCAAGGGCTTCAATGAGCGAGAGGCAATCAGTGAGGATCAGGCATGGTGCTGCAAGCGACACAGCCAGTCGTGCTTCCTCCCAGAGGGCCTTCGCTTTCTACTTCAAGTGGTGAAAAACAATGCAGGGACTCAGCTTCCCCATCACAAACCTGTCCATGACTATTCGTCACAACGACACCTTAAGCCGCCTCCTGGCGGAATCACTGAAGTAGGATCCGTCACAGTGTATCTCAAAGTCATGAGTACTTGGCGGTGGAGAGATCAAGGGGTGGAATGTGCTGAGCATGGAGGGGTAGAGCACCTTTCTTCCTGGGGCAGGTCCGCAGGTGTTCCATTGCTGATGAGCAATCTGGGCTCTGGAGATGGTGATAGGGGGCCAAGGGATAATCCCTGAAAAGATCCGGTCATTCCTGGTCTTCCAAGTCTGCCACATTTGGAAAATGACCCGCTGAATGGAGCAAGTTGAGCATGTTCAGTATTCATGCTCTACAGGCTACAGGATTGTCTAGTATTTGATTCTCCAAACTTAAAAGACTATCTGTTCTTCATTTTACTGCCTAAAGTTATTATGTAATCTAGCTAACTCAGAATCAGCAGTCTGCCTTGCTCTGTGCAAGAGTTCTAACCGATTCTAGTCCACATATTAAATTTTGAAATCCCACACATCACCAAGTCATTCTTAGATAGGTTGGTGATGGGAAATTAAGAATGACATATACTTGATACTAGCGTTGTAAACGAACCAAACCGCTCAGTAGCAGCTCGGCGTTCAACTAAGGAAAAAAATCCGTCGACACTCAACTCGTCAACAAGCTAATTTATCAAGACGAGTCGAGTTTGAGTTAGTCGTTGATTGGCTCACTAGCTCAATGACTCTCACGTGTAAAACAAATATATATCGAACGAACAAGTTACGAATCATTTACGAGTCAAAATTGTACAAGGGCCATATATGACAGAAGAATTAATATTACCATGACTAAACCTGACGTAAGACCATAATGGCCATTAGTTGCTACAACAACTAATTGTGGAGAACAACAACAACAATGAAAGAATAGACCAATTATCTGCTACTGTGTCACTACAATGGCCATTACTTGCTCAACATTCATGTTCTTCAACTCTATATGTATATATAAGTATATATATAGATTCCTCCTATTTACTGATATCCATTGCCTTTCCTAGTGGGATGCCATTGCCAATCTCAAGCTGTCCGATCACTTCCCTAGCTATTATACTTAGGCGGTCGCCTCAAGCTACCTGAAAAAGGGCAAGATTTCCCCATATTCATAACTCGCCATAAATCCATAATCACTACACTGTTCATCGCACCAGGTTTTTAAGGTTATACCGTGTAAATATATGGATCCAGACGCCCTCCGCTTCCTGATCTCTTAATCTCCTCTCGCCTCAGCAGCCTGCAATCGGAACAACCAAACAAGTTACAAGCTCCATCGAAGAAGAAGAAGAAGAAGAAGAAGAAGAAGAAGAAGAAGCGTACATTCTGAGGGCTTTGCTTGTGTCAGGACTGTCACCGAGGAGTTGACGAATCCTGACTTCTGAGAAAGAGCCGCGAGAGAGCAGCTTCAGGATGGAGTCGGCTTGGTGCTTCATGTGAGTTGAGCCGCATAAGGAGCTGGAGCTTGACGCGGATTGCTTCTTCCTCCACTTCTCTGCGCAGCTGGGAGACTCTGTTCTCTTGGCAGTTCCGGTGGTGCTGTATCGGCTCCGGGCGCTCGAAGCGGCGCTGGAAGTGGTCGACAGGCACGAAGTCTCCGTGGAAGCCGCCGATTTGGAAGCCGCCTCCGGGTAGCCGAGGACTAGCTCCTTGCGATCAATCGATGTCCAGTAGACTTTGGACCGCTTCTTCCGCACAACCTGAGAAAATTCCACCGCAAAATTTGAAATTCCGGAATTGCTTAATCCTGGCATTGATGTGTTCAGGCGAAAACAATTTGAATCTGGACATTCAGAAACGAAACAATTCTAGCAAATTCAAGATTATGAGGCTTAGATCTGATAGCTCTGAGATCAATTGAATACGTAGAACTTAGCACTCAAACAGAGAAGCAACGATCTACAATCAGTGGTATAGGAAAATCTGAGACAAAAATGGCGATCGAGAAGTTTTCAAGAGTTCGGAACTCAGAGATTTGAAGCAGTGAGATAAGTTGAGAATCGGAGCTGAGAAACAGCAGCTGAAGATATCTGCGATTTTGATCAGCCAAACAGCATTTGAAATTGGAACTCGAGCAATGCAGATTTCTAGTCGGTGGAGCTTAGTTTGAATTCAAGTAATCGAGCTCAATTCAGACGAACAGATGAACATCGAAGCAACAATTGAGGTTCGAATTCAGCCAAACGGAAGACCGATAGCGTCGGAAACAGAGAAAACGAGATGATGAATGAAGATCGATTCAGCGAGTGAGAGAGAGAGAGAGAGAGAGAGAGAGAGAGAGAGAGAGAGAGAGAGAGAGAATGACCTTGAGCTTCATGTCATGGCCGCGAGCAACGAGAGCGACGATCCTGAGCTTGTGAGCTGGAACCACTTCCTCCGGCGACGACGAGATGCAAGATCCGGAACCGCTGGAAACCGAGCTCTTCTCAGCGCCGATTTTGGACTTGAACTTCCGGCCTGTGCTCAGTGTCTGGGCGTCGAAATTAGGTCTGCGAAATTGAGGAAAGCACTAGAATATCGATGAGTTCCAGCTCAAAATCAACAGTAACGCGGAATTGAAACTTCGGAAGCGGTTTTCAAGAATCGGTACTTACTTTGCGCAAGTCAGAGGAGAAAGAGATGGAGAAGCAAGCTCGTCGGCGGCTTCAATGGTGGCGGAGAGGAGGAGGAGAGCGGCAGCGGCGGTGCTTTCCGGAGTTGATGGGAATGGGGACTCAGCAGCAGCAGGCATTCTCTGTTTCTGTTTGGTTGCTTGGGAGAGAAGAAGCGGAACTTCCCGTGTGAGTTTGGACTTTGGAGTTTGGACGCAGTGGCGGGATGACTTTATCAATTCAAAAACTCGATATTTCTCAAAATAAGATTTAATAATAATAAAATTAGGACATTGGCTCACAATTTGAGGCAGTATAAATTCATTCAAATTTTGCTTGTTATATAATAGGATCGAGCTCTAATTTAGTTATTCTCTAATGCCCATTTTCCAAATAATGATTTGTTAGAACCACAATTGAAGTACTCATATTACAACAAATGTTCTAGATTATAACTCAGAAAATAGCACCAACATCCCACAACTTCTTTATATATGCTTTTGTAATTCCAAATTATAGATAATACTTAGATGTAAGTATTGAAAGAACTCATTCCTTCAATTAAGAACACAAAATGTGTAAAGCAACAAAATACGTTAATTTTTATAAATTTCATGACATAATTTGAAACAAAAATAATCATTAGTTACTTATATATTAGATTCATCAACAACTTTGGATATCATAATTTAGACATCTTTCACACTGGCATCCCCATTCTCAATCCTTTCCTTACTCAATAGAGAGAAAGAAAAAAAAAGACATTTTCTGTCCGTGGTGAAGAGTTCCATAGGCAATCAAAATTATTCACAAAATTTGATATCCTAAACTGATTACTTAGGGAATTTAAAAATATGACAATAGTCGAGTTTCAGAAAATAAATTCCTAATTACGAATAATCTTTTAGATCATACAACTTAAGAAGAAGTACGATCAGAGCTGATGCAAGATTGCAAGTGCTGTTTGCCTCTGGTGCTCGGCTTGGGCCTGGGCGAAGTGCGCCTGAGCCAGATCGTGGGCCTGGACCTTGATATGGGCTTGGTTCTCGACCCGGGCCATGAGCATTTCGAGGGAGGCCTTCAGTTGGAGAAGGTCTTGTTACGGCTGGCTCTGGTAATTCGATCCAGCTCGACCCCTCTTTTCTTCCCCATTTCCACATAATCAAGTACCTGATTTTTTTTTTAAAGTTTCAATTCGATGAATTTACTAATAAAAATATAGTAAATTAATTTTGTTACATAAGATCAAAACTAAAAAAGAATATATACCATACAACTAACACAAAATGTCGTACAGTTAACTGTTATTAGGTGTGATCGCTCTACCTAAAAATTCATGTACAACCAAAGCAACAAATCACACTCGTACAGACGGTCACAGACGACCCTCTTAATTCCTCTTCCTGGTAAAGAACATCTTGGAAGGCTAACATCAACTCAATTATGAATGCTCATAAACTCATTCGTAAGAACATGCTCACAAGACGCACAACCATCGAATCGTGCACAATATCTATAGAGGAGGAGCTAGCATTCAGTGCCACGCGATCCAACAACTGTGTATCTCTACGATCTTCGACGAGTCTCATCAAAATCGAATTAACTTATTTCTTTTGCTAGCTTTAGGGGTATAATGGACTCTACAACTACTGTGACTGTCCCACATGAGACAATCAAGAGTCAACTAGTCGAACCAAGTTGCCTGCCTAAGGCTCAATACAACCACAACTTATTTTATTCAAAGCTCGTGATCATCTTATAATGGAGTGGGTGGTCATGGAATTCAGCACAGAGCCAGAAGGCTGAATAAAGACAGAGACGGATGAGCAAAGAGTTTTTAAAAATAGTTGGCCTTGGCCATAAAGATAAACTAAGAAATTGTGTCATTCATTCAAAACAATACTAAGGCATAGTTAAATTTTCGTCGAATTTAACGAAAATAAGAATTGATACAATATGCAACCAAATCAATAGTCCTGTTCTGGAAGTTTTAAATGATAAGAATCTCTTGCATGGCGTGGAGGATAGACACAACAATGTGAGGATCTAATAAGTATACATATATTTAAGAACCCTAACCAAGGCCTAACAACAAAAATGAGTAAGTATACCGATACCAACATTCGGAGTATGAATTAGTACCAACTACCACATAAAGAGTTCTATTTTAACCAAAATTCAAATTGAATAGTTATTGTCCAATAATCATGACACTTTAATGTCGAAGATAACCGATGCAAGATTAACCAACATTCCGGATTTAGCATGTTGTCTTTCTTATGTTTCTAGCAATGGAGCTCCCTTTCTTTTCTAAAGAACCTTGGTGGAGATCTTTTAACATCTAAGCAAAAGGATCAGAGAGATTGATGAGTGAGTGACATTTACAGCTTACCAAAGCCCAAACCGCAACAATCCACCAACCGGCCATCAACGTTACATTGAAGCAAAGCTTCCGAATCTCTCCATCTCTCTGACTATCAACCCTTTTCTAGTTCTTTCCCCTTTCTCTTTTCATCCAAACAAACAAGCCAACCCATTTGTTTTTCGTTTGGTTGTCGGCAGCAGCCTTTCCCCTCAAAACATCCATTCCCCAACTGTTCATAATCAGTCATCAATTCGCTCATTCATTCTCTGAAATCGCTCTCACCGCCACACACTCCTGACAACACGCTCATTTCCCAACACAAAACCACAAAAAGTTTCAATTTTTAATCTTTCCCTGCTTCTTCTTGCCAACAAACTTCCCCTGTTTTGCATTCTCTGCAAAGAATTAGTAGTGGGTTTTCACTTTTACCAGCAGTGGAGGAGAGATCCATGGCCAGCAAAGCTCTGCTTTGAGCTTTGACAACCCACCAGAAAGATAAAAATAAACGAAAATAGAAGGGAGAGCGAGACAGTGATCGGGCGAATCAAATCTAGAGAGAGAGAGAGAGAGGAGGAGGAAACTACTATTTTCAGCTTCCTTCCCAACTTCCCAAGTCAATCCAAGCTCTCTCTCTCTCTCTCTCTCTCTCCCTCTCACTCGATACTGTCTTTACTCTTTTGCATCAAACCAGAATTTGGTTGGAATCGGAGGAAGAGGAGGTGGAGGGGGAAGGGGGGAGATTCAGCGCCGGCCGCAGTCAGCAGCTGAGCTGAAGCAATGTTGGTCCAGGACCGTTTACCGACGTCGCCGCCTCCGCCCAAATCGCCCAAATCCAACTCGAAATCGAAGCTGCCCACCACCGTCTTTCACCACCCAATTTCCGGCCGCCGATTCTCTCCAGCCAAATCGCTCGACTTCTGCACTTGGTTCTCCGACAATCTCTACAAGATCGTCACAATCGCATTCCTCGTGGCCACGGTCGCTGCCCTCTTCTTCCTCCGCAATGCCGGCGACACCTCAGCTTTCCTCTACCTCCAATCAAAATCCCACCCCATCGAGAAAACCCTCCATCGTCCTCACATCGACTGGAACAACGTGCCTACCTTGAGAGATACTTCCACTCCTTACGCCAATTTCCGCACCGAGAAGTGGATCGTGGTCTCCGTCTCCGATTACCCTTCGGACTCGCTCAAGCGGCTCGTCAAGATCAAGGGATGGCAGGTGCTTGCTGTTGGCGATTCCTCGACTCCATCTGACTGGTCCTTGAAAGGTGCTGTATTCCTGTCCTTAGAGCAGCAAGCTACTCTGGGTTTTAGGGTTGTTGATTACTTGCCCTTTCGTTCTTATGTGAGGAAGAGTGTTGGGTATTTGTTCGCCATTCAACATGGTGCCAAGAAGATCTTTGATGCCGATGATCGTGGGGAAGTCATAGGAGGTGATCTAGGGAAACATTTTGATGTAGATTTAGCTGGGGAAGGAGCTAGGCATGAACCCATTTTGCAGTACAGTCATGAGAATGTGAATAGGTCTATCGTGAATCCATACATCCATTTCGGACAGAGATCGGTTTGGCCTAGAGGATTGCCATTGGAGAATGTGGGAGAAATTGGGCATGAAGAGTTCTACACCGAGGTCTTCGGAGGGAAACAGTTTATCCAGCAAGGTGTATCCAATGGATTGCCTGATGTTGATTCAGTGTTCTATTTCACCAGGAAAGCTGGTTTGGAATCCTTCGACATTAAGTTCGATGACCATGCCCCCAAAGTAGCATTGCCTCAGGGGATCATGGTGCCTGTAAATTCATTCAACACGATTTACCATTCACCTGCATTTTGGGGGTTGATGCTCCCTGTGTCAGTAAGTACAATGGCAGCTGATATCTTGAGAGGTTATTGGTCCCAAAGGCTGTTGTGGGAAATTGGTGGGTATGTTGTGGTTTATCCTCCCACTGTGCATAGAGATGATAGGATTGCGGGTTACCCTTTCTCGGAGGAGAAGGATCTACATGTCAATGTTGGAAGATTGATTAAATTTTTGGTTGCTTGGAGATCAACCAAGCACAGATTGTTTGAGAAGGCTGTGGATCTGAGCTTTGCAATGGCTGAGGAAGGATTTTGGAGTGAGCAGGATGTGAAGTTTACTGCTGCTTGGCTTCAAGACTTGGTTGCTGTTGGTTATCAGCAGCCTAGGTTAATGTCACTGGAATTGGATAGGCCGAGGCCTACGATTGGTCATGGAGATAGGAAGGAGTTTATTCCTCGTAAATTGCCATCGGTCCATCTCGGGGTTGAGGAAACTGGAACAGTTAATTATGAGATTGGCAATCTGATTCGATGGAGGAAGAATTTTGGAAATGTTGTGCTGATTATGTTCTGCAGTGGACCTGTTGAGCGGACTGCTTTAGAGTGGAGATTGCTCTATGGACGTATATTCAAAACTGTGGTGATTTTGTCCGAGCAGAAGAATGAGGACCTTGCTGTTGAGGAAGGGCATCTGGATCAGATGTACAAGTAAGTCATGCTGTCGATTTCTTTGTAATGGTTTGAAATTCTGCTTTATCTTTATATACAGGGTTGTTGGTTGTGCTGATTCATTTACTGACCCATATGAGCTTCATTGCTCTTGTTGGTGCGGAAAGGCCATAATGTTCAAAATTCAGTATGATTAATCATTGCTTGGATTATTACAGTATTGGTGTTATGAGTTTGCTGATAGGTGGGAATTAGTCCAATCTTTTCATAGGAAGGCTTATTCAGATTTGAGACAATTCGTCAATTGAATAGAAAGGCATAATTCCGTTGGAATGTTGTATCTCCGGATCTTTGAATCTATCTGAACTCTAAATACTCGGTATAAGTAGGACTGGAAGGTAGATTTTCATTGTCGAAGCAGTGCATAGAAAAGGGAGGGGAGAATGTAGCTCAGTTATTTTGGCTAATAAGCTAGATGTAGTACTTCTATTTAGCTAGTTCTGAGTACTGAAATAGCATTGTGGGTTGTAGGACACAGTAGCACATGAAAATGTATCATTTCATTGCACTGCAGCAGCAATAACATAACTTGTAACATGACTTAGTATATTGCTGTTGTTCTGAGTCATGTTTTGGGTATTTCTGAAGTTATAAGGAACACGATATATAGGTCCAGCCGTCCAGGCATTTTTCTTATACTTTGCCTATCTACTTTCCTTGCTCACTGGATGTTTGTGGTTTGCTGTTACAATTTTAGTTTTTTTTTCTCAAATCTCAATCATGGTTTCTTGCAATCTAAGTTTGATTAGTAGCTTGTCACTTGTCTTTGCTTACATGGCAAACAATCACAATAACTTCTAAACTTTTGCCCTGTTTGGTATGTATCATAGAGCCTTTTCTTGTTCTTGACCTATTGATTTACAACTGTCTCAACTTATCGTAGGCTTCTGCCCAAGTTGTTCAGCCGGTTCAGCAGTGCAGAAGGTTTTCTGTTCCTTCAGGATGATACCATTCTTAATTACTGGAATCTGCATCAAGCAGACAAGACTAAGCTATGGATCACTGACAAGGTACCTTTTTGTTTTTCCATGCCACTGATATATATGAAGCCGCGAAGATATGGAATTTTGGCGACCTAATTTTTATTCCTTTCCATTGAAAATACTTTGGATTCAGGTATCGGATTCTTGGAGCAATGTGGCTCCTGATGGGGATTGGTTGACTAAGCAAGCTGGAGTGGTGAAGAAAGTGGTTGATTCAATGCCAGCTCACTTCCAAGTCAACTACAAAGAAGCCGTGAAGACCGAAAATAGCATGGTGCTCTGTAGTTCCGAGATATTCTACATTCCTCGACAGTTTGTCTCTGACTTCGTAGATCTTGTTTCTCTGGTACGTGATGTTGGTCCAGTGGATGGTATGGAGATGCATCAAAAGGTTGCCATACCAATGTTCTTTCTCTCAGTGGATTCGCCTCAGAACTTCGACCCGATCTTGAACACCATGGTGTACAAGCAAACGCCTCCACCCAGCAATTCAACTTTGTACTCTGCCCAAGCACCAGCTGTCCATCCATGGAGTGTATCGTCCGAACAAGAGTTCATAAAGCTCGTAAGAATAATGGCGGAAGGTGACCCTCTTCTGATGGAGCTAGTCTGAAGAAACGGTTTCGAGGAAGACCTCCCAATTACTCACAAATTAACTCCACAAGTTGTAAGAGAAGAAAATACCAAAAAAGGGAAGTGTATTATTACTCTTGTAACTGTTATACGAGTATTCTTTTGTCAATCATTCAATTTTTGGTTCCTTCTTGTGATCTTGTTGTTAGTGCAGCAGGGTGTAGGGAGTTCCCAGTTTCCCATTTTTGTAAACTTGTCAGTCAGTTTGTAGATTTACCCATTGTACCATTCTCTTTACATTGTTAGGAACTCCCTACACATCCTAGAGATTGCCTTAAAGCCCAAGAAACAGTGGAAACCACACCTGTTTCAGTTTGAATCATTCACTGATGGAGCTCTGGTGAAGCTTAGGCCCTTCCTTTGTGTACCCTTTTCCTTGTTAAAGCGAAGATCTTTGTGTGAAGAGAAAGATTTATGCAGGTTTAACTGAAGTTCATTCCTTCCTCAAGATATCAACAATGTCACTTGCCAAATCTCTTGCGAGAGCTGTCTATGAACAAATTTTACAACAAGTTCCGGCGGGGAAGCTACATGATAATACAGCACTCAACTCATCTGGGATAATGCACAATAATAGTAATGTACCAGATCAACAAAGAGTTAAACGTTCATGGCTGCAATTCTCCGATCGAGACCTTTCCTCATCTACCGATCAACACCTTCAATCTTGTCTTCCACTTCACTGTAAAGCTGCCTCAACTTCTCAATATTGTCCTCAGAAGTCTCCCAGTACCCACGCCCATTGGCCTCCAAGAACGTCTGCACCAATTTCCTGAACGAATTCGGGTTCATGTCCATCAACCTCTTCATCATCTCTTCATCCTGTATAAACGTCGTGTTGGCTTCTTCATAGACCCAGTTATCCACCTGCCCTGAAGTAGCACTCCATCCAACGGTGTTCGTCAGCCGCTTCTCGATCTCGCGAACGCCTTCGTACCCGCTCGACATCATTCCTTCGTACCACTTGGGGTTCAGCAGCTTGGTCCTCGCGTCCAATCTCACCGTCTCCGACAGCGTGCGCACCTGCGCGTTCGCCGTCGTCGTATCGGCGATGTACGCGCTCGGCTTCTTCTTGTCCTTCCTCAGGCTCTGCACCAGATTCGTGGGGTCCGAATCGAAGTAGTGGCTGACGTCGGTGAGCGAGATCTCCGACGAATCTAGGTTTTGGAAAGTGGCGTCGGCGGTGCTGAGCGCCATCTCGAACACCTTCTTCTTCTCCATCATCCCGGCGCCGGGGGCGTCGGAGTCGAACGCGAAGGACTTCCTGCTCAAATACATGTCCTGAAGCTGCTTCTCGTCGTTCCACGACGAGTTCTCGACGGCGAGGTTGATGTTGGAGGAGTACGAGCCGGAGGCGTTGGAGAAGATTCGAGTGGCGGCCTCGCGAATGTCGATCCCTAGGGTTTCGGCCTGCTCGAGGGCGTGCTTCCTCACGTAGTTCATTTCTACCGGCTCGTCGAGCTCGGCAACCATTTTCACGGCTCGATCAAGGAGGTTCATCTGGTTGATGAAGAGGTCGCGGAAGACGCCGGAGCAGTTGACGACGACGTCGATTCTGGGCCTGCCGAGCTCCTCGAGGCTGACCGGTTCGACTCGGTTGACCCGACCGAATGTGTCGGCAATCGGTCGGACTCCGATCATCCAGAGGACCTGACCGAGTGACTCCCCGTAGGTCTTGATGTTGTCAGTCCCCCACAGCACAAGAGCAACGGTTTCTGGATAGTTCCCGCCATTGTCAATCTTCTGCCTCTCGATCAGCCTCTCGACGACGACTTTGGCGCTCTGCATTGCTGCTTCGGTGGGGATCGATTGCGGGTCGAGTGCGTGAATGTTCTTCCCCGTGGGCAGCACTTTCGGGTTCCTGATCGGGTCACCACCCGGCCCGGGCTCAACAAACTTGCCTTCCAAGGCTTGTTTCAGACTGCCAAGCTCATTATCAGCAACCACGAGCTTCAAGCAATCTCCCAAGAACTGGAACACGACGCGGAGCTTCTCCCTGTCAGCGCGGTAGAACTTTGTGTTCGACAGGTACTGTATCCATGGCTCGTTGATCCCGAAGCCTAGCATCGAAGTTAGCTTGTTGCTCACGTCAACCACTTGGCCCTTGCTGTTGGTAGTCCTCTCCACGAATGCTGACACGGCGCCACGTGATGTGTCGGTGATCTGGCGAAGAAGCTCCACGTCCTTCAAGATCCCCTTGTCGCTCCCTCGGTACACGTCCTCCATCTCTCGTCCAACTGTCTGGGCTAGTATGGATGGGAGCGAAGTGATCCCCTCTTCAGGGCGGTCGAGGGCTGCAATGTTGACAAGTGTGGCAACAGCTTCCATTGCAGATGGTGGCTCACCAACGACGTGGAGCCCACATGGCAAGAGGCGGGACTCGATCTCCATGATCTTGGAGTACACTTTGCCAACCACGAGGTCCCTCTCGCTGGCTGAGATCTCTGCTGCTTCATCAGGCAGGTCGACATCCTTGTCGAGATTGCATTGCCTTGCCGTGCTGATGATGGTGCTCACAATCTGGGGGCCGCGCCCGGTGTCTTTCAATGATTGGTATGAGGAAATGAGCTCGCCCAATTGCTTGAGTCCCTTGTAGAGACCAGCATTCTCAGCCGGAGGAGTCAAGTAGCTGATAGTGTTAGCATAGCTCCGACGTTTCGCTATGGTGGCTTCAGACGGATTGTTAGCTGCATAGTAGTATATATTGGGGATGTTCCCAATGAGACTGTCTGGGAAACAGGCATCACTCATCCCCACTTGCTTCCCGGGCATGAATTCAAGTGAGCCATGGGTACCAAAGTGGAGCACCGCATCAGCTTTGAAGACCTTCTCGACGAACGAGTAGTAAGCAGCGAAGCCATGGTGTGGACTGGCGGATTTGGAGAAGAGCAACCTCATGGGATCACCTTCGTAACCGAAGGTGGGCTGGACGCCGATGAACACATTGCCATATTGCTTGCCATAGACCAACAGATTCTCTCCATCGGAGTTGAGATTGCCTGGAGGTTTGCCCCAGTTCTCTTCTAGTGCGGTGGCATAAGGAGTGAGCTCCTGGTACTCTCGTACTCCCATCTTGTAGACTACGTTGAGATTCGGGCTGCTGAACTGCGCCTCCTTGTCGTGCAGGATCTCTTCGATCAGGGCTTCTGATGTCTCGGGGAGTCCCTCCACGTTGTAACCATCTTTCTTCAGGTCGCTTAGGACCGAAAAGATTGAAGCGAAGACATTGAGGTAAGCTGCTGTACCTACGTTGCCCTTGTCTGGTGGGAAACTGAACACTGTAATTGCTAACTTCTTCTCAGCCTGCATTAGCATTGCATCCATTAGCGGGGGAGTTAAATGCAATTTTTTATATTCTTTTATAGAGCTATCTGTCAATTTATACTCTGAATTGAAGTACTAGAGAATCTAGAACAATAGCAAAGTGACAGGAAGTTCCATATGAATAATATCCTAAGCCACTCATTTGATCGCTTCTGTTGTCTTTAGCTTATGGAATTTCATCTGATGGTACTAATTAATCCCTTTTTGCTCAGAACAGGACATGGTTTCATTATCAGGATTAGCAGAATAATACCTTTGACTTCCTCTTGAGTTCACCCCATCGGATTGCCCGGATGCACAATTGCTCCACCCTCTTGTGAAGAGCATGAGATTTTCCTGATAAAAACACAGATTCCAAACTTTCTTAGTTCAGCAACAATGACATAACTACAAAAAGGGATTCAAAGATCAACAAAATCCCCAATGGATTACCTGTTCTGGGATCGCGGCCAGCGAAAACGATAGGCTCCATGCCACCATCAAGCTCGGGAAGAGCAACTTGCAAGGCAACCTGAATGGGATGCAGCCCCAAAGTACTGTTCAACCACTCCTCGGTGGTCTGAAACACGAGAGGCACAGCGACCATATAAGGCACATCGAGCTTCATCAGAGCCTCCACAGCTCGAGGATGGTCCTGCCTCGCAGGACCACCAACGAGGGCGAACCCTGTCAATGACACAACCGAGTTCACCATCGGCTTCTTTGTGACCGGATCGATGAAGTACTTCTCAACAGGACCCGAGAAATCGAGCCCCCCAGCGAAAATTGGTATCACTTTAGCACCTCTGGCTTCCATTTCCATTATCACAGCCACATAGTGACCTTCATCCCCTGTCACGATGTGACTCCTCTGCAAAACCAGCCCAACTATCGGAGCATTACCGCTCTTCAGCTTCTCATTCGTGTCCCTCCTTGTATCATACCAGTTCAAGTACTCCTTCACATCATCGTACATACAAGGAGCCAACGGGTGCCAGATTCCAGTGTCGAGGAACAACACCGGATCGGAATACTCGACCTTCGTTCCCTTCAATGCCGGAACGTAAGATCCAGAAATCATCTTCACGAAGTTCTGCAGGTTATCAGGAGACCCTCCGAGCCAGAACTGGAGGCTCAATATGTACAACCTCGCATCCTGAGCTTTGTCGCTAGGCAAGTACTTCAACACTTTCGGCAAAGTCCTTACCAATTTCAACATGCTGTCAGCAAATCCAGCGCCTTGCTTCTTCCTCTTGAACAACTGGAAGAAGGGGCTCTTTGATTGGCCGAGCTGGGACATGCTGAAGGATCCCAATTTGTTGAGCCTCATCACCTCAGGCATGGATGGGAAGACCAGTACAGCGTCCATTCTCTCCCTCTCTTTCTCCACGGCAGATTTCACCTTCAGCGCGAGCTCCTCGACGAAGATCAGCGAACCGATGAAGATGTTGGCATCCTCGAGGTCTTTGCAGAAGGATTCATAGTTGGTAGCGTCACGAAGCTCCTCGACCAAGTAGCCAACCACTTCAAAAGACGCGAACTTGCTGGGGTCCCTGTTTAGAGACTGGACTGCGGCAGACAAAGATGATTGGTACTGAGCTTCCAGCACCACGTAGACGATCTTGACTGTGGGGAGGTTGGAGTTCTTCTCTGGGACAATTCGTCGAACTTCTTGCGTGGTCTGAGTGAACAGGCCGTTCCCGATGGCAGAACACTTGAATTTCAGTGCGGACTTGGAAGTGGATGATGGGTTTGTTTTCTTGGGGAGGAAGGAGTGGAGAAAGTAATGCTTTTGCGAAAGCTGGTCGGATTTTGCTGATGGGGTGATGAAGGAAGAAGATAGCAAGGAAGCCATTGTTGTGGCAGCACAGATAGACAGAGAGATACAAAACTCCTCTCTGTTGTTTTCTTTTCCCCTCCTCTGTTACAAAATTAGAGAGAGGTCAGAGGGAGAATGAAGAGAAGGACAAGAAAGGAAAATGTAATGTTTCTGGTTCAGTGAACGAACCCTTCTTCTCCTTCTTTTCTCGAAGAAGTTAAAGGTCGTGTCTTTATAACTCTGCTACTGAAATCAGCAGAAGGGGAGGAGAGCTGTGGAGAAGTGAAGAAGGCGAGGTGGTGGTTAATATGGTTAGTGGTGGGAGGGAGGGACACGTGGCGAAATGGGTAGTGAGGTTCTTATGATTGGGGAGCTGGACTCTGGTTTTCTGATTCTGAGGTCCTGCTTCGGTTTGGGAAATACTGTAGAGAGGGAAATGTGTAGTGAGATTGAGAGTGTAATCTATCTACTGAGGTTATGGCGATGGAGTTTGCTGGATTCTGATTGGCTGGATTGGATTTCCGATTTCCACTTTTTCAGGGGTGAGGTGGAAATCTGGGAATGGGGATGATGCTGAGGTGGAGAGAGAGAGAGAGAGAGAGGGGGGAGAGAGAAAGTGAAGCAGAGATTTTTCATTTCTGGTTGAAAGCATCATTGTCAGCTTGTGAAACTTTTTAAGGGCCTTGTAAAAGATCGATCCTTTGTTGTTTAGCTTTGCTTTCTTTCAAGTTTTGGAGTGTGGCGGAGAGGTGAGTTTTGTTGTCCCTCGTTTGAAGCCCACTTGATATTTTGCTTGTCGCTTCTTTGTATTGTGACTTGTGAGTGTGTGGAATCTATTGAGGCCAGAAAAAGGAAAGATACAAACGTGGAATGCCCTAGGCGACTCAATGCCTAGTGATAATAGTTCATATAATCTGCCTATCTTGTTTTTTACTTCTTCATAAAAATAACACAATGAAATGAAATGAGGTATTTCTAATTGTATCACACAATACAACGTGATTCTGAAGGCCCTTTTGAGCTCTTGAAACCTATAAGAAAGTAACGCAACAACTTTTCAAGTCTATAGCAAAGACCTACTTCAACGAGCATTCAACCCATATTATATGATTCATCTATGCTAAATGTGGCACACGTCTACATCTTGAGGTGATCTTCACTTATGATTGCTTCTCTAGTTGACACTATGTTTCATGTGTTAGTCATACTTCGAGAATGCGTCTATGACTGTTATTGGTGGACGCCTTTACATACGAGAGTACATGTCCGGAGCCACCTTAAGATATTACATAAGGACCCCCTCCTCGCTCGCTCGCCTAATCCCCCTATCCCTAATCAGATATGGAAAGGTAGGAATGCAACGATACGAAGAAACAAAGTAAGTTACATTGCCACTACCAGTAGATGTGGAGGTGCTGGTCAATAGTCTCCAACTCTCTACCACATTCGAAATATTTGCCACAACTTATTAAGTATCATTATCTGGACTTTAAGACGATAAAAAAAACAGTCATAACCCGTTTTTCATAGAAAATATTTCACACAATTAAAGCCATCTGGACTTTAAGACGCTAAAAATACTGGCATAACCCGTTTTTCATAGAAAATGTTTCACACGATTAAAGCCTATTGATTAAAAATTATGGAGGAGTGCATTTATTAAATATTATTATGCATGGGGCAATTTTGGTTAAGAATAGAAGTTAAAGGATGTGTTTGTTAGTTGCTACAAATTAGAGAGGCCTATTTGCCAATTGGTACATTACCCTTCAGTTTTGTTCGTTTGGAACCCGCCCAAAACTGGCCCGTCCCGTTCTTGAGATCTGAATCCTGGCTCTCGGGGAGCAGTAAACAGCTGAACACGCTGAAACCCTAGCACCCGCCTTAACAAAATATAACTGAAAATACGGCAGGGACTCGATTGCCATGGCTTGCAATTCCGGCAACTGCCAATCCAATTGTTACCAGAACGAACAAGTAGCTCAGGATGGCTCGATTCCGGCTCCCACCACTTGTTGCAGCGACGATGGCGCCAACAACCAACAGCAGCAGGGCGTGTGTCTGAAGTGCAAGGTCAGCCCACCAATTTCCAGCGGCGGTGGCGGTAGCGGCGACGAGGCCCGGTTCTGTGGAGACTGTTTCAGGACAAATTTGTTCGGCAAGTTCCGGCTTGCCGTTACTTCCCACGCCATGATCACCCCTTCAGATAACGTGCTCGTTGCTTTCTCCGGCGGCGTTGCTTCCAGGTCTCTTTCACGCCGTCTCTGCGTTTGCTTATTGAGTAGTAATTACTCTATGAAACGATCGTAAAGGAAACATTTTTAGATGTTGCTTTACTTCAAATTAGAAGCACTAGCAAGTGATATTAGATAATGTAAGAAGAGATACGTCCTAAGCCGAGCCTGGATTCTGACTCTCTGTAGAGGAGCATGAATGATTATCAAGATGAAACATGGATCCTGTTGGGAAAACACTGTGAGCTAATAAGACTTATATTACTAAAGATTGTTGCTCTACTTCAATTATTGTCCATTTTGTTGTTCTCCCAATGAGGGTATAGTGCAGTTGCTCGAGTTTAGCATCTGAAACGATGTGTTGTTTATTCAGGGTAGCTCTGCAGTTTGTGCATGATATGCAGCAGAGAGCGCAGAGAAACTACGAAGCTAGTAAAGACAGGTCATTGCCAGTCTTTGGCGTTGGAGTGGCATTTGTTGATGAAAGTACTGTATGTTCAATTTCTAATGATGAAGTTGAAGAAGCAATTCAGGAGATGAAATCTACGGTGTTAGAATTAGCTCCACCAGTAAAGCAGTTTCATGTTGTTCCATCAGTGAGCCTGTATTCCTCAGGTTCGAGTGATGAGAAAGACAGATTGATGAAGTTAATAGGTGCTGTTGATGATGTTACTGGAAAAGATGACTTTCTTATGCATTTGAGGATGTGGGCATTTCAGAAAGTTTGTCCCTTGTGTGCAGTGTTTTCCATCCTGTGCTTATGAAGGGGTAAAAGTAAAAATGACTCAAAGTTGGAATTCTTCTGTTTCTGCAGGTTGCTTCTGAAAATGGATACACAAAGCTTGTACTGGGTCTGTGTACGTCAAGGATTGCTTGCCATGTCATTGCTGCAACCGTGAAGGTCTGCCTATTAAATCTTTCATATATTAAGTAGTATATGATTTTGATTTAGGTGCTTATACAATTGATTTTCAAATGCAAGTTATGTATATGGAATATCTTTGTCTGCTGCATGTTCAAGATCAGAAATTTATTCTTTAGTGCAGCTTTTAATCATGATCGAATGATTACTATACTTGTCTAGGTTGTTGATGTAACTAGCCTTTCTAGCGTGAGAGTGTAACTACTCTAGGGCTCAAATTGAGAACATTCTCATCTCTATTTGTCATTAGTTAAATGGTTGGATACAATGACTTCAAGGAGCTAAGGTGCAAGGTCATTTTGCTTAAATGAACCATAGTACAGCTACTCAAATAGTAAATGTTAGCGGATATAGGCCAAAATTCCCTATGGAAGCCATCCCCCCACAGTGGAAGCCTGGAAGGAAATAAAAGGGAAATCATCAGTGCATTGCTCCTTTTTCAACTCCTAGTCATAGAAGTGAATTGAGTATAATGTCTTGCGTCCATGATGAAAGACACATTCAGTGTCCTAATACGATAGATACTTGCAGGGTCAAGGGTATTCTCTGTCAGCAGACATACAATATGTCGACGCAAGATGGCAAGTTCCCATAGTTCTTCCACTTCGCGACTGTACCTCACAGGAACTTAACATTCTGTGCCGTATTGATGGGTTTGTGACCAGACCTTTTTCCCTTCTCATAATATTTACTGTCTCAATCAATGTGTAAGAAAGATAAAAGAAAGATTTTAACCCACCTTAAATTACTCATGGTGGGATTTTTACTTGTCTTGGCAGGGCAGTCTAAAGACTTTGCAGTTGGTTAATGATCACCCCTCGGGCATCAATGGTTTGATTTCTTCATTTGTACACCTGTTACAGGTGATCATTCTGTAGCTTTCACAATCCTGAAACTTAATAAAACTCTACTTATTGTCATGCTGTCATTTTCAATTTTACTTGGCCTGCTACTAATTAGTTCTTAATTCCAGGAGGAAAATTCTTCTAGAGAGAGCACCATTGTCCGGACAGCTGGAAAGCTTACTCCATTTCATTTCAATAGAGTGTCCGAGATCAATGATTCTAGTGTTCCTTTGGCAACCCTAAGGAGGCAGAAGAGATACAATCTCAAGCCACAGGAATCCATCTCCTCAGAATCTTTCTGTCCTATATGCAATAGCCCAGTTATTAATTCTGACTTGCCAAGTTGTGACAGCCTGAAGCCTTTCAAGTTCAGTGAATTTGCTGCAAGCTGCTGTCCGAGCTGTCAGTTTCAGATACTGCCTCAGGATCAGTCGTCAATGAAAGAATTCTACTCACTTTTACCGGAAGGACTAGTTTCCCGGTCTAAGCACAAAGACAATGACAACCTGGATATGCTAAGGTGTGATTCATAGATTACTGAACTGATGCTTTCTTTTAGCCCTCTTTTTCTTTCTTTCTCTACCTGGCAGAGAGTTGAACTCAGCAAATACTGAAGAAGCACTGTACTCTTGCAGGGAGCAAGTTCAGGATTGTTTGCTATCCAACAGTGACGACGAGACAAACTCGAGTAAGAGAAATGCGTTGTCTCGTCTGGTCTTCTTTCTCCACGGCAATGGATCATTCTCTAGCTCTCCCAGTACGTCGTGTTTTGCCCGGAGCGACGATTATTACATGGTGCAGCTCCCAGTTATGATCTTATTGTATATCGATCCGATCACTGATACGTCATTTAACTAGTGTAATACGTTGGTACGATACCGGTCTCAACTCTAATGTATCACTGGTAGTTTGTTACTGAGTACAGTGCTTTTCCCTACAGACTACAAGCAAAGGCATGATAGAGGTCGGAGAGACCATTTTTCTTGGGCTGGGCCTTGAACGTCGAATGTCGCGAGGTGGGCCTAAACCCCAACAGAACGAAACGACGCCGCTTGAATTCCCACTTTCTCGCTCCATTATCCATTTTGTGAAATAGCGAAAACGCCCTTAGATATTCGAGTGAGGAGACCGAAAGAGGATCCTCTCGAAAACACGAAACTCCAGAAGCAATCTAGCAGAACTTCGCCGAGAAGGAAATTAACGGAGCAAACGCCGGCGACGGAGCTCTGATTATCTACTTGCTGCAATGCTCCACTCACAATTCCACCATCTCCATCTTCGCCCACAGCTTCCGATTCTCTCCTGCTCTCCCAGCTCCTCCACCGGCTCGCTACCAATTAGAACTGTAAATCCGACGCTTCGGCGGATGCAGCCGTTGATCGGAGTTGAGACAGTGAGGTGCATGGCGAATCCGAGGAGAGTGAGGATGGTGGCGAAGCAGATTCAGAGAGAGCTTTCCGACATGCTTTTGACGGATAAGGTCTTGCAGTACGCGATTCTCCCTGAGGCTGCCTTGGGAGCTGATAGGTACCTTTCCTCGCTTACCACCATCAGCGACGTCCAAGTCTCCGGAGACTTGCAGGTACCTACATAGCTTGTTTATATAGACTGGTGATTTTCGTCTACTGGGTGTTTCTTGCGAGCATGGGATGGAACTTTAGAGTTGCAATCATGAGGTGCTTGAAATTTCCCTTCAATGCTGCTGAAACGTAGAATTTCGGGAGATTCTTTAGAATAATGAGGAGAAGTGTGAGTTTCTGGTGATAATGTAGGTAAATTTAATCACTGTGTTGAACCCAGCTCATAGCATCTTTTGGCCATTTCTGCTTGTAGACAATTTTTAATTTCTGTTCTTCCTATTATCAAGGCTCTAATTTCAGCCATGATCAGAATGCCAAGGATACTTTAGTTGGTGCAGCCGTGCAGGAAATGTTTGCTAATTAGGTTTTGCTTAATAACAACAAAAACGATTTCCTAACTTTCTGGTATAATTTCTGCCTGATGTGCTGAGGGGTACCTTCGGGTTGTTGTTCTTTTAGGTGGTGAAAGTATTTGTATCTGTCTTCGGTGATGATAGAGGGAAAGAGGTTGCACTTGCTGGGTTGAAATCGAAGGCTAAATATGTAAGGGGTGAGTTAGGGAGACGAATGAAGTTGCGTCTGACTCCAGAGATTCGATTTATAGAAGACGAAGCCATGGAGAAGGGAAGCAGGGTACGAACAACTTACATCTTTTCCATATTGATATCTGTCTATCATTTTGGATAGAGAGAACTGGTGTATCAAGAGAAAATTGTTTCCCTTCAGGTGATTGCTATACTGGACAAGATAAAGTCCAATAAGGGTCCTGCCCGTAATTTTGACGTAGACGGTTCTGAGTCTTCTGGGGATGACGATGATGGGGATTGGGAGGGTGATGATCCTGAAGAAGGAATTATTTATGTAGACTAAATGGTTTGGGCCAGTGTATCTCCTCCCAGTGGTCTCTCCCTTCTAGCAACAGCCCTCCTGGATTTAAAGTGAGTTCTTCCTTCTGAATCAAACCTGTTTTCACTGTTTATGTCCAGTAGTGATTGTAATGCCATGTTACTTGTTGGGAAATTTCATCCTGGCTTTATGTAGTATCTACCATTTTAGTTAGGGGGAGGTTTTTGTGTGCATTTCATAAAACCATTCAACATCTGATTTAGAGCTAATTATGAGTTATGACACTCTGTCTATGCTGTACCACTGATCAATAAGTCTCTTAATCATTGCACACTTCACTCGATCTGCTACCGATGATGCATGCCTTTATGGGCAAAGGGCACAACTCACTTTTGGTTCTCAATTGTGAATGTTGTATTTGATTGATTAACTGAGCTCCCTCACAAGTCTGATAATTTGTCGTTCATGTCAATTCAGAACTGGATGATGACTAGAACAGCTTCATTTGGCATGGATTGGAATATTACTAGAAGTGGGTAGAAGCAGATCATCTCAATTCGGCAATGCTTGAAGAAATCCACAGAGCTCCTGTTGTCTGATTTTGACTGCCCTCGTCGACACCTTCCAAATACACCTAAATCGTTTCTGCGTCATATGTATACCTGTAATTTTTATGTCTTGTGCTGCTCTCTTACCTTCCGAAATGTGCACTCTTTATGTTCTCGGTCTGTATTTTTACCAGGTGGTTCTGGAGAAATGGGAAGCCTATCCGATCCTCCACCTCGTTTAGTGTTGTTTTAGGGCCAGCGCATGTTCAATGACTCATACCATGAAGAGGAAGTTTGCTGAAGTCGAACAGAGCTGCTCAATTCTGGGCTCTGGTATATTGTGAGGTTCCCTTTCAACTCAATAGGCAGAGTGGTGACTCTTCGTTGATATAGTTTTCCCTTCTTGAGCAATCACTCTGATGTAATAAGACATTTCGTTTTGTCTAGTGTAAATGTTCCTAAAAAATGGAATGTTTACTTACAAATAAGTGTGAGGATTGATTCAATTCGTATAGAAACGAAGCAGATCAAATCAATACAAGTTCCACGATTTGATTCAAGATAGATCGAGAGGAAATTTGGCCAAATCAAATAGTTTCTTCTACCTGTTTTCACAGTGCACTAAAGAGATGGTCTGTAACCGTAACACTAGCAGCATTCAAGTGAAAATCCGAACTACCAATACTCGGTAAACTAGCGGAAAAATATGCTGCAGACAACCCCGTTAATGGAGGCCTACAGATTGCCAAGTTCTGGAAACGGGCAATTTAACATCGGACTGAAAGATGGTAAACAGTATCGTCAACCTGCATTATTTCCTATTGCAAACTCAAGTCCTAAACACGAAAACATCCCGGGAAAGAGCTATATCTTCCTTTCCATCTCTCCATCAGTGTTTCTTAGCAGCAGCCTTTGCTTCAGCTTTCTTCTGCGATTTGGCCTGTGCCTGTCGATTCAAATGGGGAAAAAGAGCAGAAGAGTCCATTGGTTAGAACATTGTACGCAGAAAACCAGACGTAAAATTCATCAAAATCGGCCAATAATGCATGAATGAAGCAATGAGAACAAGAAGCCACAACTTCACTAACCCATTGCACTTACAACTCCCGTTATTCAACTTAATGACCACGATGAAACAAAAGGATACCCCTCTCTAGTCCTCAAACTCCAACTACAACCTCATATACAGAATTTGGACAGGGATGTGGAGAACTAAAACTACGCATATCAGGACGTCAAACAAAGGAAATGATTTCATCTATGGTTTAACAGCAATCAATCAGTCTACAGCCTTACCAATTCCACCTCAAACCCCTCTAGTTTTGGTTCTCTCCCACATTAAAACATAATCAAAGCGTTGGGACAGCAATGTGCAAACTTCATATAACCAATGAACAGAGGATCTGAAAGAACAGACAGGGTGCCTAACCACAAAATTAAGGAATGACTGCAAGATTCAAGCTTGAACCCAGTATTCTCATTCCACTAGCCTAGCAAAAACCATAGGAATGCAGAAAACAAAACTAGCAATTTGGCTCAGAGATCCAACTCATGGAACTCCAATTGAGGAAGAGCAACAAAACCAGGGGAAATGTACCTTGAGATACTTGAGCTTCAAGCTGCCATAGACGAGACCCACAGAGAACGCAGATACGCGAGCAACCTATCATATTGAAAGAAAGAAGGAAAGAAAAAAAAAACCCAGACACCAAATCAGAGCTGATTTCAACAATCCAGGAAGCTAAGCTATCCATTAATTACAAGATCAGATTCGAACTCAGATTTCCTCATCGCAATTACTTCGGTTTTCCATCTCGTGTTTCTCTCGGCGACCAAACAAAGCGAATGATGGGGTGGGACACGAATTGAGCGAAGTGGAAACAAAACGCTTACCAGGGCAAGAGTGCTGCCGCCGGAGTAAGGTCCCGGAGGAGGTGGTGCCATTGGAGTTGCGATTCGATCTGCTCGCTCGCCGGAATGAAGACCTGCGATGGATGAGCCTTTGGAATCGGAAGGTTTCTCTCTCAAAAGCCCTAGTGAGAAGTTAGCCGGAGAAGAATGCTTCAAATCAAATACCAGAAATCACTGGTGGGCACATTTATCCAGTGTTTCAGAGTGCAAGCCACGTAACAGAATCCTCATGGATATGACACCGTTGGATGCATCTCACGGTCTGGATTAGATACCTTGTTTAATGAAACGCCGCCGGATTAAACCGAAACGTTCAGATTAAACGGCCACGAGCACGACCCACGAGGATGGGCTCGTTGGACATCTTAGAGTAGGCCCAGCCTAGGGCTGGGAAAATACACCAGACCGTCAGAAAAATCGTGGTCCAAACCGTACCGTACAGTTTTGGTTTGGATCGTAGACCGTTAAGTATGGTCTGGTATGGTTCATGGTCTGGTTTGTTTTATGTTTTGATCTCTTGGTCTGGTCTGGTCTAGACCGCGGTTTACCGGACCAAACCGTGGACCCAACCGACTTGTCAATACGTGTTAATAGCCCATTCGATCACACTCCCAACTCACACAACGACACCCAAATCTCAACCTTAATTTTGAGAATCTCGTCCCTCCTTCGTTCACAACCACATTTAACCAGAGAGTAGAGATAATTGTGTCTCCATATGACATTATGTTAATGTTTATAAAGTTAGGGTGCAAGTTTGTATGCTTTTACTTTGTATTTTTGTTATTTCTAAGATTTAGGATATCAAAATTATTCATGCATGTTAGGACTAATGTTTTAAGGCAAATAACAATTATTTTTCTTGGTTATTGGTTCAATTTTTTTATGTGGTTGACTAAACAAATTATTCATTTTTCTTTGAGTGTGGTCTATCTGGACTAGACCAGACCAAACCAGACCGTACAGGCGTGGTCTGGACCAGACCGTATAGTCTGTGGTCTGGTCTGCGGTCTATACTTCAGCCTCTCGGTCTGGACCATGGACAGTATATATGGTCTGGTCTGGACCAAACCGCACCAGACCGCACCGTTTTCCAGCTCTAGTCCAGCCTGTTACAGAAGAAGGCTCGATGAACAACCTTGAGTAGGCCCATTACGCAGGAAAAAAACAACGGAGAGAGAAATAGAGAGGTAAACTTGGAATGACAAGTCTTTCGATCTTGCAAAGCAAGCTACCTAATAACCTAAAACCGCACCAAAACCTCTCTGAAACTGGATAAAACCAGCGAGCGGAGCAGTTGCGTTGGCCGTCACTCTTGTTAGCGGGCTAGAGTTTTTGGGCTGTACTGGCGGGCTTGTATGATTTTGTTTGGCCCATTGTTATTCCATTTTGTACGTAGAAGAGTTAGCAGGAGAACACTAGCCCTAGCAGGTACATACGTGAGCTAGGGTTAGAGGGAAATATATATATGTGAACCTGTAGAGTATCGGACTCTCCCACACGATTTTTCTCCTAATCGCCCCCGCCGTCGTCCTCGAGTTCCAGCGCGATTGAAAGACGGGATTTCATCAATGGTTCAATGGAAGCGCGTCGTTCAACATGGAGCTCAGCTTGTCAAATCGCGTCGTCTCCTGCTCCATCCTTCTTCCTCTTCAATGAGATCACCATCATCCCTCGTGAATCAGTTGGACCATCGCACTCGCAGCAGAATTCTATCTGACCTCGCCGGACCAAGTGGTGCGAATGCGAACCGTGCATTTTCTGATTATGCATCGGCGAAGGTAACTTCCCCTCCGCTCTTCCTTTCTTTCTTTTGGGGTAGATCCTGAAGTACGGAGCTCTAATAATCTTTTTTTTTTTTCTTCTTTCTTCTGGAAGTACAGAGCTCTCAGATAGGATCTGCCGACCTGTTGAAGTTCCAGGAAGAACTGCAATCAAACCTGTCCAATTTCCAGTCCGAAATAATCAAGTCTCAGGTAAAACCTTCCTTTCCCCCTTGGAATTTAATGTTGGTTAAATTAGGTAATAAGGGGGCTCCGGCCCATGTTCCATAGAGTATTATGTGCTAAGCTCAATTCTGACATCTGATTTAATTTAGTCGTGAAGAAGAAGGATAACTTCAGAATTGTTAGTAGTTCTTCAAGGTTTTTCTCTTTCTCTCTTTTGGAGGGTGATTCGCTTGCATGTTTTGTTTGCAGGAAAGCCGTTTTACCACGATGGAAGTTGACTTGGCAAGGATGCAAGCTGATATAAACAAAATTCGCGATGATGTGTCGGGTGTAAGATGGTTCGTAGCCACCATAGGGTATTTATTATGGGCCGGAGTCACTGTCTCCCGTTCCCTTGAGAACAGGAAAATAGATCAGACCGGTGTAGACTTGTAAGAATAGTCTAATCCATGATCTGTATTATATGATGTTTAGATCTTTCGGTTTGGTCTGATCTAGATCGCAGTTTACCGGCTCAAACCGTGGACCCAACAGACTTCTCAATATATATTAGCAGCCCACTCGAAAACTTTCTCAACTCCCCAACAAGATCTAAGTCTCAACCTCAATTTTGATAATATTATCTTTCTTTCATTCACAACCACATTCTATCGGAGAATAGGGAGGATCATGTCTCCATATGACATTCTATTAATGTTATGATTTATGACATGTGACGTTATGATGCAAGTTGGGATGATTTGATTTTGAATCTTTGTGATAACTGAAATTTAGGTTGTCAAAATTATTCATTCATGTTGGAATTTATGTTCTAAGGCAAAATATAATTGTTTTCTCGATTTGGTTCAAATTTTGGTATGATTGATTAAATAAATTGTTCATTTTTCATTCAATATGGTCTATCGTACCATACCAGATCGCACAGATGTGGTTTGATATGGACAGTGTAGTATGTGGTCTGGTCTCCAATCTATACTCCAGCCTCTTGGTCTGGACCGTAGACCATATATATAATATGATCTGGACAAGACCACACCGTTTTCCAACCCTAGCTACTAAGACAACGAATAGATGAAGGAATCGAATGGGAACTAGATGTTTATCCCTGTGGATTTTGTTGTATGCCCTTTTTTTGTTAACCTGCTTAGATGCTCTTAGCCTGGTCGTGCTGTTGATAAGTTTCAGTAGTATTCTATCAGATCATCTTTGATAACTAAATAGCTTTCATGAGTCTGTATGAATGATTTGCAAATGCTGGATACAATGTATCAATAGTAGTTAGTAAAGTTTCGAGCAAATTGTGAAAGTTGTTGGCTGAAATTTTTTTTTAAATTCTTTGAAAATGTGTTAGTTTATCGTTAGTCTAACTCTAAACATGTTGAATACCGTTATCACCTTAAGTGTACTACAGTTATCTCGCATAAAAATTGAATTGTGCTATTTCAAAGTTTTCTCAATTTTATTTTCCTAAATTTTGATAACCTTTATTTAATTATTATGAGATGATATATTGGATCATGATTTATGAAATGGTTAATAAAGGTTTAATAGGCAAAATTTTCATTTTGTGTGAAAATAATAGTGAAATTTGTTGCAATAGGATTTAATAACCAAACTTATGTTCGTTGAGGTGGAGTGGAATGGGTTATTGAGATGATGGATGAGTTACTAATGTATGAGAGTGATTTTTAGGTTAATACAATCATAATCTTTTATTTTGTGGATTGTGATAAATAAATAAAATATTCAGCACCAGTACCATAAGAAAAATCGTACACTAAATTGGATGGTAGGATTTGGATCGTATTAATGACGATAATATAATGGTTTGGTCCGATCCAAATGTATACTAGTTTTTATACTCATGAGTTTAATTGTATGCCCTTACTTGCGTACGTGTTTAATTATTCTTGTTAGAGTTAGTCAATAGAGTTGTAATACCACATTAATGGGATAAGAAAATTATAAGAGTTTAGTTTTTTTTTACAGTTTAATTAATTTAATTAATTATTAATTAACTTTTGGATATTGTTAAAAAAGTGCCCTTACAGTTTTCACAAATATAAATAGATGTATGAAGGAAGTATGATTTCGATAGAGAGAGGAAATTATGATTAGGGATTGGAAATTGAGTAGAATTAGGCAAGAACTTTGGGAGAATTTGAGAGAAGAATAAGAGATAGGGATTTAGGGTTTCAATGTATTTTCTCCTAAATCTTGGAATAATTGAGAGTTCTCCTTTAAATAGGAGTTGACAAAATAACAAAACTCCACTCAGTTACATAATAGGGTCGAGCCTCCACTCTATGAACACGACCGAACGTGTTTCCTACAATCTCCCCCTCTAAAGATCGACCTTGCCCTCAAGGTCGAACATCGGGCAGTTCTGTCGAATGATCTCTGTATCTTTCCATGTAGCCTCCTCCGGCCCCAAATGCTGCCACAGGATTAAGCTCGGCTCGACTAGCCTCTTCCCTTGTCGTTCCCAACGCGTCTCGAGCACCTGCGTCGGCTCGAGCTCTAGGCCTCCATCCTCGTTGACCAGCGGCTCCGGCGAATTCTCGGTCTATAGCTCCTCTGGTACCTGCGTAACAAGGAGACATGGAAGGTCGGGTGGATACATGCAGTATCCGGAAGGTGTAGGCGATACGCCACAGATCCCACTCTCACGAGCACATGGTAGGACCCAAAATAGCGCGCTGCCAACTTCTGGTAGGCTCTCTTAAACACAAGATGACTGTCTACAGGGATGTAGTCGGAGCATAACCCAATCTCCCATCGCGAACTCCTCAACCCGCTGCCCAGGATCAGCCTCCTGATTCATTCTGTTAATGGCTGCTGCCAAGTTGGCTTTCAACTGCTCCAATACCACATCTCTTGGTGCGAGCCAACGATCTACGACGTCCACCGAACTCGTGCCCAACTGGTAGCGCACTAGGGTCGGCGGCGTTCGCCCATACAGAGCCTCGAACGGTGTCATTTGTATCACCGATGGTAGGTCGTGTTATACCACAACTCATCCCAAGGTAACATCGAACGGTGTCATCTGTATCGACCGATGATAGGTCGTGTCATCTATTATACCGATGGTGGGCACATTTATCGGGGATTACTAATTGTCACCTTAACTTTTACTTTAATTGTCTTATTTTAAGTGTCAAATTACCTCTTTACCCTTTTTTTCCTTTTTAATCGCCCTAACCCTAATTTTCTACACCTATAGCAGAACGGTCTCATCATCTATAGTGCATGCTGATTCCTTCTCTTGCCCATTACCGGTCGTTGCTGGACAAGTTGCGGGTTTCTGGTTGTTTATCTTTTTTTTTATATATAATTTCTGATTGTTTATCTTCAGATTTACCAAATTAGTGGCGTTATAGGATGGAATTCGTCGGGCTAAGGCTGGATTACAGTTCTCTCTGCAATTAATGGAGGTTTTGTTGTTCAGTTGTCTTTTATATGGAGAGCTTTATGTTTATTTTATATGGAGGGGTTGACAATTTGACAATCCTTGTTAAGGTTCTATGTTGTACCCTTGTAACGAGAAGGTGAGAGTAAAAAAGAAATATGAAACGAAAGAAGCAGGGAGAAGGAACGGCGGTAGAGTGTAAGGGAAAATGACAATTTAGTAATATATTGTATTGTATCTTAAGTAGGGCGATGTTTAGCCGTCCAGCATTTCTCCAGTGTTCCGAGTGCAAGCCACGTAACAGAAGCCTCGTGGATTTGACACCATTGGATGCATCTCACGGCTGGATTGATACCTCGTTTAATGAAAATCCGCCGGATTTAACCGAAACGTTCAGACTAAACGGCCTCGAGGATGGGCCCGTTGGACATCTTGAGAGGCCCAGTATATTAGAAAAGAAGGCTTGATGAACAACCATGAGAAGGCCCATTACGTAGGAAAAAGAACGGAGAGAGAAAGAGAGAAGGAGAGGGGTAAACTTGGAATTACAAGTTTTTCGATCTTGCAGAGCAAGCTACCTAAAACCGCATCAAAACCTCTCTGAAACTGGATAAAATCAGCGAGCGGAGCAGTTGCGTTGGCCGTCACTCTCCCACGATTTTCCTCCTAATCGCCCCCGCCGTCGTCGTCCTCCTCGAGTTCCAGCGCGATTGAAGACGGATCCCATCAATGGCTCAATGGAAGCGTGTCGTTCAACATGGAGCTCAGCTTGTCAAATCGCGTCGTCTCCTGCTCGATCCTTCTTCTTCAAGGAGTTTATCATCCCCCCTCGCGAACCAGTTGGCCCATCGCAGCCGCAGCAGGCTTCTCTCTGACCTCGCCGGACCAAGCGGCGCGAACGCGAAGCGTGCATTTTCTGATTATGCATCGGCGAAGGTAACTCGCTCCTCTTTGCATTCCCCTCCGTTCTTTCTTTCTTTCTTTCTTTCTTCCTATGATTTGCAGTCGATCTGGTAGTGCAAAGTGAAAGAGAGCTAGAATGTAGATTAGTCCTGATTTTGGTTTACATCCTGGAGTACGGAGCTCTAACAATGTTTTTTTCCCGGAAGTACAGAGCTCTCCGGTTGGCTCTGCTGACCTCTTGAAGTTCCAGGAAGAACTGCAATCAAACCTGTCCAAGTTCCAGACTGAATTAGTGAAGTCTCAGGTAGAAAATTCATTCCCCTCTATGAGTTTGGACGCTGGTTAATTAGCTAATAAGGGGTTCCCAAGTTCTTTGATGATTTTGTAATTGTGCATTGGGGATTCATCGCTTTCGCTGTTTAGTCATCCACTGGAATGAATTTGTGTAGATGCAAATAGTATACTGCCCTACTAGCACTGCGTAGGGCAATGCAACAATAGGCATTTCAGAAGTGCGGTTTAAGCATATGGTGATGATTGCTAGTACTGCAAAATTAGATATCTTGAAGCAACTCACTGCCTGCTTAACGTTTAGCTGTATCATAACTTGCTTTTGGAACGAGTGATAGCTAGTAGTGTCAAGTAGCTCTGTATTGAGGGTTCATATAGGCAATAGGCATCAACCAGACCTTCAGTTTCGTAGGCCTAGCGATCAATCTCGCGTAAGTTTGGATAAAGGGCATACATATATCAAAATCTTGACTATGCCTGCATTGCATTGTGCTGTTCGGATTCATGCCATCTTTCGGTAGAGTGAATCAAGATGATGTGCGGGTAAAAGTTTATGTCTAAGTTACACCTTGATGCCGTAGGATTAAGACGATAGCAATTGGTACGATAAGCTGACTCGTTGCTGCTGCCTGCTGGCACCATCTCAGTGGAGGTGTGTACTGCAAATTGGTTACAGTTGCTCACTTGCTCTTTGCATACCCCATATGGTTTAGGCCAGCAACTGATTCTTCGTGACTTCGAGGGTTAACCCACACCGATCGGGGTATTCTTTCCTTGATCACTTCATGATAGCTCATTCCATCTAAAGGAATCTTAACTAGTTGTGCTCTGTAGATAGCTTCAATTCTGACATCTGAATTAGATTTGAAGGATAACTTCAGAATTGTTAGTTCTTCAGGGCTCTTGGAGGGTAATTAGCTTTCATGTTTTGTTTGCAGGAAAACCGTTCTATGATGATGAAACTTGACTTGGCTATGGTGCAAGCTGATATGAACGGAATTCGCAGTGATGTGTGGTTTGTGAAATTGTACTTAATCTGCTTTGGGAATTTATTTGGCGCACTCACTCTCTACCACAACTACTTGGAGAGCAAATGATGAAATGAAGGAAGCGATTTAATGCCATAACTAGACTTTTATACCTGTGGGTTTTGTTGTATGGCCTTCCAGTTGCTAATCTGTTCAGATAATCATAGCTTGGTCGTGTTGGTAATATGCTTCAGTACTGTTCTATCAGTTAACCTTTGATAACTAATTAGCTTTCATGGGTCTGTAATGAATGATTTGCATATGTTGAATGAGAGACATATATCAACATTCTATAGTAGTTACGCTTTGGTGTGTGTATGGTTTCTTATGAAGTGGGATAAAGACGTTTCACTGTGGGTGGTCATCACATCATCCGATACCACCCAGTCCGCTCAATCTCATACAATTTGTACGATACGATTTGACATGTAGTTCTTACTTCTCAATTTACATAAAAGAATACTTGACAATTTGAGATACTAAGATTTTGAGAAAATTATTGGTATTACTTGTTTAATTTTTCGAAAAGGTGTGGTTTCGCAAAAGGCATCTAGTGGTGTATGCATGTTGAATAACTTTGTCACCTTCCGCTATACTCCAATTACCTCACATAAATTTTGGAGTTAATAGCACAGCCTTTTGTTTGTGGACGCTGATAAAATACCATGATAATAATACCACGAGAAAATTCGTACTCTAAACCAAATCACATGATCTGGATCGGATTAATAACAGTAAAATAATGGTCTGATTCGTTTCACATGTACAACACGTTATGAAGCAATGGCTTGATGAAGAACCAAAAACATAGTGATTATCCTAAGATGTTATCAGTATAGCTCAAGAACGTTCTATTATTAATACACGTTAGACGCAAATTGCGTCTTTTTTCCCTCCAAAAAAGAAAAGGGAAAAGGAGGGGGAGGGGTAAACTTGGAATTATAAGAAGCTCTTCGATCTTGGACAGCAAGCAAGCTACATAAATCCTAAAACCACAGTCCACAGCAAAAACCTCTCCGAATTTGGATAAAACCAGCGAGCGGAGCAGTTGAGTCGGCCATCGCTCTTCTTCCATTTTTCTCCCAATCGCTGTCACCACCAGATTTCTTCAATGTCTCAGTGGAAGCGCGCAGTTCATCAGGGAGCTCAGCTTGTCAAATCGCGCCGTCTCCTGCTCGATCCTTCTTCTTCTTCAAGGAGCTCATCATCACCACTCGCGAACCAGTTGGCCCATCGCAGCCTCAGCAGGCTTCTCTCTGACCTCGCTGGACCTAGCGGCGCAAACGCGAAACGCGCATTTGCTAAGGATGCATCGACGAAGGTATAAACTCACTCCCTTCCAGTTCCCCTCTGCTCTTTCTTACCATTCTACGTTCTGTAAAGGGAGTTTGCTAACTAATCATGTTGTCTCTCAAAATCCTTCTTCTGAAGCACAGAGCTCTGAGCTGGGATCTGCCGACCTCTTGAAGTTCCAGGAAGAAATGCGTTCAAATTTGTCCAGGTTCCAGTCTGAAGTACTGAAGTCTCAGGTAGAAAATTCCTTCCCCTCTTTTGAGTTTGGATGCTGGTTAATTAGCCAATTAGGGTTCTCATGTTCTTTGGTGATTGTGTAATTGTCTTCTCTGTTTAGTCGTCAAGTGGGGTGAATCTGTGTAGATAATGCAAATAATTGCCTTCACGGAAAGTGGGGTTTTCATTTTTGTCTAGGGTTAAGCATGAGAGTTTCAGAGCTTGATGATGACTAGCTAGTACCGTCAAAATTATCAATCCTGGAATAACTGTGAACCTAGTTTTAGCTCTATACTAATTGCATGTTGAAAAGAATGAATGAATGAATGACTAGTACTGTCAATTAGCTCTGTTTTGAGGGTTCATCATAACCAGCTACCAGACCTTTTGTTTCATCGGCCTAGCTGTCGATTGATCACCTAAGTCTGGGGAAAGGGGGTACATACACCAGAATCTTGACTAGGCCAATCTTGCATTGTGCTGTTCTCATTCATGCTATCTTTGTGCAGAAAGAAACAAGAGGGTATTTAGATTAAAGCTCATGTCTAATTATGTCTAATTACGTGTTGATGCATAGGATTACGATGATAGTAATTAGTACAGTACACTGACTAGTTGCTGCTGGCACCATCTCAGTAGAGGAGTGTACTACAGATTGGTTACAGTTGCTCTTGCAATACCCCTATCGCGTCGATTCGGTCAGCGACTGATAAGTGATTAGGCTGTTGCTGGTTTATTTCATTGTATACTCTTCTTCTCATTTATACTAAGTTTCCATTCATTAAAAGAAATCTCAACTCGTTGTCCTTTAGAGATTGTTATACGCCAACTGAGTTTAGACATCTGAATTTAGACGTGAAAAGAAGGATGAGTTTCCAAAGTTTGGCTTTTATTTTCATTATTGGGTGATTAGTTTGCATGTTTTGCTTGCAGGAACGTGGGTTTTCAGAGTTGGAAGGTGAACTGGCAAAGATGAAAAATGATGCCAAGGATGTGAAGCGTTGGGCGGGGTATTTAGCACTATCCCTATCTGTCTGCTTTCTTGGATGGATGGGAATCACTGGGGGCCAATTTTACTACAACCGGTACTGGGACGACGACGATGAATGAAGGAAGCGATCTAATCTGATGAATGGATTTTATCCTCTTGAGTTTATTTGTATGCCCTTCCTTGCAGACGTGTTTAGAGATAATCTTAGCTCGGTAATGATGTTGATGATTAGTTTTAGTACAATTAGATCATCTTTGATAACTAATTAGCTTTCATGGGTCTGTCTCTGAATGTTATGCATACGTTGAAGAAGATTTATATCAACTTGTTTGTTGTTCAAAATCGATCTTTCTCTTGCGATTAAAATTAGTGAACGCACTATCGAAGATAAAAACTTTTCAAGATCTTCGCATACTCTCTTATTTGGGATTTATGGAAATTTTCACGACAAAATAAGTGTTTCTGATGTTAACAAACCTAAAACGGAACTATAATCGAAACGGAATAATCGAAACAGGAAGACAAGGATTTACGTGGTATCCTCGACGTATAATCGTCGAGACTAATCCACGGCACAAAGGCAGTTCTCGTGTATTTCTTATCCTCCAAAACCAGGTACATATTACATATATACGAGTCTACAAACCCTAGCCAATATGAGGGAGAAGGGAATCGGCTTAGGGTGTCTAAGGCCTACGTACATGGCCACGTGAATGCATGGGCCAATGGGCTAAAGCCCATCACTTCAACAGCCTCCCCCAAATTGATGGAGGTCTCGCATCATCAATTTGCCAGCGAGAAAGGAGTGGCGGCTAGCAGTAAAGGCTTTAGTCAGAAGATCTGCAATCTGGTCCTCAGACGTGATATGAGAAACTCGAATCGTACCATCATTAACAAGATCTCTGATGTAGTGAACATGTACCTCAATGTGTTTAGTGCGATCATGAAGAACAGGATTCGTAGCAATCCGTATCGCACTCGTATTATCCACGTAGAGCTGCATAGGAACTTCGCAGACGACACCAAGATCACCAAGCAATCGGCGAAGCCATTCCAACTCAGAAGTCACCTCGGACATAGCTCTATACTCTGCCTCTGTTGACGATTTCGAGACCCGATCCTGTTTCTTACATCGCCAGGAGATAAAAGAATCTCCTAATCGAATACACCAACCACTAGTAGAGCGTCGAGTGTCAATGCAGCCTGCATAATCAGAATCTGAGAAAGCCTGCAGTACAAATGAACCATTAGCCGGAAGAAACAAACCAACACTGCGGGTCCCCTGTAGATAGCGTAGGATCCGATGCACTGCATCCATATGCGCACTACGAGGAGCTGACATGAACTGGCTGACAATCTGTACGGCATAAGCTATATCCGGTCTGGTTGATGTCAAATAAATCAAGCTGCCAACAATACTTCGATAAAACTTACCACCATCAGATAATAGAGTACCTGTTTCCCTCCCCAGCTTAAGATGAAGTTCCATAGGAGTGGAAACGGGGGTACAGTCGGAAAATCGTGATGAGTCAAGTAGATCATCAATATACTTCTGTTGGGAAAGGAGAATACCTTTAGACGACCGGTGAACCTCCAGGCCAAGAAAGTAGGAAAGAGAGCCCAATTCCTTCAAGCTGAAGGACTCGTGAAGACCTTTGGTGAGAGCCGAAATACCTTCTGCATCATCCCCACTAACAATCATGTCATCCACGTATAAGAGAAGCACGACCAAGCCACGGGAAGAACGTCGAGTAAATAATGATGGATCATTAAGACTCTGCTGAAAGCCAAGGCTCAAAATGGTCGACTGAAACTTCTCAAACCATGCACGCGGAGCTTGTTTTAAACCGTAAAGAGAGCGATGGAGTAAACACACCTGGTTGGCCCGATTCCCGTGAGGATACCCTGGGGGAATCTCCATATAAACCGTCTCTTTGAGGTCACCATGCAAGAAGGCATTCTTGACATCGAGCTGGTAGAGAGGCCACTGTCGAATGGAAGCCACAGCCAGGAGAGAACGGACAGAGACCATTTTTGCCACCGGGGCAAATGTCTCTTCAAAATCAATACCATACTCCTGAGAATATCCCTGCGCCACAACACGAGCCCGATATCGTTCTAGAGTACCATCCGGCAAGAACTTCAGAGTATATACCCACCGACTGCCAATAACCGGAGTAGGAGGAGGTGGACGAGGAACAATGGACCATGTTTTATTAGCATCGAGAGCCGCAAACTCGGCATTCATAGCACCATCCCAATTAGGGTCACCTTGAGCCTGAGAGAATCTAGTAGGGATGGGAATAGCCTCGGCACTGTACGACACATAATCCTGGTGGCGAATCGGGGGTTGACCAAGGGTAGAGCGATTAGACCTGCGCAATGGAGGAGGAGACGATGAAGGCGTCACGGGTGGAGAGGGAGCTTCGGGGGTCGGATCAACATCGATATCATCATCATCATCATCATCTGAGAAGGAAGGAAGACTCAATGACTCATCGAACAAGGGAGGACTCGACTCAGATGGAGAATAGAACATCACGTTTTCGACAAAGACCACATTACAAGCAATCCTAAGGCGTTTAAGGATAGGGTCGTAGCAGAGGTAGCCCTTATAGACATCGCTATAGCCAAGGAAAGCACAACGAGCAGTCTTTGAGGTGAGTTTAGTTCTCTCAGAGCGAGGAAGGAGCACAAAGCAGAGGCAACCGAAAATACGAAGACGAGAGTAAGGAGGGGGTTTAGAAAATAACCGATGGAAGGGACTGTTTTGGTCAAGAACAGGAGTGATCTGGTAGTTGATGAGCCGAACTGCAGTGGAAACAGCCTCGGGCCAAAAGGAAGTGGGGACATGGGAGGCTAAAAGCAATGCTCGGGTAACTTCAAGCACATGTCGGTTCTTACGTTCGACTAGGCCATTTTGTTGTGAAACACCAGGACAAGATTTGTGAGTAAGGATGCCACGGGATTTATATAGATTAAGAAGAGGAGAAGAACTGAACTCACCACCGGGATCAGAACGGACTACACGAACGGTCCTATCAAACTGAGTCTGGATCATGTTTAGAAATTCAGTGGCAACGGAAAGAAGATCAGATTTAAGACGTAGGAAGTACACCCAAGTATATCGTGTAGCATGATCTATGAATAATGCAAAATATTTATAGCCATGACGAGAAGTAACCCGACTCGGACCCCATAGATCAGTATGGATCAAATGAAAAGGTTCATGAATAACGGTACTGCTCGAAGGAAAAGAAATCTGAGTGGTTTTGGCCTCCACACAACTGGTACAAGTAAAATCTGAAATACGACCAAGTTTAGGAGTTTTACCAAACAAATTTTGCCGAAACATAGTCTCAAGACGACGAGAATTAGGATGTCCTAACCGTGAATGCCACAACTGAAAATTTTGTTCACCAAAACTCGAAAAGACAGGAAACGGAGAAACCCTAGACACCAAAGTGGAACTCGATGATGATGACGATGGCTGGGAAGTGGGCATGGTTGTAACCAACTTGTCCAGCTCAAAGATACGTCCTCGTTTGCTACCCCTCCCGAGCTCCCTCCCCGTCTTCAGGTCCTGAATAACACAGCCAGACGGTGCAAAAACAACACGACAACCTTGTTCAGTAAGTTGTCCTACAGAAACCAAATTAGGGACCAGACGTGGAACATGCATAGTAGCAGGCAATCGAACACAAGGACCCTCAACTGAACCAATACCAGACACACGTAGTTTAGTACCATCCGCAACTTGTAAGGACAAATCATGGATCGGAGAAACATTCATAAGAACAGAACTATTACTCGTCATGTGATTGAAACAGGCCGAATCCAATATCCATGTAGGGAGCTTACCCGAGATTTGAAGACTGGCAAATGCGGAGGAAATTGCCTTGTTCACCATCTGCTCAAGAGCTGCCGAGGTCACAAGAATGCCATCGGATGTAGGGGCTGCTACCGGGGGAGGCTGTGTGGCATAAACAGGGCGCGCAGGTGGTGTTGGAGCAGCCGAACTCGAGCTTCGAAACCCAGCACTATTCCCAATGCTCCCGCCGGCCAGACCCCCTCCATTCATGTGTCGTTGGAGTGTACGACAGTCTGCAATGATATGTCCCTTCCTCTTACAGTACACACAAAAATTACGAGCACGACAGTACTTCTTGGTATGGCCTTTCTCCCGACAATGGTGGCACTCAACATCCGATAGATTGGGGCGCTGAAATTGAGGACGGTATGCAGCAAATACTTGAGCATCATTTACGCCTGCAGAAATTTTGTCACCACCAGAAACAGAACCGCCACCAAAGGAGTGACCAGCAGCACCTGGAATACGCAAGGAGCTGAATGCCGAGACATCTCCCTGGCCAGGTCTAGCATCCAAATTGGCCTGCGTACGAAGCCTTGTCTCTTCGCGGATGAGACTCCCTAGCACGCCTTCAACCTGCAGCTTCTCTTGATTAAGTAAAGTAGCCCGGACAGGTTCGAACTCAGGTCGAAGTCGCATCAGGAATTGAATGAGCCGGATCTTGGTGCGCTCGGCGTGAGCATCGGCAGGCAAGGGCTGTGACAAAAGAGATGCGGACAGGAGGTCCTGTTCCGTCCAAAGAAGACGTGCAGCGTTAAAGTATGAGGCAACATCAAGGTTACCTTGATGAAGGGCAGCAAGCTCTACTTCAAGTTCGAACTGGCGGTTGTTGCTAGTGCAGGCGTAGGTGTCGGCAAGTGACTTCCACATGGCTGCGGCAGAGGAAAGCAAACGGAGACCCAAGAGGATAGTGGGATCCACAGAGTTCAAAAGCAAGGAACGTACTCGTGCATCAGTTTGAAGCCATTTAGAAAGCTCCTGGTCGGACGAAGGCGGAACGGTGGGTTTCTCAGTCGTGCCATCAAGGAATCCGAGGAAGCCCTTCCCTTCAATCATCGTCCGGAACTGAAACGCCCAGATGGCGTAATTCTTTGAGTTGAGTCGCGTCGTCATATGATCGGAGTCCATATTCGTCAGCTCTGATACCATGTTAACAAACCTAAAACGGAACTATAATCGAAACGGAATAATCGAAACAGGAAGACAAGGATTTACGTGGTATCCTCGACGTATAATCGTCGAGACTAATCCACGGCACAAAGGCAGTTCTCGTGTATTTCTTATCCTCCAAAACCAGGTACATATTACATATATACGAGTCTACAAACCCTAGCCAATATGAGGGAGAAGGGAATCGGCTTAGGGTGTCTAAGGCCTACGTACATGGCCACGTGAATGCATGGGCCAATGGGCTAAAGCCCATCACTTCAACATCTGATTGCAAAGAGCAAATCAAGTAACAAAAGATTGATAGATTCACTGATTCAGTACCACTGAATGCATCTTACGGTTCGGATCAGATATATCCTCTAGGCTCTAGCAATAAACGGTTCTGTTGAAGTGCATATTCAGGTAAACTTGAGGTTGGGTCTGTTGAAGATTTGCATAGAAGGTCTAGCCCAGTATACAAAAATCCCACATAACGGAAAAATCGAGAAAGGATTCGTAGGGAATATAGAGAGGTAAACTTGGAACTACATGAAATTATCCAATCTTGAAGAGCAAGCTATCTAAAGGCTAAAACGACAGCAAAACCACTTCGAAATTTGACTGAACCAACAAGCATAGTCGTGGCATCGGCAGTCGTCGTTCTTCACTAAGTTCTTGCAATCGTCATAGAATTCCAGCATGATTGAATATCGATTTCTTCGTCAATGTCTCAATGGAAGCACGTGGATCAACATAGAATTCCAGCACGATTGAAGATCGATTTCTTCGTCAATGTTTCAATGGAAGCACGTGGATCAATATGGAGCTCAACTTGTCAAATATAGTTGCCACCAATGCAATCCTTCTTCTTCTTCTTCTTCTTCTTCAAAGAGCGTACCATCATCTCTCGCGAATGAGGTGACCCATCGCAGTCGCAACAGGCTTCTATAGGACCTCGTCAGACCTAGTGACCTCAACGCGAAGCATGAACTTGCTAATGACAAACCGACAAAGATATAATTGACTCTCTTCCCAATCCTTATACGATCTCACTATCGTATATCTAACCGTTGATTCAATCTCTAATACAATTATTCGTAAAAACGGTTTCAAGACATCTCTCACACGATGACACGAACAATCCCAAGTGGTTATGGAGTGTAACATGTCCATCACTATCGAGGCCCTTCAAACCCTATCCTCCCAAGTAGGTAATTGGCAGTTTGTGTTGTGTGTGTGAGATTCTATTTGCCAGGATGGCGTGGGAATCAAGTCAAGTGGGGTGCGAGGAATAATAATAGCAATTTGGAATCTATTCTGTCTTTTATGGATTATTATGTTTGGTCTTTGGAACCTTACATACGCTACCCACACTTCTTGGCCGGTGAGACTCGGGGACTCGCTTTCATTCCTTTCGCTCTAAATTCGGCCTTATTTACCATCCTGTATTACGATTACTGCTGCTGCTATGCCGTTGATCGGGAAACTTCACCGTGGCAACGGCGGCGGATCTCGCCGGAGATTGCTCCCATTGAAGAAGAAGGAGAATCATTCTCCAATAAGGATTCCTTGCACTAGACCTACAAAGAAGAGTGATAATTGTATAGGTTACGGCTAGTACCCAAAAATGTCATCCTAATTCTGAGGCATTTTTAACCTTCAACTATTTTTCAGAATGCGTAATTTTTCTCAAGTGGGTCTAAATGTCTAATACTTAAATCGTCTAAATACGACGGATTTGTTGGTTCTTGTCGAGACGTTTTTTTAAGTCGCATAAGATAGCATGATTTAATAGGGTATTGATGTCCACCCATCTATTAAGTTAGAGCTCATGTTGACATTGTGGGATTAGTTTTCTTGATTGTGGAAATTTATTATTCAATCATCATACTATTGTGGAATCTGCAAAAGAATTTTATTGGGGAAAACGATCGATCTACTAGTGGTGAAAGTCAAATCTTTGTAAGATTGTCGATGAATCAAAGTTGAGGGTGACTAAACGTACCCTAATCTCTGTTCTCCTTTAAAAACTTCAAACTCGTCTCAGTTTCCACAAACCGAAATTAATACTTGAAATTGAAATCGACAAATAGCACAAAATTGCAATTATGCATTTAGTTATTTTCATGTGGTTGTGACTTACCCACCCTAATCATCTTCAGAAGACTAGCAAAAAAAATTGCTTGAGTAAAATTAAAATTTTATTATTATAAAATTGTCGATGAATTAGATTTCGGATGAACATATTCACTCATATTTTCACACTCCTCTTTCACATTGGTGGAGCCACCTTATAGCCAGGAGAGGAGGGGCTATAGCCCCCCTCCCCAACTCTGAAAATGGTGTAAATTCTGTAACAAATTTGGAGAATATATTAGGTTATAAGGCTTTAGCACCTCCTCTCCGGTTCAAACATCTTGAACGTAAACTTTAGTCCCCTTACTTATATTTCTAGCTCCGCCATTGCTCTTTCAATATTCAAAACTCATGCCCTTCTCATAAATCTAGACTAGAACTTAAAAATCACCACATATCTTCACACACAAACAAGAAAGACACCACTCCATAGGCAAATGAGTGGAGGCTCAAGAATCCTTCGGTGTGTGGTGTGTCTCATGCTCAGACTTATATAGAAAGGAAACTCCCAACGAATTTCAAATACCTAGGAATTCAAAACTCATCCAAATACATGTATTTGTAAAAAAAAAAAAACCCCAAATTTGTTTTGCACCAAAAGAAACCAGAGCCAGGTTGAAAACCTAGAAAATCAACCAAATAAGCTTTTCTTCTATAAAGGAGCGTACTTTTTTCCTGGTACCTCCGTTCCCCATCCCTTCCCTCCCTTCCTTCTTCCCCTTCCCAACCATTCAAACCCAACCCTTTCCCATGGCTGCCACCGCCTCCACCACCACCTCCACCGCCGCCAACACCTCCTCCCTCTCCAAATCCTCCACTTCCAAATGCCCTTTCCCTCAGAAACCCAATCTCTTCTTTCCCCCAACTTCAAAAACCCTCCCTAAACCCTTTACCGCCGCCACCCGGGGCCTCTGCCGTATCTCCTCGGCTTCTCCCCGGAGCGGAGATTTCCCCCTTTCAGACGACGAACGTTGCTACTACGACGAACTCGACGACAAGCCCCGCGAGGAGTGCGGCGTGGTGGGCGTCTACGGCGACCCAGAAGCCTCCCGGCTCTGCTACCTGGGCCTCCACGCCCTCCAGCATCGCGGCCAGGAAGGCGCCGGCATCGTAGCGGTAAAGGACAAGGTTTTTCAGTCTGTTACTGGTGTTGGGTTGGTCACCGATGTGTTTAACGAGTCCAAAATCAATCAATTGCCCGGCGATTTGGCCATCGGCCATGTTAGGTATTCCACCGCCGGAGCTTCCATGCTGAAAAACGTGCAGCCCTTTGTCGCCGGGTATCGATTCGGGTTTGTTGGGGTCGCGCACAATGGTAATCTGGTGAATTACAGGAAGTTGCGAGCGGACCTGGAAGATAGCGGTTCGATTTTCAACACTAGCTCTGACACCGAAGCTGTTCTGCATTTGATTGCTATCTCCAAAGCGAGGCCCTTCATAGCCAGAATCGTCGACGCTTGCGAGAAGCTCGAGGGCGCCTATTCGATGGTTTTTGTTACGGAGGATAAGTTGGTTGCTGTTAGGGATCCTTACGGGTTTAGGCCATTGGTGATGGGGAGGAGAAGCAATGGCGCTGTGGTGTTTGCTTCGGAGACCTGCGCTCTCGATTTGATCGATGCCAAGTACGAGAGGGAAGTAAATCCTGGAGAGGTTGTGGTTGTCGACCATGAAGGGATCTCGTCGCTCTGCCTTTTGGGTCATCGCGAGCCGAAGCAGTGCATATTCGAGCACATCTACTTTGCCCTGCCGCAGTCTGTGGTGTACGGCAGGTCTGTCTACGAGTCCAGGCGTCTGTTTGGGGAGATACTCGCCACAGAATCGGGTGTCGATTGTGACGTGGTGATCGCAGTTCCGGATTCTGGAGTCGTGGCTGCTCTGGGCTACGCAGCGAAAGCAGGGGTGCCGTTTCAGCAGGGCTTGATTCGGTCGCATTACGTGGGGAGGACGTTCATCGAGCCGTCTCAGAAGATCAGGGATTTCGGGGTGAAGCTGAAGCTTTCTCCCGTGAGGCAGATACTGGAAGGGAAGAGGGTCGTGGTGGTGGACGATTCCATCGTGAGAGGGACGACTTCGTCCAAGATTGTTAGGATGATCAAGGAAGCTGGAGCTAAAGAAGTCCACATGAGGATTGCCAGTCCCCCGATCAAGGCCTCGTGCTACTACGGAGTTGATACTCCGAGCTCCGAGGAGTTGATATCGAACAGGATGAGCGTGGAGGAGATCAGGGATCACATTGGTTGTGATTCATTGGCGTTTTTGGAGTTTGATAGCTTGAAGAAGCTGCTGGGGCAGGACTCGCCCGACTTCTGTTACGCTTGCTTCTCCGGGAACTATCCTGTCCTGCCTAGGGAAGAGAAAGTGAAGCGAGTTGGGGATTTTGTGGATGATGGTTTGAATGGTAGCATTGACAACATTGAAGGTGCATGGGTTCAAGGGCCTCCTCCGATCGATGATGACAGCGAGTTGGTGACCCCGTTGTCGGGTTAATGTTTTGATCGTGTTGCAAGTCGAGTCGAGCCCGTGGCTCTCAGAAAGAACACAGCAACCAGCATTAGTAGGACTGGTGGTTATGATTTAGCTCTCTGCAAGATGTGTTTAAGAAGTTATCTGACTCGTTAGTTTGAGATGTTCGTTGTCTAAGCTATAGCTCCAGAAGCCTCGAAACCTACACAATTTTGCTGCTTCGTTTTTTCGGGTTATTGCAGGGCTTTGAATTCAAGTACTGGTTTTTAGAGTCGAGTCCTTTTGAGTTTGATGGCAGATGGTAATGTCGGATGATGATGATGATGAATGATAGATTCTAACATCACTTGTTTGATGTTCAAGTTTCTGCAGATTTCTCATGTAATTAACGCTCTTCTATGGTTACGCTTTCACGATCCCAACTTGGGCAATATATGAGCTCCATAAATATTTGTTGGGATCGGCAGTAACTTGTTACACAAGTAATGAAGCTTCCCAATGTACATAAGGAGCTGAACATTAGCCATTCTCTGCTCGATCGTAGGCATTTGATTTGTGCTTCGGTGCAAAAGTAAAGGCACTTGGAACTTTGCCGAGCAACATTTCAGAGATTCGAATCTGCGCAAAACTCAAAAGTATAAGATAAACACACCCTTTGTGTCGGAGCCCCAATGCTGAAGGCCAAACCGGACATAATCCTTCAAGATATCGAGTCGTTCTCCAGAGCTGATGTCCCAGTGCCTCTGTTCTTTGGTTTCAGTGAATATCCATGGCTGCCAACAAGCAACAAAAAGAAACTCGCTTGTAATTCCTGAATGATACTAGAAATAAGATATCTGTAAGAGAAGGGTGTCTTCACAAACCTTGGTCAGTGCACCTCTGCCTATCATGCAGGAAGCGAGTTCAGGGCAGCTAGATTTGTGGAGGCTCCAATCTGTGTAGGCATACACATCTCTATTTCCAAGCACTTGCAGAGATTCGGGGGCCTTTCTAGCACATTGGTATATGTACCTCCCAGTCTGCAGAGTTGCTATAACGCTGCTGTCTTGTTCGGCCATGAACCGTTATGGCATGGGCTCCGCAGTTACCAAAATCAGCAATTAAAGAGTCGATCCGGTTTTTCCCCTCAAGGTATCCAGTTCTAACCTGTAGTCATAGTAGTACCAGAGTGGCATATAAAGTCTTGTAGCCTAGCTCGTTGAAGTTGAATAAGTACTACTTTCACCAAAATTTGAGTGAAAAACAGAACAGGATAAAGATTTTATACCTTCACGGTAATGGGTGTTTCTATTGTGCCACTCGCAGCTTCTATAACCCCTTTCATACGGGCTGGCCTATTGAGGAGAGCAGAGCCAGCACCTTTGCTCACAACAAGGTCGATGGGGCAGCCCATGTTTATATCAATAAAGTCCACTGTACATCCTCGGTCTATAAGCTCAACAGCACGTGCTACTGTATCTGCATATGCACCACAAATTTGTACACCAAACAGATCCTCAGATGAATGGCGTCTCAGCAATGCCCATTCAGAAGCTTGACCCTGAGCACCAAGTGTTTAACAAATTCAGAGTCCCATTCACAGCAAACGACGAGAAGTTGGGTTTATATCACTAGATTTTCTATCACATACTGTAGAAAAAGCAAAAATAAACACAGACCTGCAACAGATTTGTGCACATCGCCATTTCACCACAAGTAATGTCAGCTCCCAGTGCTTTGCAAAGCCTTCAGAAGGGAAGATTTCCAACAGTAGTCAATGGTGCAAGATATAGCTTTCCACTGAAGTCAATGAGCTTTCTTTCATGTGATTTCAAACTTCTATCTGTCTCTACAGGTAGATTATCTTCACTTACAGCATCGGGCTGCTTTTCCAGGATACTTTGATCAACTTCCTTCCCCGGACTATTTGGTCCTACACATTAATGGTATAACAGTGTTTTTTTTTTACCTTCTTTTTCACACAGATGGTACTTACTGCAGGACTAAACTAATACATCAAACGACATATACCTTGTTCAGCCACATCTGGTTTTGCTTTCTTTAATGGCCTGAGTTCATCGACCACGCTATTCTCTTCCAGTGCTTCTTCTCCCGCGCCATTCAGGTTATCAACTTTCGCATCAACCCCATTGCTGCAACCATTCTCATCTGCCTCGTGATTACTGGCAACACCTTCACCACCTTCCTCCTTATCCTGCTTTTTCCATTTCGCACCTGGTACCTACAAAGTCAAAAGTAATGTTGCACATTGGTATCAGGGCAAACCCATAGACGTTAACAAATAAGAGCAGTCACTGGAGATAATTAGAACAAACAGAGAAAGAACAGGAGGATTACCATGAGACCAAGAGCTTTCAGTTTGGCATCTGCTTTAGGAAACTTCATATTGTTCTTCCACAAAAGCCTTTGAACATCCTTGGTCAATTCATTTGTCTCAGAGCAATTTTTCTTCGGCACAATCAAGCTGCTATCACCAGCAACAACTTCCTCTTGTGCGTGCCATAAAACCTACATGCAAAGCCATAAGGGCATCTCCCTTCGTCGCTTATGAAAGGACATTCTCCATCCAGATCATCCGATCTCTAGCAAGCAGTTCATACATAGATAGCTTAGTGTCACACTCAGAATTCAGTTCAACAAGGATTTGACATCAAGCAATAGCGATAGATTCTATTGCATTCAATTTCCTCCACTTGCATTGCTAATTTTCTCGAGAACCAAACAAGTAAATATTAGAGAGAGAGCAGCCGAATCTGTCAGAGTACCTGAGACTTGAAACCTTCCAAGTCATGGGTTAATCGGCAATCACCGCCGTACTTGCAAGAACTAACATCTCCACTCTTCCCTATCACTGGACAGAGATGAGACGCCTTTTGCTCCTGCGGAATTTTCATTCTCTCAATTCTCATTTCATTTCCATACAAACCCGTAAGAATTGGATTGGTGAGAGGGAAGAGAGAGCAAAAACCTGCCGCCGTTCGCGCTTGAATTGGCGTTTAGACTTCCCCTGCTTCAGCACGCTGGACTGAGACGCCGCCGCGGCGGTGGACGTCGAGTTATTAGCAGGTTCTGGAAGGAGGTGGTGGACATAGGAATTTGGCTTTCACCGGAGCAACTCCTTTGGCCGCCAACTCCTCGGGCGTGGCCGCGTGGCAGCGGCTGGTCTGGGAGCTCCGTCGGAGTTGGACGGCGCTGCGGGAGGATGATCAAGTCAATACCATAATGTCAAAGCGTCATTATTTGAGTCTTTATCAACTTGATACGTTTTATCATCTTATAACAAAGAAATCTAATGCTCATTTTTGTCCATGGAGGGATATACTCAACCATTCAGTTGAGTGATTAGTCATTAGTCATAGCTAGTTGGTTATCAATCGTTTATCACGCTTCCTGCAAATTGTTTAGTTCGAAAGAGGATGTTTTGAAACCTCGAAAGCTCGAGTCTGCTAATGTATAGTTCTCAAGTAGCCCAACTGAGAAAGCAAGTTCTTGTTACTTTCACATGTGCCACTGCCTTGGAGTTCAAGCTAACCAGAAGACTATGTACATTGTACATGCACAAACGTGTTTCACGCTTCTTCTCTACTTCCCCACCAAAATAAACAATTGAAAAGAAGGACGAACCCATACTGAAAGGAACGTACAACTTGTTATACTAAAATAGCACAAGAAAAGCAAGCTTTCAGACAAACTTCTGCACTTTTCTGTCTATAATCTCAACAAAACCATACAACATATTCAACAGACAAACCCGTTTTACTTTGCCTTCATATACATGCATATATAATATAAATTTCATAAATATAAGTACATAAACGAATATGAGCTCTACTCATTTGACTATGACCATCTCTACACCATATATATTATACGAGTGACGCCTGTATATATGATATGAATAACCATTGATTGCAGCAAAAGATGATGATGCCTGAAGGGGTAGTAGAAGGTAAGATAAATCTCCAATCACCACCGCCGGTGGGGATACAGAGAAACTTAAATGAATGAATTTGCATCTACTGGCTTGCATCTGATTTCGACTTTGTTTCGTTCTGCTGTTCATGTTGCTGCTGGTGAGTGTTGCGCTGGGAGGACATCTGTTGCTGCTGCTGCTGGAACATCTGCTGCTGGACCATGCCTTTGGATGCGTCGAAACTGCTGCCGTTCATTTCTGCAGTGGTGATCTTCAGCCGTCGAACCTCGGCAGTTAAAGCTTCGTTGAGAGCTGCCAAAGAGTAATGGTAAGTTGCATCAAGGAATCTTGCAATATGGCAGGGGAATAAAACCACGAATACGAAGAGCCACAGCTAGATTCTAGCTAGGTGTCCCCTATGTTTTCATTTCGATTTTAGTTTTTCTATTCACAGCTCCAAAGGTGAAAATCGGAGGCAGCATTTCAAGAAGACTATTTGCAAAACTCCCAATGCCTAAAGCTATATTACGCAATAATAGGGTATGGATATCGAACATGAACACCTACGTAAAAATCCTAGTTTAAGAAGCAGCAACAAGTACTACTAGAGCAAGTCACTCACAATCAGCAAATTACACTCACAAAACCAGGAGATAAAAAAAGTCTTAGAATGTTGAAGCCTGCTAACAACAAAGAGGGGATGACAGGCAGGAGCCTATATGGCACATAATGGGGAGAACGATGCAAAAGTCTATAAAGAAGAGGAGAAAGAGGTAATGGGGGGAGGGAGTCTAGCTAGTTTCCTAACCACAGAATGTCCAACTATGGTGCAAAGCTTGAACAGACATTCAACTATCAAGAAAATAAACAATTGGCACTGGATACAGGACTACGGTTATGATGAAGCAACCAATGAGTTTTGGACCACAGTCAGATACAATGTCGCAGACAAAAAGAAAGGGAGATGTTTGTTCATACCATCTCGAAGCTGTGCCTGTTGCTCCATCGCTTGTAGACGAAACTTCAATTCATTATTCTGATTTGTCAGTCCAACAGAATCTCTCTGCATATATCAAACCAAAAACGAATCACTAAAGCAGACTGACGAAACATATATATATATATGGGGAAAAACTGTATAATCATGAACATAGTTACCTGCAATAGAGTAAGCTGGGCAGACAATGTAGTAGCTTCGGTCTGAAGAGTCTGCACCTTGTGTTCCAGTTCTGAAATGTATCTCACCTTCCTTTCCTTCGAACGAGCAGCAGATTGACGATTTGCTAAAATTCTGAATGATCCAGCCAACAAAAAAATAAGTATTGGTGGCATATAAGAATCTAATGAACTGTATCTAACCAGTGGGAGGGGAGGTAGGATACCTCTTTGCACGCTTTGGATCAGTTAGAGCAATCTCAGTAAGTTTCTCATTCGCCATAATTTTCTTAAGTTCAACATTGTTAAACTCCCCATTCCCGAAATCCAAACTGAAGGTGCTCCCATCAATCGAGCTAGTCGGAGATAATTGGCCTGGAAGAGGCCCCGGTGAAGGGGGAAGCTTTGGGGACTCATCTCCAAAGCTCAACTTCCCCATGAAACTATCCAAGGAAACACTTCTATGATGTCTTGACGTCGGAGCAATATCACCTCCAGCACTCCTTTTGATCCCTTCCCTTCTCTCCACCGAAGAACTCAAACCTCCTCTCGGAATGCTGCTCCCACTCTCATTCATGCTGCTCTCAGCCTCATTATCACTGCTATCTCCGTTAGTCTTCGTTCCACTAGCTCTGCTATCTAAATCCTCACGATTCTCAGTACCATTCTTGTCATCATTCCCGTGTGAGTTCAACGTATCAAAGTTGTCCAAGTTCATATACGCAGAAAACAAATCATCCACAACTTCACCTTCAGATTTCCTCTCCCCCATCCCTTCTTCATTGCTATCAACACCTTTCTCCCACTCCCTCTTCACAGCCTGAGCTGGTTTACCTAAACCACCTGTCCCTCTCAATGGCACAACAGGCGGGGAAGACTGCATCACGCCACTAAACCCAAATGGGATATCACTATTAGACCGTCTATGAGCTTTCCTAGGAGGCAAACTCTCACCAGCTCGAGGAGTACCTACCCTACTAAAAGGCGATGGAGATGGTGGCAATAAAGAGTGAGAGTCCCCATTTCTATCCTCCATTGAAACATCAGTCGACAGCTGTTCTGAAACAGCAGAAGTTGGGGAATGGTCTCTGAATGATGCAGGGCTTAGAGGCGGGAGAGAATCAAGTGAGAAAAACGAGGATGGCTGTGACAAGGATCGTGAATGACCACGCCCCGGGCTGAAGTTCTGAGAACCCAATTGCTGGTTGATTGGCCTGTTAGACACCGGGATCTGAGAGAAAGGCGAAACGGGTGGGATCTGGTTGGGATGTGAAGGTGGAATCCCAACTCTCTTACCGCCATTGCTGCTGTTTTCGCTGCCAAACCCCTGCTGAGCAAACTGAGCGAAATGCCTCGCCCGCATTTGGGATTGACTCAGAGGGGGGATATCAAGCTGCTTCCCTGATGAAAAAGGCTGCTGCTTTAACATCGAAGAAGAAGACTGAGTTGTCCCGAAAGAAGATTGCAACCTCTGCATCACGTCAGTGCTCATTTCTTCCGTGTCACCCATTTCCCCCTTCCTCCGTATCAACTCCCACACAAAGCACCAACTCTTGACTTCTCCACAAACAAACCTCACTTCGGCCCCAGCAATAGACCAAATCAAAAACCAACTGCAAACAAAATCGGCAGAAAAGAAAGAGACAAACCAATTCATCAAAAAAGGCCGAACCTTTCTCACAGGAAATTAACCAAACACCTTGCGGGCCGAACAAACAAACAACTACCTCGTTTAGTGACGGGAGCGGAGCATTACTGAAGCGGGAGACGGCAGCTAGAGGCCGGCGACAGAGTGAGAAGAAGAAAAAAAAAACAGAGAGAACACAGTATAAAGGGGATTAGGAAGGGGAAGAAAAGAGCATTAGTCAAAAGAAATTTCACCGTTTTCAGCGGCGGAAATGGCGAGTAGGGGAATGGGGAAAAAGAGTGGGAAAGAGAAAAAAAAATAGGGTCTCGCTCTTTTCTCTATCTACAGTTCTACACCATCGCAGCTGCAAAGGCTGAAGAGAAGTAGAAGATGAAGAAGGAGCAGTAGAATAAGAAGGAGATGAGAGGATTTTAATCTCTAAATTTTTTTTAAATTATTTTTTTGGGTTAAGGCGACGAGGTGTACGACACGGATTTCATGACGGAGGAAGGACGGAAGAAGTGGAGAGTCTGTCAGTCTACGCGTGAATTTATTAATAAAGGAAATAAGAAAAAAAGAAATATTCAATTAATTAAAAATGTGAATTTTTGGGAAGTGCATTTGGATTTGGTTCGAATTTGAGTTTCATTCCGACCTCATTTTCAGCCTCTCTCTACGCAGCTTATTCAGCAATCAATTTTCTTTTCAATAAAGTTTTAGATTATTTATGCACATTTCATTTTTTATAAAATGCTTTTTTATGAGTCTTAATCTCATCTCATCTCATCTCCTTCATTCTCATTTTTCATTCAAGCAAAAACACATAAAAAAAAAACATTCTAATTTGTAACATTGATCAATTGAGAGATATTAAGATTCTCATACTATATTATATATATATATGTCAACAAACTATATAAGCCGTCTCTAATTTTTTAATAAAATAGACAGATTAATCAACATGATCATAGTTCAAGTGATTAAAATGTTAGACTCACTTGAATGATATCTTGATTCTAATATATTTTTTCATAAAAAAAAATATTCCACCATACAGAATAATCTAGACACTATAAAGTGTGTCAAAACCAACAAAATTAAAGTGATCGATTGCAAAATTTCTCAAGCGATAAACACGAATCAAATGAGTATTCCACGTAAAATAATCCAACTTTTTTCTTAAATGGACTTGGCTCTTAGAACAATCTTATTTGATTTAGGTTGGAAACCATCTATAGATTGACGTGATTCCATGGAAGTCTTTCATCTAGGGTCAATTATTTTTTGGAAAGATAATGTGAGATTGATAGGTGGTGGAACCGAATAATGTATCATATAGTAGAAAATTGGTGGTTGAAAAAAGGTGGAGTAAGTTATGGTTTTTGGTCTACATACCTCAATTGTTGACACCTTTTCTTTTCTGTTACAAGGCTATAACAAACTCAAATTTTATATTCATTGGTGTTAGTGGTGAATTAAACTGGATACAGAGATATGTTAAGTCGATTGGCCGCAGATACGACAAAATTATATTCCAAACATAATCTGACACTCTCGACTCATGTCCAACATTTGTTTGACTTGTTCGAACCTTGAAATGTCAAAATATTTGTCAAGTATATCATATCATTGTCTATAAGTAATGTGATTAAGTTTACTTCCGCATCCCGAAGATTTCAGTCATGCATGTGTGTAGCCATGTTTTGGTCAAAACTGGCATCTTGAAATATTGTCTACTACAATTCATGCACAATCATGAATCGTATGAACCCTAACTAATGGGTAAACGTATTGAACGAGTAAAATGAATAGTTAAAATCGTTACAAATAATTTTACTAATTTCAAGTCATCCTTAAGATCTCATATCCTCTTATTTGTTGTTGTAAGTTCCCATCTCTTTTCGTTTGTGCATTGGTCTTTGATCCTAGGATGAAAAGATTTCAATAGAAGATCAAAGATGACATGATGATGAGATTGTATTACCTTTTTAAGGCTTTTGAGTATTGGTGAAGAAAGTTAACACTCAACTTTAGTCTTCAATAGAATTGTCAAAAGATTTAACCTAACTTTCACCTAAAAAAAGTCATTCACACCTTTAGAGGAGAGGAGCTCAATCCCAAACCCTAAATGGATGAATCAGCAAGCACAACATTTTTTTTTTTTTTTTGCTAATATTGAACCCTCCCCATCCCACCTCAAACTTCACCAACTTGTACAACACTTGCTAGTTTTAATTAGTGATAGGTAAGGAGAATTTAATTGTGTTGGGGGAATAATAATGGACGACCAACATCTTACTAAAAGGTAAAATTTTCAGCTACTTGTAGATGGAGGTACCCAAACTTGTGGCGGGGCAGGCGAAACTCGTAATAATATGAGAATTATTTCCTTTTTGCAGTGTTGAAGATGCAGAAGCGAAAGCTCGTTAGTTGAGACGGAAGGATATGGAATTGAGGTATTTCTGGTTATTGATATCATAATCGGATTGTCAGGGTCTTATCGCTAAACTCATAACCAAAGATGAAGACAGAACAAAGTTTGAGAGGATATGTGAGCAAATCTGTTGTTTGAAACCCCTCATCCAACCCAGGTGGATCGAGCAATTTACAATATCAAGTAAAATGTGAATATATCTTAGGTCGTTTCCATGAAGAATTGTAACGGATCAATTTGACACAATCTAGGAGTTAATTTGTCTCGTTTGCCAGCAAAAAATTTGGATGGATCAATCTGCCTGAGGTATTTTGAATTGATCCGTTTTGAGTCAATTTCAATTACCTAGGATGGGGGCAGGTATTTCGAACTGACTCGTTTTAATTGCCTCATTTATAAAACAAGACAATTGATCAAATTAACTCCTTTCTAGATTGATCCATCCAAACGACCATACATTCACATGATCACTCGTTCAGAATTCATAACTTCCAAACCACACCTAAGTCTAAAATTGTGGTTGCATGGAAAACTACTTTTGAATGCCTACTCAACATCTTTATCTTCCACTACTTTGTCGTCCATATTGATGACAAATGCGTGCAAGTATGTTTTCAGTTTTGTCGCTCTTTTTCATACGATTGGTGACTCTTACATCTGCATACACACCCAACCTAGATCTCTACTCTAATATTGACTCATTTTCTAAATCGATATTATGAAAATCAAGAGTTGGAGACACATCCTTTCCAAATCTCTCAAATCCAAAAGGAACAATCGGTGCTTATCGAAACCTAGAAACAATGGTCCAAGAATTTGGTCCGTACACTTAGATGCGCAGAAAACTAGAATGAGCAAAAGGATTTTGATACCCGAATCTCTCTCCCTCTCTCACTAGATACTTTCAGAATCAGTGAGTGGCTCACTCTTCGCCATCTCAGCGTCCGCTTCTGTCCATTGCCTTCCCTTCCACGCATTCTCTCACAAAATCCATTTCACCTCCCCATCAACCAAGAAGAAGAAAAAATCCTCTGTTTTCTTCTGCCGCGGACCGACCCACCACCGAACGCTAGTACGCTACCATTATTTCATTGCTCAATCATCCTTCCTCTTCCCCCCGCCATTTCTGTTGCTGTAGTTTTGACATCCTCTCCCAAACGCAAAATGGCGCGCTTGCTCTCTCCAGTCTGCACTGACCCCCTCAAGCTTCAAAACCCATGTGTCAGTTTCGCCTCGGCTGCTTCCTCCCGCCTCTTCTCCGGCTCCCTCGCCCCCAAGAGACGACGGCCTGCTGCTACCGCCGGCCGCGTCAAGGTCGCCACCGATGATGCCCCTTCCACCGCCGATGACTACTATGCTGTCCTGGGTTTGGTAAGTGGTTCACTTTGGAGGGTTGCCTTTGGTTCGAATTAGTGATTTTGTTTCGTGGTTTCGTGATTTAGGGATTGATTGTTGATGTGATTTACTATTGTGTGGTAGCTTCCGGATGCTACGCCAGAGCAGATTAAGAAAGCCTACTACAATTGCATGAAAGCTTGTCATCCGGATTTGAGCGGTGACGATGCCGAGACCACGAATTTCTGTATGTTCATCAACGAGGTCTATGAGGTTCGGCACCAAAGCCCACCCTTTTTCTCTCTTATTCGTTTGGGTTTCTGTTCATCAACGAGGAATATGACCTCTTGGATTGCAGGTGCTGAGTGACCCTGTTCAGCGTATGGTTTATGATGAAATTCATGGCTATGCCTTGACTGGAATCAACCCTTTCCTTGATGATTCATGTACCAGGGATCATGCCTTTGTTGACGAATTTAGCTGCATAGGTAAGTGTAATATCATCCATGCAATTGCTGGTGGTGGTGATGAGAGGCTTTACCCAGTGGCATCATGATGATTTTGGGATTCTTCAATTTTGCCTCCCAGGCTGCAAGAATTGTGCCAATGTTGCCCCTGATGTGTTTGGGATTGAGGAGGATTTTGGGAGAGCTAGAGTGTACAGCCAATGTGGGGTTTCGGATTTAGTTCAACAAGCCATTGAGAGTTGGTAATATCCTTTTAGAGTTTGATGCATTGCTCTGTGTGCTTTCAAGTTTCAATTAGTGAGGTTTATCATCAATTCATCACTGTACTGAGTAACTAACCAGTTGCGTCTCTGGTTGCTTCAGCCCTGTTGACTGCATCCATTGGACTTCTGCAGCACAATTATCTCTACTTGAAGACGAAATGCGTAGAGTGGAGAGAGTAAATGTAAGATTCACAGCTTCATCTTCTACATATCGAATGAACTTTGTCGAATTTTCCATTCTCGATGGTGAGAAATGGACATGAACATGGTACATGTATCAAGCCTGCAACAGCTGTTACACATCATTTATGCTGGAAGCAAAGCCTAAACATTGTGAAAATCATGCTACGGTTGTGCTATAACTTTTTTACACCTGACTTAAACTCGATGACGATCAGGTGGCATTAATGCTTTCTGGAATGGGGTCTGCCTCAGTGGATGTTTTCAGAATGGTAAGGATGTTTAGACTTTCATAAAATGGATTCTTTTTTCTGATTTTCTATCTGTTATTGGTTTCTATTGGCACATTTCCAGTTGGATATTTGCTACATATGTTGTCATCGAATTGTTTCTGTAAACAACAACAATCAAGGAAGATAATTAGTTTCTTGTATGATTGATCTTAGTCGACTCTAACCTGCAATGTTGGTTAACATTCAACCACAACCAACTACTCCTACATATGCTTTTAGGAAAGTTAGATGTAAAGTCACAATCATTCTCAATTGTTATGGTAACTGTTTGGAGCTAATGCTGTATCCAACAATGTGGCAGGCAAGTTCGCGGTGGGAGAAGAGGCAAGCAAAAGTACTGGTAGGCTCCTTCTTCCGACCATCCATGGAATATTAATCTAGTTTCTTTCAACTATTCTGATTGCATGTTGAGAACACATTTGGTTAAGCTTCAATGATATTCAGTGGGAACTGAAAAGTATGGACTAGCTACCATCTAGTTGCATTGGCAAGATAGGTATTGTATTCCAGTGCAATTGCACCCTTTGCGTACCATCTCAAACAGACGAAACAATATTCCACTCCATCCGAACAGATCCTGATGAAGACGTACAATTCGTTGCAGGAGAAAGCTAGGGTGCAGATGATGAAGAAGAATGGCAAGGATGCTGATAAGGATGATTCGTACTGGAGCAACTTGTGGGGCAGTCAAAAAGACCGCCAGCCCTCAGGTAATGCAACCATTTATTAGTGAGGAAGCACCAATAAGAAAAGTAAGTGTAACTCACATATTGTACTTGCTCGACAACTTTCGGCGCAGAGGAGGAGACTAAGGAGAGAGCAAAAAGAGCTGCTGCAGCTGCCAGACGATGGAGGGAGTACTCAAGAAGAGGTGTGGACAAAGCTCCTAAGTTTAAACTCCCAGAGGCGATCTCCAACAACGACAACTGATTGGTCGGTACGTTCAGTGATGCATATATGGGTAGATAGATATAGATAGATTGATCGATGGGATGAGAATCCTTCACTGGGAAGAAAGTTTTACGTTATTGCACGCGATGATGTATATAAACTTGACAAACTGTTGCAGACTTGCAGTACAGATATATAAAGGCATATAAACGAGATTGTCCAACGTCCACTAAGAAGAAGCTTGCATTAGGGAAGAAGCTTGCATAATAGCAATTACGAAGTTCTTGCATGATCTCTTCTTCATAGTGCTGACAGAAACTGATTTCCTCCTCCAAAATCCAAATACTGAAAGAACTCTAATTTGCTTGACCTCATCTTCTCATGGCATGCTAAGTTGCTAACAGGCTTAATGAACTAAACGAAGACACACTTCTTTCTCTCACTCGCCTTAGCACTATTGCAGACATAAAACGAAAGTTTTAACAGATCGATCTAACCCTCGAGTTCTCAATTTTACATGTTCCGAGGCCTGACAACGACTTCACAATCTTTCATGAGCACTCGTGAGCCCATCGACGATGAGGCTAGCAGAGAAAGAAGGAGAATAATATGGACAATGCCAGCCATTTGGCTTGACTCAAACAGAGGGTTCTTAGTATTAACAAATTCTACCATGGGTTCACCTTTTCTTGTTGGTAGCCTAAGCCTATGGTGGATCTTGCTTTTATGCCGAGTCTAAAAAAGAATGACAAATGAAAAAACTAAAAGAATAAAGACTTCACAGTTTTAACTTCAAAACGCTCTACCATAGATCGTTGCTAAAACTCCGCCGCAAACTTCATGGGAGCAGCAGCTTCTTTGAAGCTCGATTTACCATGAGTCCATGACCAATGGCGGCCTCAATTTCACCATCACCAACCATCCCGGGCGCCAAACTAGAAGCACTAACGACTACTTCTCTTTTTCTTCTTGTAGTTCATCATCATCAATAGCCCTTAACAGCTTCGCACACGACCCCAATTCTTCTTCTTCTTCTTCTTCTTCTTCCACTTCCCCTATGCTCAATCGAACAAGATCAATGGTGGGCCCTGATTCAGACCCACCAGTAACAATCGGAACCATGCCCGAAACGCAGCTGAAGAATTCGTCCACCGCGGTTTCTTCATTTGGAATCGATTCCTGGTCATTGGTGATGGCGTCCCCTGTTCCTATGTCACAATTTTGAACAGTCGATTTCGACGTCCGTATGACGATTTCTTGCTTCGAGCTCGATTCATTCTCATCAATTATGTCTGGGGAGCTTGATTTACCATCACGCAGTCCAGCTGGAGCCGCGGTGGAGGTAGAAATGATGAATTCTACCTTCTTCCTTGACGTACCCTCGTCAATGGCGGCTTTATTCTCCTCTGTTTCATCCCTACCACTCTGATCAACCAAGCTAGATGTACAAACGACGAATTCTTTTCCTTTACGTCTCAATCCCCCACCATCATCAACAATGGCGGCTTCCTCCCCTGTTTTACCATTCCCGCCAGAGGAAGCGACAAAATTCGATTCAAAGACCATAAAACCACCCTGTTCTCGCTTCAATCTCCCCTCTTCAATGGCCGCTGCCGGAACCCATGTCCGATTCGACCCGGATACAATCAGTCTCGAAGCACACACGGCACAAATGACAAACTCCCTCTTCTGATTCGACCCGGAATCGCCGGCGCCGGTGCCGTGATTACCATCATCTTCCGACGACGAGACCATGGAAGAGCAGGAAAAAGCTGTTTCTCCTTCTTCATTTTGTTGAGTTGGGGGTAAAGAAACGTCGTCGTTTCGGGGGCGGCGGCGGCGGAAGAGAGTGGCGGAAAGGTGACAGAGGAGGAAAAGAGAGAAAGGGAGGGCGAGGAGAGAAATATAGGAGAAAAGCGTCCGGTGAAATGAAGGGTGGTGGCGGCCATGGACGTACCATTGGAAGAGCATGGCGACGCCGGGGAAGAAAGTGGGAGAGCTGCTGATGGTGTAGAGAGTTGGGATTTTGCGGATTTGGAAGATGGGAGAAGAAAGTTGTCACCTTTGCTCTGAAACTGCTGTGAGTTGGTGATGATGACGGTGATAATGGGATTTGTGTTCACTATGAAAGTTGTAAGCAGAAAGATCGTCATTCGTCAACGGGCAGGGAGTTTGGGGGTTTGTTACTGTTTCAGGGATCCCGCCGGATTTGGCTTGCGGTTTGTTCATTTTGTATTCTTTTTTCGCGTTATTCTGGTACGCCTCTTTTTTCTTTGTTGCTAATTTTCGTTTGGATTGATCAACAAGAAATCGAGAATTTTGAATTACAGGTATTGAGAAAGCAACTGCATGCTACTCTCAGGTGTTAAAACTAGCCGACTAGATAAGCTGACTGACAAGGAAACGAGCAAAACTCGCGTTGAACTCTGCATATTATCACGATCCCATTTTTGTAAGGACTATAAAACCAGAATGCAAGCAAGAAGCTGAAGAAAGGGGAACGCAGAAGAAACATAATCAAGGTGAAGAAACGACTCTTCTCTATCAAGCAGTAGCTCCAATTCTGCTGCAAAGTCCGCTTGGATCCACGTCCAAACGAGAAATTCATCGCATTGTCTCTATATTGAATTGCTGCCAAGGCATTGTCTCGCTCCATCAGGGCTTTGTCTCTCTCTGCTAGGGCTTTCTCCCGCTGCTGGATTGCTTCATCTCGGGCTTTTATGGCTTCCCTTTTCTCAGCAACAGCTAGATTTCGTTCTTGAATGGCAGCATCCTTCTCGGCAAGGATTGCCATGATCTTCTTGTTCATTACTAGGGCATTTGTCTGTTCCTTCCCCTGATACTGCTGTGGAGGAAACCAAATTCCATGCTAATTAATACATTTTAGAAGTTGAATTAGACTGGAAATGGCAGGATAAACTGGAGAAAATGAAGATAAAAGAAAATCTATCCAAGGTGAAGAAGGCTCACCGCAGGATGTGCAGCCTTGTAATAGTCCATGTACCTACCATTTTGACCATCATCCATCTTCTATCCAAATGTTAGCACTATCCACGTAGTAGAATGAGCATCAAAATGGAAACCGGTTCTAAGAGCTGAATTCAGAATACTGGACCCTTCCTGCAAAAAGAATCATTTTGCTTTTAGAAAGGAGAACCAAGCTAGGAAATCGAACAAAGCAGAGAGAAGTGAGCCACATTACACTTCAATGTCACTAAATAGTGATAACTACTACTTAATGAGAACAAAGATACCAAACAAAGACTGATGAAAAATAGTCCAGACTTCATATATGAGCTCATCAGCATGCATAAGACGATGCAAGAAGAAAATCGTAACTAGTAGATCTATCTGATTGCTCAACAATAGCAGGAAAAGCCCAAAATCTTGTTTACTTTCAGCAGCATATGACTGGAGCACCCAACTTCCCAACGCCACATGGTGTGCAATATGATGCATTATAGTTTCAACGAGACATAGAAAGCAGGAGAAACTCAAGTGAAACCCATACGAGCAATGCAGATTCGTGCTGCATCCCTTAGCCCTGAGAAAAAAGTTGCAAGGCTCAACTGGCACCAGTGGCTCAACGCGTGAAGATCACTTCTTGAAACCAACCAATAGAGCATTAAACTTAGACATGTGGGTTCAGCCTCACGAACTCCACCATCCTACTAAGAGCTTATCAGTCAAATCCTAGAGCCAGAAGGAATACAACCATTCCTGAAAGTGTCCCAGACTAAGCAAACGACCAAGCAACCACAAACAGGCTGGGGGGAGCTAGCATTCAAAGCAAAATCAAACTAAACCTAGCAATCCAGTAGTCCCAGTCAAAAACTTGACCGGATACAAGAGATCATCATCAACAAAGGATTTCCAGTGAGGACAAAAGAATCCCACAAGCTACAAATCAACCAAAAGGACAAACAACACCCAGTGCAGCTAGAGAACAGCTAATCTCACACCAACTCATTGGATATCTCAGAGTAAGAAGATGCCCCAATCCAATCAAAACCCATCAACTGAAACACCCTAAAGTCCAAACCCAGATAAGTGAAACCAAGAATGTCTATAAGCTCATTCACCATTGCCTCGCAAGAGTGGGGCATTTCCAAGAGAGAAAATTAGTTGCAGTCATAAACCCAAACACGTAAATAAAACCTAAAAAACGAGAATGGGGGAGAGAGAAACGCAGGTAAAAGAGAGGGAGAGGGACAGTTGCGCAGTAGTGCATAACCACAAAGAATCGATCCAGGGAAGAGGGTGAATCAGGACTTACTGATTCGAGTCATTGCATCAGCGACATTTGATTCCCAATCCCTAACCTCCCAAAGCAGATGAAAGAAAGCTCGAAATTTTCTGAATCAACGAACACGCAGAGGGAGGGGAGAGAGAGAGCTAGAGAGAGAGAGAGAGAGAGAGAGAGGGATTAAGCAGTGATGGATGAGGCCTGGGTGGGCGCTTACTGGGTGTCGTTTTTCCCCGCCATTCTTGCTCCAAAACGACCCGCCGTACTATACTGGTTCAAGATGTCGTATCGTCGTTTTACTTGGGACATTTATTAGTTTCCCACCAAAAAAAAACTATTCGGCTAAGTTTCCTCGATGATCAGTAAACTATGTGGGTCTTACTAAATAATACTTGTTCTTTCTATTCTGAACGATACTTTATGAATTCAAACATAATTAGTTCAATGGCCTAAATGAAATTGAAAATAGTAATAGTGGATGGAAAAAGCCTGAAATTATAAATTTATGATAACCACATTAGCCACTGTTATGACTTTCAACAATTGCGACGACTTGAGTGACCTAGATAAACTAAAAGGCGTCTCCTTTACTTTTCATTCACACTCACTGAAGGCGTCATTATGAAGGCCAAGGCTTTCAATTTTTATATGGGTTTGTGTGGGAAACGAAGATGGAGTTTGGGGATGCGAGTGTCTTGGGAGCTCTTTGGGTTGCAGCCATACTACCGCTGCTTAGGGATGGCAATGGGTCGGGTCGGGGACGGATAGTGCATATCTGTTACCCTACTCAAAGTAGTTCCGGATCGGGTCGGGGACGGGTTAGAATGTTGCTCTCCTAAAGGAGCCTTCCTGATTGAGGAGGGTTGAGCTACTTTGTGCTTGTTTTGTATGAATAACTATCAAGAAAGAAGAAATTCCTCGATTGATTAACAATAATGTCCTTGGTCTGTCGGGAGTTATTGCTGATTTGGTAATTATCGTCAACAATTATTTTAAGGTATTCGGTATTAGTGAAAACGGGTTCACCAGATTGTACTAGTTGGAACTCAACTTGGCTGATTTAGGTCTTCGTTCGTGCTTCTTCTTGAGGTGAGGAGATCGGTATAGGAGCACAACATATTCATGCGACAGAGTGTGGCATGTGGTATTGATGCCAGCACAATCATCTCAGAGTCATAGACTTGACCAGGTGCATTTTCCAATCTAATTCTTGATTAATAATTAGCTAAATTTCTTGTCATTGTAGGGATAGGTATTTGCTTTTGTTGTGAGTCTATGTGATGGTGAGAACTTCTAGTTAACTATTGTTGGTAATGGCTAAGATTCATTTTCTTTTTAATCTTGTTGTTGTGTTTCTTGTTGGGTATGCGCAGATGTGGAATGCCACCACATGGTGGTTTTGTAGCGTGTAGTGACGATCATATGTGGCCTACCCAACAATGGCCTAACATCATTGTTCGATTTGACCTATGGTGATGGTCAAGCCTCCTAGGCCGGCGTCGTGGAATTGAAGATCGTTGTTAGATTGATGACCTAACTGGATAAATCATACATGTATATGACCTTAATTCTTCTCTTTTGATTTCCTGAGGACAGGGTAGTAAACTAGTAAATCACGGGAAAGAGGAGTAGAAGTTAACGTTGAAGTTTCGATAGTTTAGACTCTTGTGTCAAGTGTATGCTAATCGTGGTATACTCATTCAACAACTTGTGAACCTGTTAGTGTTACCCTCTCCGAACTAGGTATTGACTTGCTTGTTTTGTTGGGATACTGTACTCAAACTTAGTTTACCAAAGGATGATGAATTCTTACACTATCACAATGACTTGGGAATTTATCTTCTTCAATCATTGATTTAGGTACCCGAAATTATGGCCATGAGAGTTAATCTATCGTTTGATTCCAATAAAGCCTCAAATTAGCGTAATGTAATAAGTTTCAATCATCCATAATCAGCAGTGTAAACACAAGTTTAAGAGATTATTCATTCCAGAAGTGAACCACATTTATTGATTTTCACGTATGACATTTTGAGGATCAAAGTTTTGTCATATATTTTTTTAATTCATTACAGTGTACTTGTGTTATAGTTGCACCATACTCCTTGCTAATTTTTTTGATTTTTACCTCTTTTTTTAATATGGGTGAAATGTTGCTTATTAGGAAATTGGGTTAATGTTCAATATGATCACTATAATCACCTATATATAACACACTAGACAGTGAACTACGATATGGGAAAAAACTATAGCACTGAATTCGACATTAAACTATTCATACTCCCAAGTTATCCCGAGCTTCATGGGGTAGAGACTAAAAATTGTATAAATGTTTTCGCTTGATATATATGTTATGTGTGTGAGGGGTTTATACTCCCCAACTTATCCATAGCTCCAAAAGAGTAGAGACTAAAATTTTTATAGATTCTTTTGCTTGATATATATGTTTTGTTTGTGAGAATTCGAACATGGATTGTATGTACAATTAATCCTTAGTACGAAATAAGGATACGTTGACAAAGTGTTAATGAATTTCTCAAATCAGCCACACTACCACCCACTTGGAATAAAACCTTCACCATCTCATTTGGGGTTATTATCCCAAGCAAAAATCACGCACCTAAGTCATATAATATGAGTATCTTTCACACTCTTTTACATGTCTCTTCGATCTTTTTTCTTTTCTTTTGATCGGTTTGATGAATATCTTTAGCGATACTTATCCTATATACTCCTTCAAATTTATTATCCTCGAGGAAATCGTCTTACCACTAAGTTACATTGTTTAAACTCATCCGCTTATAAGAATCGTCTTCACATGTATATTCTCGCATTTAGAACCTTTACCTTCTTCGAAGAGCCAAGACGCACTTTGTTTTGTGTTGACTACAATATCTTCAGTGGTAGTTGGTTGTAGTTGTCGGTGAGGAGAACCTCCTCGATAATAGGAGGAGCTTTTACCTCACCCACATTTTTTTGCTTCAAGTTCCCAATCAAGGGAGCAACACAATATTAAGTATGTTTGTGTTCTTGTCTCTTCAAATTCTTTGTATAAATGTGATACTTGCTAATTGTCTCATCGTGTTACAGGTTAAAGTGAAAGTCAGGGAGCTCTTATGCATTAACAGAGCTCATGCATTTCCAAATACCTTATGGATGCTTCCAAATTAAGAAGGAAATTGATGCATACTTCTCAAGCTCCACCATATATCATTACTTGGCATTATGTGAGTTTCCAACCCAACCTTAAAATGTTTTCTTTATCATGTTTCTCTCTCAAATACTAATGTTTTTCCTTGTTTTTATTCACTTTCATATATGAGATACTTTCACATAAGACTTCAACGAGGGGTAGGAGTGGGTGGCTAAACTCTTTTGTTGCTTTAACAACGTTCACTAGATCTTTATGTTCTCATATTTCCTTGGTAGTCTCTTGAGACATATGAAAGAACATAGATCTTTTACTAGATGTATATCTTTTGTATGTACGACTTCTATTATTGGTTGTAATTACAATGAACACTTAGTACCTAATAGGAAATCGTTGGAAAAATAGTAACAAAAATAGGATACCAACCTTCAAAATCATCGCCTACTTCCATTTTGTTGTTTATTAATAGATGATGTGTATTAATAAATTTGTAGTTTTTTAGCTTGTAGGAGAAAGAAGAGAGCACAAAGAACAAATAGTTTTTTTTTAATTAAAAAGGATAAAAATGATATTTTCATAAAAAAATAAATATATTCTTCTTTAAAGCATCCAAATACGAACACGAAAATCAAATGTTGTAATCTCACAAAGTATCATTAGTTTGATACATGTATATTGCAATGCAGGTATACATCACAAAATGTATATCCGTAAGATTCGAAGAAACCAAATGACCCTTTTGTTCTCTTAGTTTTTTTTTGTTTGTTTCTTTTTACTTGCAATTTTTTTATCATTTCTAATCATTCCACTAAGTTATTTCCTTCTTGTTTGTTTTCCATCATTCTCGTCATCCACCTCCATCGCAGTTCACTTGTCTCGTGATGATTCTTTTCATTCTTCGATCATTCCAACAAATCTCCAATTATTTCTGGTCGATCTGTCTCTATCTTCTTATTCTTATACACATAGCCGACAACTCATCTCTAGATATCTCCATGCATCGTTCGTTCCGATCTCCAAATTTTCTTGTTGATGAGTTTTTCAAAATTGTGTTTTCCCTTAATAGAGTAACATTGAAATAACATAATATACAAAGTAAGGATTTTTATTTTACTGTTCTAGAATTTTCATGATTTCAAGTTTCAGGGTGGTTTTATTTTGAGTTTTGTGACGGTGTCTGTAGGTAAGTATTATAATTGTTATTTATCAGCAATCTTAAATGGACATAGTATATTGATTTTTATGCCTTTTTATGTTTCTTGAGAATTATAAAATTAATCATATACCTGTAAGTTAGAATGTTGGAGTGGATGACGATCTTACGCTGATCTGACCACAAAGGCTGAGAGAAAGTTGGATGATCTAGTATTGGTCTCTTGGACAAGTACTAACATTTTTTTTATTTGAAGTTGTATAAATTTTAGGAGCATTTGGTAGGAGTTTATAAGAAGTAAGTTGATGGGATCTTTTAATAATTGATAGTTAATGAAGGCGGCAACGGAGGAAGAAAATCTACAAAACAAGGCGATGCATATCTACCTGTTTGGAAAATGTGAAAGATTTGAACCCGGAAATGTTTATGAATCGAGATTGGGAGGACCGAATCCGGGGAAGAGTCAAAGCATGTGCTGCTACGCACGATGGCATTTGTCGTCGTTCGGAAAAGGAATTTCACGTTTCAGTGCGTTGTGCAAGAAACGCCTGAGATCATTAGCCGTCCAATGGTCAATTCGCTGCTAACTTGTCAAAAGAATCCATCGTTGAAGTTCATAGCATCGTATCAGTGCCCACAGATCTAATTAGGAGAACGACTCAGCTGGTTGAACTATATGTGAGTAAGGTATTATGCATTATCTGATCATGTCAACTCTCAATCGTTCTCAATGATGCTTCCCGTAGCGACAATGAGATTGAAGAAACGTTGAAGAAAGGTGAACCGATTGTGCGTGTAAATACTGATACGCGGCTGGATAATCGTGTGGGGTGATTGCAAACTTCAACCAATCAGGCAATCTTTCAGCTAAAAGCGCGCTGGTCCAGGCATTTAGGGAGTGACTATTCTCTAAGAATTTCATTAGATCCACACTCCAAAGTTGATGGATGACACTAACGAGGAGGTGTTGTTGTCTTCAAAGTGATAAAGAATGATCAGGAAGCTTGTCTTGCCAATCTGCTAAGTTGCGCAAGCATATAACCATTGCTGCTGATTTTGAGCTTGTGTTCAATGTGGGTTTCTACTTGAGAGTAGAAAAGAGTCACATTAGCATTCATCTCTACGAGTTCATTGGATTGACTGTTGAGATGGAAATCAAACATCATTATTTCGTGGTATGATATACTTTTTTTAATTTTATGTGAAATTATTTGAACCTACAATATACTTTTTGAAGAACGCTTGTATATACGCCAAGAATTTTAGAAATTATACGTACAAGTTTAACGATTTATATAAATAAAATAAGCGTCAAGATATATCAAACAAATTTCGTCTAGTCCTTTTTTATTTGGGGATGAGGGTTTGATTCCCCATTAAAACGATTTACATTTATTCCGTCCTTTTTTATTTTTAAGATTCTTTAGTTCAATTCCCTATGAAAGCTATTTCCATTTATTTAAGATAGAAAATTAAGTTTTATCTTGAGTTTATAATTCACATTTAAAAAAAAAATTTGAACACATATGTGTTAATTTTTTTCTCGAAATTATAGTATTCACATACATTCATTTTAAAGTTGCAATAAGTGTGAATAGCATAGCACAAATTGAAAAAAATACTATTTTTTTTTTGGTAATTTATTTATCCAGAACATATTATTCTAAAAAATTTAGTTTAGATAATATATTTATATTTTTTAATTATCTTAAATGTATTTTCGGGCACTTGTGAAAAATAGCTAATTTTATTCTTCTATGCTATCAATTATCTTTTCTAAAATATCGGATGATAATACGTTAAAAAAATGCCCCCCCCCCCCTCCCCCCGACTCATAAATCCTGGCTCCGCCCTGATCTGGAAATCCTCGTTTTATCTCCTCAGCAATGGGCGGGTCTGTGAAGAGGACGACGTGGCCCCTGTGATCTACGCTACGACTACAAAGTTAGAATGGTATATGGAAGATTAATTCATATCCCTGTGATATTGATCCTCTATATATAGGAGTTTGGATTTTCGATGGGCTTGGTCCCAGTGAGACACATTGTAGGGGGCTTGTGCCCATTGATAGCGTGGTAGTTTGTCGTATTAGGAAGATTAATTCATATCCCAGCAATTGCTCCTTTACTTCTTGAATTATGTAAGAGTGAAAGGAGTAACATAATGTGCGAAAGCATATAAATGTACCTACTTGCGAGCCAATATGTGCGCCTTTTCCCCTTGCGCAAGATGTGTGTCCATTTTCTTTGCCCCTTTCTTAGCTTTGGCTGACTTGATTTAGAGCTCTCAAATCATTTAAGATTGTTGTTACCGCTAGTAGGTTATAACTGTGAGATTTATGTGTTAACCTGTTGGGCCGCATGATAGGAACGAGCTTGTGTGCATGTGTAAGCGTAAGTTGTTGGCTGATTATTAGGCGTTAGCTATGTGCTAGTGAGGGTGGCCCCCATTACTTGAGAGTTTTAACTCAAGAAGTTCCTGGAGACGGGAGGCGTACGTCTTCGAGAATAGTTCGGACTCCGGAGGGGTTCGTCTTTCAACCTGTAGGAAGGCGCTTCTTCTTGGAGCCCGTTGAGTGGTGTACCGTCTTTCAGTATGCGGGGAGGCGTGTCTCATTTGAGCCTGTCAGGGGCATTTTGTTTTTGAGCATGTCGGGAGGTTGATCGTCTTTCCGGCTAGTTGGAAGGCCGAAGGCGTAAGTCTGTGCGCCTGCTCGGAGGCTGGAGGCGTGAGTTTGGTAGCCTTCGTGTTTAGCCAAGAGTCTTGAGCCGTCCAGCCTAACCCATAGGCGGGAGCGTGAGTCTTCTAGTCAAGCCTTGGGGACGAAGGCTTGGGTAATCAAGCCTAACCCAGAGGTGGGAGGTTTGAGTCTTTGAGTCTAGCTCGGAGGCCGGAGGCTTCGAGCCTCAAGTCGTTCCTCCGGAATTGTTCTGCCTACAAGGTGGCATGTTATGAACAACTTCATGCCTTGAGAGGTACTTTTGTGGAGTCGCTCTGCCTTCAGGGTGACGTTTTATAATTGAGCTCCTGCCTCAGAAGACATTTTGTGGTTGGGTTGTTCTACCTTCAGTATGGCGTGTAACGAACAATCCTGCCTTGGAAGGCATCTTTTCTGAAGTGCCTTCAGGGTGGCAATTTATGGGCAAGCTCCTGCCTTGGGAGGCATAATTCTTCGTGTCTCGGGACATTTCTCTATAGTTGTTCTATCTTCCGGGTGGCGTCTTATGAACAATCCTACCTTAGAAGACATATTTTGTGAAGTTGCTCTGCCTTTGGGGTGACGTTTTATGAGTGAGCTCCTGCCTTGGGAGGTGTGTCTTCGAGAATCAATGCGTTGCTCTAGAGTTATTTTGCCTTTGGGGTGACGAGAGGCATTTTTGTTGAGTCCTCTGCCTTCGAGGTGGCATTTTATGAACAATTTCATGCATGAGGAGATGTAAGTCTTCGAACCTTGCGCGGAGGCGTGACGAATGTGTGTATCTGTGAAAGATGTGAGTGGCTAGTTCAAAACATAGCACGTTGCAATGATCGACTTCATGATATAATAAGTGAGCTAAATACTTGAAGGAAATATACTTAGCTTAAGAGGAGGTCATCGGAGAAGCAGTAGGAAAATGGTTCAAAAGTTTGGCATTTTTACTCTATAGATATGGTTGCCTTGTAGCATACTAGTGATTGTGCTTTCTGTCTTTTTTTTCCCCAATAGATCTCTCATTAAAGATGAACTAACGATCCAGATACATACGAATTACATGAACCGAGAACGTAAACAGGAATCTAAGTCAAACCCATAAAAGGCTCGGAGTGACATCAATAGGGCCTTTCTAGCTACCAAATGAGTCGTCCTTTTGTTCTCTCTACCAACAAACTACAACATGACAGATGCGATCGAATCCAGCATATGACAAACCTCTCTATGAAGGCCAATGCTTTGGTGCCGCTGGAAAAAGTGCAACACCGGCAACTGCTTCATATGGGGCCACGTGGACTCCATCCACTTCTTCATACTAGTAATGGAACTTTGGTGCCCGTCCCTGGTAGAGACCAACACATAAATGGCTGGGAGTTCACGATGTCAACATCTTTGGTAAAATAAAGTCCACCATAGGGACATTCATAAACAGCTCTACAATAATTCTTAGCGGATAATCCCAGTTTCAGTTTAATATTATAGCCCAAGATCTTTCTATTCGTGCTTGAAAAATGACCCCTCTAATCTAACCTCTCCTTTAGAGTCGGATCGGTGTAAAGCCGACGCCTGACTGGTGGATCGTCGATTAAACTCTTTGTTCCCACTCGTAGGTCGAGGTTCAGGGGTTTCGGTTGTTTCTCTGACACAATCATTATCTGCAAAAGAGAAATTGGACACAAAGACTGAGTCTACCGGTATCCAACGCTTTACTTGAGTAAAGAATGTGATCCTATTTTGAAATACGGTAAAAAAATCATTGGCTTATTATTTATTTATCGGGTCGTGAAAAAGTACAAATTTACCAAGACAATATTATTATGTATACGAATTTTAAGCTCACATCGCCAACTCGAACATTGATTTGTTGACTTAAACTGATGTGAAACCGACATATCAAATCGGGATTGACCATACCGAGCCTTGACCTACTTGGTTGACTGAGTCGACAATTGGAGCTAATTTGAAAAACTTACTCACTGAAGTAAAACGACGACTCCAAAACAAAGTAGAAGCAGCTGGCTCAAACTTCCCCCTCCCCCCAAAAGAAGTGTTAGCGTTTAGATTAGTGAAAGTAGAAGCAGCTTGCTTGTCAATGTTTCGGCTTCCCAAGCTGGAGATGTTCATGTGGGATACAAAAGTTTTTTAACAAATTGAAAAAGGTGAACGTGCCGAAGGAGAGTTTCATGAAGGGGAATTGATAAACGTCGTCCTTAAAATTATTATTGATCGTCCTAAAAGATAACAAAGTTACACTTTTAACCTTTTGTCATCTTTAGCAAACAAACATCACTTTAACTAAAAAAAAATGAAAAACACTCAATTTCCCACACTCTCGAATTCATCGTTGACATTCTCGAGTCGTAATCGTTGGTAATACGTCCGAATCATGAGTAGCGACTCCGACGAGGTAAAAATTCGATTTTTTTCAAAAAAACCCAAAACCATGGACCAACCGAAAATTGCCTTAGGTTGAGCCATGGTACAACCGAAAATTGGCTTCGGTTGAGGGGTTTCGGAATTTTTTTGGATTTGTTTGGTTTATATCAATAATTTTCTATTCTTTTACTACGATTTATGGTTCGGTCCATAAGATAATTTGTTGGATTTTGGTTTATATTTTTTTAGATTTATGGAAGGGGAGGGGTTGTTTGTTTTGTGTTTGATTTTGAAATTCAAAATTGGCAATTCAGTAAATTACATATTAAATTAGGACGATAGTTAGTAATTTTTAGGACGACCTTTAACCATTCAGTTCATGAAGAATGGTTGATACCAAGAAGAGGTTGATCAAGAAGAAGTCGCTTAATTGAACTAGCCCGTAAAACTCTTAAATTGTAAATGAGTCTCGACTCTTAAATGGATGAGTACACTAGAAATGTGTCCAGCTCCTTATTCAGGATAGATTCAACGGTCTCAAAGATAACCAGAGACAAGATACCAATCTAAGCATAGAGATCGACACCCCAGAACTTGGCAGGTTGATTGGTACGATACTTTCTGTCCATTCCCTTGATCAGCTCCATATCCTCTTTGGTAAGCTCAAAGTCGGAAACTTCAAAGTTCTCTTTTAGTCTCTCAACCTTGGAAGACTTGGGGATGACAACTGTGTCTCTCTGGATCCCCCACCTTAGTGCAATTTGAGCAGGTGTTTTCTTGTATTTCGCAGCCAAACCCTGATAGAAAGGGGTTGAAAAGAGTTAAGAGTGAGCAAAAGAAACAAAGAGTAACAGTGAAGAATGATTGACCCAAGTTTGGTTTCACAACTTACTTTGAGAACATCATCATCCAAGCAGGAGACTGAGCCGAACCATTCGGTGTTAGCTGCAGAACCCCCCAGAGGGGTGTGAGCTGTCACTGAGACGCCATGCTTCTGACAGAATTTCACGAGAGACTCACGTTGGAAATATGGATGAGTCTCGATTTGATTCACTGCAGGCTTGATTTTCGAATAGGCTAAACAGTCTCTGGTGAGAAAGATATCATAGTTGCTGCAGACAAAACACCAATGCATCAGAGAGTTACACGGCTACCTATAACAAGCTTGCAAGAAATGAAGAATAGAGAAACATGCAGAATTGGTAGTTGTTTCTTGTAAGGTTAACCCATCAGAGAACACCTACATAATTTGCGAGTGGAGTTGCTAACCTTATACCGATGCTTCTAGCTAAACCCTTGGAAACAAGTTCTTCCATGTCATGCCAAGTAGCTTCCAGCGATATGGTTGTGTCGATTTCCAGAACGCCTTCGTCATCCACAGCACTAGATGTCGTGCCAACTCCTACATAACAAGAAAGAGCGATCATATAATGATGATTTTGTGGTCTTTGAAGCTGATTTCACAGATTGGCAGATTTGTAACATCTAGACATTTAAATCATGTGAGGACCAGCAGATATGAAGGTGTAGCTTAAGCATTTTGTAGTGGTTCTAACTTCTAAGGAAACTATTGACCTATCCGACTCGGATACACAGATAAACATTAGAACAAAAGCCTGGTGATAAGGCACTTAGTAGTCTAGTCTACACTTGGGACACAAATTGACAGAGCAGAAATGAAAACCCCGCAGAAACAAATATCGAAGGGGAACAAGTGAGTACTCATACCGGTATGCTTGGTGGCGACAGGGAAGTGAACAAGGTAGAGATCCAGATAATCGAGCTGAAGCTTCTTCAGGCTATCTTTGCAAGCCTCCAGAACATGTCCATGATCCGAATTCCACAGCTGAAAGAAAGCCATTGGAGGAACAGGAAACAGGAAAAAGAGATTAACAAGGGATCATCAATATCAAACCTTATGTCATCTCAAATTTCATCAATGAATCAAGACCAAAAACAACATCTCAATTGAGAAGCTTATAAACAAAACAGACCTTAGTAGTGATGAAAAGTTCCTCCCTTTTCACAAGACCAGTCTTGAAAGCTTCAGCAAGCGCTTCCCCAACTTCAGCCTCGTTCTTATAATCAGCTGCCAATCACAACCCCACACGACTCATTCAGGCAATTCAAACGATTCAAACGAACCCTCAGCACTACTAAGAAAAAGCACCAATCTTTTGATGAAATTGTTTGGTTTCGGTAGAATCAAACCAAAACCCGTTACAGACCAAGCTCGAATTTCGCTAACCAATCAACGACCCACAAGAGAAAAGAACGCAGTAAAGAAGAGTAAGAGTGTCGAGTAAAAGTACCAGCGCAATCAAAATGGCGATAGCCGATCTTGATAGCGTTCAGGATTAGGTCCCTAATCTCTTTCCCTTCCATTCGCCACACTCCCAGCCCGACGATGGGCATCTTCAAGCCATTGTTGAGGGTGACCGACATCGTTTCTCTCACTTGTCGCTGATGATCCGAAGCTTTTCGCTGGAAGCTTCTGCTTGCAATGCAGAAGATGAAATCGAGACAAAGCCGGTCGATCAGGATTCAGGAAGGAGTCGCTTTAGGTTTAGTAGATGTTTTTGGAGGTTTTTGAGGTTGGGAGAGTCCGAGCCGTTTGATTCCTTTGTCGTGGAGCGGGCGGAGTTAATCTCTTGTCCCCATGGACGTTGATGTTGGACCACAACTGGACGAAGTATGGGCCGATCTAAACAAATTTATGGGCCGATTCCCTAGCCCGGGCCTTTGATTTATTCTAATATTGGGTGGGCCGGTCTCTCACGTCAGGGCTAAATGAGAAAATGGTCACTTACTTTGTAGTCATAACAAAACGACCGCTTCACTTTTCACTAGCTACCAAAATGGTTTTTAAGTCCCATCTTTGCTTCTCTATACTATTTTTTTCGTATTATCATAAGAAAATAATGTCACTATAACAAAAAACTTCCTAATTGGCTAACATGGGCAACCTAACCCTAACCAGAAAACATTATTCGATCATGACGTGCTCTTAGGAAACTCGTGAAGAGAGATATCAGAGTCATAAATAAGTTCTCCGTCGTAAGAACACGAGTACTCCTAATCAAATATGAATCAACAACCATATAAATCAGCAACTTGATACTACAAGTCTACAACCACGATCTCAACAAATGCACTCTCTTAAATTCTACCTTGGCATAGAGAACCCATCCATCACATAGCACTATTGCTAGCAAAAAACCAAGCTACATGGTAAAGCTATAAAAAGAGGTAAGCAAAGATAAGGTACTTAATACACACTTTACAAATCCATTAAGGGAAGCAAAACATCAACCAACCCACCTTGTACAAGATCATGTAATAACCTGAAAAAATTAGGTCATATTTTTGTAAGCTTATGCACGGGTCACTCCACAAATTGCTAATCCCATGCATAATTTTGTCCCCATGTTGTCATGCATAACAAGTTGAGATTTGAGGACGATAGCTTCCACTATTCCATTAGATTGGTTTCTTCTTATTTTATCGAATGAGCCTCGGTCCTTTTTCAATATGGTTAACATGTTTACGTTTGTTCGCACAAGTATAAGTATATATTTACATCGTTGGATCTAACATTCTGCAAGATGCAATCATTAGATGTATGTTGTGGTGATTGCCGTATTCATCCAACGATTGTAAACGACATATATAATGATGTAAACAATACAACGAAACTGAGTGATTTCTCTCCCTTCCGCATATATTTCCATGCTTTCTTTTAAGTACAGGTGTTGATTGATCTCATATCCTTGTGTGTGGCAATCATTCGTTTGGCAAACAAAGATGGCACTTTTTATGAAAAGAAATCCCACAATATTGAGAAAAAAAAGGTCTTAGCTTGAGTCATATGACCTGTTTTTTTGTGCACTTTATCTCTCAAATCAAGCTATTAAAGTTTTTCTTGGGAACTTTGTTGGAAAGGATCATTCATCCTATGGTGGGAGGTTATTTAAATATTGCCACTCAGCTTCAATCTTTCCTAGCCTTACTTTCTTATCCTAGGAAGTAGTGGGTGTATGATTCCATATACATTATTCAACATTAGAATGTTGGGTGACCACTCCTGATTTGGGGTTTCCTTTATTTTTAATTTTTTCATCAATTGATTGTCTGGGTTAGATTTCGTTTCTTGATTGTTTCAATCTCTGTACTCTTTTGTGTCTAGTTGTTTGTTTGGTAATACAATGATCTTTTGACGAAAAAAAAAGATAAACTAATTGGCTATCTTGGTTTGCAACCTAATCAAAATCGAATGTATTGGCAGACACAAATTTAGTTGAGTGATTATAACTTCAAATTTTGAACTAGAAAATTTTTGGTTTCGGAGTCCATTAGACACAAGTTTCATCTTTGATTGTAATACCACTAGTTTTAAACCTACAAGTTTGAGATTAGAATCTTTTAAGTAGTACCTAAATAAATAAATAATCAAACTTATATCACCTTTGTAAAAAACAAAATTTTGAATACATTGTAAGATAGGAGGCTTGGCCTTTATAACACTAGTAAAGAGTAATGTGAGACTTGAAAGTATGAAGACTTGTCATCCTTCTCCGAGCCTTCCATGCATAATGAATGATGGATTGATGGAGTTATTATCAATGGAATAAAGAAGAACTAATTGGGAATTTTGAAGAGTTTAGAGCAAATCGTTTTCAAGGCAATCACAAAAACTGAATTACAATACTAGCCTCAATCAAACACAATAGTCAGTATACATGCAATCGAACTACTGATAAGCGAATATTTTTTTGTAACTGTATGGACAACTCTATTATACTCCGACGACCAAAACTCACCACTATTTTATATAAAACTATTTCAAAAAAGAAAGTGTTCACTCTTACCAACTACACGAGGACGAGCATAATAATAGCAAGTATAACACATGCTTTGATACCCAAAAAAAAAACTAGTCGTAGATTCAATTGATCCGAAGTCTTGGAATGAGGAGAGCCAGCCCAGAATTCAACGTGACCTTCCTTCTCCACAACCGCAGAAGATGGACTTCACATGGACGCGGTCATCAAGTTCCCATGAACGCGAAACTATAAAATTTACGCTTCAATCATTCCTTTTAATTATCATTCTGATCAAGTGAATCCACAATGATACATGCATCCAGTAAGATTTTTATTAAACTTTGATTAAAAAAATATATTTGTAACTACATGCCGACTAATGGTGCTTTGAATTTTGAATCAATCTCCTCCTGCCGTCGTAAATGGTCTTCTCTTCTCTTAATCAACAAGATTGACCACCGTATAGAAGAAAGATGGGAACCATCGCCGCCGTTGAGTAGTAAACGGTAAACTTCCAATTAGTCCTCCGGTGGATCCCGCCACCCCCAGCCTCCGTCTAGTGCCACCCACAGCAGTAGCCGACACCACAACGGCGGCCGCTTCGGAGATTCCCGCTGTCCCACGCCCACATGACTCTCAAGGTTTATGTCTCCTCCAAATCACCATTCCATTTTGTGAACAACCGGGCACCGGTTAAACCGAAATGCCACTGGACACCATAATCAAACCGGATTGGACGAAACTAAAACTCAATTTTCCCTCTAAAAAAAAGATGACTAAGGCTAACTCAAATGGAGCCTCTATAAATGGGGGAATCTCTATATTTGGGAAAAAGTTAGCTTTAATGGAGTCTCTATATTTGGGGAAGATCTGCAAAAAGATCCCCAAATTTGGGGGTGGAAATGGGAATCCCCAAAAAATTCGGACTTGAAATTTAACAAAATTTTATCGAAAAATTTGTATTTAAAAATGATGACGAACTATACAAAAATTAACAAGAACAAATTATATTAAGGCTTCGATAATTACATTTTTAAGTAAATAGAAAAACTGGAAAAATTAAGATCCCCGAATATGGAGATTGAAGCATTGGAGCAAAAAAAAAGATAAAATAGGGGTCGATCCCCAAAGTTGGAAATTAAGCCCCCCAAATTTGGGGTTTTGCATTGGACTTGACCTAAGTCACAATAAGAGAAATGCATGAGATCGATCAATATAAGATTCCTTTCAAAAATTTGAATTGGTGAAATTACTGAACCAGGCTCGCCGTGCCTGAACAATCTGAATAATCCTGATCGTCTCAGCGATATTGATGATTTGGTCGAACCACACAGTACGATGGGCGGTCTGCGCACAACTGATTCATTCACGGTCCATGGATACGTAACTCTCTGCAATAATTAATTAAGTTGAATTATTGATTTGAAGACTAATTAAACACAAATTCTGACCGGCAAGTCAATTTGTAAGGAGTGTAAAAGAAGCTAAGCATTATTCCAACTAACTAGTCATTTCTCATAATTAAGCCGTGTTTCTGCCTTTGAATTGGCGTGGCGGCCAGTTAGCATGTGCCTGCCTCGTCGAACCTCCATTATCGACTCTACGGCATGGTCCATGAAACCGTATCGTACCGCCGGTTCAACCACGAAATGCCAGTATCGAAAGCTAAATCGGTAGGCGGTATTTAACGATCTAACGGTTGAACTACGGTTAAACCATGGTTTTACCATAAAATAACCTACTGTTGTTGACTTTCCCGATACGATATCCGGTACGGTTTCATGGACCATGCTCTACGAATAGGATAGGATTAGGACTGTCTGTCTTCAACGAGTCCTCTCACTTAGCTTTCTGCAATTCGGCTGTGAAAATGGATCATACGTAAGCTCTGGCGTGGGCCGTCGCCGCCGGTGACTATCTGGGGGAGGTCGAGACTTCAATCAGTCCGGCGCTTTTGTTTCTTTTTGTTTGTGGTTATGGAATAATAATTCTGATTATAACAAGAAGCAATAACTAGAAAGTGGAGATAACATGGCATTACAATAATAACACACAAAGAAACAAAAATTTAGCGACATGCTTCCGATTTAAAAATACACTGTATTACGATAATGGTGTAACTTCAAGGTGTAAGATTTTTTGAGTTATGAAATAACTTTTTTTGTTGTTGTTCTTGTTGTTGTATAAATGAGTGCAACACATGGCCAGTTTTGAAATTAGAGTTTTTCATATTATTTATCGACAGAGTTAGTTATAATCTAGCAATGGATTTAAATTGCGAGATTGAATGATTAAGTGAGGTAATTAAACATGGGCCATTTTTGAGTTGCCACAGTTTAAAAGACACAATTTTATCTACAAGTGGTTGATTGCTAATTATCACCAATGTCATTTTCAAGAGCTAAGCCATCCACGTGCGCAATTGTTACGTATTTTATTTTGATTATTTAATTGCAAACGCATATATACTTCTATATACTCTATTGTTCTCTTGAATTTTGGGCCATCAAAGAAAATTATACAAAAGCTTTCTTCAATCTCGACAGATTTTTTTTTTTAACAAAATAGCATTTATTTGTTTGTTTATTTACAGTAATGAGTAGGTAAGAAAATGAAAATTGGATGAACGCCACACGAAGACCAAAGTAAAGAAAGGCTAAAGGTAGAGGGGAGCCCACAAAAAAGGGCCCAAAATCTGACCCATATAGCACAGGACCACCCCATCCACCTATGGCCCATCTAAAAGTTCCATCACCATTCAATCACAAGGGTCCCTTCTCTTTTACAACCAAACGTGGTATTTGGATTGGCCCATGACAAAATTGGGGTGCCTATAGGTCCCGTCCTACATCACAATTAGTACAATGCTGTCCGCTTTGGGCCAAGGCCACATGGTTTTACTCTTGGGTGTCCTCCCAAAAGACCTCGTACTAATGAGCTTTGGTGGACACTAAAATACAAGGGTCCCTTCCCTTTTACAACCGATGTGGTATTTGGATTGTCTCACGACAAAATTGGGTGCCAATTTTATGTTGTTATTGTAATTATAATCATCATTAACGCGAGACAAAGAATAGTATTAAGTTATATAAGAACTAAGAAGAATAATTATTAGCATAGACTAGCTTTTTACCCTGCCCGTTGGCCGGTGAGTTTCATTTTATCATTTACATTAATTAATTTATCTATATGTTTAAACTATTTTGGATCTTCTAAATTTTTTACATTTGCATTCATATGTGAGTATGCAGTGCGTCTATAAATTAAAAATTCTCAATACTTAGCACATTCACATATGATGTTTTGATTCTCTGATCATAAATCATGTCACAAAGATATATCACGTCCCATATAGAATCTTATGTCAAGATTTATCAACAACGATACTCAATTTTTTTTAATCTTGTACAATATATGTCATTCAATGAATCTCGAGTTTGGACGAACTCTCAACCAATGATGTTGCTCAGATGACGACAACTTAGTTATAATTTTTTTATAAAGGTACTTCAATATTAGATAAATTTGGTCATTCCAATTGAAAGTTTACTATCTTAGTGTATGATCATATTTGTCGATCAAGACACTCTATTTAATATCTTATACAATATGTACCAATTGTTAATACCTAAAGTTTAATTTTGACTCACCCTCGACTCATGGTCGTTGTTTAGAATCTCGGTCCAAGATACTCACACACCGTCGAGGTTTCTAATCTTAACATGGTCCATTAGTGTATAATTTTCTATCTTATCAAATATGCATTTGCTAAAATTTATTTATCTTTGGTGTTTGTTTTGGGATAAAAATTCCATTACTTATACTAATATCTTCATTTTATTGGTGTAGTGCCACATCCTTAATCAATATCTAAGCATGATACTATCACTAAGTAAGAAAACGCTATCAGAATCACGAATTAACCGAATTTGTGGGCATGATACTAAACCCTAACCCTTGATAAGTGAACCCGAGGTCTTAGTTATCTAAATCATAGAGCTTAACCCCTAAGATTGTGCAGGTAATTTGTTGCATATATTTTGTCGAATAGTGACCGTTGATTTTTGTTTATAATTAAACTGATCTTAGTGTAAGAGATTTATAAATTTAAGACCTAGATTTTAATTTTTAAGGCTTTGAGAATAATACCATATGCCAAACTCTAGTCAATTCAAAAAAATTATTGAATAAAAAAAGAAAACATTAAAAGAAGATAGAGATAGCTACATAAATGATCATTAAAATAAAAAAAATATTAAAAGAAGATAGATATAGCTACACTAATTGATCATTAATTAACTTTTTTTATTGTAAAAAAAAGTGTCCACCATGACACCTTGTAAATTCTCCAAATGCTTATATGGCAACAAACTACTTTTGAATGGTCATAATATTACGTATAGATAGATAGATATAGATAGATAGATATATATAGATAGATTAGGCCACTTGTATTGTGCCACGAAATCAATCAATACAAAATAAAACGACCCCCTCGACTAATTAGTAATTACTTGCCCCCTAATTTTTAAGCATTAAGAATGTCCCCGCCGGCCCCTAGGATCCGTTTTGCTTTCTAATTCATCGTTTTTTGTTTTTGTGTACTAAATAAATTTTGATGAGGTTTTACTTTTACTGTTACTTTATGAATAACGTGTGTGGTGCGCGTCAACAGTGATAGACTGAGCTGATGAGCTCTGCCCACCATCGTCTCCTCTTGTTGCTATCAAAACGAAAACAAATGAACCGAATGGAAAACCACGTCAAATATGGGAGCTAGGGAGATTCTCTTCTCTTGGCCTTGGGGATAGGGTTACTTGGGTTAGGTGGCAACTTCTTTTGTTTTTAACATATAAGTCGAGATTTAGAGCGGGGAAGATTAAAAAAAAAAAAAACACTATAAAAACGTTCACCTTTTATCTGAATTTTAATCGAGGCCATGAGAGGTTTTATCCTACTATTTAGAGAATGTTTTCTCAAAATATGAATATACACATGATACTTTAGATTTTTAAGTAATTCATTTTCTTCTCAGGTAAGTTTGCGATGCTAGGAGTACTATTATGTAATGGTGATTTAGCATAGTTATATTTCTTACAAGTTAGATAATTTTCGTATTAGGAATGCGTCACGCGCGCAGACGAGCCCTTGGTGCTTGAGCTGTTCCCGAATGCGGAGAAGATGAAGTAGATAACACGCCCGGGAACTCTGCAATGATCCTCGGCAGGAGACGAAACTCTGCCATCTTAGCTCGCCGAACCACAATTAGCACCGTAACTCCTCCCTCGTGATGAGGGGTCGGTTAGCATGCTAACCCTCTTAGGGGTTGGAAAAATGACACCCCCTAGTATATTAAATACAACTATAGAATTTAATACACACATTAAATACACATTAGAAATTAAATGTACCATATTAATTAGGAATTCTCTCACTATTAAATACACATTAGGAATTAAAATACACACATTAAATAGACATTAGGAATTCTCTCACTATATTTGATTTTTCCTTTTTCAGCAGTCTCCGACCACCAGACTTCCTCCGACCGCCACACTTCTCCGGTGAAAATCCCATCGGCAGACTCCCTCCGACCACCTCCAAAAAATATATCACTGCACTGATACGGTGTACCACTGTACTGGTAGATATATCACTGCACTGATACGTTGTACCACTGTACTGGTAGATATACCACTGCACTGGTAGCGATATCAGTGCACTGGTAGCAATGTCATATCTGAGTATCAGTGCAGTGGTACAAATACCAGTAAAGTGGTAATTAATGTGGTGTATTTAATGCTTACTTTGTATTTAATAACAGAACATTTATTATGTTTACTTTCATTAATACTTATCAATAATTAATGAAAAATTGACCAATTAAAAGGGGGTGTCAAAAACCAACCCCTTAAGGGGTTAGCATGCTAACCCGTCCCTCGTGATGATCGAATTAGAATACCAAACCTTTGCCTCTTCTTCCTTGGAGACTGTCCAAACTCTCCATTAATGGATAATTGAATGCATCAACTACCTAACAATTAAGCAAAGGACAAGATAAGGCCATTTATTTCTGTAGCTTTATTTCTTTGTTGCCCTTTGATAGAGGACTGTTGCCATTCCCAGGAAAAAAAACTGATCAATCAAAGAGGAAACGGTTCCAGTGGCGATGACGATTATGTCGAGTACTTTAGCTCCCACATGATTTGCAGTTAATGGATGGCTACATTGGGTTTTAGTTTGGTCGGTATCTGTCTATTTAGAGAAATTCAATCGGAATGAATTATTTCTGATTTTGAGATTATGGTGAATGATTCGTAATTCGTATGCGTATTATTGTTTGTTATCATATCTTACGTAACGAGAGAGTTGATTCCGGTCTAGAGAAACCCACGTATATTTCTTGTAAAAAGTTGGTAAATGTATGGATTATGAGATGCGAGCAAGGTTGTCAACACGAGTGTCGACCAGCGGGTTGATCCGGACCCGGCCTTGAAAACGGGTTAAAATAGCCCATTTGAGAGTTAGCCTGGAAATGGTTAAATCCGGAAAAACCCGGTCAAATTCGGTAAAACCCGGGCGGTTGGCCCTTCTGAGCGGGTCAGCGAACTGCTCGTTCTAAAGTGTCGTTGAATTTTTACTATGTTGAATTTAAGTTGATGTTATTTAAGTGTGTTGAAGTTTAAGTACGGTTGTTTTTTTTTTGTTGGATTCAAAATAAGTATAATATAATGACTTTTTCATATTTTTGGGCTAAATCGGGCTAAAATGAGTGACCCATTAACCCTTGACCCACTAGCTCGACCGAGTCCGGGTCGACCCGCGGGTTGACAACAAGGAGGGTTGGATCAATTTTTTATCACTACTCTATGAGGTTGTTTGCTTGTAGGATTTTGATGAGAGATTTTGCCTCAAAATCCCATATGTGTTGGATTATGGTCCAAATCCATGTTTGTTGATAAAAATGAAGTTGATCTAAATCCGTGGAGCCCACAAATGTGAGATTTTCTTTTGTCCAAAATCCATGGACCCCAATGATTATAAAATCCCACCTCATGAGGTAAGATTTTGACAAAGTGCCAAAATCCGTGGACATCATTTAACCCATATATCCAAGATAGTAAAGTCCATTTGTAATCCAACAAGCAAACATGCAAATTTTAAAATCCAACACAAATCCAACATAGCAAAATCCTGTTATGAAACTAATGAAAATATAAACAACTACAAGAGAAGATTAGAGAGGAAAAGACACAAGAGAAGAGAGGGGAAGAGTTCTTCTTATTCATTCTTCACTTTTGAGATAATGGTGTGCTATATTTATAGGCACACTTTGGTAACCACTACATCCTTATATCAATGCATATGAATGAGAGATAATAATGTAGAAATAGAGGTTACATGTAACTCCCAAGTGAGCATCTAATGTGGTAGGTCATTGGTCATCCATATATCAATATTTACATAATACTCCCCCTTGGATGACCACTAGATTTCATTACGCTATATCATACTGCCTCATTAAAAACCTTACCAGGAAAACCCATTGGGAAAAAACCATGGTTAAGGGAAAAAGAGTGCAGTGCGTATATGCTCCCCCTCATGACCACATCACTTCATATTATTGAGTCGTTGAACTCAAATTTCACGAACAACTTTTAGAAAGATTGTTGTCGGGAGTGAGTTAGTGAACAATCTTCTAGATTGTCAATTTGATGCATGATCTTTAGATTTTCTTCATACATGATCGTCAGGATCATTTCATTTGAAAATAGTTCACAACCACAAGTACTTGAGATATGGTGGATCACAAAGTGTAACGAAAGACATTCGGGACTTCCCCATTATAGTTTGTTTTGTTTCTTTATGAAACATTTATATCACCACATGTAAGAGATAGCTCGTCTCCGATCAACCAATATAAGGATCAAATTATATATAGGATTTGGATATATAGTTTACCAAATCTCTCTTTGATAATACCATAATAGAACAATCGCATATATTGTTCCTGGAGGTAACAAAGTATTTTCCAACGTTCTAATGAGGAAAAAATTGTATCTTGCCAATATTATCAACACCAAAATGATAGTTTATGTGGTGTTTGGCTAGCAAGGTGCATTGGTGCTCTAATGCATCAACATATGGTACTTCAGGACCTAATGTTTCACTTCTTTCTTGATTTCTAAATGGATCTTTGGTCACTTCTAGTGATCTTAGAATCCTAATGTTATTTGATGAACACAATTCGTTCATGCAAAATTACTTTTCCACTTTTTCAACATTACCTTCCTTGCCCATAAAAAGGATCTTAAATCCTTCAATTTAACTTATGTCTCGAAGCAATCAACTGCTTTAGGAAGCTCTTCAGGAGATCCAATAATAGTCATATCATTAACATAATATGAGATCGTAAAAAAAACTTAACTAACACAAACTGATGCAAACAATTCTTTCATATAACGAAAGATAATAACAAAACTCACATCATAGAAACATATGAACTAGACAAAGCACAGTCATAAAACACAACTCATACTTTAAAGTAAAACACAACTCATAAACCAAGATTTCAAAATCCTTGAAGCACATACAAACAACATAACTATATATGCACAATGCAAATGCTCTAATGCACTCTATCCGGATTTAACCTTTTAAGGTCCATTCACCCCACTGTTGTAGGTGTTCACTTAGACGAGTATTTCACATTCGTCTATATTTTCTCAACCCATGCAGGGGATATTCTTAGTCTATCATTATATGTTCTCGAGAACTTTACTTGTTTACTTCAGGTAAATTAATCCTTCTAGGAGTATTTAATCCTTCTGCGAGTTTCAAATATATTTAACATCTTTCGGGAATTCAAACAAATAGGCTATCACAACAATTTTCAAACATAGATTTAAACATTGATTTGACAAAGTAGTTGCATCCACCACAAGAGAGCATAACTCCTCTCAAATAATGATAGGTCTCTTCGAGAAACCCATTGCAAAACATTGTGTTATATCTCTCACAATTTCATACTTTCCAATAGCACAAAAATTTGTTTGTATCCCGCTAGTTTTGCCCTTTTTTAGGTGCTAGGACTTCTGATCCTTAAACTTTATCCTCCTTGAGCAAGTTTCATGATTTCTTAATATATTGGCCAATAAAATTATCATTTGCATGCATCAGTAGAGTTGTACTCTTGATCCTCACTTGTACATATCATATTCAGTACTGAAGTACAACAAACAAATTTCATCGACAATGATTTTATTACTGTTCCAGTATTGTAGTCTAATATGGTTTTGAGATCTCTTCGCTTTCACAACTTTCAGAGACATGAATTCTTCTGGAACTAAAATTATATTTTATTCGTGGTTACTCTTCTTGAGTTTTCATGTCCTCGAGTTGACCATTCTAATTACAACTCCTTTTCTTTCTCGAGGATGTTTATCATTGGAACCGATTGGTCTATCACGCTTCATGCGCTCTTTCATACACATTTTTTTTATATTAGAGTATCCAACAAGGATATCAAATTTAGTTGGAGCATTCACAGCTAGTATATGTGACTTGGTCACTTCGTATGGCCAGTAAAGGCATTTGATAGTTGGTAACGATAATTCATCTTATGAACTTCAGGTTCATGTTTCTTACTTTGAGGATCAAAACTAGATAATGATAACTCATTCCAACTCATCTCTTTGTCTGGCTATTTTTTTTCTCCCCCTTAATGTTGGAAAAGTGATTCATCAAAACAATAATTCGCAAACAAATTTTCCATTTGGGATACCCAACACAAATTCTCAATTTCCAACGAGAATCAACTTAAGATACTATGGTGGAGCAATTGGGAAGTATGCGGCACACCCTGATATTCTCATATGAGAATTGTTAGGTTTCTGACCAAAACCATTTGTAAAAGGGGGGAACTTATGATAACTTGTTGGTTAGATGTGAACCAATACTATCACTTGCCAGCTAGCATGTCCTCGACAAGAGTCCAGAAGGCTCGGTTTGTTCTCTTAAGCAAAGTGATGTTTGATTGGATAACCATCAAAATGTATTCATAGTGAGGCAATCAATCTCGCAAACATCGGGTTGCGATTAGATAAAATAAAAGTGATCATATAAAATCTCAAGAGATTTGTCAACTCTTATACAAGCTCTGATCAATTGTTCTATTCTCCTTGAGAACAAACATGGCATAATAACTCTTTTATTTGAAGAGTACTTTGACTTCACATATGATGTTCTCATGAATTCTCGAATAACTTTTTTCACATCAAGATCCGGGATGGTCTAACCGGACCAACCAATTATCAGGCCACAAAACATTAGCTCTTTTAGAGCTTTACCATATTTTGTACCATATTTCACCATTCCGGAGACTTATGATTTGATGCATTCTTAGTAAACACATATTCATAGTGAATACATCACAAATTATTATCACGAGTACATAATTAAGTTACTTCAAGTAACCAAACATAAGCTCTTCGGAAGCTTTTTCTCATTTATGTACTCTACCATATAGTTTATATGGATTTTTTCTAACAATCATACTTTACAAAAACACACTAAAATAATAAATGAGAATATTCAAACTTAAGACAAAATGACGAACTTATCAAGTTAATCGTTCTAGATAAATGTTATCAAGTTAAATTATACATGAAAATAATGGCACAATGAAACATAATAGAAAACAAGAATCATAATACTACAATTGTGAAAATTTAAATAAGCTTTATTTGGAACAATATCATCACTAACTAGGTGATTTTAAATTTATATATGCGTTCCATTATGCATTTCAATGTACAACAGGTACATTATATTATCATGACTTTGATAATGCAATTGTTATTTCATCCTTATTTATAATTCTTCTCTTTTCTCACTTCTGGTGAAAAGATCCAAACAATACATTTAGCATATATATAATCATGTTTATAGCTCCATTCACTTCGGGGAATAGATTGTTTCATTCACTTCTGGGAATGAAAATGTCTCAAGTGCAATATCATTTTCATCTTTAATGGAGAATATACCAACTTATAATACAAAAAATATGCTCCATAATATTGATATTGCAGGAGCGTATATGAATTTGCTCTTCTCTTTGATTCTTGGTAGAATAAAGTCTTTTGCGTACAACGGGTACGAGACAAGCACACTTTTCCATTACAATGGTAACATACAGAACAAATATTCTTGTTACCATGTCCACTTCTTTCTATCCCCTTGGATTCTTCAATTTCCACTTCTGGGGAATATATGGGCTCTTGGAACTTGCATTTTCTACATATCAATGTGGGATTGATAAGAACAGAATAACACAGAGAATTGAAAAATTAACTCATCACTTATATTACTTTTCTTGTTATTGCAACTATATGAGCAAATTTTAATTTGCGGTAATGTCAAAACACCAATTTAATTTTAAGGAATCGATGTATGTATTGTAAAACACATAATAATATACATCAAATTACACAACCCAAAATTTTAATTCAAATAGATGTACGAGATAAAATATCAATTGATGGTATACTACGAGAAAAGAGTAGCATCCATCTTAATATATTGGAATGAGATAATCTCACCACAAATAAGACAATAAGATATGAAAGAAGACAAAGATTTTGCATACCTTGACCATATTGTGTTCATAATCCAATATACTAGATTGTGTAGAGAGACAATGACCAACCATGATGCTAGCAGAGCTTCGTGCTGATAACGTGTTATGAAACTAATGAAAATATAAACAACTACAAGAGAAGATTATAGAGGAAAAGACACAAGAGAAGAGAGGGGAAGAGTTCTTCTTATTCATTCTTCACTTTTGAGATAATGGTGTGCTATATTTATAGGCACACTTTGGTAACCACTACATCCTTATATCAATGCATATGAATGAGAGATAATAATGTAGAAATAGAGGTTACATGTAACTCCCAAGTGAGCATCTAATGTGGTAGGTCATTGGTCATCCATATATCAATATTTACATAATAAATCCAACATAATCTTTCAATCCAAAAATCCAAAGTTTTACAAAAAAAAAAATCATTTTTTAAAATCCCACAAGTAAACGACATCTATGTACTACTCGTACCTAACCTGTGTGGATTTGACCAATTGGATAGGTGCAGTCTTTCAAACTCATGAGTGACCATCTCTGATAGAAGTGAGAGTAGTAAGAGTGCGATAGGTTGTCAACCCGCGGGTTGACCCGGACCCGGTCGAGCTAGTGGGTTAAGGGTTAATGGGTCAACCATTTTAGCCCGATTTGACCCGGAAATATGGAAAGAGTCATTATATTGTACTTTTCCTTATAAATTATATCAAATCTTATCTAACATATGAGTTATAACATATAATATTACACCAAAATAACATATCGTACTTAGATCTAGCATAAAGTGAAAATTCACACACACTTATATACATCAATATTCAAATAGTCAACTTAGGATTCCAAAGTTTGAGTTAGGCGAAAAGAAAAATCGGAAAATATGCGCATTTCGCAAACCAAAGAAAAAATGACACAATTTGACCTTCAACCCGGTACCGTATAGCGGTCGACCCGACGGGTGTGTGCAGCCCATTTTTCTCACCGGGTCAAGGTTAAAGTGGGTCGACCCGCGGGTTGACAATGCGAAATAACGTGGCGTTTCTCGATTACAAAATGTCATAGAACTCCTCAAGTGTGTTGTGTAGCTTGTAAGAAAAGCGTGCTCTATGGAAATGTAATAGAAGTGAATTGTAGGCATTTCATTTCTTAAAGCTATAATGTGACCCATGAAATTCACCTACACAATTTGCTTTAGGGTCGTTTGGAAGTTGCGCATGTTAAATCGTTGTATTGTGAATAATCATTGTAATATGAAATACATGTATTGATACAATCGTTGCATTAACATTATATTGTTTGGTTGTTGATTTTATAGTTTAGGGATTAACATAAAGTAAAATTTTGGTGAAAATATCACATTTACCCTTTATTTTAACATATAACATATAACTCTTTTCCCCTCCATCTCGTTTACTAGGGGTATAAATGAAAATAAAAACGAGATATAAATCTAAAAGCAACAATCACAATAATATCAACTTTTAGTTGAGATTGTATAATACTTAATTTTTTGTGATTGTATGTGGGATCCACACAAAACAATACATGTAATGTTTCACACTTTAACAATTCCAAACGTTACATTATGGACAATGCATATATTCTATAAATACTACACTCACAATTACAGATACCCCTTACTCTCACGCAAATAACGAGGGTCGTTTGGAAGTTGCGATTGTTTTGTTGAGATTGTCATTATGCATGTATTGTTTACAATGCATCGTTTTTTTAGCAGAAACAATACATGGATTATTTCTGTGATGTGACAGAAACTATCACTCATTTTGAGTGATTGTTATATCTCAACTTTTAGTTGTTATTGTTGAGATAGTTGATTTGAGATTGTTTTGTCTCAGCTTTTAGCTGATGCGACATACACAATCACACATACCAAACGTTGTATTCTACAATGCATCAAATTCGACAATACATGTATAATATTATACATACATTCTCAACAATACATCTATTTAACAATCGCAACTTCCAAACCACCCCGAATTGTCTCATTTTGTTTTTATCTCCCCTTCCCCACAAAACTGGATCACATTTCATCGTTGCCCAGAGCCCATAATGCAATATCCAAATCCATCCTCCTATCTGACACTTTTAAATGATCTATGTCGTCGTCGATTTAAAAAAATTATCCTGACGGTCGAGTGGTTCTCTCCAAAACAGGCGAAACCTCCAGGCTCCAAGTGCTTTCGTGGCTTCCCCTCCCCCATCTTCCTGCACCGGACTTTTTGCAAAACCGAACCCCAAATTTACGCCGTCAACAATTCACCCCATGCAGAAATGCCGGAAGGTGGTCTGGGGAACCGAAAGGTGATGAACGTACTCCCAATAGAATGGGAACACATGCAAGTTAATCAAGCGGCGTTTGTTATTTCGTTCAACTCTAATTTTTTTAATATGGAGTGAAACTGAAATTTGTTAAGGTGAAGAAGAATAATAATTTATAGGAGCGTTTGTTTGGATGTTGTTTTAACCGATTTTTAATTTGGATGTCATTTAAATTTAGAATATTGGATGAATTTGGTGCCTACGTATTGAATATGGAAAACTGTACTATCACTCGCAAAGAGCCTATAACGTAAGTTGCACTCAGAGAAATTATGATGACATGAAAGCCCTACCCCTATCTCTACGAAGTTGCTTTGCGGCTTGATTATGTTAGGAACGGAACAACAAAAGGAACGAGGTTATCGAATCTGGAGCTGAGTCGCGGACTAGGTCGCTCTCTTTAAAACGTTCGCGGCACTGCCTTCGATGCGCACGGCAGACTATCAACCGGTCGTCTCCAGGATAAAACAGCTCCTCTCAATACTCGCGGTTTTGTGCGAAAACCGAAGCTCTCTAAACACTCTCTCTATTGTGTTTCTGCTCGTTGTGATCATTTTAGAGGGGCTGGGGAGGCGGCTATTTATAGGAGCCGAACCCCTAGGAATATACCCTCTTGCTTGGGGAATAAGTCGGATTAATTAAGGAAGATAATTACTTCCTTAATTAAAACCGTCGGTTAAGATAAACCCGGAGGGATTATCCTTCGAATATTCCTTTTCAGTCGATTATCCCTTAGAATATTCCTCAGAATAACCGATTAATAATTAATTATTAGATAATTAATTTCGTTCGGAATTTCTGTAAAAAATATATATGTAGTCTCAAGTGAACCAACCAACCGACCGGTCGAACGGACGGCGCGCTCGCGCGTATGTGTGGTGGTCCGTTAGGTCCTCCCTCTCCCACAAAAGTGGGTCACCCCAAGGGGCAATGCCCTTGGGAGAGAGGCTCCTATCTTTATACCCATTTCACCAAGTAAAACTACCAATGTGGTAGTTTTTCCACTTGAGACTCTATAGCTTTCAAAGCTATTCATATACATTTCCAACAATCCCCCACTTGAATAGTTTTGAAACTATCTCTGAGCATTAACAGTTCCATAAGATCGGGCATAAGCTAAGGTATCGCGAAGATTTGAACCTTAGCGTAGTGGTTACACTTCCGATTTCATAAGGGTGACTCGTAGTTTTGAACCCTATCTCAGACAGTGTAGCACACCGGATCTTTTCATTGAGTTGTGTTCTCTTCATAGCCTGTGCGTTTATGACCATGCACGTTACCCTGGTTTAGTGAACGCTCTAGCAACTTTGTGCCTCCAAAGTTCCATAGGGAGCGGCCCCACTCCCACATTCACATAGGTGAGTCTATCAGGAGTACCCCCAAAGTAAAGTACTCCACCCCACATAGGGTATAGATCTCATTAAGAGTTATTAACTCAACCTCCATTGCTTTGGGATTCATGCTTCACTATGCATGAACTTTTCGCATACTACTCATGACTTGTTATTACCCATTGAACCCATTTCTTGGGATCTCCAGTCTATTGGGTCGGGTTACCATCACTTGTAGTCCGTGGTTCGGTAGGCATAAGTCTCATACCCTTGGCGGTATTCTGGACTTTCTCTCTAGGTAATCCTTTCGTCAAAGGATCAGCTAGATTCTGTTCGGATCTTATATGATCCACCCTCACTGCTCCTATCGTTAGGAGTTCTCTTACAGTACTGTGCTTACGACGAATCTGTCGTTTCTTTCCGTTATAGAACCGGTTCTCAACTTTAGAGATAGCTGCGGTACTATCACAATGGATCAATACCGGAGGGACCGACCTTTCCCATAGGGGAATCTCTGACAACAATCCTCTCAACCAACTTGCTTCTTCACTAGCCGTTTCTAATGCTATCATCTCTGATTCCATAGTTGATTGAGCTAGGATTGTTTGTTTCTTTGACTTCCAAGACACAGCTCCACCAGCGATGTTGAAAACATACCCGCTGGTTGCCTTGGAGTCATCTGATAGGGTATTCCAATTCGCATCACTATACCCTTCTAGTACAGCAGGAAACCTTTGATAGTGTATTCCAAGGTTTGCTGTTCTCTTGAGGTATCTCATGACCCTCTCTATAGCATTCCAATGCTCTCTACTAGGACAGCTGTTAAACCTGCCAAGCAATCCCACGACATATGCAATGTCTGGTCGAGTGTAATCCGCAGCATAACGGAAACTGCCAATGATGCTAGCATATTCTGATTGTCTTACACTGTCTCCAGTGTTCTTAAATAGCTTTACACTAGCATCATACGGAGTACACGCAGGTTACAGTTGAAATAGTTATATTTCTTCAAGATCTTCTCTATGTAGCTAGATTGATCTAGAGAATAACCATTTGCTGTTCTAGTTATCTGGATTCCAAGCATAAACTTTGCTTCTCCCAGATCTTTCACTTCAAAGCTATCTTTCAACATGGCTTTTGCTTCATTGACCACGTGAATATTTGTACCAAATATCAACATGTCATCTACATACAAACATATGATAGTACAAGTGTTATTTTCTGACTTGCAGTAAATACACTTGTCACTTTCATTCACCTTAAAGCCATGTGAGAGAACGAGAGTGTCAAACTTCTCATGCCACTGTTTTGGAGCCTGTTTCAAACCATATAATGATTTGTCTAACTTACAGACTTTCGAGGCATGTTCGGGGATAACAAACCCTTCTGGTTGTTCCATATAGATTTCTTCATCCAGATCACCGTTCAAAAAAGCGGTCTTAACATCCATTTGGTGTACCACGAGATTGTTCAAGGCAGCAAGAGCAATCATTACACGAATGGATGTTATTCTAGATACTGGTGAATAGGTATCAAAGAAATCTATATTCTCTCTCCTCCTGTAGCCCTTAACTACTAGGCGAGCTCGGAACCTTTCGATTTCACCATCAGGTTTCCGTTTCGTTTTTAGAACCCATTTATTACCTAAGACTTTGAAGCCAGGAGGTAAGTCTGTTAGATGCCAAGTCTTATTAGCTTCTAACGATTCCATTTCATCTATAACGGCCTCATTCCAAAAATCTGCATCTACGGAAGTTAATGCTTCCTGCAAACTTTTTGTATCTTCGAGGGTGAATACTGTAGTAAAGTCATCACCAAAATCTTTAGAGATTCTAGCTCTTTTACTTCTTCTGAGTTCATCCTCAGAACCAACACCCCCACTAGTTCCGTTATCTCTAATAGCGGGTAGTACATTACCCCCACTATTTCTCGTTTTAAATGGAAATCGTGTCTCAAAGAAATCAGCATCAATGGATTCTATTATAGTACGAGCATTCAAATCATAGAATCTATATGCCTTACTATTGGCCGCATAGCCAACGAAGACACATTCATATGCTCGACTAGCCAATTTAATCCTCTTAGGATCCGGAATTCTTACGTAGGCCAAACAGCCCCACGTTCTTAAATAGGACAGATTAGGTGGCTTATTCTTCAAGATCTCATAGGGTGATTCTTTTCTATTTGTTTTTGGAAGACGGTTTAGCACATAGCAAACTGTCACAAAATATCACCCCACCAAGAAGAAGCAGCTCCAGAATTGAGCATATTAGCCACAACTAATTCTGTAAACGTCCTATTTTTCCGCTCAGCTTTACCATTCATTTCTGGTGAATATGGTGCCGTGGTTTCATGAATGATACCATGTGAGCTATAGAATTCCTTGAAGGGATTAGAGTCATACTCTGATCCTCTATCACTCCTAAGTCTTTTTATCTTTCATTGCACTGATTTTCAAATTCAACCACAAATACCTTGAACATATCAAGGGCTTCACTTTTGTTTTTCATCAAATAAACAAAGCAATAATCAGAGCAATCATCTATGAAAGTGATAAAGTATCTCTTGCCAGACCTAGTTAACGTCCCATCTAGTTCACAAATATCAGAATGAATAAGATCTAAGGGTTCTGATTCTCTACTCACAGATTTATGGGGCGTTTTCGTTATTTTAGCTTGGCTACAGAAATCACATTTATCAAATTCATTCATTGAGAGTTTAGGGATATGTCCTAGCTTGCTTAAATTCTTCACAATTCGTGTGTTCACATGACAAAGACGAGCATGCCAAACATTCAAATCACACACCATGTAAACTGAAGAATTCATCTTATTAATTTCGACATTCAACTTGAACATCCCATTACATGCATATCCCTTTCCCACAAAACTCCCATTCTTAGTAAGGGTATACAAGTCTGCCCCAATAGTTTGATTAAACCCAGCCTTATTAAGAAGATATCCCGAAACAAGATTCTTCCTTATCTCTGGAGTGTGCAACACATCCTTGAGCACCATCTTCTTCCCAGAGGTGAAGTTCAGCTCCACTTCACCAGAACCAGCAACCATAGTGGTATGAGTAGTACCCAACAACACTTTCTTGTCAGCAGGTGCTTCTGTGTATGTTTTAAACATAGCACGATTGTTGCATACATGCTTCGATGCACCTGTATCCAGCCACCATCCTTCTGAGTCACCGGTGAGGTTAACTTCAGTGATCATATCTGTGATCATGGCTATCAAATCCTCTTCTGTCAAGTTAACCCTGGCCGCAGCGGCATGGTTTTGCTTGTTCCGGCACTTCTTTGCCATATGACCCGGTTTTCCACAGTTATAGCAGATAAACGGTGGGTCATTCTTAGAGGTTTGGGCCATGACCCTTTGGTTACCTCGAGAGGCACCATTCTGGCGGGGGCGGACCTGCTGGTTCTTACTCTTAAACCCTTTCTGGTTAGGTTTAAGAGCTCTAGGGGTGGGTCGTTTAGCAGTGACAACCATCACCTCTTCTTTCATATCCTGCTTGCGGGACTCTTCCTCAATCCTTAGGCGAGTAATCAAGCTTTCCAGTGAAAATTCTTTGGTTTTGTGCCTAAGCATATTCTTAAAATCTTTCCACGAAGGGGGCAGCTTATCAATAATGCAAGCAACTTGAAATTGATCGTCCAGAGGCATACCTTCAGAGACGATCTCATGAGCTATTTTCTAAAGTTCGTGGTACTGAACTTCGACGGACTTGTCATCCACCATCTGGTAGCGCAGGTAGCGACTGACAGCATACTTCTTAGCTCCAGCCTCCTCCGTGTCGTACTTCTTTTGGAGCGCATCCCAGATCATCATCGCGGTGTTCTTAATGTCCGCATAGTAGTCGTAGAGATCGTCTGCCAGGCCGTTGAGGATGTAGTTCTTGCACAGGAAGTCATGCTCCCTTTCCCTGGCAGAAGCAGCCCTCTCCTCATCGGTCGCTTCTTCCGGCAGCTCAACGGGCATGCTGGTGAGGCAGTGGGTCAGTTTTTTGGTTGTCAGGTAGAACTCCATCTTTTGCCTCCAGCGACGGAAGTTGACCCCAACGAAGCGAAAGGGTCGATTGATATCGACAGCACCAGATCCGGCCATGTTGTTCTGTTCAGTCGACATAGCAGCAGCCGAACGTCTTAAAATTGTTAGGAACGGAACAACAAAAGGAACGAGGTTACCGAATCTGGAGCTGAGTCGCGGACTAGGTCGCTCTCTTTAAGACGTTCGCGGCACTGCCTTCGATGCGCACGACAGACTATCAACCGGTCGTCTCCAGGATAAAACAGCTCCTCTCAATACTCGCGGTTTTGTGCGAAAACCGAAGCTCTCTAAACACTCTCTCTATTGTGTTTCTGCTCGTTGTGATCATTTTAGAGGGGCTGGGGAGGCGGCTATTTATAGGAGCCGAACCCCTAGGAATATACCCTCTTGCTTGGGGAATAAGTCGGATTAATTAAGGAAGATAATTACTTCCTTAATTAAAACCGTCGGTTAAGATAAACCCGGAGGGATTATCCTTCGAATATTCCTTTTCAGTCGATTATCCCTTAGAATATTCCTCAGAATAACCGATTAATAATTAATTATTAGATAATTAATTTCGTTCGGAATTTCTGTAAAAAATATATATGTAGTCTCAAGTGAACCAACCAACCGACCGGCCGGTCGGTCGGACGGTCGCGTATGTGTGGTGGTTTTTCCACTTGGGAGAGAGGCTCCTATCTCTATACCCATTTCACCAAGTAAAACTACCAATGTGGTAGTTTTTCCACTTGAGACTCTATAGCTTTCAAAACTATTCATATACATTTCCAACAGATTATACGACAATAGCTGTCTTACTCCATGACACAATGTTAAGGACTCTTTCAGTGACTAATTAAGAGGCATCAATAAGCAAAACATACTCGATTCAAGTCCATAAAATGTTACCTCACCTAAGGGGCACAAGGTAATTGCAATTACGTTATGAGATTGACACGATATGATTTCGTGTTCAATTCCCATGTAAAATGTTACCTCACCTAATGTTAGAATTTATTATTATTCATAAGATATGAATGGTCTCAAATTTTTTTTGTGATTGGCGAATCTTCTTAAGTACACACATTAACTATACCCAAAATCGTTAATTCCAAACCACCCTCTTGTTCGAGCATTCATTATCCACGTACCAATCAAACCACCTCTCAAAATCTCCATCGTCCTCTCCAAGAGAGAAGCTCATCAAATCTTCCTCTCAGAGTTGGTTTGGTTTGGCCGCTCAATCTGGGCCCCACGTTTTCTCCGCCCTCCCTTCCTTCCACGCGGCAACCAGACGCCGTAGCTGATGGGCCGACGACGTTGGACCTGGCCTGGTGAAGGTGGTATCTTCCCGCCCCCTTCCTTTTCCTTAAAAGTACTCAATTCTATTTTTTTTTTGGTGAACTAAACTACTCAATTCTCGCCACCCGAAAAAAAATAAAATTGTTTCAGGGAAATTAAAATTGGACTTCGTAAATATATTAGTTGGCCTAGTTTTATTACCACACTCATCCATCATCAACTTGACCATTAAATTAAATAAACAAAATTTGTTGCCATTCAATTTGGAAGACCATTGCCTTTGAATATCCCAGATTCTCAATTATCAACTAATCTCTATAATTTCATTTTTCCTGTTTTTTTTTTATTTTGATTAAGATGACATATGGTTTGAGACTATTTCGTCAAACAGTATATACTACGAAAAAATATACTAATTTTAATAAGTTATTCCACAGAATTCTATTATTATATTTGAAGGGAAAGAAAAGTAACCAGAAATTTCACAGTTACCGGATTCAATTGCTCGAAATCACGGAGTACATTTTTGCGTGACACACGACTAAATTAGAAGTTTATTATTATTGGTTAATGGAACAGGGGAATTGAAATTGTTAATAGTTGAGGAGAAGCATTAATTTTGATTTAATAATAATGGGAGAGCATATACTAGTAGGTTAGTTGCATCTTGTGATTGAGAGCTGATTCATCCAACAAAAGGGGGGGGGGGGGAATACTATTAGAAAAATCCAAAAAATAGAGGAAAAAAGAAAATAAGAAAGAAAGAAAACATGAGAAGTTGCGAGAGGAGCGAGGAAAAAAAAAAGGAAAACTAAACTATTGAGTCCAGGCCCAAAACTTGGGCCCACAAAGGCCATCAACTCCACTATATAAACGGCGCATCGTCGTTCAGGAAATCCTCGCTCACTCCTACCCTAGACACCATTTTTCTCCCTGAGAAGATAAATCTTCTAACAGAGAATTAAGAAAAAAAAAAAAAAAATTCCCCACCCACTTTCCTCATTAATCACCCATTTCCGGCTTTTGACTGTTTGGTCCTTCCTTTCCTCTCCGTTTCTTCCGCTTTCCGGGAAAATTTCTTGGGGTTTCTTGAGATCTGCATGATTCTGGGTTCCTAGATTCATTCCGGCGTTCCACTTCCAATCGGTTTGAATTCCCCGATTTGGGTTCCGTTGTGGGTATTTCGAAATTTCAATCCTTTTCTTCTGACTGTGCGGCGTGGGGATTAGAGAGAAGTGTCTGGTAAAGAGAGGGTGTTGCTCCGGCGGTGATTGTTCCTTCTTCTGCTTCTTTTGAGGGGGTAGCCGGGGCTCCGGCCTCGGCGGGTTCTAAAGCCCCCACCTTCACACACTATTCGAAATCACCGCGAAAATTTTTTAGTTACAGAGAAGATTTTTTTCTCACCGTTCATGGTTGGAACTTTTATCTTCCTTCCTTCCTGACATAGTTTGCTAACAGAAGAGAAAGAAAGAAAAAAAACCCAGAAGAGGAAATCGGTCGTCGGAACAGGATGCCTGCCTTAGCGTGTTGCGTTGATTCTGCTGTTGTCCCACCAGGCTACGTTTTCGGCGCCGGGGATGGCTCCATTCCGTTCGCCGGCGTCCCTCCGGCGACAATCACCGCCGACAACGCTCCTCCTGCCGCCATCACCACCGCCTGGTCGCCCGACCGCTCCGCCTCTCTCTACCGTGTCGACGGCTGGGGCGCTCCTTACTTCGCCGTCAACGACTCCGGCAACATTTCCGTCCGTCCCCACGGCGGCGACACCCTCCCCCACCAGGAAATCGACCTGCTGAAGATTGTGAAGAAGGTTTCGGATCCGAAATCTGTCGGTGGGCTCGGGCTGCCGCTTCCGTTAATCATCCGCCTCCCAGATGTGCTGAAGAACCGATTGGAGTCTCTGCAGTCGGCTTTTGATTTCGCGATCCAATCTCAGGGCTACGACGCCCATTACCAGGGAGTCTACCCTGTGAAATGTAACCAAGAGCGGTTCGTAGTGGAAGACATCGTGAAATTCGGGTCCCCGTTTCGGTTCGGGTTGGAAGCCGGGTCGAAGCCGGAGCTTCTTCTGGCCATGAGCTGCCTCTGCAAAGGAAACCCAGATGCCTTCCTGGTCTGCAATGGGTTCAAGGATGCAGAGTACATCTCCCTTGCGCTCCTCGCGAGGAAGCTCGCTCTCAACACAGTGATTGTTCTTGAGCAGGAAGAGGAGCTCGATTTGGTCATCGCTCTCAGCCAGAAGCTCTCAATTCGCCCTGTAATCGGCGTCCGCGCCAAGCTGAGGACCAAGCACTCCGGCCATTTCGGTTCAACATCGGGGGAGAAGGGGAAATTCGGTCTGACCACGACCCAGATTCTCAGCGTCGTGAAGAAGCTCGAGGAGGTCGGAATGCTTGATTGCTTCCAGCTCCTGCATTTTCACATCGGATCTCAGATCCCGTCCACCGGCTTGCTCGCCGATGGAGTCGGCGAAGCTGCCCAGATCTATTCTGAACTGGTCCGTCTCGGCGCCAACATGCAAGTCCTCGACATCGGCGGTGGGCTCGGAATCGACTACGACGGCTCCAAATCCGGCGATTCGGATCTCTCCGTCGCCTACGGTCTCGGAGAGTACGCTCTCGCCGTCGTCCAGGCCGTGAAATTCGTCTGCGACAGGAAGAACATCAAGCACCCTGTTCTCTGCAGCGAGAGCGGCCGGGCAATCGTCTCCCACCACTCCATCCTCGTCTTTGAAGCTGTTTCCTCCACCGTGTCGAAAGCCGCTACCATGACGCCGCTCGCCCTGCAGTACTTCGTCGACGGGCTGACGGACGATGCCCGCGCCGATTACCGCAACATGACTTCCGCCGCCATGAGAGGTGAGTACGAGACCTGCTTGCTCTATGCTGATCAGTTGAAACAGAGGTGTGTGGACTTGTTTAGAGATGGCACCATAGGAATGGAACATTTAGCTGCTGTTGATGCCTTGTGTGAATTCGTGGGGAAAGCAATTGGTGTGGCTGAGCCGGTGAAAACTTATCATGTGAATCTCTCGGTGTTCACTTCGATTCCTGATTTCTGGGGGATCGGCCAGCTTTTCCCGATCATCCCGATTCATAGGCTCGATGAGAGGCCTGGAGCTAGAGGGATATTGTCCGACTTGACCTGTGATAGTGATGGCAAGATCAATAAGTTCATCGGTGGAGAGGAGAGCTTGCCCCTTCATGAGATTGAAGGAAATGGTGCTGGGAATGGTAATGGCCCATACTACCTGGGGATGTTCTTGGGAGGGGCTTACGAGGAGGCGCTCGGTGGAGTCCACAACTTGTTCGGTGGTCCGAGCGTGGTGAGAGTGTCACAGAGCGACGGGCCTCACAGCTTCGCGGTGACAAGAGCCGCTCCAGGCCCTTCGTGCAGTGATGTACTCCGCATGATGCATCATGAGCCGGAGCTGATGTTCGAGACCCTCAAGCACCGTGCTGAAGAGATGATGTATGAGGATAGCAGCGACGATGGGGAGAGCAGCATGGATCATCATCACCACCACCGCGGCAATGCAGCTGTTGCCAGCTGCCTTGCAAGGTCGTTCCACAACATGCCGTACCTGGCAGGTGCCTCGTCCTGCTCGCTGACTGCTGCCATGAACAACAGTGGTGGTTTGTACTACTGCAGCGACGAGGATGGTTATGATGCTGCTGGTGATTCTGCTGTGGCCTCAGCCGAGGATGAGCAGTGGAGCTATATCTGCGCCTGAGATTCTGCCCGTCCCCCAATTATCAGTTCCTTCCCTGCTTCCTTATGATATGTTATCTTTAATGGTTTCGTTGGTTGGTCCGTTGTACGCAGTTGTTGGTCGAGCGGTTGTCTGGTTATTTCTTTCTTGAAATTTTTCGTTCGTTATCGAATAGTTCGAGTCGAAGCGAGCCAGGAGATGCATTTGCAGCCCTGTTTGCAAACTGTTGCTGGATGCATCTTCCTGCTGTGTCTTCCTTATTAGACCTCCATCAAGAGCTTTTAGTCTTGATAATAATATTAATGATGATATAAGTTCATTATGACGATCTCTGTTAGATGCATGAGTGGTAGTACATTAACGATCGAGATTGCATGATCGTCGTGCTATCCTGATTGGCTCTGCTGATACCCATTCTATCTATCAGCATGATTGCAACATTCAATATCTGTGTTCTTGTGGAAGGGATCTGGGAAGGTCTCTGTTGATGATGATGATAAGGCAGATTCTGGGTCAGCTGGTTCCATCCCCAATTGGAGGAGTTATCTCTCCTGAATTTGGGGGGTTTAGAGGAATGGAATTAGGGCTTGTGATCTTCTGTAGGGCCTCATTACAGTGCATGAAGAGATTCTCTGCAAAATCAAAGTCTTGTGGTGCACCAGTTGAAGTGTAAAGTGTCGCTTTGTGTATGGTTTGATTTGTATGTCCGGCATCTCGGCAAGTTGCCGTTTTCTTCTGCGGGAGGGCGCGTTCAGTTTTGACCACAGGGCTTTCGTGTGCAAATTTGGTCCTCAAAACCTTTTCTTGTGGTGGAGGGAAACTCAAATAGTCCCAATTCCTTTCATGGGTTGATTGCGCAAACCGTCACTGAACTTTGGCATCACGAGCAATTCGGTCACTGAATCTCTATACTCTATAAAATTATTAGAGAGTATAGAATAACCTAATTTGGATATGCGTTTGGTCATGTCCAGATATTGTTATTCTAGACACGGGCTGATCATGAAGTTTGGAAGAATCTAAATATGATTAGAGGTTTAGTCAAGCCTTTTTGTCCAGATGAACATGTCGACTTACGCAAATCGGTACGAAAGGGCAATGTGGAGCCTCTGGCTAGCAAGCTAGTATGCTGGGGTTAGGGGGGGTGTAGAGATTGAAGTGGTTTTGAGTACTCTAGTTTGGATTGTGGTTGTGTAATGGGTCCGATTCCGCTTGAATATGGTTAGAAAATGAACCGGCTACATACTTACGCGCTGGCTGCGGTGGTTGTTTACTTGGTCCTTCTAGTTTAAACTTGATTGAGTTGATAAGCCAATGTTAACAATACGACGTAAAACATGATGAAGATTGGCAAATTGATTGTCGCATCAGAGGTATTTACTAACCATGTTTGCTGAAATCGAGGCCGAGTGATCAATTTGTTAGGTACCGACGTTTAGTGACGATTTCGATAATTGACGCACTCCTTTAGAGGATAGGAAATGATCGGGGCGGGGTGGAGGTGGAGAATTTTGAAACGCACAAACAAGGGATTGTGTCCACAGGGGGAGCGTTTGGCAATTGCCTTTTTGCAGAAGACAGCTGTTCTAAGTTAATCAAGGAAACATGTTAAGACAAGTAGTATTCTTTTGCACTTAGTTTCCTTGAAGGCCATAACTTTTTCCCTTCCTTTTATAGGATTAGACTAGAAAAGATGTATTGTTATGTGAACACATTTTTACTCTATGCCTAACTTCTTTCTTTGTTGAAAGACAGGCCAAGAAAGAAGAAAGGGCAGAGAAGGAAAGGCCACAAAGTTAGTACTAATTAGAGGTCATGTTGAACCTTCCAAGCTGCAATTTTGGGTTGGTTTGTGTTTCATCTTTATCCTCTAGTAGTCACTAGGTGGCGATGCCGCGTCTTGTCGCAGGGCGGAGATGGCATATGGGCATGTATTATGTCGCCTGTTATGTTGTTTTGTTATTAGTATTAGCATAAAATTAATTTTTTGTTAACAGTTTTGTTAGTAATATTGACTGAGAACAGATATATGGCTAACGACGATCAACATCCAATTTAAAATTTTGAAAATTTTGGCTAATAAATGATATTTACCTAAAGCCAAGTAGACCCATTGATTATGGGTAGGGTATGAGTGACGTATATATGACGTTGAAAGTTTGTAGATGGGTTTGGTAGGGTATGTATATTTAATTTTATAATCTAGATGTGTATGAGTTGAGTATAGATACCCATTTATTTGAGGGTGTTTTATTCAATGATTTTACACTAAAATTAAATTTAGAGTATCAAAATGTAAAATGTACATTATAGTGACTAAGTTGTAATTTAATGAAATCTAAGGTATCAAAATAGTATATTTTTAGGCAACAGTAACTATGCTTTAACTTTATATATAATAATGTCAAAGCAACTTGGCCTATTAGGTTCCTTGGTTTTCTTTTAAATAATTGAGAAAATTTTGGGAGAGCATTGTGAAGAATTGGAGGATTAGATTAGAAACAAAAATATGAATTAGAAAAGGATGGCTAAAGCACATTCTTATAAACTTCAATCAAAATCTTAGTCGACCCGAACACAGCAAACCACAAAATTATATCTAGACTATTCATCGTTCCTCATCGGTGTCCCAACATTCGAATCGAGAATATGATGAATCATTCTGAAATTCTCGAGTGACCAATTTTGTTTTGGGAGTTGTTAAATTTTCCAATTTGATCTCGTCATGTGATTTGCATGTAGAACTTGATAATCGACTTTCGGCATTACAATCACAAAAACTTTTGATTCTCATCCATCAAATGGGAATATAAACACACCCAAAACGAACCCTTTTGAAAAGAATTAGTTAGTTTAAGAAATTTTGGGTCAACTTCCACCAAAGGTTAATACAAACAAATGGGTTAAGAATAAAGAGCACCACCTTTCACATGCTTTGTGTAGCTTTGACATACTTAGAAGGGTAATCAATGGGTTCAAATCAGATTCAAATTCCCAATTTAACATTAAGAAACAATATTTCTTTCTTTGATCCTTTCTTTTTATATAAAACCTAGTGATTGTAAGGTTGGTAGCAAAAATGGCATCACAATGGGATACACTTCCTTTTCAAATATGGTGCAAAGTTCGTTTCTTTTGGGGAGTCTTCTTTTCGAGAGTTTGATTCATATATTCGGATCCAATGTCCCAAGATCTCTCCAATAAGTCCACTTCTTAACAACAAGAGGGTGTTGATTTCCCTTTTGCATTGTAAGTGCATAAAGTGGTCCTTTGAACACATACCAAATATGTTCAACAAGATTGGTTAAATAAAAGATTCAATGGTCTAGATTGAAAATGAGATTTTTAAGAAGATAAACATATTGATTTTCGTTGAACAATAAGTGATATCTTGAAAATATTGAAAAATCATCATCACCTGTTTGAAAAATATGATTAATCAGCACGATAAGTCGATAACAATGCATTCTCGTATATATATATGTTCGTGGATTGACTTTATATATTATAGAATTGTCCTCAAACCTGATCTATGTACACAGTTATGGGAGAGTTTAAACACATTTCTCGTATTGTTCTTTCTACGCTCCCATCAATGCTTTGTACTATTAGTACAACCTAAGGATTAATACGTAATTCTCGGTAATCATGGGTTCTGAAGTGTATTTGGGTGACAGTCACGAGTACTACATACACATATATCTCGGCATTTGATAGTCGTTGAGAATGTTGCTCATTACGAAAATAAGAGAGACTCGAGCGCCCCCCAGGCCTCCTAGAATCATCGTCGTTCGCTTTGAACGACGCAAACCACGTAAATCAAGTTGCGTTCTTTTACCATGAGCACGATTTAGATGGTTGGTTGATTAACATCTACTCGTTCATTCATATACCCCACCAATAGATAGAAACAAATAGGAATAACCAACTGTGACTTAGTTTATGCACATTTTACTGCCTGATTTACACACCCATTGTTGTTTTCTAGCAAGTAGATTGATTGGCATTGGCATATCCTCTTGTAACCTGTACACAATTGTCTGAATCATATCATATCACCATATATCATTCAATGATTTTACAATAATTGGAGGGTTGTTGAATTCAATTCAATTGAATGCCTTAGCCGTTTGTTTGATGAGATTCCATAGAGATAAGGGTAATCGGGGTGGGGAGAGCAGGTGGCCTGGCCTCTGGCCGGTCTTTTGTTGGGTATCGTATGAATGAATCTTACCCTACCGATATCATATTACATATATATATGGTGGCATATTCGGTGCACCCACTTTTTCGGGTGCACTAAGTGCACCTGACTCATAATTGTCATTCTGACCATGCGATTCATGTCATAACGGTATCAATTGTTGCTTATTATATTATAAACAAGGAGCACATGAATTTGAAAAATAATAATTCAGAGTTACTTTAATTCGAAGGATTTAGGGATTTAGGGTTAGGGTTTAGGTTTACAATTTGGGATTTTGGGTTGGGATTCAAAATTGAAGGTTAAGGGCTAAGGGTAATGGATTGATTTGTTATGATTCTGTGTCATATCATCATATTAGATTGAGAGTACTAATTAACATTCAAAATTTGATGTATTATGGACGCTTTTAGAATTGGGTGCACTGAGTGCACCAAAAAAGTGAGTGCGCCGAAGTAACCATATATATACAATTGAATGAATTCCTGAATTCCAGGTTAAATTATTGTGGTTGATTGCCAATCGTGATTTGGGGGCTTTAATTCTTTGTTTAGTTTGACTGTCGTTTGTTGGCTTCACCTTATGTCCCTTGCATTAGACAGGAATCTGTCCCAAAGCTTTTGCTTTGTTAATCATTTGCTTAAACGACTATGAGAAGCTTTCCTTTGGTTCTTTTCTTTTGAATGATTAGGGGATTTCGGTGGAGGATTATTTTGGATTTCTCCAGATTCTAATTGCGACATTAACGACAACTTCCCTTCATTTTCATGTGTTCGATTTTGTTTTTTTTTTGTTCTAAGTTAAAATTTCGGGATAAGTTTGGACATGTCGTTTGTAAAAGGATGACAATTATTGGAATTACGTTTTAATCACTTTTTTTGTGACTAACCAATCAGATACAATACTTGGGCATGCTACTGTTTTTGCACATTTTCATACATGTTTAAAGAAAAAAAATCGTTTTTCGTCGCCCAACAACAAACATAATTTGTCGACTCGCAAATTTTAGAAAAAAATAACATCTTGCAAACGTTCCAGAAATCCGCAGGCTCGCATTATGTTATATCCAAAATTATTCTCTTTAGCCGCTTTCAAGAATGTCCAAGATGTGTTAATGATTAGTGTAAGCTAAGTTCTAGAAACCTAGGTCGATCCTTAACCACTTTCAATATTGTTTCAATGTGACAATGTCCAAGATATTTGCAAGAAGGAATATATTCCAACCTATGTCCATAATCCATATATTTTGCACCATGCTTTCAATGGAAGAATTCATGAGCTGGGCTTACTTTGCATTAGTTAGGAGGCCCAGATAGCCCATCGGGAAAATCCTGGACAACTTTCATCCATCCATTCACAATTAGCGCAGGCCCAATACAGAGCCCAGCCCAGGATTCCGAACCGCACACGTAGCGAAGGCGAACAATGACGTGGCGTGAACAATACGCACCAGCAGCGCATCTTAGTCGTTTTCCTTAACTTCAGCGCATTATTCCCGAATCCGATTATGCAATGGCTTTCATTTTCCCATTGTATATTCTTCTGTGACTTCCTCATCTCCGTTGTCTTCTCAATCGTCCATCTATCTCCCTCCGAGCTCCGATCAACTCCCGCGAATTATCGTCGGAACCCTCCGATCGCCGGTCCCGCACAGGTGAAAATTCCCTGTTATATTCTTAAGTATTTCGCAACAGCTCTTCGTTACCGTTTCTCCTAATTCCTTAGATCCCAACAGGCAACAACCCCCCTGATGTTTCTTGCGCTCTAATCCAAAATTCGACTGTTTGGTTGCCCGAGAAAGTATGGTTGGGGGGAGGAGTCGTGATGCAGTGCGATTCGTTGATATTGTTGTTACTTTTGTATGGGAGAGGGGATTATAACCTGTGAATTTGATTAGCTTGATAGAAGTTGAATGGTGGCCAAAGCTCGGCTCTTTGGCCCTTTGGACGAATGAGGGTTGCTTAATGGTGGAGGTTTATGCTCCTTTGGGTTCTGGGTTTCTGTAAAGTTTCGAACTTGATTCTAATATTTAGCATTTAGGGGTTAGTGCTTTTCATTTGTGGCAAATGGGGGCTCTCGTAACGTTTGACCTTCCATCTTGCAGGAACTCGTGGTTCAATCAGTCAACTTCTGCTATCTGTACAATCCAAGATGGTACGTTCTGCATTGGACTTGGGTGATTTTCGGTTTAGCTTGGTGATCATGGCTGTTTATCCTAGAGTCTGGGGTAGCATAGGAAGTGTTCTCTTGTTCAGGGGAAAGTTGAAATTGAGAATGGTTCGTAAAGTTTTGAGCTTGGGAACTAGGGTAACGAACTGTGTATCTGTTGTAATGTTATGCCGTGAGCATGTATTCACAGCTTGTGTTATTCATTGTAAACTCTGATCTTCTTACATCTGGTTGGAGTTATCTAGATGCTATTATGTTTCAATTATCATCAGTATTCTTGTTTGTAAGTTCACTTTTCCCCCCCTGTTTCTAATCGTCTCTTTGTTACTTACGGCGTAGTATTTTGATGGATATGGGTATCACGGGACATCCTTTGAGCAGACTTACCGGTGTTACCCTGCCTCTTTCATTGAGAAGGTTAGTTTCTGCTCTCTGTCTTCATTAAGCATGTAACTCGTCTTTGGTTATTATTATAAGGACTAAAACATTATGATTCATGTAAGACTGATCCATTTTCTTTTCTGGATTATCTTGCAGCCTCAAATTGAAAGCGGTGATAAAAGTAGGTTTCCATTAAAATGTGGTATCATTTATGTATGTCCCTTTTACAATTTTCTTATAGTTTTTGACCCTCACATTTTTCCTTACATTGTTGCAGTTATAATGCCTCCTTCAGCGCTTGATCGCCTCGGTTAGTAGTTTTTACTAGTTCTTTCTGTAACATTCATATCCTTATGCTTTGAAGATGGATTCTGATCGCGAAGCTCAATCCTTGCAGCATCCCTGCATATTGATTATCCAATGCTGTTTGAGCTACAAAACGATGCTGCTGACAGAGTCTCTCACTGTGGTGTCCTTGAGTTCATTGCTGAGGAAGGCATGATCTACATGCCATACTGGGTAGGAAGGCAGTGGAAAAATCTCATGTTTATTGTGAATTGAAAGTTACTCCGAGAAAGATTTCTGGTTATGAGTTATGACACCTGCTCTCATGTCATGAAAATTTTCACTTTGTGATTTCTAGATGATGGAGAATCTGCTCTTACAAGAGGGAGATATAGTGCGAGTGAAGAATGTGACCCTTCCTAAGGGAAAATATGTCAAGTTGCAACCTCACACAAAGGACTTCCTGGATATTACCAACCCTAAAGCTATGTGAGTTTTATCTTCAAACTAGATTGCTTCCGTTCTATTGAATTAGTTAGATTTCGCTGGAATGTCCTGTTCTTGCTCAAGCTTGCAATACATGGTCGAACCAACTTCCCTATGGTCCTACAGCATGAGCTTCCATGTCAATGTTTATATGACTGGATTTTATTTCACCATTGCAGCCTAGAGACAACATTAAGGAACTATTCCTGCTTGACAACTGGTGACAGTATTATGGTGGCGTATAACAACAAGAAGTATTACATAGATATCATAGAAACAAAGCCTTCAAATGCAATAACCATCATCGAGACTGATTGTGAGGTGGATTTCGCACCTCCTCTCGATTACAAGGAGCCTGAGAGAAAGCCTGCTGCATCTGATCTTTCGGGCAAGGCTCCATCTCAAGGTGTGTCCTTTCTCTCTCTACTTGCTTGTACCGTTTTTTTTATTTATGTAAGGCCTCAATGTTTGATGGTCGGACCATTTAGGTCTATGCATATTGTGAAACTGATTCCCTTTGTTACTTTGTTGCAGTTGAAGAGGCTCCAGAGGAGAATATACCAAAATTCAATCCATTCACAGGAGCTGGGAGACGTTTAGATGGTAAACCATTGCCGTACCAGCCTGCTCCAGTGTCTGCACATTCATCAACCAACAGCAAAAATCCTGTTGCAGCCAATGGTAGCGGACAGTCATCTACTGCTGCCGCTGCTGGTTCCAGTTCACAAAATGCTTCTCGCCAGGCCCAGGGAAAGCTCGTGTTTGGATCAAACGCCAACCGTGCTCCTAGCAAGGGAACTCAGAAGGTGGGTTGCTTCTACGATCCTGAGTCGATAGTTTGAGAGACTATCTTTTCCTTTTAGCTGCTGATGGTTATTCATAACCTTGATTGATGCTGCAGGAAGCTGGAAAAGAGCCGAAACAAGAGCAACCGGAGAAGAAAGACGAACCCAAGTTCCAGCCATTCTCAGGGAAGAAGTACTCACTGAGGGGTTGATAATTTATTCAACAAGACAGTCAATGCCCTCAGAGTTGAGTCCTGTTGTTACTTGGGAGTATCATAAGATGCAGTAGAATTTGTGGATTCAGTTTCACTGGGTTGTTGTATCATGATAAAGTACATAAACTATTAGTTATGTAATGATGATGGGACTGTGTTAGGGTTCCTATTTGACGAGATCGCGTGATGCTTGTAAGCCGCTACCTTGCTGCTAAGCCGCGTTTGGTTTTCAGATAAACGTTTGGCTTTGTCTCAGTGCATTATCCTGCCTTTCTCAATCGGAAATGCAAATTCCCATCTAAAATGTTCAATGAAGTAGTTTAGATGACTTTTTCCCTGCTGTGGTTTGTGAACGTGTAGTTGAGGTTATGCCGAAAATGTTCACGAAAGTGGTGTAACCGTTCAATTAGTAACACTATCCAACAAGACCAGAATATGCATTATGAATTGCCAGTTTAACAAACAAACTTCGCCAGAAAGTAAGCTGAATCAATATGCTGGAAGCATCGGAAACACATTGTATAACCTTTCACTTCAATACTTTATTGACAGACACGACGCATTCGTAAAAATCTTATGCGTTCTTGTTCTACAATCAAAACCACACGAAAGCAGAGCTACTCCTCGAACGTCTTCTGGTTTCTGCTCTTCGACAACACTAATTCGCTAAAGGAAACAATGAAAAGCCAGGAGGCAATTAAAAGACATTGCAGCTTCCCTCAAAGGGTGCTGCCGATCATCAAAACGGCATTCTCTAATTTGAGCCTTTAGTTTGGTTCACCATCGGGATAATGGCAGGCCATAACAAAAGAATGGAAGTTCTTCAGATACGCTTCTCAGTTCTTACATTCAATTAGTTGATGATTACCACGCCTACAACATTATGCGGATGACTGCAAGTCCCATTGCGGCCATTGATGCAAGGGTACCAATGCAGTATTTGGCGATATCGTACTTTGCTGCTTCAACTTGAGCACGTACTGCATGAATTTCCTGTACACCAGAAGAGCAGCGGCAAGAGATTGTTAGCAGAGTTGAAACGGATAGGAAAAGTGACGATTAGGCACATCAAAGAGATACTACTATGCTCTCACCCGATCAAGCGTGTTAGTCAGGTTGGTCGTTTCTGCTTTTTGGTTGGCTAGCTCGTCCCGCATTCGTCTGCAATGCAATGACATTAAGCATTATTACAGATTAACATAGCAACGCAGGCAAGCACACACCAAAACCTAACACAGGGTCGCTAGAGGTGACGAAACTCGATCCAACTCAATTCACTGAAAATGGGTTTTGACCCAATTAAATGAACCCATAGTCCCGTAATAAGATATCTCTGAACTGCTTAGTAGGCAGGTGACCAGGCTCCCAATGGGCCAAAACTCAACTGAATTACTTTAGTCACCCTTATTTTTAACAGAGAATTACACCATCACCACAGCTCTTGACCTATGCACCGAACCTACCCAGCGAACACATGAACCTGCAAAGTGCAAACCTATTTGCCACTTCTGCCTAGTCTACTGTATTTCCACTTCCACATGTGTAACGTTGGCCTTCTCTTAAGCTAATTACAAAATTTTTATCTGATCTAACACCATGTGTTCGCCATTGTCATTTCTACCTTACTTGACATTTGACAATCTCAACCCCAACCTCCCTGATCTACACATTATGCTATCTAGCAAGTTAAAATGTGAAGGAACAAGAAGTTGAAATGATTCCATCACAAAAAGGTTTGAATTTTGTACCCTCGTTCGAGATTTAAATCCAGCCGCTGACCAGCATTTGCCTTGTCAATTTCATACCTGTTTTAGGATAGCAAAAGTAAGACAGTAACAAGTAAAATCACATTTTGGGCTACAGAAAATAACAGCATATGGAAACATGCCTTGTCAATTTCATACCTGTTTTAGGATAGCAAAAGTAAGACAGTAACAAGTAAAATCACATTTTGGGCTACAGAAAATAACAGCATATGGAAACAAGTTCTTCCAAAATAATAAACCTCAGTTCACTGTGCCCTTTGTCTATGTGAGTTTTAAGCTTCTCAATTTCGCGTTGCAACGTAGCATAATGATCGTCCTGTATAGAAGGTAAGAAGGTCAAGGTTTGCAGTACATATCCTTTTTACTAATAGATTCTTAATAACCCTGCTTAGGGCTTAACCACAACGCTACTTGTCTCAACACATGTTGCAGAACCTTGAGTTGAGATTAATAATTCCAAAACAAAGAGAAATAAAGGGAAAGTAAATGAAAAAATAACCTCTACTGTAACATTCACATCTAAATGAAACTAGTTCTCTTCTGAGGTACCCCCTTTCAAGACTTAGGAGATTGCTAGTCCTAAGAAATAAAGGTCTAGTAGTTCGTTATTTGTTTTATTGGAACGACAAGATGGAGTTCATTGCTTTACTCTGTCAACAGGCAAACAATCAGACAGTTTATCTAGATTCTTGACAGGACAAGTCATGTATATGCTACTTATGCCAGATAAACTTATGCACTGTAATAGAATCGACTGCAATAAGTCCTATTGTATCATCAATGAACTAACCTAAAGTAGAAGGCCCCTATGTTACACGAAAATCAAGTAAACAAAACCAGTTCTGAACTCGCAACGCATAACTGCCAACACGTCGTAAGTTTATAAACTTGTGCCCCTAAACCCAAACAAGTCATCATTCTCTATTTAGGAAACGGACAATCAGAAGCCAGCTAGTATCTAGAGCTACGTTCTCGCCTCGATTTTGTTCTGGAATTGATACTTGACAGAAAGTGAACTCCAGTTCATAATCCAATCACCACAAAGAAGAACACCTTGGAGCTAAAACAAGATGAATTCTAAAGGAGGTACCTGAGAGCCCTTTATGTCGGTTTGGAACTTAGACAAGTCTGACTGTATTTCGTTCTGGAACTTCGAGAGGTTGGATTCTTGAATCATTTCGCGTGCTACTTGAGCGCTGTTGACTTCAGCTTTGAACTTCGATAGGTTCGACTCTTGAATCATTACACTCTACGCAATACGAAGATTAAGGATTGGTATAGACAAGCATTACCATTAACAAATGTATGTTGAACTTTTCAACTTCAATTACCTTCTGCATTTCCTCCTTTGAGACACAGGAATGAGACAAGCTCTCTAAACTAACGTTTAACACTGCAATAATGGCGTGAGTGATTGCCTCGGCTTGCTTTGAAGGCACGTCCTGCGATTCCAACCTCCTTACCTTTTTCACAAACCAAAGAGAACGCAAAGCATCAAACGATCAAGTAACCACCGAAACCACTGAAGGAAAGCAAGAGAGCAACAGAAGGAGATTTTTACCAGAGCTAATGTATCAACGAGGAAAGCACGGTTCGCGCCATTAGGTCTCGCGAGGTCGGACATGTGTCTACTATTATGTTCCAACTTTCCGGCGATAGATGAACACCTCGAAGAAGCATCGTGGAGACGCAATTTGACGAGGAGAGCTCCCGATTGGACAAAGCGCCGACACAGAGCCATGGAACTGCTTCGTCTCCCCCTTCCGATTCCGAGGAACTCAATCAAAACGCGGCGGGCGGAACCGCGATTCTTGGAGACCGAAAGAACAGGAAGGGAATACAATCAGGCTAGACGACGGCCACCGGCGATGCCAACGGGGAAGATCTGGGAGAGGGAGAAAGTGGCGAGAGCGACGAAGACGCAACTGCTTGCTTTGCTGGATTCGTGCAGAGAGGTTCGGGTTGGTGTGCGTTTGGCTTTTTTCCTTGCTGGAAACGGAAATTTGCTCAGCTATGCTTTTCTTTCTTCTTTCTTTTGCAATTTGCAGTCTTGGAATTTGAGCTTATTTCTCAAGTTATCTTTGAGAAGGGGCAATTCTTATTTGGCCCATGAACTTTGATACTTTTCTTGAAAGAGTCCCTCAAATTTGCATCATTGTCAATGAGAAGCCAGAGTTCGTGATTTTTCACAAACCAGAGTATTGCACCAAAATTTTCTGATTTTGACCTAAAAACTATATCAATGGCCTGTGAGTGGATAAACAAGAGCTTTAACAGGATGATACAGAGCCTCTCGAAGCCATATCGCATCACTATTCCATTCACATCGAACCATGAAGCCCGAAATCAACGAAACTCGTCTCAAAGGTTTGTACACTCATCTTCATCATGCAAGGCATTACCATCTTCCAGAAAGGGAAGAACTCAGCCATCTAACTATGAGCATATGCTTTCCTACTTCCTAGTTCCTACAAGAATCAAAGGGGAGAGAGAGAAGGTAGAGGGGGAAGATTACAAACTGCACTTGAACTTCAAAGAAGTTACCTACATGTACATTGCCTTCTTTATGTTAACACAAGTTAGAATTTAAAAAGCTGTACACATATCAGGTTGTTCTCAAAATTCCTACAAACTCACTCCCCCAACCCTACCTCGACCCCATTTCTTATTCATGTATGCAAATAATCACAAGATGCACCTTTTCTGCAGTGCCCATTCTCCTGGAAAAACTTGCATACCATTTGGCCTCTGTTATATGCCGGGGCTGGCCCCCTCGACGACGATTGACGATTCCATTGTCTATCCCCAATGTCGCCTCCGCGACCACCACCTCCATACCCAGAATCCCCTCCCTGAGACCCTCTCTCCCAGCTGGGGTGGTTGTTGTTCGCATTTCCGGGTCCCACCCATCCCGAGTTCTGGGTTGTATTCATTGGCTGTGCTGCTGCACCGCCTTGCCCAGGTGTTGCCGGTCCCCAGCCTTGCACTTGAACGGCAGGAGACCATCCAGCATTTGTGTTAACCACCTGCTGTCTCTGCATCCAATTGGAATTTGCATTCGCAGGAATCATTCCTTGATCTGTTGGAGCATGAGCAATACCCCAACCATGATTTGTATTTGCAGAAGGCAGGTTTCCACTCCACGCCATGGTTTGGTTTCCCGGGTTGTCTGCAACTGGGGCACCCATTCCTCCCCATTGCACTTGCACACCTAATTGAGCAGAGGGTTGCTGAACCGTTTGTGGATTTCCCCAGTTCGCATAAGCATTATTACCGAGTGAAGCCACATGCATTGAACTATTATTGGGCTGCATTGAACCACTTCCACCCCATGCTTGAGATCCAGTTCCACTTCTCATGTTTGAAGCATTTCCTTGTGCCCCACCCAAAAGAGGATTATTGCTGATAGTCTGAACCAAACTCTGGAGAGCTGCTGTATCCATAGCTGCAGGAACAACAGGTGGGGCACCACCGGAATTTGGGAATGGATGCAAGTGATTGGAGTTTGCCTGTACCATGCGGGGAGATTCAACTTGTGTCAGAGAATGCAGCTGTTGAGCAATTGCAGAAGCTTGCCTGGCGACTGGGCTTGCAACATGAGAAAGATTAGCGAGGGCATTTGATTGAGAAGCAGCACCAGCTGGAGCCGGTGTTGGAGACCACCTGCTTTCCCTAGCTTGTCTTGTTCCTCCACGTGACCCGGTTGATGCTGGAGTTGGAGAAGGGAGACTCGTCTCGGAATTCCACCTGTCAGCAGCATAACTGGGGATCTCAACTGCAGTTGGAACAGATCGTCCAGAAGAAGAGCTATTAACATCATTATTATCTCTTGCAGGAGCAGCAGAGAGCCGTGAACTACTCTGAACCAGGGGAGCCTGGAAATTTCCATCTAATGCATCAGTGAGAAGTATGGAGTCCTCTTCTTTCTCAGTGGCTCGCCATATTCTCAAGTTATTTGGGAAGTATCCAGTGTTGTTCCATTTTCGAAGCTGTATCATGGAAAAGGGTCCCTGAATTTTCCCAGCTGGGTCTTTGTAATGCCATATCTTCTGCGTCTCGTTGATTTTGGCAGAATCGGATTGTTGTGCCAAACCTGCTGCGGGAGGAGCTGCTGGAAAACTCTCTTGAGCTGCAGCCCTAGGAGCCAAATCTGTATTTACACTACTACGTGATTCTACATTTGAAGCACATTTTGGGCTCTCCCAGCTTTGGGGTGCATGGATTTCCCGGTCTCCTCCTCGACCCCACAAGTTGTCATTTGCTTTATCATTAGTCCCAATTGTGATATCCCCTTTGTAAGAGAAACCTTTACTAGACGAGTTCCTTGTCAACTCACGGTTCATACTCGAGAAACTCCGAGTTCCACCCCAGGATTCATTTGGGTTGGTAGCTCCTTTCCTCGGTGAAATTGGCTCTCTTGGCCTTCTACTGAAACCACTACTGCCTCTGGGTCTATAGTTATCTACTGCAACAAAATTGAAAATGAACAATGTTGCATGAGATGACTATAATGATAAATTTAAGCCATGACCAAGACCAAGTAAACATACCTTGTATCTTATCAGCAGTTTCATCTTCTTCTTCTTCTTCAGACTCATAACTTGGATCCATCTTTGGGTCAACATGAATTTCAGGAATTTCTTCTAACCTTCGCTGGCGCTCATCAGGAGACTTCAGAAGCTGCAGTTTTTCTACACATTCTCTGAGCGTAATCAAAAGTCAAGGATCACTTAGAACAGCAATATGAAAATTGAAAATCAAGAAGTCGTCTCCAGTTCAATACAATAAATTATTGATTTCAACACAGCACCAAACTGCCGAACGACTAGAAAAGTCCCAAACTTCCAGAAGATAGGAAAGATGTACAGTTAGATACAGCTACAGACAACATAGCATCAGCAATGTACACAAGAACATGCTCAAGAAGATGCAGACACATAAACAAGGTGCAACAGTTAAACTGGAAAAAAGGATATTCCTTTCTCCTCCCCATGTCACTTGCTCGATCTCGAAGATGACTGAGACGGTTTATCTCTGAGTCCAGTATCTGCAGTATATAAAAGGACACCAAACAAGGGAAATGATGAGAAGATTCCAACTCTATTAAAATAGGGAAACTAACAACCATGAAGAACACAGAAGAAATAGTTGAATCACCTGCCTGCTATATATAAAAGAAGGTTTTTTTCCGCTATAAATACTTCACTAAGAATGAGTCCCCTGGAACTATAACTTTTACTTATGCAACGAATCTGAGGTCCACACCTCGAAACAAAACAGAAGTAAACTATACAAAAAAGGCAGCCAAAACGTTCCCTTTTGCCAACCAAAAATTATTTAGCATGCCCTATAGTCTAAGTTACCTCTCTTCAATCACAGGAACAACACACATGCTAGCGAAAAAGTTGAAGATGGAATTGAAATTTTGCAACTTAGCGAAAAAAGTATTAATAGCATTAACTCCGGCTCCTACTCAACGCAGGCTTAAGAGGAAAACGTCTTGCGAAAGACAGTGGCAAGTATGATCACTAGGATCTGAGATTCACTTAACCAATCAACCAAGCCGTCACCAGCTTTAACTTCTTATCATTATTTTTCAGTCTGAAGGCAACACACATTATCTAGGCGGATAGGAGAGGACATAACAAAAATTAGAACACATCCCAAAACTTACATCTTGAACTCGAACTGCCTGCAATGCAATGGCCTTTTCCTGGATGTCACCCTGCAAACAACAACAAAAAATGACATCTTGAGGAGGAAATCTAAAACCTTGGGAAAGAACTTCAAATGAAATGCAACAGTACCACTGTCAATCGATCGAGAAGGCCACATTTTATGCTTTGTCGTAAACGCTTGCATTCATCCTGTGGAATCAAGAAAAAATAACGATGTATAAACAGCCATTAAAATGAAGATGAGCAGATAAGGACAAATCTCTATAGCAGGATGATTGCAAACTATGGCTGTTAATCAGGACAAAAGGATAGCAAATTAGATAGAAGCATGCAACAGTAACAGACTTAGCAGCCATGATGACAGTTCAGTTCCAACCATTTTATACTATCCAAACAGTGTCATACGCCATCTAAAGTTCTCTCCAATGTCCAAACAACTACTACAGGAGAATTGTCGCTAAAATATCCTTCTATGGGGAAATCCAAATTACCAAAACTATCACAGAAATGTTATACAATATATATTTGCTACAGTTCACCTCTGTGAATTCTTGATTTGAAATGGCATCAATTGAGATAACCTCGGTCTTGTTTAGATTCAATATTTCCAGCAGGAAATTAGCAGTCCTTTTCCCAACTCTATATGGATTATCAGCTTTCTTGGTGCCTGTGGACAACAAACCAACAAATTTTATTGCCACACTGAAGTCCTGTCCCAAGCACAGTTGCTGAATGGACAAAAAACAGAGACAAATCTGTTTGAACATGTACCTATAACATGGACAAGCCTATACAAATCTTGCTTCAGAGAATTTCCAGATATTCTTAATCTCACGAAGGAACCAACAACTTTCTCATTGAATGTTTCAGTGTCATCAAGAAGTTCCTCAACCAAACTCCGTTTCAAGTAAATTAAAGTAATGTTGTGTATGTCGACGGCACCGAAATCATCGACGTTAGATTGCAGTCCTCTCCCATCACCCTTTTTACGTGACTTTCTCTTCTTATCCTTGCCAGCTTTAACGAGAGCATCTCCATCACCTTCCATCTGATTGGCTTCAATGTCCACACTTCCTTGAACATCATCCATCTGAGAGTCCTCCTTCAGTAGAAAGTGTGACTCAAGAAGCTTTAGCATCTCAAAATGGCCCACTCGAGGTTTACTGAACAAATGTTGAAGCCTTGAATCACAAAGTATTTGACTTTTTCGACGAGGATCCCGAAGTTTATTCCTTTTTATGTACTCCAACAGCAGAGCTTGTACATCAAACTGAGAACAAACAGATCTATCACCATTCTTCATGTGCATAATGAATTCTAAAAGCTCTTTTGATGCCCACTCAACACCAACCCCGTTCACAGTCTTCTTACTGGGTGTGTCCTTCTGTTTGGCACGAGATTTCAGCCGTTTTTTGCCTTTTCTTCCCTTGGGGGTCCTTAATTCACCATTCCCTGCAGAGCTGTCTGAAGCAGACCCTCCGTCATTCTGAGCATCATACAATTCATCCCCTGATTCCTGCTTTGCAGCAACCAAATCAGGTCCTTTCCTTGGATGTTTGGCTGTGGTAAATTCATCTGACGTGATAGATAGCCTTCCCTTAAGATCCATCCAGTAATCTTTGAAGAGATACTCCCAACTGCTATTATCGTCAAAATCCACTTGAGTCTAGGAAGGCACATAAGCAACATAAGAAACCAGAGTCAAACTCAAAAGACACATAAGCAAACGTTAACTATAACGGATACTCTACTAGAAGAACTTAAGAGAGATGAATTGTACTAACAAACAGAAATCGCCTTGATAATAATCTACAAGCATACGTTTATTGATAAGTTACTATAACACTTTATGCAATTCTGAAAGCATCAATAATGAAAATAGGGTAATTAACCAAAACAAAGAAACTAAAAGATAGAGGTCTCAACATACCGTTTCCTTGTCTCCACGTTCATTCATCTCAATCATTTTTACAGTTTTAAAACATGTCTCGCAGAATCCTTTGTTGCCTCTAACACAGAAAATGACACCATCTTTGATACACCCCTTGCACAATGAAAATGTGCATGTATAGCACATGTAGTATGCATTCTTCTCACAGTTGCTGCATATATGCCAACCTAATTCAAGAAAGCACCATTTATTAGGCTTAAACAAAGCAGAAATCTCATATATATTTCTGAAGACTGAATATGCACATCATGACTAATCTGGAAAGAGTTGGTTGCCTGGGGAACACAGCAAAAGAAGAATGACTATCCTTTCTACCATCTCTCAATCACCAATATCGGATTACTAAGCTCTGCTGTCCCAGAAATTTCAAGTTTAAAAAAAGAAGGGAGAATAGAAATAAATTGAGCACAACAAGAAAAACATTTAGCATCCATATCTAACGTACATAGAACTACCAACTCAGAGGACTAAGATAAACAAAGAGCATTTGCCACAGTTATAGAACTATAGTCAAAGATATTTTGGCCGTTTACTCATTCAGAAGAAAAATAATCCAGATAACTTCAATTAGTGAACAGATCAGTTAAACCATTCAAATTTGCTCTGCATATGCTGCAATAAGTTCAAGAATTTTCCAGCTTCATATCATCACTTGAGACATTGTACTGTTCCAGAGATGAAGAAGTTTGGAAGTTGAAGGAATGCATCTGATGAAGAAGTTTGCTATTAGATCAAGTAGCGGCACCAACAAGCACGCCTACCCATTAAAACAAACGAGAGGAAAACAATGCTTATTACTTGCAACAAAACAATGGCAGGCATTGGCTATTTGATACAGCAAGATAGTTTTATATGTTGATCATTGTATGTTCCATAACAACCATATAAAATCACCAATGTAGTTCTTCTCAAATGCTTGATACACAAAAGTCTTTCCGGAAAATCAGACATTGCTCTGAACTGCGAACAGCCAAAGCAAAGCAGCTTGCTACTAGAAACAAGTAGGAAAAGTGACAGACTGAGAAGTGACAGCACAAGCTGTCTGCCAAAAGTTGCTCTAAGGCATAGTCTTCTGTCGCTCCAGTTCAATTAATCATTCTCGCAGCGTCACATACCACTTCTCAATGTTGGACAACATCCATAGTATCAGGGGGTTGGAGATTCATATTAAAAACACCCCAACAAAAAATCATAAGCTACCACAAACACCTGGCAAGCTAGCACGCCGAAACACCTACTAGGTAAGAATTTTCTATCTACTCAAATTAGTCAACTGCTGCAACGAAGCAGCCATGTGCATATAAAGTTCCTTGCTAATAAGGACACGAAATATAGGAATCAAACAGAAACATGAAAAGAAGGAACTGCAATGATGGAAGTAGTTAAGAGTCTGACAAAATGGCTTGCTGATACAAAGATATATTCTGCAACCAGCTAAAGGTTCCATTGGCAACAGCAGTTTCATTTCTTCAATGCAGATGATTTCCACACAACAGCCAGACAATACAAAATCACTGATAAATGATGACTAAAATCACACAAACTTCTCTTCTAATCTTGCAAATTGACTTATAAACCTGATATTTCCTAATTGATCTTAACATGATAATAAAAGAAAAATGAATCAGACAGGTCATATAAAGCATCACCCAGCATAAATTTGACTACCTACTATACCACAGCAAATGAAAACTTGAAATGAAAGGCTTAGTAAGCAAATAGATGAACTTACCACAATTCCATTTTCCTTTCGATTTGAAAAATCCTTCATCCCGGTTGACGCAGGAGGGATGGTAAACCTTAGGGCACCCCCTAGTTATCATGTCAACCGAACATTAAAATCCCCAGAAGTAAGAAGCCACAAGCATTATATGCAGACTATTATTCGATAACCCTTACCTGCGATCACATAGGACAAGCTCTCCCCCATCGAAGCAAATGAAACACACATCCTCCTCCACCTTCTTCCTTGATGGTGCTTTACCAATAGCTTTGGCATTATTTCCTCGTTTCCTCTTCCTGCTTCCAGTTTCCCTCACTTCCTCAGCATTGTGTTCTTCTGCCGCCTCCTTCCCCTCCTCCTCTACTGTTTCCTCCACTTCATTCATTTTCTCATCATCATCATCTTCTTCTTCCTCCTCTTCATCTGCTTCATTTACCTTCTCATTTTCCTCCTCATCTACTTCTTCATCTGCTTCATTCACCTTCTCATTATCCTCCTCATCTACTTCTTCATCTGCTACATTTACCTTCTCATCTACTTCGTTCCCCTCCTCATCTTCTTTTTCTTCTTCTACTTCGTTCAACTTCTCATCATCTTCTTCTTCTTTATCTGCTTCACTCACCTTCTCATCCTCTTCTTCTTTATTTGCTTCACTCAGCTTCTCATCCTCTTCTACCACGTCAGTCATTTCCTCATCCTTATCTTCTACTTCTTCTTCTTTGGGCTGAGTCACGTTCTCTTCTTCTGCTGCTTCATGCACCTTGTCAGCCTGTTCATCTGGTTCATTCATTTCCTCATGCTTTTCTTCTCCCACAACCTCTTCTTCTGCTTCACTCAACTTCTGAACCTCTTCTGCTACTTCACTCATCTTCGGATCCACCCCTTCAGCCCCCTCATTCAACTTGTTATCCCTGTATAAGGCCACATCGTCCTTCTCCACCTCTTTTTCCACATCATCCATCTTCTCGCCTGCTTCTTCTTTCGAATCAAGTTCTATACTTTCCTTCGCTACCTTATCTTTCTCCTCAAGAGCATCATCCACCTCCATCTCGTGTACTACCTCGGTACTCCTACCAGCACTAGTTGTTTCGTTTCCTTCATCACCCTTCATCTCTTCCACTACATCATCTACACTAACTCTGTTCAAAGCTGCCTCTGGCGGCCCACCACCCTCCTCCTTCGGCATGTTCTCAATTTCATCCTCTGGCGGTCCAGCAGCATCTTCCTGCTGCGTGTTCTCAGTTCCATCCTCTGGCGGTCCAGCAGCCTCTTCCTTCTGCGTGTTTTCAGTTTCGTCCTTGTTCGCCATCTCCCCAAACAAATCCTTCTGATTCTCCTCTGTATCATCTTTATTTTCTGTCTCCTCAACTTTCTCAATCATCACAAATTCCTCCATTTCCTGAGTCTCTGCCGCCCCAATCTCAGTTCCCTCCTTCACTGCGACCTCCACGTCATTTTTCCTCGGTGAATCAACATTGCCCGCCAATCCACCGCTCTCTTCCTCTCCACCAATCAAATCAGGATTGCCCTCTTCTTTAACCGCAACCTCCTCTTCCGAACCTTTCTCGCATCCAGAAGTTCCGCTTTCAACAATCACATCACCCCCCTGATTTTCCCGCTCATCAACTGTCACTTCCGGCAGCTGCTCCCCCTCCACTGACCGAGACTCCTCCTCTCCACCTGGCTCTCCAGCAAGCTCTTCTTCACTCCGCTCAGCAACTGATACTACTCGCTCTTCCAATTCATCAACAACCGTCGTTTCTTCCACCTCATTGTTACTCGCCGGCGGTTGTGCCTCACTATCATCGCCGCCGCGGCCAGGTGGCGGTTCATGAGACTCGGACGACAACCGTTCCGTCTCCGTCCGGCACTCAGGCTCGTCGGCGGCGCAATCCTCTGGCTCGCACGCCGTAGTCGATGTGGCCGTTGCCGGGATAGCAGAATGGTTCTCTCCTTCCGAAGAAGCGGGGTTGGGGTTGGGGGGAATTGAATTCCTTTCCTCTTCGGCTTCCATCGGAGGAAAAATTCCGGATCAGAGAGGCGGAAAAAACCCACTAGGGTTTATGAGGGATTTGGGAACGGGGGAAATTTTTGGTGGCAGTTCTTTCTGCGTTTTTTAATTATCACGACACGAAGAGCGTGTGACGGAGGGAAGAGAGTCCAGAAGAAGCTCGCACTTTTACAGTGAGAGAGACAAAAAGGGTGTGGAATTATTTTTTTTTTTCTTCTTTTTCCAGAGAAGTAATCTTTCTTAGTAAATTTAGACTCTAAAGTCCCTAAAAAAAAAAAAAAGAAGACTAAAGTTGGGCCGAAACAATTCTTTAATGGGCTCAAACTGCTTTCCCTGGCCCAATAAAAACGTGAAGTCCCTCAACTTCTTCGCCGTTCACTTTCTCTTTCCCGTCTCAGTTTTCCCGCACCACTGCGCCAGTCTGTCGATGAAGACGAAGAGTGGTAAAATCGCAAGGAGGACGCGTCGACGGAAGGTCCCGGCGACCGGAATCGGCGACGACAGGCTGAGCTCACTGCCAGACGAAATCATCACCCACATCCTCTCTTACCTGCAAACCAAGTACGCCGTCGTCACCGCAGTCCTGAGCCGACGGTGGAAGGATCTATGGACTAGGGTTTCCAGCCTCGATTTCGACAACCGCTCGGTTTACAAGCCTCTGTGCTGGAACGTCGCCTCGCCCGCGCTGGTACCTGTTTCAGAGATTCCAAGGAAGCGAGACATGGAATTCCGCCGCTTCGTTGACCGGGTTCTCAGCCGGCACGAGAATCTCGATTCTCTGAGCCGCTTCCGCTTCCATTTTTCAGCAGCGCCGCGAGACTGGAAAATAATGCCTGGTTTAGGGCTCAACCGCTTCCATTTTTCAGCAGCGCCGCGAGAGTGGAAGGTAATGCCTGATTTTGCGTTTAGCACGGATTCTCTGGTTGAGGAAATTGATGTTATGATTTCTGGGGAAACAGAATTCGAGCTTCCCCGGTCTATGTTCTGCACTTCGAAGAATCTGAAAGTGGTGAAGCTTGAAGGGGTTATACTGAGTGCAGCAAAAGGGTCCTTTTCGCTTCCTGGACTAAAGATTTTACAGCTCCGTGGAGTAGAAACTGAGGATTGCGAGTCATTAAGCAATTTTGTTTCTGGTTCCCATGTTCTAGAGACTGTTCATCTGGAGAATTGCTACTCCAGGAATGAGGGACGTATGCTCATGCGTTCGTTACCATCATTGAAGAACCTCAAGATCATCTGTGGGTATGCCGTCCTCGAGGATCGTAATCTTCGGGAGTTTCCAGGGTTGATGTTTCTGGGCAGTGTACCATTGCCATGCCTTCATTCAGCATATGTTGATGTTAGCATGTATCGAAGCTCGGATTATTCCCTGATCGGGCTCCTCACTGCAATCTCCACTGCAAAGAAACTTCACTTATCTGGGGAGACTCTTGTAATCAACCTGCTTTTGGTTTTGTTTTTTCCCCTATGTTCCACTGTTTCCTTTCTCATTGATGAATTTGCTTGCTTCTTTGTTGCAGAGTCTTCTGTCATCAGGTACTGCTGTTCCATTGCCTATCTTCCCCAATTTGACACATTTGACAATCGGAACTGGGGGGCGAAGCTGGGTTCTGCACTCCTTGCTCCACTCGGCTTCCAAATTACGATCTCTTGTCATTGACATGGTGAGTTCCATCATTCATGTTTCACATTCTGTTAACTGGAAATCTTCCTTCCAAATCTTTCCATAATGAATATGTACATGAGGCAGGGGCATCCCATTAGAGCAATGAAGTGGGAGAGATTAGACACGGTTTGCGTGCCCTCGTGTTTGTCGTTAAGCCTCGAGGAAATCAAGATCAAGGATCTAGTAGCAGACGAAGGTGGGATGAAAATGATAGCGTATTTGTTCGAGGCGGGAGTTGCTCTGAAGAAGGTGAGTATGCACGTATATGAAGGTCTTGTTAACACAAGAAGCCACAAAGGCCTTGTGTCGCTTCTTAATCTACCAAGAGGATCGAGTTCTTGTGAAGCTCGTCTTTTACTTCCCGACAACAGAGAGGTAGACATCGACAGCTACCATGAGACCAACACTAACGAGTACATGGACGATGATGACTTCTGGCAATAGGTGAGACCAATCGAAGACGAAGAGGAGACTGAAAAAGCATGGTGGTGGGAAAGGAAGTATCCTATGAAAATGTAATGAACTACATTGTATCTTATTTTGTGGAATATCATACGTAGAATTTTGTGAATTTTGACACTCCCTCGCTAGCAGGGATGCCAATTCAACCCAAACTCTTGGTTACCCAACCTGATCCAATTCGATCAAAGTGGGTAAACCTCAATGTTGAAGAGTTTTCGATCGGGTGTGGTTACCATTTTTCATTTTTGAAATGGGCAAGTTGAGTTCGGTTTGGGTCTTGCCAAAATTTGACCCGCACCCAAGAGACAAAACAACGCAATTGGAATCAATCATGAACAATATGAATTCGAGAATTTGGGTAATTCATGGATGTTTTTAGTTTTCATGAAAGTAATGTTCGTAAACCAATGAGTACCCATGCACTTGTGAATACTCGATGGGTTGGATTGAGTTTGCTCTTCCAAACCCAACCCTACCTATTGCCATCCTTACTCTCCAGTACTTTGGACTTTGGAGCAAGAAAACGAAAGGAATGTTTGCTTGGGCTAAAAGCTTCCTATATATATGTTTTCCAAATCAAGTGATTTCCATGTGGTTTTAACTATATGATCATGTAAAATAATAAAACAAATTTGACCACAACCCATCAACCAACTTTATCCAATATCCTTGTTCCAACCCAATCCACCATTACTCACTCCTTAAGCAATGAACTGGAACCAAATGGTTCGGTTTTTTTCTGCAGTAGTTGGTATTTGTGTGTAGCTGGTGGCCACCTTGCTAAGCTAATCTACCTTACAATCCACTAAGATGTTTCAACAATCAGGTCAGCAGAAGGTGGTGCACCGATTCCATTCCTACAATCTGATTCCATTCCTGAACCTAAACCAACTCGATCCAACTGAATATTAATCTAATTCAAAATTATATGAACTTGACAGGCATTAGTCTACCAGAAGAGACAAAGCAACTTTACGTAGTCTCAAAGCTGAGGAAAAACACGAGAAAGAAAATGGAACCATCTTATTAAGGGCTTTGCTTAGAATTCTTGTTTCTAGACAGAGACACACACCTAACCAAGCAAAAACGACAGGGATGCAGACTTCTTGACCAGTTTCATGGCTCCCTCCCTTTATTTATAGGGGTGAGTTGGAGAGTCAGCCATTCAATCCAAACCCAGACTGAAAGGGAGGAAAAGGAGAAGAAAAACACTAACCCAAAAGAGGAATAGACAGCTGCTTTGGATCAATGGCTTCTTCCTCCTCCTTCTTCTGTCTTGGGTTCATCTGCCTTCTGGTCTGCCTCCTTCCAGCTTCCGTGGACTGCATGGTTCGTCATTACAAGTTCAACGTAAGTGTCATTTCAGTGATTACTCTCATTGATTTCCGGGGTGACAACAGAGAATAATGGAAGTGACGTTTCTTATGTTTTTCCTTCGCAATCATGCGCCTCAGGTGGTGATGAAAAATACTACGAGGTTGTGTTCGAGCAAGCCGATTGTGACTGTGAATGGCAAATTCCCAGGGCCAACCCTGTATGCTAGGGAAGATGACACAGTGCTAGTGAAAGTTGTCAACCATGTCAAATACAATGTTTCCATCCACTGGTAAAATGACCATACCACAAACAATAACCTGAATCCTGAAAACATGAAGCATCACCTTTCTTTCTATGTTGTGCAGGCATGGCATTAGGCAGATCAGGACTGGTTGGGCCGATGGACCAGCATACATCACCCAATGCCCTATCCAGCCAGGGCAGAGCTATGTGTACAACTTCACCATCACGGGGCAGAGAGGAACACTTCTGTGGCACGCACACATCCTCTGGCTGAGGGCAACCGTCCATGGAGGCATTGTCATCTTGCCGAAACGGGGCGTTCCTTATCCGTTCCCAGCTCCCCACAAGGAAGTCGTTGTTGTATTAGGTACACCTTTCAGTTCTTCAGAATGATGTCTGAGCTTTCAGGAAGCGTTGCAACTAATGAAATGGTAATCTGAATTTGCAGCGGAATGGTGGAAATCAGACACAGAAGCTGTGATCAACGAAGCCACGAAATCAGGATTGGCACCGAATGTCTCCGATGCCCACACCATCAACGGTCATCCTGGTCCTGTTTCCAACTGCGCGTCACAGGGTAAACTTCTACTAAACATTCTTGCCAGGGTTTGTAAAACGTTCTAATCGTCAGGTTCTAAAACTTAACACTCAATTCTCAATTTTCCAGGAGGCTTCACATTGCCAGTCCAGGCAGGCAAAACGTACATGCTAAGGCTAATCAACGCTGCACTAAACGAAGAGCTCTTCTTCAAAATTGCAGGCCACAAACTTACAGTAGTGGAGGTTGATGCCACCTATGTCAAACCATTCAAAACAGACACTGTCCTAATCGCTCCAGGACAAACCACAAACGTCCTTGTCTCAGCAGATCAAAGCTCGGGGAAATACCTGGTGGCTGCCTCGCCGTTCATGGACGCCCCAATCGCCGTCGACAATAAGACCGCCACGGCCACCGTCAGCTACGCCGGCACCCTCTCCAGTACCCAAACAACTCTGACAATCCCACCTCCCAAGAACGCCACCGCAGTTGCCAACGCTTTCACAAACTCCCTCCGAAGCCTCAACTCCAAGAAATTCCCCGCCGCCGTCCCGAAGACCGTCGACCACAACCTCTTCTTCACGGTCGGGTTGGGAATCAACCCGTGCCCGACTTGCAAAGCCGGGAACGGCAGCAGAGTGGTCGCGAGTATCAACAACGTTACATTTGTAATGCCCACCACAGCTCTCCTTCAGGCGCATTTCTTCAAACAGAAAGGCGTCTTCACCACCGATTTCCCGGCCAACCCGCCCCACGTCTTCAACTACACGGGAACCCCGCCGGCGAATCTGGCGACCACGAAAGGGACGAAGGTTTACAGGTTGGCTTACAATTCTACGGTTCAGCTGGTGATGCAGGACACCGGGATCATCTCGCCGGAGAACCACCCGATCCATCTCCACGGATTCAATTTCTTCGCGGTGGGGAGAGGAATCGGGAATTACAACCCTAAAACGGACCCGAAGAAGTTCAATCTGGTTGACCCGGTTGAGAGGAACACCATCGGAGTCCCTTCGGGCGGTTGGGTCGCCATCCGGTTCCGGGCTGATAACCCAGGAGTTTGGTTTATGCATTGCCATCTGGAAATCCACACGACTTGGGGATTGAAGATGGCGTTCTTGGTGGACAACGGGAAAGGGCCGAACCAGTCACTCTTGCCGCCTCCCAGTGATCTCCCCAAATGCTGAACGTCGGAGGGTTTGAAGAATTCTCCTCCATATAAGAATTCGGAGAAAAAATTGTGACAACAGAGAGGTTGAGAGTTGAGTTTTAATTTGTTTCTTGAGCAAAAAGTTTTGCTCAAGCAAGTGAGAATAAGAGATTGTATGTGACTTATTGAAAATTTATTTAAGAGCAAAGTAATTTGTCCACCATACACGCATTAATGTGGGATGTTTTTTTTTTTAATAATGGTGATTGCATTGAATTTGTTACGATATTTAGTGATTCGATTGTGTATCAAAGGCGGTTCATTAAGATTCGTCACAAAAAATTTATGTTTTAGTATAAGAAACCTTGGATTGATGAATTGACAATAGGGATGGCAATGGGTCGGGTTGGGTCGGGTTTTGCCAAACCCAAACCCATGGGTTTATCCGTGGAAAAAACCCGGGGTAAAACCCACTGGGTTTGAAAAACTCAAACCCAACCCAACCCGCTGGGTATCCGCGGGTTCATGGGTACCCACGGGTTTTTGTCGTAAAAAATTTACAATAACAAGTTCCTATCAAAATTAAAGTCAAATATCAATCTCTCAATACAAATTATCCATATTTAAAACACCATTCTAGAAAATTCAAGCAAATCACAAATTAACTATACAAATTGTTCAACACCAATCTAGAAGACTCAAGAAAATTGAAGTAAATCATAAATTATCCATAAATAACATGATTAATTGAAAGCTTCTTCCTTTCAATAAAGTTTCTTCACTCTCCACTCGATAATACAAACTTCATTCTACACAATTAGAAAGAAAAAATTAGACATGTCTCCACAAACATAAATAAGATTAGTTGTTTAAAATATTAAATATATCGAGAAAATTAATTATATGTGTGGGCGAGTACCCACGGATCGGGTTTACCAAAATCCAAACCCAACCCGGTGAATAGTGAACGGGTTTAAACCCAAACCCGACCCAAAACCCGTCAACACGAATTTTACCCGCGTTGACTGGGTTGGATCGGGTAGGTACCCGTGGGTTCGGGTTTGGTTGCCATCCCTAATTGACAAGGATGACCTTCCTCGTGACCCTTACATGAGTTGGAGGAAAATTGTTCCTCTTGTAATCAATAATGTTCTTTTCCTTCCCATGCTAAATCCCACATGACGGATCAGATCTCATGGTAAAACCTATAAGTTTGAGCAAATAATTAAAACATTTTTATTGGCCGATAGAGATTTAGTTAGTTAATAGAAGGCCAGTGATTAATAGATTGTTAAGGATAAATGAATATTTAAATCTGTAACAGTGCAAAATTCACAATTTTAGTGTAAATTTCAAATCCAGACAGTGAACTTTGCACAAGATCGTGAGATTCCTCCTTGCTGCTGGAACTGAGTAATCTTCACGGTTTTGTTGCAATTTTCACCCCCCTGAAACCGTGAAAATTACACTAACCTCGTGAACTTTGCACAAATTTCAATGTTTGACTCGTCTTGGCCTCCAAATGCCCTGAAACCTGCTCCTAAATTTTCCCTCATACTAAGACTTGAAATGTGACAAAAGTAACACAACCTAACGTGAAATAGGTCTAGGACCAAGCCAAACAATCAAGATATGAAGGATAAAACATGTATAATTAAGCCCAAATCATAATTAGATACGAACATTCCGATAAAATTTGAGCAACTTCGAAATACTTTTTTATAGTTAAAATAATTAGTTAATCACCTCAAATAATGGTTCACATATTTTTTTAGAAATACCCCTTAGAGACTTATCACTTAATCTTTGAACGCATCATCGATTCGCTTTCCAAAACCTTTTATATTGTTGATCATTGCCTACGTCTCCGTAGCATGTTATTTTGCACCAAGCTTGACATAAGGCTATGTCTTCATCTTCAGACCAATTGACACCTCTTTAGCTAATGACGAAATAGTAGAAGATGAGAAAATTTTTTGTGGAGACTTAGGTGTTTGGAGAAAGTACAGAGAATGCGATATGAGATGGTGTATGAAATGAGGAGCTGGATGAGGATTTTATATAATTTTTTTTCTAGCCGTTTTAAAACCGTTTATAACCGTTATTTCAATTCTCGTGCTTTATAGCCTTTGCTATTTAATTTCAAAATTTTATTTGGAATTTTTTGGCGTCAAATGGCAACCGAACCGTCTCAATTTCCACCGAATATGGGTATCGAAAGGCTTAGGTTGTAGCTACTGTAATTTGTAAGAGCAAATACTAATCCGTTCCGATCATTCATAAGCTAGAAACAAATTCTATTAATACCAACACAATAAGTTGGTTTTCAGAGTGTAACTATCTTCTATTTCGATCAAAATATGATATCTTTTGAAAAAAAAAAGTAGGCAACTCCAATTTTTAGTGCAACCCGAGTCCCGAGACACTCGACTCATGCAATTTTTGTTGTTGTTCAATTTGACTCGATCGAACTCTTCAGTCACCCCACCGTTCAGCTTCTTCAGCATTTGGGAAGATCGCCAGGCGGCGGCAAAAGTGACTGATTGGCGCCTTTCCCATTGTCCACCAAGAACGCCATCTTCAATCCCCAAGTCGTGTGGATTTCCAGATGGCAATGCATAAACCAAACTCCCGGGTTATCAGCCCGGAACCGAATGGCGACCCACCCGCCCGAAGGGACTCCGATGGTGTTCCTCTCAACCGGGTCGACCAGATTGAACTTCTTCGGGTCCGATTTAGGGTTGTAATTCCCGATTCCCCTCCCCACCGCGAAGAAATTGAATCCGTGGAGATGGATCGGGTGGTTCTCCGGCGAGATGATCCCGGTGTCCTGCATCACCAGCTGAACCGTCGAATTGTAAGCCAGTCTGAAGACCTTCGTCCCTCTCGTGGTCGCCAGATTCGTCGGTGGGGTTCCCGTGTAGTTGAAGACGTGGGGCGGGTTGGCCGGGAAATCGGTGGTGAAGACGCCCTTCTGTTTGAAGAAATGCGCCTGAAGGAGAGCTGTGGTGGGCATCACAAACGTAACGTTGTTGATACTTGCGACCACTCTGCTGCCGTTCCCGGCTTTGCAACTCGGGCACGGGTTGATTCCCAACCCGACCGTGAAGAAGAGGTTGTGGTCGACGGTTTTCGGGACGGCGGCGGGGAATTTCTTGGAGTTGAGGCTTCGGAGAGCGTTTGTGAAGGCGTTGGCCACTGCGGTGGCGTTCTTCGGAGGTGGGATCGTCAGAGTCGTTTGGGTAGTGGAGAGGGTGCCGGCGTAGCTGACTGTGGCCGTGGCGGTCTTATTGTCGACGGCGATTGGAGCGTCATTGAACGGCGAGGCGGCTACCAGGTATTTCCCTGAGCTTTGGTCTGCTGCGACCAGGACGTTTGTGGTTTGTCCTGGAGCGATTAGGACCGTGTCGGTTTTGAATGGTTTGACATAGGTGGCATCAACCTCAACTACTGTAAGTTTGTGGCCTGCAATTTTGAAGAAGAGCTCTTCGTTGAGTGCAGCGTTGATTAGCCTTAGCATGTATGTTTTCCCTGCCTGGACTGGCAATGTGAACCCTCCTGGAATTTGAGAATTGAGTGTTAAAGTTTCAGAATGTGAAGGTTAGAACTCTAGAAATTTTGTGCTAAATGTTATGTGGAAGATACATTACCTTGCGAGGCGCAGTTGGAAATAGGTCCAGGATGGCCATTGATGGTGTGGGCATCAGAGACATTTGGTGCCAATCCTGATTTCGTGGCTTCGTTGATCACAGCTTCTGTGTCTGATTTCCACCATTCCCCTGCAAATTCACATTCTCATTTCATAATTGCTTGAGAAGCTATGCTCAAAGTGACATTTGGTCATTGTTGTTTTTTTTTTGAGGAACTTCAGGTTGTACCTAATACCACAACCACTTCTTTGTGGGGAGCTGGGAATGGATAAGGAACGCCCCGTTTCGGCAAAATGACAATGCCACCATGGACGGTAGCCCTTAACCAGAGGATGTGTGCGTGCCAAAGAAGTGTTCCTCTCTGCCCCGTGACAGTGAAGTTATACAGGTAGCTCTGCCCTGGCTGGATAGGGCATTGTGTGATGTATGCTGGTCCATCAGCCCAACCAGTCCTCAGCTGCCTGATCCCATGCCTGCATAGATAAATTTTGAAAAGGTAATGCTTCCTTTTCCTTCCTTTTCCTTAACCTCAAAACCTAGCTTTCAGGATTTGGATGATTGCGTTTCTGTCAACTTACCAGTGAATGGAAACATTGTATTTGACATGGTTGACGACTCTGACTAGCACCGTATCATCTTCCCTAGCGTACAGGGTTTGCCCCGGGAATCTGCCATTCACTGTAACAATCGGCTTGCTCGAACATAGCCTTGTAGTGTTTTTCATTACAACCTGAGAAGTAACATTAGCAAAATCAGTTGTTGTGTCTTGAACTTGTGAGCTTTTACATATTGTCAATGAAAGCAATGAGTCAAATGAAGCTTACATTGAAATTGTAGTGCCGAACAGCACAGTCTACGAAAGCAGGAACGAAGCAGACCAGAACGAAAAGGAAACGAAGAAAGGAACAGGCCATTGGGGTGGCTGTCTGCTTCTCTATTGATTTGGTAAGTGGATCCTAGCTCTGGTTCTTTTTCACTTTGATGCTTTCCTTTGCTTTGCTCTGAATGGGTTGCTCTCCACCTCAAACCTTATAAAGGAGGGAATCAACGGAACCATGACAATGCTGCTGCTGCTGCAGTCTGCAGACATGTCGTTGTTGGTCTGTTTTGGTGGGTGAGTAAGAGGGTGTTGTGAAGCAAGGATCTTTCAAGTAAAATCCCTTGCAGAATTCCCATTTCTGCTGTTGATTTTTTCCCTTAAAGATTACATAAAGTCGCTTTGGGGTTTCTTCTTAGTTTTGAGTTTCGGATGATCTTGGCGGTAATTGATTGTTTAGTGGTTGAACTTGGAATTTTGGAGTTTAATTTAGCGCCAAAACTTGGGTGCCCACTAGCAGGCAGGAATGGAACCACTTCTGCTCTCTGTGTCGGCTCCTTCTGTTGAGATGTCCTTAGTATTAGTAGATTACTAGTCAAATTACAACGATCACCTAATTTTTGAGAAGGGAAAGAAAGACCATTTATTTATTTAGAGTAAACCAGTCAAATTCTCGTAGTTTTTTTTGTTCTTTCTACTGTTTGGATTTTTAAAAAATTCTCGATTTCTAATGGAGTTTTAGAGATGACAACAAGTTCTAAATAGATGAATTGTAGTAACAAGGATATTTTGTATATATTTTCAGAATGGGCCGGCTGAACTGAAAACATAAGAACCTTAAGGGCTTTTTGAATTGCCCGGCCCAAAACTGGAATCCAGGTAGGCCCACATTGTCATTTTTCCCTCCGTTCAGTGGCATTTGCCCACTTGCCAACCACTCCCACACTCTTCCGTTACCCTCCGTCTCAGTTTCCTTGGCAAGTGCGTAGATGGAGTCGGAGACGAGGAAGACTCCATTGATCGCGAGCCCAGTGCCGGGAATCGGCGCCGGCGACAGGCTGAGCTCTTTGCCGGACGAAATCATCTCCCACATTCTCTCTTTCCTGCAAACCAAGTACGCTGTCGGAACCGCTGTACTGAGCCGGCGGTGGAAGGATCTATGGGTTAGGGTTTCCAGTCTCGATCTCGACAACTGCTTGGTTTACAAGCCTCTGAACCGGGAAATCGCCTTCCGGAGCTTGCCGATGGATGAACAGCAAAAATATCTGTATGGTAAGGTCCCGGATCCAGTTTCAGAGATTCTTGGGAGGAGAGATTTGGAGTTCTGCCGCTTCGTGGACAGGGTGCTGAGCAAGCACAAGAATCTCGATTCTCTGAGGCGTTTCCGTTTCCACTTCTCGACACTGTTGCATAAAAGAAATCAGGCCTCGCCCGATTCTTGGTTTGAGAGAGAATTGGTGTTTGGTCCTCTCCTTGAAGAGATTGATGTCTCGATTTCGGGGGAGACAGATTTCGGAATTCCCCAATGTTTCCGCTGCATTCCAGAGAGCTTCTATGCTTTGAGGAATCTGAAAGTTGCGAAGCTTGGTGGGTTTGTGCTAGGTGCAGTAGAAGAGTCCGTTTTTCTTCCCAGTGTGAAGATTTTACAGCTTTGGCGTGTGGTGGTTGAGGACTTTAACTCATTAGGCAGGTTCCTTCATGGTTTCCCTTCTTTAGAGACTGCTCATTTGCAGTTTTGCTTCCCTTCAAACAGGGGCGAGGATGAAGTGCTCGAAATTTCCTTGCCATACTTGAAGAACTTGCAGATTCTCGATGATCCTGATGTTTATTATCCTGATGGTGATTATGGTACGGCGTGCGCTATTGTACTCGAAGCACCCAAGCTTGAGGATCTTCATTTTGATGTGACTAGTACAGACTTCGACATGGTTGGTGGCCCATTTCCTTGCCTCCATTCAGCATATGTTGATATTGGCGATTGTGAAAGCTCGGATCATCTCCAGATGGAAGTTCTCACTCGAATCTCTTACGCAAAGGAAATTACATTTGGGCAGTGTATGGTAATCACTCCTCCCCCATGACAATTTTTTTTTTTAATCAATTTGGTTGATAAGGACTGCTAATTTCGTCAAATCTTTGTTTCAGAGGCATATGTTAGTTACCAATGATGTACAATTTCCGGAGTTTCCCAACTTGACACATTTGACGATGCAAAGTATGTGCAGCAGACGGGTTCTGCACTCCTTGCTCAACTCAGCCACCAAGTTACAATCTCTTGTTATTTACCTGGTGAGCTCCATGTTCATTTATTAACCGTAATCTTCTTTCCATAAATTTTCAATGTATATGATGTATTTCGGTATATGTAAATGAAGCAGGGGGGTGACCGTGGACAACCAGGTTGGGATCGGAGGTCAGAATCTTATACAACGCCCAAGTGTCTGTTATCAAGCCTCGAGGAAATCGAGATCAAGGATATTGTAGAGTACGAGGACGATGTGGAACTTGTTGCTTATTTGCTCGAGGTTGGAGCTGTCCTGAAGAAGGTGAACCTTGTGCTTTCTTGTTATGGTTATAAAGACACGCAGAACCGCAAAGCTCTTGCTTCACTTCTTAAACGCCCGAGAAGATCAAGCTCGTGTGAGGTTCGTCTTATACTTCCCAACAACGAGGAGTTTCGTATTGATAGTGACCATGAGTCGGACATTGACGATCACCACTGCCACGTCTTCGATGAAGAGGATTCTTAGAAGACTGGTGGTGAGTAGAAAGAAGCAGCTGAGTAACACGATGAAGTGATGCTATAGTAGATCAGTTTGTCTTTCTGAAGTAGTAACTGTCGGTATCCTTTGGTTCATAAAGGTAGGTTTACGCTGTTATTTAAGTTGCTTAGGAAGCTTCTTTCACTGTTTGTTGTACCGTAGAAAGTGTCTATCCAAGTTTTCTCATGCTTTGTCTTTTGAGAACATGGAATGCTAGCTTGATGAAATGGAAGGATTGATCACAGTGACTTCCATTTAGATCGCGGTATGGAAGGGTTTAAGGAAGAGTGTACATGGGCTAGTGTCATTGGGATTTTCAGGCCTGTTGAATTGCCCGGCCCAAAACTGAGTCCATGTGAGCCGAGCTGCTTGCGAGCGACTCGGCGTTCGACTCGAGAAAAGCTCGTTCGAAACTCGACTCGTTAATAAACGAGCCTAACACGAGCTCACCTTTGTTCAGCTCGTGAAGCTCGCGAGCTAGCTCGACTCGGTGGCTTGTTGAGCTAAACTCGTGAGCTGGCTCGTTTAGAGCTCATGATATGTCTTGACATTGGCTAGGGAGCCAACTCGATTACGAACTTATGGACCAATCAATCTATATCTTATGATTTTAATTCATATGGTTGTTAAATTATCTATCTCACTATATATATAAGTTTAACACGTTGAGTTTGTGAGCAAATATATCTTATTTTCTACTTTAAAAAGAAATTATGCATCATAAATTGCTTCGATACTATGAAAGAACATGATTTGGAGTAGTTAAAATTTATTAACTAAATGATATATGATACCAACAAAGTATAATATGAGATTAGCTAACAAAATAAATTATTATGATATACAAAATGAAGTATCAAATAAAAGTCAAGATTTTAATAACAAGCTAGCTCGACTCGGCTCGTTAATAAATGAGTTGAGCTCGATCTCGACTCGTTTATTAACGAGTCAAGTTCAAGCTGGGATAAAAGTCGACTCGGTTCATTTGCGGCCGATGCAGGTCTACATTGTCATTTTCCTCTCCGTTCAGTTTGTCATTTCGCCAACCACTCCCAACTCTCTTCCGTTATCCTCCGTCTCAGTTCCCTTCGCAAGTGCGTAGATGGAGACGAGGAAGACTCCATTGATCGCGAGCCCAGTGCCGGGAATCGGCGCCGGCGACAGGCTCAGCTCTTTGCCGGACGAAATCATCGCCCACATTCTCTCTTTCCTGCAAACCAAGTACGCTGTCGGAACCGCTGTTCTGAGCCGGCGGTGGAAGGATCTATGGGCTAAGGTTTCCAGTCTCGATCTCGACAGCAGCCTGGTTTACAGGCCTCTGGACAGGTACGTCGTCCTCCGTAGCTTGCCGATGGATGAACAGCTCAAATATCGGTATGGTAAGGTCCCGTCGCCGGATCCAGTTTCAGAGATTCTTGGGAGGAGAGATTTGGAGTTCTGCCGCTTCGTGGACAGGGTGCTGAGCCAGCACAGGAATCTCGATTCTCTGAGGCGTTTCCGTTTCCACTTCTCGACGGTGTCGCGTAAAAGAAATCAGGCCTCGCCCGATTCTTGGTTTGAGAGAGAATTGGTGTTTGGTCCACTCCTCGAAGAGATTGATGTCTCGATATCTGGGGAGACAGATCTCGGAATTCCACAATGTTTGCGCTGCATTCCAGAGAGCTTCTATACTTTGAAGAATCTGAAAGTTGCCAAGCTTGGCGGGGTTGTACTAGGTGCAGCAAAAGAGTCCGTTTTTCTTCCCAGTGTCAAGGTTTTACAGCTTGCTTGGGTGGAGATTGAGGACTTTAAGTCATTAGGCAGGCTCATCTCTGGCTTCCCTGCTCTGGAGACTGTTCATCTGGAGTTTTGCTTCCCCTCTAACAGGAATGAGAATGATATTCTTGAAATTTCCTTGCCATACTTGAAGAACTTGAAGATTCACGATGATCCTGGTGCTTATAATGGTACGGCCTGCGCTGTTGTACTCGAAGCACCCAAGCTTGAAGATCTTCATTTTAATGTAACTTCAGACTTAGACATGGCCGGTAGCCCATTTCCTTGCCTCCATTCAGCATATGTTGATATTGGGGATTGTGAGATGTCGGGAGTTCTCAGTCGAATCTCCTACGCAAAGGAAATTACCTATGGGGAGAATCTGGTAATCACTTCACCCCCCCCCCCCCCCCCCCCCCCCCCCCCCCCCCACACCCCCACCCCACCATTGTTGATAAGGAGCACTAATTTAGTTAAATCTTTGTTTCAGGATCGTATGTTAGCTATCAAGTATGATCAATTGCCCGACTTTCCCAACTTGACACATTTGACGACGTTAACTAGGTGCACAAAATGGGTTCTGTACTCCTTGCTCAACTCAGCCACCAAATTACACTCTCTTGTCATTGGCGAGGTGAGCTCCATGTTCATTTGTTAACTGTAATCTTCCTTCCATAAATTTCCATAATGTACATCTACATGATGCAGATGGGTCGCAATGAACAACTGGACTGGGATTGGAATTCTGAATCTGATACGACGCCCGAGTGTTTGTTATCAAGCCTCGAGGAAATCGAGATTGAGGGTTTTGTAGAGAATGAAGAAGATGTGGAACTTGTTGCATATTTGCTCGAGGTTGGAGCTGTCCTGAAGAAGTTGAAGCTTGTGGTTTATGGTGATTGTTATAAAGACATAGACTTCCGCAAAGCTCTTGCTTCACTGCTTAAACGGCCAAGAAGATCAAGCTCTTGTGAGGTTCGTCTTGTACTTCCCAACAAGAGGGAGTTTCGTATTGATAGTGACCATGGGACGGACATCGACGATCACGACTACGACTACATCGTTGAAGAGGATTCCTAGAAGCCTGGTGGTGAGTAGAAAGAAGCCGCCGAGTAACACGATGAACTGGTGCTATATTAGAATAGTTTGTCTTTCTGAAGTAGTTACTGTTGGTATCCTTTGGTTCACAAAGGCGGATTTTAGGCTATTATTTAAGTTGCTTAGGAAGCTTCTTTCATGCAAGTTTTCTCATGCTTTGTCTTTTGAGAACATGGACTGCTTGATGAAATGGAAGGATTGATCACAGTGGTTATGTAAGTCCAGCCGGGCCCACTTCTCCATTCACTTGCCACTCTTGCCAACGATTCCTTCCCCAAACTTCCCAGCCGGGTGTCGACGCCGACGACAGGCTCAGCACTTTGCCGGACGAAATCCTCGCCCACATTCTCTCGTTCCTGCAAACCAAGTACGCTGTAAGAACGGTGATCCTGAGCCGACGGTGGGAGGATGTCTGGGCTAGGGTTTCCAGTCTCGATATCGACAACCACTATGTTTACAAGCCTCTGCACCAGGAATTAGCTGATCGGAACATGCCGCCGTATGATCCGCGGAAGTATATGGAAGAGGAAAGACATTTAGGCACGCTGGAATCCATCATTCGTGAGATTCGTAGACTGAAAGAACTAGATTTCTGCCCCGCTTCGTCGACTGGGTTCTGAGCCGGCACCAGAATCTCAGCTCTCTGAAGCGTTTCCGCTTCCATTTTGAAGTACCGTGGCGCGAAAAAGATCAGGCGAAGCCTGATTTTTGGTTTGAGAGGGAATCGGTGCTTGGTCCTCTGCTTGAGGAGATGGAGATTAAGCTTTTGGGGATGGCGGAACTTGGACTTCCGAAGTATATGGGGTGCCTTCCACAGAGCTTCTACACTTTGAAGAACCTGACTGTTGCGAAGCTAGAAAGGGTTATATTAATGAATGCAGCAGAGGAGTCCGTTTTGCTTCCCAATCTGAAGATTTTACAGCTTACTCGTGTGAGGGTTACGAACTTCGAGCCATTAACCAGGTTCATTTCAGGTTGCCCTGCTCTAGAGACTGCCCATATGGAGAATTGCTCTTCCTCCGAGAGAAATGAGAATGACATACTCGATGTTTCCTTACCATCCTTGAAGAACTTGAAGATTATCGACAGAGACTATTCTTCTGGTAATGAGACGTGCCCCGTTGTAATCCGAGCGCCAAATCTTGAGGATCTTTATTTTGAGGTGTCTGCAAAGTTGCGGTTCATGGGCAGCACACCATTGCCATGCCTTCATTCAGCACATGTTGAAGTTGATGAAAATAAAAGCTTGGACCATTCCCTGATTGGGTTTTTCACTCTAATCTCCAATGCGAAGAAAATGAGCTTAACTAGGGAGACTCTGGTAATCAACTCATATTTCGTTTTTTTCTGCCTTTCTTCCGAAGTTGTACTCTTTTCTTCCGCTTAGATCAATCTGATTGATAAGAGCGCTAATGTCATTAAATCTTTGTTTCAGTGTCATCTGTCTCGTCTCACTGATGTTCAATTGCCTGTTTTCCCCAACTTGACTCATTTGACAATGGGAACCGACTGCGACATCTGGGTTCTGCACTCGTTGCTCAACTCAGCCACCAAATTGCATTCTCTTGTTATTGACTTGGTGAGGTTGATGTTCGTTTTTGTCGACTGTAATCTTCCTTCGTAGTTTTTCATAATTTATATGTTCATGAAGCAGGAGTATTGCCATGATCTAATGAACTGGGATTGGAGGCAAGCTGATTCTAGGCCTGAGTGTCTGTTATCAAGCCTCGAGGAAATTGTGATCGAGAATCTAGTAGCAGGTGAAGACGAGATGAGCATTGTTGCGTATTTGCTCGAGACGGGAGCTGTCCTTAAGAAGGTGAAGGTGCACTTAAATGTAAATTATCTCTATATGCTCGGCCGCGAAAGTCGTGGGTCACTACTGAAACTTTCAAGAAGATCGAGAGCTTGCAAAGTCGAGCTTTTCCCCCACGAGGAAGAGTAAGATATCTACGGCGATAGTGATGATGAGAGCGACACTGACGATGACATGAATGATCCCTGACAACATTGCTAACGAGATCGACAAAGATGAGGCTTGTGACAATGAAGATATTCTCTTGGAAGAATGTTTGTGGGCAAGGAGCCTCTGTCTTTTAGGTGATGAAACTACTACCCTTTGATTTTGTTATCCTATTCACTAGGGCAAACGCTGTGGCTGCCTGTTTTTGTACTACTGGTTGGAGATAATGCTGATTGCTGAGACTATAGGCTGTTTTATGCTCCCTTGTTTCTGTAAGTTGACTATAGAAAGCGTCAACTCAAGTTCGTCCATATTTTGTCTTCTTAGGAGATGGATTGTTAGATAATAAAAAATTGAGGATTGATCACTGTGTTTGTAAGGTTTTGTAACTACCGGAAGTTGAGAAGAGATTGTAAAACAAGCTGACAGGTTGACGCCTAGAGAGCAATGTTTTAGAAACCGTTACTAGCTAGCCCAGATCGGAAATATTGAATACCGAATCCAAAACAGCAATTTTAATGATACGAAATAGTCAAGCCACGATTTTATATCACTGTATAACTTTCGATACAGTTTCACAATCAAAACAAAAAAAACGTCTTTCAGACTAGGAACATATACAGTTGTATTGTAAAATATGGAGAAAAAAACAAAAAAGAACTGAAATTGAAGTGCAGTTCTACTATTCCCATTGAGGCCCATGGAGTCACTCGGCCCACTATTTAACCCCAGCAAGGCCTAACACTGTTCCCTATGTTTCCCGCTTGTTCTCCGCCAACTCTTTCCCCAATCTGTCCGCTTGCCGTCTCATTTTCCTCTACCGAACAGACTGATGACAATGGAGCATGGTCCATTAAATCGTATCGTTCAACCACAAAATATCAGTATCGGAGGCTAGACCGATAGGCGGTATTTAACAGTACTAATGGTTGAACTACGGTTAAACCACGGTTTTATCATAAAATACCATATCGCTGACTTTTCCGGTACGTTTTCATGGACCATGCAATGGAGACGAAGAACAAAATCTGCAGCACAGGGTCGGAAATCGGCGATGAAGACAGGCTCAGCTCGTTACACAGGAGGCACTTGCTATTTACCCGCTTCGTCGATAAAGTACTGGGTCAGCACACGAGTCTCAATTCTGTTCGCCGTTTCCGCTTCCATTTATCTCATTCAAAGAGGATTTCTGAAGCTGGGTTTGACAGGAAATTGGTGTTTGGGCTCCAATGGAGGAGATCGATGTTATGATTTCGAAAAAGCAGAGATTCGGAGAACCCTTGCGCTTGAGCTGCATTCCAGCGAGCTTCTACACTTTGAAGAATCTGAGAGTTGCCAAGCTTTCTTTCTGGGGTTGTACTGGGTGCAATAATAAACCAGTCCGTTTTTCTTCCTAATGTGAAGATCTTGAAGCTTTGTTCTGTGGAGATTGACTTGGATTCATTAGGTACACTCCTTTCTGGCTGCCCTGTTCTTGAGACTGCTCATCTGGAGAGTTGCAAACCCAGTTCTTTTTTCAATTCCAAGAAGCACGTAATCGAGGTTTCCTTACCATCCTTGAAGAAACTGAAGATTGGTGATGATATGAGAAGGGATGTGATGTTGTGCCCCTTTGTTATTGAAGCACCGAATCTTGAGGATCTTTATCTTAAGCAGTTTGCAAGGTTGCAGTTTAAGGGTAGTAGCCCTTTGTCATGCCTTAATTCAGCCAACGTTGATACGGGCTACTGGTTTTCTGATGAGGCTCCTCACTCAGATCTCCAATGCAAAGAAAATGTGCTTATCCCGCATGACTCTGGTAAGCAACATATATTTTCACACCATGCCCATTATTGAATTGCGTTCATACGAGATAATCCTGTGATTTCAGAATAATCTGTGGGAGGTGGATGATGTTAAACTTCCTGTCTTTCCCAATTTGACACATTTGACAATCGGAACCGGAGGCAGTAGCTGGATTTTGCACTCCTTGCTCAAATCCGCCTCCAAACTCCAATCTCTTGTCATTGACATGGTGAGTCCACAGACGTTCCGTTTGTTCATTGGTATTTCCTTCCATCCACAGGCATTGATTTTTATAATGAAAAATCTGCAGAAGCTGAAGAAGCACTCTGGAGAACCAATGCTGTGGGAGAGTTTGGAAACTGCTAGCGTGCCAGAGTGTTTGTCGTCAACTCTGGAGGAACTCGAGATCAAGGATCTTGTAGCATATCAAGACGAGATGAATACGATTAGCATATTTGCTCAATGCTGGAGCCGTCCTGAAGCAAGTGAACATGCACGTAAATGGTCGTAACCTAGAACTGAATGGTCGCCAAGAGCTCGAGTCACTACTGAAATTTTCAAGACGATCAAGCGCTTGTGAAGCTCGTCTCTTGTTTCCCAACAACATCGAAGATGTCTACAGCGCGATAGCGACGATGAGACCTACATTTCAGATTGATGGACGAGGACAATATGGAAGGAGCCTCTGATAACATGAACTTCAAGTTTTGTACATCCTAATAATTCGTAAGGGTACGGATACTTATGTGCTCTGTTCTTTTTCTTTTGATTGCAAAACACAAAGATAACCTATTAACTCCTAAACTCACCCGTAGCAGTAGTAAATAAAAATTCCTAAGTCGGAACAAGATCACGGTTGCCGTAACCGTCGATGAAGAATTCAGCAACAACAACGACACCAATTGCGAGGCAGACCATCAGAAGAACCTTCCATCTCCTTCCCTGAGAAACAGCAATCAACGACGACGGCGGTGACCGTCTCTTCTCCGGAATTACATGTTTTGCAGGCACCAAATCCAGAGTAGTAGCAGCAGCAGCAGTAGTATCCTCTCTGTCTTTTCCCCTGACGACGTCCACCGCCGCTTTCTTCAGACACTCATCACACACGAACGAAGACGACGACGAAGAAGAATCCGGAGAAAACCCTTCTTCTTCCGTTCCTTTTTGATCATCCTGATAATGGTTATCATCAGGATGGGAACCATACCAGTCGACAAAATCAGTAACATCATCATCATCCTCTGTTTCCGGCTGATCGTCATGGAACAGCCTCCTTCCCTTGAGACGGCCATCGACAATGGCGGCCCTCCGCTCCAACAGAACTTCCTCAACGGCCAAGTCGTTGGTCCTGACTTTCCATCTCCCGGTAGCCGGAGCAGAGCCAACGCCCAGTTGGAGGGAAGCCGTTAAACTCGGTGGAGAGTTTTCCACCATTGACGAGGCTCCCCTGTTTTTGTTCCGCCCTGAAGATGATGGCGGCGATTGATTCGAGCATAAGGTTGGTTTCCTTGCCTTTAACTGCGCTTTGCGAGAGACCCAATAATCTTCCAAGTGATCTAGCTTTTGTAGCAGTCCTCCTTCCTCTTCTGCTGCTGCTGCTTTGGGGCTTTGTTCGTTTTCGGATTCAGTCATGGCTGTTCGGTTCCCCTGTTTTTTGTTTTTTTCCAATTTGGTTGTGGATCTCTGATCTTTGTAGGAGTTGTTGATGGCGGTTTCGGGATTAAAGTGGAGATTACGGGCCTAAAATATAGCACGAAATATATTGAAATCTAAACGATAAGTATCTCAACAACTACCCCACGCGTTAGCTTCTTCTGCTTGCCTAACTTGAATTTCTAAGTTAGTTTTTGGGCTAGAGCTTTACCCGAAAATTATGACTCGGTTTAAAGAAACGTAACATTATCAAACTAGGATGACAATTCTGCTCTGATTCGTTTTAACTTAATTGTTTGACTTGTTTTACGAGAATTTGCAGTGACACATGACTTGTTAATCGTCATTCAACGGTGTTGACCATCTAACTTACCGGTGAATTTTTCGATTTGGGACAAATAGTTTTTATAGGTAATAGTTTAGGTCGTGATAGACATTTATGGAAATATCGACCAGGATGGTGGTTTAGTATATCGTTTTGGCCATTATAAGATATATTAATAAAAAATAATGAGCGATTCTCTTTTGTTGTTTTGTAAGCATGAAAAGTTGCTAAAGTGGTAGTACTTTTTGAGAAGGATAAAATGAAATTATTAATCGAAATTTTGTTATGTTTCTTTGTACGGAAATGTATTTTTGTTTCGTTCTGATAATAGAGGATACGGTTTGTACAAAATATAACAGTCTGATATATTTGTTAACTTACAATATAATCCGGTTCATTCAGTTTCAATCTGATTACTAACGATGCCCAGCCCATTCAGGCTAGGGGTGAACAAACACACCCGCAAACCGACCCACCCGTCCAACCCGACCCAACCCACCCGTATTTGTCGCTAAATCGAAGGTTTTGGGTTGGGTGAGGGTTTTCTTTTGTACAACCCGCCTCATTTGGGTTGGGTTTGGATTTTAGATTACACAACCCGTAGAACCCGACCCAACCCGTGTTCCAATTATTGGTATGAGTTCGTATCCAAAAAAATATTTATGTCGTATATAGTCATACTTATGAGAAAATTAAGATATTTCGCCATGTTTTTCTATTAAAGTCTCACTAATCTAATGCATTCTTCGACTTAAAGTTTAGACATATATTTAATATAGCTATGATTCACGTATTTTTTTTTTCTTGTGTACAATTTTAAAAGAATATCATATTATGGATGCGTTCATTTGTAACCTTTTTAGCCTATTTCAACAAATGGCATGAAAAAAACTAGACATAAGTTGAAGTAAATCAAGTTTTATTAAAATTCAAACAATATTTGTGAATTTTGATACCTTTCACCTCGGTTTATTCGTTTGAATTTTTAATTTTTTATAAAATATTTTTATGATGTAGAATAATTACATATTTTGTGTTGGGTTGGGTTTTTACTTAAAAATATCGCCAACCCGACCCAACCCAATTAGAAACAAACCGTAGGGTTTAGATTTTTTTGGGTGGGTTTGGGTTTAATATTTCCCAAACCGTAGTGCATGGGTTGGGTGATTAAAATGTCTAAACCCGGACCACCCGACCCATGTACACCCCTAATTCAGGCAGTGAAATACTCTGGGCTGGGCCCATGATCCCGGTTCCAGCCAGGCCCACATGGTCCGTTATTCCTTCTCCTCCTCCGTTCACTTCCCAACACCGTCTCCCAGTCGTTCCGTTTCCCGTCTCCGTTTTCTGTGCCACTCCGTGAATGGAGAAAACCGCTACTGAAATTGCGAGCACGGAGCCGGGAACCGATGCCGACGACGACAGGCTCAGCTCTCTGCCGGACGAAATCTATCTCCCACATTCTCTCCTCCCTGCAGACCAAGTACGCCGTGGGAACCGCCGTCCTCAGCCGAAGGTGGGACGATCTCTGGACTAGGGTTTCAAATCTCGATCTCGACAACGGCTTGATTTACCAGCCACGGCCTGGCAACGCCGCCTTCGAGAGCTTATGAACAGGTGAAATATCTAGACCGTAGATTACCCGCCTTACTGTCAGAATTCTCCCGCTTCGTGGACAAGGCCCTGAGCCAGCACAAGAATCTCGATTCTCTGAGGCATTTCCGCTTCCATTTTTCAGTCGTGCACGATAACCAGAAGTTGCGCAGAGTGTTTTTGTTTAACAAGGAATGGGTGTTTGGTCCTGTTCTTGAGGAGATCGATATGGCAATTGTGGGAGACAAAGGTGAAGTCCAATTTCCCCTAGCTATACGCCGCCTTCCACAAAGCTTCTACACTCTGAAGAATCTGAGAGTCGTGAAGCTTGAAGGGATTGCGAGTCATTAACCAGTTTCCTCTCTGGCTGCCCTATTTTGGAGACGGCGCATTTCGAGGGTTGCTTTTTATCGTACTGGAAGGAGCAAGATATTCTCATGGTTTCCTTACCATCCCTGAAGAACTTCAAGATGATTCGTTTTGGCAATCATGTTAAGCCTTTGGTTGTAATCGGAGCACCAAATCTTGAGGAGCTTCATCTTCAGGAGTTCGGAAAGTTGGAGCTTATGGGCAGTAGTCCATTGACATGTCTTCATTCAGCATATATCGATATCGGTGAGCATCAAAGCTCGGATCTGGCTGGTGTCCTCAATCGAATCTCTAATGCAAAGAAAATGTTCTTATCTGGGAATACTCTGGTAATGAACATTCCCAAAAGCTCCACTCTTTTCTTTGGTCCGATTGATCAATTTGATTCAATAAGAAGCGCTAATGTTTTCAAAAAAAATTTGTTTCAGCGTCGCCTGTCAGTTGCTGATAATGTTCAACTGCCCGTCTTTCCCAAGTTGACACATTTGACAATTGGAATATGGGGCAGTAGCTACACTCTGTTCTCTTTGCTCAACTCAGCCTCCAAATTGCAGTATCTTGTTATTGACATGGTGAGTCCACATGTTCATTTGTTGGTTGGGATGGTGGAGTGGTTGGTATTGCAACATCTTCCGACGCCCGAGTGTTTGTTATCGAGCCTCGAGGAAGTAGAGATTAAGCATCTTGTCGTAGCTGAAGATACGAAGAAACTGTTACACTCTCTTTGGGAAGAGGTGCAAATGGAGGGGGTGCATATTAGCTGGGGTAAATGCAATTCCCAAGGCAAATGCACCTGTTTGGTTAAGATGCAATAGTAGTAGGGGTATATTAATGAGGTGCATTTCTACTGTTTCAGAAACCCACATAGTGTGGGATTTTAATTAAAATCACTCGTTTGGAAAGCAATTATATGATAAGAGATTTTAAATATTAGAGATTTCAAAAACCCACAATTGTGGGATTATGAAATAGCTGATGGTGATAAGTTATTTTAAAATCTCACACAAATTCCACAAATTAAAAACCTGGGTTTTTAAACCAATGATTTGAGCTAAAATCCCACAAATTAAAAACCTGGATCCAAATGACCCCTTAGCGTATTTGCTCGAGGCGGGAACTGTCCTAAAGAAGGTGAATATGCATGTAGATGATGATGATGGTCTTGACATAAATTTTCGCGAAAATCTTGTGTCACTGCTAAAATTGCCGAGAGGATCAAGTCATTGTGAAGTTTCGTGCTTTACTTCCCAACAACGAAGAGATCCGCTTCGATTCTGACAACGTGACTAGCATTGACTAAGACGTGGATGATGACTTCGACGTCATTGATGATCTGGATGACTGACTCTGACGACGTCGTTTTCCTCTTTGTGGTGTCTTTCATTTTCCTTTTTGTGGTGTCTTTCATGTCTCGTTTTCTGTCTAGAAGAAATTTGTATTTCGTGGCCAGAATGACATGGTGGTGATCATCAGCGAGGCTTTGTTAAAGATTTTGAGAATAATTTTGTTGTGTGCTCTTTCGACTTCTAGTAGGTCGTGAAGTTCGACATAGGTAGTCATATGGAAGTGTGTGCATCAGATTAGAAATTTAGTTTTGATAAAAGATGTCTGATTCGATTTAGTTTAATGTCGATTTCGTCTAATTTTATCATTACATTTTAGATAATCTATTCAATCATTCAATAGCAAAATCAGTGAATAAAAAAAAAACTTGAATCTGAACAGAGCTCATGACAAAGCCTTGCTATTTATCCGTCTTCCTCCCAACTCACCATTTACAAGTGACTTTCAACGTTCATCTTAGGACTGTTAATTTCAAGTGTTGCTGTTGCCTCCAAATTATATAATCCTGGTCCATTTCTGCTGTTAACATTCAGGCCCATGATTGATTGGGCCCACAATTTCACATTAAAAAGGCCCAAGCCTATAATAATTCTACTCCTTTTTTCCCACCAACTCATTTCTCGATCTTTCCATTTCCCGTCTCAGTTTCCTCTGCCAAGTCCGCAAATGGAGAAAACCACTACTGAAATCGCGAGGATGGAGCCGGGAATGGACGCCGTCGACAGGCTCAGCTCTTTGCCGGACGAAATCATCTCCCACATTCTCTCCTTCCTGCAAACCAAGTATGCCGTCGGAACCGCCGTCCTGAGCCGACGGTGGAAGGATCTTTGGACTAGGGTTTCCAATCTCGATTTCGACAACGGCTTGGTTTTCCATCCTCTGCATGGGAACTCCTCCTCCCGGAGCCTTCCACCGGTTCAAGCGCAGCAACATCTGTCTGGAAAATCACCAGCGCCGGCTCCCGTTCCAGATATTTTCGGGAGGAGAGATTGGGAATTTTGCCGTTTCGTCTACAAGGTCCTGAGCCAGGCGCTTCCGCTTCCACTGTTCGGTGGAGTATGATTATTTGAAGGCGCTTTCTGTAACTAGGTTCGAGAAGGAATTGGAGTTTGGTGCTCTTATTGAGGAGATTGATGTTGTGATTTACGGGGGGTTCCTCATTCGGAATTTGGAATACGGAGTTCCAGAGAGCCTCTATGTTTCGAAGAATCTGAAAGTTGCGAAGCTTACTGGGGTCCAACTGGGTGAAATCAAGGAGCCCGTTTTCCTTCCTAGTATGAAGATCTTGCAGCTTTCGTACGTAACGACTTGGGACTGCGACTCATTGAGCAGGCTCGTTTCTGGTTGCCCTGTTCTAGAGAGTTTTCATCTGGAGAATTGTCGCCCCATCAACAGAGGCAAGAGAGGTATAATCGAGGCTTACTTGCCCTTATTGAAGAACATGAAGATTGTCCATTACACCGGTTGGGGTTATCCGATTTGTCCGGTTGTCATTGAGGCACCAAACCTCGAGGATCTTCATCTCGAGCACTTTGCACAGTTGAAGTTTAATGGCAGTAGTCCATTGCCATGCCTTCATTCGGCACATGTTGGTCGCGGCGTGAAGTGCCAAAGCTCGTATCATGACCTGATTACTCTCCTCGCCGCGATCTCCAATGCAAAGAGGATCTTCTTATCTGCGACGCTTCTTGTAAATCAAGCTCCCTTCTTTTCTTTGCCATTGATTAATCTGATTGACGAGAGAGTTCACTAATTTTTGTTAAAGCTTTGTTGCAGTGTCGTCTGTCGTTTTTAAGAGATGTTCAATTCCCTGTCTTTCCCAATCTGAAACATCTGACGATCGGAAATGGGGGGCGCAGCGGTGTTCTGCACACCTTACTCAGCTCTGCCTCCAAACTACATACTCTTGTCATTGACATGGTAAATCCCCCAATTCCATTTGTAGACTGTAATCTTCCCCTCCCACTGTTTTTCATATTGAATATATGTACATGAAGCAGGAGAATCACCCTGAACAGAATCAAACCGGACCAATGATGTGGGAGAGGATAGAAACTGCTCGCACGCCAGAGTGTTTGTTATCTAGCCTGGAGGTAATCGACATTAAGGGTCCTGTAGAGTTTAAAGATGATTGGCAGGTGATTGTGTATTTGGTCAACTCCGGAGGTGTCCTGAAGAAGGTTAACATGCACATATATAGTTGGGATGATGAAATCATGGGCCGCAGATATCTCGAGTTACTACTAAAACAGTCGAGAGGACCGACCCATTGGCAAGCTCGTCTTCTCCTTCCTAACAACGAAGAGATCCGTGTCATTAAGCGAAAGGGTGTAGTTTCTAAGCTCTTTTCTAGGCTGCTTATCAAGTAGTGTCGGTAGAAGATTTCTCAATACTGGCTTTTGGGATCATGGATGCCGGATCAAGATGAAGAAGGATTTGATTACTCTGGTTGTGGTATTTTGGAGTTGCTGACTCGCTGGTACGTTTTTGGAGTAGTGTATTTTGGCGCATATGGTACCAAGACATTACCGGATCCATTTGCCCTGGAAATGATGTAACTTCTACCCTCTTGTTTTGGTTGCTTCGGAAGCTTGCTTTGGTCTAAGTGGACTATAATTCTCTCGTGTTTTTTTAAAATAATCTTTATTATAACTTAGTGTGCGCAATTTGTGCTAGTTTAACACTGGTTTTTTTTTTTTTTTTGCCACAAGAGTAACAGATTGGGAATTACAAATAATTGAAAAATAAATAACGGAAATCAGCCAAATGCTGATTAGCCGATGCAAGAGCCGTTTTCGTCACGCAATGGGCAGCCTTGTTAGTTCTACGAGGAGAACAAAACAAAATGAATAGACACGAACGATGCTTTCATCAGCCGAATTTCATCCAGGATTGCTCCGCCAATATTATGCCAGGGTGTGTGCAATGTAGTCAAAATCGCGCTTTAAAACTTAAAAACTTACGATTTTACGTTTCTAGGTCACTAAAACGCTTTTACACAAAATCTCAGTTTTTACAACTTATGTAGTTAAAAACTCTGCTTTAAAACTTAAAAACTTACGATTTTACGCTTCTAGATCACAAAAACGTTTCTATCGTAGAAACTCGTTTTTGACCAGATTGAGTGTGTAGTCTAATCCAATCTTGAATTCCAACAATCAACAGTTCAACACTATAAAGGGGGAAATAAGACTAGAATCGAATTAAAAGCATATGATCTTATTCGTAGTTTATTGACAATTCTTTACCATTCAGGCCTGTAGAATAACCCAGGCCGAGCCCACGATTTGATTCCGGCCAGTGTAATTCGTCGGCCCAGTCCATGTTTGGAGCCCACGAATGGAGTCCAGCCAGGCCCACGTCGTCGATTTCCCACTCTCCGTATCGTCTTCCTATTCCGTTCACCTGGCAGTCACACTCTCACTTCCAGTCTTTTCCATTTCCCGTCTCAGTTTTCCTCTGCCAGTCCGTTAATGGAGAAAAAGAAAACCAAAACTGAAATGGCGAGAGCAGAGCCAGCAATCGACCAAATGGACGAGCTCAGTTCTTTCCCGGACGAAATCATCTCCCACATTCTCTCTTTCTTGCCAACCAAGCACGCCGTCGCCACCGCCGTACTCCGCCGACGGTGGAAGGATCAGTGGGCTAGCGTTTCCAATCTCGATTTCGACGACAGCTTGGTGTACGACCACGAGCCTCCGAAAGGGAAGATCTCCTTCCAGACCTTTCCGTCTCAGCGTGTGATAGAGTTACCAGCGTCATGTACTAGAGAATTCCTATTCTGCCGCTTCGTCTACAATGTCCTGACCAAGCACACGAATCTCAACTCTGTCAGGCGCTTCCGCTTCCATTGTCCGGCGGGGAATCGTTTCTTGAAGCTTCTTGAAATGAAACTGTCCAAGAGGGAATTGAATTTTGGTACCCTCGTTGTTGAGGAGATCGACGTTACGATTAGGGGGAAGTCGAAACTCGGAATTCCAGAGAGCTTCTACACTTTGGAGAATCTGAAAGTTGCCAGGCTTTCAGGGTTTGAACTGGATTCAATACAAGGGCCCGTTTTCCTACCCAGATTGAAGATTTTAGAGATTTCGGTCGTGGAGATGAAGGACGTTGGGGCAATTGGCAGGCTCGTTTCTGGTTGTCCTGTTCTGGAGAATGCCCATCTGGAGAAATGCTACCCCTGTAGCAGGAACGGGGAGCACTTAATCGAGGTTTCGTCATCATCGTTGAAGTGGCTGAAGATTATCCGTGCTGCCGTTGTAATCGAAGCACCAAATCTTGAGGATCTTTATCTTGGGAAGAATGCAGAGTGGGAGTTTAAGGGCAGTAGTCCATTTCCATGCCTTCATTCAGCAGATGTTGATCTCCACGAGAATCCAAGATCGTATCTTGACCTGATTGGGCTCCTCACTGCAATCTCCAATGCCAGGAAAATCCGCTTATCTGGGCCGTTTCTTGTAAGCAACCTATTTTTACCCCCCATAAACTCCATGCTTTTCTTTCCCATTGATTGATTTGGTTGATATAAGATCGCACTTCAATCTTGGTTTCAGAGTCGTCTATCAGGTCGCAATGATCATGTTCAGTTCCCAGTCTTCCCCAAATTTGACACATTTGACGATCGGAAATGGAGGGCGCAGCTTGGTTCTGCACTCCTTGCTCAACTCAGCCCCCATACTACAATCTCTTGTAATTGACTTGGTGAGTCCCCATGTTCATTCTCTTAAACTGGAATCTTCCTTCCAACAGTTTTGTTTCTCATAATGAATTTGTACGATGGAGCAGAGGAGTACCAGTGGATCAATATGGTGGAAAAGGTTAGATACTGCTGGCACGCCAAAGTGTTTGTTATCTAGCCTGGAGGTAATCGAGATCAAGGGTCTTGCAGAGTCTGGACATGATTGGAAAATGATAGTATATCTGCTCAGAGCCTCAGCTGTCCTGAAGAAGGTTAACATGCACCTGTATAGTTGTGACCATGAAGTAACAGGCCGCACAGATTTTGTATCGCTGCGAAGACAGTCGAGAGGACCGAGCCACTGGGAAGCTCGTCTTTTGCTTCCCAACAACCAGGAGATCTGCATTGACGACGAGGCTCAAGTTGATGATGATGATGATGATGATGATGTGGATGATTACTTCGGCGGCATTGATGGCGAGACTGACAGTGAGGAGGAGCAGGACTCTGAAGCATGATGGTGAGCATGTGAAGGAGCGGCTGAATAATGTGATGAATTGTGCATTCTTATCTTAGTCTTCTGCAGTATATTCTGATATGGATTCAACTCATAGGCCATTTTCGGACTAGTGTTTTGGTCCCTTTTTCGGAATAGTGGTCTCGCGACTGCATATATTACCGAGACATTGCCGGATCCTTGGTCCTGGAAAGGATGTAACTTTTACGCTCTTGTAGTTGTATAGGTTGCTATATAGGTTTGCTTTGCCCTAAGTTGGCTGTAAACAGTGTCAATAGAAGTTTTCTCAAGCTGACTTTTGGGATAATGGATGCCACATGAAAATGAAGGATTGATTACTATGGTTGTGAAGTATCAGATATTTAAGAACACTTCCCAGGAGTTCAACGTGGTCATAAAAATGTTGTTGAAGACAAGAAGAAAACAAGCAGGCATGTTGACGCCTGAGCCCTAGAGATAAAAGATAGAAAAAAAAAAACACTTTCATACCCACTTCGTCGTCCAAAATCCAGACTTACAAAACTGAGCACTGTATCAATCGAAACAATCAAAGTACACAACAGATCAAGCTACAGAATCAGATCCTTTATTTCAAACAACAAGCCCTAGAAAGCTTCTCAACGCCCTATAATTCGGAATTACAAAACTGATTTCCCGCTACATTTGAAGTTCAACAATAAAATAGAGTGATCCACTACACAGCAAGTTCCAGCAGTGAACCTCGGCGCCACAAAGGAGTCTGAGATTCAGTAGTACCTACTCCTCGGAGGATAGCGGTCGATCATCCTTCCGGAAGGACACTCGATGGCACGATGACCACGTCCGCCACAGTTGTGACAGATCATCAGCGGGCCCATGCAGTCCCTGCTCATGTGTCCATACTGGTGGCAGTTCCTGCACATCACGTCGTGAAAACTGCCCCCTCTCATACCACCGCCGCGGTGGTCAACTGCACCGGCGGTGGCTTTCGGGCACTGCCTCGCTACATGCCCTGAGACATTGCACGTGTTGCAGACAGGCTCGTTGGGACAGTCACGTGCCAGGTGGCCTGTTTTCCTGCAGTTGTTGCACGCTTTGTCATTCGTACAATCTGCAGCAATGTGGCCTTGCTTGTAGCAGTTGTTGCACAGTCTCAGGTCGCCCGGTGGCAGTTGAGGAGCTGTGCAGTCTCTAGCACGATGCCCAGCCTTGCCGCACGTGTGGCAGATTCCCTCGTTCGGGCAGTTGCTAGCCATGTGACCTGATTCTCTGCAGTTCCAGCACAGTGATTTCGTGGTGCACTCCGACGCAAGGTGCCTACAAGAAATCCAAAATCAGTTTACTTATATAACAAAGAGATACAAATTCCACGCCGACGAATGATGATTGATTCATTTAAAGCATCATGTACATAGATCACGTACCCTGGAAGACCACAGTTGTGACAGATGGCAACATTTGGGCATTCCCTAGCAAAATGGCCTGGCCGTTTGCAGTTCTTGCATAGGTTTCCCTGACTGATAAAAAGTAATAAACAAACTAAGAAAGCCAAAATTAAACAGCAATCATACAGTTTCTAGTTTCAAATTTTCTGACTAGCAACTGAAGGAAGCTCGCGCTGTCCAACAAATGGAACCAAATGATTTTGGCAGAAGTGCAATGCAATATAAGAAAACAAGAAACTGACATATCCCATCTATTATGGGGTGGTAGTTAAATATACAAACCAGACAATCAAGCGTTAAAATATGATAATCTTCCACGGCTTCACAGCCAAAGATTTTCATGACTAACATATTCAAGAGGTTTCAGTTAATTTGAAAGGAATGGATACAATAAGGTAAAATCCTCTAGCACATTAACTATAGCCCCTCAAAGAAACTTCAGGTGAAACAGTAAGGAGTAGAGGATTTCAAGAGTCATATGGAAAAACCTTGAACCCCGTCGGGCCTCTCGTCGGTAAGGTGCACCAGCACCACGATATGAAAAGCGGTCCGATCGGATCTTGCGGTCCATTGGGCTCCTGCTTCTACTCCTGCCTCTGATCGGGCTCCTGCTGTCAGAACTCATGTTCGAACTCCCCCTTCTTATCAACTACCACATACACCACCAACCCACAACAGCTTCCGCCTCCACCCTGTCCACATCACAACCACATTACCCGTGATCATCCATCAAGAGCTCAAAGCCACATCCCTCACTTTCCCCTCCAAAACAACAAAAACACCAAACCCCATGAGCAAACGCCAAACAGCATAAAATTTTCATCAAACACTCCACCCTAAAGGTCAATAAGATATCATCAACCTCCCTGCACTCAGCACCGCAAACCCTTTATAGTTAACAAGCTACATCCCTAGTGAATATCAAACCCCTCCTGCCAGCCAATCAATATCTTCATACATCATCATGCGTACATCATCAAAGCCACATCCCTCACTTTGCCCTCCAAAATAACAAAAACACCAGACCCCATGAGCAAACGCCAAACAGCATAAAATTTGTATCAAGCACTCCACCCCAAAGGTCAATAACATATCATCAACCTCCCTGCACTCAGCACCACAAACCCTTAGTTAAGAACTACTACATCCCTAGTGAACATCGAATCCCTCCTGCCAGACAATCAATATCTTCATACATCATCATGCGTACACAACTATGAATTACTACTTCACACAACCTCCCTTCTTCCCAACCGCCCATTCAGTCAGGCTCTACCACTAAAGCACACATGGAAGTCGATAATGAAAGAGCCCGCCTGTAAAATTCCGTGGTTATTCAACAACAAAAAAATCGTACAAGAACTGATGAGCATCAAGGAAACAGATATTAATATGCCACCCACAACATTTGCAAGAAAGAACATATCCCCTCCCCTCCCCCCAACCCAACAACAAGCAGCAGAAACCAAATGAGCCAATGCTCTCAACAAAGTTTATCATATTCTCACTCTCATGAACAGTACGCGAAGGTATTGTGAGAACAAATAAACCAGTTATGATACAATCCAGGTGGAAACAAACAACATAATTACTCCACCACGACTGTAAAAAACACAGAGCACCAATTCGCAGTCTCTAAAAAAGCACACTTACGGACTATAACATATTCAACACTCATGTACTACTAGGCTCCATGATTCAGGTCTAGAAAGGGAGTGCTAAGATGTGAAAATTACTATTCCAATGATACCGAACAGGAGAATAAGATCTCCCAGTAACAAGCTTCATCCCACCTACATAGACTCTTCTTCACTATTAAAATATTCCAACACTCGCGGTACAGAGCCAATTTCTAAGTGATAAACGCAATCTCCAGGCTGATTCAAGCAACAATATACCCCCTGAACCAAACACTAAAAAGCAACAAATCCGAAAGTGAAACCTTAACTAAAACAGAAGGCCGGGGTCTCCGAAAATCCATCCTCTGCGAACAATCCCAATTGGAAGATTTTGAAAATAAGATAATGAACAAAGCTTTTAACCCCCTGGACTAGCAGACACGGAAAAATGCATTTACCCCGCAGATCGAAGCAGCTTCCAAATCAGTTAAGCAACTGACCTGAGATATACAGCCTGAGCGGCAATGGTCCTCCGGCGAAGCAATGGCAAAAGAGCCGGCGGGCAAGGAAACAGGAACGGAGCTGAACGAACTCAAACCTAGAAGCCGAGGTTTTCCCCAAGCTGCAATGTGCCACTTCTTTTCACTCAGCAAGTCGACAACCACTAGATTTTAATTTTCTATTTTCGTGTAAGAAATTAAATTTTCCCAAACGGCGTCGTTACATCCAATGGCTCCCTTGCCGCTGTAACGTTCTTTCCATAACTCCCACTCTATGTAACTTGACATGCATATAGCTAAAGTTGGCAATTTCAATCCAATCCGTCAATCCATTAAAAATATCCACCTAATCCAATCCATTTAAATCCAATCCATTTTATCCAAATCCAATTGGATTGGTGGATTCATGGATTGGATCCATGGATCATTGGCAAATTACGGTTTAGTACCTATAATTTTTATTTTTTACATTTTGGTACTTAAAATTTAATTTTTATACTAAAAATATCATTGGAAAATTACGTTTTGGTACCTAAAATTTTTCATTGTGACATTTTAGTACCTAAACTTTTTACATTTTACATATTGGTCCTTGGTTGAGGATGTCATTTGGATTCATGGATAATCCACCAATCCACTTGATCCAATCCATGAATCCACCAATCCATTAGATCCAATCTATTTGATCCATGGATCCACCAATCCAATCCACCAATCCAAACCATTTGCCACCTCTACATACAGCACATAAATATTCGTATCTAGTTGATGTCGATGAAAATAGGAATTGATATGTTTTCTACAAATGAAATACACACGAAGTTAGTCTCGCTTCACTTTTAGATCATAAATAAACATCCAATTGGACCATAAATCATGTGATCAAATATGAACTCTTTAGTATACTTTTAGGGTTAATACCTTAGTTTGAGCTGAACTATACACATACTTTCTACTTTGGCCCGTGATATTGAAAATTGCTATTCTGACCTGAACTATGTAGCAAACTTCCTCATTTGGCCTGGAGGCGGGTTTGACCGTCAAATTAGACGGTCAAACCTGTTGACCGTTAGTCAATGTCCACCTCACCTGCCACGTCAGCTTTGAGGACATAAAAAATTATGTTTTTTATTTCTGAATTTTGTTTTCTTTCGATTAATAAAAATAATAAATCAAAAAAATTAATTAAAAGAACGAAAAAAAAGGGCCCATTTTTAGCAAATGACAAGAAATGGTGCAAATAGTTTCAAATTCGACAAACTCTTATCATCATCATCAACGACTCGAAACTTAATTCGAAATGAACTTATCTATCATCAACAACAACTCATCCCAAACGCTCATATTCGAGAAGGAAGCAACATCAAAGGAAGCAAAAGGTGTTTGTGTTAACTTGTTTGCTGTACTTAGCTTGTCTTTGCTTTTTAACCCAAATTGGCTTCATCGCTAAACCAATATTCGACACCTTCCAAAAGGAAGAAGCTAGCACAATTAAGCACAACCATCGTACTGCAGAATGTGTGAAAAGCAGTTAGTGCTGTCTGTTACGTAATCCATATCCACAGCCCCCTCAATCAACTTGATATCTTTCTTGCAACTGCGGCAAAGGGAATCCACGAAGCTAGAAAAAAAGGTGCATAACGAACAACCAACCAACTTACAGAAAGGGCACGCTCTTATATTCAGTTGCAAAACAGTTGCGGCGCCAAAAGAGAAACGGCCTGAAAAAATGCTGATGCTTGCAAAAGAGAACCAATTGGAGAACGTGCCGATGCAGAGCAGAGCTGCAGAGACCCATTTGTTTGTTTTTTTCAGCCCTACAACACAAGTTGTTGTCATGCGTTAACATGCACATCTAACAAGTGATCACAAGTTCCCCAATCTAACGGTGTCGATAATCGTCAACGCGCCAGTTCTTATTTATTGGTTAGCGTGTTAGCAAAATTAAGATGAGCGATACATGTTGCTCGTGTGTTTGTAATGGTTGGACATGAAGTTGATATTATTACGATCTTATTGTACTATAGTCAACCATGGTTAGAACATAAATAATCGTTATTAAGAAATATTTGACATGTTATTGGACGATGTTTGCGAAGAAAGAGGGTGTGCATTATAGATTTCAGTATCCTATGACCTTCAAATTGAAAGCTAATAATAATAATAACGGTAGAACAAATTCTCGTTCCTTTCACCTATCAAAAATTATGAATTTACGTGAAGGGTACAAAATCCAAATGATTATTATTTATAAAAGCTGCTTGTTTGTACTCGTTTTGTACATAAATGGTGACGGCTGACGAGAGGGTTAAGATAAGAACCCAAAATTGCTTTGAAGTGTGTGGTATTATTCCTTTTCATACGTCCTTCAGTTCTGCTTTTAATTTGTCTTATTACAATTATCCTTTAATTAATCAGACTGATTCTCACTTCTCAGCTTACATCAGCGGATTGGCGGCCACCTTAATTATTGAATAAAGGTTCTTGTTTTGCCCAAGTAATCCCAAAGGAGAATATAAAGATAAGGTTGTTAAGGAAAGACAAACATTGGAGGATTTAGGGGCCCCGTGAACTTAATTATTGATTATGATTGCATGCATCCTTGCGCGCTAGAGGAATTTTACAATGCTATATAGAGTATTGGTGCTATAGATTTTTGTCTTTATGGGTACAATTTGAAATTGTACATTTAACGTTATGGTACATGCAACATGAGCGCGAGTGGGTTCTATTTGACTATTCGAATTGATTCGCGAATTAGAATCTCTAATTCAATGATGCTGACGACATGGTGTGCCTACTACCACCAATCAGGTCATACCTCTTTCCCTTGCTATGAAGGTTACAAGCGTCTTCCGTGCAGCTCGCCAGGAAGCTCGGCGGCTGCTGAAGCAAACTAATCGTTTTAACAATTTAAACCTGTAACTATTATGGTCATTTCGATAATACAAATTTATCCCCCAAATTGTCGACCTTTTTATGAAATGTAAAGGTCTATCTTATCTAATCCCTTAAGATAAAGGTTTAATCATGCAAAGTTCTTGCTATATTCACCCAATGAAGTGATTGTATCTAGGGGTGGCAGTTCGGTTACTGGGTATCTGTTAACCGGCCGGTTATCCACTAACCTGTAACCAAAGTAATCGAATTTCGGTCGGTTATCGGAGATTGGACACAATGATTTTTTGTCTTAAAAGTGGTTCGGTTAATCGATAACCGAGAAACCGAAACCTATTTCGAGCGGTTTTCGGTAGAGGGAGTGATTATTTCGGTTAACCGATAACCGACCGATCGATTATCGGTTATACCCGAAATAACCTTACTGCCACCCCTAATCGAATCCATAACTAACTTTCATCCATAAACACATTTATGGTATTGGCAGGTACCAAATGATTTCTTCCTTGTAAGAAAAGCAAAGCTCCCCTATATAGCCAATCCAACATTGCACACTAGGATTCTGAAAAACTTTTGTTAAAACAACAAAAAAGAGTCTTATCAAATTACACATCTCTCCAATCACAAACAGTTGGTGGTGTTAATATCTTCGCCGATAAGCTCTATCCACATTCTCCCCCCGGCCGCCCAACCGTCGGCCAATACCGTTATAGCAAACACCATCAGAAAGAAAGAAAAAAAGGGAACCACATTCGTCGTCATCATCAGAAGAAGAAGAAGAAAAAGGGAAACCCACAAAGCTGCCGCCAATTACTGGTTCGCAGCCAGCAACTTGCAAACCGCAGCTTTAAATTGCACCACTTTTCCTTCCCTATTTTAATGTGTGTGTTCCTTTGAACCTGCCTTTGCTTGTATCTTGGTTCTTGCGAAATTCCCTGATTCCTGTGGGGCTGGGGGCACGCTCCTCGATGTCGGCCGGCCGGCCGGCGGCGACCCAGTCCTCTGTTCTGCTCTCTGCAGTACTGGCGATAAGAGGGAAATCGCTTGTAATCTCAGCAACAAGTTGTACGATCGAACTAATTAGGGTCGCGGGATGCTTGGAAGTTGCAATTCTAAAAGGTTATATATTCACGGAATGTATTCATTATTGAAAATACAAACGCGTTTGAGAGTGTCGAGCTAACAATGCATGCATTATTTACTTAATTTATTTTATATAGTATTTCCACCTAAAAATCAGCCGAAACTGTTGGTTTTAGATTTGCATCTCATTCTTCTTTCTGTATATACCCATAGTATTTTTTTTTTCCGTTTTATATTGAATGTACAAGGTAATTGTGACATTGTTCGATAAAGTAACTATGCACATCCATTCATAAACTAGAAACTCAACTACCAAACAACACAATGCGAAAAATGCATCCATTATACCAATCCATTTATCTATATATTTTACATGCGTAAGTTATAAATGACCCCTTAGAGTGAGGAGGTTCCGATAATGACAAACGACCCCTTAGATGAGGGAGGCATCCTACCACTTTCTAATATGCCCCCCACGATACGAATACACACACGTTATAACCTTGAATTAAAAAATTTGAGAGAAATTATAACCCCTCCAAGATTACAATTATCTTCAACACTAATCTCGCCTTCCAAATTCTCAAATTCATCAATTTCAGCAATGATTTTACCTTACATCTTCTCAAAATAGTGTCTTGTGAAATCATACTGTACCAACGATTCAAAAATATCGATAAATAATTTTCTAGCGATATAAAACGGTTAAACTATAGATGAACCACAATTTCAGCCCAAATACCATGCCTAACGTTTCCTACTTTCCTATACAACATCAACATCTTGTCGCAATCCTTGCGACTCAAATTCATTAGTTCCGTGGAGCCCAAAATGAAAATACGGGCCCAAATCCAAACCCATATAACAAGAAAGAATTAAAAAAAAAAAGTAAAAACGTATTTTTTTCATCTGGAATCCCATTCGTCCCACGCACTCAACTGAACTCACTCAACTTTCACACACTCACTTTCTCTCTCCTTACGGTTACCCTTCTTCTTCCCAAACATGTGACCCCTTTCTCTGACACACACACTCTCCCTCTCTCCCACTCTCCCTCTTCCTCCTCCGCCTCCCTGTCGGCGCTCCGCCACTTCTCTCCCTTTCTCGTGACCTCTCTCTCTCCTCTCCCACTATAAAACCACCACCACCTCCCGCCGTCGATTTCCCGCCACTCACATTACAACCTAATTCCGCCACCTCCTCAAAACTCAATGAAGACTCTCTCCCCTCTCTTCCTCCTCCTCCTCTTAATTTCCGCCAATTCCTTCCTCCCTCCGCCTTCCGCCTCCGCCGCCTACCACGACTACGCCGACGCCCTCGCCAAGTCGATCCTCTTCTTCGAAGGCCAGCGCTCCGGCTACCTCCCGCCCGACCAGCGCCTCCCCTGGCGCGCCAACTCCGGCCTCTCCGACGGCTGGACCTACAACGCCGACCTCACCGGCGGCTACTACGACGCCGGCGACAACGTCAAGTTCGGCTTCCCCCTCGCATTCACCACCACGATGCTCGCCTGGAGCGTCATCGAGTTCGCCGACGTCATGCCACCTGCCGAGCTCAGGAACTCGCTCGTCGCGGTGCGGTGGTCCTCCGATTACCTCCTCAAGTCCGTCTCCCAGCTTCCCAACCGGATCTTCGTTCAGGTCAGTCGGTTCAACATTCAGAAAATCTAATTTCCAGCTTTTTGCGATTCTCAATCGACACTGCATAGCGTTTGGGTAATTTCGTACTTTCTAAAAAGAAAATTCGTTTTTTTTTCATACTAGCGATTTTTCCGGTTGGTTGGTTTCTTGGTTCAGTTACTCAGTCAGTCTTTAAGTTCGCTACTCGTCCTTTCGTATTCCGAGCCCCACCGCCACGAGTCATTAGGAGGCTGTTCTCGGAAAAGCCAACACGAAATGAAAATGAGGTGCTGGAAAAAGAAAATTTCCAACACAGAAAATTTTCTGATTAGAAATTGCCTAACCTTATACAGAATATTGTACTTGTACTTTCTCAATCGTTCGATTTTCGTATAAAATGCGAGAGAAAAATGAACGATTGTGCTGTGATTGTGTCCTCGTTATGGTTCGAAAGATTTGTGCAAGAGTGTATAGCTATATTACTGAATTGTAAAACTAAAGTGACGTAAATAGGTCCGAATTGAGCTGAAGTATGCGTGGAGTTAGTCAAAATCGAGAATCCTTACTTCTATTTGGGAGTAAAATACTCATGATCTCAAGTTTACATCCAGAATCCAAGAAGGAATCCTGTGGGAAGCTCAGTTGATTTTAAGTAAAATAACTATGAATCAGACTGACAATTCAAGTGAGATTCCCCAGTGGATGTTCTCGAATGTGTGTCTCTATACCATTTTTTTCTTTGTTATTTTGCCTTATTGCGGTGACTATTGCTTAACCAACTTTTTTTTTGTCCTTTATGCCGTGATGAATTCACGGATCCAACAGTATTCCCAACAATGGCCCCCCATTAGTTAATCGAGAAAAATTGCACTTGTTTATACAATTCCCAATTACCAAACTCATTTGGGTATCCCAGATTCTGATCCAAATTACTGTTCTTAACCATTAGTGAATCCTTTCTTACCAATTTACAACTACCCAGTTGACTTTTACAAAACTCTGCTGTGTATAAGTACCATTTTTCACCACTAAAAGATAAAAAGTAGCACAGTGAAAGGCATCCACGTAGAGAAGGGGAAAACAACAAGAAGGAGATGAGCCCATTTTTGTCCAATATGGCAAGCATGGGCCACCGAATACATTCATTCATCTACACGTACATTGTTTGTCGTTACCAAATTTAAGTTTCCTTGTGTTGTTGTAGGTGGGGGATCCAAATGCAGACCACAATTGCTGGGAGAGACCGGAAGATATGGACACCCCAAGGACTGTCTACGCCGTGGACGCACCCAACCCGGCATCCGACGTCGCCGGGGAGACCGCGGCAGCTCTGGCTGCCTCGTCGATGGCGTTCCGGTCGTCGGACCCCGGTTACGCCGAGACATTGCTGAGAAACGCGGCCAAAGCTTTCGAATACGCGGATACGCATAGAGGAGCTTATAGTGACAACGATGTCATTAGAGAAGGTGCCTGCCCGTTTTACTGCGACTTTGATGGCTACCAAGTAAGCCCTCTTCTCTCTCACGTCTCGATTTGTACCCTTGTTCTACCACATTCGGTCTGAATCGAATCGAATCCTCTTTTTTTTTTCCCGTCTTCGAAAGGATGAATTGTTGTGGGGAGCAGCATGGTTGAGAAGGGCATCATCGGATGACACATACCTGAATTACCTACAAGAAAATGGCAAAACCCTTGGAGCTGAAGATAACATCAACGAGTTTGGCTGGGATAATAAGCATGCCGGCCTTAACGTTCTCGTCTCTAAGGTACTAATCGCTCGCTCGTCTCAATAACTTCGAGTTGTTTAGATTCTAGAAAAGAATGCTCATTCGAAGTTAACCCATTTCCTCTGTTTCTTCCAACTCTGCTACTAAATCTAAGAATCGATCCACAATTCACTGAAACTTACTAGAAATTTCCGATTTTCTTTGAATCTAATTATACAGGAAGTGCTAGAAAGTAGCATGGTGACACTCCAATCCTACAAAGCATCGGCAGACAGCTTCATGTGCACACTGATCCCACAATCCTCATCCTCCCACATCGACTACACCCCCGGCGGCCTAATCTACCGCCCCGGCGGCAGCAACCTGCAACACGCCACCACCATCTCCTTCCTCCTCCTAGCTTACGCCAACTACCTCGAGCGAACATCTCAGTCGGTCAACTGCGGGAACCTCGACGTCTCCCCCTACGCCCTCCGCTCCCAGGCCAAGAAGCAGGTCGACTACATCCTCGGCGACAACCCGAAGGGCTTGTCGTACATGGTCGGATACAGCGACAACTACCCGCAGCGGATTCACCACCGTGGGTCCTCCTTGCCGTCGGTGAAGGACCACCCGGCGGCGATCGCTTGTAAAGAAGGTTCGGTTTACTTCAACTCGACCGGTCCCAACCCGAACGTGCTGACCGGTGCGATCGTGGGCGGACCGAGCGAGGACGACGAGTACCCGGACGACCGGGCCGATTTCAAGAAGTCCGAGCCCACCACGTATATCAATGCGCCGTTCGTCGGCGTGCTGGCTTATTTTGCTGCTAATCCTGATTTTAGTTGATAAATTAGTAGCAGAAATGGTTGGTTTAAGGGCTAGATGAATGCCAATGATTTTATGGGTTGGCATTTTGATTTAGGGGAGGGGAAGAAGAGGGTGGTGTGTGTATTTGTGTGTCTCTCATCTTTGGGCCATAAAGGCAAAAGAGGGTAGAGTGGTAAGAGTGTTTTTTTTTTGTTCTTTGTTGTTGGGTTAGGTATCACAAGATCTCCTTGTGATTTTCCTTTTTCTTGTTAGGGGGGAAACAAAAGGAAAAAAGAAATTGAGGATAAGGAGAATTGGGATAAGGAGTTCCAATTCATTTGAGGTGGAGATTGAAATTGAATGCCATTGATATCCCATTGTTGGCTTCAAAATGAGATGGGTATGTGTCTTTTTTTGTGTTGTTATATCCCAATTGAGTTTTGGTACTCATAGCCAATTCATATCTCACCGGGTGCATAGTTATTGGATCGCCCATTAGGCACATCACAATTGTTGGATAGATAGTGACGCGGTACGATTTGGTAATTGAAATGACTCTGCGCGCCCATCTAACGGCTACAGAATGTCCAATATGCTATCTGACGGTTTATGAGCCCAATGAGCATTTTAGCAAAATTGATTCTTTTTAGTGTTCTTAGATCTGCATATGGACCATGGCAATGACCGAATCCAGCTCTATTTTAGCCTCAAGTAGTTAGCAATAGCAGCACAACAATGGCTAACCATTTTCTGATTTATTAATACGAGTTGAATAGTCATTTTTCAATCTTTTAGACAAACATAAGCATGAGTTAGATGAAAGAACTTATAATGCCGTCGTATCATGTTTTCAATTCGAGCATCGGAAAACAACCATATGATGCTATGTAATGAGCCAACTGCCCAACAAACTCACCTCTCTTTCCACAATGAGCATTGCACGGATCACCTAGCTTGAATTTAGTAATGTTGTTCCCTCTCTTTTATTTCCCTTTTGCTGTTCTCATTGATGTTAAAACCGCCGCCCAATTTACTCTGCCCATCTGTCAACACCAACATATATTCAATTATACATTCATGTCACAAGCTCCCCGGGAAGTACACAAGAGTACTTTCTCGGCTTTTCAATTGGAAACACTTTAGGAGTAGGTTCGGCTCTTTGCCCGTGTGGAAGGTAAGAGAGAGCAAGAAACCTATTTTCTTTCTTTCTCCAAACCTATGTGTGTTGTATTCTGTCATATTTTCTTTCTTTCTCGACATATTTGATATTGTTAAAAAATTATAAATATTGCAACGCGATAAAATTATCAAACGTTACATCTTAATTAAATCGGCAAGACTTTTGCTTAATCGGTATTGTGGATAGTAGTCCAAGTAGTAGTCGGAGGCACAATTAGCGATCATTCGGATAGTTTTCGTGATCTCTATAGAGTTAATTTACAAAGCAAATCCATTGCCCATATTGAAGATGTGTGAGCTATATAGATGGTAGGTATGAGCTTAGTTGTAATTTAGGAGGAGCCCTCTCATTAGTATGTCAGTTTTATGGTCTATTAATAAATTTTTTTCCCCACGAGATTATATATTTCAAATCAGTTACATTTATAATCAAATAATCTTTTATCTTATGAATCATTGAAATAATCTTAGCACCGAAAGATATACAAATCCGTTGTAGTCTAGTTGGTCAGGATATTCGGCTCTCACCCGAAAGACCCGGGTTCAAGTCCCGGCAACGGAAATTTTCCTTTTCTCGCCCTCGCTCCCAATAAACGACGTCATTTCGTCCCGTCAGACGGACCCATTAACTGGCTAACCGTGCCGTTTTTTTCCCCGCCTCCATTTCCCCCAAATTCAAAACCCTCGTCTCAGGAAATATCCAATCTTCTTCTTCTCCCAATTTAGGGTTTTGGTGTTTGCTTCTGCGATCAATTACAATCACCAGGGTTGGCGTTCCCTCTGCCCAAACTTGGTAACGTTCTTCAACCTCTTCCTCGCTCTACTTGCGTATTGTCCCATTCCCTTCAAATTTGGCCGCTTTTGCTCGCTTTCTGTACCCCCCCAATCGCCGTGTGATCATTTCCGTTTAGTTGCTCTTTCAGTTCGAGCTTGATATGCTAATTTTCGAAGAAAGTCTGAGATTCGATTGCTTGTATGTAGTTTTCTGAACCAAATTTGTCGGGCTTGTTTCGTCCTTTAATCAGGCGAAAAGCTTGAGCAGTCGCCAATTCAATGGTTATACCTTCAGTTTTGCTGTTTGATTAAACATTGGAATCATTTTCTCCGACTGGGTTAATAGTTGTATAAAGTTTGATCTTATAGTGTCCCAACTTTGGCATGCAAGGTGTTGGAGTAATTGAGTGTTATCCGATTGTAAGCTTGTTGCAGGGGTTAAACATTGATGAGCATTACGATTCGTATTTTTCGTTGTAAAATTGATAATCCGTAGACATCCTTCAAACTTTTACTCCTGGCCCAACTTCTAGGTGCCCCTTGCAGCCATGTTCCAAGAATATCTGCAGTATTTTAGTATCAGTTGGACAAACAAACAAGCCATCCAACAGTTTTTTTTTTTTCTTCTTAATTTTGGTGTAGTTAACCCACAAGTATTGACTCAAGGTTTGTCCGAGTGCCCGATCCAATCAATACTCTGTGTTCCTAGTTTCCTTGATAAATTCTCTTCCTTCCTGGTCAAATTGAGCATATATATTACCTTTTCATTGCTTTCTGTTAAGATTATGCTCATGTGTCTTACAGAAATGGCTGTCAATGAGGATCCAGCAGAAGGTTCTATACCTTCCATTAGTCTCGAGTCTCTTGTATCTACCCAGAACGGTGGTGCTTTTTCCACTGAAGACATTGCTTGGGCTGATTCATGCCTGGTCAAAGACCCCGATATTTCAGCTGGTGACTGGAGCTCTATCAACGATGCATTACTACAAGTGCTTAGTCTAGCACCCGAATCACAGGGCTCCTTGTACGGAGCCATGAACAATAATGGTTGTGTTGGGGGAACTGATGATTTCGAGATGCTTCCTCCTGATGACACTGTGGTAATTGAGCAGCCTTCTCCAAGCAGTGATGATAATTATCGTGTGACAATTGGTGATGAACCAAACCTGAACATCGACAATATGCTATCAAAGGAGGAAATGGACGTCTTGTGCTCCCTGCAGTTTCTGGGTCAAGATCCCGAGACTTTCAAGGGCGATTGGAATTCTATGAGGGAGTACGTGGATCGAATACTATCATTGCGACCTAACGAGAGTGGTAGCATGATGACACTTCGTGATGTTGAGGATGCACAACCTTCTGCCGAAGTAAATCGAGATTTCGATGAAGAAACAAAAATGAAGCCACAACATGTTGACAGTGATACATCAGGAAGTTTCCAGTTGGGCACCTTGCTGTCGACTTACGAGCATGATAACCCTAAAGAAACTGATCAGAGTGGTTTACTACCAGCTGATACAGCCAGTTCAGCAGAAGATGCCGGAGTTACAAGTAGTGAGATCTTTAAGCTCTGGGATTTGGGAATTCCTTCCGAGGAAGAAGAGGAGAATGACGAGTTAAAACTGAACAGGGCGCTTGCTGATAGTTCAATTCAGTCCATTGCACCTGTAGTTGATGATTCAGAGGCAACGCGAGATTTGAAAGAAGGCGCACTTGATTATTTGATCGCTGGCATTGGAGACCTATCCATACATCGGCATTCTGGCTAGCTTTTGTCAGTCTAAAAGACGCATTCCTCACACGAGTTAGCATATAGCTTTCCACTCCCATTCCTAGTTTAGTTCAGAGTTTGTTAGTATATAGCTCTCCACTGCCATTTCTTGTTTAAGTTAGAGTTTGTTTGTTGTGCCGAAAACGAACAATGTAGCTCGAGACTTGAGCATGTAGAATCCTTCCAACACGATGAATGAAAAATTTAAGAACAGAGACACAGAATGCTGCATGCCTATATTCTATGTTAGTTCCTGCAGGAGATGGAATGTAGAAGTGGAAGTGGAACCCACCAGTCTAGGTGTCAGAACACCGTCCGTCGATCGCGCGACGGCCATAGCCAGAAGCAAACTGATCGTCAGTTCATCATTCACCACAATCTGCAGAACTAAACCAGAACCATTTGTTAACCATGAAAAAGCAGAGACGAAACCAAAACCACAGAAGTAAAGAGGAAAAACATCTCCATCTTTTTGGACGCATGCAACGGATAGCTGCCAAACAGAATTTTTTTTCCAAGGTGGGCAAAAACCCATCCATTCTAACCACCAGCAAGACACGACACGTCAGCACAATTCTATCATCCAGTTGGCAGATCCAGATTGGCTGGGGCACAACAGCCTCAAACTTGACATCCCCACCATTGATGAAACCATGAACATGTATCGACAAAAGTGCAAATATAAATAGGGGATGGGAGATGCCTGTGTGAGGCTTAAAAGGCTTTACAGCAAAAGATAAGATTTCTCCTTTGTATATAGAGAGACTGTGAGACTGAACTTCGGTGTTGTGCCATTCTCGAAGTCGCTCACAGCCTCTCATCAGAGCCAGAAACAGAGGAGTCAAGTGAGAAAATGGCGTCTACTTCACTGCTGAAGTCATCCCCTGTTCTCGACAAGTCTGAATGGGTGAAGGGCCAGAGCATCCGCCAGCCCTCTGTCTCCATCCTCCGCTGCAACTCCTCCACCGCCGCCGCCGCCGCGCCTTCCGCTCTTTCCATCCGTGCCAGCTCATACGCTGACGAGCTTGTCAAAACTGCGGTATGTCTCCCTCTCGCTCTTAGTTAATCCGCCATGCATGTTGCCATTTTTTCTCCTGTAGTTGTAATGTTTGTGACACCCTTTCGACCAGTTACACCATACTTGTAATGTTCGTAATACCACTGGTCTTGAATCTGGAGTTCCCAAGTTCGAATCAAACCGATGAAGCTATAGTGGTGTGATAGCCAGAGACATATTGTAGAGCTAGAATGAAGTTGTTGTAATTGAACCATATCTGTTTTGGTGGTGGCAGAAAACTGTGGCGTCACCAGGGCGAGGGATTCTGGCGATGGACGAGTCAAACGCGACCTGCGGGAAGCGTCTGGCTTCGATTGGGCTGGAGAACACGGAGGCCAACCGCCAGGCCTACAGAACCCTTCTGGTGTCAGCTCCTGGGCTGGGGAACTACATCTCCGGCGCCATTCTCTTTGAGGAAACTCTCTACCAGTCCACCGTCGACGGCAAGAAGATCGTCGACGTTCTTAAGGAGCAAGGCATCGTCCCCGGTATCAAAGTCGACAAGGTACTAACATCATTACTAGTTCACAGTTTTCAGTGAAGTAGCTAGTGTTGATGTTACTGTTATGGGGTTTTGAATGGGGAATTGTTGTTTACAATGAGAAAAAAACAACAGGGTTTGGTGCCACTTGCTGGTTCCAACGATGAGTCGTGGTGCCAAGGGCTTGATGGACTTGCTTCCCGCTCTGCTGCTTACTACGAACAGGGCGCTCGCTTTGCTAAATGGTATGAACATATTTGAATTGTGCATGTCGTTAATGTCTGTTGATTTGAGTAATTTTTGGAAGTGGATTGTTGTATATGCTATAAGAATGCATCTTAGTTCAGCTTTGATTAGAAGGTCATGGTCTTGGGAATGAAGGAGAGTTTGAGCTGTGACCTGAAACTATAAAATCCAAGTCAGTATAGGATTAGATCGAAGATGAAGGAAAATTGTATCAAAATTGCATTTGATCCGATTGTGTTTTCCTTTAAGATCTATGCACTAAAAACCCAAAAGCTGTTCTGAACGATGATCAGAATCGCAATTGAATCATATTTTGTCTTGGTTCATTCGATCCAAATGCCGATTCAATACGATTTACCCTGATCATGTTCATTACAGGCGTACTGTTGTGAGCATTCCCAACGGTCCATCTGCCTTGGCAGTGAAGGAAGCTGCCTGGGGCCTGGCCCGCTACGCTGCCATTTCTCAGGTGAGATTACCTAACGTTAAACTTGTAGAAGAAGTTACTTCTTGTTCTAGTTTGCTCTGTTTTTCTGATGTAGGCTGGGGTTCATCCCTTTGCAGGACAATGGGTTGGTCCCAATTGTGGAGCCGGAGATCTTGCTGGACGGTGAGCATGGGATCGACAGGACCTTCGAGGTGGCCCAGAAGGTCTGGGCGGAAGTCTTCTTCTACTTGGCTGAGAACAATGTGATGTTCGAGGGTATCCTCTTGAAGCCCAGCATGGTTACCCCTGGCGCTGAGTGCCCAGTGAGGGCTACCCCTCAACAGGTTGCTGAGTACACTCTCAGCCTTCTGAAGAGAAGGATCCCGCCTTCTGTCCCTGGAATCATGGCAAGTCTCCCTTCTTGTAGGCTTAGTATGTATGCTTAACGTGTGGCTGATCGTATGATTATCCGATTGCAGTTCTTGTCCGGTGGGCAATCTGAGGTTGAAGCGACACTGAACCTGAACGCCATGAACCAGGCTCCCAACCCGTGGCACGTGTCGTTCTCATACGCCCGAGCCCTCCAGAACACATGCCTGAAGACATGGGGAGGCGCTGCAGAGAACGTCGAGGCTGCCCAGCAGGCGCTGCTCACCCGGGCCAAGGCCAACTCGTTGGCTCAGCTCGGTAAGTACACCGGGGAGGGAGAGTCTGACGAGGCCAAGGAGGGAATGTTCGTCAAGGGCTATGTCTACTAAAGAATTTCTCCTGTTCCGGCCATCCATATGCATTATTAGGTTGATGAAAGAAAGGGACTATTACTTAGAACTCCTCTCTTTCTGTCTCTGTGCTGTAAAAGAATTTGCCTCTCTTACGTTTGCTGTTGTTGCTCATATGGAGACTATTTTTGTTTCTGAACAACCCTTTGTCACTCTTTTAATGTATGTACTTTCTTCTTGAGCCCTACTACCAAGCTCCAGTAAACCCATTTCGATGAGGCAACCAGGTTAATCGATTTCTAACTAGGCAAAATGAAATGGATTCGGGATGATGGAGATTGATTCGATGATTTGGGCGATCCAACTCACCTGCAACTTGGGAGTACGTCGCCACTGAATTCTTCACTCAGGACGAAGTTACAGCAGCCGACAAGTATCTTGCGTTGCAGGCAGAGGGAAGTACCATCAACCTCTCAATAAATAGCACAACAATGAAAGCTTGTAGTTTGTACCGGTAGCTGATGATTGAATAGATTCATGTTGTTTGCTTCCACATGATTCATGCAATTCAGCAGCAACAATATTCAGAGAAGTATCTCTCCTGATGACATTCAGCCAATAGAGCTGGAATAAAGAAGGAAATCATATGATCAGTGATCACTAATAAAGTAAACTCCTTTACCTAACGGAAAGGTTGTTATAATGGCAGGGCTCTAAATCACTGCTCGGCTGCTCGCTGGGTAGACAGACCAGACGAATGTTGTCAGATTTGCTCCCTCTGTGTTTACTTCGTCTGCAATTTCCTGAATCCTCATTTTGATTAATGATCTTGATCATCCTCTTCATATACCAGATTATAGAGGAACAAAACGAAAATACTTCCTTTTCGGGCAAGAGATGCAGGCACAATTCACATTTCAGCCACTGCCCATTATTAACGGAGCATCGCTTTACAAATGGTAACATTTGATCTAGTCTGGTAACATCTGATCTAGTCTGGTGCTCTTAAGGTTACTGTCAAAAGGCCCAGAATTAACATCAAACGAGAAACTTAAGACTGGTCGATCTGGGGATTTCCTAACCCCTAAACTTCAATATCTTAGAGATGTTACCAATGTCGTTCTTCATCCAAGGAGTTGGCTCATCAGCTTTGGGGATGGAATATCATTTTTCCAGATTGTTTGGATTTCACAAATTTGGACCATAAGCTTGACTAATAGCATCACCCAAAAGGATAGCTTCTTCTCTGCTTTGGCCTTCCCTCCAGACTCTGAACTGAGCCACATAGGGACCAGTGCTGGTATCCTTCCATTGCTTCAACATGAACATCGAGTATGGTCCTTCTAGTTTCGCCCCATTTGGATTCATGCAGTTCCATACTCGAGCATTTACATCAATCTTTTGTTTACTGCTGACCATAGGATTTGTACTCTGCTGTTTACCATCACCGTCAACATCCTCATCATCATCGCTTAGATCTATTAATACCACATTAGCTGCTGCTGCTGCTGCACAATGCTGCTGCTGTTTCTTCCCCTGGTCAAGATGCTTATTAGGTTGTTTAGATGATTCCCACTGGTCCGGGTTGCTAGCTGAAATAGCATCGTCAGGTTCGCTCAAATGGACGATTTCTACGCTGGATGAAAGTAGTTCATGGTATACATTATTCTTGTGCATAGCTTCCTGATGAAGCCCTTCCTTCTTTGCTGCTTCTTGATTCTGTATTTCAAGCATCCCCTCGTATCTTGTTTTAAAGGCAGCTCCACCAGACTGTTGATGCAGTTCAGCTGAAACACATTCAACATTAGAAAATATAAAAGAATTCACTATGTCCAATTGAACTGGGAAACATGCAGGGATTAAAAAACCCTAGCATGGGTATCCGATATTGGCTAAAACAAAAGGCAGAAAGAGCACCTTGACAATCGGTTTTAGTGTTTATGGTCTTGTTATCTTCTCTGTTTTTCCCTTCTTTGTCAGATCGGAAAGACCTAGCTAGTCCAGGTGGACAGTGATCACCAACTTCCTCTCCTTCTATAACATTTAGAAGGATCCATCAAACAAGGTGAACAAGAATTATCAACTCACAGTAAACCACAAACAAAAAACATCAAAATAGCACAATCCAGTATGGGCTGAAACGATCTGAAGACTATCAAGCAGAAACAAGAAACAAAAATAGAACTTTTATGACCTGCTTTGGTGGTATTGCTCTTTTCTTCTCGGCTTTTGTTCTCTTTGTCAGACCAGAGACATGTAGAGAGTCCAGAAGGATTTATATCACCAACTTCATCTCCTGTACCATTTTACAGATCCATCAAAAGATGAGCAACCAAGATTCATCGAGTTTGAAGTATCTCTTTCTACAGGATCTATATAAGACTTCCATGGTAAACCAAAAAAATAAAAGGTACAAATACGGCAATCCAACATTAGGTAACTAATCGAAGGTATCACACATAACAAGAGACAAAAAGAAAACCTTGATGATCAGTTTTGGTCTTTCTGCTCTTCTCTTCTCTGCCTTCGTCTTCTTTGTCAGACAACCTTGCACATCTAGTAAGTCCAGAAGGACAGCTATCATCAATTCCATGTCCTGAAACGTTTTTGAAGTATCCATCAATTTAGGCCAAAAAAAATCTACAATGCTCGTACAGTCGTACTATCTCCTTCAACAGGAGGAGTTCTAAGAATTAACAATACACTGATAACCAAAAACACAAAATGGTAAACCGTATGAAATGGACGAGAAGGCAAAAATGAAAGTTTCCTCTGTATCAAACAGGAACTTCAGTATATCATCTTCCATCGTGCAAAAATGTAACAACGGACATAGCTGTAAGATGTTAAAAGGAGATGTCTACACAAGTCCAAGGTTGATATCTAGAGTACCAAGTGAATAATACAAGTAAAAGCAAACCTGCAATATCTGCTGGGTCGGTTGGACACCAAATAATCCTACTCCCTCTCGAAAACCTCAGAGCTATTTCTGGGCCTGTGACAACTTCATGTTCATCCTTAAAAATTTCTTCAGATGCAGGTTCCACCTCTTCTTCATCGGCAACAACCTCTGGAATCTCTTGTAACAACCGAGATTTCTCTTCAGGCGTCTGAAGTTTGACCAATCTTTCTATGTACTCGGCAAGCGTAGGCAATAGAAAGTTAAGGCCTACTCGGCTCGCTCTTTATTAACATGTTTATGTAGTTTTTAGTATTCTGAGCTACTTTCAGCAGAAAGAAATGATCAAACATCTGAATTACTACAATAACCATAGCAGCAAAGGATATTCTCTTCTCCATCCCTTTAAACTAGCTTGGTCACGAAGGCGTTTTAGTATGACCAATTCTCGCTGAATCCACTTCATCAAAGAAGGCAGCAAGCAAATGTCAGTATATTTGACATCCAACATCCAGGATAGGAACATTAAATTGCTCTAAAGATGCCACTAGTTCAAGAAATATCACGATATCATTCCCAAAGTCAGGTCAAGACAAAACTAAGAGAAACATAAACTCCGAAGGTACAATCAATACAGAGAAATCCCATAGCAATTGCAACAGTAACATAAAGATGGCAACCCAAGTAGACATTCTTTTAAAGCAGCTCAAGCGTAATGCTTCAGATGAAATAACAGTAGGTGCTTATATATCGAGCCATAGAGTCATGGTGACCATACCTTTATTGGATATCTGTGGTTGTACTAGTGTACACTATCTAATATTTCTTTTACTGTTAAATAGGTTTAGCCCTTTCTCACATGTAAAGAACAGAGCATAAATAAATGGAATACATACATCGTTTGTAATAGCTTCATGGAGAGCTCTGGCCTTCTCCTCAAACTCCACCTGTCAACCAAAAATAGGACTCATAATATGTACGCATAACAGCAAATCAAATAAATCATGTTAACCATCATACCGATATAAACGCCATATGAAGATGCATGTGCTTGATGTTTAGTGCCAGTTTTTACTTTCTTGTTTCAGGCTAAAAGAAGTTATCATCTATGATTCTGAGGTTGCATATGCAGACATGCATGCTATAGCTATGATAATGACATGCACTGAACACTTTACATTTTTGTAAGGGTTGGTGTACAACATGCCCAAAAATAGTCATCTAAGACGAACATGCATCTTCGAAGCCGATATTTGTAGTCATTGTGAGATTAGGAAACAGAAATTGACTAGAAAAGTAATTCATCTCTAGCAAAAACGCACAATGACAGGCCGCTTGAGCAAGCCATTCTTCACACGCTGACGCAGGTCCTCACACTCTTCCTGCATGACAAATTTACTCAAATAAGCACTATACTCTTAAGGATATGATAAGTTCATTTCAGGGTGGTCATAACAGTTTAGGCGATTCAGTTTATTAAAGCACACATTCATCAAACACATATTTCAAACACCACAACCTTTTTAGCAGCTATATTCGCAAATGATATTGACCATCCCAAGTTCCCAACATCAAAATTGCATAAGTCTGACCTTAATTTTCTCTGCCATGCAAAAGATCTCGCTAAATATTGGATTGTCGTTTACCTCGGTAAAGTTGTCATCACTAAGCTTGCATATTGGCATCTCTCCCATCATATCAGAAAGTTGCAGAAGAATAGAGCCTGTTGATTCCTCAATTTGTCTCCTTACACCTGTAGATAATCGCACATCATGGCCAAGTAGAGCAGAAGCCAGCACATCAGAAGTATATTATGAATTAAGTACATTGGAGCAGGTTTGGAAGTATCCTAAATCCTATGTAGTAATTGGAACATTACCTCCCACTTGTACAAGGAGATGCGAGTTCTTCTGTGTGTAGTCATAAGGATTAGCTTTGACTCTCACAAAGCTTCCTATAATCTTTGCATCGAAATTTTCAGAATCCTTCGACAGCTCCTCCACTACACGTCTCTTCAAGAACAAAAGCTTCATGTTCTCGGTAGTCACTGATGCAAAGCAGCTCCTCCTCACAATAGGAACTGCTGCTACCTTGTCCCGGCAGACAGCTTCGGAGGTTCTTGGTTTCTTATTGGTCACTTGAACATCATCCTCATCATCAGCCACAAACCAATCTTCTTCTGCTAAGTCCAAATCGTCATCCGATTGGTTATCAGCAAAATGCTTAGTCAGATGGCCAAGTATTCTGTTTTTGTTGACAGATTTCCTCCCGAAAAACATGAAGAGTTTCGCATCGCAGACAATTTTCTTCTTTTTCTCCGGATCGAATAGGTTGTTCTCAGCTGCGTACCTCTTGATGATTTCAGCAACCTCGTGCTGAGACAGTTGCTGAGAAGTGTCTTTACCTATGGAGGCAAGGAATTCAACAAGCACCTTTGAGCCCCATCCACTGAATTCCCTTTTCTTCGACATAAATCTTTTCATCTTGACAGGATGCTTTCCCTCACTAACCTTACCCCTACGCCTTGCTTTACTTTGTTTACCAGAACTCACATCACCATGGTCCTACTCATCCCAGCTTGAACCACTGGAGTACTGGACCCACTTGAACCTTCTTTAGCACCACAAATGGGTTCCAATTCAAAATCACGGTTCAATATCTCCTTTTTCAGTCGTTTTTCTGCAGATATCAGGAGTTCCGCTCGCCTTCTGTTACCTTAATCTGCCCCTCCCAGTAGTTCTTAAAGATGTACTCGTAAGAATCCTCCGCATCAATGTCCACCTCCTATAACAAAGAAGCATAATTAAGAAACCAAGAAAGACCCACCAAACTAAAATCACACCAGAACCAGGTCATAACTAAACCAGGCAAAAGCTTAAGACCTGGCCAGGGAGTGGAGTTTTTGTGGCTTCAATCAGTGCAGAGAGGGTCAAACAGTGCTCACAGAATCCTCTGCTATCCGTCACAATGCCGAACTCGACATCACAGAGGCAGCGCCCACAAACAGCCTTCGGACAAGAGTAGCAATGGAATTTCGGCGATTTCCCGCAGTGCATGCAAGAATGCCAACCTGCAATTGATCACCAAAAGAAGAAGAATTTTAACCTTTCACCCACGAAATTCAAATTAAAGAATTCCATCATGCAAACAATAACAACAGGAGCAGATATGAATTGACGACTACAGGACAATGATAGCTTAACTCACTGCATTTTCCAGCAATCGTCGTCGTCCAAGAAGGATTCCGCCTTCTCCGAGCAAAAATGACGATTAAATTCCGAATTGCAGACAGTGAAAGGCAAAACCCTGAGAAATAGGGTTTGAGAATAGAGTGAAAGATCGAAACTTGGAAATTGAAATTATGGGAACCGAATCGGAGCTCGCTGAATAAGGATTAGGGCCAGCAGTCCCGTGATTAGTTAACAACCAAGGATGGTTATACCAAACCAAAAAAAAAAGTACATAAAAGGAAGGTGGAGTGACCGAACGACGTCGTTCCCTGTTCAAAAATGTGGGTATAATCAGAGAATCGTCTAGGGGATGTTCTTCGGGTCCGATCGAGACAGAAACAGAGAGACGGTAAACTTACTTGAAGTCGCAGATTCTAAGCTCTCCACCATCTTTTCAGAAGAAGCACACTCCTTCTGAAACATCTTCCTTGCTCGGTAATTTGCCTTTAGTGGGTTCTTCTTCTTTGCACTGATCTCCATGTGTTGCTGCTGCTGCAGCATTTCTCAGCAGCCAAGAACGGAGCAGGGCTTGCTGGCTGGCAACTTCTGCAATGTCTCTAAGAAAGCTCGAGTATAGCATAGTTTTCGATTCGGGTTCAGAGTAAAATCTGCCGTGAAAGTGGTTGCTGGCGTGTGTTTTCTTCTTCTCGAAAGGAGAATGGCTGGTGCAGTTGCACAGTTTCTGGAATGTGATTGGTTGAAGGGCTGCTGCAGCTCTAGCTATGAACTTATAAAAGAGGAGCAGTGAGAGAATAGGTAACACGTTGCAATTCTATTTTGGGTTGGAAGCTGACAACGGTTGTGGTTATGGCTGATAATAAAATTTTGTTCACACCCGAAAACATCTTTGATCAAAGATGAGAATTAAGATCAAGAATGTCGATCTAATTATTCGAAACAATAGGATTGCCTTTAAATCAAGTCATCTGATTAGCTCGGATGTTGAATCAACACGAAAAGTCATTTAACTTTTATAATATTTTTGAAGATTGAATGGTAGTGGTCATTGACATCGCGACCATGAACCGATGAATGATGTGTTGCCCCGATCATAAGAAGGTTCTCAAAATAACACTCGTCTTATTAGCAAGCATCCATCCTATGAGAATATTTCATCGGTTCTACACATGATCGGTGATAAGTAATCTCTATGTTGATCGAAAATTACCCTTAGACTTGAGGTTAATATGAAAAACTACTAAGATAAGGATTGCCAGAGAAATCAAGATCCATGGTTCATAAAGGAAAACTAAGCCATAGGTTGTCATCTCGGGACCATGATTCCTATAATGGATTCTATGAATAATTATTTTGAATCCCGACTCAACGATGATTCTTAGTACAAATGTACAATAAGGAGCATTAGAAATAGTCATTATAAAGTGAATCAAATCTAGACAATCTTAGTAGAGAATTCCTATAATATCTTGAAGCAAGGAAATTGTCGATCTCAATTAGCAAAAAGACAATAATGATTGAGTAATTTTTTGTTTAACGTCTGTTTTTCTTACGTAAAGGTTATAGAACACCATGTTAACTAAGGTACAAAACCATCATAGAAGCCTACTATAACAACATGTATTAAACTGTTACGTACCAAATAACTATTATTCGTAGCATTTTATGAAATCTTTATGTATTTTATGTAAGAGTTGCGAAATGACATAAAAGTCAATCCCGAATACCGAATTACACCCTAAAGTCAATCCCAATCCCTAAATAATTTCGGTATCCCAATCCCTAAATATTTCAGTATCCCAATCGATACTTCGGTATATCAATCGGTATTATCGAATACGAAATTAATTACCTTTGCAAGTAATAATTAAATTAGATTTGATTGTTTAATTTAGGGCAAAGAGACTAAGAAAAGAGTCTTGAGTTTGGCTAGAGCTAGGATATGGATAAGGAGAATGGAGGAGAGGTGATATCTCAAATTCTTGTCGTTGGTATTTGGTAATCCTTAATTTGACGAATTGGAGGCTGAGAGCCGACTAATACTAGTGTTTGTTTTTTGGTGTTATTAAAATAACAAGATATTAGGTGAGAAACGAGAGTGACTTAATCTGGAAAGTAAAAAATGAGTTGGATGGGGGCTTCTAAGTTGTGAAAGAGTGAGTAATGAATAAAGGTTGTGTGTTATATTTCATAAATTTTTAATTTTCGGTATTTCTCGGTATTTCGGTATATACCGATCCGAATCTCGTAATCCCGAATACCGAATTGCACTGCAAAATGAATCTCAATCCCTAAAAAATAAGCCGATATTCGGTAATACCAAATAATGATAAATTCGGTACGGTATTCGATATATCTCAAATGCCGGTACCAAACTTCCGGTTCTAATTCCATCCGAGCCATACAGGTTTTAGAGACAATATCATCGTACGATACTTTTTGTATTTGTACATTTTCAGAAGATTGAAACGGCACGCCGTTTGTGCTCCCCCGGGCCACAACTCAGCGCCAAATGGAGAAAGGCATCGGACTTGGGAAGAAGGAGGCGAGGAGGCAGCCCGGAGCCAGAAGCCAACTCATATCTTAATGAGAGAAACTGCACAAGTTACCTTTTCATTCATTTTTGGCTTTGCTTCTTCTTCTTCTTCTTCTTCTTCTTCCTTTACAGTTCTCTTCAATCTCCTTCCCTTTCTTCCGGTCCAAAGCCACCTGTGAAAGGAAAGTTAAGGGGGCCACCCGTGTCTCTATCTCCCTCTCTGTACAAACTTTCCCTGCGGACTCAAAAATAGCAAAACCTTTTCCTCCTCCTTTGTGTATTCCTTGCTTGCCTTTAATCCGGCTAACAAATTCACTACTTTCCCTCGTTTGCCTCCTCTCCGTCTCCAACTAACAATCCATCGCCAACCACCAGAAAGAAAAGCCTCTTCCTTTCCCTTCCCTTCCCTCTCTTCTCCACATTTCACATTCCTCAACCTGCAACATGAAGCCTTACCTTGCTGTGAGTTCTTTCTGTCTGCTTCTCTCCCTCTATTTGCTCATAATTTCCGTTTTGTCTGCTTCGTTAGTTTCCCCTTTCTGTTTGTCCTTTTGGGTTTTGTGCAATGTTTCCTCAAGCGGTGGTTTTGCGGCTCTTTGATCAGACTTGTGACTTCTGTTGATGGCTAAAAAGTTTGGGTTCTCTGTAATCACTGCACTTGGCGATGAAGAGGGGGAAAAAACGGTTTTGCAACTTTGGTTTTTGTTCAGTAGGCGTTTTATTGATTAGTGTGACGGTACATGACTTGCTCGCCGGAGTTGTTTGGTTGCCGAGAAAGACGATTAGTATGTTGAAATTATGACCGAGAGTTGGAAGTTTACTGGGTTGGCGGTTGAGCCCCTGAAAATTGGCTCCGTAGATTGCTCTTCGATAACTGCTGTATTAACGCTTTCCAACGCCGTTGTGGAAAGGTTGGAACTTGAGCTTCTGACTTTACTGCCCAGTCATAAATTTGTCAGTTCCTTACTTGGAATTAATGGAGTTGTCAATGAAATGGAATTCCTTCTCTTGCTATGTTCTATTCCGTGTTTCATGGTTCTTCCATGTTCGTCCTATCAGTTATGCCATTAATCGTGGTTATAATATGATTGTGGCTCCTTTTTCCCTCTCCTTTCAGGTTTTCGGACCACCAGAGTCTAAGAAAAGATCTTGGCTTTGCAGTGTCTTCATTGCAGCTTCTTTGATTTGTGGTATATACTTTCTGGGTTTTGCATCTGTTGGGAAGGAATATAAAGAAGTAAGCATATGCTCTGTGTACTTCTTTCGTCCACACTCCATTTTATCATAAAAACGTTTCATGTGATCATGTCTCTTGAGTGAACTTGACTTCATGTCTCTGTGTACTTCTTCATTCAAGTTTGGTGTTTCATATGTACAATGATTCGGTTCTTTCAACCCGCTAGAATTATATATTAAGTTGATGAACTTGGCAATCATGCATCAGAGATTCACTAAATGGCCAGTCATTGGATCGATATCCGGTGTAAAAGCTGTCAATTGCAAGGTTTGTGTTTCCTCCGAATCTTGTAAGTATGTGTTAATTTGATAGAAACATACTCTAAGGGTTTCTTGCTTCGTTTCCTTAGAATCAACGGATGCCCGTTGGCAGCGAGCCTTTGCCCAGTGGCATAGTTGCAGAAACATCTGACCTGGAAATGCGTCCTTTATGGAGTACTTCTACAAAAAAAGAAGTGAGTGGTCCTCTGTGTTTATGCCTAGTATGCCAAAAATTTGTTAACTTGTTTCCTGGCTTGTGAGGGATCCTTTTGAATTGACTTGTCTATCTGTTGTTTGATCTGGACTTTAAAATGTTTCCTTTCAGAAAAAACAGAAGCATCCGATGAGCTTGTTGGCAATTGCTGTTGGATTTCAGCAAAAAGAGGTTGTCAACCGAATTGTTGGAAAGGTGGATGTCAGTCAAAATTGTTTCACATATTCTCTTTGACTACAACTTTTCACAAATATGGTTGCTGATGTGCTACCTTGGTCACAGTTCCCATCAAGTGATTTCATTGTGATGCTGTTTCACTATGATGGCGTGGTGGAGAAATGGGGGGATCTTTCATGGAGTGATCGAGCAATTCACATATCTGCTGTAAATCAAACTAAATGGTATGCTGTTGGATCATAGTGGAAGCTGCACAGTAGATAAACTCTGGTTTTTTTTTCTTCTGAAACCAATCAATTCAATGTTCATTATAGGTGGTTTGCCAAGCGGTTCTTGCATCCTGACATAGTTGCTGAATACGATTATGTATTTATTTGGGATGAAGATCTTGGAGTGGAGAATTTCAACCCCAGCCGGTAAGCCTGTAGGACTTGTAAGAAACCAAACTGATTGTTAGTTCTCTCTCTCTCTCTCTCTCTCTTACGTTTCTGTTCTTGTCAGCTTAATGAGAACTGCTTGCCAGATATTTGTCAGTTGTCAAAGAACAGGGGCTTGAAATATCGCAGCCAGCACTTGACCGTTCTAAGTCAGAGGTGCATTTCCCTATTACTGCTCGTAACAGAAAATCTACAGTGCACCGGTTAGTTTTGAAGTTGAAAAGTTTCCTTTCAAATTGCTCAATACACTATCTTGATCAGAAGTTATGAGTAAGTGCTCACTTGTAAATGGCGTTTTTCTGATTAGGAGAATGTATAAATACAAAGGAAAAGGAAGATGCTTTGACAACAGCACTTCTCCACCGTGTACTGGGTAAGCGATGAGGTCCAAATGGTGCCCTTCATCTTTTCCACTGCAACATCCTTAGGACATGCTGTCTATTTAGTATTTATGACTTGTATCTTATGTGAAAGTTACATGTTTGTTTACAAGGAAATCAACTTGTTTCTTCATGTAGTTGGGTTGAAATTATGGCTCCTGTTTTCTCAAAGGCAGCTTGGCGCTGTGTGTGGTACATGATACAGGTATTGTTTGCCAACGAGCTTGATCAGTCAATTGGAAGCTGAACTCTTTAATGATCGTTTCTTTTATATCAAACAGAATGACTTGATCCATGCTTGGGGTTTGGATACACAACTTGGATATTGCGCGCAAGTAAGTAATACTATCTCAAAACTATACCCGAATCGTCTGCATTGTCTTTTGCTTTTCAGTTGTTGTGACATTACTCCTGTTATTCAGGGTGACCGGGCAAAAAACGTTGGTGTGGTTGATTCTGAGTACATAGTACATCTCGGTTTGCCAACACTTGGAGTCTTTAACAAAACTGAGGTGAGTAGTTCTACCACTTAACCTTGCTTCCTGTAAGAAGCCATCATTAACCAGCCTTGAATCTCTGTTTCCCCACTTTGCAGGCACAGTCGGAGACCCATAAAGTCGATAACAGGCCTGAAGTAAGTGCAAACAGTAGATTGTATTCCTCTCTTTACTGGGTTTTGGAACCTTTCTAATACAGTTGTACCCTGAAAGTGTAAACTAATGCACTGCTGCTCACAGGTGAGGATGCAATCTCATATGGAGATGCTGTTATTCAAGAAGAGATGGGAAAACGCAGTAGTGCATGACAAATGTTGGTTTGATCCATATCAGTCCCCAGTAAACCATACAACCAAGTGGTGACTTCATCCGGAGGTGCTGCTGCAGCCTGCAAGAGAAGCGTGTGTATATACATATTGTGGAGCTCCAAGGAGAGGGGTTCGAGTTTGTCAGCACGGGTATTTATGGTAGTGTGATTGGATTCCAGGTCTTGAAGCAGCTGATTTTAATCTGATGACGGAGGCGGGGAATGCCATTGGAACGAGTGTCTGCAGAATGGCAACTGGTAATGCGGAGGAGAGGGGTGTGTGCATAGTTTTGGTTGGGTTGGGTGTGTTCAATTATTCACCATTCTTTGGTTTGTAGATGTGCAACTTCTTCTTGAGGGGTTTCTGTGCTCTGCTTGTAAGCTTATTTGGTGGTGGTTTGATGAAAATCAGCTAGTGATTCGAGTTCTTTCGCCTGTCAAGCATAGTCAAGTTTGGTAAACAGTTGCTGGCTCTTCTTACTTTCAAGATGTCCCAAGTGGTCTATGAAAGACAGTAGGAGGGTTGTGAAGATCCACACAAAATGCATCGGCAAAAGAAGCACATAGCTGTGGTTGTGAGCTTGTGGCCAATCTGAATTGATAAATGCTTACGAATCCACCAGGCCAAGTATTAAGCTACTATAAAATGAGGTGTCAAAGCATCTTCCATTTATCCCAATGAGAGTATAAAGGTGCCCAATGCCAAAGAGTAGCATAAGATCTAGTATAACCTTCTCTCAACAACTCGTGTTATTAGGAGCAATTGGTTTATGACATGGTATCAGAATTGGTTTGGCTAAGTGGTTGTATGTTCGAATCTCCATGATCTCCAATATTAACCTTTGATTAAAACAAAAGGTATTGTGATGGCTGTGTAAACTTTAAGCCCATGAGTTGGTTTCCGTTTGAGTGGGCTTGTTAGGGTGGTATAAGTTCCAGCATAATCTTCTCCCGACAACTCGAATTATTGGAACTAACTGGTTTATGACAGTCGAATAGTTATTGGTTGTTTGGATGAATATTTTTAATAAATCAATTTGACCCAATTATATTGTTTTGAGACAATATGGTCAAATTGTTTCGTTTGGTCGCACAAAATTTAGATGAAACAATTCTGTTTGGGGAATTTCAAATTGACTCCTTTTGAAACAATTACAAATGTTTTAGGTGGGGGCAAACAATTCGAATTGACTCATTTTAAATTACTCATTTCGTAAAACGAAACAATTGGCAAAATTTTATCTCGTTTTTCAATTGATCCATCCAAATGATTCCTTATGAGAATAGCTAAGACTTGTATATAGGAAGACCAAATGTTGTGTAGGCCTGTAGGGGTGGCAAAAATATTCACCAACATGGTGAACCATCCCACCCCGACTTGATCAAGAAAGGTAAAACTTAGAGTTAAATATTAGATCAAAAATATTCACCAATGAATTCTTATTCTTCTATATTTCTCATAATATTGACTATTTATCCTTATAATTGTAACATTTTCACTTGTATTATAGATATATACATTTAGATGAAGTAATAATAAAAACCATTCTTCATAAATAATCGAAACCCAAACAAAGTATAAATATTATTTTTATTTACTATCCGAATATTGTACAAATACTAGTATGAATAAAATCTGAACTATTAATGATAGGGCAAAAAATATTCTGCAACTGCAAGGAATCATAAAAGTGTACTAGTGTGGGTCCCGGCCAGTTGGCCGGAGGAATGTGAGGTATGAAATTTGATAATGCAATGGGTGTATAGCTTATTATTGCATAGTTTTTTTTTTGGAAACTCGTGATAAAAATAGTGAATTTTAGTAGGAAAGAGACATGAATGATGCAATGAATCAAAAATCGGTCTTATGAACCAAAATCAAGTACATGTTACCTTGTGGAACAATATTGTTTCTGGTAATATGATGAGGTGGAGTAAGTTTTATAGAAACCGAATTCCAGAAAACTTTCATCTTGTCGATTTTCCGTCGATTTTCGGGAAATGGGCATCTCACAATGGTTGCTAGCTTTTATTCGGCCCGTTGGTTGATTAATTTGCTTTATAAAACTTTCATCGTGTCGTCATTGTGCTTTCTGGTTTTTGTTAGGCCATGATAAAATCTAAGGAAATCAAGAACGAACAACACGATTTGGGATAGGAACCGCCGTTGTCGTATCCCTAGAAAATGGTCGTAAACACCGACTCACCTGCCAATCTGGTTTGGATTGAGATTTTTATCGGGTATCAGGGAACCATGTGATTATAAATTAGACTTGATCAAAACGGGCCAAAACTTGAAATTCAGCATTTTTGACCGACTCATGCCAAATTCTAATTATTCTTTACTTTTAAACTTTCTATTTGAAAATAAAAAATAGTGAAAGAAAAGAGATGACTGCAATTCGTCATTTGCACATCACTTATTCGGGAATAAAACCATAAAAATTCAAAAGGAACTGAAAATGTTTAGGATCGTTTTAATGTTTAAAATAGCCAAATAGATTGTTATGTTTAGTTTTTTACTAACAAATATCAAACGATTCCCTATAAAATACACTATAATTTGATCATTATGATATCAAATAATTATATAATATATATTTGAAATGATAATAATTGGACTAATTGGGTTGGTTGAGGTTGAACCATTGAATAACTTTAAAATACATTATATTTTAGCCACTAAGATATAAAATAATAGCATAATATATATTATGCTAGAGAAAATAGCTTGTTTTAGAATGACAAACCAATGATGTTCATTTGTTTTACTTGATGGCCAAATCCCGTGTAGATCAGGCTCATTCAACTCTTTTATTTTATGGTTAGCGGTTAGCCCATTAGATACCATGCATTAGTTTATTGTTAATTTTTTTATTTTTAGCAATAAAAAGGAGTATTGTTTTTGTCTTTTCATATATATTTTTATCACCACGGAGAAATAAAAGGGCTTAAAGAAAAAAATTGACACTCTTTGACCCGTTTAAATCCGCATGTGTACGGTAAGTTGGCCCGTTCCACAGAGAAAGAGAAAAAAATTGACACTCCCTATTCTACCCTTCCTACAAACGCTCCTGGAGCAAGGAATTTGAAATGGGGGAAGAGTTTTTTCCTCCCTGCTATTATATGTTTTTTATTTAAAAAGATACAACAAACGTACTTAGTGTGATTGGTTATGATCATTGCTTTTCTTTAAAATGGACATGGTTCGAATCCCAATAAGTGTTTTTTTAATGAATAAAAAAAAGTAATTGTGAAGACTAAAATGTCCTTCCTACTTTCACTCTCGTTGCAGGAAATTTGAAATGGGGCTCCCGATTTTTCCTTCGGTGTAATATATTATGTGTAGATGGTTCAAAGCCATTCCTTGATTCGCTAGGGTTTAAGCAAATTGAGGGTTTAAGCCTTTAAGGCTTTAAGCACATTTCAATTTTCAACATTGTCCTTCCTCGCAGCTAATTCTCGCCTGTTTGGGGAGCTATAAGCCTAAAACCCTCCCACTCCCTCTCTGCTCTTCCACAATCCCGCACCAGGGATTCCAGCGAAAGAATGTATCTTTATCGTCTCCTCCGTCGACCCTCTTCCTCTTACACCTTCCCCGCCGCCGTAGCACAACCTTTGATCCGAGCACTACACCACCTCAGCTCCCCGCCCGCCATTTCTCAGCCACTGAGCACACCCGCTGCTCAACATTCAATCCCTTCATCACGACGGACCTTCGCGTTCTCCTCCGCGGAAGAAGCAGCAGCCGAACGCCGGCGGCGGAAGCGCCGCCTCCGTATCGAACCTCCTCTTCACGCTCTTCAGCGGAACCCTAACCCTCCCCCTCGGGACCCGAACGCGCCCCGCCTACCGGATACCACCTCCGCTCTGGTCGGCCCTCGGCTCAGCCTGCACAACAAGGTTCAGTCACTTATTCGAGCTTTCGATCTTGATGCTGCTTCCTACCTCGCTCGCACCTCCATTTTCTCCAGAACTCGCCCCACCGTCTTCACCTGTAATGCCATTATAGCTGCTATGTACCGGTCCAAACGGTAAAGTTTTGAGAATTTTCCCTGCTGCTGTTGGTTCGTTACAATAAAATTGGTAATGGTGTGTTGTAATTCCTGCAACCCTTCAATTGTTTTGTAGGTATGATGATGCTATTGCATTGTTTAAATACTTCTACGAGCAAAATGATGTAGTGCCTAATGTTGTTTCGTATAATAATTTGATCAACGCCTACTGTGATCAAGGGAGAGTTGATACAGGGCTTGAGGTTTACAGGCATATAATTGAAAATGCACCATTTAGTCCTTCCCCGGTGACTTATAGGCATTTGACAAAAGGTTTGATCGATGTGGGGAGAATTGAGGAAGCGGTTGACATGTTGAGAGAGATGTTGACGAGGGGTCATGGAGCCGACTCGTTGGTGTTTAATAACGTGATTAAGGGGTTCTTGGAGCTGGGTAATTTGGACAAGGCAAATGAGTTCTTCGATGAGTTGAAGCAGAGGTGCTTGGTGTATGATGGGGTGGTTAGTGCCACTTTTATGGATTGGTGGTTTAAGCAGGGAAATGACAGTGAGGCCATGGAGAGTTACAGGTCATTGAAGTTGAAAAAATTTAGAATGGTGCCTGCTACATGTAACGTGCTTCTTGAGGTTTTGCTTCGGTATGGCAAAAAGGAGGCAGCTTTGGAGTTGTTTGAGGAAATGTTAGACAATCATACACCACCAACATTCCAAGCCGTGGATGCCGAGACTTTTAATTTAATGGTGAATGAGTGTTTTAAAGAAGGCAAATTTGCTGAGGCAGTTGATACCTTCACGAAGGCTGGTACAAATCCCAAATCAAGGCCTTTTACGATGACTGTGCCTGGTTTCAACAACATTATTATGAGATTCGCGGAGAACGGGATGATGACGGAAGCTGAGCAATATTTTACAACATTGATGTCCAGGTCCTTGGCCCCAGATGTCACGAGTTTCAAGATATTGATTGAGGCATATCTGAAGCTGGAACGGTTTGACGATGCCCTTAGGATCTTTGATAGAATGGTTGAATCAGGCTTATGGGTGGTTGCTGGTTTTGGTACAAGAGTTTTTAGCGAGCTTATTAAAAATGGTAAAGCAGTGGAATCTACAAAGATTATGATAAATTTGGGGATGAAGACGGCCGAGAGAATGGCAGACAGAGATATAAAACCCGACCATATGGTTTATGATGCAGTGGTTAGGGGACTTTGTGATGCTGGAGAATTAGATGGCAGCAGAGATGTTCTGGACCAAATGATGGCATTTGGTGTTGGTTTGCATCCTTCCTTGAAGGAATTTGCACTGAAGGCATTTGAAGATGCTGGACGTGGTGAAGAAATTAAGAAACTTCTGGATGAAAATCAATACAGGAATACCTCAAGACCTCCTCCTTTCATGGCTAAGCAACTTCAATCACCATTTGGAGCTTCTCAATTTGCGAGCGAACAACAATCCTTGGAGCCATCTTCAGTAGGTGGACAGTCAATATTAGGTCAGCCGCGATACCAGCAAGGAGGATTCCCAGCACCATCATCAAGTTATAATAGCCCAGGGCAGCCAGTGTCTGGTTCTTTCGGAACCACTGGACAACAAACTTCATATGCTTCTCAGCCACCATCATCAGTATCATCAATGGGAGGACAAATAGTAAGTCCCCATGGTACGACAGGTCAGCAACCTTCAGTATCTAATGCATCAGAACAGCCTTTGTGGTCTAGTGGAGTAGAAGGACAACAGTCATCCTGGTCACCTCATGTACAAAGGCAACAGTCATCATCATGGTCCTTGCCAGGGCAGGGGCAGGGGCAGCCACCAGCATGGTCATCTCCCACACAAGTTCAGCAAACATCTTGGTCAGCTACAACACAAGGACAACAGCCATCATCATGGTCCTTGCCAGGGCAGGGGCAGCCACCATCAAGGTCATCTCCCACGCAAGTTCAGCAAACATTTTGGTCAGCTACAGCACAAGGGCAGGGGCAGCCACCAGCATGGTCATCTCCCACACAAGTTCAGCAAAAATCTTGGTCAGCTACAGCACAAGGACAACAGCCGTCATCACGGTCCTTGCCAGGGCAGGAGCAGCCACCATCGTGGTCATCTCCCACACAAGTTCAGCAAACATCTTGGTCAGCTACAGCGCAAGGGCAGGGTCAGCCACCATCATGGTCATCTCCCACACAAGTTCAGCAAAAATCTTGGTCAGCTACAGCACAAGGACAACAGCCATTATCACGGTCCTTGCCAGGGCAGGGGCAGCCTCCATCCTGGTCATCTCCCACACAAGTTCAGCAAACATCTTGGTCAGCTACAACACAAGGGCAACAGCCATCATCATGGTCCTCGCCAGGGCAAGGGCAGGGGCAGCCAGCATCATGGTCGACTCCAGCACAAGGGCAGCTGTCATCCAGTCCTCCGGTGCAAGGACAACATCTGTCATGGTCATCTTCGATTGAAGGGTTGAAATCATCTTCTCAGACGTCTCATACTGGAGGGCCATCATCATATTGGTCCTCTCCAGATGCAGGGCAGCAGCAGCAATCATCATGGTCCTCTCCAAGACAACAGTCATCGAGCACACCAGATACAGCCATTACTTATGAATATGCTTCTTCACAGTCTGCTAGGAGAAATTCTGAATATGGATCTTCTTTCAACTCGTCACCTGCAGCAGGCAACCATCATCCTCATGGACACTCTCACTTATCAGGACAGGACCGATGGCAAGACAACCAACAACGGGTAAGAGCTTGGTACCATGATTGGATGTGTAGACTTCTCATATTCTATTGGTTAGTCCACTTATAGGCAGCTCTGTTATTATCCATGTAATACATGGAACATCTCCTTTAGTGATGGCAAATCGATTTACAAATTGGCCAATTCCCAACTCAAGAAGTTCTTATTTCATTATTTGTTTTTCTTTTCCAAGGCATCTCTAACCAGCTATTCTATTTTCTGCACTTTCAGTTGGTACAGAGAGAATGTTTTTGTTGCTAGTTATGTATGTGTGGTTGACTGCCCAACTCTTAAGAATGCCTCAGTTTCATTTTATTTTTTGCTCTTGTTCTAGTTTGATCCAATGGCGAGACAGCAGCAAAATGGGTTCCCAGAGACTGCTAGGCGCTATCCGCAACCACCTCAATGGCAAGCCAGCCACCAAACCACTGGACAGCCTCGCCCGGCAGGACGAGACCAATGGCAAGATAATCAACAAGTAACAAACTGCTGCCTTCATTTTATCGCTAGTCATCTTCTCATTCTTCAATGCTGAAATCATCACTGTCACAGTACTCATGCATGCGTACCATAACAACTCGATTTGTTCTAAGGAACCATTTTTCAAAATGGTCGAATAATCTAATCCATTATAATCAATCACTCACTACGTCATGCTCTCCTAACTACATCGAACCAAACACACCCAAAATAGAATGAGTGAACATAATGGATTTGTGTACAATCTATTGCCATAGCTGGACCTAATAGTCGAATTCCTCACTGTATCTAATACTTTTGCACTTGTTACAGTTTAATCCAACGACGGAGCAACAACAGAGTGGACCCCCGGAGGTTTCAGAGAATGGCCATTCGCAGCCAGCAGCTCCATGGCAAGACTACAACCAGCGTGCCACAGCTTGATTCTTCGGTACAATTGACCTTTCTATGATCACAGTACACACTATTGACTCAAGTTTTGGCTTCTGAGTATGTCCCTGGAAGGTCCCCGGTCATTGCCAACACTAAGAGATGTACTCCCTTGACCGCTCGCTGAAACTGCAATATGATTTATTGCAATGTCTTACAGGATATGGATGAACTGCTGTTGCTATTGAGAGACTGACCATATAATGTATATTGAGAACGACTCAATTCTTGGCAAATTTTGATTTGCAAACTCTTGGTTGGTGGATCATATTATCATAATAGGTTATTGTGTATCAGATTTTCATTTTTTGGGTCCTTTGTCTGCTCTTCTCTAGGGAATAGGATAATAAGAGAAGTGAACTCTTGTGCTTGGTCACAATCCACGTTGACCATCAAGCCATAATCAAGCGCACTTCATGTCTTCAAAGTCCAACCATATGGGTATTGTGATATTTACTTTCAACCTGCACCTTAGTAACTATATACTAACTTGCCTATCGACATCATATATCTTATCTGCAAAATATGCAGCCATGTTGTATAGTCGCCAAAGCTTATGAATACTTCATTAACATGTACTCAATGATAGGAGAATGGCCATGAACTCATCAACATGAACATGATGGTGCGGTTTCGCTCATTAGAGTGTTAACATATCATTCTTCAGTCCTGTGTTGTATGTACCGAAATGAGGATCGGTTTATTCAATTTCTACCCTCAATGCTTGTACATCATTTTACGGTTGACAACAACACCAACTAATCTCTTTTAATTGCACTAAGCGATACATGACTTGTCACAAAGTGAGCTCTATTCTATTCTCATGGTGATTAGGGCTGCAAATGAGCCGAGCTGAGTCGAGTTTTACCCCAACTTGAGCTTGACTCGTTAACAAATGAGCCGAGCTCGAGCCCGAGCCATTTATTAACGAGCCGAGTCGAGTTCGAGCTAGGCTTGTTTTCTAAATTCTTAGATCGTATTTGATACATTCATTTTGTATGTCATGTATGGTACATGTGATTGATGTAGCGATAAAAAAATAATCAAATGTTCAACATTAATTAATCTTATATTATAATTTTTTGGTATCGTATTGTTTAGTTAATAAAATTTTAACTAGTTCAAATCATGTTATTTCATAGTATCGAAACAATTTTGTACATAATTTCTTTATAGAATTAAAAATAAGCCATATTTTCTTACATGTTCAACATGTTAAACTTCACATGATGTGAGATATATAATTTAACAATCCTATGAATTATGAAAGTCCAAATTAGATCGATTAGTCCATAAGTCGGTGATCAAGTTGACCCTCAAACCACAATGGTGAGACATCCCATGAGCTCTAAATGAGCCAACTCACGAGTTGAGCTCAACAAGCCACCGAGTCGAGCTAGCTCGCGAGCTTCACGAGCTGAACAAAGCTAAGCTCAAACTTGGCTCATCAGTAAACGAATCGAGTTTCGAACGAGTTTTTCCCGATTCGAGCCTCGAGTTGCTCGCGAGTACCTTGGCTCATTTACAGCCCTAATGGTGATCGAATAATTAGAGAAAATTACTTCATTTGCAATATGGGCCCGATCTGAATATTTTATTGTGGCTGGACAACCAAGAACCGTTATTCAGTATCGGCCCATTAAGTAGACCAACACTAAGGTTTGGGTCCTTGAAAGTTGAAACGGGAATAAATGGAAGAGTCCAGATCCATGTGAAATTTTATTTCAATATAAAACAAGGAAATTATTTTAATATAAATCGAAAAACTAAAATATTTAGTGAACATTACAAAACCCTAGTGCGGCCGTCTATCTTCACTCCTTTGTCGCCCGTAGAAGAAGTCTTTCCACACTATCTCTGCTTGTGCTGCTTTGTCGAAGAACGCTCGGCCTCCAAAGCAAGTCCTTCTATCTCTTCCTCCTTTCCTGAAATTTCCTTGCAGTTCGATCTTAGTTTCTACCGGATTTCTGCTAATGGGACTGATTTCTCAGTTCTATTAGAGCTTTTTCCATATCTCTGAATGTTTTCTATGTTTTTTTTAGATCTGTGATCAGCGAGGCTACGTTTTTTCGGCTGGCAACAATGGCTCTGGTAAGTTGAGCTTTTGAGTTGTGATGGGTGATTAGTTCTGGATGGTTCAGATTTGTCTTTTTTTGCTTTACACCGTTCTATTTCATTGTTAGACCGTTCCTAGGGTTTGTCACCAACTTAAAGTTTGCTGCTTTCTGTGAGATTACTAGTTTATGAATCAATCATGGCTTTGGATTTGAAGTTTGATTTTCATTATTCTGAGTTCTTACTATGTGGGGTTTTTAAGTAGTCCTACCGGCAGAACTAAGATTTATATTTCATCGCCAAGGAGACAATTATAGTTTGATCAATTGTACTTTTGGGTCATCGCTTTTGTGCAGAAATTGTATGCAGGGTATCCAGGAAACAAAAATGCAAACAAGGCTCGTATTGCTGCTGAGTACTCTGGTGTGAAGATTTCTATGGTTGACAATTTTGAGATGGGTGTCACAAACAAGACTCCTGAATTTCTCAAGATGAACCCCATTGGAAAAGTAAGTGGCTCTTGGGTTGTTATTGCATATATCACTTGAGAATTCTGATCATTATGTAGATTCTTATAAAGATTTGTGATTGTTGTTCCAGATTCCAGTCCTCGAGACACCCGAGGGTGCTGTTTTTGAGAGCAATGCAATTGCTCGATATGGTGAGAGAGTAATCTTCTGACTCTTGTATGTTTTTTTAATTATATTTTGGATATTTTTCTAACCGTTAGTTTGTTGATGAAGTTGCCAAGTTGAAGGCGGACAATCCTCTCTTTGGTTCTACTACAATTGAATATGTAAGCCATTTCTTTGTTTCCCCATATTCACATGGTTTCTTTCACACTCAGCTTTACATAACTGAGTGTATAAATTCAAATCTTTGAAATTTACAGGGCCAGATTGAACAATGGATTGACTTCTCATCTTTGGAGATTGATGCCCCCCTCTTGAGTTACTTTAAAGCTAGGATGGGATGGACTCCTTATTTCCCCGCTGTAAGTTGCTTGCCTTTCTGCTTTTACTTCCGAAAATGATGAACTTTCTGCTTATTAGACTCATAACCTCAGCCCATTTGATTATGATGCAATCAATTTTTCTCGTAATTCAATTTGGCTGTTCTGTGAAAACTAATGTCAGCTTATTGTTTTTCCAACTGTTTTAAATGTCCCTTATAATCTCTCAATGAAGGTTGAGGAAGCTACACTTGCTGACTTGAAGAGAGGTCTCGGAGCATTGAACACCCATCTTGCCTCAAACACCTATGTGGTCGGGGACTCCATCACTTTAGCTGACATTGTCGTGGCATGTAATCTGTACTTGGGATTTGCCAGACTCTTGCCCAAGACCTTTACCTCTGAATTCCCTCATGTTGAGAGATACTTCTGGACACTCGTTAATCAACCAAATTTTAAGAAAATTCTTGGTGATGTCAAGCAAACAGATTCTTTCCCACCTATTGAGTCTGCAAAGAAACCTGGTCAGCAAAAGGAGAAGGCAAAGTCCAAGGAAGCACCAAAGAAAGAAGTGAAAAAGGAGGAGCCTGCTAAGCCCGCAGCTGCCGAGGCAGAAGAAGAGGCACCAAAGCCTAAAGCCAAGAACCCTCTTGATTTGCTGCCTCCGAGCAAGATGATTTTGGATGACTGGAAGAGGCTCTACTCCAACACCAAGTCCAACTTCCGTGAGGTGGCAATTAAAGGTATTATGCTTATTCCTTTGTTTGCACATGCAGCCTTAACCACTTGATTACTCTTCATATTATCACCTAAAGTAGCATTCGTCCTAAACCCGACAATTTTCTTAACATAAACTTCTACCCATTATGGTTAATACTCATTGATTGTTTTGTCTTTGCTATAGGCTTCTGGGACATGTATGACCCTGAGGGCTATTCACTATGGTTCTGTGACTACAAGTACAATGACGAGAACACCGTCTCATTCGTCACCTTGAACAAGGTCGGCGGGTTTCTCCAAAGGATGGATTTGGCCAGGAAGTATGCGTTTGGTAAAATGCTGATCATCGGTGGACAGCCACCCTTCAAGGTGAAGGGGCTGTGGCTCTTCCGCGGTCAAGAAATCCCTCAGTTCATCATTGATGAGTGCTATGACATGGAGCTCTACGAGTGGAAGAAGGTAGACATCACCGATGAAGCCCAGAAGGAGCGTGCCAGCCAGATGATTGAAGACTTCGAGCCATTCGAGGGAGAGCCTCTGTTGGACGCCAAGTGCTTCAAATAGAAAGTGAATCAAATCAAATGCATCAAACTCTTCTTAATTTAAGTCTTGTTGGGGTTGACCCTAGTTCTTTTGTAGTGAAGTGAGTTTTGTTTGTTTTGTTCTAAGCATTTCCTTTTGCTGTCATATGAACGGCTGTTGTTTTGAAACTTGAATCATATAGCTCAGCAACTTTTGACGACTCTTACAATGGTTGTTATATATTCATGGGATTGTCGGTTGACTAAGGGCTGTGTTCATCTCCATCTGTCTGTGTCATTAGATTTCGTGGGTGAGGTAACAAGATTGCTGATATAGTGAGTTCACCTTTTCGTCAAAGCTCTCTTGTAGGCTCTCCAAACTAATCACATCGACGAAGGTGGTCAGATGCTAATAATAATAATGTTTTTAATCCAAATCTGTAGGTTAATAATTTTGATCCAAATTTTCGCAATTGGGTAACTAAAGTAGTGACAGTATCGATCGAGAATCATATCACGTTATCAACAATTTTCTTTTAGAGCTAATCGGATTAATTACCCTGTATCGTTCGGTATCCCTATTAAGGTTGCACAATTTTTACATGTCAATCCATTATTGTCTTGATAGGCAATTACGTTGTATCAATTATGTTCAGTTATTAAGAGCTCGTTATCATTTTTAATTTAATGAACAACTATATGCATTAATGTTATGTTTCCGATGAACCCAAATAATTATAATTTGAGATATGTCTAATTCAAGCTTGTTCAGTTTAAAAATGAGGACTACGACACTGCCCTTGCAATATGGTTACCGTTATGGTCTCATCTAAGTAAGATTTTAAATAACACATGTGGTGCATAACTTATACGTAACATAATAAAATGTCACTCATAATTCTAAGGATACCGATCGTTACAATTTAATACCGAAATAACGATGAAACTATTATATAAACCCGTTGAATCAAATCATACATGTTTGGATGTTTTTTCTATTCATCTTTCTTTTAGAAAAACACACTCTCCCAATCTCTTTTTTAGATCTATCATCTACGTACTATAAGTTGCCATCTGAGTTTTGGCCAACTGGATGACATGGCTGTCCTTACAGTAGGTAGGTCATAAAACTGTATAGACAAACTAATGTTACAAGAGGGTGAAAAACCGATGAAAAGCAAACAAAGTGGCAGGCAGCAGTCGAATATTACAATTCAAACCGAAGGAAGCCATTGACAAGAGTTTCTGTTTCACTTTGCCCATTATAATAAAGAAAGGGAAAGGATTGCTCCCTCAGAACTGGCTGCTTAAGTCGCACGGAAACCGTACGACCCACCGACCGATCAACCAAATCAATCAGCAACGATACTCGACTTCTTTACGGACGGGGGGAGCGAAGAGAAGTGAAACCCACATCGGATTTTGCATTCAGAAGTGAAAATTTTCGCGACAAGCTGTGGTGTGCTGTGGTGGGTTCTTTCTTTCAGTATTTCAAGGAGCAGCGGCAGCCGGCGACGGCAGAGAGAGGGATGAGAGGAATCGCAAGAAGCAGATCGGCTTTTCCTTGGCGTTTCCTCTTCTTTTTCACTGCCGCCTCTCTCCAGTTTCTCTCGGGTTCGTCTCTCCCGGATCTCTTTCTCCCCATCTTTCTAACTTCTGCAAAGCTTCAATCTTTTCGTCCTTGATCCTCCCTTTCCATTAGGTTCGATGAATTTCTGCTGCAAGTTTGTTCCACGATTCCGTTATCAATTTCCATTTTAGCTCGGTGATTCATAACTGCGCTTTGAAATTAATTGTCATGAGTTAGCTCACCCATTTTGATCTTCGGCTTCTGTGAATTTCCAAGCTTCAGTTCTTTTGGAATGGGGGGTGGACTACTGCGGTGCAGATCAAGAACATTAGGGATTAGGTTAGAGGTTAAGAGGTCTGAAGATCTTTTTATTTATTGTGGGTAATATGTACGATAAGGGTTTCACTTTGGTCTAGTGGCAGCCTACTTACATGGCCTCGAATTGGTCAGTTGAAGCTGTGCTTAGTTGATGATTTCTGTGAGTTTTAGGTGTTAGTTTTCATCAGTTTTATTTGACCCCGGTGGATTGGTTTTGCTGACGATCGATAAGAGAGTTGTAGCTCTCAGTCTTTTGTCCACATTATTGAAAGTTTTCTCGCTGTGGTTCGCCGTGCAGGCTTATGTGACGACCCATCTAGCACAAAAGATAATGCAAAGAAAGCTGATTCTGGTGGCAATAATGGCCGTAAGATTATCTTCATACTCATAGGGATAGTGGCAGTTGGTTTGCTTTCATTCGGCCTTTTCAAGTTCTGGCAAAAGAAGAAAAGAGAAGAGCAGTATGCCCGTCTCCTAAAGTTGTTTGAAGAGGATGATGAGCTGGAGGTTGAACTTGGCCTCAGAGATTGACACTCATAGTTCTCTTCGTAATGGAGTCAATTGTTGTTGAGGTACGTGTATCTCTTTCAAAATCCTAACTGACACGAAGTATGCGTCGCTTCCCTGTTTCCCCTTATTTCCCTACTTGGAATGTAGATTCAGGAGTGGAACTTTAGTTTAGATGATTATTCGCAACTACGTGGAAACATATATAGGGGAAGCATCCATTTCCTTCTACACCGTCCTGACCTTGTCCTTGTGTGAAGTTTGAAAGTTGCCGAAATTTGTTCCTTGTTATAGGGTCAAATGCTGCTGAATTTGTTGAGGGGTCTGTAGCTGTTGTTATGGAAAGTGGATTCTGGATTGGATCATTAGTGGTAGATGAGAATCTGCAACTATGCGGAAACACACATCTTTGGGATCAATCCATGTCCTTCTATGCCCTTCCAGACCTGGTCTTTTGCTGAATCTTGAAAGTTGCTGAAATTTGATCCTGGTTATGGTGAATGTGAAAGATGCAGATTATTTGTTGGGGTGTTTGTGGCTGAAGTTTCCATGGAAAGTAGAATACAGAGTGCAACATTAGTTGTTGGTCAGAAATTTGCATTCACATTTGGGATCTATCCATTTCCTTCTACGCATGTGAGACCCCCGTCTAACTGAAGCTTGCAAGAATGGTTTGTACGGTCAGTTAGAGAACTGCAGTTCCGGTCTGCACGAGTGGATAGTCTTTGTTGCAGCATATTTTTAATCTGGTTTAACTCTAGATAGAGAGTTCCATTGCCATAACCAATTCCACAATTGTCATTGTGCATAAAGCTGTGCATGGTTATAGATTTCGTAATGGTGCAAATGAACATAATTCTGAGAGCTACTGGTCGTTTGCCTAGAGTATGTCTCTGTCACTACCATGACTGCATGCCCTGAAGTCTAGCGTTTAGCCAGATATAGCTCTGCTATTCCAAGCATGTCAAAACCCTCACCCCACCCACTGCATATTTTTGCAGGTTTCACAAATGGGATTGGCATTAGGGACACGGTGGTTCCTTCTGCTGGATCGCAACACCCCTACTTGAAGATACTTTGCTTCCAAGGCAGACGCTTTTGCAATTACGGCCTTCATAATATTTACTAGTGATTATGTCGAGATGAAAATCATGATATCAAAATTCTTTCAGATCCTTGTAGTGAGAGGAAAAGAGAAAAGTATAATACTCAGGTTTGCACAGAATGTAATGAGCATTCTCATATAGGGTTTTTGTATGATTCAAGAGCTTTGCTATCATCTTGTTTTCCCTGTTCTTCTGGTACTGCCACTGGACAACCTGGGGAGCTCTGTTTTTCCCTTGAACTGCATCGCTCGCTGTCTAGAGTTCAAGCCATGTGCAAAATGTGGGAATTTAACTCTTTTTACTGTTTGAACCAGTTCAAGAACTGAAGCTCCTTTCTTAGGTCAAAGCTGGGCTTCATTAGCTGTACTTTGATACTTGCACATAACATGAAGACATGAAATTGTGATAGCAAATTCTTGCATTTTTTTCCATATTGTGTTTCTCTCTCTTGAAGGTACAAGGAAACCTAAATTGCTAATCAAGATTAGAACGGAGGTGCCAACAATTTCTGGAGTCGTATTGTAGAAATTGTTAGGAAAAGTTTGTATCCAGTGAATGAACAACACGAAACTGAAAGTCGATAAATGGCCCTGATGTTGGCTTCTCTGAACTTTTGAGAGTCTTAACGACTTAACCTACGACGTTTGTCTAGTTTAATGAAGTACTGATCATACTGTATTTTCTCACCCTCATTACAACATCAAAAACAGGAAGAAGAAAAAACAGCAATAGTTTTGGCTTCCCTAACTTGAGAAAGTGTACAAACTCTCATGACTTTTTCAACAGAAACCAACCTTTAAGTCCATCACAACCATAAGAATAAAGGCAAGTATATGGTGACTAAAACATGTGCCCATTTATAAGGTCATGATGCACATTACATATACTAAGAATTTATTCAAACGAGGCAGAGAATCTACTTCAGAAAATCCAATCAAAGTTTTACATGGCTGGCTGAAGAACAACTAGATATTATGGTCAAAATACAAGTCAGCTTTAGCCAATGAGATTATTACGTTGCAACGTTCAAAGGAATAATACAAGGGAATAATTATAATGGGGGCTATAAGATAAAAAGGGTGGATGGTGAAAACGCATATCAAACAAAACTAATAGTGCAAAACTTATAAGCCATATAGAACCTCTGCCCAAATATCCTTTTTGGCAAACCATCGCAGATCATCATCAACATATGACCAAAAACACTCGGGGAGGAGCTTCAAACTTGTTTCCAAACCATTTCTTATGACACTCCAGCCAGCAGTTCCAACGTTCTTCTCCTTCTTCCTTCCAAGTGTCTGTACTCTGGCCCATCATCATTCCCAAAGGAGTCGCATTCGTTATCAGGTTCTCATAGAGTGTCTGTATTATCTTCCAGTCTTGGCACGTTTCATCCCTGCAGAGTTGAAAGGAGACATGCTTGGGCTCATACTAGGGCTCATGCTAGGGCTTTCCTCCCTTAGTGTACCATTCAGCATTGCCAGCTCCCTCAATTGCTGCTTTTTGTAGTGATCTAAAGACTCATCCTGAGTTAAGGAAAAGGTAGAGAAGCTATTAGTGCAAGATAGGAACCTGCAAGCGAAACGGTATCACCAGAGTGGAATTTTTTCACCAAAAGCGCGTAGTTTGTTGCTGGATCATACCACAGGCCTCAGAAGGCTTTCCAGTATGGTCATTGCATGATCCAAGCGAGCATTTATAATGTTCTCTGGAAACTCAGCCTCCACCAAGACATGAAGTGGCTCATTCAGGTGCTCATACCCTGGTTTATCTTTCAATTTCTCTTCCTGAAAATAAAATGAAGAACAGTGAGACTTTTGATAACATTATTCATATATTTATACTTAAAAAGCACAAATGGCGAAAGTTCCCAATTGTAGCAAACAAGCAACAGCTTCCAGGGCACATCGGTTTATATCATAGATCTCTAATATTCATTTACTTGTAAAATGTCATATGATAAACTCAACCAGTGTAGAGTCTGGGTCATAAAGACATAAACATCGAAACAATCCTCCACAACCAAGGAAATATAACACCGAAAGTCTGAAAGTTGACCGCAAAGGGAGGCACACATCACCATTAAATTAACTTCGGGGAGAGCTATGTTTGGCATCACCTACAATTTGACATGTACTTCCTTCAGCAAATGGGATCAAAGTGGAGCAAAAAATATAGAACACAACAATATTAACACATAATGGCTAGAGGCAATTCTTAGGAGTCAGTCTTCCTGTCCCACCAAAGATGTAAGAACAGGGGAAAAAGTTAAATTTAACCTTCAGAATTGGAGGGAGACAAAAGCTTTGTTTCAAGTGTCATATTAAGCATAGTACTGCTACTGCTTCACAATGATTCACAGCTTTATGGAGGGGTTTCTTACCTCAAGTAGGTAATTCTAACCCCATCCGACTAGCAACGGGTTGAGTTCCAAGCAGCCCAATCAGAGTTACTTATCCTATTTTCAAAGCTTGGATATATCTTTTGCTTAGCAGGTGTATCACCCTAGTAGATTTTGAAGACCATATGAACTGGCCTTTCAACATGCAAATAAGGCATATATGGTAAAAAATTATGAAGGCGTGAAATTCTAGGCAAAATAGAATCTAGGTTTAAAACAAATGGAAATAGACAAGAAACAGTTCAATTGGAGAGCATGAAGTTGGAACTGCCATATGGCTTCAAGGAATGAAACAGTCAAATTTGTGCTCAGCACCACTGAAACCAACCAAAAATGGAAATGAACTGAAGACGGCGTTGAATGATACCTTGAGAGAGTCCTTTACTGACCCCTTGCCTCTTATATAGACCCTGCACTCTGTCAAGGCTTCAACTCTTTTCAAGGAGTTCCCGCGAGGTCCCAATATTCGACCAACAAAATTGTACTGGAAAAAAAAAGCTTTGAATTAGAAAATTATAACTAGCATATCCAATTCAGCAACCTTGTTTAAAGCATATCTCACTTACATTGGGATATTTGTCAACTGGAACATCAAGTCTAATTACTCTCTTTACAACAGGTGTTGTGGGAATTCCAGGGACTGCAGGCCAACCAATTGAAGCAGCTTGTAATGAAGCCATTTTCTGGAGATGCCCATTTTCCTGCAGGAGATACGTAATTAAAATCGTGTGAATTTCCATCAAGTAACTTGAAAAGTTGAAACAAACAATACCACTAAACATGAGGTCAAGCTAGATAGTAGCTTCTGCCTCTTCAATGATCTTAGAGTGCCAAATGAGGATGTTTGTTTTTACATGATACTCGATTCTTATTGAATGTATGCATGCAGAAAATAAATTTGAGGACAAAAAATTACTAACAAGATCAAACTCCCATTCACTCGTTTCCCCCCTTTTTTCAGGCTGTAAGATTAGAGCTTCTCGCCGTTCAAGTCAGATTTGAAGTTAATCAGACATTAGTCAGCGATCACATTGAAGTGTTATGATAATAAGATCTAAACATGAAAAAAGAGCTTACTGTTCCATGGCTCTAGGCATGTTTTTTTTTTCTTTTTTGGTGGGACTATCTAGAAGATTTCAATGTTGCCAGTCATTAGTCACTACTGCCATCATATTGCAACTTGTAACAAGCTATAACTAGCTCGAAATGTTTATAAACTTCACCCGCTCCATAGATTGTCTTCATTTCTGAATCATCTTCTTAGATTTGACTTCAACAGTTATTAAACAAAGAACAGATCAAATAAAATCTAGATCGATGATGAGTTCCTACATCAAGCAAGCAACACCCACAAAATTTACCTTGCATCGGCATTTAGTCTCCCTATGCTAGATCAGAATTAACAACGAACAAGGGTTTGGTCTAGTGGTAATACCACTAGCCTTGAACCTAGATTTCTCAGGTTCGAATCCCTTAAGTAGTGCCTTAATAACAAAAGAGTAAAATCCATATCACCCTTATAAGAAAAAGATCAGAATTAACATTTCACAACCATTCTTGACAGCATCCAGTAACTAACCCATCGGTAGAATACCATTCTCGGCCTCCACTTCTCCCCGTAAAGAAAAGGTCATCAATCAAGTGACTTACTCGAGAGACCATGACAGGACAACAAAACAGACTCCAATAGCAAATGGTTAAATTTGAACACTGTTAGGTAAGTAGACGACCAGGACCATACACTGCACATACGAAACTGTAGAATTTCACTACCTCTGTTTGCATAGCAGACCATGCTTCCAAATCCATTGTCCTTCCATTAGGATGTTGACCTAATGACCTAAATGGACTATCGTGCTCATATCTTTCATGCTCTCCAAAACCCTGATTGAAACTTGATACTCGCCTGATCTCTGCAGTTATGTTAGTGTACAAGAGAAGCATATAAGCATTCAACAAGAACCCTTGTAAGCGGTTAACAGTATCTTTGTTATGTTAATCTAGTACATTAGCAGTAGTCAGCAATAGTTAAAGAGTCAAACCAATACAATCACACATCTAGTAGTTAATTAGGGGTTAGACAAGAACATCCAGCGTGGTTGAATGCAAGAAGTTGTGTCTATCTTAGCAACCATCCTAAGATTTATTTGACAGATTTCTCACTTCCACTAAAAAGGAAAGAGTACATCAATATGCCGATTTTCTCGCTGCAGAACATGTGTTTCCTCGAAATTGAAACAGAAAAATAGATATATGGACAGGATACCATGAGATAATCAATCAACAACCACTAGTCTACATACGAGTCATTTACTCAAGTGCAATTCATCATGCACTGACATGTCTGTGATCAACTGCCTATTTAAAGTAAGAGATTGATCATATGATTCAGTAACCTTGATGAAGCAGCCGGCTGCAATGTGGAAGTACTTGTATAAATGGCCCCAATTTTTCCCTCTCCGCTAGTAGTTCAGCCAAGTACCTGCAAGAGAAGTGCTCATGAAATTGACGCATTCCAAACCAGTATAACATTTATTGAACAGAGTAACAAGAAAAAAATTCAAATTTTAAGACAATTGAATACCCAATTCAAGTCATGATGGCCAGAAGCCATTCAAAAGAACAAACAAAACACCGATCACAATGCCATTTCAGACAAGTGCGTTGAAAAATTCACTAAGAACTCAGATTGAATCTCAAAAATCAGGAGAGTAATTCTATTGATTAAGATTTAAGAGGATGACAAACAGCTGAACAAGTATCGCTTGTGAGAGACAAAAAGAGGTAAGGGGCAGGATGCAAAAACAAGCGAGTGAACCTAGCAACATATTAACATACTAAACATTTCCCAGAAGGGAAAGCATCTGCTATTAACAAGAAACAACTATCAATTTCCCACAGCTACTACTCCTCTTGCTAATTCAGCTCTTCCAGACAATGAACAGCATATCTGCCTCTATTTTCACCACAACATCCAAGTAGACTAGAATAACCTACTGGCTACTAGACATGATTAATCCCAAGTTAGTTCACATGAACAGTGACATGTTGCCACCATATAACTATTACAACAACTCCACCGACACAACTCACGGACCCTATCATGGTGGTGGTCGTAGCAATTAGTCAAGCAATCAAAAGTTAGAAATCCAACACCACCAACCAAATCAAGAAACCATCAAAAACTATGACAACAATACGCAATCACAGAAGCAACAAACAATCATAATTTACCATAAAACAAGGAAACTCAAAAGGGTGGATGAAGGATCCAGAAAAGAAGAAGAAAAACTTACCTCTCACGATCTGAAGGAAACGAATTGGCTCTATGAGGAGAAGCATGATGAATCCCAGAAGGTGGGTACTGGAAGAAACTGCCCGGTTGTATTCTCTCACCCATCGCAGACAGCCGCACACACAGGAAGATAGTGTTTTCCTTTCTCTTTCTGCAGGAAATAGGATAACCGGAAGAGGGGAATAAAAACAGAATTAATCAGAACAAAAACAAAGTCAAACCCAGAAAACATACCAAGCAAAAGATTACACCTTTCATCCATACATCCAAAACCCAACAAAATAACAACCGAAATACGACGAGAGAGGACGGAAATACTTACTGGGTATGTGCGGTAGAGGCAGAAAGATAGATAGGAGGAGGAGGAAGAGGAGAAAGAACAATTTAAAAGGGGGAAAAAGAAGAAGAAAGAAGGATGTGGGAGAGATTTTGAGCTGAGGGCAGGGATTCAATAGCCCAAGAGGACTGCTTCTCACAAGCCACTCTGCCCCTTTATTGGTGATTTTGGTGGGTAGCAGTAGTAGTGGTGGAAAGCAAGAGTATGGCGAGAGAGTGTCAATTTGACACCAAAACACCACACAAAAGCAAAACCCTACTCATTCAGGACTCTCTCTTTTTCTCATTTTTTACCATATATTCCATTTTCCATTTGCTTATTTTCCTCCTTGGATCCTTTTTTCGCCTTGCTGTATATATGCCCATATTTGGATCCTTCCTGTTTTGTTTTTTTATTTTGTTTGTACTAATTTATTTTTAGGGTTTACGTTTACACATGAGAGACCAAGTAGTACTACTACCGCTACCATTACTAACCCATTTATTTGGAAAATAAAATAGGAAATAATTAGGTGGGAGAAGGGGGAAATGTGTCAAAAAAGGTGAAAAAAATTGGGGTTTTTTTTTTAGTGGGGATCTTTGGCTGGTCTATGTCAGATTCAAGCTGTCAATTTCTTTAAAATCATACAAAAATGTTGAATGGCTTCAACCAGCCAACAACAATCGGTACCCCATTGATATTTGATACCATTTCCCCCCTTTTTTGTTATTTTTACACAACTACCAGAATGATTCAGTCTGTTGATTGGCATGTATTGTTATGGTAGTTTCAGTTTTGGGTGATTCTGTTGAGGCATAAATAGAATTGGGGGATATATATATATATATATAATTTACAACTTAGTATGAATTTACCATGTATAAAAGTTACTCCTTAGTTTGGTGGTAAATAGAATGTTTTACCGGATAATCGCAATATCGATGTAGGATAATATGGTTGCTTTGCTTGTTGGGTGTTGGTATTGTTGATATTATAATTCAACTTTGCGATGATGACTTTGATAAGCTCTAATGATGCATTTGTATTTACTTCTTTCGAGCAAAGAAAACTTTCAATAAGGACTCTGTTGGTGATTGGTCGATTGAGACCTAGTACGACTCTCAAATCTATAAAATATTTAGTGCATGAAAGTGTCGAGCTTATTTTTACCCTGTGGAATGGGCTTAGGTTTAATCAATGTCATCAGGAGGGTCTAAAGGAAGTACGAGAAAAGTGATTGATAGCCTCTTAGCCGTTGGATCATGTGTTATGATCTATAAGCTACCTTTGGACTTGTCTAGGCATGACATGGCTTGGAATATCTATACACTAGTTGATATAACAAGATTGGATCCTGCATATGAAATGAATGTGTTTAGGAAACTATTTAGAATCTATTGTGAGACAATAAATCTTGAAGTGAATCATACAAGTATATAGTATTTGATTCCCTTACATTATCTCACACACCTCGACGCGTGTGTATTAAATCTTATAGAGAGAAAAAGGTGATGAGCGTATTAATACAATATGTAAGAGAATGAATCATCGAGAAAGCGAGGTATCTAACTCTAAGAGGTGAAGGAGTAAGAACGGTCGATGGAGCTTTGGTTAACAAGACTCGACGCAAGTGTGCCGCTATATTGCATTCATCGCTAGTAGATATCTAACATGCTATATGGCTTATAAATACTTGCTTGTTTTGGGGTTTCATGTGGATTAGGCTAACTTAGCTGTGTGGGGGGTGAGCCTAATGAACTCAATGGTTTTGGGTTCGGGTTAGATTGAGAGTATTGAGACTAACTTATTCAATCCACTCAAGCTCCCTTGACTATGGAAGTTGTATATCTCCAACCCTCTGTGTCTTAGTAATGCATTGATAGAAAAAACTGAAAAATTGTGTTTATGTATCTCAAACCTAAAACATTAAGTAAGTGGATTTGTTTACTCACATTTTGTTCAATTCAATAAGTAGTATGAAGTGAGTGATCTTTTAATGAATCTTACTGAATATCATTAAGCTCAATGAAAAAACTTGTGCGATGTGGATCGAACATAGTATCGAGACAAAACAAAGCAAAACACAACTACATACTATATTGACAAAGTTCACGATACACCTTAACTTACAGTTTGCCGATCATCATAACTCTCAAAATTGCACAAGCCATGGCTAACAATCCATCTTCACTTTTCTTAGCCAACCTAAAGACCCGACTGCATCCTTTCTTCTTCTTGAAAACTGCCACACCAACACACCCAAAACAGGCGACCAACACGCCCCAACACAATAGTTGAATAGTTTGCGAGGACTATGAACACCGCAAACACGAGCTCCTCATCGTTGCGAGTCCAATAATGACTAAACAATCAAAAGACAACACTAATAATCTACTACGAGTATTGACATTCAAACGAAAAATGAGTCCCAGCATCCGTAACACAATAAACACTGATAATCTACAATTGTATCAACACGTTAATACTATAAGCTTACCATGAAGCGAAGGTGAATAAGACCGACGAACTCCAATTTACCACCTTAATTATTATTCTATATATATATTTGCTATGATTTTATACACAACGCCAAAAAGAAAATAAGTAGTTGTGGATGAAACGTTACCGTTTCCAAAAATCAGTTGACAAATTGTAAAGTGGAGCCATCAAGGAATGGTATAAATATGCGAATTCACGCGCTTTTCTTCTTTCGTTACATGCTCTCTCTCTAAAAAGCTTCTTGTAATTGCATGGCGATTCGGTTTTCTTCCTCCCGAGATTAGGGCACCAATTCACTCTCGATCGGAGACACTCCCCAGCTGAAGCAGAGAAGATGTAATTTCCATCGGAATTTGAAGCTCTGATTTCGTTGGAGAAGGAGGAGACTCTTTACTGTATCTTCTGCTCGCGGAGGTTTTGGGATTTCTAGGGTTTGTTTCTTATTCGTTCGGTTACCATTTCTAGGACGTTTGCGAAATTTTCTATTTCTCGGTCTGGGGTAGTAATAGTGAGGCCATGAAAGGTCAGTCTGATAAGACGAAGGTGGTCGTGCGGCGCTTGCCGCCGACGATTTCTCAAGCAGCGCTGAAGGAGCAAATCGATTCCGCATTTGCTGGTCGCTACAGCTGGTTCGCGTTCCGCACCGGCAAGAGCAGGTCAGGGGGTTTCCTTCCCGTAGAATTTTAGGTGAATGATGGCCGTTATTTGCCCTGTTTTGGAACTTATCTTTGCGATTTCTTTTATTTTGCTCTGGTGGTTCGGTGTTCAAGCCGCAGTTATGTACACTCTGATGTGCTTCGATAATTTTACTGGCCCCATTAGTCTTCTAGTATCTTTCTATTGCCTGCTTTTGTTCAAACTGGAGGTGCTGTAGTACAATGTTTGTTGCTGCCCTTATTGCAAATGATGTTTGTTTTCTGGAATTTGTGGAAAGGATATTGAGTTGGACAAACAGGGCGTGGACCTCCTATCTTATTTCCTTTTGATTCGGAGCAAATTTGAGAGCTCTAGATCCATACTGTAGTTGGCACGAACTAATGGGATATCTGGATATTTCGTATCAGTGAAATTTTTGCTTATTAGGATCTCGAAATACCATTCGCAAGGGGACATATGTTTTGCTATGGGCCTTCATATTCATTTGTTGATTTGATGGTTGTGACCAAGAAAGGCTTGAATAAAGGTTACATAGGGTTGAAATCAGATAATTGAATCGGAAGTTATGCGGAAGTTGGTTTTGTGAGTAATCAGTACCACTCCCCCAGTGTAGCCTTTATATTGTTAACGAGATTAGTAGACATGATGAGCTAAACTATTGTTTATGCACCTTAAAGTCCAGCTTGACTAAATCTTTTGTTCTCCATTCAGGGTTGGCATAACTTTGCTGCCTTCTGGGTGCCATTATACAGTTCACTATTGTGTATTGTACTCTTAGTTGTGGCATGTTTGATATGCTTCTATTTGGTTGATTTTACGTACTTCAATGCTAGAGTTGTTTTTTTTTACAGAAGCTTGAGATCTGATCTAGAATGTCTCCTGATGAATTATTCCGAAAATGATTTTGCAGTCAGAAGCATCAATCCTATTCAAGAGCCTACATTGACTTCAAAACACCAGAAGATGTGATTGAGTTTGCTGAGTTCTTTAATGGGCATATGTTTGTTAATGAAAAGGGTAAATCTGGAGCATTTTACTTTAATGCAATGCTTAGCAGGGAGACTCTTAGCCGGTGATAAGAGTAGAATATGTGTGTGTTCCAAATCTCTTAATTGATTAATATATGTGGAAAATCTCTGGATATGTGGAACATTTTGGAAAACCGAAGTGAGATTCGTGCTTCTCTTTACATTTTGATGGATAGAATTGGCAGGACTTTTACAAGGTATATATTGACTGTACTATACAATTCCTTTTCAGGAACCCAGTTTAAAGCTGTCGTTGAGTACGCTCCCTCCCAGCGTGTTCCAAAGCATTTATCTAAAAAGGATGGCCGTGAAGGCACAATATCAAAGGGTATTTCTTCTGAAAATGAATATAGTCTTGCACAGACTTCATTCTCTGTTCGATGTCGCCTGACTTTAGTCTTGTACATAAATGAAACTTTATGATTGTTGGCCATCCAGATCCTGAGTACCTAGAATTCCTTGAAGCTATTTCAAAGCCTGTCGAGAACCTTCCTAGTGCTGAAATTCAACTGGAAAGAAGAGAAGCTGAACGAGCTGGTTAGTTTACTAGATTTTAGTGCAGCACATCTACTATAATGCCCTCTAGTTCTAGTAAAATAATGACACTAAAAATTCATTGATTTGAAATATAGGTGCTTCAAAAGATGCTGTTATTGTTACACCACTGATGGACTTTGTCAGGCAAAAACGAGCTGCTAAGAATGGTTCACGGGTAATTCCTATTTAAGAGACTGTCAAAGTGAGAAACATCAGTATATAGAGTTAACTGTATTCTGTGGTGTTCTAAAGGCGATTCACACTGAAATTTTATTTGGTATACTGTGAGACAAACTGGGAGGAATTAATGCATAGTACTTTTCTGTAGTTTGTGTGATGCAATTATATGCAGTTCGTTTTACTATATGCAATACCTTTGGTGAGATTCTGATTTTGGTTTTGGAAACAGAGAATATTGGCCAATGGGAAACCTGGCAGAAGGGCTCTTGCAAGTGGAAGTCCTAGCTCATCATCATCCAAACGAGGTTCTGACAAGAAAAGGACTTCAACAATGGTAATAATGGCTAAAACATATAAGTTTATGGATGTCTGTGCTGATAATTGTTAAATGTGCTCTTGTGGCGGTAGTTTCACTAGGCACTAGCCTTTTGCCATGATGAGGTCAGCCACCAACAGAAAATGGATACCACTTTGTCCAAGCCACTCGGGACGTAGGCAACTCTCCCAGTTTGGCCAAATTTCTCTTTAGCCTGCTGTCCGTTCCTGTTTGTGATCAATCAATTGTAGTCTCTACAAACCGACGTTAAATTAAACACTGTTACTATTCTGATAAGTAATCAAGTAATTTAGCTCAGTTTATTAAAGTTATGGTTACAGTAAAATACAAGGTTTTCCTTATTATTTTCTTTATGGTAATAGTTGTAGGTTTTGAAAAGTGGTTATTGTCTGCCACTTATCATTTATTGTTTTGTTCCTTCCGCAACCGTCTGTGAGTTGGACGTCATTGTGTTTAATGTATGTCTTTGTGCCCTTTATATTGCTTGCTTATCGTTGATTCTTGCACTTGCTGTGGCTCTTCTTACAAAAAGAGTGGGTGGCTCTCCAACTCAGGCTAAAATGATTCCCGAGGCCCATGACATGGATCCATGGGGGTTGCTGCCCAAGTTCTCTTTATTCTAAGTCGGTTGTTCTTTCCTATTCATTTTCCAAGCCTGAAAACTCATTTAAATTTTGTTTTCGAAAACCCTCTTCATATGCCATAACCATTTCACAAGCTTCAGACACTCGAAGGAAATAATATAAGTTGAAACGATAGACTTTGGAGATGTACTCCATGCAAATCCAGTGATTGAGTGTATAATCCATGTTACCGGATTGCGCTTGATGATGTATATTATAACGGATATTAAATAACTTTAGGAAAGTAGTTATTGTAATGGCAGTTTTCTCTCTCTCTTTGGTCTACAAGCTTATATATCTTCTACATTGGTGCTATTCGGGCTGGCTGTTCTGTTTGTTAGTTTTTACTTGTTATCACCTTATACAAGGTGATAGAGGATAAGCTTTGTAGTTATTGCGATCGAAATCGCGATTCAATGGATAAGCTTTGTAGTTATTTGCTTTCCTAGTTATTTATTTTGAAAATTTTCCTTGTGCATCTACCATTAAAAGTAAAGCAATAAGTGTAGTGATGATCTAGAAGGAAATTGAGCAAATAAGGCAGAAAAGTAAGAGGCATCTTTCTGCTCTTGCTGCGACTATCCTTGCTAGTGGCTCACCTTTTCCCGAGGTCCAATCTATTGCTTGCTTTGCAGCCAGCCTTAACAACTTTGTGACTCTAAAAAAATGTGTTGTTATTTTGGTTTTGTGTGTTATTCCTGTTTCGGTAACTATTTAGTCCATCTTTTTTCTGCTTGTAATCAATATTCTTGTACTTTGGCTCCGAGGTTTGCTCCACTTCTCTTAATACTGGAGAACCTGTATGTCTTTAGGTACCAATTTACCATATATGGACTCTGTATGAGATTACTCATTGTGACATTGAATGGACAGTATGTTTTAAGGGATTCAAAGGAGGGTGCAAGTGGAAAAGATAAATCTACCTACACACTGGTCGCTAAGCGAGATGATCGTCAGTTATCGGGCAAAGCTGTAACATCTGCTTCTCGACCTGATGGCTTGGAAGATGGAAGTGGTACGATTAAATTAATAGAACTCATATGTTTCGGTTACGTAGATTTTATGCCCCCCATCTCACTATATGGTTTCTTGTTTGTCAGTATGCATTTTACTGTAGACCACCTTTTCAAGAATTTTGTCTAATGATGCTTTGTTGGCAGCGATTTCTGGATTGACTGATGGAGGGAAAAAGAAAATCCTGCTTGTGAAAGGGAAAGAGAAGGAAATTTCGTCTGTAAGTGTTTGATTCTTTATCGCCTTTACTCGCTGTTGCAGTCTTAGGAAAGTCGTCATGATATGAATAGACGAGGCATTTTCCTTTGGGGTATGATAATGGAGCCCAGTGGAAACACTTGTAGACAACTGTTTATGGTTCACGTGTTAAGGTTAGTTTGCGTTATGTTTTTTTAGTGTTCTTGTTCCTGATCCATCAGATAGATCAGTTGACTTGTTCTTCCCTGCACAAATCAAGGGTGAATCTGGGCCATCTTAGCTGGAAAATCTTGATGTCCAAATTGTATGTTGTGCCATTATTTATCTTTTGGGCTCTTACAGATGGGGTTAGGACATAGTTACTTGTTTGTTAGGATTGCATACCCAGTTGATAATCTTCCCTCTATATTCCTTTGTCATGTGTAATCTGCCACATGACTGATTGGCCTGTCAAAACGCCAATGCTGAAAAGTTTGCGTATTACAACTTTGCAATATACAAAGCCCATATGCTCTCATCTTCACCTTTGTCAGTTGCATCATTGCTTCTGTACCATGTGCAGGAAACTGTAACCTTTGTGTCAATCAAATAAGCATTGATGGATATTCATGGGAACTTAGACTTTTAGAAGCACGCTAGCTTTTTTGTTGGCAGTACTGTGGTTTCTCAATCGGCTGTTTACCTCTTCCTGATAAATAGATTATGTCGATTAATTTGCAGGTATCAGGTGGTGCAGTATCACAGCCGAATGCAATATCATTTGAAAAACATGCTATTGATTCATCTTCAGGCAAACAGAATCACCGCCGTGAACCCAGTGGAAGAATCATTAGGACTATACTGTTAAAAGAGCCTCGTCAATCTTCTGGTGCATACTCTGAGCAGCAAATCCATTCACATGTAGAAAGAGACAAGCGTCCTCCTCGTCCTCCTCAAGGGCAGTTGGTTTTAAAGGATGCTAATGGGACCCCAGATGCCAGGGCTTCTAGGAACGACTCACCCTCTTTTCCTAGTGAAAAACAGCATGAGAAGCGCACAAGAAATAAGGATAGGCCTGACCGTGTTGTTTGGACTCCACTTCGCAGGTCCGATGGATCATATGCGAGTGATGAGTCATTAGATTCTCAATCTACTGTTTCAGGCATGGATTTTTCTCCAGGTAGTGAGTATTTGATGTCTCGACGTACATATTTTGAGTCAGTGCTATTTGTTTTAAGCTCTATTGATTGATAAGCCCAAGATATTAAATTGTCACTCTGCGGAGATTATTGGAGTTATGCATGTAATCCTTGTCTTGCTATCTATTCCCATGTTATACACAGTTTTGTAGAAGCACTAAATTAGACTCTTGGCGAAAGCTCATTGGGATGGATTCTGTCTGTGTAGGCTATATTTTCAATTCTTTTTCTCATACTGATCGGTGCTATGGCGTCTGCAGGAAGTGCTGGAGATGTGAAAATTGACATGATGAGTTCTAGGAGTGAAGTAAAAGGACTTGGAAGTGCTCGTAACTGTCATTCTCCATTGGACAATGGTTTGGCCTCTCAGCTCTAAGATTTCACTTGTATGTATGTATCATAAACTGTATCCACACGTCATTAGTTCTCCCTCCTTGAATTTGTTTCAGGATCGCATAAACAATTTGGTCGTCGTGCTCCCTCTCATATCCCCAGGGATTTGGATGGATCATCTGCTGAAGTGAAGCCCTCTTCCAAGAGAGGTGGTGGTGGTGCTTCTATTCATGGTTCTCATGAGGTGCTTACACTATTTTTTGGGTTTAGAGTCTCAGTACCATGCCTTTTTTTCCACCTTTTTAACATTGTCGAGTTTTTTGTTTGTTTTCATTCAATTCCCAGAAGCAAGTGTGGGTTCAGAAGTCAAGTACTGGTTCTTAGTTCTCCTACTACACGGTAAGCGTATTCCTTAATGCTGGAATTGCTGCGGATGAATTTTGTGTTAGCTGTCATACTTGTGCATCTCTATATGCTCTGCTAGGTTGCTGATGTCATTGTTATGCAGTGCAACAGAAAGGACCATCTGGTTAATTTTTTGAATGAAGCATGCAAATCGAATGCATGGTTTGAAGGCCGTCTCTTTTGCCAATATCGAATGAGAATGGAATGATGAGGCGTGGAAGGGAAGTTTAAGCAACGGAGGATTGTTTTTACCGGAAAACCTAGAGTTCACAACAATGGCATCAATGATGCATGCAAATATTGATGTAATTACATACATTGGTTGGCGGGCTCGAAGAAGACGCATCCCGATCCTTTAAAGTCAGGGGTGGATAGAGGAGAACTAAACAACAGAAAGTAAGGCGAGAATGACAGAAGGGTTGAACACGGACATCATCATAGATGGTATATATAAAGATTACTTGCTAGAGGTGGCCTGAAGATGGGGTTCCCTTTTCGACAACGGGTTCTACTCACCGGAGGAGGCTGTTATACGACGACGACGACTAGTATCCTCACTATTCTTGCCTACTGACTTGAGAGGAAGTTGGGAAAGAAGTCTAGGGTTTTACAGGTGGATTTCCCCTTCCCTTGTTGGAAACTGTATATATAAGTAGCAGTTATCTCTGGAGAAGTGAGAAAAGGGTTTGTCTTTTCACCTAGCATTCAGGATTTGTTTGGTTGGTTGATTGATCAGACTCGAGTTTGCGCGACGGGGCCCTTGATATTCTGTAGGGCTATTCCCTCTCCCTCTCCCTCACACACACACACACAGCCCTTCAGGTTCTTGTTTGAAGAGAGTACTACATTTGTCATCTGCCTGTGGTTTGTATTTGTGATTTAATTTTGTGCTGTGCACCTCAAAAGTAGAGCAACAAAGAGGAAATCTGATACGCGTTAGGGTCGTTTCTCATACGAAGAGAAGTACTCGTGGTTTCGACATTTCGTTCGTAAAAGAATGATCATTCGATTCGTCGGAAGTCCATTAACTGGCAAGTGATTCCTGGGATTAGAGTCACTGCAGTTGCTGCTAGCGGTGCCATTGTTGCCATCTCCCTCGTCTCGGTGGCTCAACACTCCCAGTTTCTCGACGCCACCAATGATAACTAAAGCTAGCTCCTAGTTCCTCGTGTTGTTTCGTGCGATTGAGTCATTGAGGTTACTGTACAACAGATATCACTAATTAAAAATGATCGTTTGATTCATCGAAATTCAGAGCCTAAGCAGGGGATCGTTGTCTCAGTGTTGTTGTTTGTATGGTAAGAACTTCCAAGATTGCCAAGGTTGAGCGCCATTGACAAAGTAACAGTAATTTGACTGGGTCAAGGTCCATTGATTGACAAAGTAGTCGTTGGATTTGTCGCAACAGTCCAATGAGTTGAGCATAGAGTTCTTGACTTCTTGTTCAGAAGTTATATGGAAAACAACCATTATTTGGCGAACCAAAAAAAATGAGCACATTATCTGTTCCAAACTTTTTATGAGTGAATTGAATTCGTGGTTGATGGATTTTTGGGGAATTTTTTTTCGTAAGAGCTTTCGAAATTCATCTATTATTAAATCCCAAAAGGTTGGCCTGGTGGTAATGTGGAGATGAGAACATCCACACCTCTTTGGATTCGAATCCTGAGGTCAACAACCAAATAAGATAATCTATGAAAGAGTATATTTTGTCTACTTCACTTCGAGTTGATCCTAAAATATCTTTGTGTGATGATCTACACCTTGAGCGGGGGGTTTTGATTAACGAAACACAATTATTATTGGTTTGTTTATCATACAAAGGTATAAAACTACAATCACATCTAAACTTACATACCCACCAATATAATTTTCAAAATTCCAAAAATAGTAGTCATTTACCTCACAATCCATTTATTTGGACTATCAAATCTATCTTCAACTCTCAATTCAAACTTCGCAACTCTCAAATCCTTGACCCAAATGAACGAAACATGTTTTAAAGATTTCCTCAACGTGCGAAGTAATCAGTAATATGATTGCCATTTTCGAAGATAAGAGATTAACTTCTCGTTAAATACTAAGGTAAGAAAATAAAGCCCAAAAAACATAGCACCTCTGTGGATCGAACACTCCAAATTGGGAAAGAGAAAAATCTCTGACTCGTCGGAAGAAATTTTCCCCATCCACATCTGCTGCAACTTGGTGCCGCAAGGGGGAAAAACCCTTAGCTCACCCGCCCCGACCTCGCCACATCGCCGACGGTCCCATCCTCCAATCCGGCACGACGTAAGTCCAACCCCTTTCCTCCCCCCTCAACTCGTTCCAAGGGACGAAAGTGTTCACTTTGCTGCTTGCTTTCGCCGTCCCCTTTTCCGCTCTCCAGCTCCGGCGACTTCATCGTTGCCGCCTCGAACCCAAAGCTCCATCTGGGTCTGGATCCATTCGCCCCGCCTCCTCGTAGGCCATCTCCAGGTGGATAGTCCTTTATTTGGGGGGGTAGAAATGGAGAGTTCTGTTCCACTTGGCTGAGCATTTTGTCTGGAATTGATCTTTGGTTTCTGGGTTTGATCTGCGAATGGATTGGGGGTGTTCTCTAGATTTTGCTTTTCAGAGGAAGAAGAGGGTCTGATTTCTGCTATGTGCTTGATTTCCATATCCAGGCTCCGAACTTGGGGTTCTAATTAGGGAAAATAGCTGCCGGGATGTGGATGGAAGAAAGAGCAATGTGCTAGGATGAAAGTGGTGCATCAGTGCGATCAGAAAGTTTGATACTTGCCGTGATATTATGTCGTCTGCTAGCCTTGGCAACGGGGGAGTTGGAAGCTCAAGGTCTGTCAATGGCTTCAAGAGTTCATCGAGTTCTGTTGATTGGCTGGGCAGAGAGATGCATGAGATGAGATTGAGGGATAAGGTGGACCATGACGATGACAGGGTGAGTTGATGCATCTTTCTTGAGTTGGTTCTTTGCATTAACTACTTCATTCATAACAATGATTGAAGCGACTCTTTATCTTTTATCCTGACGTCTGCACGCTTACTTCTAAAGTGATTGCTTGACTGCTACTAGTAGAGACTAAGCAAGACTAGTTCTTGTTCTTTGGTGTAACTGGATTCCTTCTTGCAGGATAGTGAACCTGACGTAATTGATGGTGCGAGTGCCGAAGCAGGACATGTCATAAGAACCACTGTGGGTGGTCGAAATGGCCAATCTAGGCAGGTTGGTAGCTCATTTTGTAATTCAGAGAATCTTTTATTAGTAATGATTTGGACATAATTGGCGATTCATATTCTACTAACAATGGTAACTCATCTGCCTGTTTGGGTTGACAGGCGATAAATTATATAGCAGAGCATGTGGTTGGAACTGGTTCTTTTGGTACTGTCTTTCAAGTAAGTAGATACACTCGTCCAGTGACCTAATGGTCTTCACTTCAAAGATGTCTATATATCTCCTCTAAGTTTGAATCCAAGTCATCAAATTAGATAAGTTGCATTAGTTAATAGCAGCAGTCCACAAATTTCAATTTCAGGCAAAATGTAGGGAGACCGGGGAGATTGTTGCTATCAAGAAAGTTCTCCAAGACAAACGTTACAAGAACAGGGAGCTACAGATAATGCAAATGCTGGATCACCCAAATATTGTTGGCCTCAAGCACTCATTTTTTTCAACTACGGACAAGGAAGAGCTGTACCTAAATCTTGTACTGGAATATGTTCCTGAAACTCTGAATCGTATAGCAAGAAACTACAACAGGGTCAACCAGCGAATGCCCTTAATCTATGTGAAGCTGTACACATATCAGGTGCAGAGAAATAATAGCGATGTTCATTGTGGCAACAAATATTGCTAGTGATCAGGACCATTAGTTTTCTTTAGAGGTGCCTTGGAATTCACAATGCATTGCCGATTTCAGTGCCTGAAATTAATGGAGTTTCCAATATTTGACTGATTTCAGTTTACATAAACCTGGAATTTGAACTTGAGTGCAACTATCTAATTATAAAGGGTGGTGGTTTGATACCTTTGTCCTTTAACTTCTTTAACCATATTTTGTTGGATCAGATCTGCAGGGCACTTGCCTTTATGCACAATTGCATTGGTATCTGTCATCGTGACATCAAGCCTCAAAACCTATTGGTAAATAACCTCTTGTGTTGTGTTAAACATTCTCCATTGCATGAATGTCTTAAAAAAGAATTGGGTTATTATTTGTGAGAAGAGAGCACATTGTACAGAAGTAAGTTGCTAGCTTTAGAATGTATCTACAGACTCTGATAATAGCCACTGATCCCACAACTGAACACAAACTAGGAAATTCCAGATTCGAGACCATAGTCTCTTCTTCAGAATTTCATGGTGAAGACTAGCTTTCCATTTAGTTTGCATCTTGATATTATGAATAATTCTTGTGTGAGTGGGTGTATATGGGTTGTAATCAGGATTTCTATTAACTTTGATGGAGGCACTTGAATCGAATTGCTTATTCATGGTTAATATCAATTTTACTTAAAAGCTGGTTGCTCTTTTTTCAGGTGAATCCACACACTCATCAGTTGAAGCTTTGTGATTTCGGAAGTGCAAAAGTGCTAGTGAGTTGACTGATCAGATATATGATACTACTTGATAGTTCTTTCTGGTTATGGTGTTTCATTCTCACCATTTCATCAGGTGAAAGGAGAAGCCAATGTCTCCTACATATGCTCACGGTACTATCGTGCCCCAGAACTCATTTTTGGTGCCACTGAGTACACAACTGCAATCGATATATGGTCCACTGGCTGTGTGATGGCTGAATTGCTGCTTGGACAGGTAAAGTTTAGATCTGCTAATTATTTTTCTTAGCATCCTGATTGAGGTTATTAACCACATGCGGATACTATTCTGTCATGCAGCCATTGTTTCCTGGTGAAAGTGGAGTAGATCAACTAGTTGAGATCATTAAGGTGATATTATTTGTCCACTTGCTTCCAGTGTAGCATCAGCTCCATCTTTGCTGAAAAAGAGTCCTCTTAAAAGTGCAATATTTTCTTCTAGGTTCTAGGAACACCAACAAGGGAAGAGATAAAGTGCATGAATCCAAATTACACTGAATTCAAATTCCCACAGATAAAACCTCATCCATGGCACAAGGTATGGCATTCTCGGCTCATTAAACTGAATACTAGTTCCACATTCTGTACTTGATGGATTCTCATGAGAGTCTGACATGACATCATCCTGATGTAACAGGTGTTCCAAAAACGGTTACCTCCAGAAGCAGTCGACCTCGTGTGCAGGTTCTTTCAGTATTCTCCCAATCTCCGTTGCACAGCTGTAAGTTCTAATGTTTTATTCAACACCAGATATTGTACTTGATGAGACTCTTGTGAGGCAAAGTCATCACGCAATCGTTCACTTTTGGTCTGTGTAAAATGTGGCCACTAACAGCTGGAAGCCTGCATTCATCCTTTCTTTGATGAACTAAGAGATCCAAGCACGCGCCTTCCCAATGGCCGCCCTCTTCCACCATTATTCAACTTTAAACCCCAAGGTAATAATGATGTAAACCAAATGCAGGTTGTTTATATAGATTCCCGCATATCCAGTGTAGTCCTTGTTTTTAACATTGTCAGATGATGTTTTTGGCAGAGCTATCGGGGATTCCTACTGATATCGTGAACAAGCTTATACCAGAGCATGCTCGTAAGCACAACTTATTTATGGCTCTCCACTCCTAATCCTATGCTACCACACCATCATCTATCTGCCTCCTTCCTGTGTCATTGTCCATTGGTCAAATGATTATGAGGCTCTCTTTTGCCGTCCATTCCTTCTTTCAGTTGTGCGTCCATGTTTGTTGTTTGTCCAAGTTTTTGGTTCCCAGAGAAAATTAGCTGTATTAGGGTTTTCTGTACCGAAATATCTCACGACTTTGTGTATGATATATTATTATTATTGTGTATAATCTGAAGAGGTCCGGTGACTGACCAGTGTAATGTAATTTAGTGAACTGAAATCGGATGTCTGGAATGGAGATGGTGCCTAACTTATCGTCTTGGTTCATGTGAGCTTAGGGAGCTGCTCGCTCATTCATTTCATGGTGGTCGCGTGCATCTAAAGCTAGATATTCTTTAGTCGATTCTTTTGTATGTTCCATGGCTGGATAGATAGGGATACATTAACAGGTCAGGAAGGTTACATTGCATTGCAGTCCAGATGAGCCACATGTGATATGCAGTCGTCCTTCTCCCCTTTCGTCGTCTCAGCTATCCTTCTGAAACCTAACTTCGGCCTAACTTAAAATTGGTAACATGTAACTTCCACCTTGTAAAATGGCCAAATTGATACTCCAGACCAATTTTTGGAGCATAGCATAAGATGGGTACGAACGCCGACTATCACATTTTTGTGCACTGGCCTCCATGCCTTTCAAGTAACAAAGTCGGTGAGTTTAACTCAAGGAAGGTTACTTCACAAACACGGAATCATGAACTGATAATGGAGCTGCTGTTGCAGTAGCCCTTTTGGCAAGCCATAGCTTGAATTTGAAAGCACAGATAAAACACAGAGGAAATACAAATACCGAACCAGTAGGTATAATATTATAGGCCCTAGGCATCATGGTTCTATTACATAGTGAACATTTAAAAACATGTCTGTACAGGGAAACAAGATATGTATAATGGTATGAAGTCGAGACAAACCCCCACAAATGGAGAGTCAAAATCGAATTGGGAGAACAACAGAAGCCATTGATTAGCTAGCTCATATCACCTCTGTCGACTCCCATTCTGCTACTCGAACGAAGACTATCCATTCTATCGAAGTTCCTATTATACGCAGGCGAATAACCATTATGCTCATCCTGGTACCCATACTTGTTACCAGCAACTCCCATTCCCAGGTTGTTGTTATGCCTGCTGCTCGAATAGTATTGATGATGACCATTGATAGCAGAAGATGAAGAAGGGCCTCTCCCCATTTCGTGCCGGCCACTGAATGTCAACCCCGGGGACAGCCTGTGAGGATCATGCGACGGAGGCTTCGAGTGCTGCTGTTGGTAGCTGTGGGGATGGTGGAGTTGGTGCTGTTGGTGGTAGTAGTGTGGATGAGGCCAGTGTATCTGGTGATGATTGCTCCCCAGGTTGCTGCTGCTGTTGCTGTGCTGTTGTTGTTGGTAGTTGTTCAAACTGCAGAGACTAGGAGAGCTGCGGACTCTGGACATTGAATGTTTGCTGCTGCTGAGTGGGTTGTTGCCGTTCATCGTGAAGTTTCCAGGTTCAGGAGACACTGTATCGCTGCGGTTGCTCTCTGGAGACCCGCAGTTGGGAGAGTTGCAAGCGGATATGCTGAATGTAGGCCGGCCAAGGGTCGATGGCTGTCGTGAATTGTGGAGTCCCGATCGTTGATATGTGGTGCCATTGACTGCGTCGATGTAGCGTTGCTCAGCTGCATGTGGGTCCGAAGAGATGGGTGTTGGCGACTCGAGGAGGCTTGGGTTGGATGGGAACAAGAAAGCTCGGAACTTTGTTATTCCTTCGCTCTCGTGGCGGTAGTATTCCTCTAGCATGTGCTTTAGATCTTCGTCTGTTCGTACAGAGACCAGTATGTCGAGATCTTCTGGCACGACCTGGTACTTGAGCACCACGTCGCTCTCAAATTCTGCTTTGAGCTTCTTCATCAGGTCTACACATGCGAAACCACAAGAGACAGCGGTTAGCTTGATCATTTCAAGCCTAATACAGTAAACAATATTCTCATCCCATAGGGTTGCCTAAGCAAATGTAGCCAGGAACTTTTAGCACCCATTGAAGATTCTACGTCTTTACAACTAGAAAACAGAATGAGAAGAATATTGTCAAGGTCAAGTTTATCAGGAAAAGTGATGATGTGCTGGAACTCCAAAATGAAGGGAAACGGGGGCTCATTTTTCAGCCACAGCATGAAATAAAAGTAGTTCATGCAACAGGAAATGCCCATTTCTTCATAACACGTCCATTAACTCGTATGCTAATGCAAATCACTGGAAAAAAGCCAAGCATTTTATATCTCAAATGACAATGCTGCGGCAGAGGAAGTAGGGTTTAATAATTGCAGAAATCAATTGAAAACCTCCCCAAATTGGCAAATCCCTACAAGAGGCCACCACTCATACACAGAAAAGTGAAAACCAACAAGTAAGAAACAAATTTCAAGCTGATTCTTTCGTTATGCATCTAAACCATGAACCGAAAGAAAATAGCCCTTTGGGGCATTTCATCGAACAGGAAGAGAGCGCAAACCTGAGAAGCGGATATCGCGCGGCACAGCGATGACACGAGTCTCGCCGCCGACGTATTTCAGGTGACCGTCGGGAGGCCTCAGCAGAATCTTCCCACCATGGCTGCAAAGAAACTTCACCCTGCTCGTCGGCGACGAGGCCGCCGAAGCCGACGCCGAGTCATCGCCCGCAGCGGCGGAAGAGGAAACAGAAACCGTTTTCTGATGATCATCAATGGTGTTGGTGGTGCTGCTCCGCCCACTGAGTTCCTGACTCATTGCTCGCAACTCAGTGGCCTCCAACGCGAATCAACAAAAAGAACGCCGCTGCCTCCTCTCCTCCTCCGGTGGCCAATCTGAACCATATAAAAACCACCCAAAAGTTAACCGCCAAAACCCATTTCAAAGCCCGTTTTCCATGATCAATCTACAGTGCTTCTGTAAATATATATATAAAAAAAAAATCAACCTACCTTTTTGTGAACACAAACAAAAAGGTTGTTCAACTCTCCCTCCTCCCTAAACAAGAGATAATTTTATGTTGAGAAAGGAGAAGGAAAAAGAAAGAGAAGAAGAACAGGGAAAGAAAGAATCAAAGAAGAAACCAAGACTGAAATGGGAAGAACAAATTCGATTAATTATTGTTTTTCTTCTTATTGTTATAAGAATTTGATAATAATTATTATTTTTTCTCCCTTTTCCTTCTCTTTTTAGTTTTTTCACAAATCCCGGGCTTTCCGGGAGCGGGTAAGTGCGAAATTAGCTAATAATTAATTAAAATGATGATATATTGCTCTTTTAAGAAATTAGTATTTACTTATACATTGTACAGATTTCCGGGGCTAAATTAGTATTTAATTAATACTGCCTGATTCTACGCGGGCAAAGTGACCGCACAGCCCCTTATTTATTTTCTTTCAATTTTCCCTCAGAAAATTAAATTCCCGGAATCTCTCTGGTTTCTTTTTTCCAAGATATTTAGTAGATCTGCCACAAAAAAATATCTGAATCCTTGTCGCTGCCTGTGTGCCTGTCTTAGGTTGTCTTCCCTACCGACGTTCCAATGCAAAAAAAATGGTTCTACACCATTAGATTTTCAGACTTGTTTTTGACTCGAAGAAAGAAAAGTATCTAAATATGAAGTCTATTCGCAGTCTCCTTCATGGAATGATGAAAAGATGTGCACACAACGACACCATGTCCAAGTGTGATGTTGTCTATCACAGTTTTGAAAATGTAGTTTGAAACACATGTAAAATTTGTAACAAATTTGAGAAATGAAGTCGTCGATCGACGTTTGCTTCTTTTTCAACTACCACAATTAGAATCCATCGAGTTCAATTTTCTGGTCCCATCATTCAAGAAAGTTGGTTTTGATTTACGATTCGTGTTAAAGATCACGTGACATAATTTGCATCGAAATTTGGATGATATGACATGATAAAGTAACTTATTTGGATAAAAAAATGCAAGTGGAATTGGTAAATGCAACATTTGGTCACTGAGATTACTAGATCGTGTCATGTTTATTCACTAGAAATTTTTTTAATATAATTTTTGGTCACTCGAATTACTGAAACAAGCCACATTTAGTCACTCTCTCATTAGTTTCCGTCCAAATTCATTAATGGAGTTGGACGGAAACTAACTAGAGAAGCCAGTTCAAATACATAAACCCCAGTCTACTTGTGACTAAATGTGACCTGTTTCAGTAATTCGAGTGACTGGGGTTGGACGGAGGCTAATGAGAGAGTGACTAAATGTGACATGTTTCAGTAATTCGAGTGATCAAAATTAATATTAAATTTTTTTAGTGACTAAGCATTATACGATTTAGTAATCCAAGTGACCAAATGTGGCATTTATCCATTTAAATGTTTGTGACATTTTTCTTCGTCAATCCTTATGAATCCTGATTCAGACCAAAGGCCTCAATATGCTTGAAGCAAACCGTGTGCACTGATCCGTGGGTTAATATTCAAGCTCAAGCCCATCTGCTTACCAGTATTCCTCGGCCCATGGTCGGTAGAATTTCAAGCTAGTCAAGACCCAATCTCGAACGTAACTAAACCAGCCCAATACAACCCCCAACAGTTTTAGCTCATTATCCATCTTTATCAATCATCTACTATTGGGGCGCTATCAACAACCATCAGCAACTGCTTAAAATCATGGTCCATTAAACCGTACCGTACCGACGGTTCAACCACAAAATCAACAGTATCATTTATAGCTGAAACGTAAAACTGCATCTCCCATTCAAAATTTTCTGCCTGTAGAGTGATTTTAGGAGGCTGATGTGGCAGCCTATTTAGGCGGGAATTCGCCTGCAACCGTCTTCCTTCCCCGGCCTTTTTTTGGAACGCTCCTCTTTCCTCTTCCGCTTTCCTTTTCGCATCTGATAGGAGCGTAATCATATATGTTGCCTCCACTCTCGCCAAATCCCCAATTTCAAAAAATTCACAATCGAAATCCCGATTTACAACAAAGTTGACGGGGCAATTCGCTAACGGAAGTACTTGGGAGTGGGGAGATCGCGTTGCGGCTGATCTTGGCAGCGAAGAGGTTGTGGACGAGTGAGGTTTTGATCTCTGGCGACCAGCACATCTCCCTCGCAGGTTGCAGCTTACCTCCAGAGATTCGCTTCTATACTCTCTATTAGGTAATCGCGCACTGTCGGTACTGCCCAGGCGACGGTTCTCCCAACCCTCTATAATCGATTTCTCTGCTATGCCCATGTCTGTCTTCCAATTGGTGGCTTCCTCTGCTAGGGTCCATTAGGAAATCGTTGCGCCCACCAATTGCCCAAGAACTGCGATAGGTTTGGAGCTGCCTGTTGACCTCCTTCTCCTCCCCGTTCCACCGCCGTTTCTACCCTGCGGGTCGCGGTCCATGAAGTCGATTTGAAGGTTGCTCGCCCGCACCAACCGAACTCTTCCATCATCAATTAATTTCTGAAAGAAGCGTGCCATCGACCGGATTTTTGGCCGCTGTCATCCTTCCCACAAGCTTCCGTCCCGACGGTTTTTGGCAGCAGAGTCAATTCCATAGCATCAAGGTCACACTTGGGGAGATCCGTTGTGGAAGGACTGGAGTTTTGGATGTTTTCCGCACAGTGTTGCTGATTCCCAGTTTTGTGTTCAAAGATCAAAAGTGCCTACCTCCACCTTGGCCACTATCTCACGACATTCCTTTGGCGGCTGAGATTCGAAGTAAGCTCTCTGTTGGTATTTTAAATGTTCCCTTTTTAGGTCAATTTAATAAGCAGATAGACATAGGTGGGTGGAAATTCCAAATGGGAAAGAATGAATGAAAATTTTCATATAAAGTTCACTTACGGTTAACTTACAATTCAGTTCTTTGTTTGTGCTTGGTTATCAATTATAAAGTTCTTTAAATCATCTAACCATAAAAACCTTTATGCTTTTCAAGACTTACAATTCACTCTTCGTTGCCTACTTCTTGATCGAACAGTCCATTTTCATATAAAACTTGAATATGGACCAGAACAAAAGCTTGAAACTTGAAACTTGAATAGGATATTACAGCCAGAACAAAAGCTTTCTTTAGTGTTTAGATACTAGCCAAGCTCAAGTGAAGCAAGGTAGAGACATGGTAAGAGTTCTGCTATTGTTCTGTGGTCTCGGTACAAAATAATTTCTTTAAGTTAATTGTGGATGCAGGGGATTGGTTTCGTTAATACGTAGTATTTTCTTACTTATACAATTTATGTATATCATAAGCACGAGAAAGGAGTGTTTCCACCTTGCCACCAAACTGTGCTTCATATTTTTATCAAAGATTGTAAAATCGTATTATAGGTTCTATCGAAAAAGTCAGTGATATTGGTATTTTGTGTTTAAACCATAGTTTAACCAAGGTTTAACCATTTTTTTAGCTAAAATAGTCTCCGATTTGAGCTCCGGTTTCATGTATTGCCTGTCAGATTGGCCGGTCCGATAAGCTATCTAAAACAGCGATTTTGAAACACAATTTTTGAATCCAAAATTATTATGTAACTTGAAAGCTAATGAACTCAGAACATTCATTCCGATCTCTAAAGACATTCGCCTCAATTTTAGTCAAAATTCTTTTAAATCGTAACTGAATAATACATGTTACAGCAGCAACATTGTGGAGCTCTGAAGCTGTGACCCGCAACATTTCACTAACTATGTCATCGTTTTAAGCGTCATCCACAACAACCCGTGAGTTGGGGTTATCCAAGGTGAGTGGTGTAAATGCGTCAATTGGAATTTTGTGTCCTTAAATCACTGATTGGCCAGACATGAATGTTTCCCTTACCTTTCTCTGTTTCTCAATTGGGTCGTGACTCGTGAGAAATCCTGATTGAGATTGCTAAGTCGGCCAAATGCACCATGTCTTGGTGTCTGGCTGCTTGCTGTGTACATAAATTTTCTGCCGCTATTACGCCAACCCGTAGGACTCGATAATTTTCTATGGCCCTTTAGCACGCTATTGTTTACGCAATTTATAGTTGAGACTTAGGAGAATTTGTTATGTTTGTTGCTGTGAGCTATCCTACTTTTTCTGCTAACTTAGTTACTAAGACTTTTGGTAGGGAATTTTTGCTGCCATTTCTACAGGCATCCATTCTCTATCACTTCAGATTCTAGGGATGACTATTTGGATGCATTTTGGTGCTTTTCAGTCTACAAAACATAACTAAATTCATTTTCACAACATGGGAGTTACTTATTTAGGTTGAGTAATTTGTTCAACTTTTAACGTTTTTTTTTTTTTTTTTTTTACTTTTAAATTTTTTTTTTTTCACTTTCCATTCATAAGTTTTGAAAATAGAAGCAATTAATACTTGAATGCGAGAATCACTTTTTTCTTGAATTGAGTCCTAATGCATTCTCAATTCTACATTTTATATTTCTATTTCTATCTTGAATTTGTAGAGGTATGTGTTAAAGTCTTTATTGCTAGGTGTGGCCAACATCTGTTGTTTTCATTATCCCGTTTCATATTGGGTAAAGAGAAGATTCAAGATAAGCTTGGCCGGTTTGATGAGCTCGCCAATGCTTCTCTTTGTCTCTTCTTACTGTTAGCATTCTTTGGTCATCAGGAGATACCAGTTTTACTGTGCTAAGTGAGTCTATGATAGCATTGCTCTTCAAGACCTTCATAGTGCTCATTTAATTTGTAGTGGAAAATGATTTCCTTTTTAGATGTTCTAAAAAATTTCGCCTAAAGTCAAAGCTGTGTAATTTAATCTGTTCTTTGTTGTCTGCATTGGAATAGATGGCATTGTCTAAGAGAATGTTGGAAACATATGAGTTGTTTAGTTGGTTCGAATGATTGATGGAACTAGGGGTAGGTCGTAGGAGTCAATGTTTCTTGGTCCTAATACTTTGTTGTTGTCCTTCCTACTTTTTGTAACTTGGTTTCATACTGCTTTCATATTCAACCTACTCAAGTCTGGCTTTTATGTTTTTGTTAGTTTGTCTACAATTAATGATCTTAGCTTTCATGATGTTCTCTTAAACTTTTGTAAAGCATTATGTTACCAAAATGGCCATCATCTCAGCTTAGAAGAGATACAACTAGGGGAGGGCACAATGGTCATCAATCATCATCGTAACTTTCAAGTTCGTAAGTCATAATATATCTGCAAACGATTTCGGGAAGAGATGGTGTTTGGTTGGTTGGGATTCAAGTATGATTTTTTTATGTTGGAGCTTCATTTAGATTCTTAGAATCAAGCTATGACAAATTCTTTACAAACCAATACAACATGATCCAAATAGAAAGTGTGGAACAAACTTTTGATTAGGTCATCGTCAAGATTGAACTTAGGAACTATTAATCAGGTTAGTAATATTTATGTAATGCTGTAATTTTGGTTTATGTAGGTGGCCAAATAGCTTTATGATTATCGCTACTAGCTGTGTTTTGGTTTTAAACAGAGAGGTTACTAAGCTCTGGCATTTTAATGTTTCTCATTCTCAATTCATCAACATAAATATTTAATTCTGCATGGGTAGTTAGTTTTAGTTGATGCAATGATGCCTGAGTAGATGTTGCTCTGACATTATTGCTATCTGCCACTGTTAATCTGTAATATATATCCTTTTTAGACAACGAATACGAACATACTTAGAAAATGGTATAAACATACTAATAGCTTTGTTAATCTTAAAGCAAACAATAAAATAAACTACTGTGTGTTTGAAAATAAGGAATTTTGAATCTCAAGCCTAGACCGAACACCATTAGTTCATTTTGTATTGGGATAGTACAGTGCAGGTCCTACCTATTAATTTATACATGTATATATGTGTTGGTATGACAGATTACAATCGATTTGTGCATTGGGCGTTGGAGGCATGGAGCTTTGACGAAAGAGATTTTGAGTGGGGCGGCTAGCTCTTGCAAGAACTGGGCTAGCCATGTCTTTGAATCGAATATGCAATCTCCATCTCGACTTGCGCATGGGATGGTCGTTGAGTTGATGTAGCTGCAAGCCCGCAACAGCGATCCCAAACTCGCGGATAGGGCATCCAGAAGCTCCCTTGCAGCTTGCTAGCTAGCTAAGCATTCTTTGATTTTGTTGTAGTCCTAATATATATAATTTGATCGGTTTCTCTTACGACTTATCTATTTATTTACTACTCATCGAGCCAGCTACAAGAGCGAGGGGAAGATAATACTATTAGACCATGCTTTACAATGTGCTGATTAGTACGGTTTATTGTGAAAGCTTGTCTCGGAAGACCCACTGACTCGTCCTGACCCGTCCCGTCCCGTCCCTAAGGGTCAGGACGGGTCAGTTTGTCTACAGGGACAGATTAGGGACGGGTCATTTGTTGACCCTGTACGGGTCGGGACAACTTAGGGGAGGGTCACGTTTTGACCCTGTGACCCTTAGCAACAACAAATATCTCATACTTCATTGGACTTTTTTGTAAAGTTTTAAAAGTTTAGGTAATAATTGGTAAAAATAAAAAAATTTGGGTACAAAAATGTAGTTTTACCATCCAATTTTATGGACTTATTTGCAAACAAAATAATATTTAGGTATTAAATTGTAAGAAAAAATAATTTTGGGTACCAAAATGTAATTAGTAAAAAAGTAGTGTGTTGATTAGCGTCGACCCACTGACCCGACCCGTCCCGTCCCAACCCTTGAGGTTGAGATAGGGTCAAGAAGGAGACAGGGAAGGGACGGGACGGTTATACATCTTGACCTTTCAGGGACGGGTCAGACAGGGACAGGGACGAGACAAGGACGGGACAGACAAATTTTCAGTCCTACTTTACATGTGCTGATTAGTACGGTTTATTGTGAATCTTTTTTGTTTTGAAGGACTGTTGAATGTAAAGGTTAATTCTATATATAACAATTGCACTAAAACACTATAAATTCTGTCTCGAAGCCTAATTAGATTTTTTAGTCCTTCAAAATTAGAGAATGGAATACTTATGAGTTGTTATGATGAGTCTCAAGTTTTTGTTGGACTCGATTTTATTTTATAAGGGTGATAATTTATTGAAATCCTGTTAGCCACGTGAGGTTAAGTTGAACCCTTTGTGATTTTGCTTTCCGACAACAGGTATAGTAGAGCTTTGTTTTCAAGAACATGGAAAAAAATATAAAAGATCAAATGACTAATTTAGCTAACAATTAAGAACAAAAATATTTCAGATGACAATGAACACAAAAATATAATTAATCAACACAAAACCAAACTCATCCGGTCAAAGAGCCGGGTGGCAGTAATTAGCGCAAAAATGTCACATGGTTTTACTCCATATGGTTCTACTCCTTTAAGTCCTACCAATTCTAAATGATAATATATTTTCTTCTAACTCTAAATACATATCCGACAATAAGAAGTACAAAAATTTCTTCTAAAATATGGAAAAGCTTATAAACAACAGTAAACTAGAACGACTTTATCAACACATATAAATATTAACTAATTATCGCTAATGTCATAATAAAAAAATATGATAAAAATTACTTTGAAATAATGAATTAAATATTTTAGAGGATCCCAAATTATTTAAAAATATGAAAAAATTGATCAACATAAAATAAAGCAAAATTCATCCGACCAACGGGTCGGGTAAAAACTAGTACCAGTATCAGAGGCTAAATTGATAGGCGGTATTTAACGGTACTAACGGTTGAACTACGATTAAATCACGGTTTTGCCACAAAATACCCTACCGCTGACTTTTCCGGTACAGCCTCCGGTACGGTTTCATGGACCATGCTTAAAACTTTTGAACATCACTTCGGATAGAATTCCACGTTGTTAAGACGAATTAAAGGGTCGTTTGCTTGTTGGATTTGGGTCATGGATTTGGTACCAAATCCCAAGTTTGATGGATTTAACATAAGTTCATTGCTTGTAGAAGGGTGCTAAATCCGTGGGGTCCACGGATTTGGTCTTTATTTTGGAACCAAATTCGTGGACCCCACGGACTTGTAAATCCCACATATTGATTTGGTATTTGCAAATCCTTGATGGTTAGTTATTTATTTAACAAATACATCGTCAAATCTATCATGCAAACATTAGACTATTCAAATCCATAATCCAATAAATTCAACATAAATCTCAAAATTTTTATTGACCAAAACCCTCATTTTTCAAATCCAACAAGCAAACGACTCCTCCGATTTCGTTATCATTTTTCTATGGACATTCACGTGGGAATATCATTGACCAAGTGACCCACCGTCCCATTTGTCTCCGCAGTGTTAAACAAACTGGGGGAAAAGGGAACTTTTGATTTGAATAACCACCAAGTCAAACTCACCTCCCGCTTTTCAGTTCTCACTATACTTTTCTCCACCACCCAAATAAAGAACAAGAAACAGGTAGATCCACAAAAAATTTCCTTTCTCTGGTAAAACACCTTAACTTATACTCTACAGTACATCAGCACAACAACTTTCAGAACCCTTTTCTGTAAATTGAACTCCAAAAATCACCATTACTGGAAAAAAAAAAGGAACTTTTTAATGATTTAGAGTCCCAAAACTTTCTTACAGGCTCTGATGATCCCGCTTCTGCTCATAAGCTTCTTCTTCTGATCAGATCTCGAAGACCCACGATTGTGATCAGCTGCTGCAGCTTCCGGCAGTGAACCCATGTTCCCAAATCCATGAACATGATCATGTTGATGATGATCATCATCGTCTGCTAGGAAATCAGATTGGTCGTGGATCCTGCTATACCTCTCGGAGACAGAGGAGGATCTCCTCATGGCGGAGAAGGACAGAGCTCTCTTCTTCACCCGACTCGCCGCGGCCGAGACCGATGAGTTCCTCCTCAGCTGTGGCTGCTGCTGATTGATCTGCTCTGTTTCCTGCCTCAGCTCCCCTGCTTCTGCTGATGGGGATTTGTTGGAGCAGGGGATGATGAATGGCTTTGTGGGGTGTTGTTGTTGTTGTGGGGATGGTGGAGAGGAGTTATTGGGATTGAAATCTGGTGATTTGAGGTTGGAGTCTCCAATGGATTTGCTCATCTTGGAATATCCACTCATCATGATGTTTTCTTTCTTGTGTGTGGGATTGTTTGATGTCTTGTTTTCTCCTTTTGTTTGGGGTTTGTGAAGAGAGGGAGGCTTTGTTGGGGAAGAGAGGTATTTTGGTGGAGGTGGGAAGTGATGTAGGAGGTGATTGTTTATGTGTATATATACAGCAAAGTGAGTGAATGGAACTTTTGGAAGATTGTGGAAGTGGGCAATGGGGAAAAGGGTCAAATTTGATGTGATTTAGGGGGTGAAATGATATAATAAGATCAATATTAGACTATATAGAGATGGGTTTTGTGGACTTCATTTGAATTGTCCATTGGGGTAGTTGGGGGAGATGGTTAGATGTAGTGTGGGGTATATGCATGTATGAGACCGCAAATGGTATATTGTACCATAAGGAGGTTTGTAGTCCCTTTTGTTGTGGCATATTTTTCAATTGAGTACATTTAGTATGAGTGTATGACTTTACTTCAATATCATCTACAAGGTTATTGGTTTTCAAATTCATACTTGTGGTTTGCTATTTATTTCATTGTTTACGATACCATCGGCTCAACAAAACATGCTTGCACCGGTCGTTCAATGATGCACTGTCAAGAGGCGGAGCTTCTTTCCAGTTGTTCAACTGGTGGGGGTTATCATGCCTCGCATTTCTTTCTATGCAGAGAATCAACATTACATACTCCGAGCATGCGGTGCAAACCATCGACATGGTCTGCCAATAGCAATAGTTATTGTCGTTTAACAATTAATCACCAATTAACCATCCTCATCAGATGCCATGCGATTGTTCTCGTCAACAGTTAATGTCGACACTCGAGAGGGAGGACTTCTCCATATAGAATACAATTCCATTCGAAGTCAAATCCGCAAGCTAGTGTTGCACATTGGGAGCGTATTGTAATATGATAAAGATGATGATCAATTGTTCGACGACACTAACAATTGCTATTGGCAGACCATAGGATCCACAACCAATTTACATGAAAACATTTGTCATGGAACATAATCGAAAGTAATTAACAATTGAGGATCCAAATTCAACATTATTGTACCTTTTTTTACATATATTTCTGGCGTATTAGTTCGTTTCCCACTATTTAATTCTGGTTTGAACTTTCTGCCGCTGTTTGAAAAAGGACAGGGCCGATCTTTGGATCAGTATATGCATGGAGTATTCTGCTTTCCTTTCACACTTCTCTCTTTAATGTCAACCTTAGCTTAGCAAACTGAGAAGAAACTTGAGACAACAGCATCAAGACAGAAATGGTTGGGGTTGGCCGGCAGGTGCCGTTCAAATGCTGTCAAACATTTTTGTATTCTTGCCGTTCTTTCAAAAATAGGCATCCGCTCAAACATTTTGTAACAATGGGCTAGGTAAGGTTATAGTCAAGGAATTTTGGCCTAACGACATGCTAGACTCTGTTGTGTAATCGTGTTATCGAATCCCTTAAAATGGTTCGTGGCGTACCTGACCACTGTCCTAGTCTGGACACGATCAAGGTCTAAGTATACGCGATCAAAGCATAACTGCTAGTGCATCGGATTGATACCCGAGATTTCTGTCAAGTTTCTTATGTTACGAGAGGTATTGTTTTCGAAGCTATATGAAGGAGATGTGATATCGTGCGATCATCAAGAAAGATGAGAAGCACGATGCGAGCATACGATGCAATGCAACATCCTACTACACCCCCTCAACCGGAACAAGATCGACATAATTAACAACATGGACAAAACCTTATATGCAGAGAGTATATCAGTAAACTAATCCAAGACTGTTGTATCTACCATGAAAGGCTTACTCATGTCGTGCTCTCTGGTCTCCTAGTATACCTGGTGCATGATATCTTACATATGAACACGAGCTGCATTTCACGTCCTTTTCCCATACCTGCAAGGCTGCAACTGCAACCCTAACACAGGACTACATATCGATCGGGATCATCCACCAGATAGAAGCAGAGCATCGTTTTAAGGCTATCAATGTTCATGGTGTAATGATCAACACCGCATCAATCCCAAACAAACTTGAATTCATTCCCTTTTGACGTCATCAATTTATCATCTTTCATACACTAACCATGAAGCCCAGAAGCATTATTTAAAAACCATAGTCAACTGAAGCTTGTGGAGAGAAGAAACAGATGAACAGGACCTGCATTTCTAGTCTTTTCCACATGCCTGCAACTGCAAGCCTAATACAGGACTACAAAAACGATTGGATTATCAACTAAAGAGTAAATTGCTGGACAGAAACAGCTATCAGTTAAGGCTATGAATTGGCATGATAAAGACTAACACTTCATCACAAAACAAACTCAATTTACAATACACTCAGAAAAAAACTTGGAACTTTATGTTGGTGATCACCTCTTTCATACACTCCCTACAAAACCCAGAAGCATTTTACAAGAAATATGTCATTGAAGCTTATGGTGGAAACGAAAGGCTACCCAAAATGAAACAAAAAAGAAAGACTAGTTTTACTACAAGTCTCTGCACAGTGAGGGCGGGCTTTGGTTTGTTTTTTTTTTTTCCCCTTCTTTTTTCAATCAGAGCTGGGATCTCTGTTCCTCAGTCTGTAAATGATTCGACCTCTGCTAACATCGTACCGGCTCACCTCAACCCTAACCCGATCCCCAGGCAATATCCTCACGAAATTCTTCCGAATTTTCCCCGAAATGTACCCGATTATCAAATCCTCATTATCCAGACGGATCCGGAACATACCGTTTGGAAGCGATTCGGTCACGGAGCCTTCGTAGGTCCACTTCTGCTCTCCAGTGGGGTTCGCCTTGGTCGCGCTGGCTGTTGCAGAGGAAGAATAAGAAGCAGAAGACCTCCCCGGAGAAGAAGCGATCAGATTGAGGCCCGGCGGCGAGGAGGCCGAGCAGCCGAAGAACGCCGTCGGGAAACGGGGGAAGCTGGAGGCGGGTTTTTCCGCAGAAGTGGTAGAGAAGAGCGCTGCCGGAGCGTAAATGCTAGCTGCCGCACTGCAGGCCATTTTCTGCAGAAGGATTGCGGCAGCTCGATTGGGGTTCTGGATTTTTTAAGGAAGAGGAAGAAGATAAGGGAGGGAGGAGACGATTGGCGAAAGAGAAGGAAATGAAAATGATGAGCAGTTTGCGAGCTGGGCCTTGAGGCTTCATTTGCTGCCCGAACTTTGATGGGCTTCACGAGGGTTCATGGGCCTATGGAATGAATTACTTGGCCCATAATTTTGTTCCCTTCCTATCAATAACCCAGATCGGTTGAATAATAGGTTTAGAGGTCCTACTCGAACTCGAGTTATCAATTAATCCGCAAGATCGGTTCAAGCTAAGATAGTATATAACTTATTTAATAATTTTTAATTTTTCATATTATGTTGTTTACTAGGATTTAATACATGAGAAATCTATGACACATAATTGCTCTTTTAAATTATAAAAATGAGAGATATCTAATTTTATTACGTGTTTAAATTCTCAAACATCATAAGTGGTGGCCATATATAAATTAAATCTAACAAACCTATGAGTTACCAGCAAAACAACGATAAATTATTGATCCGATTCGTTCGTAAGTATGCTAGTTGAAATGACTCACACTTTCGATTTTCGAACATGCCACCTCATAATTAAGTCAGAACGAGTCAGGTCATGAGTTGAGTTCAACAAACCATCAAGTTGATCTGCCTCGCCGAAGCCTTGCATGCTGAACAAGACTTAATTCAAACTCTACTCCAGTGATAACTAGACGATTCGACCTTTCTAATGCAACAGTAGCTAACTTAGCCTGGCAGAATTACCACGGGCTTCAAAGTTCAAACTCACGATCCATTGATCACCTTAATTGAAAGAGGACTCCTTAGCTTAAACTGCTAACTCCAGCTTTACTTATAGTCACAGAATTTGAACCTAGTTTGGATGCTTATTCATAGTTAGTTATCCATTATGATAAAAGGAATTGAATGGTAAACATAACAAAACCGCATCGTTAATCGTCGTCCTAGAATTTTTGTTGATATGAGCATCAGCCAAAGTATTGAGAAGATACTAAGAATCTTGTTCCCCAAGATAACAGTTTGGTGTTATTTGCCGCCCAACAATTTACTATTTGTTGTTCACAAATTTTGTAAAAATGACAAATTTCCTCTTTTTTGAATGTTTTAAAAAAAAAATTGTATTACACGAAAAATACAATTCCAGTGCCAACCCAGCGACGATCCGAAGCCAGTTTCCGAAGCTCAAAGGCCAATCATACCGTCGAAGTCGACCCGGCCAGGACCATCCAACCTTCAGTTTCGTACATCTTTTTAGGATCGACTCAAATATATTGGACCTTGATCAAACTCTTAAATCTCAAACCACTTAATCGACCGACTCAATGACTTAGATTCGGTTTTGACAACCTTAATTTACTCTACTGGCGTCGGGAAAGGAACAGTACAGAAGGTGGCCAATCAACCGGCAAATTCTCCCGTGCCGACTCTTCGACTCCCTTCCCCTGCATCAGAACTTCGGAACGTTTCCCCTTCCCATTTTCTCCTATTTTAAAAATGGTACTGAGAGATAGTGACAGTAACACCAAAGGCAAACAAGACGAAGAAAACTCCCATCTTTGTCGAGCTGTCTGCCAAGGGTTTTGCACTTTTGCTTACTTCTCCACGAAGTACCCACCTTTTGAAGCAGTTCCTCTTTTTTTCACGTTGATACATCAACAACAATCGAAAGTAAGGCACTCTGACTGTAGCTTCTATGCATGCCCTAGCCTGCTCTGTAGCCAAAGCAAGCAAGCTTTTTTTTGCTTCATTGTACCGTACAACAACAAAAACGAGTCCTCTGATCTAGTCTAGTCTAGCTTTTTACATTGCAGTTCGTTTCTCTTTTGTTCCGTTCATCTTTTTCCGTCCGGCGGTGGGTACGCCGTCGTTGCCTGATTTGATTGAAACTGCAGGGGGGTAACGGAAAGTTGGATTGGAAGTGGGAGATACGGTGGAGATGACGACGAGGGCACAGTCTGGACGCAGAGAAGATGATCCGTTGTCAATCAGTGGACGAATGTTCATCTCAACTCTGTTTTCATGGTCACTAGAGGACATTTTCAATGAAAATCTGTTTCAGGTCGCTTCCTTATTCAGCCAGCTTCCATAATCGCTTCCCATTTCCATTCCATTTTGTCTGTTTAGATTGGAAATTGGAATAGTCTATTTGGAGTATTTACTTTTCTTGTCCCAACTATATTGTCATATTTTTCATTAGCTGAATAATCATGTTGCAATTTACTACTTGTGTCTATGATTTGAACAGTAAAAGTTAATTGGCCGATATTCAAGCTATGCTTTAGAGTTAGAATTAGTTTAGTGTACTTAAAGCAATACTGAATCACTTGTTGAAGAAGCAAACCATATTCTGAGTCCATGATTTCGTCAGGAAATCATAATGAGGTGGCGTGTTAAGTATGGTATGACTGCAATATCAGGTATTAAGTACAATTACTAACTTTTTTGCAGGTACTAGAGGTTCCAGAGTCGTTCGGCTCAGCTGGAGAATATTTCAAACAGTTTGTGGTTCCATTACTGGAAGAAACAAGAGCTGAACTTGAGTCAGCCATGGAAGTTATCTCGAATGCAACCGTTGCTGAGGTGCAAGGTTTACAAGAGTGCAAACCGTATGGAACTTGCTTGTACGATGTCGCAGTTCGTGACTGGGAAAACTGCAAAGGTAGTAATTCTGGCAGTGAGCTGTACAGGACGATGCCTGGGGACATAGTTGTTTTAGCTGATGCCAAACCCGAGACGGTCTCGGATTTGCAAAGGGTTGGTCGCTCCTGGTCTCTTGCATTGGTCACAAGCATTTCGGATGATGATGATGATGTTCAAGAGTCGACAAGTTGTACTTTTTTTAAGATCCAAGCATCAGAGGACTTGGTAGCTCGAAGAGAAATGCGTAAATCAATGACACTGATCTTCTTGATAAATGTTACAACAAACCGCCGAATTTGGAATGCATTGCATATGTCACGAAACCTTAATATCATTAATAAAGTACTCTCTGCCAAGAGTTTGGTAAGTAAGACCGTTGCTATCCTGGTAATATTTGAAGTGTTCATATCTTATACTTGCAGGACAAGGAATGTCACTTTTGTTTTGGGAAAATGATCCGAGCTCCTTCTTTACTTGCAGGACAAGGAAACGTGCAGCCTTTGTTATAGGCAGATAGATACAAATCTGAAAATGGATTCTGACTTGAATGAGTCTCAAAAGGAAGCTGTGCTTGCTTGTCTGAGAAGAGTTCAGTGCAGGCATAGGTCTGGTTTGGAACTTATTAAGGGCCCTCCAGGGACCGGGAAAACGAAAACTGTCAGCACTTTGCTAGTCGGCCTTTTGAAAATGAATTGCAGGACGTTGACTTGTACACCAACCAATGTTGCTGTAAAAGAAGTAGCTTCCAGGGTTGTCAAGCTGCTTAAATCAGAATCAACCGAGAATGCTAGCGGTGGTGGTAGTTTATTATGCCCCTTAGGGGACATTCTCTTACTTGGGAATAAAGATAGACTGAAGCTGGATCCGGAAGTCGAAGAAATATACTTGGACTATCGCGTTCAAATACTTACAGAGTGCTTCGGATCTCGCACTGGATGGCAGCCTTGCATCAATGATATGGCACACTTTCTAGAGCATTGTGTTAATCTGTTCTCTGTTCATCACGAAATTGAAAGTATGCTTGCGGAAAGAAAGGATCTTGGCGAAGAAATCGAGACAGAAGGAAGCTCTGATATGGGTTCAGAGAAAAAGAAGTACGAATCATTTCTCGACTTTGCAAGAGATGGGGTTCATTCAAAGGTTTTGCCATTACTGAATTGCATGATGACTATGTGTACCCACATTCCTGAAACCTATATGGGGACAGACATTATTGAAAAGATCCAATGTGTCAATGAGTTGCTGGAATCCTTCAGTAATTTGTTATTCTGTGATAGTCTGATTTCCAATGAGATGGAGCAGCTGTTTACCTCTCCCGATTCAATCCATGATTCGTCCCATTGCTACTCTGCTGTAACCATAGAGGTATGCCATAGAAGAACTCAATGCATTTCTGAATTGAAAGGTCTGCGTAGAACATTGGAGACAGTTAAGTTTCCAAAAGCAACAAACAAGTATGCAATCCGAGAGTTCTGCTTAAAGTCAGCTTCTCTCATCTTCTGCACAGCAGCTAGTTCATATAAGCTCTATTCAGTGGATATGGATCCATTTGAGGTGTTGGTGATTGATGAAGCTGCCCAGTTGAAAGAATGCGAATCAACAATACCTCTGCAGCTGCCCGGCATTAGACATGCCATTCTGATAGGAGATGAGTGCCAATTACCAGCCATGGTTCGAAGCAAGGTATGCTGTATCCTGTGCACATGAAATACTACTTCAATGAGACTTGAGATTATTACTAGTGATGTCTATCAGCAAGTAACAAATTTCCTACTGTTTTTTCCAGGCTTGCAGTGAAGCTGGGTTCGGCAGAAGCTTGTTTGAGAGGTTAACATCTTTAGAGCATCCCGTGCACCTCCTGAATATTCAATACAGGATGCATCCAGCCATCAGTTACTTTCCCAACTCTATCTTCTACTCTGGTAAAATACAAGATGGAGAGAATGTCGAGAGCACAAGTTATGATAGACGCTACTTGCCGGGTCCCATGTTTGGTCCCTATTCATTTATAAATGTAAATGCCGGAAGGGAAGAAATGGACGATGTTGGTCGTAGCCGGAAAAATATGGCTGAGGTGGCCATTGTACTAAAATTGGTGCATAATCTGCACAAAGGTATGCTATTTCACAATGCTTCTCACTGTCTGGGATCAAAGTATTAAAATATCCTAAAGGCTTCCTGGTGAATCTTTAAGCATCAATACCCTTCTATTCAAGATGCATCTCATAGTTTTACAGTGATGGGAAATGTTATCTTATTCTATTTCTTTCTATGCAGCTTGGAACGGGTCAGAGCAGAAGCTATCTATTGGTGTTATATCTCCATATGCTGCTCAGGTGATTGCAATTAAGAAGAGACTCGGTAAGAATTATGAAGGCATAGAAGGCTTTTCAGTGGAAGTTAAATCGGTAGATGGTTTCCAAGGTGGAGAGGAAGATATCATTATCATATCAACTGTAAGATCTAATAAAAGTGGAGTGATTGGTTTTCTCTCAAATGCTCAAAGGACGAATGTCGCTCTTACAAGGGCAAGGTAATTAACTTCTTTGATAAGGTAATGAATAATGTTCACTAGCATTTAGTTCTGTTCCCAGTTTCTAATCGTTTGGCTTTTCATTCACATTTCCAGACACTGCCTATGGATTTTGGGATGTGGGAGAACATTGATGAATAGTGAATCGGTTTGGCAAAGTCTAGTGTATGATGCAAAAGCCTGCAATTGTTTCTTCGAGGTTGGTGAAGATAGAAGCTTGGGAAAAGTTGTCTTGGATGTAAAGAAAGAGTATGATCAACTTGAAGACTTGCTCTCTGGAGACAGTCAACTTTTCAGAAATGCCAGATGGAAGGTGATTGTTTATTTGGCACGCCTGTTGTCATGAGCTATGTAACAAATAATAATAATAATCTGGCTTTTGATATTCTGTCAGGTTCTGTTCAGTGATTACTTCAAAGCATCATTTGGAAGGCTGACCACTACCAGAGTAAAGATGGCCGTGATATCCCTGTTACTGAAAATATCTGGTGGATGGCGGCCTAAGAAGACCAATGTGGATATCAAATGTGAAAGGTCTTCTCACATTGTTAAGCAATTTAAAGTTGAAGGATTGTACGTAATCTGTTCAGTGGATATGTCGAAAGAAACGAAGTACATTCAAGTTTTGAAAGTTTGGGACATATTGCCATTGGAAGATGTTCGAAAGTTGGTTAACCGCCTGGAAGGAATCTTCACAACTTATACAGATGAGTTCATCAGAAATTGCAACGAAAAATGCTATGAGGGGTATGTTTTCCCTAAACCTTATCCATCCCCGTATGTTCTGAACTTTAAAGCTCATACTTTTTCTTTTTCTTTTTCCTTGGGGTTTAGGGACTTGGAAGTTCCAAAAACTTGGTCAACTGCATTTGAGATCAAGCGGTATAAGACTCTCATTGGTAATGAGGAGAAGGAGGGCAATTCTGGTGCTCCAGAGGATGAATGTTATGTAGAGAATTCAAGAGTCAGTGATAGCTTGTTGCTAATGAAGTTCTACTCATTATCTTCCGGGGTTGTGAAGTTCTTGCTTACTGATAACAAAGGTAGAGAATTGGAACTTCCCTTTGAAGTCACTGAGGAAGAGGAGGAGGTGATCATGTTCCCTAGAAGCATGTTCATACTGGGTCGGTCAGGTACTGGTAAGACCACTGTTCTAACCATGAAGCTGTTCAAGAAGGAGCAAATGTATCACATGACCGTCCAAGGTTTAAATGAAGACAACAATGACATTGAAAGCAGCTCCAATGATGATGGTCATGTTGCTGGTGGGGCCGAAACTGTTTTGAAGCAGCTGTTTGTGACTGTCAGTGGTAAACTATGCTATGCTGTTAAACACCACGTTTCCCAGCTGAAAAGGTATGTTATGTATGCTAATTTTCTTTAACTGACATTTCTTTATTTCATGTGAAACTCTATTCTTCTATTAGTTTTGAACTATATTATGTTGGTGCAGCTTTGCATGTGGTGGGAATTATTCTGCTGATCAAAGTAGTCCTTCAATGAATATGATAAATATTGATGACATGGTACAGTTCAAGGACATCCCGGACACCTTTTCTGAAATCCTTCCAAGCTCTTACCCTCTGGTTATCACCTTTTTCAAATTCCTGATGATGGTTGACGGGACCGTTGGAAGTTCATACTTCGAAAGGTTTCCTGGTGCAAGGCAGTTTCTGCATGGGAATATGTTGTCAGTCGGTCTGCAAACTTTAATCAAAACAAGAGAGGTCAATTATGAAAGATTTTCTTCAACATATTGGCCTCATTTCAATGCCAAGTCAACAAGCAAGTATGACTCATCAAGAGTCTTCACAGAGATCATGTCACATATCAAAGGAGGAATATGTGAAGAACGGTGGTCTTCTGATGCTGTTATTAGCCGATCAGACTATGTGCTTCTGTCAGAAAGCCGAGCATCCAGTTTGGATGTTCAACAAAGGGAAGTGATATATGATATCTATGAAGATTATGAGAGAATGAAGATGGAAAGAGGTGATTTTGATGTCGCTGATCTCGTTATTGATCTTCATCGCCGACTTAAAACTTGTGCATACAAAGGCCAGCTTATGGATTATGTGTACATCGACGAGGTCCAAGATCTCACAATGAGGCAGATAGCAATATTCAAGCATGTCTGTAGGAATGTGAATGAAGGATTTGTGTTTTCTGGTGACACAGCACAGACTATTGCTCGGGGAATCGATTTCAGATTCGAAGACATAAGATGCCTTTTCTATACCGAGTTCTTTGATGATGATGCAAGAAAGGAAAAAGGTCACAGAATATCTAAAATATTTCAGTTGAGCCGGAACTTCAGAACACATGCTGGTGTTCTCAAGTTGGCTCAGAGTGTCATTGACCTTCTTTACCATTTCTTTCCTTCATCTATTGACAAACTCAACAAGGAGACCAGCCGAATATTCGGCGAAGCACCTGTTTTGCTCGAAGCTGGAAGTGATGAAAATGCCATCATGACCATATTTGGGAACAAGGCTGGCGGGCATTTTGTTGGCTTTGGAGCACAACAGGTTATACTAGTCAGAGACGACCATGTAAAGAGAGAAGTCTACAGTTATGTGGGAAAACAAGCTCTTGTTCTAACCATTGTTGAGTGCAAAGGATTAGAGTTTCAGGTTAGTTGTCGTTTTTTCTCTCTTAATTAATTACTGGCTGCCAACTACTTCTCTCTCTCTCTTAAATTGCTTTAACAATATGTTGCAGGATGTTCTGTTGTACAACTTTTTTGGCTCATCACCTTTGGGCAATAAATGGCGAGTGGTCTATGAGTACATGACCTCCCAAAGCTTACTTGATCCAAGTTTTCCTCAGTCCTCCACAAGGTTTGATTTGTCAAAGCACAATATTATGTGTTCTGAACTGAAGCTTCTATATGTTGCTATAACTCGAACGAGGCAGCGGTTATGGATATGCGAGAACATACAAGACAGTTCAAAACCGGTCTTCGACTACTGGAAAAAGAAGGGGCTTGTTCAATTAAGAAAACTGGACGAAGAACTTGCACAAGCAATGCAAGTAGCTAGCAGCCCTGAAGAGTGGAAGGCTCAGGGATATAAGGTACTCATTACTTGTTTACCAAGCTTTCATCAACTTCAAAAAGCTTCCTACTTTTAGTTGTAACTTATTTCCTTTCTGTTGTTTTGTTGCATTCAGTTATTACGCGAAGGGAACTATGAGATGGCAACTGTATGCTTTGAAAGAGCGGGTGATGAACATGGGGAAAAACTGGCCAAGGCTGCTGGACTTAGAGCTTCTGCCGATATCATGCACAGTTCAAATCCAGAAGAAGCTTCAGTTGCCCGCAGGCAGGCTGCCAACATTTTTGAATCCATAGGCAAAGCTGAGTATGCTGCAGAATGCTTTTACATGTTGAAAGACTATGAAAAAGCAGGTGTGATAGCAATTATCTATTTAGTTTCGGTGAACAACAACTTAGTACTTTCGCACATGAAATTGTGGAAACTTTATTAATAACTCTTGGCCCCTTCAGGTAAACTTTATCTGCAATGCGGAGAATCAGCAAGGGTGAAGGCAGGTGAATGTTTCTGTAATGCTGGATGTTACAAGCTAGCAGCACAAGTCTACTTTGAAGGAAGCCATTTTTCCAGATGCCTTATTGCTTGCGCTGAAGGAAAGCTTTTCGAGGAGGGTTTGCAATACATTCAACAGCGCAAATTGCTAGGAGGCACCATGGGTACATCCACTTCATCAGCGAAAAGTAGAAGGGAAGTGGAGAAGATTGAGGAGCGCAAGTTCTTGGAGAATGCTGCGCTTCATTATCACCATCTCAAAGAGAAAGTAGTCATGATGAGATATGTTGAGGAATTCGACTCTGTGGAATCCATGAGATCCTTCTTAAGGTCTTTAAGCTGTCTTGATGAGCTGCTATCATTGGAGGAAAGATCTGGGAACTTTCTAGAGGCAGCTAATATTGCCAAGGAGAAGGGTGATGTTGTACTGGAGGCTAATCTACTTGAAAAAGCCGGACATTTTAAGGATGCTTCGTCCCTAATTCTGCTGTATGTATTAGCCAAGTCTCTTTGGTTAGCTGGAAGCAAGGGCTGGCCTTTGAAGCAGTTCGAAGAGAAGAGGTTACTTTTAGAGAAAGCAAAGTCCTTAGCCAACAATGAACCTGAGCAATACCTAAACTTTGTTTCTCTACAGGGTGAGATACTATCAAATCAAGAATCTTCCTTATCAGTGTTGGAACGAAATTTAGCTGATTCCCGGAGGCAGAAGAGTATCAGTGGTCAGATACTGTCAGCAAGAAAGATTCTGGATGCACATGTAAAGCTGAACATCTCCAAGTATGCATGGGAGGATAAAGTGGTGGTTGTTGATGAAGAAAAGTTCTCAAAAGATAAGCTTTCTCGAAATAGTGTGTCTATTGAGACACTTGTTCACTGTTGGACTCTCTGGAAGGACCAGATTACAAATATGCACGAGTATCTTGAAGAATTTGATTCCAAAACCACTTTCGATCTAGCCGGCTACGGTGAGTTTTGCCTCGGTTACTTTGGAGTCAGGAGGTGCTTCCAAAATGGGAAAACAATTTATGTACTTTTGAACCCTGATGCTCAATGGGTAAGAGAAATGGATACAAGATTTGTCTGGAAATATGGGGAGCTCACATGCATAGATGTCAAGCAGTTATTTTCCCTAGCCAGACGTTATTGGTGCTCGCAGTTGCTGTCTATTGGACTTTCAGTGTTGGAAAAACTTGAAGGCCTCTATTCCAAGAGTTCATCGTCCTCCTTATTCCGAAAAGTTAAGCCATTGAGTTATATATACGAAATTGCCAACTTTCTGTTGAACTCAAAGTTCAGATTCTCAGACACGGATGCTCTGGATGGATACATCAAACTGTCAGCTGCAGACTACTTTGGCTGCATTTTCCCTCTAGATTGGACAGAGTCAGTGCTAGAGAACATGGTAAAGTTCAGGAGAAGCGATCTATGCAGAAATATGATAAGAGATTTGGTTCTCAGAGATTTAAGCTCCAAGAGTTGGTTTTCTTATGGCCGACTGGGCAGGTTGGCTCTGACCATCCTTGGCTCTGCGCGTGAAGCTTTTCATGGATCAGGTGATGACATAATGAGCAACCAATCATCAAGCTTGAACTTGCCCTGGAAGAGGTTGATGGAGCATCTCCTTGGAAATGTTAATGCTGAAACCCCTAATGACTTGGAGTGTGCTAATCTTCATGGAGCACTTGTTGACACGTACTCTTTTGACTGGAAAAGTGCAAGCGAGTACATTTCTCCGAGCTGCTTCCTTTACCTGGTTGAACGTCAGTTGATTCTGGTCTCATCTTTAAAAGGTTACATCATCAGTAACAAATCTTCGTTTCTAGAGTGGCTCTTTTACCAGGATGGGCGAAATGGCAATCATTCCATCAATTCCATGTTGTATTCAAGCGTTGTGGGATTCATCGCTCAAGTTGCTCAACAACTTCTTCACCAGAAGAAGGAAACAGTGGAGTGGATCAAAAGATGTCAACCTCATGGGAATGACAAAGACAACTATCGGGCTGTTGTCCTCAGACTGGTTGCTATAGTATTATTGCTTCATTTGAACTGCGGATCATTTCACAAGTTGCTTATCGACATGCTATCTTGGAGGAATGTTACTGAACAGCTCCCTCGAGGATTCTACAATGTGCTGTGCAAGATAAAGAAGTGCAGGACCCTGAATGATGCTATATGTGTATCCGCTGAAGCTTTCCAGCTAATTGGGAACCCAGTTGTGCTTGTGAATCTTGGAAAAAATGTTTCTTTAAAGGACTTGTGTCCCCCTGCAGTATTTGTGGACATGACGAGCAACAGGAGCATTGATGATGTTCTAGTAGGATTGTTTGATCCGAGATTAGATAGAGAACGTAGTGATGGCCGAAAGCAGCCTCCTGCACCTTGTGCTGCCCTTTCAGGCCTTTGGAACACGTTTGAAGAAGTCCTTGCATCAGGAAAAAGCAGCAGCAACAATAATTTCCAAATTGATCCATCAACCAAGGTGCCCCCTTCTCTCAGACTATATGAACTGCAGTACTGCACCAGTTCATTTCCTGCTGTTTGAAACACACCGATTGACCATTGCTCATTCTTCTTTTTCTTTTCTTTTTGCAGGAAGAGATAGAAAAGGCTATTACTTTGCTGGGTGATAGAATAGGTCTGGGCCTTCCTAATGATGAGAAGTGTATGAAGTTGTTGAATGAAGCAATAAGCACCGTGGATGAATTGAACCAACTCCTTGCCATTCTTGATACCAGGTTGGTTAGCTTGAACATGGATCTTCTCAAGTCTTTCCTTTTCTTTATTTACATGCTTACAATCACCAATCATCTCACCAATGCATACGTTTTCTTTTTCTGTACTTGTCAGTGAAAATGACGGGTCAACCGTTGCAGAGCTCATCAAGAAGTTGCAGTCGAGAAGGCCACCAATTGAACAAATTCTGAATATCACACGCTCGCAGGAAGATGCAGATAGGCTACTCCTTGGAGACATTACGATGTCCGAGACCATTCCCACAACTGTGGAAGACGAAGAAAACAGCTCTACTTGTACTGCTGTGGATGGCGCCAATCCAGATGGAGGAAGGATTAAGGCTTCAGAAGCTGATGACAAAAATGCTTCTGAAACAAAGGCTGACAGCACTAATGCTAATGCTTCTGCAGCAGGGAAGAAAGGTAAGGGAGCCAAGAACAAGAAAGGCAAAAGGGGGAATGGCGGAAGAAAGAACAAGAAGTAGCTTATGAAACTGTGGTTGCCAGTAGGCAACTCACTTCCAGTCAGAATATCGTTGTTGCCTATGTTAAAGCTTTTGGACTTCTTTCCAATCGTGTGAATATTAAGGTTGCTGTCCGAATTTCGTCTCGCCTGGTTTAAGCTCGTAATGTGTTTATGAAATGTTAATTCATGGTGTTCTTAGTTTGGTAAAATGAGGAGACTGAGCTAATTATTGATTTAAGTAAATTGGTTTTAAGGTCTCTAATTGGAACTATAAAAAAAAAAGCAACTGACACCCATTCATTCTTCTATACCGATTCAAGAAGGCAATCCTCGGGTACACATGATCTAATTGGAACAACACAGAGATTCAAGAAGGCGAAAGTTCATTCACAGCCACCATTCAATAAGCTGGAAAGATAACAACAGGCCAACAAACACATCTTACCATTTCAACTAATCAAAAGCGATCAAACCGGTTTAACAATCACTAGAAAGCTCGAAACCTACACAATAACTGAGCAAGAACCAAAAACACCAGAGATGCCAATATGCCTTACAAAGCCTCCTAATCTCTCCGTCAAACCAACAAAGCAAAATGCAGATCGAGAGTCACTATGGATCACAGGTTCTGCATAAGATAAAGCATTTGGTACATCTCATCCACATAAAATTTAAAGAAACACAAACACAAGAGAACATCGGACTTGTTAGATGCTGCAGTTCTACCTTCACCAAATATAGCTTTCCTTCGAATAGTACTTCAGCCGCTACTGCTGCTGTCGAGGATCGACTGAGCCTGATCAAGGATCAACTGTTGCCTCTTAACAAAGTGCTCCAAAGCTTCGATATCGAGCTCCTTCCATCTTCTAGCAAGCTCGTTTCTTTTCGATCCATCCACCATGTCCATCCCCTTGTTCACCACAAAGGCCTCAACTTCTGCATCAGCTGAGCTCAAATCAAAGCTTAACCCATATTTCCGATCATTGACCCCATCGACTTCCATTGTTTCCGCTCCTTCATTCCCTGCTCCCAAAGCAGCACTAGCGGCGCTCTTTGCATTTCCATGTCCGTTCGCTGTACCCAAATCAGCAGCCTTGGATGCACTTTTACTGCTACCTACACCGTTAGCACCACCGCTCTTCTTCGCTTTGTCGCTCGACTTACCGTTTGCAATTGGGCCTAGAAGTCCTTCTCCCTGGCTGTCCCAGATCATTTTCGAAAGGTCGAAAGTTTTCTGGTCATGAGCTCTGCTAAAGCTCTTGTCCAAACCATTCTTCCCTTTGGCGTGATTCATGAATTTCTTCCTCAATCTGGTAACTTTCTCCTTCAGTTGAGACAGCGACGCATCCACACACAGAGAATTCTTGATGAAATCATAGAAATACGCCATGTCCTTCAAGGGATCAGCTCCTTCCTCCTCAGCGAACTCGATCAGCCCATCCAACACAGCGATCTCGTCATTCTCACCCCATAGCCGCTGAAAGATCGCTCTTGGCGTATGTTCGTTCTTACCGTCGCCGTCCGCCACCTCTTTCTGCCTCTTGGAGTCCTTTGCTTCCCTATCAGTTTCACTCCCCCTCTTTGTCGCCGGCGTAGATTTAGAGGAAGAGGCAGGAGCCGGCGCTTTAGGCTGGGGCTTGGAAGCGATGGGCTTCACGTTGTGCAGAACCCCAGAGCTCTTCGGCGGCGGATCAGAGTCGGAATCCGTGTCGGATTCGTACTCGGAGTCGGAATCGGAGTTCTCAACGGCTGGTTTCTTCGGTTGAAGCTGTGAATGGGGAGTCAACGTTCTCAACTGCGGCGGCAGTTCATCGTCGGAAGAGGCTTCATCTGTGGAGTCTTCCTCGGAAGAAGAAGCAGCTGGAGGGTTTTCTTTCGGATTCGGCCGCTTGGAAGCCATGGGAGATTCGCAGAGCTGCAGTGGTTGCGCTAGGGCTCGAAGATTTGTAGAATAATTTCGGCTATAATAACGACGGGAAACCAAATATATAGGGGATGGTAAAATTTAGGGTCGGGTCGGGGTCAGATAGGTCGGGTCAATTTAAAGTCGGGTCACTTTTTGACCTATGATGCTATGACCCTTAGCATCATACAAACATGTTGGACCTATTTGTAAAATTTTATAAGTTTAGGTACTAAATTGTAAAAATTAAAAATTTTGGGTACCAAAACGTAATTTTACCATCAAATTTTAGGGACTTTTTTGTAAAAAATAAAATTTAGGTACTAAAATGTAAGAAAAAATAAATTCGGGTACCAAATTGTAATTTTTAGAAAAGTAGTCTATTTATTAGGGTCGACCCACTGACCCGACCCTTCCTGACCCGCCCCGACCCTAAATGGTCAGACAGGGTAGGGGTGAACAAACACACCCGCAAACCGACTCACCCGTCCAACCCGACCCAACCCACCCGTATTTATCGCTAAAACGAAGGTTTTGGGTTGGGTGAGGATTTTCTTTTGCACAACCCGCCTCTTTTGGGTTGGGTTTGGATTTTTTATTACACAACCCGTAAAACCCGACCCAACCCGTGTTCCAATTATTGGTATGAGTTCGTAACCAAAAAAAATATTTATGTCGTATATAGTCATACTTATGAGAAAATTGAGATATTTTTTCATGTTTTTCTCTTAAGGTCTCCCTAATCTAATGCATTCTTCGGCTTAAAGTTTAGACATAAATTTAATATAGCTATGATTCACGTAATTTTTTTTCTTGTGTACAATTTTAATAGAATAATATATTTTGGATGCGTTCATTTGTAACCTTTTTAGCCTATTTCAACAAATGTCATGAAAAAAACTAGACATAAGTTGAAGTAAATCGAATTTTATTAAAATTCAAACAACATTTGTGAATTTTGATACCTTTCACCTTGATTTATTCGTTTGAATTTTTAATTAGTTATAAAATATTTTTATGATGTAGAATAATTACATATTTTTGTGTTGGGTTGGGTTTTTACTTATAAATATCGCCAACCCGACCCAACCCAATTAGAAACAAACCGTAGGGTTTAGATTTTTTTGGGTGGGTTTGTGTTTAATATTTCCCAAACCGTAGTGCATGGGTCGGGTGATTAAAATGTCTAAACCCGGACCACCCGACCCATGTACACCCCTAAGACAGGGTCATGAAAGAAACAGGGTCGGGGCGGGTAAGTTATACATCTTGACCCTTCAGGGGCGGATCAGACAGGGTCAGAGGCGGGTCGGGCCAATTTTCAGCCCTTGTAATACAAGACACTAAAGTTAAAATATGTAACAAAATGGTCCCTCTATTATATTTCATTATAGAAAAGATGTACAGATTTATAATATGTAACAAAATGGTCCCTTGACTCTTAGCTCCTTCCAATTAGACTTCTATATACGAAAATATCTTGACATAAAGAAACTATCTTTATCAATAGACGTGGTCGAACAATTGATCAGTCGAATTGGTAGCAATAAGACATTTTGGAGATGTTGATTACAATTTAATGAGATGTTATTGGACTGACATTTACAATACAAATTTTAATGATTAAGTGATTTTTTAGTCATAACTAACCCAATAATGTTATAGACTTTTTGAGACAATTTATTACAATAAATGTCTTTCCAAGCCTTTGGTCCTTCCACCATTTCCATGTCAAGAACTTGGATCAAGGTCTAGTTCATCCTTCTCTTCTATAGTTCGACCTATAAGTGTATGTCTGATCAAATCTCTAGCTAGTGCATACCGCAACTGAGATGGAACTAAATTACGATTTCAATCCAAACTCTGAAACTCAATGTATCATTGTTTGAGTTACCACTTAAGTCACCAAAACTATGGCTTTCATATAGTAACAACAAAATGAGGCAGCATTACTGAGTTTGTACAATTTCTGTTTTCCATTGACGAAGTCCAACAGCAATAATACAGCTAGGATGAAGGAACGTCATCGCCATGTACATTTCTGAAAACTCCAGTAGGGTGCAATGGCATCATGCAATGCTTTCTGGGGTCTCTTCTTTTAACCAAACCAGGAAAACAAAATCACATGGTAAGAAACCAGTTCAAAACAAAGTGCTGGTCTTCTTTACTTGATAAAAAAACCACAGAGATAAATTAGAAAAAGAAGCCAAAGTTCTCTCTCAAGAAGTGAGGTGAATCAAAGGAGTTAGGGCAGAACAACAACAACAACAATGGGTTCTCCATCTTTCTGCCTGATCATTATTCAGTCTGCAATTGATGAGAAGAAGCTGGTAAGCAAACTATGTACCTGGTTTTGCCTGCATTTGGTTGGAGTTCTTCTGTTCAATTACCTTTTCTTCTCTGTTCTTATCTTGTTTAAGCTTGACTTGCTCTGCATCTTATGTGTGCTTTGGCTTTCTGCTTCTGTTCTGATGCCTTCATATGTTTCTGTTCCTGTTCTTAGCTTGGGTTGTCAGTTGTCACTCTATATGAACTCCATTTTGAATTAATTTCATTGACCATTTCTTCATTGCCAGCTTCTGCCAGTGGAGTTTGTGAGCCAGCATTGTGGAGATCTTGCAAAGTTTGCCACTTTCAGGGCGCCAGATGGGCGAACCTGGCCGATACTGATTGCAAGGAGAAGTGGCGATGGCAAGAAGATGTTCACCCGCGGTTGGTCCGAGTTTGCAGCTTACTACTCCATCAGCCACGCATATCTGATCGCGTTCAAGTACAAGGGGAACTCCGATTTCCATGTCAGGATCTTCGATCCAACCTGCTGCGAAATCGCATACCCAACTCCCAGGACAGTAGATCAGCATGAATCTACACAATGTAACACCTTCTACTCAACTGACAACAGCAGTGTTGATATTTTTTTTTCCAGAAAGCTTGCCTCTTTCTTCTGCAAACTATGACTGTCTGTGTGAACTTACAGATGAGAATGATGAGGAGAGCTCAGGAGGAGATGGAATTCCGATCACAACGAGCAGAAACTACGATAAGGTGTACCAGAAGGCTACACCATCAGGCCAGAGGACGATTCTAGCCGCAACGAAGCACAAGCTTCACAACCCTTCATTCATGCTGGTGGTGCAACCCTACAACTTGTCAAACCCTGTGGCTGTGAGCAACTCTGGCTTCAAATTGTTTGTTTACCATTTTACTTGCGTAGCAAGCCATTCAACATAATGGATGTTGATGCTTTGTTTTCATTTTGCTGTGTTGGTAAAAATGATTGCAATGCTAGTATGTGCCTGGGGAGTTTGCTGCTAAGCACCTCAGCCCGGATTGCAGCAGCATATTGGTGAGAGATTCCGTCAGCAGAGGCGAGTGGGCGATCCAGTTCACGTGGAGGGACCGTGGAGGCTTGAACTTGGGGCTCGGGTGGGGAGCTTTCACCATGGACAACGAGTTGAAGCCCGAGGATGTCTGTCGATTCGAGCTGATCAGTAGTGACGCTGAGAGATACTGTGTCATGAAAGCTCATCTCTTCCGAGTCTCCTACCCATGAAAGCAGCAACTAGACCGAAAGTATGCTCGTTCGTGTCTCTCCTCTTATCGATCAAGCTGATGTGTTTATATGACTAAATCAATCAATGAATCATATGTCTATCAACTGATTGAATCTACGCTGTGTAATAATTAAGTTTCAAAGCTTTGGATGTTGGGCTTTGGATTGCTCGAGTGTTCCTTGTGTACTACAAGGTCGTGTTTGAAACAAAGGTCCGAGTGCTGGTGGTTTCTTGGGGGACAAGTTAACCATAAACTCATCATCTATTTGCTAGATGCAAGTAAAACTTTAGAGTTCATTTTTGAATCTTGTCCCTAAAAACGAGTTCATTTTTATAAATGCTTCCAGTTTATCGGAACTGAAAACATGAGAAAACTTGGATCGATATTTTCTATACTTTAACTTACTTACAGTGAAACACTACCTAACCAAACCTAAATAAAAGTGCAAAACATCATTTGCTGGATAGAAGGATCTCCATCAGTGTCTGTTAGAAATATTGCCTTATTATTAGTACTAGAAAATTGACCCGCGCTCTGCGGCGGGTTCTCAAAAATAAATTGACTAATTAACTGTGAAAAGTAAATTTTAAATCAAGGTGAATGTCTTTTGTGGTCGAAAAGGAATCATGTATTAACTTGAAATGGATGCGAATAGGACCATAATCAACTTTTTAATCTCTTTAGTCTTCATGGACTTGTATATGATTTCAAAGTAAGTAGTTGGATTTACAATTATATTGAATTGATTAATTGAATGTATGATAAGTGAGTGTGATATTCTCTAATCTTGTGAATAGGCAAGAAAATAATTTTGCGATGAAGAATAAAAGAATTTTTACAACATGTGCGATGGAATATTTACATCTTACACAATAAAATTGTTATCGGACCACAATAATGGTTCAACCCTTGAGATTTAAAATAGAGTATATTTTGAAATAGTGCTATATTCAAATTGAATAGCTCGCAGTTTCACATATAGTTTCCTATGCATTATAGTACAATGAAATACCAAAATGAAGAATATTTGATTATGACTATGTATGGGAATGCATGACCCATCCGCATCAAACATTGTAACATCATACATTGTATTCACTTTGTGAATTTTATTATATATGCATGCTTTCTTACTCACATCCAAAAATACCCAACATAACTTAACAAAATAATTGAAATAAGTGGATCTATAAGAATGTGTTAGGTATATGATGGATTCTAACAAATCAAATGATAAAACCTCAACATTTAATGAAAATAAAAACTTAAATAACAAAAAGAGCAATGAGAATAATTTTATAACATGATTATATTCTCGGTGATCAAGTGAAGGAGATGATGAGGCCAATAGAGGTGAACAGGTGGTATGTTTTCACTTTAAACATAAACATGTGTCAGTCATGCAAAAGAATGATCTGCATGAAACGTGTAATTGAATTGGAGTTACTTCCCTAGCTAAGAGTACGTCGAGGATCATAAGGGTCTTGAAAAGAATCTATCATATGAATTGGAGTCCCAATTTGTCCAGCCACCAAGAGTCGATCGGAGAATGGAGGTTAGATGAACGATCGGTGAGGATTGGCGGCTATGCCAGAGTTATTCGCAGGGGATTTACGGTGAACTCTCCAATTAGAAGCTGGGAGGAGTAGCGACTGTAGAAAATCTGGTGAGAGAATCCAGCTTGGCCAATCGCCAGTGAATCGTCGGAGGGAAGAAGGGGGAAGAAACAGGATTGCTACGCATTGGTGACCCGCCAACTTGGCCAATCGCCAGAAAATCGTCGTGGGGAAGATAGTGGGAACTGAAGGGGCGGTTTAAGGGAATAAACGGGTCCACAAAGCTTACTGTGAACTCTCAAGTAGGATAGTAAACCCCTTAAGTCTACAGTATAATTAATTGGCCAATCGCCAGTGAATCGTCGGAGGGAAGAAGGGGGAAGAAACAGGATTGCTACGCATTGGTGACCCGCCAACTTGGCCAATCGCCAGAAAATCGTCGTGGGGAAGATAGTGGGAACTGAAGGGGCGGTTTAAGGGAATAAACGGGTCCACAAAGCTTACTGTGAACTCTCAAGTAGGATAGTAAACCCCTTAAGTCTACTCGCCAATTAATTATACGGGTCCACAAAGCTTACTGTGAACTCTCAAGTAGGATAGTAAACCCCTTAAGTCTACTCGCCAATTAATTATACTAATAATTAGTATTTTGTTAGCGTGAGCCGGCCCATTAGTACTAAATAGTTTAGGGTAAAATTAGAGTTGATTTTTTTTGGGTTTTCAGTTTATTTTCTTATATATATATGTAACTAGCTTTATACCCACCCGTTGGGCGGCAAATTTTGATTGGTTATTATATTTTTCGTCCTAGTATTATAATTTTATTTATGATTCATTATGTTAAACTATTATACATTGAATTGTTAATCTCACTTACCAAATTTCATATATTATTTCACATTTTTAATCTTTCATTTATTTATGAAAATTTAATTTTATTAAATGAGCTCTCTATAATAATTTCTTTATTGATTTATAATTATGTATCGAGTCCACCCTTTAAAATATAAACTAAGAGATTATTAATTTTTTAACACACAAAATGACAAAGAAGTTAAAATTTAGAAGGATACAAAAGAAGAAGTTAAAATTTGCAAATATATTTCAATTAATAAAAAAAAAGTGAAGAGCTTTCATTTTCTCACCCTTCTCGTACGTTGGTATATGATAATAGAGAATATCGCAATCTAGATCCCACAAATATCGTGTAGTATCAGTTACTCGTGTAATTTTGGAAGAATGAGAAACCACATTGGCATCCACATCATCAATCTTCCGCTTATTCGTTTAATTTACCTTGAAAATATTCTAGCAAAATCAACCACAAATAAAACTGTTGTTTGTCACTAATTTATTAAAACTATGTTTTCAGTAAACTAAACTGCATATAATCATAATTTATATTTTGTAGAGAGCTACATACCCCTGCCAAAAGGATCATGTTTTTCTACCTAATAATAACATAAATGAATAGTAAAAGTTGTATACTTCAATATAACTCAAGTCATTATATCTTGCAAAGTCCTCATTGTGAATCGGATTGATGCATCAATCCAAATAGCAGTTATTATGAAACAATCAGGCAAAAATCAAGCTTTAGTTAGGGATTCTATTAGGCAAAATTCACGCTAAGGAAACAAACCAATGTCATTACAAACGTCTAGAAATGGGGGAAAACATCAACATTTACTACCATTTTATTTCTTCTTCGCGCCCTTTATAAAACCCCAAATATGTTCCCTCCTACTTATAACCCCCTGCTACATACTATTTACTTGATCAGATCATTGTCACATAGCTAGCAAGTAGCATGTCACTCGTGAACATAATAAACATAATGAACAACCCTCACAACTCTGCTTTCCATTTTAACATCCAAGGAATCGAGTTGCAATAGGCCTCCAAGGAAAACGATCAATTATTCAACCAAAGGAGAGATGCTCCAAGTCCAAGCAACGAACCCTTGTGACATTTTACATGCATTTGAATTCTTGAAAGTATTGTAGACATATCTATTAATATCTAAGAATATGTATAATGATTTTATTTTAATTTTTAACCCTAATTAATACCTTTGAACTGGCTCATCGTCTGAAATATGAAAACGAAATTTTGTGGCTAGGATAACTCGATCTAAATACAAATTGCTTAATGTTACTAACCAAAAGATTTCCATTTTGAGACTTCGATATTGAAAAAGTTTTTGTTATTGCCAAAATTTGGTATGGAGTCACAGACTCACAACCATATAGGTGGGGTTGTTTGCTTGATGAATTTGGAGCTATCGTGAACTTTGTCCAACCATTGCTTGCTTCATGTATTTAGAGGCAACAAATATGTGGGTCTCATGTATTTTAAGGTTCCAAATTTGTGGGCTCCACAGACTTGAAAATTTCACCTCTTTAGATGGAAATTCATCATGGAATTTGCAGTCTATTATTTATGACCAACCTACCCCTCATATTTCATTTCCCTTCTCATACCAATGAGGGTAATATATGTCATTTTCACTTCCAACATACAAATTCAATTAACCAAATGTATCATGAAATCTATGAAATGAAATATGGTATTTTCAAATACATAATGAACCAAAAACCTTCATATATCCATGCTTTTACAAAATCCAAGTTTTATTAAAACCTTCAGTTTTCAAATCCACGAAGCAAACTACCCCAATGTTTTCTTACAATTGTCTTACTAAACTCATCCTTATTAAAGATTCTTTATTTTAACACAATACCTCAATTCAGATTCTTGTAGCTACAAAAAAATTTTATTTAGATATCTCAACTAACACACTTATGTTTATTTATTGCCTCTATCCTCGAATTTAGATTTGTCTATCAAGACATCAACTATTAAATAAATTTTTTCAACCCTTATTTGATCAATGCTAAGGTTAGTGGTTGATGAAACGTGATGTTTATCGTAACGAAGATTTTTTTAACCTTCACACATGTTGTTTTTTAAGTGATGTTGTGTCTCATCTTAGGTATGAAGTCAAAACTCGTCAAAAATCATACTTAAGTCATTTTGAAAACTTTGATGTAATAATGTTCGACAATAACTTCAAATAAAAAAAATTACTTAACATTCGACTTGTGACCTCAATAGAGATTGTTCAATTACTATGATCTAGAGTGAATATTTTTATATGAACCCTAGGACAAATTATAAAGTATTGCACACCTGATTCCTCTTAATTTGAGAAACTGAAGGTAGAACATGAATATATGTTTTTCACTTAATCATGATGAATAAGAAGTTTTTTAAGGAAAGAACTATTATTGCTTAGTGAAATTTATATTCAGAACTTTTACTATATAAGACTTGTTTTATTTGATAGAAATATATATTAGAAATAATTCGACCAAAAAAATACATTAGAAATAAGAGAGTTGTTAATACTTTCAATTGATATAGTCACTCTCTATTTCCATCTTTATAATTTTTTTAATTGACAAAAATATTATACTTTTGTGTGTTTGTTTACATTCTCAAAAAAATCTAATTTATTATTATTTTTTTAGTAAAAATGAGTAGAAATATTAAAAGAAGAGAGATATAGCTCCATAAATAGATCAATAATGAATTTTCTATTTGCAAAAAAAGTTGTCCACCTTGGCAACTTGTGAATTCTCCAAGTGCTTATGTGGCAAGAAGTTACTTTTGAATTGCCATAATATTTTTTTAGTAAAAATGAGTAGAAATATTAAAAGAAGAGAGAGATAGCTCCATAAATAGATCAATAATGAATTTTTTGTTAATTAAAAGAAGAGAGAGATAAAAATGATCGATTAGCTAACTTCGATAGGTCGTAGTATATAAGATACGACAACATACACCTAAATCTTCATCCACCAAAAAGAGAAGTATATTAATTAATTGTCGAAGAAACTTGGGTCGTCGATGCTACTTCAATTCAGTACCTTGTTGCTCGAACAGTCCGCCGGTCGGCCTCCTGCTATCTCTTTATTTCTCCGGCTGCATTGATCATGTATATCTATTTCCTTTCTCCTTTCTTATAATATATAATAACTACCTCTCTCGATCACTCTCCTATGACTTCCCAGAAATAATGTACATGTATGTTCCGTTTGACATGCAAATGGGCGAGTGAGGGGATTTCAGTTACGATCGATTAGCTAACTTCGATAGGTCGTAGTATCTATACATAATATTATGGCAATTCAAAATTAAATTTTTGTCACATAAGCACTTGGAGAGATCTCAAGTTGCCAAGGTGGAACAATTTTTTACCAAAAAAATAGTTATTGACCTATTTATGGAGTTTCCCCTCTCTCTTCATTTAATATTTAATTCTCTTTTATCCAATAAATAGTTTGCTTTTATTTTTGCATTATATCTACAAATAATATATGGAGAGAAATGTTAACAAACCGCTTTAGCAAGTGGAATGGTTTTACCAGTGGTACAACCGGTTTGTTTATGTTCATGCTGGTTAATAAAATATGTAGAAATATAAAAAATCATTAATATCAAATGAATTTAATCATATATAAACCATATTTGAAGACAATTTACGTAAAATTCATATTGATATTTGATTAAAATATGATATTTTTGAATAAAATTACATGTACTCATACTTAAATTCACTAAAATTATGTATTTTACTTAGAAATTCGTAAAATGATCATACCGGTCATACCGATGGTATCATGTCTATTTCATGACCGATACCAGTTGAATGGTTCAACTGGTGGCATGCCGACCGACATGCAAATCATGATGGAGAGTGACATATATCACATTTTATTTTTGCATTATATCGATGTACGCAACAGTATAATAATGTTAGTAGAGTGACATATATATCGCACTTTTTAAACCAAAAAATATATGATTAAAGATACTATGTAAATTTCTGCTCATTTTTACCGAAACTTCATAATAATTTACATTTTAATGAATAATTTAAACAAACACACAAAAAAATAATATTTTGTCGATAAGGGCTGGAGAAACTTGACCAAGAAATAATAGTTATTTATTAAAAAAGCTTCTTATTCATTCTCATCAAGTGAAAACATATGAATCGCATGTGCAGTATTTATAATGTCCTAAGTTCACATTATTAATATTTTCTCTAGGTCATGTTGATTGAGCAAGCTCTATTGAGGTCTTACATCATATATATGCAAAGAAATTTTCTTTTGAGACTTGGAGTTATTTATTGTTAAAGATTATAAATTGAAGTTTCCAAAATGACTTGAGTATAATAGTTGATGAACTTTGACTTCATATTCTAGGATGAGACACGAGATTCCTTGAAAAATGAAATGTGTGAAATTTAGAGAAATCTTTGTTAAGGATGTATGTTAAACATCACATTTCATGCTAAGAAATATCTAAATTCAACGACTGAGGTAATAAATAAACATTAATGTTTTACTTCACATATATAAAAAAAATATTTATAGTTACAATAGTGTAAACCAAGCTATTGGGTCAAAAGAAGAATATTTAATAAATATGAGTTTAGTAAGAAAATTATAACAAGTCTATATAGTTGTGAGCCTGTGTTTCATACCAAATTTTGGCAATAACAAAAAAAATTGATATCATATTCCATCCAAGGAGCTGAGTTCAAAGATATTAATTAGTGTTGAAAGTAAAATAAACTCTTTGTATATATATGTTTAAATATTAACAATAGATGTGTCTACAATACATCCAATAATTTCAATACACGTGAAAAGCCACAATGTTTGTATGAACTTTTCATTTTGCTACAAAATATTTTGTTAAAAATTATAAGTTAATTATTGGAGGAATACATAATTTTGAATGCACCTAAAATATTTATCTGTCGTATACAGACTTTACCAATTATTACATAAGTAATGAAATTTTTGTTCTAGAACAAACACCAAACATAAAGAAATTTTAGCGAATGGACATTCAAATAGTTGAAAAATTATACATTGAAGGAACCTGTTAAGATGAGAACCTTCGATAGTGTATATGAATGCCTTGGATTCAAATTCTAAACAAACATCTAGACAAAAGGCATGAGTTGAGGGTTAGTCCTAACTTAAAATGTTAGCAATTGATATATATTGTAAGATAATAATAATATTGATAGAAAAATTGTCATAAGTTGCTATACAAAGACTTCATGAACATCAACAATAAAAATGAGTGAGGTTTAGAGAATTGAATCATAATAAGGGATACGATGTGTGTCAAATTTCAATTGGGATAAACATAATTTATCCAATAATCAAGTATCTTTATCCAATAATTTGAACTCTGATTAATTGGCTGAGAGTTCGTACAAACTCGAGAATCATGAATTGATATATGTTGTATAAGTTAATAAATTTGAGTTCTTGGTGGAAATTATTTTATATACGATCCTAAATGGGACGTGATAAACCTTTACGACATGATTTATGATCAGAGAATAACAACATCACAAGCGAGTTGTCTAACTATTAAATATTAAGAATTTTCGATATAGGCATACTACATATTCAATTATCAAGCGAGAGCAGAACATGTATACAAGATCCAAAAAGTTCAAACATGTAGAGGGACGGGAGGTTTAGGCTCAAATCAGCTTATAAGCTTGCTGCTGATCAGCTGGAGACAACTGAGGAGGGTTTTTGGAAGAAGCTCTGGAGTTGGAAGGGGCCAAGTCGCACAAAACACTTCCTTTGGTTGGTGATGCATGACAAACTTCTCACAAACAAGGAACGCGTGAAAAGGAAGCTCACCCTGAATGGCAACTGTAACCATTGTAAGGACACTGAAGAAACCACAGAACATATCATCAGACTCTGCAGGAAGACTGAAGGGGTTTGGGAAAAGTTCAGAACCAGGGTTACTTGCAAGGATAGAAACCTACCTTTCAAGGAGTGGATGTCCAAGAACCTTGAGGATGCAAACCAAGGTACTGAATTTGGCCTGATTGTGTGGCACCTTTGGAAACAGAGGAACGAGGAATGTATGGAAGGCACTGTGTATGTGGAGAAATCACTTATTTGCAGGATTGAGGCTTGGTTCAATATTTATAAGAAGGCCCTGCAAAACGTGGACAGAAGCTTCATGCCCGAAAGAACGAGAAGTGAAGTCCAGGTTGGATGGATCCCTCCACCTGAGGGATGGGTACAGGTCCAGACTGATGGTTCTGTCCTCTCTCCCTCAGGTTTTGCTGCTGCAGGTGGCCTTATTCGTGACTGCTTGGGACGCTGCTGTGCAGCTTTTGCTTGCAACTTGGGAAACTGCTCAATCACTGCAGCAGAACTCAAAGGAGCAGCTGTTGGGCTTGAGATCGCATGGGAGAAGGGCTTCCGCCATGTTGAACTCAAGCTGGACTCTACTACTGCTATCACCATTATGAAAAACCGGTCGGATGATGATCACAGGCATGGACTGCTGGCCCAACACATCAGCAACCTCCTGAATCGTGAATGGATTGTGTCTGTTTCTCATGTGTATAGAGAAGGAAATCATGCTGCTGATTTTCTTGCTAGTTTTGGTCACAATCTTACTTTTGGAACACATCATGTTGATGTGGACAGCCATGAGCTCTGTAAATGGCTTGACTATGATGTTATGGGTGTTTCACAACCCAGGTTCATTAATATATGAGTTCTAGACGCTTTAGCGTCTGTCTTTTACCAAAAAAAAAAATAATAAGATGAACTTCTCCGGCCAACTGGCCGGATAAAAAACTAGTATAAGATATGACAACATACACCTAAATCTTCATCCACCAAAAAGAGAAGTATATTAATTAATTGTCGAAGAAACTTGGGTCGTCGATGCTACTTCAATTCAGTACCTTGTTGCTGGAACAGTCCGCCGGTCGGCCTCCTGCTATCTCTTTATTTCTCCGGCTGCATTGATCATGTATATCTGTTTCCTTTCTCCTTTCTTATAATATATAATAACTACCTCTCTCAATCACTCTCCTATGACTTCCCAGAAATAATGTACATGTGGAGTAGGGAAATGCTAGGTGTGTCAAATGCCAGTGGAGTAGGGAGCCCAATTGCCCCGTGGACTGCCGTTACCGGCCTCACTTTCCAGCTGGTTAGCAAGTTTTCCGGAACATAATACGGCGGCAATTTTGTGGAGACCATGTACAGCAAACTCACTTTGGCCGGGCAGCAGGCGGGACTTGCCTTCCATGCCTTGGCGTAGCTCAGGCTAGGCTCAGGAACCCTGTGATGGGTTTCCTTGCAGACGTGACTTTGCTCCAAGAGCAAAACAAACGGCTCCAGGAGCAGATGGATTTCCTTGAGGTACAGCTGCTGCTGCCTCCAAACAATTAGTATATCATAATCGATATAGAATTAGAAATGGTGGCCAAAATGGTATCGTTCATGATATATATATATATATATATGCCTTCTTTTCAGCTCCTGCTTGTGTGAAGTTTCATTGCGAAATGATATTGGTGGAGTTGCATGCGCTCTAAACAATTAATTTGACTATTTCTACGTACATCAACTATATGTCCAAGTTTCTCATTTGTGCATGTCTCTTTGAAGTCTAGCTAGCTAGCTATATATCCTGTGTAATATGAAACATCATTCACTTTAGTGCACGAGTAATAAAACATCATTCGCCACTTCTCTTTACTCATTTTTATATTCTCTGCACCTTATCAATTCCACCCAATGTTATAGTAAAAAATTGTTCTTTAAGACGAGGCATAAATCGCTCGTTTGCAGTTTGCACTAAGTCATTCGCTCAAATGTAAATATTTGCGAATGTACGTATTGTTTGTTTATCGTTTTTAGACGAGTTATTCATAAATGGATCATTTGTATAATGTTACTATTTTGCCTTTACATTTATTATTTCATTATCTTGTTTCCTGCCATCATCATAAAACAAAACACGTAACCAAATCATTTTACAACCAACAAAACATATGGTTACGAGTAATGTATAATACTTTCTAACTTCAAATAACATTTTTATGTTAAACTTTTTTGTAAAGGATAACGACTCCAGAAGTCTCACATGGAGGTTAATTAGACGATAAGATGGATGACCATCTAGAGTCACAAGAAAATGATGGAGACGATAAGATGGATGACCATCCTTACCGCTTGTAAAATTATTTAAAGTTAGAGTCACAAGAAAATGATGGAGACGATAAGATGGAGACGATAAGATGGACACGAGAAGCTAGAGTCACAAGAAAATGATGGAGATGATAAGATGGATGACCATCCTTTCTCTCAAATTAGACGTACCCTTTAGTTTTCGGAGCTCTCACTGAACCTCCATAGGAGTAAGAGTAATTAACGTAGCTTGTTCCCAAAAAAACCATCTAAAACATCAAACACCCTCGTTCGAACATTATTAGGAGATGTGCGAACCGTGTTGATTTTCGTTGTTCAAGAAAATAATGGAGACGATAAGGTGGATGACCATCCAGAGTCACAAGAAAATGATGGAGACGATAAGATGGATGACCATCCTTACCGCTTGTAAAATTATTTGAAGTTAGAGTCACAAGAAAATGATGGAGACGATAAGATGGATGACCTTCCTTTCTCTCAAATTAGACGTACCCTTTAGTTTTCGGAGCTCTCACTGAACCTCCATAGGAGTAAGAGTAATTAACGTAGCTTGTTCCCAAAAAAAACATCTAAAACATCAAACACCCTCATTCGAACATTATTCGGAGAGGTGCGAGCCGTGTTGACCATCCTTTCTCTCGAATTAGACCTACCCTTTAGTTTTCGGAGCTCTCACTGAAACTCCATAGGAGTAAGAGTAATTAATGTAGCTTGTTCCCCAAAAAACCATCTAAAACATATGATTACGAGTAATGTATAATACTTTCTAACTTCAAATCACATTTTTATGTTAAACTTCTTTGTAAAGGATAACGACTCCAGAAGTCTCACATTCGGGATTACGTCTAATTCTTGAAGGCGGCAACTCCAAGGACACGAGAAGCTAGAGTCACAAGAAAATGATGGAGACGATAAGATGGATGACCATCCTTACCGCTTGTAAAATTATTTGGAAAGAAGGGGAAAAAATTGAGTGTTAGGCGAAAGAATGATAGATGAACTAATTGATAGATAGGCAAAGATAAAGTGCGTTTATGAAAAATTGGCAAGGATATAATTAGAAATATTAATCTAAAATAATGATTCATTTGGAACTTTCTTATGAACCAAATGACTCATGCATTTGGTTGTCAGCAAACAATTCAATAGTCATTTGGGACAGCACCGTTGTCTAGGACGAGACTGGTGGAAGGAGAAGGGGCGTGAGAGACCGAGCTCAAAATCCAAAGCGACCATGGATTGACTAGTCAGGGGATAGTTGAGTACTCAACCTCGATTGTGATCTCAAAATCCACAAGCAGGGACATCAACTAAGTATTGGATTGTTAACGATCAAGTTAACGGAGACAAATTTTTGGGACATATGACCCATTGAAAACATAGGGATACAAGTGACACAAACTTTAAACCATGGGCCCTTATTTGGTATTAAACCTTTATCTTTGTCATTTTTTAATGATAGTGATATTGAGGTGGAAAATTTAAAAGATTAAATTTAAATTTTTATTATTTTTAATTATCGTGTCACACATTTAAAGGTCAACTACGAGAGTTGACTGCTACATAAGATAAAGGACCAAAAAAACGACGAAGAGTAACCATTGATAAAACTGAGTATAAAGTTAGAGACTGCGAATGAAACAAAATATTGTTAGTTCTCTAATGTGAAAGTTTTTAGTAATTCCAGCGAACATCTTTGCAATTTATCCTAAAGTAATAAACTATTAATAAACCCTAAGCAACAAGAACAATTTATTGTCTTTCATCCACTCTCTTTGTACTTTACTTTGTAGTCTATTCCACTTTTACTATAGTTTTGTCGTGAGTTGCTAGAAGTGCGCGCGAATAAGACTGTTATGGCATGAAGAGGACCTCATCTTCAAATTTTAGTATTTTACATTACTATGTGATGATAACTTGCTCGTAAAGTTAATAACTGAGAATTACGAATCCTTGTCAAGAAAAGCATTTTTCTAGTTTTGTAGTGTTAATTGAAGTATTGCATTATAATTGATGTGTATGAGTCGTTGGCCTTATTATCTAAAATACCTAGACTATTAGTTGAAGTATTATGAATCTTTATTACGTGAATTATCAACCAAATTTTTTATAAGAAGATACTATCGATCTTAAAAAAGTTACTTACATTGTTAAATTTATTTGCAGATGATAATACAGATTGTTTGAAAAATTATGTTGCTCATATATGATTATTACCATGTTGTTTGAATGGTTGGATATTTACGCGAGTAAGATAGTTTTGATGTGAACGATTATCAGTTTGGGTGAATAATAAATGATTTGCATGAAATAATATAGTTTTGACATGCTCATTCATTCACGCCATTATAGCTTTCAATAATATTAATTTGTTAACTTTGAAATATATCAAAATGAATGTTATTGTGTAGATTACCACCAATGCAACTTATTAAAAAAATTGACACGGCTATGTGAGTTTCTCGAATTTTTTGTGCTAATTAATGATGTCCTTCCACTTTCCATTTTGTTGATGTTATCTCGTCTTTTCTAGAGTGGAGCAGTATATATGTAGGAGCTTAATCCCACGTTTCTTCCTCTTCCGGGACATGTTTCTCAAACTTCGTCAGGAACAAACTATGACTTCTATTCATCAACCATGCGCTTCACAATACCATCGACTGATCTGTATTAATAAGGATATGTATACATGTTCTTTTATTCAGTATTCAAGATCCTGGTAGGCCCACGATAGGGTCCCGAACTCGGAATCACGCAGCTTAGGAAAATCGTTGGAAAGGGTTGGTGTTTATGGTGGTTTCGTAGCAAGAACAGAGTGATGAATCGACGAATGGAAAGGAAACCAAACCAGCAACTTCAACACGAAATGGGAAGAGGCTAACATGTGTAGAGTTATCAATCAACCAAGGTGAATGTTTGGCTCGATTGATCTGCAATCCTTGTCCAAAAGCCAAGAACAAGCATAGCTCGCAATCTTGGAAAACTCCTCGAGGTTACTTTTCGATTAAACTTCAAACGTGTCTTTTTACAATGAATCGAGCAATGCTTTTATAGCCAAAAGAACCCATGACTAACCTACTTTAACAAGGAAACAAATTGGGAACAGAATTGATAAAGGAAATCTACTCTAATCAGGAATCTTCAAACTCAAGTAATCCGTTTTGGACAAGGAATTCTGGCTTCCTGCACACGTATCACAACCAGCTTCCATACCAACTTCGAGCCTGTAGGAAACGGTCCTCCTCCTCCTCCTCCTCCTCCTCCGCCGTCGCTCGTCCCTGCCCCAGTTTCCTCCTTGGATAGATCGGATTCAGTGGCCGAAGAGTTCCCTCTTTCTCCGCCGGCTCCAACGTCCTCTTCCCGCTTCCGCTTCTTCGAGGCATCATCGCCACCGCCGTCGCTCGTCCCCGCCCCAGTTTCCTCCGTGGATGGATCGGATTCAGTGGCCATTACCGCAAAGATGTTACAAACAGATGAGAACGACAGAGGAGAGTTTATATTCGTGAGCCAAGCGACTCCATCTCCATGGGCCAGAATGGGAGGGAAGCCCAGTAAGTAAAACAGTATATCCAATTTTGGCATAGACAATAATTATATTTCAAACCATCCGTAACACCAAAAATAGAAAATAAAAACTACACAAAAAAACCATAACAACAAAATAATATCAGTCTTAACAAACACACTGATCTGTAAGATGTTCTTTTGGTACAAACAATGATTTAAATCTACAATTATTGAACACATTAACAAATATAAAATTAATAAAACCCTAATAAAGCATAAAAAGAAGAAAATTAGTTAATATATTATGAAAATAAAAGAAAAATAAAAAACGAAGTAAAGTTGGGGCGCGGTAAAAGAAGATGGATGGGATCCAGTGCAGCGTGGGGACAAACAAGAGAAGAAGGCTCCTCCAGTCCACTCATTACACGTGTCTACTTTCTCTCTCCCCTTTATTCCATTGCGGTCTCCTCTCTCTCTCTCTCTTCCTCTCTTTTCTCTCATTCTCTACTTCTTCTTCTTCCTTCTGCTTTCCCATGTCTGGTCTGCTGACTCTTTGCTAATTTTAGCTACCTCCAAATTCCTATCTCTACATAAATTATCTTCTGCCATCCTTCCTCTTTCTTTCTTTCTCCACCCCAAATTGCTCCTCCATCACCACCACCAGAACCACCGTCGTCACCTCCGCCGCCGTGGACTGTTGCCCTCTTCTTCGTTCCCCCGCCCCCGGCGCGTCGCCTCTCCCTGCAGCGGTAAGTCCCCCCTCTTCATCTCCCTTTCTGTTTGTCTTCCTTTCTTGTTCCCAAATCAGCTCCTCATTTCAATTTAACCAATTGGGTTTTTGTTACTCTCTGGCTTCCCGATCTCATTTTGTTTTGGGGGGTTGGTATTCCGGAGCTCGAGATCCTCGTAGCCCAATTGCTCGTTTCTGTCGCGTCTTTTGTGGGGTTGTTTTTATGGCGGGGCTGCTTCCTTGTTCTTCTCCTTTTGTTTTGCCCTCCCACGTTGACTTCGTTAATTTGGTTTTGCTGTCTCTCTCTGTTTTTTTTTCCTTGAAAGAAAAGGAGTGCGTTTGTGGTAGTAGCGGTATTCCTGATGGCCATGGATAATCCTGGGATTTGATTCAATTTGCTGCATCTCTCCCAATGATGGAGAAATTAATCATCTTTCTTAATTGATTTGTGCTTACATTCAGTGCTGATGCTCATTAAATTTGGAAAGGATCTTCGGTTTGAGCTGGCGGGCTGCTTCGGATTTCCTACCAGTCTCTGTTTTCCCCCTTTTAATTTGTTAGAACATGACCGTTAGTAATTCCAGTGGCAAATGATGGGTGAATCTGGTATTCTGTCGTGAAAGATGTTTCATTTTCTGCAATCCGATCGATTCGTCGATAAGGGTCGATTTGTGTGAATAGAGAATAACGAAAAGTTGCCTTCTTTGTCCTGCTATATTTGTATGGAGGGATGATGCTTCGTCTCTTACGTTATCCATGGCCATCCTGAAATTTCCCCGCTTTTTTCCTCCTGGGTTCTTTGATCTATTTGATGGGCATCCAAATGTGCCACAGATTGTAACTCTTGTAGGCGTTCTGTGTTGGGTTCCATGTTTCTAAAACTCTTGTTCATTTTTTCAGACACCATTGTGGCACGCCTTCGTATTATTGTCTTCTCATGGAGGATGTAAAAGTGGCTCAAGTTACACCTCCTGCGCCTGCAGAATCATCGCCATCATCCCAGAATAATGGACATTCTAGTGGAGAAGAAGCATTATTGGGCTCTCTTGCTAATGGGAAAACAGAAAACAGTAGCGAGAAGCCTGGAGAATCAGGTGTACAAGATGTTCCACCAACCCAGGTTGTTGCTCAAGATCCACTTCTTGAAGCTCCAAACTTGGGAGTCAATCAAGCATCCAAGTCAACGTCAAGTTCATTGATGGATGAATTGGGTACTAGTTCTCCATCTGATGTAGTTGGAAGTGCCTCCAATGGTCCCGATGCTCGATTGGATAATGAAGCCACCCAAAATCCCTCAAATGTTTCTGAACTAATTGGGGATTCCGCTCCGGCTTCGAAAGATGCAGATACAACTAGTTCCTCTCAGCATCCCCTTATTCAGATAGATGATTCTACTTCACAGGCAGTTCCTACTTCTACCGTTCGTCAGAATTCTGAAGTTTCTGCTCCAGCCATTGGTGGTCCTCTTGTTCAAGTAGATGAGATTTTTCCACTCCAAAGTTCCTCAGATGCCGAGAAAGCTGGTAATCCTGATTCAGCCGGTGAACCGCCTCTGATGGATGACATTGTACAACCCCCTTCTGCTCGCAAGGCACTGATAGATTCTCAGGAGAATAAGGAGGTGGAGCAGAATGCTTCTGCTGATCAGGCATCTGACACTACTTTAGTGGGCAGTCAAGTAGATGATAGTACTGTCCCAGATCCTACTTCCTCTCCCGTGCCTAAGGTGCAACAATCCAATAACTTTGCTCTGCCTCAGGTAAAAACCAGTCTGAACTCTGGTTCTGGTCTACCTGATTCACCGCTAGTCAGGATGATAAATCCAGCCTCCAGGACACCTAAGTCCAGCGATTCTGGTAAACCCTCCAAGCAGGTGGACTTGAATAGGGGCCTCATTGACACAAGAGCACCTTTTGAATCTGTTAAACAAGCTGTTTCGAAGTTTGGGGGAATAGTTGATTGGAAAGCACATAGAATGCAGACTGTAGAGGTAACATTTATTGCAGAACGAGTTTAATTTTCTGCTATATATTGCAGGTGAACATTTATGTCATTACGTACTCACAAAACTTGTTCCTTGGTTTTCACAGAGACGCAAGCTTGTAGAGCAAGAACTAGATAAGTTGCAGGACGAAATGCCCGAGTACAGAAAGATGTCAGAAGCTGCAGATGAGGCCAAAATAAAAGTTATCAAAGAACTCGATAGTGCAAAGAGACTGATCGAGGAGCTCAAGCTCAACCTCGAGAGGGCACAAACCGAAGAGCATCAAGCGAAACAAGATTCCGAACTCGCCAAGCTTCGAGTTGAAGAGTTGGAACAAGGAATTGCTGATGAGGCCAGCGTTGCAGCCAAGGCACAGCTCGAGGTTGCTAAATCGAGACACGCAGCAGCAGTTTCAGAACTGAAGTCTGTCAATGAGGAGTTGGAAGCTTTACGTAAAGAATACGCTTCTCTGCTTAGCGAGAAAGATGATGCCATAAAGAAAGCTGAAGAGGCTGTGTCTGCATCCAAGGAAGTTGAGAAGACAGTTGAGGAGCTGACGATTGAGTTAATAGCAACGAAGGAATCTCTGGAATCTGCACATGCTGCCCATATGGAGGCAGAAGAACATAGAATAGGAGCAGCCATGGCAAAGGAGCAGGATGCTCTTTACTGGGAGAAGGAGCTGAAACAGGCAGAGGAAGAGCTCCAGAGGCTTAACCAACAGATTCTTTCAGCTAAAGATCTCAAATCAAAGCTCGACGCTGCTTCTGCTTTGCTGGTCGATCTGAAGGCTGAATTGGCAGCTTACATGGAGTCAAAGTTAAAAGATGAAAATACTGAAGAAGGAAGTACACCACATGAGGGGCCAGAGAAGAGAAATCACACAGATATTCAAGCAGCAGTGGCTTCAGCGAAGAAGGAACTCGAAGAAGTGAAGCTCAACATCGAGAAGGCAAATGCTGAAGTGAATTGCTTAAAGGTGGCTGCTGCCTCGTTGCAATTGGAACTCGAGAAGGAAAAATCGTCCCTCACCACGATCGGGCAAAGAGAAGGAATGGCATCAGTTGCAGTCGCTTCTCTTGAAGCAGAGATGGACAAGACTAGGACGGAGATTGCGGTGGTTCAATCCAAGGAGAGAGAAGCACGAGAGAAAATGGTGGAAATGCCTAAGCAACTGCAGCAAGCTGCACACGCAGCTGATGAGGCAAAATTACTCGCTCAGCTGGCTTGCGAGGATCTTCGTAAGGCAAAAGAAGATGCTGAACAAGCCAAAGCTGGGGCAGGTACAATGGAGAGCAGATTGCTTGCAGCTCAAAGGGAGATTGAAGCTGCAAGGGCTTCTGAAAAGCTAGCATTGGATGCTATAAGAGCGTTGCAGGAGAGCGAAGCAGCAGCACAAACTGGGAACGATGCTGATTCCACGAATGGGGTAACACTTTCTCTTGAGGAGTACTATGAGCTCAGCAAACAAGCTCATGAAGCAGAAGAGCAAGCTAATGAAAGGGTGGCAACAGCTATTGCACAGATCGAGTTAGCCAAGGATTCCGAGTCAAAGACTGCAAAGAAGCTGGAAGAGGTGAACCAAGAGCTGGCTGCTAGAAAGGAATCTCTGAAAGTTGCGATGGATAAAGCCGAGAAGGCTAAAGAAGGGAAGTTGGGTGCTGAGCAGGAACTGAGGAAATGGAGGTCTGACCACGAGCAAAGACGAAAGGCTGGTGAATCCGCGGCTGCTCCTGGGGTCCCAAACAGTAATAAAAGCCCAAGAGGGAGCTTCGAAGGGGGCAAAGAAGCAAAGCTTGCTGCTGAGTTCTCACAAGACGGCTCAGCAACCCAATTACCAATGAGCCCCAAGGTGTATTCACAGGGAAGTAGTAACACTGATTCTGAACCCTCGCCAGATGTTAAAGCAACTAAGAAAAAGAAGAGATCAATGTTCCCTCGTTTCCTGATGTTCCTGGCTAGGAGAAAGTCGAGTTCCTCCAAGACGCAGACAGGTTGATTTTTGCTCCATGGGAACCGGAATATGCTTGCCTAGTTGCCTGCCCCCATTGCTGTCTGTTGTGATATCAAATGCATATAGTCATTCATCTCTGGTTCTTTTACTTCGACTACTTATAGTTGTGGAGATCACACAGGTAAAAAGTTTTCTTACTCTTTTGAATGTAAATGTGAAATGTTTACTCGTGTATGATTATATACTTGGATTATATACTTGAAGCAGAATGAAAGAGAAGGGGGAGGGATTGTATTGTTGAGTTTGGCTGCTGGCTTTGGAGGAAGATAATAATAATAATGCAGCTGTAGTAGTCCTTTGATTTGATGAGGAACCACAATAATATTGTGGGTTCTCAGTGCGTTGTATAGGGATGAATTGAGGGAACAAATCTTTTGTAAAGTTTGTGAGGAATTTGATGCAATATGAAAGAGTGTGGATCTTTTTATTTTGTACATCAACTTCTGCTGGTATAAGCTTACAGGCATACTGAATGCATCTGTGTCGAAAGGCTGGGTTTCGATTTAGAATCTGTTTCATGTTGGATTCAAAAACAACGTAGCGTCTCGATTTCCCAATAAGCCTAAACATGGCTTCAAAATTTTGCTTATTTCTTGCCGTTCAAGACTCGTATGGACAAACATCGATCAAAGCAAACTGTCACAAATTCTCAATAGCGACATGAACTTGCAACGGTCCATCTCTGACGCACCAAAATATAAGCAACAAATACAAGACATTTACAGAAACTGATGAGTGCATTCACCTTATCAGAGTAAAACAACAAACTTGACTCAATATTTCCAGACTGCATAGCACAAATGATGAGACGGTATATATCCATTTGGTAGTTGCTAGCCAAGTCATCTAATTTCATTCCGAGTGTGATGTCCAGTAGATCAATCCACTGATCAGTACAAACACACACTGCAAGACTCCAGCTACTCCCGTCCACACCGAAGGCCCGTCCACGACAATCGAGTCTTGTATCAACAAACCAACCGATGCTGCGAGCGAAACGAAGGAGACCACGTATGCAAAGAAGAGCCACAGCTTCAATCTCCATTCGCCTTCGTCATATGGAGAGTAGTCGATATCCTCTTTTCTGACACAGTTAAACATCAGAGCTGCAATGGATGCGAATATACCAGGAAGGTAGTGCACAAATGAGACTTGAACTGAACTGCAAACCACAGCATCTACCCAGAACCACCACCCAGCTCCAAAAACAGCACCTGACACCCCTGGTCCGAAGATCACCCACATCTCTAATAAATCCATTCTGGTTTTGAGTAGTACTCCTACAAAACTACCTGATAAAAGAACCACATCAGAACTGGTAATCACAGCAGCATCCATGCGATCAAGAACGAGAATTACGGCTGATTCAAACAATCTTTGATCAAGGACATATAATTTGTGATGTTTCTTGAAAACGAACAAGGACGAAGTCCACCTACAGAAACTTCGCCAAGTTGTGACAAAAAAGCACAAAGAAGCGGAACACAGCCCCCCAATTCATGTCAACAATCTAGTGGTCTCTCGACTCTTAATAATCTTCATCGTTCCAAACCACGTTGAAGCAAGACAATCCAACCCAGTTGACTAAACAATAAGCTAGTTACACGTTAAGAAACCTGGAAACAGAGCATGAAAACAAAGTTTAAAATTTTAAAACAACCACAATCTGATCGTAAAGTAATGAAACATAGATTTCAATGTTGATCATCGTCAATTGTACTGCAGAATGTACAAGCAGGGCAATTCGGTCCACAATCAAGTTATGTACGCTTGAAGTTACCCAAATGCAAGCAAGCCACCGCGATTAAAGATCAACCAATCCATTGAACCAGTAGTTCATGAAAACTGGAAACCAATAGAGCATGAATCCACAAGCAAATGAAGAAGAACGAAATCGAACTAAGAGCGAGCAGAAGGGAACAGCCGAACAAGGTCGCTCTCCTAGTAAGGAATTCTAATTACAAAATTCGTCCAAGCAAATCACCCCCTGAAGCGATTTCAATATGGTGCGACAAGATAAGCAAAGGGGGAAACGCAGACCTGAAGGCGAGAATCCCGCTGACCGGGCAGCAGTCCAGTGAATTCCCGCGTCAGATGGCGGCACAAGAACAGAGGATAATAATCTCGGTCTCTTCCTTTCGCACGGCGGAAACAACGAAGCTTGTACAGCTAAACCACCACCGTCACTAGGGATTTCGGAGCTGCGGGAGATGGGAAGAGAAGAAACCTCGAACCAGAGAGAATCCCAGTTTAGTTCTTTCGATTCTTTGGCAGCGGGGCGGGTTTGGTTTGGTGATCTACTGATCTTCTCTTTCTCCAAAGTACGCTTATCATTTGGATATTTTTTTATCCAAAATTTTGACCTGGGCTTGGGCTTTGGGTCCATTCACACGTACCGCTATCACTTGAAGGCCCATGGGCCATAGTTTAGTCAGGGCCCTAGAATTCATATTAGACCCTTGCATATCATCAGTGAAATCAGCAATTCAACTAAACTTTAGGACAATCTTTACTTTCAATTCTGTTTCCTGTTTTTTAGAAAACAGATGTTGAAAATGGGTGAAAACTGAAAACAACATTTTGTCGTTTCCGAAAACAGCAGGAAGTTGTTACTTTCTGTTTTCATAGTTGGAAACGAATAGAAACAAGTTTTCTCGTTTCAGTTGCCAAATTCATGACATGAAAATAAAAAACGAAAATAGAAGTGAACATAACCGACTGCTTCATGTTTTAATCTTCTCTTCTAGTCGTCATTAACACAGTGACATCCACAAACTCGATTGTCGCAATCGTAAATCACCTCACAGCTATAACACAAATCAGAACCTGCACATCCACCGTCACAGATACGAGGATGATTCGATCGACAAATACTGTCCATCGAACTGTCCTGACAGTCCCACAGTTGTACCGAACTACTGCTACTACTACCGCTCTTCGTGCGGTTGCTAACGAAAGCCGCCGGCGGCGACGAGTCGGTCGCCAGACTCCTCGACTCGCTCGAATGCCAAAGACCTGCAAGCGATTCGAGAGTACAAATCTGAATATCATGTGGGTAAGGCAATTAAAATGTAGAAAAAGCAGAAGAAGTCGATATAGAAGGAGGCGTTACAGCAGGGAGGAAGGACGACCAAGGCTATCAACATCAGCACCGCAAACTTATTCGGGGCCGTCGTCGCCATGATTAATAATCAGCTTAGCTGATGCTGATCCTGATCCGATCAGTGTTATAGTTTATGTTCCTTGGTATGGCTTTAAATATGCTGCTTGCAGGCAATGGAGTCATTTGTCATATAACAATAATAATTAAGAATAAGAACCGGGAAGAATTGAATTGATGGAGTGGTTGAACTCTGTGTTGGAATTTCCTGTTTGTAATTAAACGAGTTGGATTGATCTTTTCCAGTTCCAATGCCGTTCGGAATTCTTTTTGCTGGGTTTGTCTTCATTGATTCTGGGTTTTGGACCTACAGTCTGAACACTGAAGTATCATATTTCCTACCTTCTCTACCACACTCCCTACTTGATCAACCTCTCCACCAGAAACAATCATCTTATATGCACATCTTCTGGAGCAAAATGCAGGACAGGATGGATCATCAAACACACTCCTTCTGCTCACTTGCTGTCGGTGAAGTCTGCGTCGATCACGTCTCCATCTTGCCCGTTGCCCGACGACGAAGAATCTGAGGCAGCAGCAGAAGCACCAGGTTCACCGCCAGGGGCTGCGCCTGGTTGGTTGTAGAGAGACTGCCCGAGTTGCATCACCTCGGTGTTCAGCGCAGCCATTGCGTCTTTGATCGTCTGGGTTGCTCCACCAGCGATCGCGTCCTTGAGCTCCTGCAGTTTGGCCTCAACCTTTTCCTTCACTGGAGCTGGGACTTTGTCTCCGAGCTCCTTGAGCTGCTTCTCGGTCTGGTACACGACGGAGTCGGCCTGGTTCTTGGTGTCGATGGCGTCTCTCTTCTCCTTGTCTTCCTTTGCGAATCTCTCTGCATCCTTCACCATCTTCTCAACCTGCACCAGGGAATTACCCAGTAAGTCAACTTCGAACCCAGCTATTAATTAAATTCACAAGAGAGACATTAGTAAGATGAGCCTCACCTCGTCGCTTGGCAATGTGCTCGCACCAGTGATGGTAATGTCTTGTTTCTTGCCCGTGCCCTTATCGACAGCAGAGACGGAGAGGATTCCGTTGGCGTCGATATCGAATTTCACTTCGATCTGGGGGACTCCACGAGGTGCGGGGGGAATGCCATCCAATCTGAAACTTCCTAGCGACTTGTTATCCCTGACAAACTCCCTCTCTCCTTGGAGGACATTGATCTCCACACTGGTTTGACCATCAGCAGCAGTTGAGAAAACCTCTGACTTGGAGGTGGGCAATGTGGTGTTTCTTGGGATAATCTTGGTCATCACACCTCCCAGAGTTTCAAGACCAAGAGACAATGGCGTTACATCCAGTAAAACGATATCGCTTACATCTCCAGCCAAAACACCAGCCTATAACAGCAGAGAGAAAAAATGAATCAAGGCAGGAGGGCAGATTCAATGAGGTTAACATACACAGAAACATGAGTGGTTACTAGTAAATAAGGTCAGGTACCAACCTGAACCGCAGCACCTAAAGCAACAACTTCATCAGGATTTACAGTGACATTTGGTTCCTTTCCTGTCAGCTTTTTCACAAGCTCCTGGACTGCAGGGATACGGGTCGACCCACCGACAAGAATTACTTCATCAAGGTCTTTGAAATTGAGCTTTGCATCCCTCAACGCATTTTCAACTGGGGTTTTTACCCTGAAAACAGGAAGGACCAAGACGAGTTACTTTGAGATTCAATTGCAATCGAGATTACGATTAGAAAACACACATAACGTATCAAAACAAAGGGCCAATAGCTTCACAGTAGTTTACCTGTCAAGCAAATCAGAACAGAGTTCTTCAAACTTCACCCTTGTAAGGGTTGTCTCGATATGTTTCGGCCCATCAGCCGTAGCAGTGATGAAAGGCAAACTGGAATGATCAGAGTGTGTAGTTAGCTCAGAACAAACAGTCTGGAAATAAGGAGGAACAGTAAGCAAACAAGCTAACAAACCTGATGTTTGTCTGGGTCAAAGTAGAGAGCTCCATTTTTGCTTTCTCTGCTGTTTCAGTTAGCCTTTGAAGGGCTTGTTTGTCCTTCAACAGATCAATTCCTTCATTCCTTTTGAAGTCAGAGGCAAGCCAATCGACAATCCTCTGCATTAAGGAACAGAAACGCTTTTAGTGGGCTGTCATCCCTTCATTCAACACAAACAAAGCAGCTGAGAGACTGGATTTCACAGCAATGAATAACAAAGATCAGAACCTTATCAAAATCGTCACCACCCAAATGTGTGTCCCCTGAAGTAGACAGTACTTCGAAGACCCCATCACCAACTTCAAGCACTGTACAAAGCCACATAAAATCCAAGGTATATCAGTATTTGGTTTATTCGCTTTCACTTTACCAAACAGAATGGTTCTGCAGCTTCATCATCTTATTGCATAAGATGGTAGCGCAACTCCATACTTGCAAACCACAGCCATGTTACCTGAAACATCAAATGTACCACCACCAAGGTCGAAAACAAGAATGGTCTCATTGTTCTTCTTCTCAAAACCATAGGCCAATGATGCAGCAGTAGGCTCATTGATGATTCTCAGAACTTCCAACCCGGCGATACGCCCAGCATCCTTTGTAGCTGTCCTTTGTGAATCATTAAAGTAAGCTGGTACTGTCACCACAGCTTTGGTCACTTTATCATTCAGAAACTTGGAAGCATCATCCACAAGTTTCCTCAACACCTAAATGGGATCCATCCATCATCACCACCACAAGGAGCTCTTTTGAGTAGATGTTCATTGCAACAATCACAAAATTGATCCTAAACTGAATTATCTGCCTAATCTCATTCCCAATGTAGACTATCCTAAATCCCAATTGTTCAGAAGCAATCTAAGAAATGAAACCACAAGGAGGAGGGAAAGAAATACCTGAGCTGAAATCTCCTCAGCAGCAAACTGCTTACCCAGAACAGGGCAATCCAGCTTCACATTCCCATTCTCATCCCTCACCACTCTATACGAAACCTGCTTCGACTCCTCGTCAACCTCGGACATCTTCCTACCAATGAACCTCTTGACGGAGAAGAAAGTGTTCTCAGGGTTCACGACAGCCTGTCGTTTGGCGATCTGCCCGACCAACCGATCGCCGGCTTTCGTATAAGCCACCACAGACGGCGTCGTCCTCTGCCCTTCAGCGTTGGTGACGATCGTCGGCTTGCCTCCTTCCATCGCCGCCACGGCCGAGTTCGTCGTCCCCAAATCGATCCCCACCACTTTTTCGCTCACGACCCTCACCGGTCCGGCAGAGAACCTCCTCGCCGGACCACGCTTGTACCTCAGGAAAGCCGCCGTCTTTGAACCCTCACCCAAATTCTGGCCCAAAAATACAGTCTTTGTGGCGAAGGAGAAACTGGGTCTTCTCGCCGGAGTCGGGGAGGACCCGAATCCCATCCCGCCGAGAATTTGTGCTGTTGAAGAAGCCATTTTTTTTGTGAAATTCAGATGGGTTTTGACAAACAGTACCGAGAAAGAAAGACTTCACTGCAAGGGAGAGAGAGTGTAATCAGAGAGGAGGTTGGAGAAGAAGATATGCGAAGTGTCACGCTAGGTAGGTTAATATAATAGGGAATATAATAGGGAAAGAACTGATGGGGTTCTAGAATGATCCGGCGGGGGCAAGAATTTGGAGGGTTCCGGTCAGAATCTGCAGGACGTTAGATGGAGAGGATTGTCAAGTGTTTGCCGTGGAAAGATCGAGGTGCTTCTCTTTTGTTTCGACACATTTATGAATTATAACAATATAAAATCGACACATCACTTGTATTACCAAGAATATATTTCGATTTTATCTGCTTCACCTATTCTATGTAAAATCTATAACAATATAATATATTGTTCACAATTATGAATTATCCAAAAGGGGCTAAGCCTTTTCGTTAATTAAAAATTAGATACTGACTGCAGTCGCGGCCGCAGGAAAACAAATTTTGCTGTTTCCTCCTTGGCTGTATTGAGTTGTGTGTCAAAGGCTAGGCGAGAGAGGTGGGAGGGAAGAATCAAGAAAGTCTCTCATTGGCAAATGTCAGTATCTCTCCCCGCTCTTTCTCTGTCACCTCCACTTCCTTTCCTCTGGTCAAAGCTAAAATATTACCACGAGAATTCTCTCTTTTTTCTCCACATCTTCCCGTTCTGTGCTCTGTAGTTTACTCTCATTCATCCCAATCCCATCACTTCGATTAGGGTTTTCGTTCCCAAGCTCTTATCTACCCTGTCACCTCTCCACCTTTGTGTTTTCTTTTGGCGGACTCCGATTCTGGAGCCTCCTGCCAACTGTCCATTAGCCCATACTTGAGATTCTCACTTGGGTTTTGCCTTATAGCTGCCAATTTGCATATTGAAACTGCGAAGAGCTGAAAAAGGTCTGGCCTTTGCTTGATGGTGAGAGGGAAGGAGTAAAAGTTGGAGGACGGCTGTGCAGCTGGTTGGATTTCCGCGCCACTAGAGAAAGTATGTACATGTGAATATTGGGCTCCATTTCTGAACTGAATTTGATCCCGCATTTGATTGTAGACGGGAGAAAATAGATCTTAGCTCCTCTCCAGTTAGTGCGGGGAAGTTTAGTTGATGCTGCAGATTTGAATCGAAAGGTGTAAACTTTTTGTGTATGCAATAACTTCTGTACTTGATGAATCCATGAAGGCTCTGATTAGGCTTTAAAGTTCATGTGGTGCAATCTTGAAAGTGTTATTATTGCAGCTGTGCATGTTCTTGCTATAACATTGGATCAATGTGTTTCAGCCAGGTATAGCCGAGTAATTGTGGTTTGTACTGTTTGCAGGGATTTGATACTGGCTTGGTGAAAGAAAGGTATGCATTGAGAAATGTCACTCAGACTTCCTGCTCCCAAGGCGGCTGAGTATGCAATTGGCTCTATAGGCCTTGGATATGACATTGCAGTCGATCTGAGATTGAAGTACCGGAAAGGAGATGTTAATGATTCACGCTTAATTGAGATTGATGAAAATGGTGGTCGGGAGATTGTATTGCCGGGCGGGATTGTCATCCCGAATGTTCCGAAATCAATAAAATGTGATAAAGGAGAAAGAACACGGTTTAGGTCCGATGTTCTCTCATTCCAGCAGGTAGTTTGCTCTTATTTCTGCTCAGATGTCGACAATCTAAGTCTTCTTGTAGCACTAGATCGTGAACCTATTGCTGTTTTTCATGGTTTGGCAAGTGGCAACAGTGAGTTTAGTTATTGTTGTGCACTCTAGGACTCATATTTTTCATCCTTATTATAATCGAACAGATGTCCGAGCAGGTCAACCAGGAGACGTCTATAACAGGAAAAATCCCCTCCGGGCTCTTCAATACCATGTTTGAGTTCTCAGGCTGCTGGCAGAAAGATGCTGCTAACACCAAAACCCTTGCTTTTGATGGGGTGTTCATTACACTGTATACTGTGGCACTGGAGAAGTCTCAGATCGTTCTCCGTGATCATGTTAAGAAGGCTGTCCCGTCATCATGGGAACCAGCTGCCCTGGCCAAGTAAGTGTTTAAGAACTGTAGTGTGCTTGTTCTTGAGTCTACTGAAGACTACTTGTTCAGGTTTTCTTAGATGTTAATTGAAGTGAAGTTGTTATTATTTGTTACTAAGTTCTATAAGTTTGATGTTTGACTGGTTCTTGTCAAGAACCAGTTGCTCCCAATAACTCGAGTTGTTGGGAGAAGGTTCTGCTGGATCTTATACAACATTCTAACACGCCCCCTCAAACGAAAGCCAACCCATGGGCTTGAAGTTTGCACAGGCCCACCATACCATGTGCTTGAAAGACAACGGTTAATATTGGGGGTCGTGGAGATTCGAACACATGACCTTTCGGTTCTTGGCTCTGATACCATGTCAAGAACCAGTTGCTCCCAATAACTCGAGTTGTTGGGAGAAGGTTCTGCTGGATCTTATACAACATTCTAACAGTTCTGACTTCTGATATTAAGTTCTCACGATTTTCATGAATCTCTACATGTTTAAGATTGCGGTGGTGCAACACAATTTTCATTAATGAACTTCCATGGTTCTATTTTAGTATTAATTTGCAGGTGGTGCAATTTGTAACTCTCTGTATGAATCGCTAGAATATGAATAATGCTTCTGTCATTGTGTATCCATACAAGTTGGTCCCTAATGTTCTACGTTAATTAATTTTGTCATTGATCTTGTTCCAAAAATGATATGTACTTCACGTTAGGTCCCTGTGATGAAATGTGATAATGATGAACTTCGTACAAACTTGGATTTTTCCATTTTCCTCTGAAATTGTATATTAGAATGCAATCTGTAGATTGTTCTCCAACTGGTCGAGCTTATATAAAATCAATTAGAAAAATGTGTGTTTATGATACGGCATTCCTTTCAGTAACTATCTCTGATTGAGCACGAAGCTGAGACTCGGAAAGTGACTGGCCATTTCAGGTTTATTGAGACGTTCGGAACACATATTATTGTTGGTGTCAAGATGGGTGGAAAGGATGTAATATACATAAAACAGCAGCACTCATCAACTCTTCAAACTGCTGATATGCAGAAAAGATTGAAAGAAATGGCAGATAAAAGATTCTCAGATGTAAACAGCCAGTCTTCTGAACCAGTATATCAAAATAACAAGGTCGGTAAGCAACTTGTTTGTTCCTTTTATTAGAAGAAAATTTGGCATCACGACTCTGTCGCATCTTAACGTTGGATATTCTCGACCAACAAACTGTTTACGTTTTGAGGCTTCCGCAAATTTGTCATTGAAAGTGTATATTACTCCCCTTTTTGTTGTAAAATGTTGAATGAAGAAGCCCAGCAGCAAATTCAAATACAAGTGAATAACTTTTACATTTTATATTAAATAGAAATTCAAGGACTGGATTCACTGAATAATTGCTTGCTTGTCTATGCATCTAAAATTATCATTTTTATTTCAGTTTGAGATAAGAGAGCAGCGGTTGAGGTTTGCTGATACCAGTCCTTCGAGTTCTTATTCTAACAAGGAGGTGCTTTTCTCCTGCCTAATCCATTTCTCTATCTTTATCTGCTTCATTTTAACCGTTAGGGCAGATATTGAAGTTCTTAATCATTGAGCTTTTAAACAATCACTTTGGTCTCCTTTCTAAAACCTGATGATTTTGCCATCATGTTCTTGTTTACTTACTGTGTTCTTCAGGACATCACAAGAATATACAAGAGGAGGGGTGGAAATGACAATGGCTACCGTTCACACAGTGAGTGGTTAAACACCGTACAATTAGAGCCTGATGCGATCTCTATGTCATTCATCCCTATTACTTCCTTGTTGAATGGAGTCCCAGGGAGTGGGTTCTTGAGTCATGCCATAAATCTCTATCTAAGATGTGAGTATATAGATTTTGGTACTGCTATCCTTATGATGGTCATGATTATTTAGCAGATTGACTTTTCACACCGCCTTAATGATTTAGAATGCTCTATTCTCTCAACCGTGTGTACTAGATAAACCCCCAATTGAAGAGTTACACCAGTTTTTGGAATTTCAGCTGCCAAGGCAGTGGGCCCCAGTGTTCAGTGAGCTCCCGCTTGGCCCACAACGTCGGCAACATAGCAATGCATCACTACAGTTCAGCTTTATGGGCCCTAAGCTGTTCGTGAACACAATTCCAGTAAGGCGCTTATGCTTCTCTGATCTGATCAAATAGCTGTTTGTTACTTGTGTCATTGTTTCGATGCTTGCCCTGAATAGAGAACATAGTAAATGTAAATTTAGCTGAACGATTTGTGTATGGATTAGTGTACTTTAGGGTGAATACTGAATACTGGATTTGGAAAGTTGGACTGGAGAAATGTTTGTTGTTTAGCTGTTTATGTGAACTTTTCTTTTTAAGTTACTTATATTTTCAACAAAAGACACCCTATATGCAATATGTGATACAAACTTTATGCAGGTTGATGTGGGTCAGAGGCCGGTGACTGGCCTTAGACTTTACCTCGAGGGGAAAAGATGCAACCGCTTAGCCATACATTTACAGCATCTGTCGTCTCTCCCGAAGATCTTCCAACTCAAAGACGACCCAGATGGTAATTTCCGCCAAGAGTCCTACGACCGTAAATATCACGAGAAGGTTCAATGGAAGCACTTCTCACATGTCTGCACAGCTCCAGTCGAGTCCGACGAGGATCTCAACATAGTAACAGGCGCCCGGTTACAAGTGGAGAACTCTGGGTTCAAAAGCGTTCTGTTCCTGCGGCTTAGATTCTCAACTGTGTCGGGTGCTGCAGTTCTGAAGCATCCCGAGTGGGATGGCTCCCCAGGATTGGCAGCTAAATCTGGGTTGATATCTACATTGATCAGCCATCACTTCACTTCAGTACAGAAGCCAGCTCCAAGACCAGCCGACGTCAACATAAATTCAGCTGTATACCCTGGGGGTCCGCCGGTCCCAGTTCAAGCCCCCAAGCTTCTGAAGTTTGTGGACACAACAGAGATGGCTAGAGGGCCACAGGACAATCCTGGCTACTGGGTTGTTTCTGGGGCGAGGCTCATGGTCGAGAAGGGCAGGATCTCTCTTCGTGTCAAGTATTCCTTGTTAACTATTGTTTCTGATGATGATGATGATGATGATTTGGAAGCAGTAGACACACTTCGATGATCGTTTCACTCGTGTCTAGCAATCCAGCAGGCAAAGAAGATATCAATGACAGACTCCAGCAAAGAACATAACAAGGAAAAAGCTTGAAACGCTGCGAAGCTTGGAGCTTGATCGCGATGATTATGCACTTTCGGGCTCCAAGGTATGTACAAAATGGAGATGGTTCCAAGTGAACTCGTGGACCTAAGTTGCTGTCGACGACGACGATTTCCTCTGCTAGAGTGTACTGTAATCCTTGTGTGGTAGATTTCTCCTCATTGTGCCTTGAGTTGGGATTACACAGGGACAAACAAGTGTATTTTTGGCGTTCCTCTCTGTGAGACGCCCATGTCTTTTACCTCTTATTCATTGTTATCATTATTTTCCGGCAATCACAGGTAGCGAGGATCAGTTCAGTTGGAGCGCAGTGGTAATCACATTCAATCTGTTCTTAGAATATCATACTTAGGAAGGGGATATAGCATCACAAATCCAATTAGAAACCCTACTCCAGTGGAAGAATCTTAACTCAATAGTAATGTCTCTGATCCTGCTAAAAAAATGTTTTCTTTAAAAAGAATGATAAGAAGGGCAAATGCATCAATTTCCAATTTCACTATTTCAGTAGCCACTCTGGCCCATTCAACCCGCTTCTTGTCCAGTGAACCCATTTCATTCCCGGCGGAGTTGCTTTCTTTCCTGAATTCCCAAATCCCTTCCAAACCCTGAACCCTTCGAAACCCAAAAATTTCCTCACCGCAGTTCAGAAAATGGCTTCGATCTCCTCAAAGTTCCCGGCCAAATCCCTAACCAAGTTGTTAACTTTCAGTCCGAAGAGCGGCATCTCTCGCTCCTTATCAGCCGCCACTGCCGCAGCGGCTTCAGAGACCCGAACCCAGAAGCTGGAACGCATCGCCGACGATCTACTCGACCTCACGAAGCTCGAGCGCCACGACTACGCTGTCCTCTTCCGCCTCAAAATGGGTCTCAACCGCTACGGCCCGGCTCTCTCCGGACCCATGTCCTCGGGCCCCGCGGGCGGCGCCGCCGCCGCGGGTGCGGATTCGAAGCCGGCCGAGAAGACGGTGTTCGACATCAAGCTGGAGAAGTTCGACGCGGCGGCGAAGATCAAGATTATTAAGGAAGTTAGATCCTTTACCGATTTGGGTCTCAAAGAGGCGAAAGATTTGGTGGAGAAAGTGCCTGCGGTGCTGAAGAAAGGGCTTACTAAAGAGGAGGCCACCGCCATTGTTGAGAAGCTCAAAGAATTGGGAGCTACCGTGGTACTGGAATAACAAGCTCATATTATTACTCTTTCAGCTGTAGTTTATTTATGGGTTTCAGTGTTGGTTTCCGAATTCGTAGAACAACACTCTGCTGGTTAGCTTTTGGTTCTATATTGTGGAAGTGGTTGGAAAAGGAAGCTTTGTTGAGATGCTATACTTGAATCCAGTTGTAGGCATTTCCTGAATGATAAAGCTTCGTGAGATGGATTTGCATCAGGTTGCCCTGGGGTTATTGAAGGCATGTTAACATTTAGATGGTGCTGATATACACTGACTAGGGTTTTAAGAACGGCTGCAATGACCATGTTGAAGAGTGTCCCAATGGCTCTGGAACTTATAGAACATCCACAATAAAATTCATCATCTGCATAACCATTTTGTATTGTGTATACCCTGAAATGATATGAAGCAGCATCTGTAGCCTGCATCTTGCACGAGCATCTGGTTGAAGAGTTATGATTCTACTGCATGTTCAGTAATCCCGCATTTTGCATACATAGATCGATTTTAGTATCGAGTGTTGCATTCTTACAAAGCAAGATCATATTATTACTCTTCCAACTGTAGTTTTACTGTATTTTCTAAGGAACCGTTGTTGAGATGCTATTCATGAAACCAGTTTTAGGCATTTTCTGAATGTTAAACTTTGGCTAGATTTCAGAGAATTCACGGATAGATGTGTACCAGGTTGCCCTAGGGATATTGAAGGCTCTGTTATTGTTTAGATGGCGCTGAACTGCTGATACACTGACTAGGGCTTAAGAATGGCTGCAATCACCATGTTGAAAAGCTGCCAATGGCTGAAACTAATGGAACATCCATTATATATTGCATCCTTTGCATAAGCATTTTGTATTGTACATACCATGAAAATGATTTGAAGCACCATATGCCACTACATCTTAAGGACGAGCATCTGGTTGAAGGGTTAAGATTCTACTTGCCTGATCAGTAATCCCACATTTTGCATACATGGACAGTATTCTAGTAGAGTATTGTCTGCCATCATCAGATGGAAAAACAGAGCCCGTCTTTGTGACGGCCACAACAGCTACAGCAACCAGCTAGCCGTCGCATCAAATCCATTCTATCGACTTATCATATTTTCGAGCACAATAAATCCAAAAAATCTAAGAAAGACTCATGTATTGCTGAACTTATAGCTGAGTAATTACGACGGTGATCTATTATAGGAGTTAACCCCTTCATGATTACTAACCCTAGGCCACATTTGATGATTGTTCATTGCATCATATGCTATGAAATGTATCGTATTTGGACTTCCTTCCTAGATTATGGTGAACTGGTTATTGCATTTTTTTGGAAATAAGAGTGTGTAGGATGTGATTATACCTAGCATTGTACCATGGGTTGATGTATTAAATTTTGTTATTATTTGTGTACAAGCACTAAAGAAGCACGAAATTTCCCGATAGAGATAGAGTATCAGTTCATGTTTGACGTGAGTTTATAGATGCTACAATGGTACCATCGTTTGCAATATATGAAGACCATAATCGAATTGAAAATCTATTTAGTCCACTTTGGACAGGTCGGTTAAGCTTTGGTATGCTCTTTCTTTCGTTTTTAAGCGAATCATATTTGGTTTCTTCGAATCCGACAAAAAGTTTGGTTTGGTCAATCAAATTTGGTGTAAATTACACATTTTGTCATTATTAACGCTACAAAGTGCGGACCAATTATCTAGTATGAATAATAGGGTTTCTCATATCATCGCAAAACAAACCGTCTTATCGTTAGTTTAGTGTTGAGTTGACCAGTGTCCCTTACTTTCTTAAATTTGTAATTTGACCGAAAGTTCATATGTATTTCAAGCTCGTACTTGGATGTTCCTATTTCGAAAAGAAAGAAAACCCCGACACATGTATTTCAAGCTCTAACTCATTGGAAGCATATTAGTAAATATTCGTATTGAGGTAGAATATTGGTTTATGTCGGATGTTGCATCTGAGTTTGTCTGGCTTCGTCGTCTTCTTTCTGACCTTGGAGTTACGTGTCTAGTTCATATGGATATTTTTGTTGATAACACCAGCACCATTCAAATTGCGGCAAATCATGTGCTTCATGATCGTACAAAGCACATTGAGATTTCCATTCGCTATGTTCGTGATCTTGTTGGTGATGGTACATTGGTACTTTAGCTCTCCATTATGTCGGCATCGAAGATCAAATAGCTTGTATTTTTACCAATGCCTTCTTTAAAAGTTGTCATTGATAACTGTCGAGCAAATTGATGCTTTGCGATCCACATCAGTTTGGCGGAGACAGTTAGCATACTATTTTCCTTTCTTTATTGCTTTTGTATATACAACCCATCTTTCAGTCTCGACCCACTAGTAACATTAGCCCGTATTGTAGTATGACACAGTAGCTCATGAATGGAGACTCGACTGATTGTTGTTGTCGTCTTAGGGTTGTTCTCTTTGATATGTATATAGTCAGGTATAGCTTACAACATAGTAATCAAGATACAGTAAATAAGATTCGTAGTTGAAGGGTGATTTCTTTTCTGTGAATTAGTCATGGAATTCAATTCCATGGATACCACGTAAGTAAATCAGATTGTTTATTTTCTGTTCACTTTTTTTGTTCTATGTTAATAAAAAAAATCACAAGTAGGTAAAGTTGTAAAGTGTGTGGAACTATCTAATGATTGTATTAATTAGACAGTTGTCGATTAAGAAAAAAAACAAGAATAAAAAATGGCTAAATGTTTGTGGGGCTAACTAGTTGTGGGTGGTAGCTTATGGTGACAAAGTTTAGGCCACAATTTGGTGTTGAACTTGGCTATAAAAATCTTTGGATTGTGTATGCATTCCTTAAGCAAAGAAAAACAAAGAATGAAGAGATAGTGTTTTTGAGCAATATTGAGTTGTGGAAAGGGCAAGAAACAAAAGAGAGCATTTCACTAATCTCCCTACAACACACTACTACCAAACTTTTGTCCCCCCTCATTCAGTAAAAAATGTATACCTCGACGTTCTTCTATCTCCTAACTTCCTTTATGCTCCCCATCTTCCTTCTCATCGATCTCCCACCCACCTCATCGCAACAGCTGAAATCATGTCGATTTTCATCACTCTACCATTTTGGAGATTCTCTGTCTGACACAGGGAATGCACTTGTAGAGTTTCCTTTTGTAGGCTAGGGAAAGTTTCCATAATGCATGACTGTCGGCAAACCATCTGGGGACTGGGAGGTTCTCGGATGTGTACCTCTGTGTCGATAGGATCAATAAGTGCAACCATGTTAACAAAATACTTCTCTTCCACGTTTGTTCTTCATACTTCTCTTACAAGTTTTTTTTCTTCTTCTTCTTCTTCTTGCAGCCGAGTCAGCAGGGTTTCTCCCATTGCAATCCCAACCTCAACAAGACTATGGACCATTCTAGAGGAGCGAATTTTGCGCTGTCTGGCATCGGTTTGTTGTTCAAGCAACTCCGTGAGGAATTCGATGTCCACCTTAAGTACTCCCAGAGCAGTCTGGAAGTGCAACTCGGTTGGTTGGCGAAGTTCTCCATCGAAGCCTTCCAAACCGAATCTGGTAACTATGCACATAAATTGTATTTCTTTATGAAACAAATGTACAATACATGATCATGTTGTTAATGAATTCTTACATTTTGGATTACTTTCGCGGCTCGCAGGGCGAACTACAAGTTAGCCCTCTTCGCCCTTGGAGGCGTATGGAGATTAATTCAGACAAAACGGCCTGCTTCGTGAACCATTCGAACCAACCCTGTGTTGGATCAAGAAGACAAATCAAGTTAAGGGTTTCGGGCTGGCCTTGTGTCTTATGGAGTTGGTCAATAACGAGTCCAGTTAGTGGTTAGTAGTGTTAAGTTGTTGCTTGTTTTAAGGACTGTTGTTGTTAACAGCTCCTTATTTCATGTTAGATAGGCCGAGTAATAGGGGTTGTGGTACCTGGTTTATAGCTTCCATTAGTTATACTTGATGTATTTAATCTCTACGTTGATCACTGAATAAATCAATCAAGTTTTCCCTTCTATTCTGTTTAACACCCTATTGATACATGCTATCAATGGCATGCTCTATGCACATTGAATCACATTGTTCTAATCTCTCTATAACCAGTCTTGCCAAACTTTTGTTGTCCCCCCTCCTCCAGCAAAATGTCTGCCTCACCGTCCCTCAGTCTCTTGACTTTCCTTCTGCTCCCCGTCTTCCTTCTCATCAATCTCACACATGCCTCGTCATAGCAACTAAAAACTAGTCGGTATTAAGAAAATTATCTTATAAATATAGTCATATTTTGGTCTCCTACAACACATGAAAAAGGTGATTATATAATATTGTTATACAATAACATATTATAGTTATATAATTTTAAGAGTTAATACATTAAATTGGTCCGAAACAGTACACTAATAGACTAATTTAGTCCGAATTTTCAAATACACTTAGCATGTATAGGATTTCTCAACTGGCCAAGAGTTTAGTCAGTCCTCCTCTAAAGCCCAAATGTAAAAGCCCAACTACAATCTCCTTAATACTCGTCCTTATTATTGATTAATTATCACATAATCACCACTGATGAAGAAAAAATACAGTTCTCCCCTGTGCCTACACTCTTTTGATTTCTCAAACCTAAAAAAAAACTCTGATATTGGAACCTCTAGATCTTCTCCTTCTTTAGAGGGGGAAAATATTTGTGCAAGGCAAAAGGAAAGCTCTGCTTTCAAGCCGTATGAGAAGGCCAACAAATCGTTTCCCTTGGGCATGGAGGCAGAGGAGCAGGCTGAGCAATGTAGCTAGGAAAATGGTGTCCAGGCATCACTACAGAATAATCCGACGCCATTCGAACCTGCCACCACCACCAACCACAAACCACACATTACAAATTTTTGTCACATAACCCCAGAAATCAATCAAAGTAACGCAATTTGATTGTTTTGTTTGAATTACCATTTGTGGGTTGCCAAGTTTGTGAAAGTACCCTGCTTCCGGGTATGCAGCACCATGATCGCTCCTCGAAGTGGCAGAGACATCGTCCTGAGGCGAAGAGAAAGAGGATGATGGATTGCTTGGCCGGAAGAGATGCTCGAAGATGGCCATTATGAGGAACATCGAGATCAGTATCGCTGTGGCTACGAACCCAAAAGAGATTGCGTTCATCGATGTGCCAAAGCTCTTCCACGGAGCTTCGCCGCGGTCGATGATCACCGTGGCACCACCTCCCGTTGCTGCTGCAGGCTGAGATGGCGGCGGATCTGAGGTTGTGTATAGGAACCATGGCTCTGGTGTTGCCGGGGTCGATTCGCTCATAGCTTAATCTGAGAATTTTTCAGCAATGCAGCAAAAACAGAGGAAGGGGCAGCTCTGTACCAGAGGGAAAAGGGAAAGGTTGCATAAAGAAGTGGAGGAGGAAATGAAATTCTGTATATAAAGAAAGGGAGCAGACAGCAGAGACTATTATATAAAAAGAGGTTGCAACTTACCTTACACTTTGGCTAGTGGTATGATTTTAGGAAAGCATTTGGAGAAAGAAAGAGATGATGTTTTCCCAATGGTCCTCATTAGAATTAAGAACAGAGGGACTAGATGGATAGTTAATGATAGCCTAAACTAACCCTTTGATAAACCATAAATGGCGGCTCAATCACCATTATCAGAAAAAAAAACCCACTCGAGTGTGTCTCAAGCGGTAAAATATAGAGTTTGATATAACGCATTCTCGAATTCAATAATCTTTGACAAGGTTGTAAGCACAAATCGTCTACTTTTATTGACTTCGCGACAGTATTTGTCGAGTATTTATAAGTTGAATTGAGATACGTCAGGTTACTCAACGATAAAAAGAGGTGTAGTAAACATGAGCTGAGAGGGGTAAGGTGGCCCAGCTAAGCATATAAGCTTTATGCATTCTCATCAAACTCAATAGAAAATGTAAAGACAAAGTTATATGGTAATCTTGCAGGACAATGATTTCCCCTTTCCCTCTTTTTGCTTTTGCTTTTTGTTTTAGTCGTCTTCATGTTCATGGCGTTTGATGATGCTTAACTTGATGAGTACTATACCCTTCTGTCTCATCTATTCTAAAAAAAAATGAAGAATGGGCCTTGCCTGTCTGGCTTGAGAAATTTTAGATTAGCCTCTCATTGGCTGCTTTACATAGTTGTTGCCGCCTTTTCTTTTGGTTAGTTTTCTATTTTTCTGATTCTAATAATTTTTTTGATTCCTTTCTACTACTTTAAGAGGAACCAATTCGATTCTTGATAATGACTTCAGCCAAGTTACTATAACCATGTGTTTGATAACAAGCAGATAGCTGTATCTCAAACTTTATAGCAAAACTGGAAAATGTTTCAACAGCCTACAAAGACAACAAGCAGATTGTAGCCTTCACATGAGCGAACTAAGCCTCGAGGCGACGATAGTGTTTGAGATTCTCCTGTGTAGTCTGGAATCGTCCTTGCCCGAACTTGGATGAAGTGTCGATGAACTTGAGATTCACATGCTCTGTAGCAGCTCTGGAAGTCTGTTTCAAGTTCAACAGAGACTGCCTCAATGTCACCACACACTTCTTGGGATCTAGTCAGCAGCCCTTGATCATAATGTAATCCTCCCTCACAATACCATAGTGGGGGAACCCCCCAAGCCAAGATGTGTGATATCCTTCTCAGTACTGTTATTCACCAGCAGCAGAAACCAGAAAGACAGGCATAAACTAGTACATGGAAGCCCGATTCCATATAGAGGTGCATGCTAAAGCTAACATGTCATAATCAGTCATGGCAGAGTGAGAATCCTGCGCAGATTTCCAAACTTGCAGATCTTCTTGTTCATCTCAGTGCGGTGATGGTAGCCATTCTGATCAGGCCTAGCCACAACCGAGGAGACTCTAGCAGGATGCCACGCCTCAATACAGGCAACCTTGCGAAGACCACGATGGGTCTTACAAGGGAGACGGGTTACACCAAACGAGTGACAACGCACTCATAACCCTTACCCTTGGTCACACCAATGAAGCCAATCATCTCATCTTTCACGAGAACAGCATCAATTGGAACCTGCTTCTCAAAGAAGCTGTAGGCAAAGTCAACCATTTTCGCATTGTCTCCACCAGTGTGAGCCAGGACACGGAACACAGTAGTAGCATACTTCTGCATCTTTTCCAGGTGGGAAGTAATATCTTGCTTCCCTTCATGAGTCTCGAACTTCTTGGATTACTTGGTGAAAGCCTTCTTCTTTGACTTGGCCCAGTTCTTATACAATCTTCTCTTGACATCCTCACTCAAATGCTGGGCTCTGACAGTGTTCAGAGATAGGAGATCACCGGGTGTCTTGATATAGCCATCAAATCCAACAACAACCAAGGGTGGTGTTTCAATAATTGTGACAGCTTCCCAGGGTCTCCTTCTAGTGAATCTCTGTATGGCACAAAAGACTTGAAAACAATCAACAAAAGGTACCTACAGACCTCAACGACATATCAATAAGAAAATACTGTAACCCAGGGAACTCACTTGACCCATGTTTCTGAACCTCTCTGACGATTTGGGTCATTCCAGCCTTGTAACCCAGGAACGCTGTAAATCTGCGTGGTTTAGTTTGATCATCCTTGGGGAAAGCCTTAACTACATCAACCATGGGAAAAAAGATATCAAATTATTATTATTATATTATTAATCCACAAGTTAAACTACTGTTGCATACGAAATTATCGCTTCCCCTCGAGTCACTGTTCATGAAGCCTAATCCCCTGTGATTAGACCCATAATATTGCAACCTACCGACAAAAAAACTCCTAAACACTTCTGGAAGCTTCAAAGCAATTATGCATTAGGTTGGCCAATATATATTCCTGGACACTTCAAGACCTTTTGCATTTGGTTGGCAAATCTATATTATTAATCCGCAAGTATATATTATATATTGGGTGGTCAATGTATTTTATATATGGTTCAGGTGTACGCTTATCTTATTGTAAGTCCGTCGAATTTTATTATTTAGAGCATAAATCAATCGAAATTGGAGCATGAGATTATATCCTAATTTTTAATGGGTGAACTTCAATCTCCAATTCTCTAACTCAAACCAGAAGATTCATTCAATCTTATATGTCAAAATTATCAAAGTACAAATAATAAATGTGAACGCTGGTGTATAGCGTACATCAGACAGACGTATGCTAGCCTTTGTCATTATATATTGGGTACGCCAATTATATTCTAGACACTTCCAAACAATTTTGCATAGGTTGGCCAATATGTTGCATTTAAAAGCCCAAGAATATTAAGTAACATAGGAATAGTATTAATTTTGTCCTTCAATACCAAATTCATCATAAGCTTTCCCTTCCTTCTGAAAGGTCCTATTCCCGAGATTTGTATCCCCTACACCCAATTTCACTTTCACTTTAAGTTATTTTTCTCTCATGGCCTAATTATAATCAAACTTGATATTTTTCATGAGACTTATCATAACTTAATTTCGGTATAACTAAAGTATTCACCATCTTATTAATTTGCATTACACAAAGATTTCTTAAGGTCAGTTAACTTTTACATGACAATTCAATCGAGTGTGATACTTTTCATAAGTTAAATTTATCATTAGGACCACATGTTACAGAAGATTTATGTAAAGTTTTTCTATAAAAGTAATGTAAATTAAAATTATATAATGTAAAGTTTATAGAGGAATAATTATTTCTTATGCATTAATTAAAAAATACAGTATGCAAGTAATCTTTAATTTTAAGACACTACGCTTCGGTGATGAATGGATTGTTATTTCTTATGTATCAATTAAATAGGCATACGATGTAAGTCTTCTATAACATAAGTTTCAACTAAAATTCATTTATTATTAACTAAACTATTCGCCTTCTCATCAATTTATATTATAGAATGGTCATATAAGGTTAGTTATAACTTCTATATAACAGTTTAATCAAATATAATAATTTTCATAATTTGATTTTATTATACCATATATTAAGGAAAATTACTCGCTCTGTAATAGTTACGTAAATTACAAATACATTACTAAACTCTAAATGTGGCCATAATACATAAAATTTTGAACTTTAATTGGTAGTATTAATCTAATATGATGATATAACATAGAATCACAACTAAACAATCCATTATCCTAACCCCTTAACATTCAATTTTGAATCTCAACCCAAAACCCCAAATTGTAAACCTAAAGACTAACCCTAAATTCCTAAATTCTTAAAATTAAAGTAACTCTTGAATGATTTTTTTTTTCTTCTGAAAATTCATGTGTTTCCTGTTCATAATATCATAAGCAACGATCAATACCGTTTTGACATGAATCACATGCTCGAAATGACGATTATGAGGTGAGTGCATTGAATGCATCCAAAAAAGTGGGTGCACCGAAGACGCCACTATATATATTAAACTAAAATGTTACATAATTTTCTATACTGATTAAGTTACTACTGAAGTCTTATGAAGAGATAATGATTTCTTATGCATAAATATACGTATTACACAAATATTTTATAATTAGTAAGATGCTACGTAAAACTTATGAGAGTGCCTTATCAGAACTATTTGTTAAATTATTTGACTCACATAAATAGTTAAATGATGATATAAAATTGTAAATATAATTTGTTTCTTATCGCTGCGAAGCGCGGGCAAAAAAACTAGTGAATTATCAAACCACGAGAAACAAATGATTTCTCTAGAAGAGAACCTTAATGCAATGGTGGTCCCAACTAGCTACAATGGTGCAGAATTGAAAAGTTGACATTTTGGTGCTTATACGACAACCGAATTAGCATGCTCCTCATGCCACTTTGAGAATTCATCAAGCACAAAATCAGTGCAGGAAAATGAAAACCATATTTGTAGTGATAGTACTGTCTTATAGTACTATGAACAAGTACCAGATGCCATCTACGCTACAGGATTAACAACCTCTTCCTCGGTGTCTTGCACCTCTCTTCCTGAAGAAGGCCTCCCAAAGAACCATGCCTGGGATGCTCAAACTTGCGATGAGACATTCCATGAATTCAGTCCTAATTCCCTGGGAAAAACAAATCAACATAAGCTTACAATCGAAAATGGCCAACTAATATTCGTCAAACAACATACAGCAGTGACTATGTAGCATTACAGATTTGAAACCGATCCAGATTATTTAAATTAGAACAGGATAGTCAGTGTCAATCTCATATGGATTCAATCAGTAATAGCAAACAACCAAATTATGAAAATTGAAAGTAAATTCTGTAAAAGTACCCTGTAAACTAAGATATTCTTGATTTTACAAACGACAGCAGGCAGAGAGAACAGTCTTAGTTCACTTATGTAGAAGAAAAATAACCCATAAAAAAGATGCAATCCAACACTGTAAATACATGATGTTAGCCACTCGCTCCCAGCTAAAAGTGAAGAGAAACGATGCCCTCAAACCAAAGGCCTGTGGCAAAATCGATTGTGCCAATTCTCCCAGGCTCGTAATGTATTTCTTCACGAATACCAGATTCAGAGAATTCGATAAAGAGAGCCCATTTCCGAAGCTTCAGCCTTGATTAATCGTTATCAGAGGGAAATTCATTTCAAATCACAACCAGGCACTGATCAGAACAATCACCATTTCACAGTAAACAGACAAAGCCACAATGTCAAATACTGACGATATTAAGCCGGACAATACTACCTGAATTGGTGCAGATAGTAGAGAAAATCAAGGGAAGGAGAGAAGCCGTGAAATCTTCCCGGGAACCAGAGACACAGGCGACGCAGCCACCGGAGTACAAGCTTTGGTGGTGTCTTTTGAAAGGGATTTTTTTTTTTCCTCAAAAGATCGCTCGTATTACCGAGAAAACAGCCAGATACACAAAAGTCACATAGCTGAAAACAGCCAAGAAACAAAATTGAACCCCACCAAAGAAGGGAGAAATTTTACGATGCTATATAGTATTGGTGCTATAGGTTTTTACTTTTATGGTACAACTTAAAATTGTACATTTACGTTATGGTACAACTTCAGATTGTACCTATACTTTTTGTACAAATTCTTTTATGGTACAACTTGAACTTGTACTTTTATGTAATGGTACAATTTTAAGTTGTAAAGTTGTACCATAACATAATGGTATAAATTGCTTTATGGTACAACCTAAACTTATACATTTAATGTTATGGTACAACTTTGAGTTGTACATTAAAGCACCAATGCTATATAGCATAGTAGGAGTGCTCCCAAAGAAGGGGACAACGAAAGGGCTTTTCTTGCCACCAAATGGGCAACCCTATTAGACTCCCGACCCACAAAAATAACCCGAAACTCCTGGAACAAGTCACGCATACTCCGAATCTCCTCCAACAGCATCCCTCCATGGACATCATCTACCTCACCATCCCGGATCTTCCCCACGACCACTTGGGCGTCACCTGCAAAAACCATCGACTGGAATCCAAACGCCAAGCACCAACGAAGCGCATCCCGGAAGGCCAGTAGTTCAACAAGATCCGGCTCCCAAATCCCCACATACAGAGCTGCCGATGCTGCCACCACCATGCCCGTGGGATCCTGAAGAGCCCAACCTCCTGCTCCATGGGAACCAGGCGACGTGGCCCCATCCACGAACATGACGAACTCTCCCATCGGAACATCCTGACGGCCTCTGGCACCTGAGACCCTTGAGTAATGACTAACACCTCTGCCGGTAAGTATGCCCTCCCACTCTGCAACCTGCAAACGGAATTGAGATAACAACAACGGCACAATGTACTGAGTCAACTCAAAAACCACCCAATTACGGGCCTTCCAAATGCGCCAGAAAAGGGCTACAATATGCATCATGACCCCCTGATCAAGCTCCCGCCACTCGATTAACCTGCGCCAAAAGATCCCAACATTGCAAATGGGGAAGCGATCGCGAATGGCCAGAAGCTCTGCCCCTTCCCACAACTCCACCGCTACTCGGCAGCGGAAGAAGAGATGTTCCAGAGATTCCCCCTCCTCCCCGCAGACTGGACACGGCTCCAGCCCCCTACCCCCCTAGAACTCAGTGCCTCACCAGTTGGCAAGACACCGCGAACCATCTGCCATATGAAATACCGCAACTTGGGAGGTACGGGAGCCCCCCAAACCTTTTTCCATAGAGGCTAAGAATATTTTGAGGAAATCTGAACATGATTTTATTGAATGATAGTTACAGCTAATATACATCTTTGTGCAACAGAATAGTTGCCCACGTTCCATGAGTTTAGGAACAGAATGCGAGTGGGAAAGATGGAGAGAAAGAATAGGAGAAGAAGAATAAATAAATAAAATACAATTATGAACTGAGTTCCTCAATATCTTTATGGCAAAATACACTACCATAGTCATAACTTTACACTTTGTGACAAATATAGCCAGATTTGAAAAAATACACAGAAATAGCCATTCCGTCCATTAATATAACGGAATTGTAACGCCGGCTGACTAGACAAACGATTGTCTACTGCCTTCGTCTACGTGGCATGCCAGGATGGAATTTAAATTAATATATTTATTAAAAAAATCAACTTTACCAAATTGTCTTGTGGGGAGCTTCTTCTCCATCCGCCCCTCTCCATTCGTCTCCGTTCCTCTTCCCATAAATCCCACATCCATTCCACCTTAACTCTAACTCGCAGCCACTCTCAGTCGAAGAAACTCAAGAAAGCATCGAGATGGAGATTATCTATCCCAATTAAAAACCCCAATTATCCGGTCATAGCTGAAACCCAGCAGCTCAAAGTCCCCAAAAACCCAGCCGTAGACTCCGCACCACCTGCTCACCTTCCCATCGGTCCAGTTCACCACCACCCATACCTAGCTCCCCACCTCTCGCCTCCCGCTCCCATCCCTTCCAAATCGCCAAATCCTGCCGTCGCGTCTCCATCCGCTCTCCCTCTCATCTCGCCTGCTCTCTCTCTCTCTCTCTCTCTCTCGAGCTCTCAATCTCACCGGAAAAAGATGAATGGGTATATAAGAAGACTACGATGGCCTGATTGTAGATCCTGGGTTCGTAGAGGAAGGAGAAGATAGATAGATCTAGAAGAAGACGAATGGATTCGATCTCAGCACCTCCTTCACAGTTGCATCCCCTACCAACGAGCGCTCGACGACGAACTTACGGAGCAAAATCGACATCCCGACGGGGTAAAGGCAGAAGAGGAGCCCTACATATTCCACCATCCATCAATTATAGATTTGTGTTCTTGATTGGGTATCTCGTCGAGAAAAGGGAAGATGAATAGAATAGGATATGGTTGGATCAGGTTCGTTGCTTTGTCAATGCGTATAGTAGGTTGGCTATGATTCTGGTCGGCGGCGGCGGCGGATTTGTAGGGTGCGGCGGGGAGGGATTGATAGCAGCAGTGCCGCTGCGTGCCTTTCTTCTTCCTTCTTCTTTTCTTTTATCATTTTTCTTTTTTGTTTTTTCCTTTAATTGAAAAAAAGGGAATCGGTCATTCATTGGGTCATCCAAAAAAATCTTTTTTTTTTAATTTAATAAATAACATTTTTAATTTTAATTTGACATGGCATGACATGTCGACAAAGAGTTGACGTGGAAGCTGACGAGGCGCATTCTCAGCTTGTTGTTGACGGACATAACCGACATCTCTAACTCCGTTAATATTTCTAACGGAAATGGCTATAATTGTCAAGGTAGTTTCAAATTTGTGGCTATTTCTGTGTATTTTTTCAAATCTGGCTATATTTGTCACAAAGTGTAAAGTTATGGCTATGGAAGTGTATTTTGCCTATCTTTATAGTGGTGGAGGAAAAGACGGCGGCGAGCTGGCTGCCGGCTGGGCTTGCTGGGATAACGGCCTGTCCAAAACTAGGCCCAATAAAGTTCGGCCCATTTAGTTAAGGCTCTTTCTTCTGGGCTGACTTCGCCACATTTACCAACATTACTCTTAGCTCGCGGCGGCGATGGAGGAATGAACATCCTGATCGATCTTCAGTCCCAAATTCGACGTCCGGCAGCCAATCTCCTTCGTTTTTGTCTGACTGCTTTCCGCTTCCGCCGATTCAATGCTTGGGGTTGGGAGATCGCTTGCCGATGTCAGCCAACGCCTCCTTCGTAACGTAGCGGTAAGTACTTCCTTCTGATGGATTCATCTATGCTTCAGCGGTAGGGGTTAAGCTTAACGTTAAGGGTTTTAGGGTTTAACCGATTGTGCCTCTTGTTCACTTTGTCAACTCCGAGCATTTTCTTCGATTTGTAGCCTTCTAGATTGGAAAAAGTTTTAAGCTTTTTTACTGAAGTCGCACTCTGGAGGAATTGTTGGTTGTTTGGGAGTGAATTGAATTAAACCAATATAGGATAAATCTGGGCAGTTCATTCTTGTGCTTCATTTTGGCTTCTTTTTTATCCACTATCTGGTGTTTTCCTGAAAATGGCTGCTCTTATATGAATAAGATGATTCAGTTTTGCGATTGCTATGTTGTAATCTTCCCCTGTTTACCATTTGGTTCAGTTACGATGTCAGCAAGTCCAATGCCTTCGTGTTGGCAATTCTGAGATTCCGAATCACAAGAGGCTGCAAATCTCTCTTCAGTACATCCATGGAATTGGCCGCAGTAGGGCTCATCAGATTCTGGTGGACTTGAGTATTCAGAACAAGCTTACCAAGGACTTGACCGGTGTCGAACTTAATGCACTCAAGGAGGAAGTCTCTAAGTACTTGACTGGAGGAGATCTAGTAAGCTCTTATCCTGTGTGCTATTTTTATTTGGCTTCTCATATCCTGAGTTCGTACTCTCCCTTAAACACTTGTCTGTTTGGTGGTGTCCAGAAACGATGTGTTAGTGGTGATGTGCAAAAGTTGATAGACAGTCAATGCTACAGAGGGATCAGACACGTCGATATGTTGCCTTGCAGGGGACAACGCACCAAGACCAATGCACGGACTAGGAAAGGTGAGTAGGTTATCGTTTTGGAAGTAGAAAGCTTTTTTCTTGTTTCTTTGTATGTTTCTGTGTGTGTGTGTGTGTGTGTGTGTGTGTACTTCCTCAACATTTCTCGCAAATTAAGTCACAGGTAGAGGTTTTAGGTTCTGGATGTATTGGCTTAGGTTTTGGATGTCGATATGATGCATTCATTAGTATCTTCTATTGTCTGATTGGTTGCTGATGAATTGTATTCATTGTTTGACATGGCATTATTCTGCAGAACACACCAAGCAATTGGGAAAAGTACCAACCTCCCGCTGAAGTTTGTTTTGGAGCACCCAGAAAGTATTCTGGCATCACTAGGTCTCAGGGGTAGAACATCATTCAGAATGAGTTCCACTGAATACCTTTTACCCTTTGACATTGTGGCTTTGATTTCCTATCTTGTGCAATAAGCATTATCGGAGCTGAAATGATCAATGTCCTGCCAATATCGTTTTCAGTAGTGACTCTCGAAATATAAATTCATAGAACGAGTGACGAGCCTGTTCTGTTAGATTGCAGTGTTTTGGTTCATTCTCTTGCTAATATAGCGTCTGAGTTTAGAGAAGAAACCATCCTCTGACTAGTGCAGCACTTTGCATCATTGAACAAGCTACTCTGAATGGCGATTATTCTTCAGTATTCTAGCACATCATCTGCATTATTGAACAGGTTACTCAGGATGACCATGATGATGCTTTAATATGCTAGGAACTGTTTGAGAAATTGATGAAACTGCTGCGTTCTTCTGCAATTCAATTTTCCCACATTGAATTGCTCCTGTTTAACACTGCATCCGGACCTATTGGAAAAGGGGGAGTTGTTGATCCCTTAAATCGAAGAAGAACATAAAACTGAAACTTTGTCAGCTTGGCAGAGACTTAGAGATTTGTTTTGCAGGGATGGTTTGCCCATCTGCTGCATTTGTCTGCCTTGGATGATGTGTTTCACTATTGAAAATTGGATTCGGTCAGTATCTTGGTCATACGAATTCTTGTTTGGATCTTGCAATTGGCAGGCACTGCACATTGATGTCATTGAAAGTTTTGTTGCTGGAGGGAGGGTTGCTTCTCCACATACACGTTTCATGTTTGTGCTCATTGCGGCATATTCATAGCAATGATTGTAAAATCGTACTAAAAAGGACACACGATCATCAAAATGTAGATAAATTTCTTAAAGACTTAAAATAGACAAGTTTGTGTTTTGGGATTTTATTTAAGCAGCACCATGATTCCAAAGTCGGAGCTGATTTGACAATTCAAGCAAACAACGGTACAAACAAACGAAGTAGTTTCACATTCCATCAAAGCCAATTGGATGGATCAGTGACTTGGCTTCCACCGATCCTACTGCTCAAGTTATGGAAAACCCACATGCATGGCATAAGGTCAATTTCCCATCTGTATTGTTGCCAAACAGTACCTATGAAGTTCCAATTGCTAATTTGTTATGAGACACCACCAATTGTTTTAGGGTTTATTTTTGTGAGTGTGGTAGCTAGCTAGCTACCTATTACTTCTTTGTGATTGCTATATTATTTCCAAACATTATTCTCTACATGTAATAATGAGGGCAGATAGATTGATTCCTTTCCTTTCATCATGGTTGGCCTTCGAATTATCGTTCAATCGTCCCACCAAGCTATTCTCCAATGTCTCTAAAAGTAATTTATGCATGTTTAGTTCGTGTACGATAGTTCATCAATCATTAAGACCTCAAGACTGATCATACATAAACTTCTCTGTAAGAACAAAAGCTTCTCGCTTTTGACCCTTGCCACGTGCTGACACATGAATCGATGTGATTATGTTCACAGGCTTCCAATGATCTTGGTGATTCATCAATGGCCATGGTAGAGATCGATGCATGTCTGTCGACTCTGCTACTGCAATGGCTTTGGGATCAAACCTATGGACGTCGGTTCGGTTTAGTTCGATTAACCCAACCGAAACCATTAAAAACTAGAAATCGAACTACTATGTTTCCCCAAAACCATATTTGTTGAGTTCGTTTTCGATTAGAACAAATCGAAAATGAAAACTCCTATATCCTGATTAAAGCGAAACCCACTGCACCCCTCAACTACTGTCTTTTTTTATTCCAATCCTCAGAGTCAAGGTTCTGTGAGGATTTTTGGGGTACTAGGCTGGATCTCCATGCTTTTATGCATTCGAACTTCACAAAGAAACAAAATGGTCAATTGATCTGTCCCTTCACGTATCGATATGAGTGAACACATAGATTAATCAATGATTAACATTAATCAACCAATGAAGACAAAATCTAGGGACTAATAAGGTTGTGATTAGAAGTTAAAGGGCCTCAAGAATGGTATCTTTCCTTTCATAAAGTGGATTTGGGTGATGGGCAAAGTAATTGAGATTGCAAACAAAATCCCAAAGGGGGTCATGTAAATATATGGTCATCAAAAGCATAAAAAAGAGACACCCAACAACAGTCAAGTAAAATGACAAAGATGGTGCAAATTATGAGGTGGGTGGGTGTTGCTTTTGTTAGCCAACAACAAGTTTACTTTAATTTGACAAATGCTAATGACAACAAAACTAAAGATTTCCCCTCACTTAAATCTAGAATCCAAAAACCAACCATGGATGGAGGAGAAGAAGAAGAAGAAAGGGAAAAACAAAACTAAGAGATTTCCCCCACTTACATGTGTCTGTTAGATTTGCAGCAATAGCTGCTGATGTGGTCCAGCAACTAGCATATCAATGGAGGAGCATGTTCATCATCTGTTTTTGTGATTTAAGGTTTCTAGATAGGTTGGAGAGAGAAGGAATGATAGTTTATAAAGTTATGGGCTGGTAAAATGGTTCGATTAATTGGACCACAGTTGATTATAAAAACTCAAATCGGTTAGACGATTTTCTTCTGATAACCGGAACCAAATCGATGAGAACCCTTAACCTGTTGGTGGTGGCAAACGACAATATAGCCACAAAATTTCAACTGAGTAGACCCAATATACTCCTACATATAGTACCATGATGAAACCGGGTCTTGATATATGATACGAATATTGGGATATGATGTTATTCAGAAAGAGTGTTTAAGAGAGTAACAAAAGAGAATTGAGAAGAATAGGAGGATTAGAATAAGAGTTGAGATTGAGAAGAACATAGAAGTGGAATAAAGTGAGATACTTTGATTATTTTTTGATTGATTGGTAATCCTAATGAAACAACTAACTTATATTATATAGGCTCTACCGCAAAAAAACTCTAGTCGGTTTATATAATGAAAGACTAATCTACCTTGAACACGAATATTAGGTATGCATCAATAGAGGTGTGTTAGCCTTCTCTTTGCAACAATCTCTCGAAGTACAATCAGGTGTTGAATATTGTGAGGTTCTCTTGATATTGGAGTAGTCGTTAACGAAATCATACTTCACTCATAAAATTTGATCATCGTCTTTCATGGGTTTCAAGTGTATATCATGAGAAAGTGAACATACATATAGATGTTAATCTTTTATCTTAATTTGATGCATTCAAAAGCGATAGTTCCATCGACCGGTCTACGAATGTTACAGCATATATACTCGTGATAAAGGAACAACGTTGTTGTTAATTTGATACATACAAAAAAAAAAAAGGATACCCTAATTTCTTTATGGCCTCTTTTCTATGAAAACCAATCTAGCTAGGGTTTCTTTTTCCATTTTCCATTTCATTGTTTCTCTCCTCTGGGAAAGGTTTGGGTTGGGAACTTATATGAGGACCATAATATAACAATAACAACCCTTTAATTTGCCACCTTTGCTACTTTCTTTTTTCTTTTGATATGGCCTTTAAGTTGGTCCGTCATCTTTTGAAAGGCTTTAGCTAGCTTTCTTTGCTCAAAGGCGTTCAAAGTCTGGGTTTTTTCTCTCTATCTCTTCAACGATTTAGCAAAAGCTCTGTATTATATGCATGTTGCCTTCTTCTTTCGTTATTTGCATGCAGATCATATAATTCGTTCTGATTGTTGGGTATTTTATTCAACAGCACAGATTGGCGTATTTGTTCAATGGGAAGAGAAGCGACACAAAGCGAGAGAGCTTAAGAAGGAAAGGATTGGTGATTGAGAATAGTAAAAAGTGGGGAATGAGAATGATGATTTGGTGTGTACTTTAATATCCAGAAAACCAAACGAAGCACACACTTTAATTACTTGGGATCATGATTCATCATTGCATGCATCTATTTAATCATGAAAGCCATTGCTTTTGACATTTGAGGGGGTTTTCGATCTACTTGATGGCCGGTTTGATAAATTTTCAGTATTCAAACAAGTAACAATTCACAAGACAAAACGACTAACGTTATTTTTGCGATTCAGAATGAACCGTCGACTTACAATGTCGCAACAGAGAAATAAAATAATTAAGATCAAATTTGAGGACAGGAAAGAGGTCACCCAAACACCCAGTAGTCCTTTTTTTGCCACCATCTAAAGCTGCTTTGGGTTTTTTTTGAAACGACCAGTTTTGTACAAAGGAAAAGATAAAAGAGAGGAACCTGGTTCTCTCCTTGGCTTCTTCATATCCTTCTTTCTGCATTTGCTTTGGTTCCATTATCATTTTAGGATAGCAGCAAAGTCAATTATTGTTCCTCATTTTGCAGATTCCCCCTCCTTGTCATTGCTACCTCTCTCTCTCTGTGTATGTTCCCATCACATTGTGCAAATTTATCAATACTTTGCACCACCCTTTGTTTCATTGATGTGTTTCCTTTTTCATGAATGAAAAGAATCTATAAAATGGGCGCAAACTACAAACCGAGTTCGCCAAAAGCGACCAACTGTTAAGAGATCACAAAAGAAATTACGAACGATGAATAGAAGTGTAGCAATGCCAAAAAATCCACCACCGATGACCGATGTAACCCAATCTGCCACTTACCACGATTCGTGGTTGCACATAATTCCTAGGAAAGATGTTTTATTTGTCCATTTCCTGATTCAATAAGAATGTAAATATGACATGCGATCGAAAGATGACCTACAGATCAAAAACGAATTATAGAAGAAGTGTAGCAACGCAAAACCCACCCACGATGTAACAGTATATATACCGGTCACTGTGGAAATTCATGGTTGTACAAAACTGCCCCTCAGTTTCTTATTGGGTAGTGAGGTCAAGATGACAGTAAGATTGGCCCATATTCTTGTCATCATCAACAGCTAATGAAACTCCATGATGATGGTGGAAAGATGCCACTAATAGTTCAAATCAGTCAGCCATGCATTAGTTTGGTTGTTTTAACCTAAACTGTGGCATTATCTATAGATTTACACATATGGACCAGCATGAATGTGAAAGAAAAAGACCCTCACAATGAAAGATGAGCCAATCAAATCTTAGGAATTGGAAGGTGTGAGATGTGAGATTTTTCCTTTGAGTATTGATTTTTGGGGAAACATCAAAGATTATGGACAAAAGTAAGGTTGACAGATCATGCATGTTCCCTAAATCCCTCCTTGTACTTTAGCTAACGATTTCAAGCACACAACATAAATCGATTTGAGTTCGTATTTACGAATTTTCTTAATGCGGATATAAGCAATAGTAAACTAAACTTAAAACCGATTCAAATCGAATATACTCATTTTGTTCTTATGTTTCATCCGATTTTACCGCGATTTTCGAATTGGAACAGACCATATACCCACCCCATAGTGCTAGCAGTAATGCTCCCCACTTATGCTTGGTTGTACATATGCAGTAACATTTGCCATTTAAGATGCATGGCAGAGGTAAGTGAGTTGTGCATATATGAAAAGAGTGACCACCAAGAGTTTACTTTTGAAATTTTATGTTTGTCACATATATGTAAATACTGGTATTCATCAGCTGGTCACTCCATAAGTCATAATAAGCTCATCAAGAGATGGCAGCAAGAAAGGAAAGTGACAGTTCAAAGCAATGGCCTTTGCCCCCATTGCCTTGAATATATGACACCAGATAGAGACACCTCAAAAGCCCTCCATCTCCCCTCTCTCCCCTGCAACTTGCATGCACTGGGCTTCAGTGCCAAAACCTTATACATCACTACCAATTAGAAGAGCAGCTAGCCTTGGTAAATTTTGAATTCAACTTCTAGATAAATGAATAGTCCGAACAACCGGTTCGAACAGCTCGAGGTGTTTAGAGAAAGGTTAATCACGAATCGTATATCGCTCTCTAACACGCCCACGGACTTGAAGTCTGCACTCGCTCGTGATACCATGTGTGCTCTAACAACTGTTAATGCTAGGAGGTTGCAGAGATTTGAACACGAGGTCACTTGGTCTAACCAGTTTTGATACCATGCGGCGAACGAATTAGTCTCGATAACCCGCGAATCGTTGGGAGATGGTTCATTATGAATATTATGCCACTCTCTAACATTATCTATATTTGTTGAAATGAAGCTTCTTTTTTTTTTTACTTTAACTCTATGATCAATTGGTATATTGTATGATCAAAGATGAAGGGTTAATAATATAGCAAAAGGGAAGGGCATGTTTTTGATAGAGCACTCTTTTCCATGTGAAGGAACAAAGCAAAGAGATATCTGCTGCAGGGACCGGAATTCCTCCTCTGCTTTTGCTTTTCCCCTGTTTTTTTAAAAAAAAAATTCAGGGTTTACACTCTGCTTTTACTTTTGGGAAGTGGAAGCTGATGAACACGATCTAGCTATGTTTATCAAAACTAGGGAGGGAGGGCGCTTTAGCTTCTTTTTTTTTCTGCCTGCTTTCAGCCCTCTCTTTAAGACTATTCCATCATCTTCCTTCTCGTAATAAACCCACATTATACAAATCAATCCATCCATGGTCCCATGCAGAGCTGCTCTCTCTGCCTCTGCAAACTAAAGGATCTGGGAATAAAGCTTACGTTGATTGATCACATGAGAGATATAACATAAGAGAGAAGTAGCAAAAACCCTAGCTGGTTAGTCAGAGATTGATTGTAGGGAAAAGGGAAAGGGAAGCAGATTGATACATGCAAGTAGAGATCAAAAGCTTCCATGATATACTGCAGCAGGATTGCTGAGCCAGTTTGATCAGCAGAGCTTGTTCTGTTTGGTTCCCTTTTCCCATGCAAAGGAAAACCCTTTAGTAATTATTAGGTTTATCATTCATTCATTCATTCTTCAACAAACATCGTAATGATATATGAATAATCACGCCTTCCTCTTTTTCTTCTTTCACTGTTGCAGGTTGTTGCAGCCACATGTTCCCCCCTCTCTACACAGTTTGAAGACAGTGGTGGTGTTGCTATGACTTGAGATTTGATTATCTCTCATCGACCGAAGTCTCATTTGATTTTTTTTTTTGCTTTGTTTATGGTCTTTAACCTTCTTTTTTTTTTCTAGATTGGATTAGGGTTTTTGGGCTATCTGGAGAAGATTCTGATTTGTATCTCGTATGAATCTGGTTTCTCGTGTCCATTAATAACTAACACGCATCGTAGTATTTACTTCATGATAATGTCAGTTTCTTTGTTACCTTACAATTTTTTTATTTATTATGGTGTTATTATGTTTTGCATCAAGCTTGAGTTTGATTGCAACTAGCCCGCCTTCTCCCTCCCATTTGTTCGTAAAGACAAAGTTTCTCGTTTTCGCGGTGTCCTTCTCGATGATTGTTGACTCAATATTGGACGTCAGACGAGGGAAACAAAAGTATTTCAGTGAGAAAAGCCGACTGATGATATTTTCCCCCACGATAAGATTACATTTTTCCAAGAGGAACGGCATAAATTCGATGCTATCTTCCTAACCTAGCAAAGAGTGGTTCTAGAATACGCTCTTTCGGACTAAGAGAAACAAGCTCAACTCGCTCCCGTTGTGATATGTATTGATCACTATCATTTTAAGAAATACTTACCTAGTATTATTTCATTTGGTATTTTACACATTGTCACTCCTACAAGGTGATGGAAAAACATTCTTTCTTTGTTTAAACAGTAAATCCCTTTCATCATCAGTCTTCATACAGTAGTTCATGCTAGTTGTTTGCTTGCTTTTTGGTGCATCAAAATGCACAAATTCTCTTGGGGGTTCAAAGTCCAACCCATTTGATGAAGAAAGCATGACTGTTCATGGAAGACCATATATGAGAAGAAACTTTAACTCTTTTCTTTTCTCCCTTTAATCAATGGGTCCAAGATGGCAACCTGGCAGGCACCATCAAGGTGTCTAGCTAATTAGTGTGCCCCTTCTTTATTCATTCCTGCATTTTAAAAAAAAAACTCAAAAGAAAAAGCCCAAAAAAGACAAAGATTGGTAACTAGGAATTACAATGAGTTGAGTTTTTCCGAGCTCAAACCCAATTTTTGGACGAAAACCCCCACAATCCAACGGGTTTTGACCGGTGCATGAGTACCTAAGAATTCACGAATATAACTGCAAATAATTCATTCAACCACTCGCATCTCTGTATTATCTAAATTTTCCGATAGTTATATTGTTATAAAGACTAATGTCATTTATGAATTGTTCATATTAGTAGGACTATATTGTCATAAAGGCCAATAACACATATATCTATAAACTATCCATACTATTAGGGTTTGATGCAATGCAACGTTGTTTTGTTTTTTTTGGGTGTAAGTCGAGTGTAAAATAGCTAGCTTTTGACAAAATCCGCATCCGGTCTAACCTACCAATTCTGAAAACGAATAGAACCCGCACCTAACCTAGAACCTGTCAACACTGACTTCAACCCAATTTACTCTGAGCGAACCGGATTGGGTACCCACGGGTCGGGTTCAATTCTCATGACCTTAAGCTATCTATCTGCCTATATCTCCATTCTCCATTGCTATGGAGTTAATGGGTTTCCTCTGTACATTATGGTTTCTGACTGAATGCCAATCTTTCCAAACCAAACAGTCCTAGTAGTGGAGGAATTGAATGTACCCATCCATCAATCCTTTCTTTTCCTTTGTTTTTTGAAGTGCAAATTCTGAATCAGCAGCTACCATAACATAATGAACCCATCTGACGAATGATCATTATCACACGGGGGATTTATATTTTTATTGGATCATGGACACCATAATTAAACCTAAAAAAAACATCATCACCTTGTGCTTAATTATGGCAATTAAGTTTTTTCACCCATTGCGACAAAAAGCTGGATCCAATAACATGGGTTCCTATAAGTAATTATTTGTCATGATGAAATCCATGCAAAGTGGTCACATTAATGTAAATGTGCTCTTGAGTTTTATTCCTCCCACCCGGCCCGATCAACCGCTTTCGAGAAAAAAAAGTAACCACCGATAAGAGCGTTGTAAGTTCGTGTTGTCGGGTAATTTTCATGAATGTCGGAATCATCTCGAACGTATGCATAAATGGTCAGGGTCTCGTCATAAAACAAAGATGATTAAAGCCATGAAATAATCATGTGGCATGGATATATGATTTTAAAGTGCAATTCCAGCATTTTGCTCTAACAATGAAGCTATATACAGAGATATCATCATCTGTAGAGGGAGGGCAAAGTGATATTGCATAGCCTCTCCTGATTAAAGCTAAAGAACATTGTTGTCATCAAACAATCAAAAGAGGAAAATATAAAGATATCACTACCCACTACTACACTGCCTTCCTTACCTTACCACCATTACAATCAGCAGCTAGCATCAAAACTTTTCCTTTTGCCTCTTTTCTTTTCCTTTTCCTTTTCTTTTCTACCCTTAATCTCAACTTTAAATTTCAGTTATCCAACGGCTTTATTAACTCTCTTTTTCCAATTTTTACCACCATTTGTGCAGCAGTAAAACTATCAGCAGCTTTTCATTCTCTTCTTCAAATACAGCAAGCAATTTTGCTTCTTCCCATTTCTTCCTTTCATTTCTTCCTCCTCTTTTACCTCTGTTCTAACCCTTTTCTTCTTCTTCTTCTTCTTCATCTCATCTTCTCCCAGTGGGGCAAAAGGGAAGCCAAAGGGAAGAAAAGGTAAGAGGGTAAAGAAAAGATTAGCAGCAGCAGCAAAGGAGAAGAAAGGAGAGGCTTAGCTTCTTCTTCTACCTTGTATTTCAAGACACTCACTCTCTTTTGCTTTTTCTCCTGTGTGTAAAGAAGCAACAATGTTTGATTCCAAAAACCCATTTCCTCCCTTCTTCAGATTCCATCTTCACCACTTTTCCTCCTCCTTCACTGTCCACCCCATCTGCATAAATCCTCCCAAGTGACAACAAACAAACAAGAGGGAAATTTTCCTGGGAAACAAACAAAGTTTCTTGTAGCATCTTCTTCTCTTCTTTTCTCATGGTCAAGGTCATGGTCCCTCCCATTGTTCTTCTCAGCACCTTATTCGCTATTCTCACCGCCTCCACTTGCTTTGCTTCCCTTCTCAATGACTTCCACACCTTGCTCGCTCTTAAACAAGGACTCCAGTTCCCCGAACCGGCCTTGAGCACATGGAACGACTCCAGTCCAGGCTCGGTCTGCTCGTCCTGGGCTGGAGTTCACTGCTCAAGAGGCAGAGTGGTTGAATTGGACTTGACAGATTTGAATCTCTATGGCTCCATCTCACCGCCTCAGCTGCTCACGAGGCTCGACCAGCTCACGAACCTGTCTCTCGCGGGGAACAATTTCACGGGCACCATTGACATCTCCAGACTGAGCAATCTCAGGTTTCTCAACATCTCGAACAACCAATTCAGCGGCGACCTGGATTGGAACTACTCGACTCTGCCTAGCTTGGAGCTCCTCGATGCCTACAACAACAACTTCACAGCTGTTCTCCCACTTGGGGTTCTGACCATTGGGAGGAAGAATCTCAGGTACTTGGATCTTGGTGGGAACTATTTCTACGGGAGAATCCCAGCTAGCTATGGGGAGGAGCTTCATGGGTTGGAGTATCTTTCCCTTGCAGGAAACGACCTTCATGGAAGAATCCCCAGTCAGTTGGGGAATCTCACCAACTTGAGACAGCTTTACTTGGGGTATTACAATGGCTTTGAAGGTGGGATACCAGAACAGCTTGGAGATCTTGTCAATCTCGTCGAGATGGACATTTCCAACTGCGAATTGGACGGCCAGATTCCACGCCAGCTGGGGAACTTGAAGCAGCTCAATACCCTCTACTTGCATGCAAATCAGCTCTCAGGTTTCATCCCAAATGAGCTTGGCAACTTGACCAACCTGGTCAATCTCGACCTCTCCAACAATGCACTTACTGGCGAAATCCCGGTTGAGTTCATCAATCTCAAGCAGCTCAAGCTCTTCAACCTGTTCATGAACAAGCTGCATGGTTCCATCCCTGATTACGTTGCGGAGCTGCCAAACCTGGACACACTAGGCCTCTGGATGAACAACTTCACTGGTGTCATTCCTCGGGACTTAGGCCGGAATGAAAAGCTTCAGGTTCTTGATTTGTCGTCGAACAAGCTCACCGGAACGATCCCTCCTGATCTATGCTCATCCAACCAGTTGAGAATTCTGATTCTGTTCAAGAACTTCCTTTTCGGGCCTATCCCCGACGGGCTAGGTACCTGTTACAGCTTGAGTAGAGTGAGGCTGGGGCAGAACTACTTGAACGGCAGCATTCCAAGTGGGTTCATTTACTTGCCTTTGCTCAACTTGGCTGAGTTTCAGAACAACTATCTCTCTGGAAAACTGTCTGAGAATGGCAACAGCTCATCGAATCCCGAAAAATTGGGGCAATTGGATCTCTCAAACAATCAGCTTTCAGGTCCACTACCATCCTCACTGTCAAACTTCTCTTCTCTCCAAATCCTCCTTCTCAGTGGCAACAACTTCTCTGGTTCAATCCCACCCACCATTGGTGAACTCCATCAAGTTCTAAAGCTCGATTTCGCCTCGAATTCGCTATCCGGTCCAATCCCCCCTGAAATCGGCAACTGCAGCCACCTTGCCTACCTCGACATTAGCCAGAACAATCTCACAGGACCAATTCCACCAGAGATTTCCAACATCCACATTCTCAACTACCTGAACCTATCCAGAAACCACCTCAACCAAACCATCCCAAAATCCATCGGTTCAATGAAAAGCCTCACCATCGCCGACTTCTCCTTCAACAACCTCTCCGGGAAGCTCCCCGACTCCGGCCAATTCTCCGTCTTCAACTCCTCCTCCTTCGCCGGGAACCCTCAACTCTGCAGCTCCATCCTCAAGAACCCCTGCAATTCCACAACAAACCCAAATGACAAACGGGCGAAATCCCCTGACAATTTCAAGCTCGTCTTCGCCCTAGGCCTCCTGATCTGCTCCCTGATCTTCGCCACCGCCGCGATCGTGAAAGCGCGGTCGTTCAAGCGGTACGGCGAATCGGATTGGAAAATGACGTCTTTCCAGAAGGTGGAGTTCAGCGTGGCGGAGATTCTCGAGTGCGTGAAAGACGGCAACGTGATCGGCAGAGGCGGCGCCGGGATTGTCTACCACGGGAGAATGGGAAACGGGTGCGAGGTAGCGGTGAAAAAACTCCTCGGGTTCGGGTTCGGTCCTGGCGGAAACGGTCACGACCACGGGTTCCGGGCCGAGATCCAAACCCTAGGCAACATCCGGCACCGGAACATCGTCAAATTGGTGGCGTTCTGCTCCAACAGGGAGACCAATCTGCTGGTGTATGAGTACATGAAGAACGGCAGTCTAGGGGAAGCCCTCCACGGCAAGAAAGGCGCCGCCACCGCCTCCGCCGGCGGTGCCGGGATCCTGAGCTGGAATCAACGGTACAAGATCGCGATTGAAGCGGCGAAGGGGCTTTGCTACCTCCACCACGATTGCTCACCGTTGATCGTCCACCGCGACGTCAAATCCAACAACATTCTGCTGGATTCCGGGTTTGAAGCCCACGTGGCGGATTTTGGGCTGGCCAAGTACCTCGTCGACGAATGTATGTCCGCCATTGCTGGCTCCTACGGCTACATTGCTCCCGGTACGTCTCTCCTTTTTCCTTCTTTTTTTTTTCTACCCTCCGCCGGTAAATAATTACTACTTTCTACCGCGAAAAAGAGTTAGACAATAATTTCCACTATATACCGATTCGTTGTAAATTACTAAATTTTCAAGTTTTGACGGCAAATTGACTGGTAGTTGCTACCGTAGTTATTATCGAAATAGTACGATATCGTTGAATTATATTTACACGCTCGTCGAAGAACAACTATATCGTGTCGACGGATGTGTATTGTCGAGTCATTTTGCAATTCAACCTCCAAAAATTTGTTTCTTTTTTTTTTAAGGAATGCTAAAACGACAGCAGAAAAAACACCCGTGAAATATGCCACGGAGCCAGCAATAGAATTTTTTGGGTAACCGCGACTAATGTATCACTATTTTCGTTTTTTTTACCAACTTTGACAATTCTCTTTTCTTCTGTCTTCACTCTCTACGACCTGTCGTTTTCCAAAATCTCTCTTTGTAGTGGGTGTGGTCCAAAAACGGATGGCATGTATTGGGCCGGGCTTTGAAATAAGTCTACTAGTAGTAGTGGGCCAGGCCGACACCATGATGAGAATCTAGCCACGTCTCTATGTCTCATCATAGACACAAAAGTAGGCTCTCTACCACCAAGACACTTTTGCTCTTAATTACTACACGCATTGCTTCCTTAGCTAGCGACAATTGAGTTTGTACAACTTGGCATTCCATCATGACTACTACTATCAACTTGGCTAATACTACTCATTACTTATGAATGTGTGTCACTAATGATTAGTCTTTCTTTCGTATTGCAGAGTATGCATACACGTTACGAGTGGACGAGAAAAGCGACGTGTACAGTTTCGGGGTCGTGCTGTTGGAGCTCCTGACCGGAAGGAGACCGGTGGGGGATTTCGGGGACGGGGTCGACATAGTGCAGTGGAGCAGGAAGGTGACGTGTCAGCGGAGAGAGGAGGTGATGAGCATCGTGGACCGACGGCTGGCGGTGGTGCCTCGAGACGAGGCGATGCACCTGTTCTTCATCGCCATGTTGTGCAGTCAGGAGAACAACATCGAGCGGCCCACGATGAGGGAAGTCGTGCAGATGTTGTCGGAGTTCCCCGCTCACCACTCTAACAGTTCCGCTCCGTCCCCTTCTTCCTCCATTGCCACCACTCCCACTCAACAGGGGAAGGGTGGAGAAGAAAAGGAGGGTAAAACCCACGAGATCTAAGCAAGACCGTGCTTTTGGTTTGAATGATAATATCGATTCTTTGAATTTCTTGAAAGTGATTATTACTAAGTAGTTGTGTTTTTTCCTAAAGTGGGGTTTGTGTTCCTTCCTTCATAGAGTTTCTTTTATTTCTTTTCTTCCTTTCTTTCCTCTTCACTTTTGCCCCGTTTATCCCCCCACTCGTTGTCAATGTGAAGGGCCTTGACTTGGTTTTGTAAGTTTTGCCTTTGGAGAGGTAGTGATTAGAGTAGAGTGTTAGAGAGAGGATGGTATTTGGTGATCAAGAATCAAGATAGATAGAGATGTAATTAAGGGTTTAATAATGTTTAGAGGGTTACCCTTCCTTTTGAAGAAGTGGGAGTGGGGTTCTGGAGGTAGGGTTGCAAATCTTGTAATCGAGATTGTGCACGATCTCAATTATTATTTGTAATATAATATATATACACATGCTCTATATGATTGCCGGGCATGTTATGTTTATTGAATGTGGCATAGTAGATAATTACGTTCTTGATAAGTTGATATATAATTTAAACAATATAATCGATTAATATGATATTATAAGTCACGTGTAACTTATTTATTTGGTTCACATATGCCTATTAATTTGTTCAACTGATCCAGTAATGAAATTTACGTATCACCAACGTACAATACAATTATTACACATCAAATCCTAACATTGAAAATGGGACCAAATTAGAGATGAGAAAAATATATGTATCCCTGAAAATTCGCTCAAACCTAATCTAATTAAGTAGGTAAAAATCTGTAGCACCAACATACGAGTTTTTCATAGCTAGCAATTGGGCCCGGCCCGTTCGCCGGTGCGTTGCTGGTGTTATTCATGTACATAAAGTTTATAAACTGAACTTATACTTAGCAATTTTTGCTCTTTTCAAAAAAGTGAAACACCAAAATGCAAGTTGCAGCTAGCATAAACTCACACATCCAAGTTGTTATTGTTGTTATAAACACACTCAACGAAAGCTGCTATAGTTATATACACAAAAATTCATACTAATTTCAACCTGAAATTACAATTGTCCATGGAGAAGGATAACCCTTGTTAACAATCTCACCTTTTGGTAGAAATTGATAATCATTCATTTTGAGTGATTATAGATGGGCCCACCAAAGAGGTAATACATACATTCTAACTCAATGTGAAAACGATTTAATCTTATCATTACATATACTTGCTAAATTAAATATCTCACTTCAAATCCCAACCTACAACCGTACCCCTAACTTTCCTCAAATCTCAATGGCTTTGGGCTTTCTCTTTGGATTATGGGCTTGAATAATTATTGGATCATTTCACAACCAACGTTTCTTTTAATCATATGTAAGGCCCAACAAGGACTCACCAGTCGGCCCTTTACAATAATTCCCTTTCAATAGGTCCGTTTACTATAATCATGAAGTTTCTTATTTTCTCCCGTATTTCACTTTTTCGCTCATAGTTCTGATGTTCACATAGCTACCGTTAGGGGCGGAGCCAGGATTTCGAGACCGGGAATTGAAAATAATTAAATAAAATGTATGCGGCCAAGGTTGACCGAACCCATGCGCTTTATAACATTAATCAAGTTTGGCTACCATTAGACTACATGACTATTACACAACAAGATTTACAGAACAAGTCTACTTATAAAAACTGTACTAAATATCCTTAAAATTCTAGGGGCCGGGACCAATAGGAATGGCAATGGGGCAGGTCCGGGGCGGGTTTCTTGGTACCCAGACCCGCCCCGTGGCAGGTCGGGTAATTTATCACGGGTCGGGGCAGGTCGACCCAATGGGTATGCAATTTATATGAAAAATATAATAAATATTCGTTGTTTTTATTATAAGACCAAGGAAGCAAACAATATTATGAGAAATATAGTTAAATTATTGGAGAAATTGAGGTTTTCACTAATTTACGTCTTTATTATAGCTAGGATTTGATGTAATAAAAGAGAAATCCTAAGTAATTTGACTAAAATTACGTGTAATTTAGGCAAGAACGGGGCGGGTCAGGACAGGTCGGGTCGATGAGAGTACCCATGCCCACCCCGCCCCGCCCCAAAACAGGTCAAACAGGTCGGGTAAAACGGGTCAGGTCAAAATTGCCATCCCTAGGGACCAATTCCGGGGAGGCCGGGGCCCACCCTAGATTACATGTGGCTCCGCACCTAGCTACCATAGACCGCAATCGGATTACTGTAAGTTAGTGAAAAAATGTTTGCGCACCAACGAAGAAGCCACAATACATGATGAAAAGAAGTAAAAACCGCAAAACATATTGTGGCCCAATTAGAAACCAACGAGATGAAATCCTGCACTAACAGATCGTTTGGTACCAAATGAATCGAGAATTCATAATTCATTTCATTGTAAAATGAATTACCGTGTAGAATTCATTGTCAAATGAAATCCTATGTTTGGTATGTTATATTCAAATCATTGAAGTGTCGTGTAGAATTCATTGTCAAATGAAATTTTTTTGTTTGGTATGTCATATGTGTAAGTAATTTAGTTAACAAAAGAGGACAATCATGTCATTTTATTATAATTAGTAAATACTTGTGGAATTCATTTGGAAATTCTATCTCAATTTCTCGGAATTGCTATAACTAGTTCCAATTCCGCAGAATTAAAAATTTAGAATTGAAAATGAATTCTTTTTAATACCAAACACAAAAATATTTCATTTCAAAATGAATTCTTCAAAACTTATGGAATTCATTTATACCAAACGGTATGTAAAAGTGAACTGTTTGTATTCTTTATTGATCAATGAAAACAACATAATGTACCATTTTTTATTGAATTTCAAATATTATCACAAATATTTTCTCTTCTTTAAAACAATATTAAGCATTTGCGCAAAGTCAGTCAAGGTTCAAAATGATATTCTTTTGAACACCAAACAAATCACCCCTATTTTTGCTTAGAAATGTCATCGGAAACGTAATTGACACCACAATTAATACATTTGAGGACCATAATTGCTATTTGACTCTTCAAAAATTTAAAAGGTAAATCCAAATCCAAATTCCAAGGTAAACAAATAAGAAGATATTCGAGCCAAAAATCTAAACAAAAGGACGAATACGTAAATTTGCCCGCTCCTATTTTCAAACCCCTAAACCCCCGCCATCCGACGGTTCAACTTCTTTCTGAAGCAAACTCCGATCTAATCTCAACCCTACGATCCCTCATTCATTAACCCCTCCGCTTCAAATTGCCGTCCCACTCTCTTTTCTCTCCCTCCACACAACCCAACTGCCTCTTTCTTCCTCCTCTCTCTGCGTCTCCGCTCTTCTCACTGAATCGCACAAGAAAACCACCGTTCCGGTCTCCCGATTCCGAAGCGTCTTAAGCTGAAAGTCCTTCTCGGTGGAGAAAGTAGCCGGAAACACAGACGGAGATTTTCCGACCACTGTAGCAGTAGATCGATTTTGTTCCCTCCTTTCTTCGGACGGCCTCGATCCGGTTTGCTTTCTAGGTTGGTATTTGATTGATTCGTTTCTCTTCCGATTTGTGGATTCTGGCTCTTGGTTTGGCATTGATTGTTTATCCTTTTGCCTGAGACGGTTCTTGGTTTTGGCTTTCCCTGTGAGATATTATTGAAAAGTAGCGATTTTAGCTCTAAATATCTGATTTGGATTTCCCGGTGCTATATTTAAATTGGGTTCTTTTTTGTGACCAGAGGTTTTTTCTGTGATGGGAAAGTTTTGGGCTTTTTTCTTCTTTTGTTTGTGTCCCCGGAAAATTTTGGAGAGCAGGAAATAAAGATCGCTTTCGAATTGTGGTTGAAACGGAATCTTGTGTTTATTGCCAGTTGAAAATGAGAATCAGAATCTAGAACTCCGGTTGAAACTGCTAAACTGCGCGTGATGCACTCTCTGCCACCTAACATAACTCTATTTTTGGTGAATCATTGAGCGAGGCCATTTGGGGGATTTTACTTGTCCGGTATGGAGAGGGTTTGAATTTTATATGGTGTTGAATTTTTCACAATGGTGACTTAGGGCCTAAGTTACTTGGTTCTCATTGGCGTAGACAACTTGGTGGGCGAGTAGGAAACAGATGATCCATTTACGTGTATAAAAATAAGAAGAGGCCAGAGATATATATTCAATCGCTTCCTCTTTGACTATAGCCCTTTAGCCAACCATCTCTTCTTCATCTTCTTCAACACCCTTCTCTCAATCTGCAGGCGCTCTTTCAACTTGTCAGTGTAGTTAACAATGGCAACCGGGACCAAGCTCGAGAAAAGTATCCTTTTTTTTTTGCTTCATCTCTGTGCTTTACCCTCCATTCTGAAAGCCTTTCTACTTTGAGGGTCTTGTTGCCGTGTGTGCGTTTGTTAAGCGACAAAAAGAGAAAAACTTTGCCGGTCTCTGATAATTGTAGTGTGTGGTGTCTCCTATTGCTTTCGATTCTCCCGCTTTTTTCTTGTTACTGTCGTCCTAGTTATTTGTGATCATCAAGCTATGTATCTAATGCCCTTTTGTCTATTGCTTTGGGGCTCTTATTCCCTTTTCCCCCTCTTCGTCCCCTTGGTGATAGAGTAGTATGCATATTGGGTCAGTTATTAATCAGATGAATACCATGGAGTTCAGGCTAGTTTCAGCGTAGTTTTCTTTAGCTTACGATGCCAGTTCCACGGAATCGTTACCGGTTGTGAGCCTTAACTGTTTGATGCAGCTGAACCCATTCCCACAGGACAGAAGCTGGAAGCTGTCAATAAATTGGCCGAGCACAACATGGTATGCAATCATTCCAGTTAAATATGATGTTTGACTGTTGTGGTTGAGTTACAAGATCTTGGATTTAACATTTAACTGCTTGCTCTTTGGTTCTGGGTTTTTCATCCTCACTTCTTTCTTGAAGTTCAAAGTTGGTTTTTTTTTTTAAATGAATTGAGGATACAATTGTAATTCTAGAGCTTTGAGCTCTTTCTATTTTCAAGATCGAGAAGTATTTGTAGAGTTACTTTTTTATTGATCTACATCAAATTAATATGGCTTGGATTACTTTGTTTGAGATGCTACCTCCTTGCAAGTATATGAACTTATTGCACTATGGTTTTGCCTTATCAAACTTGCTTCCCTTGATTTCTGTTGTTTGCAGGCTTCGAGGAAAGGTTCAGGGCAATCCGATACAACTCCCAGCATTCCCTCGAGAGATGCTAAACCTAGCATCAAAGATGTTGATTTAGCTTCTAACAACAAAGGGAGTGACATGGATTCATATGGACAGCATGCTGTGTATAATGCACCCACTAGCACTTATGGCTATTACTACCCAGGTTAGTTACCAAAAGAATCTAATTTCCTTTGAAGTTAGAACTATGATGGCTTCTGCTACCTGAAATAGATTACTGCATTTCCCCAGCTCAATGTTTGACACGGAACAAATAGTGATATGGTCAGCAGCACTTTGTTCCGTTGAACCTTTCACATGCGAATTTGTAAATTGTAGTTTGAGTTAATAGCTTCTGGTTCGACCCATTATTTAACTTAAAAAAGCAATCTTCCCTCATCGTCTTCTTTTTGGCAGGTTATGGTGGGGCATTCCCTCAGTTGGATGATCATGGTTATTTTCAAGCAGATGGTTCTCAGTTGGTAAGTCGTGGCTGGCAGCATTACATTGTTGGCAAAACTTACCCCTTTGTCCTCCAGATAAATAATAATTTTCCTGCTCGTTTCTCTATTCAGTCTCTGCAATCTGACAATGGCTCTATGGTGTATTACATGCCTGGATACAATCCTTATTCTTCTGGGGCGGTAGTGGGTGTAGATGGTCAAACTGTTGGTCAACAGCAATTTTATCCTGCTTCTGAGTACCTTCAGCAGCCTGTATCTTATGGATCAGAAGCTGTGCCTTTATATCATTGGGATCCCACTTATCTCAGTGATGTCCAGCATGGAAATGCTGGATTCCAGTCTGACAACTACCTTAATCGAGGTGCTTCTGCTGCAACTCTTCCCAAGTCCCACGGGTTGAACTCTATGAAAACTAATGGTACTATTAGTGGCAAATACCCTAGGCCTAATAGTACACAGCCTGCAAGATCTCTTAACAAGGTGAGCCAACCTATTTGATATCTTCTCAATGTTTGGACCATTTGTCTTCTGAAAAAATATTTAAGTTTCTTAAAAGACCTCATGTTGGTAGTTCATTTTAAACTTATCGTTTTGTGTGATTCAATAATTTCTTCAGCTCCAGCCCTTGGGGTCTGATCACTCGGCAGGTTTCTTGAAAGGATATAATAATGGCGTAGGAAGGTTACCTCCTTTCAGTGGTCCGCAGAAACATTTGGCATTTCCTCAGTATGGTTCACTGAACTACAGACAGAATGCTAGGTCATGGAATGTAAATGATGATAGAAGCAAATCAAGATACAACAGAATACAAAGACATGGAAGTTTTGAGTCGTCTAATGAATTGGCTTGTGGCCCTAGGGGGGCTGCCAGCAGGGGTGGTGGACCTACAGATCCCACAACGGTCAAGAGTGAAACCTTAAACTCCGCAGCATCATTGCTCGGAAGCGACCAGTATAATGCAGCCGATTTCGAAACTGTATATGAGAGTGCTAAGTTCTACATTATCAAGTCTTATAGTGAAGATGACATTCATAAGAGTATCAAGTATAATGTCTGGTCGAGTACACCAAATGGCAATAAAAAGTTGGATGCAGCCTTTCGTGATTCGGAGGAGAAATCGAGTGAGAGCGGTAAGAAGTGTCCTGTCTTCCTCTTCTTTTCGGTGAGTTTGAATTCTGTCCCCATTCTTCTTATTTTCCTTCTACTACTTGTAGTTATTTATTTAATATTTTCCATTTTAGAATCTCATTGTTCTCTTACAACTTGTATTACCATAAACAGGTAAATGGTAGTGGGCAGTTTGTTGGGTTAGCAGAGATGACTGGGATGGTGGACTTCAACAAGGACATGGACTTTTGGCAAGTTGATAAGTGGAATGGTTTCTTCCCTTTGAAGTGGCATATCATTAAGGACATTCCTAACACTCAGCTGAGGCATATTGTCCTTGAAAACAATGATAACCGGCCCGTTACCTTCAGCAGAGACACTCAGGAGGTATGTTCCTCGCTGTGCCTGGCTTTTCCAGAGGAGCCACAGTTTCACAGTATATATAAAATAATAATTCCTGGTGCTTGTATTTGGATCAAAGTTTATTGTTTTTCCCTCCCAGTCTTCTAATTTTCATTTGATACCATTTTCCTAACTGTTGCAGATTGGACTGAAGCAAGGCCTGGAAATGCTGACCATCTTCAAGACATATGTGCCAAAAGCGTCGTTGTTAGATGACTTCAATTTCTATGATGAGCGGGAGAAGGCTCTCCATGCAAAGAAGGCCAAGCCTGCAACTCTGCGGATGGAGGTGTATGAGAATGATGGTGGTGATGTTTCCTCGCTCATAAAGTCAACCAAGAATCTGTCTCTCAATGGCTACAACTCCAAGGAAACTTCAGCAGCCAACCCATCAGTTGGTTCAGTCCCTGCTGTAGCTGCACCATAAAACCTTCTGCACTCTCTCATTCTGTTTCCTCTTGTCTTTAGTCCCTTGTTTTCCCTGTTTCTTATGCCTTTTCATTATGCTCCATTATTGTTTTCTTAGTTTAGGATGATCCAGTGTCTCTATTACATCAATTTTTTATGTCCTTCAATCGCAATTTTCTTTCAACCGCTCTGGTATGCATTCGGTTCTGATTGGCGAGGAATAAAGTGTTGCAGCGTAGATGTTTGGTTTACAGGCAAAAAGGAGAAATGATAAGAATCGAAGAACGTCACAGATCTGATTATGATGTGGTATTCTAGTTGTCAACAGACTAGTGGTGCTCTGTTTTTTGGAGCTTGATAGAGTTGTGCTAGGTGTATGGTTGGGAAAGGTCCAGCAAGCTCGTTCTTCCACCATTGAAAATAGTCTTCTGCCACGTTTTTGTAGCAAATGGGAGAAGGGCATTTGCCGACACAGTAACGGTGTTTGCTTGGTCCTTAGGCTTGCAATGACTCGATTCCCCACTCATCTAATATAGATCTGCATTCTTCTTGAAAGGTTGCATCTTTGTGTTGTTTTCTTTTCTCTTTTGTCGACTAGGAGAGATAGAGAGTGAGAGCTTTGGCTTTGGTTTGGTTGGTTCTAGGTTTTGGGTTGATTCAGGAGTTCATGATCTGAAAAGTTGACAAGGCAAATTTAACGATGTTTTAGGTGAAGTCAGAAGCGATTGTTTTGTCGCAAGTTCGACTACATGATACCAATTCGTTTTTTTAAGGATAAACATGTTGACCATGTAAGCAGCTCGTTTTTCAGGAGTATAAACGTATGGTTCTTATTGTATGTGATCTTGTTTTGTTCAGATTTTCACTAGTTATAATGACGATTATCATTTTTGAGCGCCTCTGAATCAGTAGTCACGTCCAGACTTGATAGTAACAAAGATTTGTCTTTTGTAGAGATGTCTAAGAACACGAAAGATGATCCATTTTGAACAAAATTCCCAAGGTAAAATACAAATGCCTTTTTTTTTATGTGAAAGCCTTGCCTGGCTGCAAAGAAGAGCAAGAAAGGGGCAATTTACACTTGCAAGCATGTAGATGCAGGAATGTATATTGGTCAAATGCGATGTAGACGAATCCAAAATTTTTATGTAAGTTCAGAATCTGAGGCATGCCCAGTAGTCGTCTTCCTTGTAACCCTCGGACTCATCATGTTCAACAGCTGGCTTTCCGAATTCATTCTCAAATTCCTTCCGCTCCCACTGTGTCCTAGTGGTGGCGGCCTTACACCTCTCCCCTTTGGTGTCCCTGAAACCAATAAGAGAATTTTTCAGCATCGAAATTTTTCGTCGTCGCATTCTCACATGTTGTTCAAAGATAATCAGAATGTTCAACAATTTCCTCTTTACATACCTGTGTGTTTAGGCGATGTCTTCCACGGATCGGAAGATGCTCTCTTGGATGAAACAGGGGATCTCTTATAACCTGCTGCTTCAGGGGACGAAGACAGGATCCTACGGCTACTGCTACAACTACTGCTATTAATCCTGTCAGGACTGGGTATCGGCGAAGGAAACGATTCGACTTCAACAAAGGTGGCTTCATCTCCACTCATGGATGCCCTGTCGCTCCCCGACGATTCGGAAGTCGTCTCCTTGAGCTTGGAAGGCCTCGTTTTCTCCATCTCCGCGACTTTGTAAGCAAACATCTGAAATGGAACCTCTGATACAGGCACCAAAGCGTCCACATTGCTCTGAAACCTCCGCGCAAGCTTCGAATCGGTCTCCACGTAATCGAGAATCGGCGTAGAAAGCGCCGCGGCGGCGTCTAGTTGTTGCTGCGGGTTGTTGTTGTTGATCGTCGTGTTCGTCAGGAGGAGGAACTTCTTGGTGTAGCGAAGGATTCTGCAGATGGACGAGAAATCGGGCCTGCAATTAGGGTCGTGGTGCCAGCACCGCTTGGTGAAATTGGCGACGAATTTGGGGGTTTGAGAGGGGAACAATGGCCGCTCCCCTGCTCGAATGTTGCGGCTCATCCTTTCCCCTTGGAGATGGCCGTCCTCGAAGGGCACTTTTCCTGTCAGGATCTCGAAGCAGACCATGGCGAAGCTGTAGACGTCTGCTTTCTCTCTCGATATTGTTAAGCTGACCTGTTGTTCTTGCTTCTGATCATTTTGCTCTTGCTCGTCCAAAACCTCTGGCGCCGACCATATAAATGGCGACAAGGTATCGGATTTCGGCGACGATGACGATTTCTTTCTCGTGTTGTTCCTGACAGATGAAAGTCCGAATCCTGTCAATTTGACGAGAAGGTACCCTTCCCCTGCTGCTGGGGATGAAGTTCTTGGTTTGACGAGAATGTTCGAAGGTTCCAAATTGCCGTGGTGAATTCTCTCGGAGTGAAGATACTCCATCCCTCGAGCAATCTGCAGCATTACATCGATGGCGACGGGGAGCGAAAAGGGCAGCCTTTTGTTCCTCGACCCACAAATTTCCTTGATGTAGCTCCCAATGTCTCTGCAGCTCATCAGTTCGGTCACCAAGAAACACTCTTTCTTGTCGGCGTCGGCGAACCCACATAGCAATTGCAGAATATTGGGATGGGAGAGCGACGAAAGTCGAGAAATTTCGGGAACCAGAGGATCGACATTGTCGATGAAGAAATGCCTGACTGCAAAGCTCTCACCACCAAGCCATTGAATCTCCTTGAACTGGCTCCCTCCGCCGAGCCTCCGCTTCACCTGGTAATCTCTCGAGCCGACAAGAATCGAGCTCGGGAAGAGCTTCCAGTTTCCTTCCAGTCTCTTCACGATCAGATCGGCCAGCTGCCGATCCTGCTTCGTTGTCGACAAGAAACTCGAATTCTTTCCTTTCAGCTTGTTCAGCAGAATCCACCGATCCTCGTTCCACGCGGATTCGAGCCTGCTGGAGAGATCGTTGGAAACCAGGTACTGTTTCGCGAACTTGAGCTGGAAAATCTTCGGGTCGGTCCATTCCCTCTGATACTTGCTGGTGACCAGCTTTCTTTTCCGGTGGGTGTCTTCCTGATCGGAGCCGGCGAACTCACCGGCGATCTCGATGGCCTCGATGGCCGCCGGCATTGCGGAGATCAGGTTATGGATGTGGAACTCGACGCAGTCTCTGTTGTGGTGGAGATGCAGAGCTTTGCTCCACAACATCAATCCTTCGTCGGATTTGGCCTCGAGGCAGAGCCGGATGTAACCTTCGACTTCTTTCAGGATCCTGCAAATCTCTCGAAATGGCTGTTCCATGACCTTCCATTTCATATGGCGCTCCTCGAATTTCAGGCTCTGCGTCAATTCCTCTGCGATGGTCTCGTAGGCCGAATTGCACATGTCGAACAACAACCCGCATTGCCTCGGATTGATCTCGATGTTGTCTCGGAACACCATTAGGGCTTTCAAGCTCCCTAGTCCCTCTCCCATCTTCCTGAATTGCTCCATTACATGAAAGATGGATGGATGAATTGATGAATGAATTCAAATGCTCGATCGAGAGTGGAATGGAGAATTCATCCACTGTCGATGTAATGATTCGAGACGACTTGATTGAGATAGACAATGATCAGAAAAAATGTTTTTTTTATAAAGGCGAAGGATATGATTGATTAACAGAAGAACGTGGTACAAAGAAAGGATGAAAAACGTTCAACCAGAATGAGAGTGATGATTCAAAGGGTGGAAACAACAAATGGGGAGAAAAGGAATGCAGAGTTTGTTGATCCAAGACCACTCTACTCTATCAAATACGCAGGTTCTTTTGTTAACATCAAGTTTTAATCGTGATGAATGGAGATTCGATGTAAACCGGAGGAACAAACGGAATGTAACCATCATACCACACCTTCACGAAGGGGGCAATGTTTTTTTTTTTTTTTCTTTTTGTTTTTAGTTTTTACGAATCTAGGGCGAATTATTTCCACGTGGTTTGGGAAGGTCATTTCTTTCTTTTCTAGTTTATTCCCGTGCGTGTGAATGTAAGTGTTCGTTTTGTCTATTCATAATTCTGTATATGTTTTTTCTTTCTCTTTTAGCTTTCAATATGGTTTGTTGACACGAGCAATAACTTTTTGGGGTTTGTAATGGAAAGTTTGTAGTCAATTTTGTTTCAAGGCATAGAGATTCGTCAAAATATGTTATTATGCATCCTTGTTCATCTCCAACAGTTCTTGCCTACTTTCTCGTGTATGACGACGATCTCTTGCTTACCGAGAGTGACCAATAGTTCACCACAACCTTCTATGAAGTACTTTCGAGCAGATTTTCACTCAATTACTCAAACACCTAGTGCCTCATATTTTTAAGAGTATATTCCTTCCTACTCCAGCTGCGTTCTTTTTTCGCAACTATGTCTTTAGCATCTTTTTTAATTTCAAATGGCGGGAGGAAAACCAACAACTTACTTTGCCTCTTTGTCGTGTCTATCCTTACCTAATAGTAGTGATGTCGTTTATGCCTTCAAGAATTGTCAGATCATTGACTCCCTTCAGAATCCCCTACAAACACATCGCGATATCACATTCGTGGCAAATAAGCTATCGCAATTCCTGCACTCACATATTTGACTAGTAACGTCTCAAGCAACTGTTATGTTACTTGGATGGCACAACTTCACATGACCTCTAAATTTGCCTATTTACGAATCCCCTTCAGTTGCATGCCTTTGATAATTCAGATTGATTGGGAATCTTGATGATCAAACCTCCACCTTTACTTATTTGTTATGTCTCTACGACACTCTCATCTCCCATAAATTCCAAATGTAACATACCATCGCTTGTTCGAGTCCTAAAGCAATACGTTGAGCTATTTCCTCATGCTAGTGTTACGATCTAGTAGATTTGCAATGTACTCCACGAGCCACACGAGCCACTCGATTCGCTTTGTTAGTTTTTCACAACTCGTTCTGTAGCTTGATAAATACATGGATTTCGAGTAAGAAAGATTGGAATGCTCAAGATGGCTATCACTCTTGCCATCCCTAGATGGTTTTTGAGGGTGGAGTTGGATACTTTTCAATTTTGGTCAAACTATTTTTTGTTATCCACATTTTAGTTGTTTTAAGAGTTGAGGTAGTATTATTACATTTCCCACTCATAGTTTTCATTATCCAAACTCTTTGAGGCCCACCCCTAAACGAGAAGAGTTTCCAAGACTTGTCTTTGTTAGTTAGTATTAGGGCTAGTTAGTTAGAATTAAAAGTTTGAGGGTTTGTTTGTTAGTCGAACAAAAGTACGTGGATGTTAATCAAAATTTAATTTTGAGGAAGAAAACAAGAGGGAAATGAACAAGAGCGGAAACTCCCAAAACCTTTCTGACCTCTCTAAACCCCTACATCCAACGGCCAATATTCCCTCTCCGCCAAAACCAGATCTAATCTCGGCCGTCCGATATCCCCTATAATAAAACCTCTTCACCAGTCTTCTCTTTCTCTCCTTTTCCCTCTTTTCCTGCTCCCTACTCAGCTCCGCCGCCACTCGACTTCCTTCTCTTCCTCCGGGGGAGCCGCTTCTTCAGAGGGCCGACGGTCGTTCCCTACCTCCGTTTGAGAAGCGGTCTTCTGAGGTTATCAGATCGGCATCTCGTCGTTTCGTCCCCGATCTCGATCTGTCTCTGTAATCCTCTTGCCAGGTTCAGTTCAACTTCAATCCTTTTCTCATGTCGCTGAGCTCAGTAATAGCTTCGAAATTTGAGCGGAGCTGGCGAATCGGTAGCTTGAATGGCTTTTTGGATTGATTTGGTCGATGGTTGCGTTCGGCTGTAGATTCGTCGAAGTTTTGTTATGGATTTGTACAGATTCTGGGTGTGTCGCCTGCTGTGTTGTAGTTGGAGTTGAGGAATTTGGAGGGTTTTGTTGAGTGGGAGGTTTCTGTTAGCAATCTTTGGTCCGGGAATTTTGCTTTTTCGCCAATTGCTGCTGGGAAGTGGAAATATCACTTTCTGAGGGCAGTGGGATGCAGAATCTAATGCTCCTCTCTTTTTATTTTTTTTGGATGCTGATTTTTACTGTTCTGCTAAATCAGTGAAAAGGGAATCAGAACGTTGATAATTGGAGAGTAGTCAGAGTACTAGTTGATGTGGGAACCAACAAAGTTTAGAAGAGGACACTTGTTTTTGCTTGTGTTCTTTTGCTTTCATCTTTTGACCTCAACAAACACCTTTACCACTGTCCTCCCTCTTATTTATTTTCTCTTCCTCCTGCCATCTCTTTCATCTTGCAGGTGCTTGTTGGACTCTAAGATCAGCTATGGCGAGTGGAATGGGAATGAAACTCGAGAAATGTATCCTGCTGTTGGATTTGTCGTGATTTTGTTTTTACAGCTTACAATGATTTTAAGAACCATGGGTTTTGCTCTGGTTGGTGGGTGAAGGGAAACTGTGTGATCTGTTTTAGGATTTGAGATCCTGGAGGGACGAGGGCTCTCTTAAAGGATCTATTTGGGAATTATATGTTCTCAAGTTGGATATTGGAAAGTGTTTTTTCCCCCAATTTTGTTTCCTGATTTAAGAATCCTTTGTTTCATAGAATTTTCTGAATTGTTGTTTGATTCTTTTTCTGCTGAAGAGTTGATATCCTTGGTGAAAGCAACTATAGATATCTCTTTATATAGATTTCACTATTTCATTAAAGTATTGTTGGTAGTTTATATTGCATCTCTCGTACCAGCTTTTAACCAAGGTCATTTACTGTTTTGGTTAATAAATGGATGCATAGTTACAGATTATGCTATAACTAGAATTGCTTGTTGTTCTTTGATTGTTCTACCACCAAATGGATCAATGTTGCTTTCTTCAAATAGGTTGTTATCCCTAACCAAATTGTGTAGCTGAGCCTATTCAAGCGGGATTGAAGCCGGAACCTCCAAGTAAATTGGCTGAGCATGATGTGGTATGTTGTTCTTTCTGACTACGTAGCACTTCATCACTTGTGTCTGCTTCTTCTTTCTGAAATGCATATAGATTGGTCAAGGAAGGAAAAATTTCTCCTGAAGTACTAGATTGAGTTTGGCCTTCCTAATTTGTGGAAACTGTAAATTTGAAAATGTCCCTGTAAAGATATTGTCTTCAGATCCTAATTTTTTTGTTTAGTCTAGGTCCAGCTGTGCTCAACAACTTTGGCCTTCAATTGATTTCATATTATGTACACCGGCAAGAGTAGTACCTTTGATTACAGATCAAAGTTGCTATTGTTTTTCTTGGAATGATTGGTGGTCATAACATTAGACCCCACTGTTCGGTAGGAAGCTTCATATATTTTTCCATTGTGATCCTTTTCTAAATGTTTTGTTTTCAGGGTTTTGGAAAAGATGGGAAACCATCTGATTCCCCTGCCTCCGTTCTCAATGCAGCAACTATTACTTCTGGGACAAAGGGTGAAAACGGCCATGATTCCAATGGGAAGCTTGATGTCTACAATCCACCAACAAATGGCTATGGTTATTACTACCCAGGTTAGTTGGTGTGAGTTAGTTCTGTTATTTCTCTTATGGTTACTACTGTACCATCTAGTTATAATATTTTGTTGGCTTTATGGTACACTTTAGTTACTGTTAAAGGCCTTTCCGTCTGCAGGATATGGAGGACCCTATGGGCAATTGGATGATCAAGGATTTTTCCAGACTGATGGTTCCATTGCAGTAAGTTATGAATTTCAGTTCGTCATAATCATTATTTGTGACTGTTAAATATGTTCTTTAACCTAACTAGCTATTGCTTTCAATTTCTTCTGTAACTTCAGGGCATGCAGTCAGATAATGGTTCTCTTGTCTACTTCTATCCTGGCTATGATCCCTATTCTACTGGGGCAGTTTTGGGCGTCGATGGGCAAACTGTTGGTCAGCAACCCTATTATTCATCAACTGGATATCTACAAAACCCAATGTCATATGGATCTGAAGCGTTGTCTTATTATCCTTGGGATTCAACTTACATGGGAAATATGCCAAATGGTAATGCTGCCTACGGTAATGGAAAGTATGGTCCTGGATCTAATGGTCTGAGTAAGTCCAACGGCTTGAGCACCACTCAACCAAATGGAAACCTTGGAGGCAAGTTTCCTAAGGGTACAAATACACAACCAACCAGACCACTAAACAAGGTATATGCGTATTTCTTCTTCAGTTACTGTTTAGACCCTCTTCCAATTCGTTTGAAAATAACTTCTGTAAGTTCTTCAATGCATGTTCCATTACATACAACGTGCACGAATGCTGTTGTATGGATTTGTAGCCATAGAACAGCACGGGTCTCAGAATGATGGTTTTGTTGTAAATGTTGTCTGTGAATGGAGCATTACCATTGACAAAAGTAATATTTTGTAGATTGTTCGGAGGTCCTACTCGATTCTCCGTTTGAGTCAGGTTGCATTTATGTGTTGCTGATGTGAAACACTATTGCAGGTTCCTCCTCTGGGTTCTGAATTTTCAGCTGGCTATTTTAAAGGGTATCAACCTATGGGGAAGTTTTCCCCATTTAATGGCCAAAAGCAAGTTCCTTTCTCTCCAAACGGTTTCGTGAACTACAGACAAAATGGAAGGATGTGGAATGGTAACTATAGAAACAAGCCCAGAGACAGAACATCGAAAAATGGTGATTTTGAGAATGCTACTGAACTAGCTTGTGGTCCTAGGGCGTCCAACAGAAGTAACCCACTGGATCCTTCTGCGAAGAAAGAAGACCTGGAAGTAACAGCATGTGGCGACCAGTACAACCTTCCGGATTTTGAAATTGACTATGCACATGCCAAGTTCTATGTCATCAAATCATACAATGAAGATGACATCCACAAAAGCATCAAGTACAATGTGTGGGCTAGTACACCGAATGGAAACAGAAAGCTTGATGAGGCATTCCGCACTGCACAAGAAAAATCCAGCCAGCCTGGTGGTACAAATTGCCCAATATTTCTCTTCTTCTCGGTAGGTTCAGTATTCTTGATTTAGAATGCTTTCTTTTGCTTGCTAAGTTTCTTATCATAGATCTTGAATTAATATAAGCTAACCAACAAATGCAACTTACGTATGCTTTCATATAATATATCAGGTAAATGGGAGTGGTCAGTTTGTTGGGTTAGCTGAAATGATTGGACAAGTCGACTTCAACAAGGACATGGACTTTTGGCAGCTCAACAAGTGGAATGGCTTCTTTCCTGTCAAGTGGCATGTAGTTAAAGACATTCCTAACAATCAGTTGAGACACATCATACTCGAGAACAACGAACACCGACCTGTAACTTTTAGCAGGGACACCCAGGAGGTATGTGTTATACCATATCCGAAAACTTCATGCCCTCCCAACATTGTGAATGGAGAAAGAAGCTTATATTGTGAATATCCCTTTTACTAATAATCGGTCCTCATTTCTTCAGATTTTGATGAAGCAAGGTTTAGAAATGTTGAGTATTTTCAAGACCTACTCGCCTAAGTCATCGTTGTTAGATGACTTCACCTTCTATGAGACGAGGGAGAAGTCTGGCAATGCAAAGAAGAACGTTAAGCCTACTACTGGGGAAGCAGAAACACTCGAGAATGGTGATATCACAGTAAGTTCATGTTCTCTCGTGTTTTGTCATTCTGTTTGATTGTTTTCTGCTATCGAGGTTGTTGTTAGAACCAATATTACTGCTTTGATTTCTACAGAAGGATGCCAAAACTGGAGAAGAGAGATCCGAAGATGATGTTAAGACTGGGAAGGGCGCTAACAGCCCCTCAAGTCTTGCTGATCTAACTAAGAACCTCTCCCTAAATGGCTGCAATCTAAAGGAGAATTCTGTGATGAAGCCTATCGAGAACGGGCTCCCAACTGCTGTCGTTGTTGCTGCTGCTGCACCATAGGAGACTGACGGATGGGGAATTAGAAAAAGCTGTACCAGTAGTAGTTTTTATAGTTTTTTGCCAAATGTTATAGCTCGGATCCAGAAGGGTTCCTTGTCTGTCCCCCTCTAAAGTGTTCTTTTGTCATCTGATTCCCTCTGTTAATTTTGTTTCAGTTTTTCTTTTTTCATGTTGTAAGCCAGTTTTCATAGGCTTTTAAAGTTTTTTTTTCTTCTGGTCCTTAGATGAGTAATGTGTTTTGGCTTTCATTTTAGGCGAAATGCTTTTGTTTTCAGACTCTGTTAGGGAGCAGATGATTTTGTGGTGTCTATTTTGGCCATTTACAATTTCCATCTTTTTCTTTATCAGTCTTCGGTTTTGAGGTCAATTTTCTTAAATTTTAGTTAAGTGTCGCCCGATTCGACCTAGTTATGCAACCGAGTTCTTCTTTATTCATTGTGAGTTGTGACTTGATGAACATATGGTGCATAGCTGGATCGGTTTGTTGGTTATTTCGATCATTTCGTTTGCAATGATTCTATAATGAGTTGTAAGATTGATGGCATGATCTTGAATATCTTTGTGCTAGCACAAATTAGAGAGGGAACAAAAGCTTTCGAAGAGCTGATTTTTCACGTTATTTAGTATTAAAGGTCGCGAGTAGAATGCACTACGAATTTCGAGTGTATTGTCTATATACTGCGAAGTCGAAGTTTGTAAACAATCACAATTGCATATTTATGAATACTATTATCAAAATGATCAATTAAAGCTTAGCCAACGACGGACAAAATTCCAATGATAAAGTAGTTAACTATCATAGTTCAGGGACCGATTTGTTAATAAACCTGAAGTTTAGGGGCTATTATTGTAATTAGCAATGGGTTTCAGACTCGAGTTTAAAGTTTAAACCCTTGCGTGAAATTTTGAGACGAACCCCGGGAATCAGAACTCCCTCCTCTCGGATCGTGGAGATTGGACGGCGGCGGCGGCGGCCTGAAGCTGATTCCCGGAAAACCGCCGGCCGCGATATGCCGGATAGTTCCAAACACTGCTTGCCCCACTCTGAATCTACTGAAAAGGAACGGCCTTCGAAGGTTCCAAAAACTTTGCCGGCCGACGCAGAAGAAGAAGACCAATTAGAAACGAGCAGCATTTTGGAGTCGATGAGTCAAAACCCTCGGCTTCAACGTTATCTGCTGGCTATCGAGTACATAGGAACTCGCTTCTCCGGTTCCCAGAAACAGGCCATTGGTAGAACTGTAGTTGGCGTACTTGAGGTAAAACCAAAAAGAGAGGATTTTGCAACTTGCGCTTCTTATGTCTTGTTTATTTGTGATTTGCTGAGTAAACATGACAGAAAGGTCAGATTTTGACTGTCTCTTTGTGGGTTTATATGCGAGGAAAGGAAGCATTTCACAAATTCACTGGCCAACCAGTGGTAGTCTCCCTATCCAGCCGCACGGTAAACTGGCTTCTCCTTACTGCCTCGTTGTACTTGACATTCCGTAGCTTCTGTGAAAGACTGAGATTTGAGAATGAATGAGAATTGGAATTTGTTAGTTATCCAGAAAGTTCAATGGAGATTCAGGAATCACGTCATGTTTAGTATTATTATCAAATTACTCTTTTGGCGAGTTTAGTTGTGATTTTAATTTTATTTGTTTACTTGTAGGATGCAGGAGTACATGCCTTGGCTAATGTGTGCCATGTTGATGTGGAACGAATTAGCAAAAGGAAACCCGGTGAAGTTGTATGCCTTCTGCTCGTTACCTAGACATCTTTGCGCACTCAATAGGCTGCAAGTTCTCTTACTGTGTGTGTGATGATTAAATACTACAGTGATTTCGTATTGAATTGCAGTTGTCACCTCATGAACCGGAAGTGGTTAGAAGAGCAGTGAACCATTTCTTACAGGTCTGGCTTCTAAATCATTTCATTTGGATATGTGAAAGGAAGTTGGTGGTTTTATTTAGTCTTGAATTGGGTTAAATTGTATGTTGACTCTCCTTTTCTCCCCCTATCCTATGGTCAGAGAGAAGGAGATATCATGGTCACTGATGTTAGACGTGTTCCGACAGATTTTCATGCAAGATTTAAGGCACAAGAACGCACGTAGGTATTGCAAAAACAGGGTCGTGCTTCAGATAGTTTATGCTTCTGTACTCTATGTTTAGTTGACAAATATAATTATATGTTGCAAAAATTATTGCAGAGCTTCCATGATGCGACTTAAAGTTAGTTTGTTGTCATTGCAAACTTGCAGCTTCATTCAATAGTCTTGAGCTGAATTACATTGTGTATGAACATTCTTTAGGTACTTCTACCGTTTGCTATCTGGACCAGATCTTTTGTCTTCCTTTGAGAAAGACCGCGCATGGCATATACCTGAGCCGCTTAATCTTCTTGCAATGAAGGTGAGTTACATAAATTAAGGTTGGTTGGCTTTATCGGAAATCGAATTGATTTAAAAAGGTGTTTTTTCTTTTTCCAGGAAGCATGCAATGTTCTTGTTGGCCATCATGATTTTAGCTCCTTTCGGGCGTCTAGTTGTCAGGTTTAGCCTCTTCCCATGAAGGGATTTATCTAGTTTTTTTGGCTTGAATATATTTTGGCTCTAGTTCTCTCCAAATTGTGGTAAGAATAATTAATTTTCATGGTTTATGAAGCTTAGAATCTTATTTTCTATTTTCTGATCCAAATGTGTGTCTCAAAGCTTAACAACTTAAATCCTACATGTGCTCTGAAGCTAAGAAGTTAGAATCTTATTTTCTATTTGGTTATCCAACCCTGAATGTCTGGGGGTTTATATCATGTGTCTTGTAGGCCAAATCGCCAATCAGAACCCTTGATGAACTTAGTGTTACTGAAGTGGCTCCAACTCCCTACTTCCCTTTAATCATTGAAAGGGAACATACCAATGCACATGTAGAGGATGCTTTGAACAGTCATAAGGTTGGGGTTCCCGCTTACGAAACAGGTTCTGGATTTGGGATTAGGAGGAGACATCGTTGCTATGTAATAACAGCACGTGGTCGATCTTTTCTTTATCACCAGGTTGGCTTTTTGAGCTTCTGTATTTGTGTGCTTTCATGCTCTGAAGCGTTTGTTACTCTTGTAACTCAGAATGCGACCAAGTTAAGTTTAATGCTTTCAGGTCAGACTTCTAGTTGGCGTTCTCAAATGTGTGGGCACAGGAGAAATTACAGTATCCGATGGTATGTTCTTTGGTAACTTACCATGCACTTAACAATGTGCACTTGTATAGCTCTTTGTGTCAATGCTTGTTTAAGACCGACTCATTTTGTTCAAAACACGAAACTAATGTCGACAGTGAGGAGGATACTGGAGGCGAAAACTCTGACCGCTGCAAGTCCCATGGCCCCTGCATATGGTCTCTACCTTGGACAAGTCAAGTACGATCTGCCTCGTGACCCATGAAGGTTCTTCTCTTAAGTTGGTTTATGAGCTACCACAATGCAAACAATTTTCTTTGCTCACCATGTAAACATCGTTGAGTTCATAGGGTTCCATGTTAATGGATGCATCAGAGTATTTTTGCTTATGCCCATGTTTAATCTAAGAAAAAGTTCTATAGGATATTAGACACTGCTTAATCGCTAACACTGGATCATTTTGGTAGGTTTATACAAGTCGCCACAACATAATGACTCAATTGTGCCATCACTAATGTGGCAAATGCCCATATCATGACCACCAAGCCGACCTTGTACTTGTTTGTCGAAGCCATCATCAGCGAAATAGATGCAATTCGATTTCAATCCTGGATGATCTTTGATAGAGAGACAAACAGGAGCATTAGTACCCAAGAACAACGCAAAATCACCAATGCTTCGAACCCTATGTCCCTATCCCACTGGTTTGTATTTCCATTCAGCCTATAAATTAAATCTTTGAACTTGCAAAATTTGGTATAACACATGATAGAAAAATTATTTTTATTGCGGCTCCATCCTCGTTTTCTGGCTCCGCCCCTGTCAAAAGGCAGTCACTACCTCCACATGACAAAGATCTCCACTAGTTATAGTTAGCAAGTTTAATTTCTCCAGCACGTATTACCTTCCAACACTGTTTCATACAAATTGTTCAATAATTGAAGTTATTTACAAGCTTACCGTTGATTTAAAAATGTGTGATGGTGTAGCTCTTTGTGTCAATGCATGTTTATGAGTTATGACATGTACATTTTGTTGAAATCACGAAACTGACGTTGGTCGTGAGAAGAATATTAAATGCAAAAACTGTGACAATACACCAATATTTATATATACATGTATATTATTATATATGCATTGATGACAATGCATCAATTTAATTATCATCAAAACCAAACAATCCCTGGATCATTTTGGCCTGCGAGTGAAGCAGCCTTCGCCATTAATTTAAGAAAATGTTTGATAGTTGTGTTGCTGTCTTTTTTACTTTTTATTATTACACTTTGTAAAGAAAATAAGTTAAGTTGTCCAAATTTCGGATGTCGGATTCTTAGTTTCTATTTTACCTTTCTCTCATTTGTAATCCATAATTATAAAATGATAATATCAATATTCATAGTCCATATTAACTTTAAATAATAATGTTAAGCGAGTCCACCAACTTGGTATTAAGTTTGAGTTAGGTGTCGTTTGAAAAAAGAAAGATTTTAACCGTGAATTTATTGAATTTTTAGATTTATCAGCTTTGTTATTTTTTTATTGTAGTTTTTGCATGAAGGATTTTATATTAAGAGATTTTCTCTAAAATTCATAGATTTCAAAATCTCATAATCAGAGAGATTTTAAATTGAGATTTTAAGATTTTTTTCTTCCTGCCTTTTTATTTTTATTTATTTATACCATCAAATATCTCCTACTAATAAATTTTCAATATTTTTCGAGTCATTAAGATTTTGTTGGTTAAAGAAATTATACTTTTCGTTAAACGTTAAAAATCACAATCAATAAACAAATAATATTTTAAAATCTTTATAAAAGATCCAAAAAGTTCAAAATTTTGATTATTTAGAATCTATAGATTTAGACTCAAATTCTCTTAGGATCCTATCAAAATTCATTTTTGCATATGATAATTTGTATTCGTAAGATTAGAAGGGACTTTAAGACCCAAAGTACCTATTGGAGTATAAATCGAAATATGGCCTGAGATTTTCTATCTCTTAGGTGGGTCGGCCCCTATTAATTGGGAGCCCACAAGCAAACCCAAAGCCCCCACCCGAAATCGTGTGCGTCTTATACTAACGAAAATTCTTACTGATGCGTCTGAGTGCAATCAAAAGTCAAAACAAAGAAGATGAAGAGAGATAAAAGGCGAGAGCGAGAGATCAAGGGAAAGAAATCTGTTGTGTCTTTTTACTACTAGAAATCTTTACCGTCATGTCTCGGAATGCAAAAAAAAAAAAAAAAGAAGAAGGAAGATCAGAATGGTTCTTATTGATAGGATGGAACAAAACAATGAGCAGCAAGCCTCAGCAACAACGATTTGTCCTCCATAAGTTATTTTCTGCAACGATTTTGGCAAAAGGTTTACTACTCTTAATGTCGTTGATGCGCACATCAAGACTATCCACTTTAAACTCAAGGAGGGTTGTGTCATATGTGACTCATATTTCAAGACCCGCAAGCAGCTGCAAAACCACAAGCCAAACACTTGTTTATCGTTAGGGTGAGGCTAGAGAGTCGATGAAAGGAAAGGCTGCATCCATCTGAACCAGACGAAGAAGACAGAAGAACAAAAATCAACGAGAAGATTAAACTCAACCCAGGCAAAAAAAAAATGAACCCTAGCTAGTACCAGCCTCACCCTAATGACGAGTCTCTTTCTTGTGGTTCTCAAGCTGTCTGCGGGTCTCGAACCCTAATCACACCTGCCACAGCCCTCCTTGAGGTTAAAGGAAAATCCTTGATGTGCGCCTGCACGCCATTGAGGTTCTGAAATCTTCTTCCGCAATCGTTGCAGTTGCAGGAAAACGACGGAGGAGGCTGAGCCGCTGCTGTTGGGGCTTGCTACTGATTCTGTTCCATCCCATTCACGCAGAACCGTTGTTCTCTTCGTCGTTCTTCCGATCTCTCGCTCTCGCGTTTTCTCTCTCTTCCTCTACTCAGTAATGATCGCACTGAGAGGATTTTTCGCTCTCGTCCTTTCTCTCTCTTCCGTAATGAAAACAGAACGGATTTCGAGTTGGTGGGTTTGCTCGTGGACTTCGTCTCAAGGAATAAGGGGCAACCCACCTAGGAGATAGCAAGATCCGAGCCCATATTCCAATTTATGCTACTTTGGGCCTTTGAATAAGGGTGACCCATTAATGAATACATATTAGGGTTAATTTCATTTTTTACTCAACAAATGTACCCTTGTATCATTTTTTTTTCACTTTCATGCCCGTCAATTATGAAAAAAATAAAACTCTACCCTTTCAAGAAATTCTCTCTTAAATCACCGTTAGTACGAAGGGAAATATGTAATTTGCACTCCCTTGTTATTTACTAAATTAAAATTGTTTGTATGTTAAATTTTCAGAATTTATCTATTTTCATTTTTTCCAATTTCTCCAAAATCTCTCAACTCTACGCAACCATCAAGAAACCTCCTCCATTAGGCATGGTCTCCATCGCAATTGTGCGTGCTTGAAGTAATAAAAAAACACAAAAGTTACTGATGAACATCATTTATCTACCGCAACATAAAGCCCACAGGGACACTCGACCTTACTCCAATGACGGAGGAGAGGTTGATTCTGCCAGAGCGGTGTTTATTCTCAATCATGAAGGAGAAAAGGAAGAAGAATAATTAAATAACTCTTATTTTTGTTTTTGGTTTTTGAAAATAATTATATGTTGAGTGAGGATAAATTAGTTATTTCTCAGTGCTCTTAATGATTATTTGACAGAAATTTTGACAAAAGAGTATCTTTGCAAAAGTTAAAAATATGGTAAAGAGTTATATTTATTAACTTGTCATAGTAAAAGAGAATGAAATACTATTATCCTTACAACGCGTCCTCAATTTGACGAAGCTCGCCAATCTGTCATTTTATTCTTGCTAATTTACCAATGTTGCCAACCCATACAGAAAACGAGAACCAATCAATCTCAGGCCATCTTCTTGGTTTCAATCCACCGGCAACTAATCTTTTCTACGTTTGACCAGTATGCATGAATCGACTGGAGGAAAGAGGATGAGCAAAAGTCATGGACGAAAAAGTAATTGAGTACGGCTGGAACTCGTTATTTATAAATAACATAGGGTGGTGGTATTTCAGATACTGCATGATGCTCGTTAAATTATAATTAACTCGGAATACAAATAACTCGATCCACTTTTGTGAAACTAAACAAGTTATTTCGGTCTAAATAACTCATTGTAAATTATTTTGGTCTGAAATAACTCACCTAAATAACCTTATCCAAACTATCATGAAGATGCATATAATTACCCGAAGGAACCTTCTTGCAAGTTCAGCATTCTTTTCATTTTCTCTTTTAATGAACCAAATGAACACCAATCTCTGCAAGTCACCCAACCACCATCTAACTTGGAACTAAAAATTCAATCAACTTAAGAATGGGTTCGTTTGGCCATTGAGATTCAATATAATGTATTCAGTTAATACAAGCAATCAGTAGAATTCAGTTAATGCATTATAAAATACTCCGGCCACCCATCTCAGCTGAGAGACGCCGCCGCGGCGGCGGTGACGGGGTAGCCAATCCCATGCCGCCGCGTGGGGAAAACGACGAACAACAAGCTACAGATCACCCCGATCCCAACCGGAACAATACCCAGAACCTCCCTCACCTCATCCCCGGGAACCGGGTACAAACACCCCACCACGTTCCGATCCCGCATCGCCACCGAGACGAAGACCAAACCGGACAGAACCGCGTGGACCCAGTCGACGAACCGGATCCGGTACCGGGCCATCACCCCCTCGGTCAGCCCGCAACCCACCGGGTCGGGGCAGTCGAACAGGAAAATCCCTTCCCACGTGGCGAGCCCGTAGTACACGGCCTTCTTCCTCTGCTCTTCCCCTGCCTCGACGGCGACGGAGTCGGTGAAGGAGGCGAGGAAGCAGGAGGCGGCGAGGAGGGCGAGGAGGAGGAGGGTCAGGGGACGCGTGGCGGCGTCGCAGGAGGCGCCGTTGGTGAAGGTCGGGGTGAGGAGCTGGAACGCGAGGAGGGTTCCCGTGGGGAGGAGGTTGGCGAGGTTTGCCGTCGTGGTTAGGGTCTGGGAGATGGCTCTTTGGGAAAGTGTTTGTTGCTGCTGTCCGGCCGTGGGTTCCGGCGGGATCAGAGCGGCGGTTGTGGGTTCATCTTGCTGCCGTTGCTTGTTGGCGGAGGAGGAGGAGGATGTGGATCTTGGTCTCAAGGTGGATGACATTTTTTTGGTGTTTTGGAGAATAATGGAGATTCAGGGGATGGTGATGATGTTATTATATGCGTGGGGAAAGTTTGGGAAACATTATTACGTGTTGGAATACTTCTCTTCTATACAGCAAATCATGTGGTCAGAAGGCATAATTAATTAATTATACACAGAACCGGCGTCCTTAATTGGTTCTGAGCGATGGAATTTGTTATTGTAGGAGGGCAGAAGGGTAGATTGCTTGGCTTGTAAGGAGGTGAAACAGGGGATGGGAGTGTGTTGTTGATGCGTTCAAGTTATGTATGTCTTCATGGGAAACTATCTTCCGACAATTCGAGGTATTGGAGCCGATTGGTTTATGACAGACTATCAAGGACCGTTTGCATACCTCAACTTTGATAATTTGGGAATCGATACTCAGACAATTATGTCGCGAGGAATCTAGTTCATTGTAGGAGATGCAACGCATCTTAACTCTGGGATCTTTTTACGAATGAACGGTTAGAGAAAATGCCTTCACACGGACGTGTCGTCATTGACCTTCCTTCAAATGACGTGCACTTTATGCATCCCAGAGGAACTTGTTCCTATACCAATTTTCAAAACACTTACCTTGAGACTACCTACTTGTCCCTCTAATTGGGTCTAAGTGTACTTAGTTAGGTGATAATCTTAATCCAATCCATCAATTCAATTTATCCCAATCTGTTTAAATCAAAATCTATTAGGATAGGTAGATTGTTAGAAAACAACAATTTAGTACCTATATATAAAATCTGAAAGGCTAGAATTTTGCCTTAAAATATTTTTTGGGTGATGAAACATTGTAACTTGGAAAAATTAAAGGCCAGATTGGAAAATGTCTCATGGAGATGGAATGGAATAAACTTCTCGAGATAAACAATCCACAGAAATTGGCTCGGAAACCCCGCCGTTTCGGTACGACCTATGGCGTTTTTTTCTGCGGAGGCCTTGTCGTTTAGGTCGACGTGGATCTGATGAAGCAAGAACCCCGTGGGGCCGCGGGTGAAAGAAAGGCCTGAGCATCTGAAAGAAATTCGTTCAAAAACAGAAACAAACAAAACCGATATAAAAAAAAAGGGAAAGGAAAGGGGAAAAAAAAAAAAATACCGGCCGAGAGAGAGATCGGAGAGAGGGTGGAGGAGAGAACGACTGTCACCGCCGCGTCGCGGCTGAGGGAGAAGAAGAAGAGATTGCGTAGAGAGGCAGGACTACCGACTACGGGGACGCTTGTGTTCGGACTTCGGACACCTTAATCGCGCGCCGTTGCTTTCCCAATCGCCTTCGTGTTCGTCCGCCGGCACTCAAATCGGGAAATCGAGCGTAGGAGAGTCGGGGGAGAGCCATTTCTGCACTGTTGCTTCGTTCGTCGCCGCCATCATCAAATTCATCGTTTCTTTCGCTAATCGACGTCAGCGGCTGCGACTGAGGGAGGGAGAGGGTCATAAAGGAAATTGTAGTGCTGTTGGAAGCTTCCCAAAGCAGCTGAATCTTTCCATCACGTCCGTTTGCCCTCAACTCTAGGTATAATTCTGTACTTCTTCCTTTCCCCTGAAGATTTGCTGCTTAGAACAGGGGCTTGTCTTGAATCTTGTGGCTTTTCCTTTTTCTGGATTGGATAAAAAAGGTGTTGTTGATTCCCGTTTTGAGTGGTTGACTGTGATAAATTGGAGTGAGCGACCGAACGCAACAATGTCCTTTTAACAGTAACTTAGGCTTTGAGTTTCAGTTGAGAATGAGCTGCGGTTTTTTATTGGTCGGATTGGTGCAACTGTGAACGAGCTGCTGTTTGGTTTTAATTGCTGAACCTGATTGTTGTTGTTCGATGTGCTGTTATTCTTTACACTAGGAGCTAATATCGGAAGCATATCTTGTCCTAGTTATGCTTTGTTCGTCCCAACTTGGACGTCGAAGCTTGTAGAATCCACTAGTTTGAATGTTTGTTTACTATCACTTGAATCAGCGATGGATTAGCAAATATAGGGGGTGCTGATGTTGATATTGTTACTGCTGGTTCTAACATTGTTATCCTTTTCTTTCAATTGTTAATTTTCCTATGTTTGGTCAGGAACATGGATGGATCTAGTCATCGAGGCAGTAGTAATGTGGATATGTTCTTACCCAATTATAAGCTTGGTAAAACTCTTGGAATCGGTTCTTTCGGTAAGGTTAAAATTGCGGAGCATGCATTGACCGGGCACAAAGTCGCCATCAAGATACTTAATCGCCGCAAGATTAAAAATTTGGATATGGAAGAGAAAGGTATGATTTTTGCAAGGAACTTACTCGATATGAATAGCCTGTGGAAATATTGTGGCACCTAATGGATATGTAGCCATTTTGTTTGGTCAAGGGGTAACTGTCTGTTGATAAAGTTTCTTCCTCTGCAGTTGGGTTCTATAGTTTGCCTCGTGACTTGACACCTTTCCATGATCTTTGTGATAGAATCTTAAGGATGAGTTGGTCATTTAAGCTTCTAAGATGGTTATCACACTGTTCATGCCATTTTTTTTTTGTTTTGCATTCTGTAGCTTTTGGTCTGTTGTTTCGTTTGACGTGAAAAATTTGCCCATAGTATGCCTTCTTCTGTTTTATTTTTTTTTGGAGTGAGGCTAATGTTTTTATGTTTCCTTTCCTTCCAGTGCGAAGAGAAATCAAAATCTTGAGATTATTTATGCATCCCCATATCATTCGTCTATATGAGGTTATTGAAACACCGACGGATATATACGTTGTGATGGAGTATGTTAAGTCTGGGGAACTGTTTGATTATATTGTGGAGAAAGGAAGGTTGCAGGAAGATGAGGCCCGCAACTTTTTCCAGCAGGTAGGATTGCCTGTAGTATGTAATTGCTTCCTTTCTAGCATGTTCTCTTTTCATCATAAGCTTACAGAATGTTGATTGAATGCAGATAATTTCTGGTGTGGAATACTGCCACAGGAATATGGTTGTCCACAGGGACCTTAAGCCTGAGAATTTGCTCCTGGATTCTAAATGTAATGTCAAGATAGCTGATTTTGGGTTGAGCAATATAATGAGAGATGGCCACTTTCTGAAGACAAGTTGTGGAAGCCCAAACTATGCAGCCCCAGAGGTAAACTTGCAATAACTTTACACTCTACCTTACTGTTTCATGTGCTCTTTGTAATTCAAGCATACTCCTGAATACTTTGCCTTCCCTCAATTAGAAATTAAATGCACCTTTCTCATAAGGGGATTTGATTTTAAAGATTTTTCCTCTGTTGCGTTTATAGGTTATCTCTGGAAAATTGTATGCTGGGCCTGAAGTGGACGTGTGGAGTTGCGGCGTTATATTGTATGCTCTTCTTTGTGGTACTCTTCCATTTGATGATGAAAATATACCCAACCTATTTAAGAAAATAAAGGTATGAGAAATTTAAATATACTCACTGTTTAATATGGATATAGCATTCTAGACTGTACTTCTCTTAAAATGTCCTTTCTATTGTTGGCATGAAGACAAGCCTTTCTTCAGATAATGATTATATGAACTAATTTTACTCATCTTGATTTTGCTTTTACCATCTGTCTTTATTGTGTCAATGTAATTCTTTTGGATATCTAGGGTGACTGGACTGTGTACAGTATCTCCATTTGTATGGTAGGGGTTTGCTTTGTTCGTTGGACGAAAGAATATACACTGAAAGCCCTTGTCATAGATTCATACCCTTCTGTTATACTCTGTTACTGAGCCTTTTTCCTGAAGTAGCGGTGATCTTCTGAAGTAAGCAAATTGTTCTGTGGTTTAAATGAAGAAAACATTGTATGTCATAGTTTCAACGTTTTTAGCTTTTGGGAATGCAAGATCATTTTGGTTCTTAGTATGTGTGATATTCTTAAATTATAGCCATCATTTCCCTGACTTATAGTTCGGCTGACTCTGCTGCTATTTTGGGTCATAGTGTCGACTTTAATGGGAGATTTCAGGGTTCAGTGGTAGATAGTCTTTTTTGATACCCAGTTTAGTTATGGATGCTGTTATCATTATACAAGTCTGCCTTTCATTTTCATATTCACTATTATTCCTTTTCTTTTATGTATTATGTTTGTGACGAGCAATTTAATAGAGCAGGTTTATGTGTCTTGCTTGTGCACAAATGGATTCAGTTGAGTTTTTGTTTTTAGGGAGGGATATACACTCTTCCTAGTCATTTATCACCTGGTGCAAGAGATCTTATCCCTAGGATGCTAGTGGTCGATCCGATGAAGCGAATGACTATACCTGAAATTCGTCAGCACCCGTGGTTCCAAGCTCGTCTCCCACGTTACTTGGCTGTCCCTCCACCAGATACAATGCAACAAGCCAAAAAGGTTATTGTCTAAAAGGGAGCGAATTTGTTTGCTTATGTTTCTTGTTCTCTTTATGAAATCTTTCCCACAATGAAAATGATATATCCACACCACATTTTCATCTTTTGACATATTAGCATATATTAGTATGTGACATGTCCTTGTGCTAGTACCATGAGGCCCCTACATATTAAGCACACAGAATAGCTTCTAATCCTTGCGAACTGGGCCTGCTGATAGACTGTAATGTTTTTTAGAATTAACTGTTCTTCTCTGTTCGGATAAGTTGCATATTGAAACGATGTAAAAAGTGATCGTTTGCGTGTTATTACAACTGTCTATATGCGGTCTCAGCCTACATATGTGATGTGCCGGCTACATGAGTTTTAGTTGCATCGTATCTAAATTGCCATTATACCTTTGTTATTTACTATCCAGGCTTTTTGAATGTCATTTTCCTCATGCAGATTGATGAGGAGATTCTGCAGGAAGTGATTAAAATGGGATTTGACAGGAACCAACTTATTGAATCTCTTCGCAACAGAATACAGAATGAGGTATCAGCTCTTTTTCCTGATAACATATTTTAGATTTATTTTTATGGATCTGCGATTGCTTAACAATGCATTTTCAGGGTACTGTGGCGTACTATTTGCTATTGGATAACAGGTTCCGGGTTTCTAATGGATATCTTGGAGCAGAGTTTCAAGAGACCATGGTATGGCTCCTTTTGCCAAGTTCTTCGGAAATATTTTGTTCTGTTTCTTTTGAGGCTGAGACTTGGGAGGCAGGGAGTCAGTGGTCGAGGTTATAGTTTTAATTGCTCTTTTTAATTACGCGGTGACTGGTTGGTCAATCCCTTTTGAGGTTTCGGAAGCGTTAATATGAACTTCTAACTCTGGATTTACTTTAAAGAGAACTTTAAATGCATGTTTGATGCTTTATCAGAGTATCTAGGGTTTTGTATCTCCAATCTTATTATCTAGGTAATTTTTTTCCCTTTCATCTGTAGTTTGTTCATTGATGATTTATTTCCTTCCAGGAACTGGGTTACAATCGTATGCATCCTAGTGAGCCTGTTTCTCCATCTGGCGGGCATCGCCCCGCTGGGTATATGGAATATCAAGGGATGGGCTTGAGATCACAATATCCTGTTGATAGGAAATGGGCACTTGGACTTCAGGTAAACCAGCAGTCCTGTCGACATATTTCCTATGTACTCGAGTGCTTGAAAACTATTGTGTGTCGCCTCTTCTCGTTTCTTTTCTTTTTCCATCCCATTTCTACGCTGACATCTGCGGTCTCAAAGTCCCTGTATTTCTGGTTTGACCTTATTACTCTAAATTAACGATGTAGTTTGGTGTTTTAACAGTCTCGAGCCCATCCACGTGAAATAATGACGGAAGTCCTAAAAGCTTTGCAAGAACTGAATGTCGGCTGGAAGAAGATTGGTCACTACAACATGAAGTGCCGGTGGTTCCCTGGTAGCCCCGGACACCATGAAGGCATGCTAAATGATTCTGGCCCCAATAACCACTTCTTTGGGGATGATTCTTCCATTATCGAGAACGACGGAGCAACCAAAGCACCAAACGTCGTGAAATTCGAAGTCCAGGTAGCCATTCTCCATCCACTCTCTCTTCACTTCCTATAATCCTCGACTTTGATATTTCAAACCTGTTGAACAAGCAATGTCGCTGATTGTCGCAGCTGTACAAAACACGGGAGGAGAAGTACTTGCTGGATCTACAGCGAGTACAGGGACCACAGTTCCTGTTCTTGGACCTCTGTGCAGCTTTCCTTGCACAGCTCCGCGTGCTTTAGTGTCGCGTGAGGCAAAAGCAAAAAGGTAGGTTTCTTTTTCTTCAGAACGACCTGCCAACCGAAGGAGATGGATGTCTTTGTGTTTTACTTCGGCTGTGATTACGAATAGACTCATCCGCCGAGTGTAATGTGTATTGTACATAGCTCCGCGCCTGGGTTTCCAGCCGTACCTATCTTTCTTCTGGTTTTTAAGCTTCTTTTCCATAATCCCCAGTGGTTTTAGCCCCCCCCCCCCCCCCCCCCCCCCCCCCCTCATATGGGTAATTTTCTGAGTAGTGAAGCCAACATATATATCCCCTCAGCTCTTGTATTTGGCCAAGAAGAACTAGTCACTCTGTCCTGATTCCTCTTTTTTTTATAACAGACTGTAGCATTTGATCTCTCCATATGCCAACTCATTTGTATACATGATGTGTCTCGATGAATGAACTCGTGAAACTCGTGAGACGTTATCGTTGTATGTCACATGTTTTGTTAGCTAAAATACTAGTCTCTACTTGTTCATCTCCAAATCCACCACGGGGGTGTGCTATTCAACAGATGGCATGACATTCCGATTGCAGTTGTGTTCTTTTGGAGTTTTTGTGAATCGCGCGAAGGAGAAAAGAGTACCGACTAACACATCTAGTTGTATCTAGTTGTCATGCTGACTAGATATAACTAACGGAAAAATTATCAAAATTAGAGAGAGAGACCATTTTGTAACGAATCAACAAATCTAAGTCACCATTTTGTTAGGTTTTGAGTTTAGTGACCATTTTGTTACATAGCACATAGTTCAGTGATGATTTCAGTAATTACCACCGGATATGTATATATACGGGGACGACTGATGATACTATTTCAATGATCTTCTCCTCCGCCGAAAAGCTTCTTCCCCAGTACTGCCGCCGACTCCTGAATCCGTCGCCGCTGCCATTGCTTCTCCCTAACGGTTCATCATCCACCAGCAAGAACAAAAGGTCTTATCGTCCGTCGTAGCTAACTGAAAGATTCGCGCCCTTAAATATTTAAATTCACGAATTTGCCGATGAGAATCTGCGTTCTTACGCGCCGGGAGCGGCGAAGCTAGATTGGTGGCCGATTGGGGTCACCTAAGTGCATGTGACAGCTCTTACTACAGTTGCTTGGATTCAGCGCTGCTGCCAAATCTTCCTTTCCCCTCGTCCAGAAATCAATTCTGATATCGCCGACTCTTCGCCGCAGCTGCTCAAGTGGTCGTTTCGAGCTGAATTCCATCGAAGCTCACAAGTCATGAGCTCTTCTTCTGGTGCTCATTCCGGCAGAGGAGGGTAAAGTTTTTTCTTCTCTGCTCCTCCTAACATTTCCCCCTCATTTCCCGCTTTCTTTCATTTGATGGGATTTTGCAACAATTTGCAGTGGAAGTGGTACGGGGGTGAGAAGTTATAGGGAAAGATCGGAAGGACGCGGTCGTGGCCGTGGGAGAGGAGGTGGTTCGGAGAATGACAAAATTGATGCTCTTGGAAGACTATTGTAAGAGGATCCTCCTCCATTTTTTTTCCCCAACACTGCTCCTGGACTCGCTATTCTTATCTGCAGTGTTCCTTTAAGAGAATTTTACATATGTTTTTTATCAGGGTAGCTAAAACTTGGAAGCGTTTTGATATCCTGTTGCATCTCTGATTTGTGAAGGTAATATATTCATGAACATTGGTCTATTTCCAGGACACGCATTTTGCGTCATATGGCTTCTGAGTTGAGTTTGAATATGCGGAGTGATGGGTTCGTGAAAGTGGAGGATTTGCTTCAGTTGAACATGAAAACTTTTGCCAATGTTCCGTTGATATCACACACGGTTGATGATATCAGGGAGGTTGGTTTCTGAACTACGACTTCTTCAAGAGCTCTTAGAATCCCTTGGAGAGCAAAACTGTTTTTCGAATTCCTGGTCATGAATGCTTGAAAATGAAGGAAGCACTATTTTCTCTTTGGTTGTTCAGTAATTGAATGATGTGAAAATGCAGGCAGTCAGGAGGGATAACAAGCAAAGATTCGGGCTCGTGGAGGAAAATGGAGAGCTCTTGATTCGTGCAAACCAAGGCCACACTGTGAAGGTGATATCTTAATCTGATGCCTTTTTCATTCTGGCCTTGGTGGGTTCTAAGTACTAACCCTTTCTAGAGGCCAGAAGGAAGTTTTCCAGTGTTTCTCACTGTGTCGAAGTTGTGGAATATCACTGTGAAGGATCTATTGACATCTCTACTTGACCTGAAATAGGTTTTGTTATGACGGTGCAGGTAGTTGAATCAGAAAGTTTGTTACAACCCATCCTTTCAGCTGATGAGGTAGCAGGTAAAGTCGATGATTTGACAATGTGATACTTGTCAATTCCAGTTCCTTTCACGTAAGTTACCTGGGTTTCTTTCCACATATGGTTGGAGTAACTGCGTCTTGTCTGGAATGGCAGTCTGTGTGCATGGAACGTATAGGAAGAATCTGGAATCTATATTGCAGTCTGGTTTAAAGCGCATGGAGAGATTGCATGTTCACTTCTCTTGCGGCTTGCCAACAGATGGTGAAGTGATCAGTGGTAAGGCTGATAATACTTTGTGTTCGTTGCTACTTAACAAACCTCTGATTTAATTGCTGAACGTGTTTCACCGGTGGTTTCCCAGGGATGAGAAGGAACGTAAATGTGCTTATTTTCCTGAATGTGGAAAAGGCTCTGGAAGGTAAGGACTTGGGTGAGAACTGGACGAGGGGAATCTGTTTTCCTTGTTCTTAAATGGTGGTTGAAACTGATATAACTCTGGAACTAATGTGGTTCAGATGGAATGAAGCTTTATATATCGGAGAATAAGGTGATCTTAACTGAAGGTTTCGATGGTGTCGTCCCAGTGAAGTACTTCCAGAAGATTGAATCTTGGCCAGCTCGACAATCTATCTCCGTTGCAAACCTAAGCCAAAGCTGACTGATATGAGAAGGGGATGACCTTTGAGACAAAACAAATAGACCTTCTGATGAACTCTGCTAATGTAGCTGCAGCCTGCACATGGTAAGGAGACACATGCTGACTGCATATATTAATTTTCCATCGTACGACATTTGCTAGTGTTATGAACTTGGTATAGTCTCTTCCGTATAGCATTCAAATGCGTTCTTAGTTCATTTCAGCTTGTTCGCATTACAATGTATGATGAGAACTGGTTTCATATTGTTCTTGATAATGGTGAGCCAAATTCCCCTCGACTGCTGTACAAGAGACAAGAGAGAAACCAGAGAGTAATGGTTCCCAGAATTGGAGGAGGAAGTTTGAGTTTCTTTCTGCTGAACTTATTTTGCATATGCACTGTCTTCTGTAAAGAGAGTAACAACGATGAAATTCTCTAGGTATTTATCAGCGGCCGTTGAACTGAAGGGTTTAAAGAACAACAAAGGCGACGGGCAATGGCAATCGAGGTAAGCTAAAAAAACTCAAATTCAGGCCATGTTTGGGATGGATTGAGAGAACTCCTCTAATAATTTCTACATCAGGAAATTGATATTACGTTATCAACAATCATGACCTTGATGATTCGAAAATTGAGGAAGTTTGTTTCCAGAATGAACCAGTTCAGCCGTCGATTTGCCTGCAGATCGGAATGCCAGGTTCTGCCCTAGGTATGGTCCTAGCCACAGCTCATTTCAGTTCATCAATGGTGGCATTACCACCGGCATAGTATCGAAATGACGAGGTAACAGTGAAATGTCTGGGGGACCAAATATGAAGTTTGATGAATCTTATTTTGGTTTCAGAAATGTGTACCTGAATTCTGTTCATGAACTTTTAGGTCTTCCCCTTGTTTTGTTAGATGTCGTTCTTTTGCAGCTCCATTGTTGGTTAATGTGGATCATGTCGTCGTCCTTCCCACTTTAAGAAATGCCTTTGGACCTAAACCTACTGATTTGTATTCTTCAATGTGGTTTCATTCCATTGATAGAGTCTTGTTTATAATAATAATACGTCTGGCTCATTGATCAAAAGAAACAACCAAATATTAATTGTTAATCACAAATTAATATATTGTGGCATAGTTTGCAACATCCACATGGATGTCCTTTTCCGCTGCCTCAAAATCTCAATGGTTTTGGAAACTCTTCGCCCATTTTTCTTGTCGACGCAATTTACTATGCTGGGGTTGAATGAAAACGTGTGATAATTGAAATGTCTCTATAACTTGATGGTTTCTGTATGTATTTGGGATATCAAATATTGTATCGAATTTATCGGTATTTGGTATAATTGAATACGATTATTATTTCATGGAATTGAGATTGAAGTTTAAGTGTTAATTTGATATTAAGAATTACAGGATTGAAATCGGTGATATATTGAAATATAAGTTGGGGTGTTTCATTCCTTTCAACCGGACCCTCTCACTCACTTATACCAGACCCTCAACCGCCATTATAGTCGATTAGTTATGCATAACTCATTCTCTCACTATTTGACAACGGAGACCAAGCTCATTTCGTTATTTATAATATGTCTATGGATTGTTTAGGTACCTCACGATTTCAATTTGTTGCTTTGGTTTGTTAAAAGTGATTCTTAGCCACCGCATTTTTCCTAGTTTGTTGTTATTATATTGGATACTTTCTCATTTGTTTTGCACGAGTGTTGACACCATTGTTGGTTTTTATTTTTGAGAATGGTTTGTGGAGCTGTTTGCAGAGGATAAGAATTTTCTTTTTAAAAATTTGGTTGGTAATTTTGAAGTTGATATATAACGATACAGAACAAAATATTAGGGATTGAGATACCAAATTTATTTTAGGGTTGAAAATGATATTGAAATAGGACATTATTTGGTATTCAAAATTTCACTATTTGATAATGGGATACCGATACCGAACCAATTTCTACCTCTAATTGTTTATAATTTTTCGTTTACTTGTTTGAATTTTATGCAAAATTCATGTCTAAATTTCCATACAAATTTAATTATGCGTCATCCTTCAATAAATTCTGGAGGCCCTATTTCGAAATTTTTAAAATATAATAAAATGAGATAATAACATCAATTAATTTTATGATTTGGCTAAACTTTGAACTATTAAATTCAGATTATAAATAAATATCCCCAACTTTCTTTCTAGTAAAAGATTAGCTCGTACCCCTTTAGGATTCCAGTGACATGAGTGTTGCTTAATTGTCTAACAAAACTTAAAATTTTTTCTTTATGTAATAGACTTAAAAAAAGAATTATGGCATTGGCCGGCCAGTCTGTAGTTCTCTCCAAGTTCAAAATCATTACGAACCAAACGATGTATTCTTATATTTCTTTTTGTTGTTCACGTATGGTCCAAAAGAAGCTAATAATATTATTAATAAAACCTTTTGTACACGTGATTTTTTTTTTTCTCCAAAGGAAACAAAAGATAATTGTTTGTGGCCGTCGGTTGATACCCTTTTTTACGTCCCTCCAAATAGTTGGGTGCCTAAATTGGGTGTTTGCAAATCGGTTCTTTGTGGGATCATCATTTGTGGCAACATGAACAAGAATACACTCTAAAAGTCTCTACTCTTATATCTTCTTCTAACTTATTTCTCATGGCAAAAAAAAAAAAATATTTCTAAAATCAAATTGTTTCGATGAAATAAGGTTTTGAGTAACACTACTTCAGTTTATTTCTAAATTAGATTCGCGATATTGGATATTCATAATTTTAATGGGGTTTTCGCTATCTTTATGTTGTGAAACACACACAATCATAGAAACACTAACATTGAAAGTGTGAATTGAGTTGAAAGGAAGGAATTCGCGAGATAATCAATATTGTCTTTCTGCGTGTGCAATCATATGGACTCACAACTAGACTTGTTTGGCCCTTCACACAAATGAGTTTGACCTAAATTGGATTCAATCCAAACTCAACGCCAGAACCATTAAAAATGCATACGAATTCATTTGAGTTCGATCCAATACCCATACAGGTCATGAAAAGTGGTTGACACCCTTAAACTTGCAGAGCCCTGGATGTTGTTTTCGACGAGGAATTTTTTTTGCTGACATATCGTTACAAGAAGTTGGTCTGTTGGGATTACCACTGATCTTGAACTTGAAGATCGCAGATTCAAATCCATCCGCACCTAACAATTAATAAAATGAAACATATATCAACCTTATAACGGACCCAAGCTCCATCCTGGAGTTCAGGTCTTCTCAACACAGCTGTGTACAGAAACAAAAGACATTGGGTCTATCGACCTAGAGGAGAGAACAAAGAACAAGTCTTTTAAACAACATTTAGTGGCCGGCGAAGATAACCAAAATCTTATAACAACAATTACTAATTAATTAAACCACTTTCAAACACCATATAATTACTTAATTAATGATTGTCTTGAAGCTTAATTACAGCTCTTTCCTCTGTTTGCCTGTTCTGTAGCCCTTCCCCTGTTCCCCACACCTTTCACCATCAAACCCTAATACAAAACCAATAATCATATTAACAGTTGTATCCAAAACCAATGTGCTCATTCATATATATATAAATTCCCTTCCTTGATCTCCCACCCACATTTCATTTCCATTACCTCCTCTGTGGGAGCCGATCGCACCAGAGAAGCCGGCCGGGAAAAGGGTAGATTAATGGAGTTGTCGATTTCCAGTCAAAGATTGTTTAGGGAGAAATCCGAGATCAAGCGGGAAAAGGTTGATGATGAGGATGATGGCGATGATCGACCGTGTCTTCAATTGTTCGGTGAGAAAGTAGTATCGATGACCAAAGATTATAGCAACGAGGAAACAGAGGTAAGACGAAACAGGGCAGCGAGTTTAAGGTTGAGAGAGCCATCATCAGTGCCGACGCCGGCAGCAGATGACGGTGATGGCGATGACGATCCCCGCCGCCGTTGTGGTGGGGGAATGCGTATGATAAGCAGTTACCATGAAGGTTTGACTCATTTCCGGCTAGGTGGCGCCACCGGCGCCGGCGGCCATCAGCAGCGCCGCTCTACCCTTCTTGAAAGCCAGATGCTTCCCGGGATGAGGTATGTGTATGTTACTTAACCATGTAATTTCGTGGATGAAGTTAGTAAATGATATACGATTTATTGACTAAACCTCTCGCAACAATTTGAGATCAATAGGGATAGAAGAGTTTTTCTGTAATCGGGAGGGCACGTTTCTGTTCGAATTTCGATGATCTACATTTGTCTTGTTAAAGACGTGATTATCTTGACCTCTACAAAAATTTCAAGTACATATGATATGAGCGAGCTTTTAGTTTTAGAGGTGTTGGCAGTAAATGATATATGATATCCATAATACAACATCTAACATCCACACGAGTTATTGAGACCGACTAGTTACTAAAAGATAGTTTGAGTGGATGTGTTACTAGTATTATATGACCCAGAATTGAATCTCTTCTAACAAATCGTATTATTGAGACCAACTGACCAACCCAAATAATTAACACTTTTGTTTGTGTTTTGGGGTGTGATGGTATTAATTAATCAGTGCTACTGCAACGGCCGGCGGGGAACGGCAGTCTTCATCCTCTGCGCCGAAACAACTGACGATGTTCTACGCCGGGATGGTGAATGTTTTCGACAACATTCCGGCGGAGAAGGTGGAAGCCATTGTTCTGCTAGCTCGGGAGAGCTGCTCGTCCAAAGCAAGAGGAGTGCTGCCCAAGTTAGACATGATGAAGAAGATGCAACCTCAGCAGCATAATACTCCTCCAGCTTGTCGGCCGAAATTTGCAGGAGGAGGATGCAAGCTCCAAGCCGACCTGCAGCAGCTTCCAGTTGCCAGGAAGATATCACTGCAACACTTCATGGAGAAGAGACGACTCAGGTTCGCTTAATTTAATTCCCCCCTGCTGATGATCACCAACTTTGCTCTGTAAATATAGATGCTCTGTTCTCATCACTCTGCTACCTTCCTTGCCCATTTGATTTTGCAGGATAACGAGCAAGTCTCCATATTTTGCTTCCTGCACAGAGCAGCACCAAAACGGTTTAAGAACGAGTGGTACTCAAGATCATGATGAAGAAGAAGGAGAAGAACATAGGAGTGATGATCACAGTGCTCGCTCTAACAATGGAGATCGTCATAAGATTTCACTTTCACCGTTTCCTGCTCGTTCAGGGTATTTTTTGTCATCGTCGTCAAACAAGCACTAATTAAGACAGACACTTAAAACAAGTTTGACAAAAACAGTAGCGATTTGTAATCTGAGCCAACGCTTTGCGTTGAGAAGTAGAAAGGGATTGAGACTAAGGGTGACCAAAACCTTTGATAATCATTATCAATCGTTGATGTTTCTCTGATTTGATCTGCACCGATAAATATATTTTTTCCCCCATTTCTCTAACAATGACCTAAAATTTTCATGTTCACTACCTTGACAATATCAAAGGGCGAGACATGGAATGAAGGTTGCCGTATCCTAAACTTTGAGAATGTAGAGGCCTAGCTAGAAACCAAGAAAAAAAAAAACATAAATTAAATGTCTAAAACGCGTCAATACACAGGATGAAATTTGAAAAAATTACTGGAATCGTGTTAAAAAAACTAATCAGAAAATAAAGTATTCATCATATTCACAGACAGCCGCTGATAGACTTATGTAAGAATAGTTTCGAAAAATCATTCCCCGTTGTCCTATCCACATCTTGTTTCTCATTTCCAACCCAAATCCTACTAATTACCAGACATCTATCTACTCATAACTCTCATCTTCAATGCAGTAAAAAACGTGATTCTACCTAGAAGCGGTTGGGTGACCTAGAAGCGTAAAACCGTAAGCTTTTAAGTTTTAAAGCGTATATTTTGACTACATTTGTAAGGTAAAATCATGATTCTACATAGAAGCGTTTTGGCAACCTAAAAAGGTAAAAGTGTAAGCTTTTAAATTTTAAAGCGTGATTTTGACTGCATTGCTCATCTCACCTTCGAGACATTTTTTATAAATGTTCAAATACTCACTTGCAATCCATCTCGTTCTCATGACTTCTTTAGATGAATTTTCACTCTTTCATGAGATAGCGAAGCAAAACGAAATTCGGTTTGTACTCTGTTAACAAAAGCACGAAAATTTTATAGATGGTAAGTACTTGTATGTTGAGACTTGAGAGCATATTCATGGAATGCTACCTAATCCTTTTAGGTTAAGCCTGGTAATTGGAAGTTAGCACAAGAACAAATGCCTTGTCATAGCCAAACATCCATAACAACCTTGATTTTTAGGTTTCTATGTCGACTCTTTTTTATCATTGTGAAACCAAATTCACCCAAATCTTCGTTTGTTCACCCACCAAGATGGTGGCCCACCAGATAATATTGATCCGATCCAGTCGTGCCGACTATAAAGAGTTTGTGATGAATGTGACTGTTTGGGCCAGGCCCACTTATACTGGACCCAAATCTAGTTCCATAGATCAACGTACTTAAACTTTCATTTCACGACAGTCAACTCCCTTTCCAAAGGTAGAAAAAACAAAAATCCAGAGAGAGCAGTGACTGAACCTGAAATTTGCCCCACAAAGAAAGAAAAAAGCGGATCTATCGAACTTCGAGCACTCTCCCCTTTCTCCTTTTTTTTTTTTTTTTTGCCCCCGTCCTTTATTACCTTTTTTTCCGCTTAACTGGAAATCCGTTTGATTGATTTGAGAGCTTCAAGAAACGAAATTCCCCAACTGAACTCTCCCTCCATTTTCCAGCTCTTCCCAATCTTCCAAATTCCACCACTCTCTCACATGCCGAAGAGCAGCGATGAGGGTTCACCTACTGCTGCTACCACCGCTTCCTCGATCCACAGCTCCAAGAAGGCAGAGGAGCTCCCGCCGGTCCTCAAGAAATCCAAGACTTCAATCTCCGACGACACTCATTTCCCCGGTCCACTCTTCCCCGCCGTCCGCCGCTCTTCTTCCACTTCGTCCACCACCACTAATTCTTCTTCTTCTTCTGCTGCTGCTTTCTCTCATCAGCTCCGGCCTCAGCTCGCGGATCTCCGCGTCTCCGTCGGGAGTAGCAACTCCGATTCGCCTTCCACTTCTTCAGCTGCTTTCAGTAGCTTCGGTAGCAGTAGCGGCAATGGTCCGGGAAGCTTCGGTAGCAGTAGCGCTTTTGCGGATCGGGACTGGATGTACCCGTCGTTTCTCGGCCCGCACGTGACTCGGAATCGCGTCACGGTGAAAGGCCGGCGGGGCGGCGGCGTCAGCGGCGGCGGCGGGGTGCAGGGGAGTAAAGTGGCGGAGGTGGATCAGCAAGTAATTGCTGCTCGCTCCGGTAGCAGTAGTAGTAGTGGGTTGAGGGAGGGAAGGGGAGAGAGTAACAGTAAATTGAAGGTAGAAAGTAAAAAGAACGCCGCGGCGGCGAGTCGAGTTTTGGTGGCTCAGCCGAGTTCAGCGACTCAGCCTGAAATACGGAGGACTCGTGTGTCGAAGCAGCATTCGTTCAGCTATTACTTGGTAAACACTTCCTCCTTCCTATTTTTAACAATTCTTCGTCTCCTGACTTTCTCTCGGCCGTTTGCTTGACACGAGGAAGTAAAAAGACGGGAAATTTGCATATTCGTAAAAGCATCAGTGTTTGGAAATGAATGGAAAAAAGGCCCATCACAGGGTTTATTTAAAAGTGGAATCCTCCTTTCTTGTTACCCTTTAACCCTTTTTCTCTTAATTGTATTGCAGCTCCTGTTCACTTGTACATTGTCAATGTCTTATTCAATTCACCTGCGGAATGAACTCGGGAGGATAGAGGTATATATGTTGAATTTGATGCGATTCAGAAGCATGAAAACAATCTCAACCCTGTCCCTAAGTTGTATAGCGAGAGAAAAATTGTGGGTCCTGCGAGCTTTTCATTCTGATTCCTACTTCTTGGTATATGCTTAATTGCAGGCAGAGAATTTTAACCTCCGGAAAGGGTGTAGGGACAAAGGTGGTGTAGGTAATGGCGGCGTCGAAGTTTTGCAGCAGGCTGAAGATAGCTTGTTTAGTTTCGGAAGTGCTGACAGTAGAACTCTTGCTTTGTACATTGTGATAGTCACTCTTCTTATGCCATTTGCTTTCTACAAATACATCGATCATCTTCCACAGATAAAGACAATGTCTAAAAGATTGGAGAATAGTAACAAGGAAGGGGTTCCTTTGAAAAAAAGAATCGCTTACAGGGTGGATGTGTGTTTCTCTATTTATCCCTATGCAAAGCTGCTTGCTCTCCTATTTGCAACCATCTTTCTCATAGGTTTTGGTGGGTTGGCATTGTATGCGGTCAGTGATGGTAGCTTGACCGAAGCTCTTTGGCTATCATGGACATTTGTAGCTGATTCAGGGAATCATGCTGATAGGACTGGTACTGGGCCAAGGATAGTTTCTGTCTCTATAAGCTCTGGGGGCATGCTGATTTTTGCCATGATGCTTGGACTTGTCTCGGATGCTATTTCAGAAAAGGTGGATTCTCTTAGGAAAGGGAAAAGTGAAGTCATTGAAAGAGATCATATATTAGTTCTTGGATGGAGTGACAAGTTGGTAAGTTACTTGACAAGATATGTTCTTGGTTGACAGATTTACAGCCCTTTTCTATTTTAAGCCAGCTGTAGATGAACACTAAGATCTTATGTATAAAGTTTCAGCTGCATCCTTTTGCTATATCTGCATTAAATGTACACCACCCTGTGTTCGTAATCATTGTAAGGTTCTGGCGAGAGATTACTTTCAGGTCTTTTCCATTATATCTACTAAGTTGTGGGGTTTGCGTAGGCTCTCTGTTGCATTTTCTCTCTTCTCCTCTCCATTATATGTGCCTCAATTCAGATAGCTGTTCATTACGTCATATCAAATTCTATGTTCTAGTATTTTGAGAGGCTGATTTCAGGTCTTGTAAAATAGTCACAATCTCACAAGTTCATATTGATCATGCTTGTAAAGGAAAAACCTAAAAAAGCTGTTCTTTTATACAGGGTTCACTTCTGAAGCAACTGGCCATTGCGAACAAGAGCGTTGGGGGAGGTGTTGTGGTTGTGTTAGCTGAAAGGGACAAGGAAGAAATGGAGATGGATATAGCTAAACTGGAATTTGACTTCATGGGCACATCAGTTATATGTAGAAGCGGCAGTCCTCTTATCCTTGCTGACTTGAAGAAAGTATGTTTTGTTTGTATCATATACTTCATTCCCCCTCCATTAAATTGTGTATTTAAATTTTATACCATTTTTCATGATTTGACAGGTTTCAGTGTCAAAGGCCAAAGCAATAATTGTATTAGCATCGGATGAAAATGCAGATCAGGTTCTTTCTTATTCTGTGCAGATGAATTGTTCTTTGTGCTCATCCTGTAGATGTAATTTTCACTTATTATTGACATTTCTTTTAACCAGAGTGATGCGCGTGCATTGAGGGTTGTGCTCAGCCTGACAGGAGTTAGGGAGGGTTTGAGAGGTCATGTTGTTGTAGAGATGAGTGACCTTGACAATGAACCTCTAGTGAAGCTTGTTGGAGGGGACCTGATTGAAACAGTTGTTGCTCACGATGTCATTGGCCGTTTGATGATCCAGTGTGCTTTGCAACCTGGCCTTGCACAGGTGAAATAGTTTTTCATTTTTAGTCTCTGTTATTATTTGAAAAGCTCTGGTTTACATCATCTTTTGGTCTTTATGGTAGATTGACTATCAAGTAACTCAGTTTGGTCTCATCAATCAAGCAACTGAGTTTTTCCTTTTCCTGTAACAGATTTGGGAAGATATTTTAGGGTTTGAGAATGCAGAATTTTATATCAAACGATGGCCCCAGCTTGATGGTATGTCATTCGAGGACGTGCTTATTTCATTCCCTGATGCAATTCCTTGTGGAGTTAAGGTTGCTGCCGAAGGTGGGAAGATAAACATAAATCCAGATGATAACTATGTGTTGCGAGAAGGAGATGAAATCCTAGTCATCGCTGAGGATGATGACACGTATGCTCCAGGTCCTATTCCAGAGGTTATTCTTCTTTTCCACACTTATTTCTATAGTTGGAACACTGATATCTGCTAGAGGAGTAATGCCTTTGTTTCAACGACGATTTTCTATTCTCATCTTATTTCAGCCAGTTTCCTTGATGCAGGTGCGTAGAGGGTCCTTCCCAAAGATACCTGACCCTCCAAAATATCCTGAAAAGATACTGTTCTGTGGTTGGCGCCGAGACATCGATGATATGATTATGGTAGTTGATTTATTGGATGAAATTTCCTTCTTGTGGTCACCCTTCGTAGTAGTTGCCTGTCAAGGGGAGTTAGCTGTTGAACATAGAGGAGTTGACCTTTGCCTCTTACATTGCTACTTCAGGTTCTAGAGGCATTCCTGGCTCCAGGTTCGGAACTATGGATGTTCAACGAGGTCCATGAGAAGGAAAGAGAAAAGAAGCTGATTGATGGTGGACTGGACATTTCTGGACTAGAGAACATCAAACTTGTTCACCGTGAAGGGAATGCTGTTATTAGAAGGCATCTGGAGAGCCTTCCACTAGAGACTTTTGATTCTGTAAGTGATATCTCCTTTATCTGCTTCCCCTTTGCATGAGAAGTAACAAGTTTGTTAAGAATCAAAGATTATTTGTTACTCAAGGTCTTGTTACTGTTTATGTAAATTAACTTTAAACTATTCCTGTTTTGTATTTTTCATGTGGACGGTGGAGGTAGATTCCTCTAATTGTTCCATGACTCAAATTCTTTGTTGTCACTACTAACTCTAAGGAAACAGATATTAATTCTTGCAGATGAGTCATTGGAGGACTCCATTGTTCAGTCTGACTCGAGATCTCTTGCGACCCTTCTCCTCATCCGAGATATACAGGTAAATTGCTGATGTCTCCTCTGTCCCTATGGAACACTCATAAGTTGGCAACAAGTAGCCACATGTTCTGGTCTCTGGTTACAAAACTTACAAAAGCTGTTTCTTGGCCTTGTCTCCTGCCTGGTTTGCAGTCGAAGCGCCTTCCATATAAAGACAGAAAGTCAACATCGTTCCGGCTTTCTGGGTTCTCTCACAGCTCTTGGATTCGGGAAATGCAGCAAGCTTCCGACAAGTCCATCATCATAAGCGAAATCCTGGATTCCAGGACTAGAAACTTGGTATCGGTTTCCAGAATCAGCGACTACGTGCTGTCGAATGAGCTTGTCAGCATGGCTCTGGCAATGGTAGCTGAAGACAAGCAAATCAACCGTGTTCTGGAAGAACTATTCGCCGAGGAGGTAATTAACCTCCTGTTTTCTCTTCTATTCACAAAGTTGCTCTTTATGTTTTCTCTTTTCTCTAAGGGTAAGATATGGAAATGAGCAGGGGAACGAGATGTGCATAAAGCCAGCAGAGTTCTACCTGTACGACCAGGAGGAGGTCTGCTTCTACGAGATCATGGTCAGGGGCCGGCAGAGGAACGAGATAGTGATCGGTTATCGGCTGGCTCAGGCTGAGCGCGCCATAATGAACCCTCAGGGGAAGTCGGAGCCAAGGAAGTGGTCCGTCGATGATGTCTTTGTTGTCATCTCCCTGGGTGAATGAACCAACAATGCTGGGATCCAAGCATTAGCATTAGCATTAGCAGAGGAGATGATGACGAAGAAGATGGTGGTTGCAGTACGACGCCTTCCTGCCTTGTACTCCACGTTATAGAACTAGATTCCGATGTATCGACGTGAAATCAACCTCGAGTTTAGCTCGAATCAAAAATGAGTCAAAGTTTTTATTAAACAAGCCGAGATTGAGTTTGAACTCGACTCGTTTATTAACAAATTGAAGCCAAACCATGTCAAAACTAGGCTCAACTCGTCTCAATTGCCGTCGTATTAGAGCAAAACATTGAAACTTATCAGCCGGTTTCGGCTGGGCCGGACGACAACTTTGAAGCCACATCACCTTTACACATCAACTTGAAGCCAGTTCATCGACAAGTTTTTAACACTCAACAACGATAGACTCTGCTAAAGTGTAAACTGTTTGCTATTATCTTCCGATTTTCTTCTAACAACATTGAGAAAATAAAAATATTTGGACTGGATCAAAACCGAGTCAAACGCTCTTACGGCAGCTCAAGCCCAAGCCCACAATATTGGACAATTCTATAGTCGCAGCGTAAGATGACGATGGCGGTTTCTTGCGGGAATATAAATACTTTGATCCGCGCCAATTTCGCGAGGGATTGGGATTTGCAATTTCGCATAAAGCTCTTTCTTCTTTTCGCATAAAGCTCTCTGGTCACAGCCGCGGCCATGGACAACGGCAAGAAGCCTGTATTCCTATCGGCAGCCGAGAGGGAGAAGTTAGCGAGCGATCCAGCGCTGACAAGAGGAAAACGATCTGCAGAAGAAGCGCCGGGAACAGCTTCTCTCGCCGAAGCGAACAGCCTGAAGCCATTCTCTGCCGGCTCCGACCGCCGCCCGCTATCGAGGCGGAGATAGAGACCGCGAAAGAGATGGAGACCGAGATTGCGATTGAGAAACGATATGATACTGACGTTGAGCCGGTCAAGCAAGCCCTCGAGTAGAGCTCGTTTAATGAGCCCGACTCAAATACGAGCCAAAGTTTTAGTAAACGAGTCCAACTCGAGTTCGACTCAATTATTAACAAACTGAGCTCAAATTATGTCAAAACTCGCTCGACGCCCGTAACTGGAGGTAAGATTAGAAGAAAAAGCTAGTGTCATGCAATAAACAACGAGTAACACGTTGAGACAGAAAACAAATATCCGGTCAGCTGAGTGGGAACAAAATGGAAGGAATAAATTATAAAGCCATGCATCATGATGATTAGGCCACAATCACAGGAACAAATTAGGCATGATTAATAACACCATTATTTTAAGAGCACATTTTTAACCCACTTAATCTTGTGTGGAAATGTGATCATTATGTCCGTTCTGATAGATTACTACTCGCATTCCTTCTCCTTCACACTGTGATTATTACTCTGTTACTTTGATGCTGACAGCCACACTAACTAAAGCAGTTTCCTCTCTGTCTTTTCAGGATCGATCGATCTAGCTTAGTGGTAACTAAAGTAGCTTTGCTTCCACCGTTCACATCTACCAGCTCGTAATCTCAGAGATTGACCACTTTTCCGCCATTATTAAACCCGATTGATTGGTGTTACTCACTAGTCTGTTCTTGCAACTCATGGAGACCGCCGCCGCCGCCGCCGTAGCAGAGCACGTCATTCTCACCGTCGACGTCGACCACCACCACGATCAACCTAACCACACCAACAAAAAGACCAAACAACCACCGCCGCCGCCTTCGCCGTCGAAAACCCTCCACCGTCTCAACTTCTCCAAACCCAGATCCCGCTTCTCCGAGCCCACCACTCCCACTGCCCGCACCTACATTACCCATCCTTCCTCCGACGAATCCGAATCCGAGGAAGACGAGGATTTCGATCCAGCCAACGGCGACGACGAGGACCCAAAACGACGCCGCTCAAGGAAGTACTCCAGGTTCATCAAACTCAAAGCCACAAAGAGAGCGTGGACAGAGTTCAGCTTCTTCCTCGTCCTCGCTTCCTTCCTGATCTACTCCCTCACCTTCACCCCGTTGAAGCACAAGACCGAATTCGGCATCGAGATCTGGAAATGGTGCCTGATGGTGCTGGTACTCTTCTCGGGCCGCCTAGTCTCCGGCTGGGCCGTCGGGTTCCTCGTCTTCCTCATCGAGCGCAACTTCATGCTCAAGGAAAAAGTCGTCTACTTCGTCTACGGCCTAAGGAGGAGCTTCCAGAACTGCGCCTGGCTCGCCCTCGCCCTCCTCGCCTGGACCGTCATCATGTTCGGCGACACCGACGACGAGAAAAACGCCGCCGTTCTGAAGAAGCTGTTCCGCGGGCTCGTGGCGGTGCTCATCGGCGCCACGCTCTGGCTCATCAAGATCCTTCTTGTCAAGGTGCGTATTGTTACTCATGAATGGAGTAATGTGAATTTGTATGAAGAATTTAGGTGACATGCTAGGAAAAAAAAAAAAAAGATTGTGACACATGAATGGAGTAATGTGACAAAAATGAAGAAAAAAAAATGTTACTCTTACTTTGACATTAGGTCCTGGCTTCCTCATTCCACGTGACGACATACTTCGACCGCATGAAGGAGAGCGTGTTCCATCACTACATCCTCGACGCCCTCTCCGGTCCTCCCCTGGAAGTTGCCGTTGGGGAAGCAGGACGGCGGAGTAGAGGGTGGTCGTTGAGGCCGTCGAAGTCTCTGCCACCGGAGATCAAGGAGACGAGGCCTGCAGCAGCAGAGGCGGCGGCAGAGGTGGGGAGTAGGTGGAGGAGCATTAGCAGCGGCGGTGGACCGAGGAGGATTGACATGGAGAGGCTTAAAAAGCTGAGCATGGAGAGGAGAGCCAGCGCGTTGAGTGTGAAGAGGCTGGTCAACTACATCAAGTCGTCGGGCCTGTCCACCATTTCCACGGCGGTTGATGGTTTCGGCCAGTCGGAGGAGATTCACAGCGAGGTGGAGGCTAGAAGCTGTGGCAGGCGGATCTTCCGAAATGTTGCCAAGCCAGCTGCCAAGTAAGTGTAAATCAGTGATCACCCCATGTTTCGTCGCGAATCAGTTCGTTCTGATAACTCAGAATATGTATGTAGGTACATAGAAGAGGAAGATCTGTTGAGGTTCTTGACCACGGAAGAGGTGCACACCATATTCCCACTCTTTGAAGGAGCTCTTGAAACCGGGAGAATCACCAAATCGTCGTTCAAGAACTGGGTCGTGCGTGCTTACGTGGAGAGGAAGGCGCTGGCGCATTCCTTGAACGACACGAAAACGGCGGTCCACCAGCTGCACAAGCTGGCGAGTGCGGTAGCGATGGTGGTGATAGTGGTGATGTCGCTTCTGGTGATGGGTCTGGCCACGACCAAGGTTCTCCTCGTCGTCACGTCTCAGCTGTTGCTTGTGGGGTTCATGTTCCAGAACACCTGCAAGACCATGTTCGAGTCCATCATCTTCGTGTTTGTGATGCACCCTTTCGATGTTGGGGATCGATGTGTCATCGACGGTGTGCAGATGATTGTGGAGGAGATGAACATTCTGACGACTGTGTTCCTGAGGTATGACATGGAGAAGATATACTACCCCAACTCTGTTCTCATTTCCAAGCCTATCAGCAACTTCAGAAGAAGCCCGGATATGGGGGATTCGGTTGATTTCACGATTGATGTCTCCACTTCGATTGATGATTTCAATGCCCTGAAGAAAGCCATACAAACGTAAGCCAACTCTCTTCTCCTTTAGTTAACAGTATAAAGCTCATAAGTAGGTTGGATTGGATTTACTACCTGTAGTTGCCACTATAATAATATTGAACAAAACTGCAGATACATCGAGAGCAAGCCAAAGCACTGGAATCCAAAGCACTCGGTTGTGGTGAAGGAGATTGAGAATGTGGATAAGATGAAGCTAACTCTAGCCGTTCAGCACACCATGAACCATCAAAACTACGGGGAAAAGAGCAGCAGAAGATCAGAACTCGTCTTTGAGCTCAAAAAGATTTTCGACAACCTGGGTATAAAGTACCATCTCCTTCCTCAGCAGGTACATCTCACTCAATTGACGAATACAAGCAACAGTGGAAGGTTGTCAATCTAGTGTTCTCTGCAACAGAGAAGCAATGATGTTCCTCGCAGTAACCAACGAGTGTATGTAGACAAACAGGTTGTTATGTCATGGTGTTTATGTTCAGTTCCTAGAGAATTATTCACTTCTCAGGCATATTCTTACCAGATGAAACTCGATCTATACACTGTACAAATCGTCTGCAGCAAAGTATTATTAATCCAAAACAGAAACAAATACTGCAGCTACTTCTCAAAGCAGCACAGATTTACAAACTGAGATGGACTTATGCCAGGCTCCAGAGAAAGATTACAGACCTCTTATCACAGATCCCACTTCACTGTTCTTTGGGAGCATATAGGACAAGGGTCCTAGAACCCTCGAAGAGCACAACCAAGAACACCAACAACATGAGACCTCTCTTAAAACAGCATGGGCAAGAACTTCACTGCAAATAAACCATGAAAACATTCAGACCTCAATACTGGAAATGTAAACTTAATCTACAAAAATATGGAGTATCATTCCTGATGATGATGCTCAGAGCACCATGTGGAGTAACCAGTATAGAAGGTGCAAACACATAAGCTGCAAATTAGCTATCTCCTCTACAGTCACCGTTGCAAAGGGCAACCAGAAATCAGATATTATGTCAGGACACATAAATTCAAAGCAAAGACAGCTCAAGTTTCGGACTGAATTGTACAATCACTGTGCTATTCATTTATTTCACACCAGAGCAGCAATTGTACAAGCAGCAAATCAGACGGAAAAACTTATCCATTAACAAAGTGCCAGGGCCTTCCTCAGTATCAAAGTTGCATCCACTGGGACTTTCAAATGCAATTTTAGGAGCTTAGATCCCATAATTTATAGACGAATGCTAGCTGGAAGAATGCAAGTGATTTTAAGGTGTTATAAGTAAGAATAAGATCTTTGCTCACTATGATAAGGCGAACTTCCATTAGCTTAAGCAAGTCAAATCCCATGACAAGATGATATGCATGCATTCATGAGGATCAGCACACTGGAAAAAAGAGAAAAACAGGCTTATCCAACCAGTAGCTCAAGTGGAATCACGAACTCTCAATCAACTACATGATCAAGAAAATCCGTCCGACGCCTAATTATAACACATATTAGGTGCCTGGCATGCATCCAAACCACCAAATTCACTATCTTTGTGCTACCTCAAACAAAAACATGCTCAATCCAAACCAAGTAGTGAAGTATTGAGGCACAGTTCATATCAAATCCTTCAAGTACCCACCGGTAATATCTCAGAAGGAAACGCAACAGGAAGAACTTGAAAAGAGGCATGTGAAATATACCACCATATAAGCCGGGTATTCACGCAACAATATTTCTCAACCATGATTACATGTAGGAAAAGTGCTCCAGTGGTTTGTTTGCTGCTCTCTCTCTTCATGGATAAGTATGGCGAAGTTGGATCAACCACATTTCCAGCTCCTCAGGCACGGAGACTTCGAACCAGCATCTCATTCAGAATCTGAAGCATGGAGTTAGAATCCTAAGAACAATTTGATTTCCCTACTAATCCTTCCCTGTTACCACCTTTAAATTTTCCTTTATCCTCTGATTTTTTAACAGGAAAAGACACCTTTTTCGTCATCATCGAACTTTCACTCAGCATCAACTTCCTCCGCCTTTGACTTTCCTTATCTATATTCATAAGGTAAATGTACCTAAACCTCATACCCATCAAAGGGTGCTTCACCACCAGGAAATCCTTCGAATAAGCTTCCCTGAGCACAACCGTTTGCGTTCTAATCTTATGTGAAAGATAAAATATACCAGGATGATGAACCAAAGCATGCTTAAATCTCCTTCCAAATCCCAAATACTCTCCCAAAAGCAGCACATTTTCAGTCTCGGTTTTCTTGGACACTAACAACCACAGCAGCTCGTGCAACACTGCCACGGTCCACTTCTCAGCTTGATCTCCATTAGGATTCAAATGGAAGGCATTTTCATATGGGGAAACGTATGGCAGATTTTGCCACTCAAAGACCCAATCTCTCACCTTATTCACCAAATCAAACCCCTTAGGGTAGCTCAACAAGAAACCAATTCGTGCTCCTTTCTTCACATTCCTCAAATCCCCTAAAGCCATTCTTCTTTCCATCTCAGACACAGCCAGTTCATCCTTCCACGAAACCAGCTCCAAACACAACATTTCATCACGAGAATCGCCATTCCTACCCTCCCCAACGACTTGGAAGTAATCAGGGTAATCAGATAGAAGCTGCGAAACGTAATTATGAGGCAAACCCAAATCAAGCTTGAACCTATCAATAATATGCAGTGGCAATCTCATGCTTTTACAGAGCATCAACAGCCTCGCCAACCTCTTCACGGCGTCGTCACGGTGAGCGGAGGAATCGCGAATCACCTGCTCTTCGCAGTGAACCTTGAATGCCAGACGAGTAAGCTTGACACGGAGCGGAAGCGAGGGAGAAGGCTGGAAGACGGAGAAAACGAAAGGGTACCTCTTGAGAAAGCGAAAAGCAGCCATGGGAAGATTGAATTCGGGTTTGAGAAGGGAAATAGAGGACAGCGGGAGGGACTTTGAAGGAGAGGCGAGGATGTGGTTTTTCAGGGAGATGACTTGCTTCAAATCCTTCTCCTTGGAAACTGCTGCGTCGAGGGATGGGTCGGGAACCCATTTGATCCTTACGGCGATGAATGTGCGACAGTGGCGGATGCCGCTGGGAAGCCTGGCTGTGTTGCAGACACCAAGAGCCATTGAACGTGCGTAACAGATTTGCAGCACCCTCTCGCTTTCCCTCGCCGTCGCCGGCCGCAGCTACTATTTGCTAATTGATGGTGGCGATTTACAAATTCAAAAGATGTAAATAAAACGATGAAATAAGAGCACATCAGCCGTCTTAGCTCAGCCGGTAGAGCGCGTGGCTTTTAACCACGTGGTCGTGGGTTCGATTCCCACAGACGGCGGTTTAACTTTTTCAACGACACCGTTTCAATATTTAATGACACCGCCAAATTATAATTTTTTTGCTCCAAATTGTGGATTCTTTATTAATTAGAGATAAATAGTAATCTATTCAACGACACCGTTTCAATATTTAATGACACCGCCAAATTATAATTTTTTTGCTCCAAATTGTGGATTCTTTATTAATTAGAGATAAATAGTAATCTATTTAGATTTTAGCATTAATTATGCGCTCTGTAGTCAAATGCAGCAAAATCCAAGACGCCGAACAAAACTCTGAACAGCTTGGAGAGACGACGACACCACCGGGTAGCAATGGAAGCAGACGCAGCAAGGATCAGAGTCCGACGCACTTATTTCCCCAACTTCTGATTGGACTCCCGTCTCTCTCATTTTCGCAGAAAGCGCGCCGCCATGGATGGTTGTACAGCAGCTCAATCCGTCTCCGGTTCTCCATACGAGCTCCTCTTCAGAGCTCTGTCTCTAATCCCCGCCGCTCACTACGCGGCTTTCCTTCTAGCTCTCGGACTGGTCTTCCTCTACAGTTTTCTCGAAATTCATTTCCTCCGCGATTTGGTCACTGGCTTCCGAGGAGATCCCGTCAAGTTGACTTACAATGCTTCGTCGGAGGTCTACCGGTCCGTTGCTTCCAAGTGCCAGGTCCTCCGCGGCAGGTTGACGGAGCTTTCCGATTTCTTGCGTGCTTTGTGATTGCTCCTAATTTTGTGATTTTGTTGAAGCTGAATTGATCTGTGCGATGTTTTTTTTGCTTGTTCAGGTATTTACCTACTCCATGGTTGAGTAGTCCTCACCTCCAAACCGCATTCTTGAGTTTCTTTGGCAATCCTCCTCGTTTCACTTATAAAAGGTTACTATATACACAGTTCATTTGATTCGTCTTAAACCGATCTTAAACTTCAATGCTATATAATTTTGATGAAAATCGTTAATGTCCACAGGTTCATACAATGATTCAAATTTACTAGTAAAAATGCATAGATCTCTAGGTTTAGGTTAATAACTTACATTAGGAATACGAATGTTAAAATTGTATACTTTTGCTTCCAGTTTCTGATGCTTTATTGTTCGTGTGATGATGATGGTGTTCAGGGTGCTATTCTATACAAGTGATGGCGGGACAATTGCTTTGGACTGGTTATTGCACTCTGATGGTCAGTCTTCATTGTGTCTCTGACATCTGATGCATGTTTCTCATGAATGCTATTTGCCCTTGTATGATTTCCCTCTGGCTTCATAAATGATATGCTTGTTTTAACAGTCAATCGGGGTGATGGTGACTGCTTGAGTAGTCATACTTTCCTGCAGAAAAATGATGCAGCTCCTATTGTGATTGTTATTCCTGGGTTAACAAGTGATTCCACTGCTCCTGTGAGTTGCCTTTGATACCGTAACTATTGTTGTTTGTCGGATTTCAATTTCTGCACTGTTCCTTCTTTACTGTTTTTGCTCTGTAATGTGTCCTCAACGTGTGATCTTTCAGTTAACTATGATATCCTGAACATTAAGCTGAGATCAGTACATACATAGACTATTATGCTATCGTCTTATGTCGGCTTTGTTTAATGTTTGAAAATAGTCAATTTGTTTGTCTTCTTAGATCTTGATGCATAGGGATAGAGATTCTAAAGCATTGATGAAACTTTCTCAAGAATCTTAACAGTAGTTCGGATTCAGTACCATCCTGGTACGTAAGGATGGTGTTTAATGTTAAACCGTCTCTTAAGAGTTCCTGTAAAGTTCAATCTCGTTTCAAAGTTTCTTTATTGGTAGGTTATACTCTGGTTTATACTTGTCTCGATACTTTATAAATCTGCTCTCGAACTTCTGTCAGCATCTTGATTCTTGTTTCTGATGTTTTTTTTTTTTTGGATGCACAATTGAAATGTCTGTGTAACAGTATGTAAAGCACCTTGTTTTCAAGATGGCAAGACAAGGGTGGAATGTTGTTGTAAGCAATCACCGTGGACTAGGAGGTGTACAAATAACTGTGAGTACAAGATCTCATAACTGTGAGTACAAGAGATTCTCTTGTCATCGTTACCTGTGGGAACTCTTGTCCTACACTGTTGCCTGACTAGATATTTTTTCATTCACAAATGTGTATGGTCAGTCTGACTGCTTCTACAATGCTGGGTGGACGGAGGATGCTAGGAGAGTCATTGACCATATCCATCAAGAATATCCTGAGACTCCTCTATATGTTGTTGGAACTAGTATTGGTGCCAATATCCTGGTAAATGGATGATGCCTCTACTCCTTTCCATTTCCCAGTGTTAACTCTTGAAGCAACTCGTAGCATCATCATTTTTCCTATTTCATAGAATAGCATCTTATTTCGTAACAATGTGCATGATGGACTTTTAAAACTCTTAAGTAGATGGATGGTCTCTTACTCTTACAGGTAAAGTATCTAGGGGAGGACACAGTTAATGTTCCTATCGTAGGTGCTGCAGCTATCTGCTCTCCTTGGGATCTTGCGGTTAGTTCTTTTCCTCCATTTCTGCTCTGAAATCTAAATTGGGTAGGATTCAGTAGCTTACACCTTACATGCCCTGTACAGATACATTATATTATATCTGATACCTTGTTTTAGATGTGTGACAGGTTTTTCAGACGCAGATTTGTTCAGAAACTATATGATAAGGTTCTCACCTCTGGCCTTGTAGGTTATGCCAAACTGTATGTCACTACTTTGTCTGGTCCTTTTATGTAAGAATTTTCCTGACAGACCAAGAATTAGTGAATGCAGATTGCCTAGTTACTTAATACTCTTTCACTGCAGGCATCAAACTATCTTGTCTCGTCTTATAGACTGGGATGGACTTAACAAGGTATTTTAGATTCGTTATTCTTGATTCAATTCTTTCAATTTTGCACTTGCTTGAGACAAGAATGATGACGGGATTGAAGTTTCTGATCACCGTGGTGGTGAAGAAATAGTAGATTTCATATGTACTCATTTCTAGCGGTGGGATTTACGTTTGATATTCACTTTGACAGTCACGTTCTGTTCGGGAATTCGATCACTGTGCCACCCGTATTCTTGCTAAATATGAGGTAAAAACTTATCTCAAGTTATGTCTTCGCATCCTTGATTGAGCTGTCTGATACCCATTCTTCCTATCAACAGAAGTAAACACTTGAGTTTTTTTCTGCAGACTGTAGACACCTTCTACAGGCGTTCTAGCGCTGTTAACTTTGTAGGAAATGTAGCAGTACCTCTTCTGTGCATCAGTGCGTTGGATGACCCAGTTTGTACAAGGGAATCTATTCCATGGGATGAATGCAGGCATGCTTTCTACTCGTTTCATGTTTGTGACGTTGACAGAATCATTTTGTTCAGTATCTGAGCTCTGAGTCTTTATAGGATGAATCCAAATATTGTCTTGGCTGCCACGAAGCATGGAGGGCACCTGGGTTATTTTGAAGGAATTGCTGCCGGTACCATGTGGTAATTTTTATTTCATCTGTATCCTTCCATTTTACCATTATACCTTTCCATCCATGGATGCTGTACATAAAGTTGGTCTGTTATGGAGACAAGCCACTCTCATTGTTGCATCTTCTCATCCGTTGTTGCATTTATGAAATTGCAAGGTGGGTGAGAGCTGTCAGCGAATTCCTCGAGGTGCTGCATTCTAGTCCGTTAAAGAACACACCAAGACAGGTATTACAATCCGAAGTCTTCAACATTGCTGTTTTCACGTGCTGTCTCTTTTCTTAGTAGAAACCGCCATAGCATTTTTTCATGTTTGTATAGCAGATGACTGATGTGTGCTTCTAAGAGTTCTAAGGCATAACGCACATTTTCTTGCACTGAAGGTGGTGGGAACATGTAGCACGACCACTCCATTGGAATCGAAAATCGATCAAGGGCCTTATGTCAACCTAATGGAAGATGGAACTGTAACTGCAGCTGGCGATATCCAGAAAGACAATCATGCAACAGCAGCAGCAGCAGACACAAGCAACAGAGGCCATACTGTCGAAGAGAATGGAGAGACCATCGCCGAGGAAGAAGAAGCCAGCAACGACGTCGTGGAGACCAAGAAAATGGATCCTGCTGTCAAAGAGAATGGAGAGACAATCGCCGAGGAGGAAGAAACCAGCAACGACGTCGTGGAGACCAAGAAAATGGATCCTGCTGAAGACAATCCCGACGAAAAGAAGCTTAATGATCTGGTTTCCCCCATGAAGGGACACATAACTCGACTCGCACGGCATAGCAAGACATTCATCTGGCTTCTTGCTTACGTTGCCATGGTGACAACTTGGCCAGTGGTGGGTTCTGGCCTCCTTTTGTTCCTCAAGAAGAAGTTTGGTAGCAGCTTCATTCCGCCAATTCTGAGAAAATAATGCGTGTAATTTGGTGTATAAACTATAAAGGGCATAATCTGCCATGGAATAAAAGCAAAGAATGAACGAGGGTAATAAGGTCGCCTAAGATAATAATTATTATTATTATTATTCCTAATCCGCGGTTGCAATCCTTAGTACGTAACCGTTAATCCAACCGTTCACGTATTTTTGTCGAACCTGAACCCAAAATTCGGGGTGAAATTTGAAAATTACAAACTGTAACAACTCCCCACAATTGGATCTAATATTGGACTAGGAGCTTACTGTTAGTGTTGTGGAACAATTGAACGGGAGTTACCATGTCATAATTTGGAAGAGGTTCAATATACCACAACACTAACACTTACTAGTTTCGTCCTAGCTCATATACCACAACACTAACACTTACTAGTTTCGTCCTAGCTAATGATTTATTGCGATATCAATATATACATTATAACTTTAGATAAAAATAATTAAAGAGTGATTGTAGCCCCTTTTTTAACTACACATGTGGATATTAAAGATACCTCCAAAATGTAAAAGTAAAATAGATAAGCTAGTTGCATGTTGACATTATCATTTATTTGTAAAATTAAAATACCTCCTTAATGTAAAATTAAAATAGATAAGCTAGTTGCATGTTGACATTGTCTTTCATAAAATAATAAAAAATGTTGACATTGTCATGTTTGTAAAATTAAAGGTTATAGTGTTGTTTTATTGCTGAGTTATTGATTACCAACTTATATTTTTACACTATGTTGTATCATTGATGTCTATGAATATTCCTTTGTAATCGGGACACATGGTGAATGAATTAAGATTATGATCGATTATATATTAGAATATGAATTTCTGATCGATACGCATCATGATTTCAATATATGTTATGTTAATTGAATTTTTTTTATAATTTGTATTTTTTTCATAGAACCAAATCACCATAGTTGCGATTAACCACAAAATGCTACCGTGGAATTTGTGATTAGCATATTTGAGATTTACTGTTAGCGTTAATTGCAAAAAAATGTGGTGCGATTAACCACAATCGCCCTAATTTCAGCCCTAAACAACAATGTGTACGGTAAACAATCTTTTGGGGGAGCACTCTCTCAACTCTCTCTGTCGTGGAGAGTGGGATCGTGTTGTTCGCCGCCGTGCGACTTGCCGTAACTGGCCGATCCGCCATCGTGCCCCGCCGGAATCGGCCTGTGGCACTGATGGGGGCTTTAAAACCCCTTCGGTGGGTGGTGCGATTTCATTCGCTACACAAGTTTCCATCTTCCTCGTGCTTCCTCTTCTTTGCACAATCGACAAACCCTAATCCCGCTTCGACCGGTATGGCTGCTGTCAATCCAGTGCTGTTTGGAGATGATGATGTCGTTGCAGGGGTTGAGAGAAGTGATCTCTCGCTTCTGGGAAGAATCATTGGGCCCTCTCCCCCCCTTCGCCATCTTCAGACCACTCTTGGTCGTCTTTGGAAGTGCCTCGGAACAATCTCAATTCTCCCGGCTCCGGAAGGGCTGCTCCAATTTGTATTTCCGTCGGATGCTGTGATGAATGGGGTTCTGAGTGAGGCACCTTGGTTTCTTCCTAAATTCCTTGTGAATCTGGCTCCATGGGTGTCGGTTACCCCTGAAGTGGCGGAACAACTCTGGCGAGTTCCGCTTCAACTCCAGTTCTGGGATGTTCCTCCACCATGCTGTACTCGGCGAGTTGGGACTTTGCTAGGCCTCGCCCTCGGCAAGAGTGATCCCGCGACGGTTCACAGGGAGGTAGTGACTGGGGAACTATACCTCCATGCCAAAGTATGGATTGATGCTCGGTCCCCGCTCCCAGTGTCCGTGCCTGCTTCACATGAGAAAACTGGCAAAGGAAACTTCACGGCAATTGTGAAGTACAAAAGGCTCTCTCAGTTCTGCTATCTGTGTGGCATCCTTGGCCATATTGGCCAACGATGTCCTCGACGAGAGGAACTCGCTGGGACGGTAACCTCGTATAGTAAAGATCTGGTGTCGAAGAGATCGGGCCCAAATGTGAATGAGCGCTCGCTGCTTAGTCGTAAACAATTCACTTGGGTACGGCAACGTCAGGACGGGGGCGAGAAGAACCTGGTGCATCCTAGTCGTGATCTCTCGTTGACATTACCACAGGACATGGCTTCTGCTTCTCCTGTTTTGGGGGCTGGCCATCTGCTCCTGCTGGCTGGATCGTCATCGACCGAGCCAGGGGTGAAAACTGCTCCATTGATTCGTGCAAGAAGTCTGTTGGATGGTGCGTTGGACCTGTCCCTGGCGTCCAAGAAAGCTCGTGTTGATTTGCCGGATGACTCTGGTGATAAAATGGATGATTCTGTGGTGGAGGCAACCAGCCCAAACTGGTCCCAGCAGCCGCGATGAGCATGGTGGTGTGGAATTGTCGGGGCCTGGGGTCTCCCCTGACAATTCCCTCATTGTTTGGGGCCGTTTGTCGCTTTTCTCCGTCGATTGTCTTTCTTAGTGAGACCAAGCATGATGATGACTTTGTACATAAGAAGCTTAGGCGTCTAGGGTATCAGTTTACTCATTGTATTTCCCTTATTGGTAGAGCAGGAGGCTTAGCTCTTGCGTGTTCATCTTCGGTTAGTTGTCGAGTCTTAGAGGAAGCTGGATTCTTCATGTTTGTAGAGAGCCAGCACGTAGTTTGGGGCACCTTGGGGTTCCTATTTGTCCACCTCCACTGTGATGTAAATATTCGTCTTTCTCAATTTAATGAATTATCGCATTTGTGTTCGTCTTACTCCTTGCCTAAGATTGTTGTAGGTGACTTTAATTGCCTCCTTCAATCATCAGAGAAGCTTGGGGGCAGACCTCCTAACTTTCAGGCCATGGAACACTTCCGTGATTTCATCGATGCGGCAGGACTGCTGGACGTGGGATTTAAGGGTCCACCCTTCACTTGGTCTAACCGCCAAGGGATGGCTACTCATATTCTCGAACGGCTAGACAGAGGCTTGGTTTCCCCTAATCTGTTGTCTTTGTGGCCAAATTTGCAGGTCACTCACCTCTCTGACTTAGGATCGGATCACCGAATCCTTCTATTCCAACTTACTCCAACAGCGGGAAAGGGCAAGCCAAGATTCCACTTCGATCTTCGCTGGGCTGGTAATAGTGATGCTCGGGAGATTGTAGCTCAAGTGTGGCAGCTCAGTTTCACGGGGACACTCCAGTTTCAGCTGTTCTCCTTATGTAAAGAGGTCCGCCATCAATTTGTTCAATGGGCAAGGCTTGGCTCTACAAACTCAGCGCGGCAAATCAGAGAGCTGCGGGAAGCAATCCACTCTGAACGTGACAACCTGCCGACGGATTGGGATGTCATCAAAGGGTTGGAATCCCAACTCTCTGCTGCCTATTTACAAGAAGAGGCCTATTGGAAGCAAAAATCTCGGACAACCTGGTTGCAAAAGGGGGATTCCAACACCAATTATTTTCATATCACTACCACTCAGCGCCGCCGACATAATTTGATTGAGGTTCTTCGTGATGACTCTGGCACCCCCCATTTCGATGAGAGTGCAAAGGGGACTGTTTCTGTGGGGTTCTTCCAGAACCTATTCCTTTCAAATGGGACTTCACCAAGCTTCCTTGTGCATGCACTGGGCCTTCAACACAAGGTCACTTCTAGCCAAAACAACTTCCTATCAGCTCCTGTGACCCGTGAGGAAATCAGAGCGGCTGCTTTCAGTATAGGAAAGGGACAAGCGCCGGGTTCCGATGGCCTGACCGGGGGATTCTTTCAGGCCTATTGGGACATCGTGGGAGAATCGGTTTGCAGGGCAGCCCTCTCCTTCTTCAGAACGGGACGACTACTGCAGAACTTCAGTCACACTATCATCACTTTGATACCGAAGGTGGCAAATGCAGAATTTATGCGCCAGATGCGACCCATTAGCCTCTGCCAGGTGTTCTACAAGATTATCTCCAAAGTTCTTACTTCTCGCCTTGCTGTGGTTCTTCCCTTTGTGATCTCTGATACCCAGAACGGTTTCATCAAAGGTCGAGATATATCTGACAACATTCTTATAGCCCAAGAAGTGATGCAATTTTTAAAAACGAAGACACAGGGACGGGACAGATGGATGGCCTTAAAGCTCGACATGGAGAAAGCGTACGACCGGGTTGAATGGGGTTTCCTTTTCGCAGTCATGGAAGCTTTGGGGTTTAACGATCATTGGATGAAATGGATTAAAGCCTGTGTCACTTCAGTCTCATTCACAGTCCTCCTCAATGGTAATGAGCATGGGTACTTTCGGCCCCAACGTGGTCTTCGGCAAGGCGATCCCCTTTCGCCTCTACTGTTTGCTATCTACACTGAGGCCTTCTCGGCTATTCTCCTTAATGCTCTGGGCTCTCAACAGCTGCATGGCCTAAAGATTCACCGATTGGCTCCTACGCTTTCACACCTTTTCTTCGCCGATGACACTTATCTGTTCTTGCGGGCAACTTCATCGGAATGCCATAATCTGCTGCATTTGCTACATCAGTATGAAGAATTTAGTGGGCAGCGGATAAACCTGCAGAAGTCTTCGGTTTGTTTCAGCTCGAACACGTCCGAGCAAGATTCAGTGGCCCTGGCGGAATTACTTGGGATCGCTTCCATTGGCTCTATGGAGAAATACTTGGGTTTACCGGCTCAAAGCTGGCGTTCGAAGTCCCTCTCATTAGCTGCTAAGGAGGTTGTAATCAAAGCTGTAGGTTCGGCGACTCCGGTGTATGCTATGTTCTCCTTCCGAATCCCTTCTACCTCTTGCCGTCGATTGAATAGTCAATTGAGTCGGTATTGGTGGGCTGGTCAGGATAAAGACAGGGGAATGCACTGGATTTCATGGCCAGTAGTTTGTGTAAGCAAGTTTCATGGAGGGTTGGGGTTCCGAGATTTCGATCTGTTTAATGTAGCCATGCTCGCGAAGCAGGCTTGGAAAATCTTGCAGGACCCAAATTCTCTCCTTGCTCGCCTCTACAAAGCTCGTTACCATCCTTCTTCGGACTTCCTCAGCGCTCCGGCAGGTTGTCGGCCCTCGTGGGCTTGGCAGGGAGTTTTAGAAGGGCGGGGGCTTCTTAAGAGAGGTTTGCGGTGGCAGGTAGGGTGTGGAACTGCTATCCGCATCCTCGAAGACCCGTGGCTGCCTTCTTCACCTCCGTCCGTGCCTCTGCTGCTGCCTGGGATTATTTTGGAGAATCAGTTCGTCGCATCCCTTATCCATCCTCTCACCCGAACTTGGAATGGCGAGCTGCTTCGTGCTTCGTTTACTGCAGAAAGTGTCCAATGGATCCTTTCTATTCCTTTGCCATCCTCTCCTCGGCCAGACAAGCTTATTTGGCATTACTCGGCGACTGGGCAATATACTGTAAAGACTGGCTACCAGCTGCTCTCATCTGCCCGCCATCTTGAGTTTGATCCCCTGCCTCCATTTCTAACTTCTCAGTTCTGGAAAGTTTTATGGAACTTGCCGATTCCTCCTAAACTCAAAGTTTTCCTGTGGCGTGTAGTTCGCGGATTCCTCCCAATGCGCCAGATACTACAAGGGAAGTCTTTAAGTGACACCAGCACTTGTCCTGTTTGTTCAGCTGCCGTGGAAACCATTTCTCACTGCTTCTTTGATTGCAGGGTCGCTCGAGGGATATGGACACTAGCTGGGAAGGAACACGTCCGTGCAGCCATGGCTGTTGTTAGTAATGATATGGCGTGGTATAATCTGTTTTTCAATATGCAGCTTTCCAAAGTTGACATGGCAGAAGTTGTTTTCCTTGTCTGGAGGGTATGGAAAGGGAGATGCTGGACCACATACGACAATATTCAATACTTGCCTGGGCCACTGTTCCGCCAATTCACAATCCAGGTTGCGGAGTGGAAGGAAGCGACGGCTGGTTCCAGCGCCCAGCCCCCTTCATTGCGAGTTCCTCGCTGCACAGCCCCCTCGCCTAATTGTCCACCAGGTGGTCTCCTCATCCGTTTTGATGGGGCGACAAAAAAAGGCGTAGGTGGAAGCATTGGGTTTGTAGGTTTCAATGGAGATCGGGCGGTAGTATGTGCCTACGGTAAGTACTATGAAGGTATCTCAGACCCGTTTTTGCTTGAACTATTGGCCTTACGGGATGCAATGGTTTGGAGCTTACACTGTGGCTACTCTTCTGTTTGCTTTTGTGGGGACTCGCAATTGGTCGTACGACGAGCGATGGAGGATGATGTCTACCATGATCTTGGTGGTGCTGTACTCGAAGAAGTGCGCGTCCTGAAGGCCTCGTTTGCTTTTGTTTCTGTCGTTTTTGCTCCTCGTAGTACTAACAGGGCTGCCCATCGCGTGGCACGAACGGCCCTTGCATCGGTAGCGACCCGGTTGGTCGACTACCGCATTTATATTTCCACTGCACTGTAATGAACTATCTATTACGAACTATCTATGACAAAAAAAAACAATCTTTTGGGGGATGGATTCATAGGTTTGCTGATAAAAAAGCCCAGCCCGTTGGCAAAAGATGAGTCCATAGCTATAGACAACAATAAGGCCCAATGTCTAAAAGTTAGCAGGCCGCTCCGAGTAATGACCCAAAAAAGGCGTCGAAAGCCCTAAACCGCGCAAGCCAGTTTAATTGAACGGCTACGATCAACTTATACAATCCCTCCCTGACATCGCAACCGTCAAATCTCTTGATAAAGGCAGTGTAAGAGCCCTAGTTTAAAACCCTCTTCTACGGAAGCTGTTGTAGCTGATAGCCGCTGTGCTTCTGGAGCTGGTCCTTTCGTATCCAGGTAAACTCGTCGTCCATAGATGCTTCAGTTCATCACACTTCAGCTAGAACTCTTCTAGATCTTCCATTGGAGGCCAGCTTGTCAAACTGGCGTTGTTGGAATGAATATATAATTCTTCTTTGTAGTTAGATCGATTTGGGCATCCTGAAATGGCTGTTAGGAGAAAAAAATTGATATCGGCTCTTGGCATGGCGATTAGGACAGTTAATTAGTTTACTGCTGTATAATTTCAAGTCTTATAATCTTGTGATAGATTTAAATTGGCTGAGTTGAATGTTGCGCTGAGATGTTTTTGGGTTGTTTTTGGGATTGCAGAGGAGTTGAAGGATGTCTCACCGTAAGTTTGAGCACCCCCGGCATGGTTCCTTGGGATTTCTCCCCAGGAAGAGGGCTGCCCGCCATAGGGGAAGAGGTTTGTGATTTCCTTTTTCGTTTGCTGGTTCTTAAGTTGATTTCTGGTTGTTGTCTCTTTTTGATTTTACGGTTTATTTATTTGATGCATATGACGCTTTGTAGGCTTGAATTCTTCCATACTGTTTAGTTTCATTGTATTGCTTGTTCCGTTACCCTTTACACTACCATCAGCTCTTTCTCTTGCCTATTGGTTGTTGTATCACTTCAAAATGTTCAGTGTGGAATTTGGTTTTGGTGGTCGAGTTTAAACCTTAATATGATTTGTGTTTGAGCTTGCATAATAGCTGTTTGATCTGCTATGGCCTTTGATTGTTGTTTACAGTGAAGGCTTTCCCCAAGGATGATACATCAAAGGAACCCAGACTGACTGCTTTCTTGGGTTACAAGGCTGGAATGACCCATATTGTCAGGGAGGTCGAGAAGCCAGGGTCGAGTGAGTATCCTTGTTGTCTTTGTGGTTCTCGGTATCTTCATATTCATATGTTTTTCAAGATCGGTCTGGAATTATGTAGCTGATTGTTCTTTGAAATCCTTTGTGGTATTCAGAGCTTCACAAGAAGGAGACCTGTGAAGCCGTCACAATTATTGAAACACCACCCTTGGTCGTTGTTGGAGTTGTTGGCTACATCAAGACACCTAGTGGCCTGCGCTCTTTGAACACTGTCTGGGCCCAGCATTTGAGTGAGGATGTGAAGAGAAGGTTCTACAAGAACTGGGCAAAGTCAAAGAAGAAGGCTTTCACCAAGTACTCCAAGAAGTTCGAGTCTGATGAAGGCAAGAAGGATGTTACTTCCCAGCTGGAGAAGATGAAGAAGTATGCAACTATCATCCGTGTCCTGGCTCACACTCAGGTAACACACATTTCTTGGTCTTTTACTTCAATTATTATTAGGCATTGTCTCTCTTCTACATGGTTTTTTACATGGGTGCTGTTTGTTCGGCTCTGTAGATTAGGAAGATGAAGGGACTGAAGCAGAAGAAGGCTCATTTGATGGAGATCCAGGTCAACGGTGGAGACATCGCCAAGAAAGTGGACTTTGCCTACAGCTTCTTTGAGAAGCAGATTCCAATTGATTCCGTCTTCCAGAAGGATGAGATGATCGACATCATTGGTGTGACCAAGGGTAAGGGTTATGAAGGTGTTGTCACTCGTTGGGGTGTCACCCGTCTCCCCCGAAAGACCCATCGTGGTCTTAGGAAGGTCGCTTGTATTGGGGCATGGCATCCTGCCAGGGTCTCCTACACTGTGGCCAGGGCTGGACAGAATGGTTACCATCACCGTACTGAGATGAACAAGAAGATCTACAAGCTTGGAAAGTCTGGCCTGGATTCTCACTCTGCCATGACTGATTATGACAGGTAACCTTTATCTTGGTCACTAATCATCATTATTAGTAGAGAGATTAGTTCTGTTTCTTCTTCTATGTGCTAATGATGACTCTTGTCTTGCCTATGATGAATTAACAGGACCGAGAAGGACATCACACCTATTGGAGGATTCCCTCACTACGGTATTGTGAAGGAAGATTACATTATGATCAAGGGTTGCTGTGTTGGTCCCAAGAAGCGTGTGGTGACCTTGAGGCAGTCTCTGTTGAAGCAGACTTCCCGAACTGCTACAGAGCAGGTGAACCTCAAGTTCATCGACACTTCGTCCAAGTTTGGGCATGGACGATTCCAGACCACTCAGGAGAAGCTCAAGCACTATGGTCGCCTCAAGGCTTAGATTGCACAAGTCGAGTCGTGTTTGCCCTTCATGGCTATTATTTTCCTAGTTATCTCTGGCAGTTGCTGGAATTCTTTCTGTTTTTGCACCTGTTTTGTCGCTGGATGTTCTTAGCTATAAATTTTGAGATATGACTTTGGATTTGAGTCGCAGTTTGGACATCTTAATTAGATGTTGATGGTTTGCTGTTAAAGTTTCGTTGCCCAAGTCGCCTTTTAATGGCTATTTGCTAGGAAATTGCTTGATCTAAACTAGATGCTCCATCAGTTAAACTAACCTAATTTATACGTTATCAGAAAGAAACACTTACAATAGTCGGCAAATGGTCTCCGAACAGATGAAGATCGGTCAGAACCAAGGTTGTCAACCCACAGGTTGACACGGACCCAATTGAACTAGTGAGTTAAGAGTTAATGGGTCACCCGGTTTAGTCCACAAATATGAAAAGAGTCATTATATTATACTTATCTTGAAAAATTATATCAAATCTCATCTAAAATATGAGTTATAACATATAATATTACACCAAAACAAAATAACATATCGTACTTAGATTCAACATATAGTGAAAATTCACACACTTATATAACATCAATATTCAAATGTTCAACTTAAGATTCCAAATATTGAGTTAGGCCGGAAAAATATCGGAAAATATGCGCATTTCGCAAATCAAAGAAAAAAATGACACAATTTGACATCCAACCTGGTACCTTGTAGCGGTCGACCCGGCGGGTGCTTGCGGCTCGTTTTCTCATCGGGCCAGGGTCAAAGTGGGTCGACCCACGGATTGACAACCTTGGTCGGAACTAAGAACCCCGCATACATTTCAATTTTGAAAGTACTAAAGCTATTCCTCTTCCTCACCAGAATATTGAGGATAGACTGATCTGGCACGCTACAAACGATGGGGTATTCACTGTTAAGTCAGCCTATCACTTTGCTGTCATGTTGGATAAACGGAAGGGCCATTGGAAATCCATGGTTAGTTGGATGGATAGGGCTAGTTGAATCTGTTTGTTGGATGTTGATATCCAACCCAAATTAAAATTTCAAGACAATAAACCAAATAAAAAAATATCAAAATGCATAGAAATTGTTGGCTGGACATTCATTATAAGTAAATGAATCTATAATATATTATTCTTCTAAAATTTATAAAATAAAATAAAAAACAGATTGAACCATTGCCTTATTAAATGTACGTCTAGATTTTTAGGTAAATAATGCATTACGTTAGCGTGCCCATGATAGAAAACATGACAAAATTATAATTATATCACAAATATGTGTATATGACATACATATATTTAGGATACGAACACTTAGATCAATAATTTTAACATGATTGGGCCGAGTATCTACGAATTGCGTAACCCAAAACCAGCATCTACTTCAAAAGAAGTTAGTTCCATAAAAAAAAAATCGCTCAATCTTAAACTTTAAATTTATCGATAAATATAGGTGAATTGTGTCAGGTTAAACGAATGGGTTAGGTTATGATTTTTTTTTTTTGCCATTCAAAACCCCAGAAGCGGGGAATGAAAAAGATACATTATCTGAAAAAGATCCAAAAGGATCATTACATACATCGTAACCAAGAGACGAAGTCGAACCCCTTAAACATACAGGGCGACATGAACAGGGCATGACGAGCCACAGAGTGAGCTTCCCTGTTGTTAGAACGATCAATGAACCTAAGCGAGTAATCTGGTAAATCATCTAGCAAGCAACATATTTCCTTCAGAAGAATACCAACTTTGGAATGGGTTAGGTTATGATTACTTTTGTAAGTTTGTTCACCCGCCTTAGTTGAATGGGCTGGAGATCGCTGGGCCTCATTTCACACAACCTATTTCAGTATCTCGGACAGCCCAGCCGTCAACTAGTTGTAAGGCCGAAATCAAAACTTAACCCTAAATCTGAAAAGATCCATCCAACGGACGACGTAAGACGACCTCGAAGACAAATCTTGATCGCGGCCGTCGAATCTCGTCCTCCACCACTTTAAAATCGACCAGAGCTCTGCTAACTCAGCTCTGTATTGTGTGGTGGCTGCTGCGGCGTCTTTGCTCTGGTTCTCGAGGAACATCTGACGGTTCTCTCCTTCAACTCGATTTTCTTTCTGCTTTCTGTTCAGGTAATATCGTCTTGCTCTTGGTTAGAGGAGAATCGTGAAACGTGGAAAAGCTTTGTATCTGTTCGATAATAGGCTGCACTAGGTTATACAGCTTCAATGGTGATGAAATTGGCATCCGTTAGTTTTGGTTTTCATGGTGTTTTTTTCTTCCTTTTGAACAATCGGTTTTAATACTGCATCCTTGTTATCGTGAATATCGTGATGGCTCTGCTCAGTAGCTTGCTGTGATTTGGAATGAATTTCCCTCTCTGTTAACATCTAATCAGGGCTGGAGTCTCGGAAATGGCTCTCTTTATCGAATACTCTTAATTGGGTATTCGGGAAGAAATACATAACGAGCCTGGGAGAATTGGCACAAGCGATTGTGCCATAGGCCTGTGGTTTTGAGGGAAACGTTTTTCTTCACTTTTTAGCTGGGCTGAGTGGATATCATCACGTATTTACAGTGCTGGATTGCATCTTTTATGTGATTGTTTTGGTTCATATGTGAAATCCGAAAGGTGCTCTCTGCCTATCCTTCGTGAAAGTCAAAACGTTTTTGTCAAAGAATTACACTTGCAATGATGGGCACAGTTCAATTTCCTATGTTGAATGCTTCATTGTTGCATCTGTCTGTAGTTTTATCGATATTTTCGTTGATGTGTTTTTGTATTGTGAGCTTATGGTTATTTGTTTCATACAGTGAATTATCGCTGAAATCGCACAATGTCCCATCGCAAGTTTGAGCATCCAAGGCATGGTTCCTTGGGATTCCTTCCCAGGAAGAGAGCTGCAAGGCACCGCGGAAGAGGTTGTTAATTTTGTAACTTTGCTAGTATTCTCATCAGTACTATCTGACAGCATCGCTAAAGATTATATATCGCTAGTCATGAGGATGCCAGTATATACACTTGTGTGTCAAATATTGAATCCTCATCATTAATGTTGCAAGCTTAGATATTTAGATAGCATGTTCTTGGTGGGGGGGTCTTTGTTTTATTTAGGTTCTCTTCTGTTTCGAGAACTGGTTTTTCATGGTTGATAAATTGTTTGATATCCTTCTTTCAATGTTGGATGCAAACAGTGAAGGCTTTCCCCAAGGATGACCCATCAAAAGAACCCAGACTGACTGCTTTCTTGGGTTACAAGGCTGGAATGACCCATATTGTCAGAGAGGTTGAGAAGCCAGGGTCGAGTGAGTTCTCTCTTGCTTTCTGCTCCTCAGTATTTCCGTAACGATGTGTTGTTGACTTTCTTTTATGACCCGTTTGTTGATTGTTTTCCAACTTTTTCTTGGCATTCAGAGCTTCACAAAAAGGAGACCTGCGAAGCTGTTACCATAATTGAAACACCACCACTGGTTGTTGTTGGAGTTGTGGGCTACATCAAGACACCCAGTGGCCTCCGGTCTCTGAACACTGTCTGGGCTCAGCATCTGAGCGAGGATGTCAAAAGAAGGTTCTACAAGAACTGGGCTAAGTCAAAGAAGAAGGCTTTCACTAAGTACTCCAAGAAGTTCGAGTCCGATGAAGGGAAGAAGGATGTTACATCCCAGCTGGAGAAGATGAAGAAGTATGCCACTACCATTCGTGTGCTGGCTCACACTCAGGTACACGCACATTTCTTGTATTTTACTTACAATTATTAGGCAAAGCTCGTATTCTGTTCTATACTTTCATTATTAACATGGGTGTTGTGTATTTGACTCTGTAGATTAGGAAGATGAAGGGATTGAAGCAGAAGAAGGCCCATTTGATGGAGATCCAGGTCAATGGTGGAGACATTTCCAAGAAGGTGGACTTTGCCTACAGCTTCTTTGAGAAGCAGATTCCAATTGATTCCGTCTTCCAGAAGGATGAGATGATCGACATCATTGGTGTAACCAAGGGTAAGGGTTATGAAGGTGTTGTCACTCGTTGGGGTGTCACCCGTCTCCCCCGAAAGACCCATCGTGGTCTTCGCAAGGTTGCCTGTATTGGAGCATGGCATCCTGCTAGGGTCTCCTACACTGTGGCTAGAGCTGGACAAAATGGTTACCATCATCGTACTGAGATGAACAAGAAGATCTACAAGCTTGGGAAGTCTGGCCAGGATTCTCACTCTGCCATGACTGATTATGACAGGTTCGCTTTAGTATGCAGCTCTAGTAACACCATTGTTTAGATACGAAATCTGTCTTCCACGTGCTAATGATGACTGTGTCTTGCTGCTGCCTGCTGCTGGTGAATAACAGGACTGAGAAGGATATCACACCTATTGGAGGGTTCCCCCACTATGGTATAGTGAAGGAGGATTACATCATGATCAAGGGCTGCTGTGTCGGTCCCAAGAAGCGTGTGGTGACATTGAGGCAGTCTCTGTTGAAGCAGACTTCCAGAACTGCAACGGAGCAGGTGAATCTCAAGTTCATCGACACTTCTTCCAAGTTTGGGCATGGACGGTTCCAGACTACACAGGAGAAGCTCAAGCACTACGGTCGCCTCAAGGCTTAGTTTTCTCAAGAACAGAGTTATATTTACTCAGGCTACTGTTTTGCTAGATATTCCAGTCGGTTATTCGAACAGTTTCTTGTTTTGCACTGTGTTCTCATATATGTAGTTTATTAGCTATGAAGTTGGAAATACTTGTGATCTTGTCTTCATTATTTTGTTTCTGTAGACACAGTTTTTAAGTTTTGCTCTTTAATTTGCTTCTTAACGTTGCCTCTCAACTGAAATCAACACCCTATCTAACTTTGAGGACATGCTGTGGTCAATTATTTTCGCTGGATGAACTGAAATCAACAACTTATGTAACTTTGAGTACATGCTGCTGTTTTTTGAGTATGTATTTACTATTTTACTTTGATGGGATTGTTATTAGGGAGGTTCTTGGTAGTGGTTCTTTCGAATTATCTTTGTCATTTCTCAGAAGAAAACAAAAATTCTTTTTAATTTCATATAATTTGTTTCATGGTTCATCTAATGATTGGAATTCTATATAAAAACTAGGCACATATCGCCTGAGTGATGGCGGAACGACATCAAATTTTGGCGTTCACCTGCTTGAGCCATTCGAGCCCTCCACTAAGACCCCACTAAATGACTTTGAGTTTGTGAACACCATCACAACCCTTAGTAGGGGTCTAACACGGGATCCGCTACTTTACCGCTAAAGTATGTGACCTTTGGCAAGAGCGACTCAAATTTAAATAGTTAAAAGTCTACAAAATCTTTTCATAGCTGAACTAGACATCCTTTTCCTGACTATCGTACAACTATAGACAATTATATAAAAATAACTCGACATTCTAAACTAAGAATAATGATGCATGAAGTAAGATACGAGTCTAGTTATTGCAACTTTATCCATTAAGGTGGCGAGAGAGTCGATGCTTATTCCACCACAGAAGAAGTTTAGAAGACTCTCGAATCATCACCACCTAAATCTACATAGCCTGTTCACATTAGAATTCTATCGTCTAGAGAGGGTCTCGAACATGAAGAAACATCACTATGGTTTCTTCAATAGTTAGGTTTTCGTTCGAACACAACCTCTTTGAACTCAATTCGAGGAATTGTGGTGAGCTCAGTTCAAGAAAATCAGATGAAAAGAGGAGTCCCATCTATAAGGACAACAGACCAAACACATTCAAAATCGAAAGAACTAAACCTCTATAAGGCTCCATCGGGACAACATATTAACATTAGAAGACTGAGCTCTCTTTATCTAAATATGCTGAACTTGATAGTAGTATGTGTAATTACATAATTAGATGGGAAGGTGTGAAATGGTCCAAGATTAACATACGGCCGCAAGACCAATGCCAAATGGCACTTTGGTCAAAGATCCGGTAGTTTGGGCCAATAAAGTGCCCTCGTTTGGGCCCATCCAAACCCAAATTTGGAGAAACCAGGGTACTATCCCAAACCCAATTTCTTAAATAATATCCACCGTCCATTAAATCACATCGACGGATACAAATCAATAATCACAAAGCACACGGATCGACATCCCAAGCCGTCGGATTATTACAATCCAACGGTCAAACCTCTGTCTCGGCTTTACCGAGCTCCCTTAAATTAAAAAAGAAACACAGGTCACCGGAGTCACGCGGATCGCCATTCCCACCCGTTCGATCACCTCCCTCAATCAACGGCCCAAATCAGCCCATCTCCGCCTCCGCAGCGATTATATAAATCCTCAAACTTTACCCATCATCCCACATTCCATTCTCAAAGCAACCGATTCACATTCAACCCAGCAAATCCATCTATCTTCTCCACTTCGTCTTCTCGAGGAAAGCAAGAAAAATGTCTGGCCGCGGAAAGGGAGGCAAAGGATTGGGCAAAGGAGGTGCGAAGCGGCACAGGAAGGTTCTCCGGGACAACATCCAGGGCATCACCAAGCCGGCCATCCGCCGTCTGGCTCGCCGAGGCGGCGTCAAGCGTATCAGCGGCCTCATCTACGAGGAGACCCGCGGCGTCCTCAAGATCTTCTTGGAGAACGTGATCCGCGACGCCGTCACTTACACGGAGCACGCTCGCCGGAAGACAGTTACCGCCATGGACGTCGTCTACGCGCTCAAGAGGCAGGGCAGGACCTTGTACGGCTTCGGCGGTTGAGCTTTTAGGGTTCTTGGAGTCGTCCAGCTTGTTCGGATTTATCTTTTTTAGCTTCTTTTCAGCTTTTTAGTTTGATGGCCTATTTGTTCTCTGGATGAACTGTTGGAAATTAGGGTTTCCATTCATCTGGTTATGTTTGTAATGGCAAGTTCGATTAATGAAGAATGGATTTCCTCTAAATTGTGCTTTCCGTTCGTCATTTTTGTTCTTGGAATTGCCGATTGGAATCCATTCTCTGGTTCGGTTTCAAAGTGAACGTGTTCTTCTATTTATATTAACGTGCTTTACCGAAAGTCGTCAGTAAGAGCCACGATTTCGGCCTTTTACTTCTCAGATTCAATTCGTTTCTCGACCGTTCTACGTGTAAATTACTAAAACTCCCACGGACTTTTTACGCTTTGCAGTCTGGTCGTACGTACTAACTGTATTATGTTCCCTTGATACTAATTAGTTCCCGCCATGAGCTACTTCCGTATCATTATCCTTCATCTTCCACATGATGACCAAATTACAGATTGGGCCCCAAACTTGATGTATCCTACAGCTTAGTCGTCAGTTTTCCTCTGGTTTACGATTCGCTACAATAAGCTCATCTTGTTACCTTTTGTTATGTCTCCGTGCTGATTGTGAAAATTGATTTATGAGGGACTATGTTGTTAAAATCTACAAAATCGACAACTAGATTGACCATAAGTCAACGCTTTGAAAATACTACGTGGTACTCACAAAATATTGTAGTGTGTTTGTACATTATATCGAGACGAGAAAGATCACGTCCCTCATTACAAGCTTGTACACATGGTTCTAGAGCTACTCGATTAGCTACAGCACCAGGTGCATTTCCGAGTTCACATCATGAAATCATGTGACTATTGCAATGCCTAACAAGCTATGCTATCTAGATCTCTAGCGGTCTATCACAAACAAATGAAGTTGTTATTTAATGTTAAAGTCTTTCCAAATACAACCACTATACCTCATAAAACAAATTTGTTAAGTAATCGGGATATGTCGGTCATTTATATAGGAAGGACGAAGTGTCTCTCGCATTACCAACGCACATACTACGGTACTAGTCTCTGGGGTGTGTAATGGTCCGGGATCGGACCACACCGGACCGAACGACCGAGTATAATGTGGTTCAGTCCTTGGTCTGCATGATTGTTACAGTTATTGAAAAAATGATGGACCGAAGTGATATTTGGGCCGGATCAAACCGGACCGAATGGATCAAACGCAATGATAGTCCAGTGGACCACGGTTCTCATGAGTTTGGTCCGGTCTGGACCGGACCAAACCGTTGCACACCCCTACTAGTCTCCATGAGCTAGTACAACTCGATTCGACAGTAACACTTAAATGAAGACATTTAAGAGAGTTTATTCTCCTAAAAAATATAAATTTAATTTTGTAAATTGGGTAATGAATTGTGATGCTGTCTATAGTATGGGGGATGACTTGTAATTTTCCATTTTTCCTGCCTTAATAAAAGCTCCATAATACCCTTGGCATCCCACAGTGACCTCTCAGCTTTCTGCTGCTCGACAGCTACTCGGAGTCTGTCTCTCTCTAACAAAAAATCTCCATCGCCGATCTCCTCTTCCCCTTCCCTCCGCCTCTACCCGACCCGATCCGCCGCCATGATCCGACCTTCCTCCCTCCTCGCCTTCCTCTCTCTCCTATCCCTCTTCTCCTTCCTCCTCCTGCAACCCGCCTCCGGCGATTCGCACTTCGAAGGTTTCGACGCCGATGAAGACGACGTCGCCGAGGAGCCCCTCGACCCTTCTTCTTTCAAGCTCGTCGATCTTCCACTGACGGTGACTGGCGACTCCCCGTCTGCTTCCTCCACTCCAGATTCCAATTCCAATCAGCCCGATTCAACTCCTTCGGCTACTACGGAATCGGATGCCTCCGAATCGAAACCTGATTCGTCGACTCCGGCCGCAACTACGACCGCCGGATTCGCCGACTGGGATGAGGACGAGTTCGAAGGTCTGCCGACTGCTGCGGATACTCCGACGACTCCAAAGTCTGCTGGTGCTAGTAGCGACGAGAAGGAAACCCCAGATCCGAATTCGAAGCAGCAGGGCGAGAGAGTTCCCTGGAGGAAGCAGTCGTTTACCGTGGAGATAGTGTGCGTGTCGTTCTTGATTATGTTCGTTATCAACTACTTCACTGGAAAGCGCGAGAACGAGAACATTGCCCTGGCGTGGGCGGCGAAGTTCGCCACCAAGGATTCCATCTTCGAGAAGAATTTCAGCTTGTTGGGTGTTGGGGAAGGAGATGATTCGCCGTTGTTGTTGAAAGAAGGGCAGAATGTGTTCAAGTTCTACGCTAGTGGGCGGAGGTTTTGCCAGGGGTTGTTGGCCACGATGGAGTTGAAGAGCAGGCACGATTTGATTGCCAAGTTGTACAACATGGTGGTGCCTTGTAAGGATGAGATCACATTTCAGGTGTATATGAATGATAATGCCATGGACCATGTGATTTTTGCACTGGCGAAGAAGAAAGCTGCCAAAATGATGCAGAAGGAGGTTAGGGATTTGCAGAGGTTTGCTGGGCTCGTTCCCCAGCCAGCCAATAGCAAGAGGTGGGTTCCCGAGGAATTGGGAGTTGTTTCAGAATCTAAGGAGGTTGCTGGGGACTTGATCACTGATGCTGTGCTTGAACAGGTTGGTCTTTACTCAAACTCTCCTATTCTATAGTTGATTCACTAGTGCAAAGAACGGGTCTGTGTTATCACGCTATAGTTGTTCTTATCTTGTTTGAACTTCAATGATTTATGCATGCCATTAGTTTTTTGGGTAAAGACCAATCTAGGTGAACTTCTCTAGGAAATGGGTTGTATGTGCTTTATTCTTACTCAATTTTCACTAGGAAGTGAGTGTGTAAAGTTTCAAGGTTTGGTCCTGTTGCATTGAACTCCTTTTCCAGTGATGTTAAGTCTCGTCGGTAGTTCAGAATCAAGTCCTTCTTGCAGGTTCGCTTGCTCTTTGGCTCAGGTTCTTCCTTCCCCATAAGTTTGTGCATTCTGATGTTGCATTTGACATTGTGGTCTTTCCGGACATGATTGAGTTGTTAAGGTTATAGGTTTTCCCCCCAACTTGTAAAGTGGTTTAGCTCGTCTTTCTACTTTCCATCCGAGCGCACCTTTCCTCCCTGGTTTAGTGTTTGAACAAAGCTTTCAAACTATTCATCTTCACTGTTCCTCGCTAAGCAAATGAATTGCTGCAAGTGTATTTGAAATGATTATATGCATATGCTTGGTATAGCTCATAGGGCGGTTAAACATAATAAAAACCTTCGTTTCAACTTTGCCCTTTCTGTTGAAGTTGTATCATGTTATTATTAAGTCTGGATAGTATTGAAACCACAGCTCCTTGATGTGGCAAAATATGAAGTTGTTTTCTGGTCACCGTTTTAGCTTTCCAATTGATTTTTTGAAGTGCAACTCATACATATCTGTCTCATTTTGTAGTCTAGTTGTATGTGATTTTCAGGTTCGCCAATTGAATTTTTGAAGTGCAACTCATACATATCTGTCTCATTTTGTAGTCTAGTTGTATGTGATTTTCAGGTTCGCAGCTCTCTTTTCTTCTTTCCTCATTGTTTTTTCCCCAGTTTAATTAGGTTTTCGGTACCTTATCAGTTACTAGCACACCACATTGGCTCCTCCCTCTTTATCATGGTTAGGCAAGGCAGTGTTATTGGATCACATACCTTTGACCCGCCCCCCTGTGTATATGCTGACTCTTTCCTTTGGCTAGTCAAAATTTGCTCTTAATTTTCAGTACTGAATACTTTCTTTTTCCAAAATATTTGGTATTTCTAAGACGAGCTAAGGTTTGAATGCCTCCTGGAGCATGTACTAATTGGATGGAACTGAATCCATCAGCACTCTATCCTTTCGCTACTTGTATGCTTGAAGTGAACTAGAAATGGATTAAACATGGGATAATTACTCTCAATCCCTGAACTACGATCTTGATGGTGAGGAAGATGTAACATATTAGAATTAGAATAAATGCTCTTAGACTAGAGCAAATTGGGAAAAGCTGTATCTTGCTTTATTCTAATTCGTATATGGTAATAAAGACACTTTAGTTGTGTTCTAGTCAGTCATTTTGTGCAATAAGTCGTTCTTCTCTTGGTGTACTACCCCAGTCTCCATGAAGTTCTTGTCTTCAACACTCTTTGCCTTGGTGCAATTAGGTCTTTTCTTATAACTTCGAAAATTAGCTGCAGAGCTGTGGCCGACATTTTAAGTATGGAAAATCTCTTTACTGATTGATTTTTTGGTTGAATTCTGGTCTCTTTAATTGTAGGTGTTTGGAGAAAAAGCTTTTGAGAAGTTTGGGAAGGGTTTCATCTCAATGCATTTCTCTGATCAACACCCTGGTGCACACAGGAAGATGCTTTTATTCAAGTTCGCTCTGCCCGACGCCAGCAATATGGCTGATATGACCAGATTGGTAGCTCTGGTACCTTACTATATTGATCTGATTGGTCGATACAAGTTGAGCTCACAGGTGAGCAATCTATACCTTGCAATCTCTCCTGTCTGCACCCAAGACTGGCCGATCTTGTCCTTTTACATGTTTCTGATGCTCTTGTGTCGCTGCAGGCGCGGTCCAAGACAGAGGCAGCCAGAAACAAAGCTGCACAAGAAGCATTCAGAGAACTCCAAAATGCAAGACAAGAGGCCCTGCTGAGAAAGAAAGCGGAGAAGAAAGAGGAAGCTGAAGCGAAGCTGAGCGCAGAGGCGATACGCCGGAAAGAAGCAAAGGATCGTGCTCGTCAGATGAAAAAGGCAATGCCGAAGATCAAGATGTCGCGCAGATGAATCAATCATCCGAAGAACGTGCTGGAGCATTAGCATTAACATTCAAATTCGCATTCGAACACGATGGTCTTTGTAGTGTGGCCACGTCCCTACCACAGGTTTTGCTGCTTGACTCCTTTGCTCTCGACGCATTGAAGCTTTTTTTTGATATGTTAACTCCGTCTGGTGTTGGATGGCACTTATAGAAACACTTCTCCCCCGTAGTTTGAGGAACATGGTATAAACTGTACCACAAATTCATATTGGAAACCTTTTCCCCCCTTTCCTCTCCCGATTAGAACAACGGATACTTTAGTTATTTTGCTAGAAGTTGTCGAACCGTTTTGTACTCTTGCGTTTGGTTTAGCAAGTGGTATGGTCTAGCTAGGATGTAATTGGTTTATATCGGTTTATGCAGGTATAATTGAGAAACATCAAATGAATTATGGATTTATATAATTTATCTTAAAACACTCTACATGTAATTTACATCTATATTTAAATAAAGTACTATTTTACCAATGAAATGAAAAAATTTCATATTTAAATGCAAATAAAGTACCATTTTACAAACGAAATGACAAATCTTCATATTTAAATGCACTATTATAACGTTAACATCCAAACGTTTATATACTTGAATCCAATAGATAAAATCAACATCTAGATGTTCATGCTTGAATTCGAGCGATCACTTTTTTCTCGAGTTTGACCGATCACTTTTTTCTCGAGTTTGACCATTTCTTATCGGTATGAACTACAAGTCTACTACTTCATATCAATGGTCTTCCAAATGATTTTTTTCCACAATATCGATTGAACCCGATTGTGCCGATTCATGTTATGAGTTAGCATATAAGTTCTAACCATATATGAGAGAGTTAAGTACGTACGGAAAAAGTATCCCCTATAACCTAAAATAGCCACCGCCGGCGACATGACGGAGGAGGAGGAAGAGCAGCGCGATTGGAAGCATCTCCCCGGCGAGCTTCTGGACACAATCATTTGCCGTCTAACCAAACTATCCGACTTGATCCATTTCCAAGCCGTTTGCAAGCCGTGGAGACGAACACCCCCAAAGCTCCGCCAAACACTGCCGTGGCTAGTCTCGTCGTCTCACGGTAGTGCGTGCCACCGATTCACCGACGTGACGGCGAGAAACGACAAGTGGCGGCAGATCGATCTAGCCGCCGGAGACGCCGTGGAGGTTCAATCTCACGGCTCGGCGCTCGGATGGATGCTCCTGGAAGAACGCCGGCGGAAGCCGGAAAGATCTTGCGCTCTGTGCTTGATGAACCCTTTCACGAGAAACCAGATCCACCTCCCGGCAAAAACAGGGCGGCAGCCGGAAAGATCTTGCGCTCTGTGCTTGATGAACCCTTTCACGAGAAACAAGATCTACCTCCCGGGGAAAACAGGGCAGGGCGAGTACCTCCTCGATGTCGATTGCCCAATTCCGATGATCTCATCCATAAAAGGGTTTGCAATGTCGGATGAGGTAGCAGCAGAGGGATATGTCGTGATCGTATTGTGCTCTACGAACTCCGGCCACGGTGGCCTAGCATTCTGCAAGCTCGGAGCAGGAGGAGCCAATCGACGACGACTGTGGTCGTTCATCACTCTCAACCCCTCAGAGGATCGAAAATTCGATTTGGGCCGATCGGAAATCGCATTTTCTTCCCAGGAAGGGATTCTTTACGTGCTCTGTCCAGATGATGGAAGGGTTTTCGCCTGTGATCTTGTCGACCAACAGCCCGTGCTTTCCTTGGTTTTTCACCCTGCGAATTCTGCTCCTCTGTTTCGCCGCTCTGGAACCTGCTGCTACCGCTTGGTTGAAAGTCCGGAGGGAGAGCTGATGCTTCTGATCAGAACCACGGAGGCGGGATGGACGGACAATGATCTTCTGGTGGTCGGATTCAGTATTTACCAGATGAGTGAAGATGAAGGGAGATGGGAAGAGATGAGAGACATAGGTGAGTATGCTCTGTTTTTTGATTCGTGCAAGGCTATCTACGTCTCTGTCAAAGATCATCCCGAGTGCGTAAGGAATTGTGTTTACGAGAGGGAGAACATAAACCGTCTCAGTTGTGGGCGACTTACTTGCCATCGTTTAGAAAACAATGTCCATGGTGGGGATTGTTGGATTTTGCCATCGAATTATTAATTAGCTTTCTTGCGTTCTCTTTGACATGTCGTCTGGGCTGCAAAGCTTTGAATAACAATTTGTTTGCTTAGTTTTCCAAATCCGTTTCGGAATCGGATAACGCGATTCAAACAGAGATTATATCCATGGCTTAAGCTTTCTTTCACGATACTTTTATACATTAACCGCAAAAAACCTTTGGACACTGTGTTTTCTCTAGCTCGCCCTCTCCAACATGGCGGAGCAAGATGAGAAACAACGCGATTGGAGGACGCATCTCCCCGGCGAGCTTCTCGACACAATCATGCGCCGGTTGACCAAACTACTCCCAAACTACGGGACATCGTCCGCTTCCAAGCCGTGGAGGCTGGCCGTACTGGATCAAGAACAAAACCCACCCAAATTCCTCCAATCCCTGCCGTGGCAGATGTACTTCCCCACGGAGGCCGGCAATTCATGCCCTGGCGGCGCCGATGACTGCCACCGGTTCATAGACGTGGCCGAAAATGACAAGTGCCACCTCCACATTAATCTCGCACCTGACACATTCTCCCACGGCTCAGCCTATGGATGGCTGATCCTACAACAAGAACAATATGAACATTGGCTGCCGCGGGCGGCGGGGACCTTATCTTGTTCTCTACTTGTTGAACCCTTTGACGGGGAGAAAGATCCCTCTCGCGAATAAAATCGCGAGGCAGGTCAATAAGTACCTTGACGGTGACGGGCACATTCTGAGTGGATTCGCCATGTCGGCTGAGCCGACGGCAGCCTGCGTCGTGGTTGCGACCTACCAAGTAGGCGACGGACAATGCAGCTTGGTTTCATGGAAGCTCGGAGAAACAGGGGAGGACAAAACAGTGCATCACGTCCAATCATGTAGTTTGATCCCCATTGACTCAATTGTGGATGACCCAGAAACGTTTCTGTGCACTAGCGCAAATGCGTTATGGAAAGATAAATTGCGTTATGGCAATGGGGCGGGTTTGCCTAAATCATCCTCATCCCCATCTTCAAATACTCAAACCCATACCCGCCCCATACCCATGCGGAGGAATGTTTTGCAAACCCATCCCCATACCCGTGGGTTTCGGATACCCATGGGTAATACCCATACCCATACATCCAACATTATTATACCTAAAACTTACAAGAAAAGTTTTGATTATAACCATAAACAAACCTATAATATCATGAAGTCAACAAAACACGGTCACTTTCTAAATACGATTCAAAGAATATGATCCTAAAACATCCATTAATACATAATATAAACTAGAATATTTTTTAAATTATTATGCTCTAACTCTTGATGCATTTACTAAGTAATAATTAACTAACATAATCTTGTTGACAAGGGGGAAAGTGAAAGAGTGGAAGGAGAATTGAGAGAAATGAATTAGGTTTTGATTAAGGTAGTATCCCCTAAACCTAAAATAGCCGCCGCCGCCAACATGACGGAGGAGGAAGAGCAGCGCGATTGGAACCATCTGCCCGGCGACCTTCTCGGCGCAATTATGCGCCGTTTCACCAAACTACCGGACTTGATTCGCTTCCAAGCCGTTTGCAGGCCGTGGAGGCAAAAGCCTCCAAAGCTCCGCCAAACACTGCCGTGGCTGGTCTCGTCGCCGTACGGTAGTGCGTGCCACCGCTTCACCGACGTGACGGCGGGAAACGACAAGTGGCGGCAATTCGATCTATCCGCCGGAGACGGCGCCAAGTGTTCACTCTCACGGCTCGGCGCTTGGGTGGATGCTCATAGAAGAACAACGGCGGCAGCCGAAAAGATCCCGCGCTCTGTACTTAATGAACCCTTTCACGAGAAACAAGATCTACCTCCCGGAGAAAACAGGGGAGGGTGATTACCTCCTCGGTGTTGATTACAGAAATCCGCCGATCTCATCGGTAAATGGGTTTGCGATTTCGGCCGAGCCAACATCTCTGAACTACGGCTACCTAGCTTTCTGCAAAATCGGGGGAGGCCCTAATAATAATCAACCGTGGTCGTTCATCGATCTTCACCCTTGAGAGAACCAACCATTTAATTTGGGCAGGTCGAGGTTTGTCCTTTCCAGGGAAAAGATTCTTTACGTGTTGAACCCACGCGATGGAAGGGTTTTCGCCTGTGATCTTCTTGACCAACTACCATTCCTTTCGTTGGTTTTCCGTCCTGCGAATTCTGCTGCTGCTCTGTTTCGCCGATGTGGAATCTGCTGCCGCTTGGCAATAAATCCAGAGGGAGAGCTGATGCTCGTGATCAAAACCTTTGGGGGCGCATTGAATGTCACAAATCTTCTAGGGATTAGATTCAGTGTTAACGAGATCAATGAAGATGAGCGGAGATGGAATGAGATCAGAGATATAGGTGGGTACGCTCTGTTCTTCGATCCGTATAAAGTTGTATACGTCTCCGTCAAAGATCATCCCGAGTGCGAAAGGAATTGTGTTTATGACAGGAAGGAGATGTTTCGTCTTAGTTGTGATGAGCTACTTGCTTGCCGTCGATCAGACGGTAATTTCCACGATTGGATCTTGCCATCTAATTATTAATTAGCTGCTAGAAAGATTTTTTCTGTTCTCTTTGACATGCCTAGGCTGCAAGGATTGAATAATGAATTGTTTACTAGGTTTGACTATTCTCGGTAGTGTTTCGAAGTTGTTGTCCAACAAATTTGAGGCGTTTTCGGTTATGATCGTCATTTAGTTACACGAGAATCGATTGTGTTGGATATCCGCCATCAGAGGGTTCCACTGCACCCTGGTGCATTTCCACTTCTTGCAGGCCGTAATGGACCAACAACAAAACCCACCAGTGAAGATTGAGAAGAGATGGGATGAGGTAAAAGACATAGGTGATTACGCTCTGTTCTTCGATTCGCACAAGGCTGTTTACGTGTCTGTCAAAGATCACCCCGAGTGCCAAAGGAATTGTGTTTACCAGGAGATGAAGATATACCGTCTTGGTTTTTGCCTACTTCTTTGTGATTCACAAATTAAAATCTATGGCGATGATTGGATTTTACCATCTAATTATTAGTTTGTTGGAGTGAGGGTAGAATTTTTTTGATTTCCTTTTCTCTTTGACATATGCAAGGCTTGAATAATGGATTGTTTACTATGTTTTTTTTTTTAATTTTTAGTATCATTTTATGGATTTTTTATATTTTATTTTATATATATTCTCGGGTAGTGTTCCGAAGTTGTGGTGCGACTAGAATGAAATCCAGTTGTGCTATTCGCGTAGTATTGTGTCGAGATGTTAAATCAATTTGTATTATACAATTTCACCTCACGAGAACATGCATGTCAAATGATTGAGATCGGTAGGTCCTATAAATATGTACTAGTTCAAAGTCAATTAATGAAATTTTTGTGTGAATTGAACCACAAGCAGAAACCTAAAATAAAGTTGAAATGCCTCACCTTACTAGTTTTTGAACCACCATATTGATCAATGGATACAGACAATAGAGTAATGCATTTCACTCTTCCTATTTCGTTTTGGAATAAGAAAATACGATTCAACACAAACTATGTAATATGGCTTATTGACAAAGACCTTCTTTTATGAGACTTTTATTGTACAATAACCGTAACACTTTAGATTACGTATTCTTCACAATTCCGTACCACCTTTAATCCTTAACCTAATTGCTTAACCAGACCAACGAAAACCTAGATGACAACCTTGGAAAACACCATTCAACCAAAACTGTACATGTGGGCCGGGTTATGGCTCACGGTCACGGAGGAAGGCATTCTTTGATGATTTCCGAAGTCCAAACTACATATATTCTTGTGTATCCCGATAGCTTAGAAAAACCCTAAGAAACTGTAATTTTTTGCTCTCTCTAGCTCTCCCTCTCCAACATGGAGGAGGAGAAAGATGAGCAACAACGCGATTGGACGCATCTCCCCGGCGAGCTTCTCGACACGATCATGCGCCGGTTGACCAAACTACGGGACATCGTCCGCTTCCAAGCCGTTTGCAAGCCGTGGAAGCTCGCCGTACTGGATCAAGAACAAAACCCACCCAAATTCCTCCAATCCCTGCCGTGGCAGATGTGGTCGTGCAAGTCCTTCCCCAAGGCGGCGGCCGGCGATTCATGCTCCGGCAGCGGCGGCTGCCACCGGTTCATAGACGTGGTGGAAAGCAACAATTGCATCCTCCACATCAATTTAGGCACGAAAAAGCACTGCCACGGCTCGGCCTACGGATGGCTGATCCTCGAAGAAAAACATTGCAGGCCTCTCGTTCTCTACTTGTTGAACCCTCTGACGGGGAACAAAATCCCTCTCGCGAATAAAATCGCGAGAGGGCATAGCGATGAGTACCTCGAAGGACGGGTTAGTGGAAACTGTCTGAGCCAATTCTCCCTGTCCGCCGAGCCGACGGCAGCAGAGGGCTGCGTCGTGGTTGCGGCCTATCATAACTTCGGAGGATCCCGGTTGGTGTCGTGGAAGCTCGGAGGAACAGGGGAGCGTGAAACAGAGCATCAGCAAATTTGTACGTTTATCCCCATGGACTCCCTTGTGGATTATCCACAAACGTTTCTTGGCTGGGATACCACCGCAATTGGGTTCTGGAGAGATAAAGTTCACATCTTTTGTGGATGCGATGGAAGGGTTTTGTCCTGTGATCTTGCCGCCGCCGCTGCTCATCCCCTGTTTTCCTGGGCTTTCGTTCCAGAGGATTTTACTCTGCCTTTCCGTGGCGGATACTGTTTCCACTTCTTGGTAGCGAGTCCGGAGGGAGGAGAGTTGATGCTCTTGAGTCGACACCAAGCTGTATTCACCGACGAGGAGACATTAAAGGGTACCTGTCGGCTTACTTTTTGCGTCCACAGGATGAACGAAGATGGGAAAAGATGGGACGAAGCTAAGACGATAGGTGATTATGCCATTTTCGTTTTTCTGGATAGCGCTTTCTTGGTGTCCGTCAAAGATCATCCGGAGTGTAGGAGGGATTCCATTTACTATGATGGAGGAATATATGATCTCACCTGCGATCCAATCACTATTGGTCCTTACGCTTCTTCTCCGCCCCGTTGCAAAGCATTGCTCTTACCATGTAACTATTGATTTGTGGGGGTCTAGATGTAGAATTTTTAATCCCTCTTCTCTCCTCCCTCTCGTCATATGCTTCCGCCGTTATGATTTTTCGATTTCTGATTTTTCAGATCTGACTTTTCGATTTTTCAGTTATGATTTTTGTACCAATGCACTTAAACTCATATATGATATTTTGTACCAGTGTACTGGTAGCGTTACCAGTGCACTGGTAGAGATAGTGAGATACCACTACACTCGTAGCGATATCAGTGCACTGGTACAAATATCAGATCTCAATTTAAATGTAGTGGTAGAAATATCAGTGCACTGGTACAACGTATCACTGCACTGGTACATTTTTTTTTAATGTAACGGTACATTTTTGCGGGTGGCCGGAGGAAGTCTGCCGGCAGGATTTCACCGGAGAAGTGTGGCGGTCGGAGGCTGCTGGAAAAAGGAAGAATGAGAGATAGGGAGATAGAATTGTATTTAATGTAGGTTTAAATTAAAAAAACACAAGTAATTAATATGGTGCATTTAATTCTCTATGTGTATTTAATTTGAGTGTTAAAATATATAGATGACATTTAATACCAAGGGGGTGTCATTTTTCCAACCCCTTTATGGGGTTAGCAAGCTAATTGGACCCTTATTTGGACTTATTTCTCGGTTTATGATTGTTTTTTTATATTGGAATATTAGTTGGGGTTATTTTGTTAGGAATTATTGTTAGAGTAGTTAGAGGGAATTATCGGATTATATTAGAGGTGGCAAATGGATTGGATTGGTGGATTGATGGATTGGATTAGTGGATCCATGGATCAAATGGATTGGATCTAATGGATTGGTGGATTCATGGATTGGATCAAGTGGATTGGTGGATTATCCATGAATCCAAATGACATCCTCAATCAAGGACCAATATGTAAAATGTAAAAAGTTTAGGTACTAAAATGTCATAATGAAAAATTTCAGGTACCAAAACGTAATTTTCAAATGATATTTTTCGTATAAAAAATTAAATTTTAGGTACCAAAATGCAAAAAATAAAAATTATAGGTACTAAACCGTAATTTGCCAATGATCCATGAATCCAATCCATGAATCCACCAATCCAATTGGATTTGGATTAAATGGATTGGATTTAAATGGATTGGATTAGGTGGATATTTTTAATGGATTGATGGATTGGATTGGTGGATTGGATTGAAATTGCCACCTCTAGATTATATATTCTGTGATTGATGAGTTTTTTAGGTTAAAAAATAAGAGAACAATTATACTCTAAACCCTACTCTTTCTCTTCTCATCTGAAAATCCCCTCTTCTTCTCCTAATTGTCGTCGGCCACCCTCCTTTCAGGAGGCTGATTTCTTCCTTCTGTCTAAGGGGTCGTTTGGAGAACAAAATTTAGGGAACATTCTATTGTCCGAATGAAAGTTGTTTCACTTGTTAAACAAATGTCGGAGGACATAGATAATGTCACTCCATCCGTTTAGTAGTATTACTTACAAATTTGTGGACAAGAAACAATATAGATTTATCCTTAAGTTCTACTAAAAAATTTACTTTTCTATTTGTAATGCCTATGAGGCTATTTATAAGTATAACTACAACTTTTGACCCATTGCAAAGCGCAAGCCAAGGGTTTAATAAAAAGTTTGACTAAACTATCTTTCAATTATTTCTGATTTTAGGATTACAATCTTTAATCTAATCTAATGGCTGGTAGAATAGTCAGTGATAGAGTTAATACCTAATCCCATGCCCATCGTTTGATGGCTTCCGCACTATTTATATTCTTGTATATTTGATTGCTAAGAAAACCCTAATCCACTGTAAATTTTTTTCAGCTCCGTCCGCCCCTCCTGCTCTCTCTAGCTCGCCCTCTCCAACATGGCGGAGAAAGATGAGCAACAACGCGATTGGACGCATCTCCCCGGCGAGCTTCTCGACACGATCATGCGCCGGATGACCAAACTACGGGACATCGTCCGCTTCCAAGCCGTTTGCAAGCCGTGGAGGCTGGCCGTACTGGATCAAGAACAAAACCCACCCAAATTCCTCCAATCCCTGCCGTGGCAGATGCATTCGTGCAAATACTTCCCCACGTCGGCCGGCAATTCATGCTCCGGCAGCGATGGCTGCCACCGGTTCCTAGACGTGGTGGAAAACGACAATTGCATCCTCCACGTCGATTTAGGCACGAAAAAACACTGCAACGGCTCGGCCTATGGATGGCTGATCATGCAAGAGCAATATTGCAGGCCTCTCGTTCTCTACTTGTTGAACCCTCTGACGGGCAACAAGATCACTCTGGCGAATAAAATTGCTGGGCGGGAGCGGGAGCGGGGCGATCAGTACCTCGACTGCGTTAGTGGAAACAATCTGAATGGATTCGCCATGTCGGCCGAGCCCACGGCAGCAGAGGGCTGCGTCGTGGTTGCGGCCTATCATGAATTCGGAGGATCCGGGTTGGTGTTCTGGAAGCTCGGAGGAACAGGGGAGCGTGAAACAGAGCTTCAGCAAATTTGTACGTTTATCCCCATTGACTCCCTTGTGGATCATCCACAAACGTTTCTTCGCTGGGATGCCACCCCAATTGAGTTCTGGAGAGATAAAGTTCACATCTTTTGTGGAGAGGATGGGGATGGAAGGGTTCTGTCCTGTGATCTTGCTGCCGCTGCTCATCCCCTGTTTTCCTGGGCTTTCGTTCCAGAGGATTTTACTCTGCCTTTCCATGGCGCTGGCGGATACTGTGTCCACTTCTTGGTGGCGAGTCCGGAGGGAGGAGAGTTGATGCTCTTGAGTCGACACAAAGCTGCATACACCGACGAGGATCGTACCTGCCGGCTTTCTTTTTTCGTCCACAGGATGAACGAAGATGGGAAGAGATGGGACGAAGCTAAGACGATTGGTGATTATGCCATTTTCATGGTTCTGGATAGCGCTTTCTTGGTGTCTGTCAAAGATCATCCGGAGTGTAGGAGGGATTCCGTTTACTATGAAGGAGGAATATATGATCTCAACGGCGATCCAATCCCTATTGGTCCTTACGGTTCTAGTCCGCCCCATTGCAGAGCATTGCTCTTACCATGTAACTATTGATTTGTGGGGGTCTAGATGTAGAATTTTTAATTGGATGTTTTCAATTAGTAAAAGGTGTTGACTTTGCATGAGTTAAATCATATGTTCTTACTTCACTGTGCCATTGCCAAATACTTACATTCGTTAATGAATCGGTTATTCTTCCAAATAGACGAAGCTTGCTATTACAACAGAACTGACAACAATCGAAACCCTTAATTTGAAAATTCAGGTCCTCAGAGTATGAACAAATGCAATCAAACCATTTTCGTTGGCTTTTCTTCCTGATGATTCTGCTCTGTTTCACCGCATTGGGAGCTTCTACCACTAGGAAAAAATAGCCATCTTACCCGGGGAATGGAGTTTCGTTACACCATTCAACCCACATGGCATATATATCGCGATGGCTAAGAAAAACCCTAAGAAACTGTAATTCTTACAGCTCCCTCCGCCCTCATGCTCTCTCTAGCTCACCCTCTCCAACATGGCGGAGGCAGAGCAACAACGCGACTGGGCGCAACTGCCCGGCGAGCTTCTCGAGACGATCATGCGCCGGTTGACAAAACTACAGGACACCTTCCAAGCCGTGGAGACTGGCCGTACTGGACCGAGAAGGAAACCCACCCAAGTTCCTTCAATCCCTGCCGTGGCAGGTCTGGTCGTGCAAATACTTCCCCACGGAGGCCGGTAATTCATGCCCCGGCGGCGGCAATGGCTGCAACCGGTTGATAGACATGGCAGAGAACTACAGGTGCCGCCTGCACGTCGATTTTGGCGAGAACAAGTACTGCCACGGCTCGGCCTATGGATGGCTGATTCTAGAAGAGCAATACAATTGGAGGCGACCTCTTGTTCTCTACTTGTTGAACCCTTTGACGGGGAACAAGATCCCTCTTGCCAATAAAATCGCGGGGCAGGGCAATCTGCACCTCGAAGTATACTCTTATGGAAGCGTTCTCAATGGATTCGCCATGTCGGCTGAGCCGACGGCAGCAAAGGGCTGCGTCGTGGTTGCATCTTATGATGACGAGGGCGGCGAATTCGGCTTGGTGACATGGAAGCTCGGAAGAACAGGGGAGTATAAAAACAGAGTATCAATCGTGTACGATGATCCCAATTAATTCCTTTGTGGATGGTCCAACAACGTTTCTTCGCAAAGGTAGTAGTAGCTCGCTCGATTGCGTTCTGGAGAGATAAAGTTCACATCTTTTGTGGAGAGGACGGAAGGGTTTTGTCCTGTGATCTTGCGAGTGAACAGCAGCAGCCCGTGCTTTCCTGGGCTTTTCTTCCGGAGGATTTCACTCTGCCTTGCCATGGCGGACACAATTTCCACTTCTTCGTGGCGATGGGCTTGAGGTTAGCAATGGGCTTAGTTTTCATGACTTACAGATTTGCAGTATTCATAATTCCATTTATCGTTGCGGATTGTGGTATGACTGTGATACAATTCCTTAGGAAGATAGTACAATGGTGGAATTTGTAGAGTTATTGAAATCAGAATTTCCCACTTGAGGAATGAGTTTCTTACTTCTCTGTGCCATTGCCGAAAGCATCGTTCTTACAATCGGTTAATGAATCGGCTACAACCCACGGAGAAACTGCGCATTCAGGGAAATCCTTCTTTCATTAGCCAAAGCTTGCTATTACAACAGCACTGACAAAGATCGAACCCTAAATCTGCAATTTGGATCCTCAGAATATGAACTAATAGAAGATAGCACAAGGACTAGAGAAAGGCTTTAATAGATCAGCCGCCGAAGCCGTACAGGGTCCTGCCCTGCCTCTTGAGCGCGTAGACGACGTCCATGGCGGTGACGGTCTTCCGGCGAGCGTGCTCCGTGTAAGTGACGGCGTCACGGATGACGTTCTCCAAGAAGATCTTGAGTACGCCGCGGGTCTCCTCGTAGATGAGGCCGCTGATGCGCTTGACGCCGCCCCGGCGAGCCAGACGGCGGATGGCCGGCTTGGTGATGCCCTGGATGTTGTCGCGGAGGACCTTCCGGTGACGCTTGGCTCCTCCCTTCCCCAAACCCTTGCCTCCCTTGCCGCGGCCAGACATTTTTTTTTTTTTTTTGCTTCGATCGGAATCTGAAACTCGGAAAAGATGCAGAAGCGGGAAAGATTTCGATCGAAATGTGGTTTCGAATTTTGGATCTGGCGGATTTTGTGAGGGAAGGAGCAAATGGATAGAGTATTTATATAGCTTGTGCGGGATGGAAGATGATCGATCGGGGACGTTGATTAGGAGTGAGGATCGACGGGTGAGAATGGCGATCCGCGTCGCAATGCTATCGCGTGTCTTCTTCTGGAAGGAAGCCTGGTAATTGGCTGTGGTGAGGATTTTGGACCGTTGGATTAGATTAATCGACGGCTCGAGGTGACGATCCGTGTCATGAGGCAGGTGCCAATTTGTGTCGGTTGATATATTATAAGATCGACGGTGGATAATATAGGAAAGGAAAAGAGAAGGGAGGGAGAGGGTCAAAGTTCAAACACCAAGACCACGGAGAACGACGCCGTTGGTGAAATTACGGTCCCCCTTGGAAGAAAATCTGCCCTGGATGGACTTAATCGTCATTGAAGAATAGTCTCAAGCCGAATCCACCATCTTTATCCGTCAAAATCCAAGGAAAATGACCTTTCGAAAAAAATTGCTCAAATAATTACAAAAATGTCATCCCAAAATATATTGGCCCAATTCGGTGCTTAATTGACTTAATCATCGGCGCAGAATAGGACCAATAGACTTTATTATCAGTGGAGAATAGCCTCGAGCCAAATCCGGGATCAGTAGCCTCCAAAATCGAAGGAAAATGGCATTTCGGAAAAATCGCCCGAAATCTGTGATGGTACCCCTTGGGAGTCTGCCAAAAATAGACCCGGAAAAATTTGCCCAAATTGGCACTGGATGGACTTAATCATCATTGAAGAATAGCCTCAGGCCGAATCCACCATCTTTATCCTTCAAAATCCAATGAAAATGGCATTTCGAAAAAAATTGCTCAAATAATTACGAAAATGCCATCCCAAATTATATTGGCCCAATTCGGTGCTTAATTGACTTAATCATCGGCGCAGAATAGGACCAATAGACTTTATTATCGGTGGAGAATAGCCTCGAGCAGAATCCGTGATTTGTAGCCTCCAAAATCGAAAGAAAATGGCATTTCGGAAAAATCGCCCGAAATCTGTGATGGTACCCCTTGGGAGTCTCCCAAAAATGGACCCGGAAGAAAATCCGCCCTGGATGGACTTAATCGTCGTTGAAGAATAGTCTCAGGCCGAATCCACCATCTTTATCTGTCAAAATCCAAGGAAAATGGCCTTTCGAAAAAAATTGCTCAAATAATTACAAAAATGTCATCCCAAAATATATTGGCCCAATTCGGTGCTTAATTGACTTAATCATCGGCGCAGAATAGGACCAATAGACTTTATTATCAGTGGAGAATAGCCTCGAGCCAAATCCGTGATCAGTAGCCTCCAAAAATCGAAAGAAAATGGCATTTCGGAAAAATCGCCCGAAATCTGTGATGGTACCCCTTGGGAGTCTGCCAAAAATGGACCCGGAAGAAATTTGCCCAAATTGGCACTGGATGGACTTAATCATCATTGAAGAATAGCCTCAGGCCGAATCCACCATCTTTATCCTTCAAAATCCAAGGAAAATGGCCGTTTGAAAAAAATTGCTCAAATAATTACGAAAATGCCATCCCAAAATATATTGGCCCAATTCGGTGCTTAATTGACTTAATCATCGGCGCAGAATAGGACCAATACACTTTATTATCAGTGGAGAATAGCCTCGAGCCAAATCCGTGATCAGTAGCCTCCAAAATCGAAAGAAAATGGCATTTCGGAAAAATCGCACGAAATCTGTGATGGTACCCCTTGGGAGTCTGCCAAAAATGGACCCGGAAGAAATCTGCCCAAATTGGCACTGGATGGACTTAATCATAATTGAAGAATAGCCTCAGGCCGAATCCACCATCTTTATCCTTCAAAATCCAAGGGAAATGGCCTTTTGAAAAAAATTGCTCAAATAATTACGAAAATGCCATCCCAAAATATATTGGCCCAATTCGGTGCTTAATTGACTTAATCATCGGCGCAGAATAGGACCAATAGACTTTATTATCGGTGGAGAATAGCCTCGAGCCGAATCCGTGATCTATAGCCTCCAAAATAGAAAGAAAATGGCATTTCAAAAAAATTGCCCGAAATCTGTGATAGTACCCCTTTGGAGTCTGCAAAAAATGGACCAGGAAGAAATCCGCCCAAATTGGTCCTGGATGGACTTAATCATCGTTGAAGAATAGCCTCAAGCCGAATCCACCATCTTTATCCTTCAAAATCCAAGGAAAATGGCCTTTTGAAAAAAATTGCTCAAATAATCACGAAAATGCCATCTCAAAATATATTGGCCCAATTCGGTGCTTAATTGACTTAATCATCGAGACAGAATAGGACCAATAGACTTTATTATCGGTGGAGAATAGCCTCGAGCCAAATCCGTTATCTGTAGCCTCCAAAATCGAAAGAAAATGGCATTTCGGAAAATTCGCACGAAATCTGTGATGGTACCCCTTTGGAGTCTGCGAAAAATGGACTCGGAAGAAATCCGCCCAAATTGGACCTGGATGGACTTAATCGTCGTTGAAGAATAGCCTCAGGTCGAATCCACCATCTTTATCCTTCAAAATCCAAGGAAAATGGCATTTCGAAAAAAATAGCTCAAATAATTACGAAAATGCCATCTCAAAATATATTGGCCGAATTCGGTGCTTAATTGACTTAATCATCGGGGCAGAATAGGACCAATAGACTTTATTATCGATGGAGAATAGCCTCGAGCCAAATCCGTGATCTATAGCCTCCAAAATAGAAAGAAAATGGCATTTCAAAAAAATCGCCCGAAATCTGTGATAGTACCCCTTTGGAGTCTGCGAAAAATGTACCCGCAAGAAATCCGCCAAAATTGGCCCTGGATGGACTTAATCGTCGTTAAAGAATAGCCTCTGGCCGAATCCACCATCTTTATCTTTCAAAATCCAAGGAAAATGGTCTTTCGAAAAAAATTGCTCAAATAATTACAAAAATGTCATCCCAAAATATATTGGCCCAATTCGGTGCTTAATTGACTTAATCATCGGCGCAGAATAGGACCAATAGATTTTATTATCGGTGGGGAATAGCCTCGAACCGAATCCGTGATATGTAGCCTCCAAAATCGAAAGAAAATGGCATTTCGGAAAAATCGCCCGAAATTTGTGAGGTACCCCTTTGGATTCTGCGAAAAATGGACCAGGAAGAAATCCGCCCAAATTGGCCCTGGATGGACTTAATCGTCGTTGAAGAATAGCCTCAGGTCGAATCCACCATCTTTATCCTTCAAAATCCAAGGAAAATGGCCTTTAGAAAAAATTGCTCAAATAATTACGAAAATACCATCCCAAAATATATTGGGCCAATTCGGTGCCTAATTGACTTAATCATTGGCGCATAATAGGATCAATAGTCTTTGTTATCGGTGGAGAATAGCCTAGAGCCGAATCCGTGATCTGTAGCCTCCAAAATCGAAAGAAAATGGCATTTCGGAAAAATCGCCCGAAATCTGTGATGGTACCTCTTTGGAGTCTGCCAAAAATGGACCCGGAAGAAATCCGCCCAAATTTTCCCTGGATAGACTTAATCGTCGTTGAAGAATAGCCTCAGGCCGAACCCACCATCTTTATCCTTCAAAATCCAAGGAAAATGGCATTTCGAAAAAAATTCCCCAAATAATTACGAAAATGTCATCCCAAAATATATTGGCCAAATTCGGTGCTTAATTGACATAATCATCAGAGCAGAATAGGACCAATAGACTTTATTATCGTTGGAGAATACCCTCGAGCCGAATCCGTGATCTGTAGCCTCAAAAATTGAAAGAAAATGGCATTTCGGAAAAATCGGCCGAAATCTGTGATGGTACCCCTTTGGAGTATGTCAAAAATGGACCAGGAAGAAATCTGCCCAAATTGGCCCTTGATGGACTTAATCGTCGTTGAAGAATAGCCTCTGGCCGAATCCACCATCTTTATCCTTCAAAATCAATGAAAATGGCCTTTCGAAAAAAATTCCTCAAATAATTACGAAAATGTCATCCCAAAATATATTGGCACAATTCGGTGCTCAATTGACTTAATCATCGGCACAGAATAGGACCAATAGACTTTATTATCGGTGGAGAATAGCCTCGAGCCAAATCCGTGATCTGTAGCCACCAAAATCGAAAGAAAATGACATTTCGGAAAAATCGCCCAAAATCTGTGATGGTACCCCTTTGGAGTCTGCCAAAAATGGACCCAGAAGAAATCCGCCCAAATTGGCCCTTGATGGACTTTATCTTCATTGAAGAATAGCCTCAAGCCGAATCCACCATCTTTATCTTTCAAAATCCAAGGAAAATGGCCTTTCGAAAAAAATTGCTCAAATAATTACGAAAATGCCATCCCAAAATATATCGGCCAAATTCGGTGCTTAATTGACTTAATCATCGGCGCAGAATAGGAACAATAGACTTTATTATTGGTGGAGAATAGCCTCGAGCCGAATCCGTGATCCGTAGCCTCCAAAATCGAAAGAAAATGGAATTTCGGAAAAATCGCGCGAAATCTATGATGGTACCCCTTTGGAGTTCTGCCAAAAATGGACCCGGAAGAAATCCGCCCAAATTGGCCCTGGATGAACTTAATCGTCTTTGAAGAATAGCCTCAGGCTGAATCCACCATCTTTATCCTTCAAAATCCAAGGAAAATGGCCTTTCGACAAAAATTCATCAAATAATTACGAAAATGCCATCCCAAAATATATTGGCCCAATTCGGTGCTTAATTGATTTAATCATCGGCGCAGAATAGGACCAATAGACTTTATTATCGGTGGAGAATAGCATCGAGCTAAATCCGTGATCTGTAGCCTCCAAAATCGAAAGAAAATGGCATTTCAGAAAAATCGCCCGAAATCTGTGATGATACCCCTTTGGAGTCTACCAAAAATGGACCCGGAAGAAATCCGCCCAAATTTGCCCTGGATGGACTTAATCGTCTTTGAAGAATTGCCTCAGGCCGAATCCACCATCTTTATCCTTCAAAATCCAATGAAAATGGCATTTCGAAAAAAATTGCTCAAATAATTACAAAAATGTCATCCCAAAATATATTGGCCCAATTCGGTGCTTAATTGACTTAATCATCGGCGCATAATAGGACCAATTGACTTTATTATAAGTGGAGAATAGCGTCAGGCCGAATCCACATCTTTATCCTTCAAAATCCAACGAAAATGGCCTTTCGAAAAAAATTGTTCAAATAATTACAAAAATGTCATCCAAAAATATATTGGCCCAATTCGTTGCTTAATTGACTTAATCATCGGCGCATAATAGGACCAATAGAATTTATTATCGGTGGAGAATAGCCTCGAGCCGAATCCGTGATCTGTAGCCTCCAAAATCGAAAGAAAATGGCATTTCGGAAAAATCGCCCGAAATCTGTGATAGTACCTCTTTGGAGTCTGCCAAAAATGGACCCGGAAGAAATCCGCCCAAATTGGCCCTGGATGGACTTAATCGTCGTTGAAGAATAGCCTCAGGCCGAATCCACCATCTTTATCCTTCAAAATCCAAGGAAAATGGCCTTTCGAAAAAAAATTTCTCAAATAATTACGAAAATGTCATCCCAAAATATATTGGCCCAATTTGGTGCTCAATTGACTTAATCATCGGCGCAGAATAGGACCAATAGACTTTATTATCGGTGGAGAATAGCCTCGAGCGGAATCCGTGATCTGTAGCCACCAAAATCGAAAGAAAATGGAATTTCGGAAAAATCGCCCAAAATCTGTGATGGTACCCCTTTGGAGTCTGCCAAAAATGGACCCGGAAGAAATCCGCCCAAATTGGCTCTGGATGGACTTAATCATCGTTGAAGAATAGCCTCAGGCCGAATCCACTATCTTTATCCTTCGAAATCCAAGGAAAATGGCCTTTCGAAAAAAATTGCTCAAATAATTACGAAAATGCCATCCCTAAATATATTGGCCCAATTCGGTGCTTAATTGACTTAATCATCGGCGCATAATAGGACCAATAGACTTTATTATCGCTGGAGAATAGCCTCGAGCCGAATTCGTGATCTGTAGCCTACAAAATCGAAAGAAAATGGCATTTCGAAAAAATCGCCCGAAATCTGTGATGGTACACCTTTGGAGTTTGCCAAAAATGGACCAGGAAGAAATCCGCCCAAATTGGCCCTGGATGGACTTAATCGTCGTTGAAGAATAGCCCCCGGCCGTATCCACCATCTTTATCCTTCAAAATCCAAGGAAAATGGCCTTTCGAAAAAAATTGCTCAAATAATTACGAAAATGCCATCCAAAAATATATTAGCCCAATTCGGTGCTTAATTGACTTAATCATCGGTGCAGAATAGGACCAATAGACTTTATTATTGGTGGAGAATAGCCTCGAGCCGAATCCGTGATCTGTAGCCTCCAAAATCGAAAGAAAATGGCATTACGGAAAAATCGCCCGAAATCTGTGATGGTACACCTTTGGAGTCTTCCAAAAAAGGACCATGAAGAAATCCGCCCAAGTTGGCACTGGATGGACTTAATCATCGTTGAAGAATAGCATCAGGCCGAATCCACCATCTTTATCCTTCAAAATCAAAGGAAAATGGTCTTTCGAAAAAATTGCTCAAATAATTACGAAAATGCGATCCCAAAATATATTGGCCCAATTCGGTGCTTAATTGACTTAATCATCGGTGCATAATAGAACCAATAGACTTTATTATCGGTGGAGAATAGCCTCGAGCTGAATCCGTGATCTATAGCCTCCAAAATCGGAAGAAAATGGAATTTTGGAAAAATCGCCCAGAATCTGTGATGGTACTCCTTTGGAGTCTGCCAAAAATGAACCCATAAGAAATCCGCCCAAATTAGCTCTTGATGGACTTAATTGCTGTTGAAGAATAACGTCAGGCCGAAAATTAGGGCGATCCTGTTCCTACGTATCGGGTCTCAGAGACAAACAGTTCATTTATAGCAATTGCCACTGTTGCATTTTATCAAGCTATCCATCCCATCAAGCTATCCATCCCACGATGAGAATCACATTCGACAAACTACACCACAAACAAGCTCAAACCACAACCAAAAAGGATCTTAAACAACACAAGGCAGAATAGAAACAATTCAGGTGAGCAAAGGGCATTGCATAACTCTGGTAAAAACCAGAAGACACTGCGATTAAACGACTAACAGGTCAATTACCATTCCAATGTTCCAACGCCATAACCTTGAGTTCTAAATTGTAACTAAAACAAGGCCTCAGTCCTCCAACAGACTACCAACTACAATTAAACCAAAAACTTCAGGTAACAAGAAGAAACTAAGCCATACTGGGTCAATCTGTTCTCTAATCAAAGAGGCCGAAACCCAAGTCCTCATCACTCTCTTCCTGAGGCTCTTCCTGCAAAATCGTTCGCAACACCGATTATTAGAACCATCACCGAAACAAGATCAATGATAAAATAGAACATACTTGACACTCTACTAGCAAAAGCAATAGGAAGAAAAACATGGGGGCGGGGGCAGCTGCCGAGGCAATATATACCTTCTTCTTCTCCTCGGCGGCAGGGGCAGCTGCAGCAGCCGGAGCAGCAGCACCACCGGCAGGGGCAGCAACGGCAGCAGGACCACCACCACCACCACCAGTACCAACGTTCATGATCAGGTCATCAACATTGCGCTTCTCGGCCAGCTTGGCGAACAAGCTTGGCCAGTAAGACTCGACGTTCACGTTGGCAGCCTTAACCAATGCGCTGATTTTCTCAGCCTATTATCAACGAACATTCACAAAACAAAACAACCTCTAAGCCAATCCTCCACGAAAACCAATCCAAAAGATTCTAACAACATTCGATTAGGGTTCGAAGAGAAACGTACAGTGATGGGGATGCCATCGTCATGGAGAATCATGACGGCGTAGCTGCAAGCAACCTCTCCGAACGACATTGTTTCTTACCTGACGGCGGAGGAACAGGAACAAGAATTACCAGAAGAACGCAACAGAAAGTAAAATGAACAGCGATGGACAGAGACGGGAGATCGGAACGGGGACGACGAGAAGCTTTACCTTGATGGGAGCAGAGACAGCGAAGGAAGGGCGCGAGAGAGGGATGAACGGCGCTGCAACTGAGAATCAACTTACTAGGGTTCCGAGTCTCCTGAGGCGTGAGAGCAGAGCTACTTATTTGAGGAGGAAGACGGGGTTTTCCGAACGGAAGTGGGTAGGCAGGGAATTGGGCTACTTGATACTTAAGCCCATAAATTAAGTGGGCCAGGCCTAGGTTTTGATGTTCTGTATCAGAGTCGTCCGGCCCGTCCCAATGGTCAAATCGTATGGTGACCGAACCGGTCAGGAGGAGGAAGAAAACGGAACAGATTGTCGGTCTAAGTTGGGTTGTAAAATTTGACCCGAAAAGCCGTCTCTTTTGCCAATTTTTTGTCGGACTTGTTTTTTTTTTTTTTTTTTTTTGGGTAGAATCGGACTTGCCTTTCAGCACTTCGGCTCCGCCTCTTCGAAGGTCCGTAATTCTCTTCCACCCATCATTCTTTCCTGGAAAACAAACAGAACCCAGGAATTCCAGCCGGCCAAGGGCGAACGCTTCCTCCGATTAGTGAAGAAACCTCGCTCGCTGAGTTAGCTCCCGGAAGAGAAAGCTTTTAGGAATCGACTGGTCATTCTCTCGGCGATCACCTTGGGGTGATTTCTTTCATTTCTCAATCGAGGTAGGAAGAGATGCAGGCTATGGCGGCGAATTCAGTTTGCTGCTCCGCGCCGACAACCCTAGACCCTTGTCCTTCTTTCTTTCTTCATCGTCGTCCGGGGAAGGTGATTGTTTCTTGCTAATCTTCATGTCTCGGAATTGTTGGACCCCCCGTTTTATTGGAGAAAGTTATTCGCTATTGTGAACTTACAATTCATACGATTTTCACAGAGTGGCAGTTTCTTTGACAGCAGAGTCTCTGTTAACAGGAGTTGCAACCGGCCTCAGGGCATTCCATGCCGGTCTGTGAAGATTCGTGCTCCTAGCTTGTCACGGAAATTCGGTTAGTGCTCGATTGATTTGGTTGGAGCTTGAGTCTCATCGAGTTCAGCTTTGTGTAAAGTTTAGTTCTTTATTTTGGTCTTGTCATTGTAAAGGTGTTAAGGCGGTGGCAACTCCGAATTCGGCAATCGAATTACCACTAACTGCAGAGAATGTTGAGAGTGTGTTGGATGAGATTCGACCATATCTCATTTCCGATGGTGGGAATGTAGCCTTACACGAGATTGATGGGAATGTTGTGAAGTTGAAGTTACAAGGAGCATGTGGATCGTGTCCTAGCTCTGTTACCACGATGAAGTTGGGTATTGAGCGTAGGTTGATGGAGAAAATTCCTGAAATCGTTGCAGTGGAACCTATACCAGATGAAGAAACTGGGCTTGAGCTGAATGAAGAAAACATAGAGAAGGTAATGGGTTTACTTCATTCCTAGCTAGTGTTTTGCTTTTTATATGGTGGTATAATGTCAAGCACGTCATTCGGTGCAGTTGGTTTCATCTTTTGTTGCTCCAATGCGCAAACATATGGTTCATGGTACAGACTGCATATACACAAGTTAATAACTGATGAAGTTTGTTGCTGTGAAGTTAGGAAATTATAATTTAAATGAAGGTCGAAAACCCAGTGATGAAGTACCCGATTCAGTGTCCTGTGTGGTCTTGTTTAGAAGTTCCACTTACTTTTTCGGAAGTGAATTAAAGCCTACTATGGTATATGCCAGTTCCAGTTACCTGCATAGTTGAACCATTGGTTTTTATAAGTTGAATGAGGAGTCAAAGTGTGTGTTTCTAGTCCCCTAGCTGATTCTATTCAAGAGCTAGGTCTGATTGTCCCGAGACACGATATAATGTAGAGAACGAGCTGGTGACCAAGTGGTTTTAGAGTTGTAATAGAAATTTAGTTGGCTGCATTGCCTAAATACAATTGTTGAACTTTAGGTCAAAGTAGATAGATGCAGAGTGCCGTGAGTATCTCCCGTGTTTCTGAATTTCTATCCATTGGAATATAGAATTACCATTGCACTTCTCTATCCTCCAAAAAAATGCCACTGTACAGGTGCTTATCTTCTCCCTGATGACACTCTCACATCCATGTCCGTTCAGGGTGCTATTTCTTGGATCTTGAGAATCTTTCTTCTGGTCTTTACCATATACCTTGCAGTTTTGTGAACCTTGTTTCGTCAAAGGCTCAAATCTTATTACCAGCTTTGTTTCGGCAAATCCACACATTTTCCCTTGTTGCTCCAGTCACTAGTCAGGCTGGTTTGGCAAATCACCTAGGCAAACATTTAGAGGGCATCTCCTAAAATCCTTTTATCTTGACTTAATGTTTCTTAACCTTGGTTGCAATGTGTCATTTGCTTCAGGTACTAGAAGAGATCAGGCCATATCTTGTGGGCGCAGCTGGAGGGTCTCTTGAATTAGTAACAATCGAAGAGCCGATAGTGAAAGTTCGAATCACAGGGCCAGCAGCTGGGGTGATGACTGTCCGTGTTGCAGTTACACAGAAGCTGCGCGAGAAAATACCATCCATCGCTGCTGTCCAACTTCTGTGATTCCTCTCCTTGCAAAAGCCTACTCTTTAGCCTTGCAGAATGGCGACATGGCACTCAGAACCTATGACGATGCAGCCTGGTAATGTACAGTCCAGGGCACCGGGTTACAATCGGTTCTTGCATCAATCCGGTGGAATCGAGTTACCACTTCTAAGTGCATCTCCCCTTGTGCTTTTGCCTTTATACTTGCGTAGTTTGTGAGTGTAAATACTGTGGTACATGATTGCATAATGTTCAATCATTGCTTATGGAAAAAAAATGAAGGTAAATACTGTCTTGGGTTTACTTATACAACCTCTCTGTATTCTTCTGGGAAACCAACGTCTGAGGTCCTGCTGGGTTTGATACTGGAGGATAAGCTAACCCTCCAGTCTTCTGGCTGTTGTTGACCCAAAAAGAATAAGCCTTTCTTGCTGTTCTCCATTTCCTCCTTTCGCAGTACTGACGAGGACTTGCCCCTTTCCCTCTTTCTGTATGTCACAGTCACTGCTGGTCTTCCTTCTCTTCTTTGACCTCTTTTCTTTTCCACTTCTTTGTTTGCTCGGAATTCGGAAAATATTCTTTTCTTTCGCTTGAAGAAATCTTTGACATCGATTGTTGAGTGCTAACAAACGTCTCTCCACCGGGGGTTTTTAACAAACATGTTCATATACTATTTAGGTTATTCATTCTTGGTTCCTACATTAAACTTTGATGCAAACCCATTGCCTGTCTTGTCTGGGTTCATCATATGCTGAGTCTTAGTGAAATGACTTTTTGTTGATGGTAAAATGGTGCTATAATTTATCTCATCTATGGATCATGTCAATTTTATGGGTCGTAAATTTACGATATTCCAGAAGAAATTGAACGCTCTTCTTTCTCAAGCTGCAATAGGCTCGTCTTTGGTCACTGAACCGATAATTATTATTGTAATATCATGTTGTGAAGCCTTTCACTGATTTTGAAGTGGGATTATGTCGCGCCGAGATGGTGTGCCTGTAGATCCCCTCACAAATGACATTCATGGATTAGCTCCTCAATGTAATCCACAAATTCTAGCATTTTATCGATGCCATGGTCATGACTCCGGTTGAACTAGCAGTATCAATCTTTTCATCCTCGCTATGGTAGTTGAAGCATCTGAATGTTAGTTCGAAATGAATAACTTTGAGAATTCCTTCTGGGATTTTGATGAGGCTATCAAAGTTCATGTCAAGTTTATTCAGATCGCCCCCTGTTCCGATTGTAAGTCCAAGTCTCGAGCTATCAATCTAGAGAACCGTGATCGCGATAGACCTTACACACTCACCAAAAATATTTCCTTTCAATTGGGTAATAGCTCTCTATTTGACATTTTGGAGGAAAGTATGCCCTAGGGAACATAAATAGACTCATTGAGTTTTTCCTTTCAAAGGGTAATGCATTCAATGACTTGTTCCCGCATCTCAATCAGGAGAATTTTGTCGACTAAACCCCTGAACAACAATATTAATGATAATCATTAATCATTAACCATTATTTAAATAGTATACAAACCAGAAAGAAGGCTGACTAGGATGGCAATGAAACAAAAATCCAGTGACGTAATGAGGGAATTAACCTGATTTTGCTGGCCTGGCCCTTTCCGCCTGTCGTCTCTCTCTCTCTCTCTCTCTCCTCTCGATCCAATCCCAAAGCAAAAGTAGTAAAATACCAAAAATCTCTTTCTTCTTCGCGCAACCATCCCACCAACACACCAGGCAGCTTAGCTGTTTCCACCCACTCGCTCCTTCTATCTCTCCGCGCCGACACGCGCACAATCCTCCCCTACCCTTTCTTCTTCATTCCTCCTCCTCCTAGATCCACTCGCCTCAGTCTCTCCCCTTACCCGAGTTCATTCAACCGCAACCCGAGTCAAGCACTGATCAGCTCACCACACCCGCTCCGACCTCCCTTTCTCGTCTCTACTCAGCTGTCTCCGGCGCGATCGGACGAGCTCTGCGCTGTGGCCGAATTGTGTGAAAAGGGTGTTGTTTATGTCCGCGACTCAGTGCCGTAACTGAGTCGGGCATCGGGGGGGTTCTCGGAAAGGATGGGTTTATGATGGAGTTGTACCCGTGTATGGGGGATTAGGGTTTGGATTCTGCGACATTACTAGTACGGACGGTGGTGTTGGGTTAGTGTTTGGATACTGCCATGGCGACGGCCGTGGCGAGCTGGAGGGACTCCTACAAGGGGATGTCGTCCGACAATATCAAGGGTTTGGTTTTGGCGCTGTCTTCCAGCTTCTTTATTGGTGCTAGCTTCATTGTCAAGAAGAAAGGGTTGAAGAAGGCTGGTGCCTCGGGCGTCAGGGCAGGTGGGTTTGTAATGCTTGTTTCTATTTTTTCCACTTTGACTGTGGAATTTGTTGGGGGTGTGTTTGATTATGAAGCGAGCCTAATTTTTATTGTTAATTTCTTGCTGGCAATGGAGAATTAGATTGGTTTGGGTTCTGGATGGACTTTGATCCTTATTGTAGTGAATGGAGACTAAACGAATCCCACTTGGAGCTACTGGTTATGGATCACTTGATTGTTTTGCCTCATCAGATCCATGTGTGACAACAAATTACAGATTAGCTCTGCACACTCGCTGTGTGTCGATCCCTGTGAACGTAGAAACTCAAACTTTGCCATGGTATTTGACTTGGTGAAGTTTATGCTAGTTAGGACAAGTCAGTTTCATGCTTAGCCAAGATCTTATTCTCTGATATAGTGCCTGCAAATCACTTAAATTTCCCTCCTTGTCTCAATATATATCAGGGTTTATGTCCCTCATATCTAGTCTTAATCCTCAGTGATGCGATGCAAGTTTGGTATTCAAGATTCTAGATGTGTTTTCTGATGAGTTCGCATAGATAATTTCTTGTAGCTCTGCATTTGCGGGCATCTCAATTGCCATATTATGACAGCTTTTGGAATGGATATGCATGTTTAAATGATTTTCTTGAAATCCTTTTGCTAGCTACAACCATAAATGACAAGATTTCCTGACAAATTCTCTTAATTTTGGTTTGCAGGAAGTGGGGGCTATTCTTACCTGTACGAACCTCTATGGTGGATCGGCATGATAACAAGTAAGCTAAGCAAAGTGAGGTTTAAGAGTCCGAGTTACTGATGTTATCTTTGGATTGAATCAGCGTGCTTGTTCTCTTACATTTATTTACCATCTTTCATTACTAAGCCTTTTTTAGAGAGAATACGAAGTGAGCTGAAAGCTGGCAGCACAATTAGAGCCATCTGTTTACTGATCTTGATGTGCAGGGCTTATTTTCATGCGTAGAGTATTGGCTGGCCATAAGATAAATGAATAGGGCAGTGCTTGTAGAACTCAGTGATCACCTGAAACTTGTCTGTTTAATCTGGCTTGGATTTATAATTCCTGCTATAAAAACTGATATCTGGTTGCTTTTCAACAGTGATTGTTGGGGAAATAGCTAATTTTGCGGCTTATGCGTTTGCACCTGCTATACTGGTTACTCCACTTGGTGCTCTCAGCATCATCATCAGGCATGATATACCATCTTCCTGTATCTTAAGTTTTGCATTTCCAGCATTGGTTCTGATGATTTCCTGTTTCTGCAGTGCTGTTCTTGCACACATTATTTTAAGAGAGAGGCTTCATATTTTCGGCGTTCTTGGTTGTGCACTTTGTGTTGTGGGTTCCATAACCATCGTCCTGCATGCTCCCCAAGAACGCGAAATCGAATCTGTGATAGAAGTCTGGAATCTGGCTACAGAGCCTGGTATGTACTAAAACTCGGTTTGCAATCTTTGATCTTCTAAGAATTTGCTGCTGGTTATTTGTGCATTCTATGAATTTAATTTCATCCTCTTCTAATGTGCTTGCAAAGTGAATGATTGTTTCTTGTCTCCTCTTTTCTTTGCCCAGCTTTTCTGTTCTATGCAGCCTTGGTTATAACTGCCGTGTTTGTACTTATATTTCACTTCGTCCCTGACTACGGCCAGACACATATTATGGTGTACATAGGAATATGCTCTCTTGTTGGTTCTCTGTCGGTATGTATTTCTTTCTATTTCGCTGTTGCCCCTTTTGGCTTCTGGTTGTGCCTTGTACTATTTTGTTGGGTGAAATGCTGATAGTTCTGACTGAACAGGTCATGAGTGTTAAAGCAATTGGGATTGCGTTAAAGTTGACACTATCAGGAATGAATCAACTTATCTATCCCCAAACCTGGGCCTTCACAATGGTGGTCATTACTTGTGTGCTTACGCAGATGAACTATTTGAACAAGGTGAGAATTCATTGTCTTTATGTTGGTACTTGGGGGTTTTCCCCCTATGAGCAATCCTTAGTGCTTGTTAGTTGTTAGGTGTGGTTCATTTTCTCATATGTCTGTTTCATTTGCTGCAGGCACTTGATACCTTCAATACTGCCGTTGTATCCCCCATCTACTATGTAATGTTCACATCACTAACCATTTTGGCGAGTGTGATTATGTTCAAGGTATTTAATCTGTTCTATGACTAGTCTAGTCAAGCATGCATAATACTCGGGCATTCCTGATACTCTTGTTATCTCCCTGACTTAACTTTTATGACCTGCATACCCATTATGACTACTGCTTGGTGAAGTCTCCTATTCATACATTGGACTATGTTTTTTCCTTGAATTTTTACTTCATGTAATGCAACGAAAACTGTTTCTAGTCATTTGAATACTGCTATTTTTTCATTACCAAGGTTCGTCTTTCCTACCTCGCAATTGGATTTAAGATTGACTCTTAGTTAGCTTCGCTACCACTGGCTTAAATGAGTATAAACAGAATTTCTTAAACAAAATAAGAAGCCAGGAGACTTGTGAGTAGAGCAAAAGGATTATACATGGAGGATTGAATTTAAGAAAAGCTCAAAAGAATACCAAAATTCAATATGTAGGCTTTGGTTTTCAGTTAGTACTTAGTAGTATTCGTTAATATTGATCAGGTTGGGAGGATTAGGTTGGTCATGAATTCCATATCTTATAATTTGGGTGTTCTTACTTCCATCATGATTGGGAGGATTTGGTTTTTGATCAATTTCATATTTTAAAATCTCGAGTATTCTTCCATCAGGATTGGGATAGGCAAAGTCCAACCCAGATAGTGACGGAGATGTGTGGGTTTGTGACCATCTTATCAGGCACATTTCTTCTCCACAAAACCAAGGATATGGCTGACGGTATGTTTACTATAAGACATTTCCTTCTATTCCTTGGTATTGAGGGAACGATCCATCCTATATGTTCCCTGCTCAATGCTGGTTTGTATCCATCTTTCTGATGTTTGGTAACAGGTTCAGCAGCACTCCCTGTCAGAATACCGAAGCATTCAGAAGAGGATGGGTATGAAGGCGAAGGAATCCCTCTCAAGCGCCAGGATGGAATGCGATCGGCTTCCCATTAGGAGACATATGTTGAGTTGCTCCTTCATTTTGCACAACAATCGCTGCTGATGGCAATGCTGTTTATCTAGGGCAGGACCAGCTCTCTGACTCCTCGAGATCATCTCGCACTTCACAGATATGACATGGTTGGTGAACGGAAAGCAAGACTCTACTTTTGGCTTTCTAAGTGTACACACTATACACCGTCCAGAGTTCAAGCACTTTCGTCCCACGTAGGAGCAAGAAAGATAGAGAAGTGGAATTGGGCGATTGTAATTTTTGAGCGATGCTTGCTTGTTATATAGTGTAATTTTTTCACCAATTATACAGTTGAGTTCTTGATCAGCACCCTTTTTCCGCTAATCACCTATGGCATTCCACCATATTCATATTCTATGCAAAACACAGCATGAGCTCTCAACTACAATTCTGCCTCTACAAACATGTATGGTGGCTGTATCATTTTTCAGGTTCGCCACAGCTAATCCTCGCACCTAAGTTTGAGCTTTAACAGGGTATTCTCTACTAACTGGCTGAGTTTTACTATCGACCATAAATGGATGATCATCTGGAAACTGTATGCTTTATCCAAATACTTCAGCTTTCATTTCTTTGTTATTTGCTTCAGAAGGGCAGACACAGAAGCACAATGCGTCGACTTGCTCTCACACTTCTCGCAGCATGATTGCAGGTTTTCGATAACTTTCTGACACCTGCATTGCAAGCATCCCAAAATTTGGTAACTGATTAGTTATTCTGCAACTTCTCCAAAACAACTAATAAAATTGATCACCACAGCAGTCAAAATTTTACAAAGCGATGAAGTGAATAAGAAGTTCAAACGAACAGACACAAGCAGTTTGAAGCCCTCCGCAGCGAACCGGTGAGGAAAGGAGCCTTGATTTTTCACCTAAGTGTTCCTCACACAGCATGAAATGAGCCTACCTAATGGTTAACTACTGTTAACCAGTAGGTAGCCAAATCTTTAATGTTGGCTGCCCTGCTATAGTGAGGGAAATGAAACAATGAACGTACAATTTCTATCCACCAAGATGTTGTGCCCACATGATGATGCATATGATATGTGGCTATATAATAATTAAAAGAAAACAGAAACCGTTGGAATGAATTTAAAGGTAGCTTGGACAGTGAAATGGCATGGGAAGTTCATGAACCATCATTCGCCTAACTCAGCTAAACATTACTCTTTCAGAAGCCTATAAAGAACAATTTGTACTGCAATCCTTGAAATCATAAGCAGTCTGGGGTCAACAAGAAAAACTTTCAAAAGGATTGTCAAGTATCAAATCTGCAGTTATTGTACCCGACCTATCTTACAAGGGAGTACCTAAATCAATTTGGAGGAAGAAGCAAGATGCCCATGTACATTAACATGAATTAAAACTCTCAAGGAGTTAGCAGTTCGGTAATCCAGGAGGAAGTAACTATCTATCGCTCTTTGCAGTTTGCACTTTGCACACCAAAATTGAGCAGTTAGCACTTAGTAGTCAAGGCTACTTCCACCATATTATTCTCTGCATTCCTCCTGTCCAACAAAAGAACAACACTTGCAAGGAACCAGAGCGACAAGCTCAATCGTTACGATGATCAATAACAAAGGAGATAGTTAAACATCACATGACACCTAAGATCCCAACCACATTCATCTATATCCAAATGTTCTCTCTAATGGCACAAAAAGAACAAACGAACTTCGTGGTTCACACTTCCCTTCAATTATACTCTAAGAACCGATTCTTAATTACAGGTATCCGAATTTGTCATTCTAAGAGCCTAGACAAACTTCATTGTCAGCCACCTTTCACAGCAGAGAAACAGAACTCTAAACATGAAATGAATGTCAAAGCAATCATTACAAACAACAGAGTTAAAGATGATAAATTTTTCATTCTCCTTTAGAGTGAGGGCTCAACTGCAGTATAGCAAGATCAATTCCGGCACACTGAAGTATAGCAAGATCAATAACAGCACAAACCAACAATACCGTTGAGCACCATCCTCTGTTACTGATTTATTCACTGGAAAACAATCCAAACCAGCATCCACAATTGACCCCCGGAGGCAAAAACCCTAATCCCCCACGACCCATCTTCGTAAATGGAAGATCCATATAAACTTTGTAAGGAAGATCAAATGAATTCACGGTTTACCCATTACCTCTGAGGGAGGAAGTTATTCTTGGAGAGACAAGCTTGAATATCGCAGACTTCTTTCTTGCACGGCTCTTGGCTGGGTTGGGCCATCTTCCTCCCCACTTTATCTCTCTCTCTCTCAAACTTCCCTCTGTTCAGTATATTTGGCCTTGGGTTCAATCAACAGATTGCAGAGAACAATCGCTGATTCCTTCCTTCTCCTCCACCGTTGTATTATATTCCCAGGAAGGAATCAAACTTCTGTAGATTCAGAAACTCCCCCGAAGTTGGGATTTACAGCCTGCCCACCATCATTCTGCAAATGCAATTCCAAGCTTTTCTTTCGGTGATTGAAAATGGAATTTCAGGCTTCAGCTACGAGCACATTGGTCACCAATCCGGTTTGGTCAGTTTTTTTTTTCTTGCGGGTAGAATTGACCCGGTTAAGGGCCCAGTATGGATAAAAGAAAATAACAGAAACGTTTCTTCGTTATCGTTAAGGTGACTGTGGGGGGAACTTAATTGATCAAACCTGAACTTTGTGGACTTGGTAGTCTAAAGTTTAAAAGTTGAGGCACTAAATATGTATCCAACCAAAGTTCAAGGAGTAGTCGAAGATGAGAAGCAAGCAGGAGTTCTGTATTTTATTTTCTTTTTCTTTTTATTTCCTTCCTTTTTTCGGTCGAAGTAGTTCTGTCTTCTTGTTTGCACAGAGACGCCAAAGTTCCATTTATTAATTTTTTGTGTGCTCTCTCTCCGCCTTGCTGCAATGGGGAGGATTCTAGTTTTCACGGCAAAGCTAAAGCAAGCATCGCTTCTATGGCTTGAAGGATTTTTAGAAGCTTGCTGCCTTCATCGCGCCTTCATCCTCTGTCGCAGGTTTCAGTTTCTGTAAACTCTTCCCAATTGGTTGCCAAGGAAAATTTTCCTCCCTTGTTTTCGGAGAGGAAGCGATTACTTGCCTGACCAATTTGAAGTCTTTTCTTCTGGGTTGGCGCTTGGCAGGTCGAAGAAGCTACTGATTCGAACCGGGCAGTGCTTTCTGTTGAATGGATTCATATTTTTGGGAAGGTAACTTTTCGTTTCTCTCTACTTCAAACCTCTTGATTGGAGTGGCAAATCAGAATGTGATTCATTTAGGAAGAGAATCTAGTTAGTAGAGGTAGGGAACAAGATGAGGGTGATATTAGATTATGGTTACCTTGAAGATCTTGGTGAAGTAATGGTCCAAAAGTTCTCTACTGTGCAGTCTATTTATGCTGAACTCAGTACTCATCCCAGCATTACAATGGATTTTGCCTGATAAGTGCTCAGAGATTAGCTCCCATGAACCATGCTTGCACGGTGGCATTCTGAAATACTACTCGTTCTTACGCCGTGGCCTCGTGCAACTCTTTTACGTGAGTATGCTGTTCATAGCGTTATTATATCACTTCCATCTCATGATTATAACTCATCAATCAATTTCATTTCATAGTTAGACAAATTTCCAGTGGTGTGGGTCCAAGATTTTCGCAGCAAGGTTGCTGCTTTCTATTGTTTTTCTTCCCATACATTTCTGGCACTTGCTTATGAAACGAATGATCTTTTACCGTTGTCTTGTGTCCAATTACTGGGTTAGTAATATAAGGTTTAGAGTAAACAGTGAGGGAAAGTCTTCATAATATTTTAAACCTGTCCCAATCTAACTGCAAATGGCAGTATCGCTACGTTTCTTGTTCAAAGGTTTCGTGTTGAGGCAAGCATTCACAATTTCCTCTCTGTCTAAGGTTTCAGAAGGTTAACCCCTATATGTTGCTTTTACTTGCAGATCTTTTGGGTCTGCCCAGTGTACCTGTTCAGTATTATCCTGAGCACTCTCTGGTATCATTCTTTCTTTTTTAGTTTCAGCTTTCCAATTGGACTTTACTTCTTCTTTTCAAGTGGTTTGCTCTGTGCTGGTACTATGAGGTGAAATATGAATGCAAAAGAAAATGTATTTTCAAATGCTTTGCCCGAGCATATGCCAGTATCCCACTTAAGAAAATATAAGGTGGAATTATCCCTCAGTTAGTTGCCAATGTGCTACTTTGATTTGAACGAGGATGGTTGGAGGTTCATTTGACTTGCTAATATTGTTAATCTCAGCTTCAGCCTCACATGTGGGTTTGTTGGTGCTTCTAGGCCTTCTATTTATTTTAATTTTTATTAATCTCTGACCTCTTATTTCCACCGCCTTAATCAAAGGTACAATGACATTGCTAAACATGGTTTCGCTGCAATGGGAAACAATGGACTCAACCTATCGAAACCCTCACGCTCGGATGAGATAGAAGCAGAGACGAAAAAAGCTCCAATGGAGAAGCCTCCTGGTCTCGAGGGGTACTTCAAACTTGCACCTATCTCTTAGTGATTCTGTTTTCTCCCTTCAATGAACCTTTAAAATGGGAAGTTGTTGATTTTTTTTTTTTTTTGTACTTTTTCCTGGCAGGATTTTCGTGGGAATAGGGGAGCAGGTGTACTCACTAATGCTGTTAACATTCTTCTTGCTGCAGGTTGGTGTATTGTCATTTGAAGTGTTATTGCAGTATTGTGGTTGATATCTTTCAGAACTTGTCATGGGTCTGCTATTTTGGTTTGTGCATGTTAATCTTTTGAGCTGTTGTACTTCTCCAACTAGTAGTCACAGTGATTTTTTCTTTAACAGTTGTCACATGAGCAAACTTCTCACCAGTCATGCTGGTAACAGTTTTTACAGAAAAGTTGTTCATAAGCCTATCTACAGGATCACTTATGAGTCCTTAGAATCTGGTTTTTGTTAACTGTATCGCAGTGATCAAGCTGGCAAGTGAGCTTGGTACAATGCTCTTTCAAGTGGGCTAACCCACGTTTCACTGCTGAAATTGCAGCAGCAAAATCACTACTTATGTTTTTCCATTTTTAACATCTGTGCTCTCTTATGTACAGGTTCATGCTGTAGGAATCGTGCCCTTTGTTGGGAAGGCATTGAGTTTTGTAATGATGTCCTGGATGTATGCCTACTACTGTTTCGAGTAGGTGGATGTGTATGCATTTTTCCAGTATGACATGTTTGATGTTGTAAAGTACTTTGTGTGGATCATTCCCCTGATTTTGGTTCTCTGCTCTTGTTTAGGTACAAATGGAATTTTTCTGAAGTGCCACTGGACAGGAGACTGGACTTCTTCGAAACGAACTGGGCCTTTTTTGCTGGTTTTGGTAACTATGTCCTGATCTCTCTCGGTGTCGCCTGTTTTTGTGAACTTCCATAGCTAGTTATTTCTCCACATTCCTCAAGTCAGTTTATAGACGATCTATCAATAAAACATCCTGCTCCATGCTAACTCTTGACGTTCCCTAAAGATGGAATTCCTTCGTTTGCAATTTTCCAGGCAGCCCTAGTGTTCTGGCTATCTTTTTTGTGTCAACTTTTGTGAGCTACGGCGTGATGGGCGCTCTATATCCCCTCGTAAGTATCAGACATCCAAATTCACATACATATCAACCTACCTCTTCACATTTTCTTGAGATGGCAGTAAACATATACTCTGTCTCTTTCAGTTTGTTCTAACTGCAACTAGCTCGAGCGCTGACCATCTCATTTTCTCCGAGAGGAAAAAATGGAAAGGGATAGGACTCCGGAGGCTGCCCATATTTTGTGCCGCGGATACATTATCGTAAGTTGCCATTCAAACCCTTTTGGCACCGTAGAAATCAAACATCTTGAACCGTTAGAACTGTGAACGTAGTCGTGATCTCTTTGTTTCGACATAGTGGTTTCCTCATTCTGCTTCTGCCCTGTTTTTTTCTGTAGGCTTCGAAGCTTGTCCATCCTCCCATGGATTCTCGACATGATCACCCGGATAATAAGTCGAGCTAAAACCTGGTTAGCTTCTTTGCGCAACAAGCTGCAAGCAAAGCGCAACACCTAGAAATGGATTAAGTTGTATGTATGTATGTATATAGCCTCCATACACAGTTTTTTCATGATCTGGAGGGAGCCGAATCCTGGAACCCTCGTCAGATGGACGACGGCTGCAGCATTTTATGGATCAATGTACAAAGTTAGAGAAGTAATGTGTTGTACAAACGGCTGGAGCGCACTGCTCTCTGAACCTTTTGAGTTCTTTTATGTACAGAAAATATACCTGGATTCGAGAGTGATGCAGCTTTATTCTGAGTTTGTACTAAGTTGCTTGGTGTTGGGCCCGTTGGTCCAAAGAGTCCATTTACTTCCACTGTTCCCATTCAGGCCCATGAAGTTGCTTGGCCCATGGTTGTTAATCCCCTCCGTTTCACCTTCTTCTCCGCCAACTCGTTCGTTCCCCATATTTCCACTTCCTGTTTCAGCTTCTTCTCCAGACGAAGAATGGAGACGACGAAGAACGCTAGTGCGATCGCAAGGACAGAGCCGGAAACCGGCGATGACGACCGACTCAGCTCGTTGCCGGACCATGTAATCTCCCACATACTCTCTTTTATGGAAACCAAGTACGCCGTGGCCACCACAGTTCTCAGCCGGCGGTGGGAAGATCTTTGGACTAGGGTTTCCAGTCTCGACCTCGACCGCGCAGAAACTAGAACCTGGTTCAGTTGTTTTAAAGAGGAGAGATTTGGAATTCCGCCGCTTCGTCGTTCCGCTTCTATTTCTCCGATGGGTATAATATGAAATTAGTGCTTGGTTCTCCAGTTGAGGAGAATGACGTTCTGATTTACGGCTATCCAGGATACGGAAGTAGCCAATTTTGCCTGTGCATTCGAGAAACCTACACTTTGAAGAAGCTGAAAGTTGCCAAGCTTTCGAGGGCTATACTGGGTGCAATACACGAGTCCGTTTTTCTTCCTAGTCTGAAAATTTTTTTTTTTTTTTTTGGTAGAAAGTAGTCTGAAAATTTTAGTCTGAAAATTTTACAGCTGCGTGAGGTGGAGTTTGAGGACTTTGATTCATTAGGCAGGCTCATTTCTGGTTGCCCTGTTCTGGAAACTGCTCATCTGGGGAGATGCAAGCCCTCTAACCGGACCGAGAAGGCCATAATCGAGGTTTTGTTACCATGCTTGAAGAACTTGGCGATTAAAGATTATGACCATCCGATGTGTCCCATTGTTATGGAAGCACCAAAACTTGAGGATCTTTATCTTCAGGAGTTTGCGGACTTACAGTTTAAGGGCAGAACTCCATTGCCATGACTTCATACAGCAGATGTTGATGTAGGCAAGGAGTGCTGAACCTCGTTATCATGACCTGATTCGTCTGCTTGCAAGAATCTCTAATGCAAAGAAAATGTTGTTATCAAGGCACACTCTGGTAATAAGTTCCACTGTTTTCTCTCCGTTTATCTGATTTTCTTCATGATAGAGCTAATTTTGTGAAACCTTGTTTCAGCAGACTCATCTGTCAGCTGTCAATGATGTTCAACTGCCTGTTTTCCCCAATTTGGCACATTTGACAATTGAGATCTGGGGCTTCAGGGGCAGTAGCTGGGTTCTGCACTCTTTGCTCAACTCAGCCTCCAAACTACAATCTCTTGTCATTGACTTGGTCAGCCCTGTGTTCATTCGTTTGGGATGTTCCTTTGATGATTATTCTAATGAATATCTACATGACGCAGGATGATACAGGTCTAGCACCGATGAGAATGAAGTGGGAGAATTTAGAAACTGCTTGCACGCCGGAGTGTTTGTTATCAAGCCTGGAGGAGATCGAGATCCTGGAACTCCTCCAAGCATATGGAGAAGAGAGGAAAATGATAGCACATTTGCTCAAGGCTGGAGTTGTCCTGAAGAAGGTGAATATTCACGCAAGTTATTCTCACCTAATGGACGACCCAGATTTTTTGTCACTACCAAAACTTCCAAGAGGATCGAGCGCTTGTGCAGTCGAGCTTTTCGTGCCCTAAAGCAAACTGAAGCGACATGACTGACAGTAAGAAGAACACCCGCGTCGACGACAAAGAGTAGCCTCTCAATAACATATGATGAATTGCATTTTGATTTCGTTAACCTAATTCGCTAGGGTAAGGATTCTTGCGTGCTCTGTTCTGATTATACGAGCCATCTCTTTTGGGAGTAATGGTATGGATGCATAATCTACTGAGGCATTGTTAGATGCTTTGGTCCAAGACCGAATGTTTCAAGCTCTTGTTGTCTAGGTTGCTTCAGAAGCTTGATTTGTTCTAAGCTGATTATAAGAACTTAAGAAGTGTCAATTCAGGCTTTCTCATGTTTTGTCTTCCAAGAACATGGAATGTTCGATATCTATCAATGAAGGATTGATCAACCTGTTTTATGAAATTGAGTGGTCCCTTGACTTTTGAGTACGTCCTCATATATCAGGCTCCAACCTAGGTAGTCATATGGAAGGGTGTGCATGGTCTAATTTGATCTAGAAATAGAACGAATTGACTCTAGATCGAATCGAAAATGAACGGGTAAAATCTCAACAATGTCTCATACAAAAATCTTTCAAACATTACATGGGATCAATGTCCTCAGCTCAAGCTTCCTGGGGCCTGTATTGACCCAATTTCATTCGTTCAGTATTTCAGGCGTCGGCGAGGTTACAATTGCGGAACATATCCCCAATGATGAGTCGTCCTCTTACCTCTCTAATTTATGACACATTCCTCGTGGAAAGTTAAATCAGTAATCGGTCTAGAAAGAAATACCACCGATGATGAGAATCTGATTAGGATGGTGGGATTGATGAATAATTTGAGTAATAAGACGAAAGGGAGAAAGTTGGATGGAGGCTTTAGGTTTGGTTGTTTGAGGAAAGAAGGAAAGCAAAACACTTTCTTGTATTTCTTTGATTTTAGTAGGGTTGTTCTGGTTCTTTCTTTCTTTCTTAGCAACCAAGGTTTGATTAGTTAAATGCTTCTAGCTTTCATTTCATCAGTGAATCAGCGTGCTTTCCTGACGTGGATACCATTTTGGTCGTTTGTTGGTAAAAATAACTACCAATGAATTAATGTCCAACTTGAATAATTGTCAACCACCATTCCACCACTAAACAAGTTCCAACTACGTGATTCATCAATTGGTTAATTGGTTAGAGTGGTTAAAAAAGATGTTTAACCACACCAAATCATCTAAATGAGGCATCTAGTCTCAAATCTCTCAATTAAAAGTTCAGATATTAATAATACCCATAATTTGATCAAATAACATGTTTGACAATTGATCAAGTTTTTAATTGATAAATTCATAAGAAAGACCTGCCCTTTCCTTCTTCGTGCCACATCTTCTTTCTCGGCCAAACTGCAGTCTGATAAAGCATGCTACTTTTGAGCTGTTCCTTTGTTCATTCCATGCTCTTTCCACACCAGAGCTCTAGCAATCCAGCAACTCACTCCCTTCTTTTACATACTTTTGAGCTGCTCATTGTAGCTTTCCACGTCGTCTCCAACCTTCACCCACATTTCTAACTCCATCTGATGCATTCCCCCCTCCCTGTATAAATATGTACACAACTCGCTCCGAATACTTCCACTTCCAGCTTCCAGTTTCAGCTTCCTCTCCAGCCAGAGAATGGAGACGACGAAGAACGCTAGTACGACCGCGAGGGCAGATCCGGAAACCGGCGACGTCGACAGGCTCAGCTCGTTGCCGGACCATGTCCTCTCACACATCCTCTCCTTTATGGAAACCAAGTACGCCGTATCCACCGCAGTTCTCAGCCGGCGGTGGGAAGATCTCTGGACTAGGGTTTCCAGTCTCGACCTCGAAAGGGTCTTCACTCCCCAGTTACTGATCGAGGCGATGAGTCGAGAAACTGATGCTTTGGAGATTAGGGATTTGGAATTCTGCCGACTCGTGAACAAGGTAATGGGCCAGCACAAGGATCTCAATTCCGTTAGGCGTCTTCGATTCCGCTTCACAGATGATCACGGGGAGTTGTTTGATAAAGGGTTGGTGTTTGGTCCTCCAATGGAGGAGATTGATGTGAAGATCCACGGTTGTCCAGGAAACGGAAGTAGACAACAACGTTGGCGCTGCGTTCCAGAGAATTTCTACACTTTGAAGAATCTGAAAGTTGCCAAGCTTTCAGGGGTTATACTGGGTGCAATAAACGAGTCCGTTTTTCTTCCTAGTTTGAAGATCTTACAGCTTTGTGAGGTGGGGATTGAGGACTTTGAGTCACTAGGCAGATTCATTTCTGGTTGTCCTGCTCTTGAAAATGCTCATCTGGAGAGTTGCAAGCCCTCGAACCAGTCCGAGAAGGCCATGATCGAGGTTTCGTTACCGTGCTTGAAGAGCTTGGTGATTAAAGATGATGGCAATCGGGATGGTCCGATGTGTCCCATTGTTATGGAAGCACCAAAGCTTGAGGATCTTCATCTTCGGGAGTTTGCAGACTTACATTTTAAGGGCATAACTCCATTGCCATGCCTTCATACAGCAGATGTTGATGTAGGCAAGGAGTGTCGAACCTCGGTTCATGACCTGATTCGTCTCCTTGCTGGAATCTCTAATGCAAAGACAATGGTGTTATCAAGGCACACTCTGGTAAATAAGGTCCACTGTTTTCTCTCTGTTTATCTGATTTGTTTCATAGGATTAGCTAACTTTGTCAAACCCTGTTTCGGTAGAGTCATCTGTCAGCTGTCGATGATGATGTTCAACTGCCTGTTTTCCCCAATTTGGCACATTTGACAATTCAAATCGGGGGCTGCAGTGGAAGCAGCTGGGTTCTGCACGCTTTGCTCAACTCAGCCTCCAAACTGCAATCTCTTGTCATTGTCTTGGTCAGTTCCCTGTGTTCATTCGTTTTGGGATTGTTCCTTACTTCCTTTGATGATTTTGCTGATGAATATCTACATGAAGCAGGGTGATACCATTGGACCGATGGGAATGAGGTGGGAGAACTTAGAAACTGCTCGCACGCCAGAGTGTTTGTTATCGAGCCTGGAGGAGATCGAGATCCAGGAACTCCAGGTATGTGGAGAAGAGAAGAAAATGATAGCATATTTGCTCAAGGCTGGAGCTGTCCTGAAGAAGGTGAATATTCAAGGAAGTTATTCCGACCTGGCGGACGATATCGATTTTATGTCACTACCAAAACTTCCAAGAGGATCGAGCGCTTGCACAATCGAGCTTGACCTGATACAACGGAGACGACTAGACCCCGTGGCGGATCTACGGCATTCATGGGACTATTTCTTTGAAATTTGAGAAAATGATTATTCTAACTCCTGATAGTAGTTTGTGTGTGGGTGAAAAAAAAATTAAGTGGTAGCGGATACTTTAAAAATTTTGAAAAACGATTATTCAACCCTCGGCAGTAGTTTGCGTATGGGTAAATAAAAACATATCAGTGGTAGCTTATATGATTTGAACTTGCGCCATTACTGCTACTATTGGTATTTGGTAAACAATTTTTCAAAATTTAAATATAATTGTAAAAAACTATTCCTTATCGCCAATTACTTTCAAAAGCTAACAATTAAACTCAATTACGAACTCCATTTGTCTAGGGTGTATTGAGAGAGACTATAACGAGTTTCGATTCAAGTCTTCCTATGTTTTGTCTTCTTCGAAATATTAGATAAACATGAAGGATTGGGTAGTGCCACTCCAACCAAATTCCATTGGGTCGGATGTAAGATGTAAAATACGTGACCCACTAAAGATCGAGTAGAGGCAGGTGTGTACATGGGCGCTGGGCCGTACTTGGGCCGGCACGGCCTAAGCACACTTCGTGCCCATTTATTTCGTGTTGTGCTTGGCACGTCCAGTTAGTTTTCGTGTTGTGTTGTGCCAATCTATTTGTTACTTTTGCTAGGCCCGGGCCGGGCTCGAGCACAGATTGAATCGTGTCGTGCCTATTCGTGCTCGTGCTGCACTCATAATCGTGCTTAATGAAAGGGGGAAAAAAAATTGGACGATGAATGTAAGTGTTAACAGAGGATGTTCAAGAAATGTAACAAATAAGGGGTGGAAAAGAAAACTGGAAGCATAACGGGCTGTGATGTGGCTTTATTTAATTCTTCATTCGTTTTTACGTATCGTAGTAATTGCGCAGATATCTCTATGATCGCTTCTAACAATAACAAATAATTATTTTAGTACTTGCATGTTGTAATATGTGAACTTATAATCCTTTCTATATTTATTTTTATGAAAGAAATATTATTTTCGTTCCATTTCCATTCTTATACTCCATAAGGTCTTGAAAATATCAGGCTCAGCACGGCCCACTTATAAACCGTACCGTGCCAGTACTCGTGAAAATATAAGGCCACGATAAGCACTAGTTGGAATTCCAACTTGGGGGTTTTGGACATTTGAATTCAAGTAGTTGAGCAGAGCAGTTGAATATCTGTATAATCCTTATCCCGCTCGGAGTTGGCACGAACTAGGAAGTGATGCCCAGAAGCAAAAGGACTGGCACTGGCTGGCAATGGCTACCCTCTAACACCAGTTGTTTCCGGACACTCTGGCCTTGCTTCCTCGCCAAACAAAATCAGCTTGCCATTCACTGATCCCACAGCAAGGTATTTCGCATATTGACCAAATCCCAAGCACGATGCTCTCCCTGCAGAGGTAAATTCAGAACCCAAAACCAGTCAAGTCAGTCAAATACACCACCTCTTCAAAACTTTGAGACAATGCAGATGCAGCAGAAGCAAGTAGTAACCTGTATCGGTACGAGTTTCGATGGAGTTCCAATCCTCTGTCGGGTTCGAAACTCTGCACAATCCCAATTACCAAACACAACAACAACAACAAACAATCAAGTATTGCAGAAAGAATCCATGAAGACGTTAACAGAGATTCGTTTGTTCTGGAAAAGAACAACCAAAGCTTGTCCTTCCTACCTTATGCCAGAGCTTGTTGCAACCCCCAAGTAAGGGCAGCCGTGGCCGAATGTCACTGCAACCACAAGATTAAGATTAGTTCTCATCATTGGACTTAAATGTTTACATCACCAGAAGTTGAGATCATGCAATAAAACAATAACAAAAGAAAAGACAGTCCAGTCCACCTTAATGAGCAAACATTTTTAAGGAAGAAAAAAAAAAGCATACCGGAGTTAGCTGGTGTATCTGCATCGTAAAATTCGGGGATACAGAGTTGCTCCCATGTGCGGCAATCCCAAAGCTTAACGCCATCTTCTGCAGCAGTCTGTTCAAAATTCATGTAGATATAGCACCAGATCATTGCCAACAAAACTACAGTTATATCGCGATTTTCGGTATGTTCATTGAGCAAGCAGGAACACTTACAGCAAGCAAGGCATGGGTTTCAGAGAAAGACATGGCAGTAACTGCCTCGACATGCCCACCACCAAGTTCGGCAACTGGTGCCTTCAATCGAAAAAAACCCGAAAAACGAAATAAGCTGATGCCAACTATCCCCAGTACACTGCAACAACATTGAGTCACTACTTACTCATTATTAGTACCTGTTTTCGGACATCCCAAATTTTGACAATACCTCCGCAAGTGCCCAATCCAAGAACCTTACCTTCAGGATGGAAGGCAGCAGCCGTGTACCCTGCACGCTCCGAACCGTCTCTAACTGTAGTATTAACCTGCAGAACCAAATTCAGAATCCAGCCACATTCGTGATGGTAACTGAGAGGCAGAATAATAAAAAAGGATTTGTTCCAGAAACATTACCTTCGACCCGGAATCGCCGTAGAGATCGTAGAGCCACCATGTAGCATCAAGAGAAGCAGTCACAATATATTCGGCATTGACAGCGATAGCTCGAACCTGCACAGCCAAACACCATAAATGTCACTCGCCATATACTTTTGAACCCTGAAACCCCATAATCACCTACCTCATCCGTATGATTCTTAAAAGTGTGTCTGTAAACATAGCTCTCATCTTCAGTTCGTTCCCATATACGAACAGTCTGTAACAATGTAGGAAGAAAAAAAATCATGCGCGACAGAAGCATCTGCATTCGAATACACAAGACTGCAAAGGGTAAAAAAAATGGGAAGCAAAACAGTTCACATACCTTATCAGCCGATCCCGTCAAGAAAACCTCACCATCAACCGCAAATTTGACAGCAGTAACCTTCTTTGAGTGACCAGTAAGTGTTGCCCGGACCTTTCTTGAAGAGTAATCAAACAGTACGGCGGTACAATCGTCTCCTCCGGTGGCAATCATGTCCTAAAAATAATACAAAAGAATGTAAATCTCAATCAGAAAGGGGATAGATGATCAAGATGTATACCTTGGAATACTCGATATCCATTGATCCGACTCGTCCTTGGTGGACTGAATGAGTGGCAAGTTGATAGTATCTCCCCAAATCTTCAAAAGAAGCCAAGGTGTCCACCACTTCATCATCCTCATCCTTTGATGATATAAAAGGAGCTGGTTCACTTGAACTTCTTCTCATAGCCTTCTTCTTTCGACGACGAGAATCAGATTTTCCTTGCAGTAACTCTAAGTATTTGAGTGATGGTCGGCGGCGCTTCAATTCTGCACCAGCTACAGTTTGGTTGTGCTGCTTTTCGATTGCAGGCCAGCCGAATCCGCCTTTCGGATTACGCTTTGCTGCGAGCATTATTGCGCGAAACAACAGACCGGGTTCAAGCACGGTTTCCTCCGATGTTGTTTTCCTCTTCGTCGATGCGCTGCTGCTGCTGCTGCTGCTTCTTGTTATTACCTGATTCGATGCACAGCTACTTGCTGCCTCCACATCGAAATTCCCGGGCTCTTTGAGAGGGAATACGCGACGATAGCAATACTTGACCTTGAGATTCCTGAAAGTTTCCTCGAAATTTGAGGAAGAGTACTCGAATGTTGCTCCAAGAAGATCCTTCAATGAATTCAGCTTCGCCATATCTGAACCATGCTCACAATTGTAGGCTTCTGCTGTAAAAGCCAACTCTGCGAGAGATGTATTTAGGAACGTCTCCAGCAGCTTAAAAAAATACATGTTACAGTGACTTTTCACTTCAGGGTCCGACCTCATGATTTGGACAGCAAGCTCGAGCAATTTCTTCGTCTCTCCGCAGGGTTGTTCCGCCGAATCTGCAATTCCCGCCGGAGTTGGAGATATGGGGGAGGGAGACGACATTGCCAAGGTAGAAGACAAGAAAGAGCGCAAACTGAACCTGCTCAAACTCCCCTAGAATAAAGAAAGATGAAAAACATCAGGATTAAAACCCTAATAATTACAATCAAGTTGCTTCTTTTATCGGGATAAGGAAAACAAGGAACTTGCGGGACAAGTAATTAAAACACAGGGAACAGCAATATCAGGTCAAGCTGCTTGAAACAAACAACTTAATAAAAATCAAACATCAACCTCCAGAGATATATGTATATGTATTCAAACTATAGGATAGAACGTTCACCGCCATAATACAAGAACAACAATTTCCTACTGATTTCCATAAATTTTGCTACCTGGGTGAGTTTAATAACTAATCCTTAGGCTCATGTATACATGTATTTCATGTAAAACTAACAGCTTTTTGCAATCATCATGGAGCCTCTCCTTACCAGAGAGACAAAATAGCTTGAAAAAGAAGTAAGAGACCAAAGGGAAATTCAGCATATGGTTTTTCCCCCCACACCATAGCTCAAAAGAACACTTGGATCCGTCCACCAAACTAGAGAGTTTGTGCATGCGTATATATACTATATAGGTTTAGTTTTATTATTATTATTATTATTATTATTATTATTATTATTATATAAGGTTTAGAGTTTGAGGAGAATTCTTATACGTGTGACTTTGCTAATTAACTAATATTTAAGAACTTAATTAACTAATATTTAAGAACTTAATTTAAACAATCAAATATTATTCAATTAAAATAAATGCAAAAAGGCCCTCCAAAAGATAACCATATAATAAGGGTGGCTATATGGTCCGATCCGGTTAATTTGGCCCAAATTGATCTGGTTCTGGTCCGATCTTTCGGGAATATGAGGACCAAAGATTGGATTGGATATAGTCCAGTCTTGATCCGGTAGTGTCTAGACCCGGTCCAGTCCCAATTCGGTTTTGATTTTAGATTGACCTTGTGGGGATTTGAGTGGCCTAAGGCCTGAAAGGGTGAAGAGTTGGTTAAGTTTTGGGTGCTGGTATCTCTTATCTGGTCTTTATCCAGTTTTCGGTCCGGTCCCAAACGATTTTTTACCTCAAATATAAGCCCGGAGATGGAATTGAATTGTTTGTTATCCAGTGTCTGTCCCGATCAGGTCTCGATCCAGGTTATACGAACCAATTTTCGGATAAAATAAAATAAAAAACCGCACCCCTACTAGATACCCCTTTGATTGAATTCCCCATTCTTGTTCTCGGAACCCTTTTTGTTGTGAGGCCCAAGGTCCAAACAAATGCAGAATAGTAATTTACCAAACTAATTTGTGTCCAGCAAGGCCCACGAATGCTGTCTTCTTCGCCCTCAAATTCCACGATCAACTTGCTCAGTTGCTCTCCACTCTCCAGACCGAGAATGGAGACGAAGAAGAGTAGTAAAATCGCGAGGAGGACAGAGCCGGGAATCGGCGATGACGACAGGCTCAGCTCGTTACCGGATCCAGTCATCTGCCACATCCTCTCTTTTATGGAAACCAAGTACGCCGTCGCCACCGCAGTTCTCAGCCGTCGGTGGGAAGATCTTTGGACTAGGGTTTCCAGTCTCGACTTCGACGGCCGCTTGGTTTACAGGTCTCTGGCCAAACCGCAGAAACTAGAACCTGCTTCAGATTTTGTAAAGCGAGATATGGAATTCTGCCGCTTCGTCGACAAGGTACTGGGCCAGCACGAGAATCTCAATTCTCTTAGACGTTTCCGCTTCCGTTTTCCAGTGGATATTAGTTACCTGTACAAGTGCCGAATGCGGCTTTCTGAAACTGGGTTTAGGTTTAGGTTTACGTGGGAATCGGTGTTTGTTCCTCCGATTGAGGAGATTGATGTGATGGTGGGGGAAACCGAATGCCGAATTCCCCAATGTATGCACTGCATTCCACAGAGTTTCTACACTTTGAAGAATCTGAAAGTTGCCAAGCTTGATGGGGTTGAACTGGGTGCAATAAACGAGTCCGTTTTTCTTCCTAGTGTGAAGATTTTGCAGCTTTGTGGTGTGAAAATTGAGAACTTCAAGTCATTGGGCAGGCTCCTTTCTGGTTGCCCTGTTGTAGAGACTGTTCATCTGAAGAATTGGCTCCACTTTAACTACAAGGAGAAAGATAGAATCGAGGTTTCCTTACCATGCTTGAAAAACCTGAAGATTTTCTGTTTTGGCTATTGGAGATATCCGATGCATCCCATTGTTATTGAAGCGCCAAATCTGGAGGATCTTTATCTTGAGCAATTTGCAGACGTACAGTTTGAGGAGAGTATTCCATTGTCATGCCTTCATTCAGCACATGTTGATCTATACGAGGAGTCCCCAAACTATGTCATTCGGCTCCTTGCTCAAATCTCCAGTGCCAAGAGGATGAGCTTATCCGGGGCGACTCTGGTAATAAGGGTGACGTTTGTTCTTTCCAGTTATCTGATATTGTGCTTAAGCGCGCTGAATTTGTTAACCTTTGTTTCAACAGAGTGAATTGTCAGCTGTAGATGATATTCAACTACCTGGCTTCCCCAATTTGACACATTTGACGATTGGAATCGAGGAATTCGAGGGCAGTACGAGTTGGGTTGTGCACTCTTTGCTCAAGTCAGCCTCCAAACTACAATCGCTTGTCATTGACATGGTGAGTCCCGTGTTCATTTGTTTTGGATCTTCCTTCGAATAGCATTTCTAATCAACATCTACATGAATCAGGAGAATCCCATGAGTGTACCAACGGGAATGGGGTGGGAGAGTTTAGAAACTGCTTGCACGCCACATTGTTTGTTATCTAGCCTGGAGGAGATCAAGATCAAAGAATTTGTAGCATATCCAGAAGTGAAGAATATGATGGCATATTTGCTCAAAGTTGGTGCTGTCCTGAAGAAGGTGCATATGCACGTATGTTGTGCTTTGATGGACGAAACAGATCTTATGCCACTGCTTGAACTTCCAAGAGGATCGAGCGCTTGCGCAGTTGAGCTTCTTACATCAACGTTGATATGACGAGACTGACAGTGAGGACAACAACACCCCTCGACGATGACAAAGAGTAGCTCTCACTAGCTTGACGAATTTGCATTTTGATTTTTCGTTGTCCTAATTCGCTAGGGTAAGGATACTTGTGTGCTCTTCGACTAGGACACGTAGCCCTCCTTTGTCGTCCAAGTGACTGCAGGCTACAGAAAGTCCATCGAAACCCTTAGAGTTACGATTAGCATAGATGTCAGAATCCTGCGTGAAATTCTCAATTCAGTCTCTTCTACATTCCATAACAATCGTGTTGCCCCAGCGCAGCGTCCTGATTTGAGATCGATTGGATGTCCCTTTTTGCAGACTTTTGACAGGGAGGAGGAGCTTCGCCATCAATCGATCCTGATGTCCTACCGAAAATTTTGCGACCTTAGCCACCACTCTACCATGAGCAAGTTCCAAACCAAGCACAGTTTTTTTTTTTATCCATACCTTGTTATTTAATACGACCATATCTCATCCCGATTCGATCGAATTCGATACCTTGTACATGTCCACCCCCTTTAAAGAAGGATGGACTGATAGAGTGGCAAGCTGTGATATGCTTTCCAATGTGCAATTTGTTTCCAACAGTGCAACCAAAAACCTAGCTAGCACAGTTCCACCCACCAACTTTCATTATTGTTGTTGCATCGCTTCTTTCTTCTTCTTTCCTTTGAATTTTGCCTTTCCCTTTCCCCTTCCCCTTTCTTTTCCCCACCACCACCTTTGTTGTCTTGCTGCTGCCTTTCTTTCTGCGTTATTTCCATTTCAATACCCAAATTTCAAAACAAATGCAATAAAGCCCCTCAAAAAAGTGACCAGGTACCCTCTTTAATCAAATCGCCCTTTGGGTCCCTTTTGTCAAAGTTCCTCCTTTTGTACAGGTTTCTTTCCTCATTTTTCTTGCCACTCTCATAATAGTAATTTACTCACACTAATCCCAAACAATCAACACAAATACAATACAATTACAATCCCATTCTCTCTCTACATATATTATTATTATTATATTATAGAGAATGGAGATGGAGATGCCCATCCCTTCTGTTTTGTCCCTTTGGACCAAACAAAACCAAATTACATATTTCTCCCAACTCAAACTTCCTCATTCTGCCCAACAAAAATACAACAAAAATTGAAAAAAAAAAATTCCAAAAAATTGAAATACAGAAAAAGGCCAAGATAATCACAGCGAAGCACTCTGTCAAACTTGGCCATGCCTCCCATTCTCCTTCTTCACTTCACAATCAAATGAAACCAAATCTCCCCCCTAAATCACACCAAATTAAGGCTTAATTAACAAACCAAGAATCAATCCAACTCAAGCTCTCCACTCCATTCCCTTTGCTAAATTGCTAATGGCAGATGATGGCAGGTTCCCCCCCATTTTGATTACAGACTGATGATGATGATAACCAAAAGGAATCTAACGACCCACGAATTTGTTTCCTGTATCACTGAGAATCATCCTCGTTGTTGTTGGGATCTTCTTCACCATCGCTATTTGCTTCCTCTTCTTCCTGCTGATGCTGATGGTGATTTTGACGATGTTGATGTTGATGTTGGTGCTGGTGCTGGTGTTGCTCAGAATTCATGTTCAGCCCGCCTCTGGAGTAAGCGTTGAGGGCAGCCAGCATCCCCAAATTTGATTCGGACATTCCCAGCCCGAGATGGTGCGACGGTGGATGCTGTTGCTGCGGCTGATTTGTCGCTGCCGTCGGCGGCGGAGGCGGCATCACCATTGAGCCCAGCTGTAAATGACTTGGCCTTCCCCCTTGGAAATCCAGGTTCGGGGAGGAAAGGTTGAATCTGGGCATGAAATGCAACGGAGCTTGAATCGATGGGTTCCCTGCTCCTACTGCTGCTTGTGAGAAAGGCCACATCTGAGCTTCGGTGGACGTCGGCGGGACCATTGAGTGTCCACCGCCGCCGCCGCCGCCAGCTGTCACCGGCAACATCCAGAACGTGTTCCCGGCACCGGCGTTGGGGCCTGCCGCCACAGCCCACATCGCGGTGGCTGGAACAACGTTGGATGGACGGAGTAGCGGAGAAGACGCTGACGGCGATGACGCTGGCCCTGCTTCCTGCTGTTGTTTGGGGATTTTATTCGGAGATCCCCTGCCGTCTCCTCCCTCTGCGCCGCCGCCGCTACTCTCTCCGCCTTCCTGCTGCTGATGATTCTCATCCTTGAACAAATCCTCCCTAAACCTTTTCCTGTAATTCTCCCCTGAATCCGCCCTTCCTCCGCTTTCTCCGCCGCTGGGGCTCGGCAGAGCTTCCCCAATTTGATCCGCCGACAACATATGCTGGTGGTGGAACCCTAGAAGCGCCGGGTGCGCGGCGGCAAACCCTTCCTCGTAATGCTGCTGCTGCGCGGCCGCCAGAGCAAGCGCTCCGTGAAACGAGTGCGGAAGCGCCGATTTCGACGGAGGCGCCGAGAGGCTAGATCCGCCGCCGCTCCTCAGCGAGACATTCAGCGTGGAGAAATTGGCCGGGATTGTACCCGAACCCGTCGCCGCGATAATTGCTGGCTCCGCCTGCTGCAGCAGCCACTCGATTGTCTCCCCGTCCGATTTGTGCCCTAATTCCCTCGTCAATTGGAAAACCCTAGCCGCGCAGGCCGCCGGCATACGGATCCTCCGCCCGCGCCCATCCACCTTCGTGTGTCGATCCTTAGTCGACCGCTTCGGGGCCGCTGCCGCCACCGTCACCGCCCCTGCTCCTCCCCCCGTCACCACTGCCAGGCTGCTGTTGTTATTACTCTCGTTTTTCTGGGCAGAGGAGTCCGACAGCTGCCCAGATCTGATGGCGAGGGAGGCGTCGACGAGGTGGGTGGAATTCGAGGGCGTTGCGGCAGGAGAAGGGGAAGAAGAAGAGGAATTGGTAGTAGTAGTAGTAGTAGTTGTAGCGGTTGGAGTGGTGGAAGCAGTAGAAGGCGCGGAGGTGGGAGTGTGGTGGAGATGGGGGAAGTAAGAAGGAGCTGTAGAACGGGAGATGGAGCCGATGAAAGGAGGCTGAAGAGATTGTCCGCCTCCGCCTCCACCGCCGCCATCGAAGCGGAACTGTTGGTACTGGAGGAGATGGTGGTGGAGATGGTGAGGGTGGGGTTCTTGTGAGGAACTGTTGTTGTTTTGCTGCTGCTGCTGCTGCTTATTGGGATTGCTTTGTGAATCTGTGAGCTCCATTCTTTTTTGTTTGTGTGGGGAAGGGTGGAGTAGAGGAAGGGTGGCCTGGCCTCCTTGTGGGGCGAGCTTTTGAGAGATTAAACAAAACAAAACAGTCGCTCCCTCTGTCTCTCACTCACTCTGCTCTCTGTAGCAAAAATACAAAGAAAGGGAAGACAGACAGAGAGAGAGAGAGAGAGAGAGAGCCAAAAAGGTTTCAACTTTCTTCTTGGTGTTGCTGTCTGTGAGTCGAAAATTCAAAAACCCATTGCTGCTCTGGCGATTCTGCTTGGTGGGTTGTGGAGTAAGGTGCCAATCTCAATCGCCATTCATCTGTATCTGATTGGTTTGCTAGAAAGGGGAAGGAGGGACGACGAGGGGATGGAAACAAAGACCCAAAAGAGTACGAAGTGAGTGACTGTGTAAATGACTGAATTGGTTTCTCTGTTTTTAATTCGTTTTTGGAGCTTAGCTGGGAAGGGTTGTGGGGCTTGCTTTCTGATTGACTATTGTCTACTGCCTGGTCTGGAAATACAGAGAGAGAGAGAGAGAGGCAGCGGGTGGGGAAGGAAGAAGAAGAAGAAGATGAAGTAAATATTTCCACTCGTGGGGTCGTGTAGGTTTGAAAGAAAGCCATATCATACGAACAAATATTATTATTGAAAACTTGTTAATTAGCTGTGCTCTTCACTCAATCATCATCGCCTCTCAGTGGTTTCCCACTTTGAAGAAGAAGTATAGTTATTTAGATAAATCCATTTTATTGGGCAGTCTTGTTCAAATGCAACCATTACTTAGATGTGGCGTTTATGATAGGTAATAGAGTGTTTATCTCGTGTTGGCATAAAATATGATTCGAGACGTGGTCGAGATTTGAGATGGCAGATTGTTGTTCGAGGAGCAGTGAGACTGCAATGGCAAGTATGGAGACTCTTGATTGCTCGATGTGATTCTACAAAAGCTTATTTTATCCCATGATTGTTGTTCGAGATTTAGAAATGTTCAATATTCAATAACTAAGACATTTGGGATTTGGTTAAAAAGGGATTGTTGATTTTGGAGAGTAGAGAAATATTAAATATAGAATTGATAAGATGATGAATATGATAATGGAGAAAGAGATGGGTCACTCAGCAAGACAGCACAGTATGATGAAATGATATGACCATCTAATTAAGGATGCCCGCCAGCTCATCCCAGTCCCACAACCACACCTCTTCTTCTTAAACAATTCATTCATAAAGGAAAAGGGAATCCAATTACACTCACATTTAGTCACTCTTCGTTAGCTTTCGTCCAATTCCGTTAATAGAGTTGACTAAATGTGACATGTTTCAGTAATTCGAGTGACCAAAATTGATATTAATATTTTTATAGTGACTAAACATGACATGATTTAGTAATCTCAGTGACCAAATGTGATATTTACCTCGTTTCCCCTTTTTAACCAAAGTGAAACTATTTAGTTGAGAAATTGTTTTTATTATATAGTTTTGAACATGAAACATCGTTTAGATGAACGTAATATTTCAACTACTTATATGTCAATCGAGTATGAATGCTCCTTTTATGTGGTTTTTGTTTTACATTTCAACTAACAGAATTGTTTGTGCATCACAATTTTAACAAACTAACTTATTTCTGAAGTCTTGTTTATCAATAGTGTTATTTCCTAATGTATGGTTCTTTATAAAACATTGAGAAAATTTTATGATGCACTTATGTTGACATCTTATTGCAGAGCATGATTATTTATCCTAAACAGATATTAACGTTGTGTGGATTGAGAATACAATCCATACATGATCTCATTTAGGAGGGTCCAGATCCAGAACTCGGAGAGACAAAATGTTGTAGTAAAAAATAACACTTCATTCTTTTTTTTTTTAAACCTAATTAGTAATACCTAACAAATATTTATAATAACTAAAAATTTGTTTGTGTAAAATCCTAAATGATATTTGCTTATATACGTAATTGTTGTTTATTTAATGATGGCTCTTATATTATGACCTGAAAATTGGAAATAGGTGTAATAATGGAGCCAGCCAATTCCAATTGGACCCACACTAACTCCACCCCAAACAGATAATCATCCGACATAATCAAAGGTCGAGTCCTAATATAAAGACAACCCTTATGTAAACGCTGTCCTTTATTATCATATCTTCTTCTTAATTAATAACAATTAACAATGCTTTATTAGTTGTTAATCTAATAAAGTTAGCAACACAATCTTCTATGAGTACCAAACAATCTATTTTAGATCGGAGCTATACCAAATATGCGGTCTCTTTTCTTTCACCCAATAAAAAGTACTACTCCATAGAACCATGATACTTGATAGTACGGTCATGAATCATGCGTAAAATTTTAAATTAGTCTTATCCGAATTGTTATATTGCTCTTCCTACGTCATTTAATTCTCAAAATGATGTCGCGCCTATAGATGACAAAAATATTAATTGCTATAGATAATTTCCCAAATATTTTCTAATTTGGTTGGAAAAAACTCGGACCCAAATGATTTTCAACACGTATGAGGAAAATGAGATTTTAAATATTATGGGTAAATGGTAATGACTAATGAGTGAAAATGATTTTCTTAATACGCAACCTGTTAAACCCGTCACCACCTGATCAGACCATTTAGTGGCCCACGGGCCTACCACTGTAGTAACAACATGGCCCATTTATCTCTGGCCGTATCCTCACTTCAGCAGTTCCCAAATACTGGTGGCCCTCAAGATGCAGTAGTAGATACCTAAATATGAACAACTGATTTGGTTCTCACATGATGATCTCTGATCTGATCAGAATAGAACACATAAGGATCTTCAGCCTAGTGAACTAATGGAAATCAAAATGCAGTTTCATCATGTTATCAGAGCTTCCTTGCCCAAACAAAAGAAAATCCTCTCCTCACTGCGCTGCTGTCGGACTCATCGTCACTGCCATTAGAGTCATCATCTATGTCGTCGTCGGTGTTGCTCTGATCATCATCGTTATCGCTGTACACACGCTCGCCATTCAGAAAGAAGAGACAAGCTTCACAGGCACGCGATCCTCTTGAAGGTTTTAGCAGCGACACAAGATCTTTGCGGCTCGTTATATGATGAAAAGCTTGATGTACGTGCATATTCACCTTCTTCAGGACCGCTCCAGCCTTGAGAAAGTACGCTATGATTCGCTTCTCGTCGTTAAACCCTACAAGTTGCTTGACCTCGATCTCCTCCAGGCTCGATAACAAACACTGAGGCGTGCAAGCACCTTCTAGACTCTCCCACATCATTGTTGCAGTGATATTCTGCTTCGTGCATTTTTTTTTTTTTTCATGAGAAAACTTAACTGGGGTGGAGATCTGAATTAACAAATGATCACAGGGACTCACCAGGTCAATGACAAGAGACTGTAAGTTTGGGACGGAGTTCAGCAAGGAATGCAAAACCCAGCTACTGCCCCCCATTTCAATAGTCAGACATGTCAACTTGGGGAAGACAGGCAGTCGAACATATTCATCAACAACGAACAGATGACTCTGAACAATGAGAAACAAGATTAGTGTTCTTATTATCATCCAAATTGAACATTCAGAATGAAAAAGAGTGGGCCTTTTGGGTAATAATATATGTTTGATTACCAGAGTATGCCCAGATAAGCTCATTTGCTTTGCATTAGAGAGTTGAGCGAGGCGAATCAGGTCGTGATACGAGCTTCGACACAGCTCGCGTGCACCAACACGTGCCGAATGAAGCCGTGACAATGGACCACTGCCCTTAACCTGTAAATCTGCAAACTGCTCAAGATAGAGATCTTCAAGATTTGGTGCTTCCATAACAAAGGAACACATTGGAACATTGCAACGATCAGAATCGGTAATCTTCAAGTTCTTCAAGCATGGTAAGGAAACTTCGATAATGTGTTCCCCATAGCTTTTATACCAGTCATAAGAGGGGCGGCAAATCTCCAGATGGAGAGTCCTTAGAACAGGGCAACCAGAAATCAGCCTGCCTAATGACTCGAAGTCCTTAAACTCCACAAAGGAAAGCTGTAAAATCTCCACATTAGGAAGAGAAACGGACTCTCTTATTGCACACAGGAAGACCTCGGAAAGCTTTGCAACTTTGAGATTCTTCAAAGTATAGAAGTTTCCTGGAATCCAGCGAGGGAATGCGAGTTTGAAATCCTCGCAAATCATAACATCAATCTCTTCCATTAGAGGACCAAACACCAGCTCCCTCTTAAACCTAACTCCAGGGATCACCATCTCGGGATGATAATCCACTAAAACATGCAAGCGGAAGTGCCTAAGAGAATCGAGATTCTTGTGCTGGTTCAGTACCTTGTCGACGAAGCTTCCAAATTGAAAGTATCTCCTCTTTCGAATATCTGTAAGAGGTTCCAGTTGCTGCGCTTCGTCGAGTGTCTTGAAAACCTAGCGGTTGTCGAGATCGAGACTGGAAACCCTAGTCCAAAGACCTTCCCACCGTCGGCTGAGAACTGCGGTGCCGACGGCGTACTTGGTTTCCAGGAAAGAAAGGATGTGGGAGATGACTTCGTCCGGCAAGAAGCTGAGCCTGTCGTAACCGCCGATCGCCGGCCCTGTCCTCGCGATTTCAGTCTCCTCCATTCTCAGTACGGAAGAGAAAACTGAGAGTCTTGACTCTGATACGGCAAATTGGGAAGACCGGGAAATTAGTTGGCGGAGGAGAAACCGAAACGGCGGGGAATTAGAATCGCGGGCCTTGCTAAGTCAAACCGTGGGCCACCAAGTGAGCCCGTGGGCCTTAATGGGAACAGTGGAAATGGACCTGAATGGCCCTTGTCGAGTTTACCTTTGCCGAGGGTCTTGCTTAGGGGTGGGCAACGGGAAACGGGTATTTGGGTATACCCATACCCTTCCCGTTTTTTGAGAGTTACGGGTATCCAAATACTCGTAATTTTTTTTTTAGGGGATGGGATTTGGGAACAAGAAATTCTACAATGGATACCCGCGGGTTACCCGTTCATACCCGTTTGGGTATTACGGGTACCCATACTACCCGTTTGTCTTCTTTAAAGTAATAATACATATTCTTCCTTCGGTGATCTATTCCCATGTAATAATACATAGTTGCATATGAACCTTTTACTTTAGAAATGGCTCAAACATGATGCATTACAAAGAAGTGAAATGAGAAGATGGATAATAATAATGAAAGATTCACTCATTTGCTAGGTTGCTTCTTCACCAACCTAGTAGCAGAATGAAAGAAAGAACTCCAACATCATGTTTGGGCCTGTTTGGGCCTTAGTCGTGTAGGCTTATTTGGTTAGCAGAGAGCTATGAAAGCTGCTGTGGAGGTGAGTGTAATTGATGAGTATAAATATATTATTACTATCATTAGTTATTGTCGTGTGTTTTGGGGATTCGGCTACCCTAGCCAACTAGGAAACTAATTAGTATTGTCATAGGTTTAGGGATAATTATAGTAATGTTAGTGTTGGATTAGGACTCGTAGGGGTGGGTGGAGTGGCGGCCAAGCTAGTGGCCGAATAGGGCTAGGTTCGTATTAGGTTTTTTCGTACTTTCTTATAAATATGTATTTTGCTTTTACGTTTTAATAAGTCAATGAAGAAGAAAACCTTTAATTTAGTTGTTTTAGTTTATTTATCGTTCTTGTGCTGAGATGCTTGATCCGTCAATGCATCAGTAATTTTTTAGTTCCTGGAATCCAGGGTCATGGTGCCTAGAATTCTGCTTTGGAGTTGGCTTTGGTGTACTTATGTTAATTTGCTTCGTTGAATAAAATTATTCTATTTTTCGGTTAATTATCATACACATCTATGGCCGCTTAGTTTATTTATTGTGGTTAAATTTTCTTTCTTTAAAATAATAACGGGTACCCGCCCCGTACGGGTAATGGGTACCCGTTAACCCGTACGGGTTTGGGAATGGGATGGAGTTTCCTCTCCAAATGGGATTGGATACCCGTTTCAAACGGGACGGGTACCCAATCCCGTCCCGTTGCCCACTCCTAGTCTTGCTATTGTTATATATTATTACTCATATGTTAGATAATATTCCATATAATTTATATTTGATGAATAATATGATGACTTTTATCATATATCCGAGCTAAAGCGGTTGACTCATTAATCCTCAACCCACTTGCTCGATCAGGCCAACAGACTAAACTGGATTGATAACCTTGATCTGAACAAAGAAAAATCTTGATATACCTGTGCACTACGAGTGTAGTTGACAAATGCTTCTGAAATAGTAATGTTGGAATTCGAAAATTCCTAAGAATGTCTCAAAGAGTCGAAGTAGCTGCTTTTTATCATGGAGTTGTTGCGATAAAGATGACATTGGCCATGAAACATTATTTGGCCTTTGAAATCCTATCTACGGTCTACCCAAGTTATTGGTACGAGCAGAGAAAAAAAAAAGTACACAGTTTCCACATCTGATTTTCATTTTCATTGTGTAGCTCGTAACTAGTTTCTAATACGAATACAACCGCTACCAATCAAGTGAATCAACAACGATATTTTACAAACACATCGATTTACAGATGCATCTGATCAAAAAATCTCCACATCCACACGTGTCCCGGTACTGATGAGCCAAGATGCAGTGGTAAATACCTAAATATGAACAACAGATTTGGTTTTTACATGATGATCTCTGATCTGATCAGAACAGAACACATAAGGATCCCAAGCCTAGTGAACTAATGGAAATCAAAAGGCAGTTCATCAAGTTATCAGACCCTCATTTCCTTGCCCACTAACATGTGCCGAATGAAGCCGTGACAATGGAATACTGCCTTTAACCTGTAAATCTGCAAACTGCTCAAGATAAACATCTTCAAGCTTCGGTGCTTCCATAACAGTGGAACACATTGGATCATCGCAATGATCAGAATCGGTAATCTTAACGTTCTTCAAGCATGGTAAGGAAACCTCGATAATGCGTTTCTTAAAGTTAAAATATATTATACTTGTTATAAGAGGGGCGGCATTTCTCCAGATAGAGAGTCTGTAGAACAGGGCAACCAGAAATCAGCCTGCCTAATGACTCGAAGTCCCTAAACACCACAGAGGAATGACATAGCCTCCGAACCTTGGCTTGTGTGACGTTGATGTACTTTCGACAAACTCAACAACTCAACTCGATGGATCCAGACGAGAAAATTTCCGTTGAAATTATGCATTATTTACGAATGTAGGTGACAAATACTTGTGATAACAGCAAGGTTGGAATTGGAAAATTCCTAAGAATGTCTCAAGGTCAGCTACTTGGGGAAAAAAAGGTCGGCTGCCTAACCTAGTTTAGGTGCTGTATTCTTGTAATTGTACTTTCAACATTTTTGAACCTAACATAGAAAATATTTCTCAATGACTGCACAAATTCGACATTAATCTCAGATCAAATTAATTAAAATAAATAAATGGCAGGCATTAGTAGGGTAGTGGGTAGCCAATATGATATGACATCGATCTAGCTAAGAGCTTCTATTTTAAAATTCCAATTAGCACTAATTAATGGAGGTGACGCAGGGAAAGAATGTTTCACTTTATATTGTTTAAGACCATCAATTCGATTTTTAATTTCAAAGAACAGTTGTAGATGACACTGGGAGAAGAATGTTTATAGTTAATTTTTTATAGAAATCGTCAACCTAACAAGCAATTGCTGGAGTGTAAGTGATTAATTATTTCATAATATTTTTCTTTAAAGCGTCGATGGATCAGTCGATAGTGTAGATAGTCGAAGTCAATCAGATTGTTCCAGTGACCATCAACCTATCAAAGTAGAATCACTTAATAAGAAATAACCGAGAAAAAGTCTCCCGTCTTACAACGAGACAACAAAATTTACTCGACCATCTTATTTCCTGATTTTAATTAGCAATCATGATACAACACGTGGTTAATGACACCGTGTGATTGGTTAATTGAATTTATAAGATTGGGTGGAAAAGTTATCAAATTTATAGACGAGATCGATGAGGTTGTGTGAATAAACAAGTAGCCCTACAAGTGAAAATACGAAAAATCATCAGTCAGGTTTGTGTGAAAAACACATGTTTTGTGTATGAACGACGAGACAAAAACTTCTCCCTCCAACAACTAAAGAACTAACATATGGAGTGAAGCACTTTCAAGTATCTACTTTAGATCATGGAGTTGTTGAGATAAAGATGACATGAAGCATCATTTGGGCTCTGAAATCCTATCTACCCAAGTTGTTGGTACGAGAGAGAAAAAGTACATAGTTTTCACATCTGATTTCCTTTGTGTAGCTCATTACGTATTAATTTCTAATACGAATACAACAACTATCAATCAACAACAATATTTACAAACACATCGATTTACAAATGCACCGGATCGGAAAATCTCCACATCCACACGTGTCCCAAGTGTGTGCAAAGTGAGAAAAAAAAAGGATGTGCATATTTGTCGGGGGACCCTTTCACCCAACAACGAGGGTGCCACCAAAACTGAAAAAGAACATGGAAACCAAGTCAGAATCTCTTCCTTTCAGCTAGACATCCATTTGCTCCTTCTCCATTTTTTTTTTCCTCACAGCTTTTCCCTGCTCCAATAATACCCTCGTTATAAAACTCCCTTCTTTTCATGCTCCCCTTTATTCTCCGGTCCCCCTCTCTTTCTCGGCCCTTTATTCTCTCCCTCTCCAATAACCAAACAAACGAGCCGCACCAATATATTCCCTAGCCATTCTCAAGTTCTCATCACTCCTTCCACTTTCGCAGAAAACAATGGCTCCATCACTCTCTGAAGAAGAAGAAGAAGATACTACACATGACGATCATCGGACGTTTGACTATGAAGAGCTCGCCACGGCCACCGGAGGCTTCTCTCCTTCCAACCTCATCGGCAGAGGCAGCCACGGCTCGGTTTACAAAGCCTTCCTCCACCGACCAGACCAAGTCGTCGTTGCGGTTAAGAGATCGAGCTTGGGCCACCATACCCAGGTGACCCGCGAGAACTCCTGCAAGCTCGAGAACGAGATACGGACTCTGTCTTCTCTGCAAATAAGAAGACAGAGCCCGTCCTACGTCATCAACTTCCTGGGAGCGAGCTGCAGTTGTTCGCTCCAGGAGGAAAGACTTCTGGTCGTGGAGTACTTGCCTAACGGCTCACTGGAAGACCTGTTACACGATAAAGAAGTTGCTCTTCCTCTCAGATCATGCCCGTCGTGGGCTCAGCGAGTTGAGATCGTCGTTCAACTCGCCAGGGCGGTCGAGTTCCTCCACGAAGGGTGCAAACCGCTCTGCATCGTTCACAGGGATCTCAAGCCCTCGAACATCCTGTTCGACTCCAACTGGAAGCTGAAGCTGGCTGACTTCGGACTGGCTGTGTCGCGACACAGCCAGTCCAGTACAAACCAGCCAGCAGGCACTATAGGCTACATGGACCCGTGTTACACGACCTCCAACCATTTGACCGCGAAGGTCGACGTGTACAGCTTTGGGGTGGTCGTGCTCGAGATCTTGAGCGGACGAAAAGCGATGGACGTGGCACGATCTCCTTCGTCGATCGTGGACTGGGCGACCTGGTTGATCATCAGGGAGCAGAGGGCTATGGAGATCTGCGACGTGGCGGCGGGGCCGCCGGAGTACTTCATGGCGGGCACGGTGGAGAAGCTGTTGTACGTGGCAGCACGTTGTGTGTCGCCGAATCCTGACGACCGGCCGACGATGGGGGAAGTCGTTGCCGGTCTGGGAGGGATTTGTGGGCCGGTGATTCGTCGGCCGGACCGGGTCAGGATGCCTGGGTGGATGGATTTGGTGAGGAGGAAGTTGAAGCGCGTGAGGAAGAAGAGGAAGCTGGAGGAGAGCGTGAAGAAGGGGCAGGTGGTGGTGAAATGTGCGGCGGGGAAGGAAGGTGATGGTGGTGGTCAAAGTCAAAGGAGCAAAGGGAAGTTGTTGCTTTGGGAGCTACTGGCTGATATTACACTTACCTAAGAATATTGCTGTTGTTGGTGGATGGATCTACTTGATTGTGTTAGTGTATAGTTGTTTTGATTTTGATTGATAGATAGTTCTGTGTATGGGATTCTTTGGTGGTTTCCTGAAATTTTGGATGCTTGAGATTAAGTCTAACTAGAGATGGAAAAAAATAAAATAATTCGGGTTTATTTTTTTAATTATTATGTAACAAGTGTGTCTGTAACACCTTAGGCAAATCCCACGTCGACAAAGCACGGATCCATGGTAAATGGAGGAGTTCTTGTGAGAACTCCGAAGTTAAACGTGCTCATTATGGAGTACAACAAGGATGGGTGACCTTATCTTCGTCAGGAAAAGGTTCGAGATGAATTATTCTGAAACTATGAAATTGAACGTATTTATTCGTCTCAAAGAGCAATTCAACCATTACTTGCTCTGCTCAGATAGAAAGTATGTTTGAAACATAGTTTAATGAATAAAAGCTCACTTTAGGGTCCTTCGAATGCAATTCAATAGTGTATACCCATTGTTATCACTAGTCATGAGCAGAGCAGTAAATTTATGGTGTTACATTTACAATCATATGTTTTGACAATTTCATAATTCAAGAAATTCAGTTGCTACCGTGGGCGCATAGTGGACAAGGATAACTCATTCACTGAAAACAGTTTCTTGCTCTGGTGCTCTTCTTCACCGGTGTAATTCTCACTGCTAGTGCTTGTCCCTCCTCCGTATCGTGCTTGTCCAAGGTAGAACGCCGGCTGCAGCGGCATCGGCAGCTGCTGGCTCCCGTTGGTCAACATGGACAGTACATCTCCCATTACCGGCCTGTCTCGTGGGTCATTTTGCACGCACAGCAGTCCAATGTTAATGCACCTCAAGGCTTCATCTCTGCAGCCATCACCTTCCTCTCCAGCTGACGAACCGTTCACCGCTGGGTCCAATAGTTCCAGAGCATCGCTATCATCATCGTTCCACAGCTCCCATGCCTTTAGAAAAAGTGCAAAACCAGAGATTAGAAGTTACAGCAGCAAAACCGTTGTGAAATGGTGGTGGAAACAATGAAAACTTACATAACCCGCGAGGTTGAGGGGGCGATCAGAATGATAAGCCCTGTGGTTCTTCTTGCCGGTCACTATTTCGAGAACTATGACTCCGAAACTGTAGACATCGGATTTCACCGAGAAAGTGCCTTCGGAGGCATACTCTGGAGACATGTACCCACTGAAACCACCATAGTGTTACTAGTATCAGTGTATCAGAAGCTAATGCTAATGAATTTGCTCACGAGTGCAATGATATAGAGTAAAGCTTACTAAGTGCCAACAATTCTTCTGGTGTTATCTTGAGCTGCGTCATCAGGTTTGAAAATCCTTGCCATCCCAAAATCAGATATCTTGGGGTTCATGTCCTTGTCCAGCAATATGTTGCTCACTTTCAGATCTCTGTGAATTATTCGGACTCTAGAGTACTTGTGCAGGTAAAGTAGGCCTTGAGCTATTCCTTCAATTATGTTAAAACGGGCCTTCCAACCCAACAATTTCCTTCTTGATTCATCTGCAAACCCAGCTTAAGATCAAATCTGACGGAAATAACTAGTTATCCCACTTGTTCAGTAATTATTGTTAGCTCACCGAAGATGAAAGAATCCAGACTTCTATTTGGCATGTACTCATACACCAGCATCCTTTCTTCTCCTTGAACGCAGAATCCTAGAAGCCTAACAAGGTTTGAGTGTTGCAACTTAGCTATGAGGATGAGCTCGTTTTTGAACTCAACTAGTCCTTGCCCTGATGTTCTCGAAAGTCTCTTCACCGCTATTGTCTGTCCCTCCTTCAATTTCCCCTGATTGAGCATCCAAAATATAGCAAGCAAAGACAGAAAAAAAAAACTTGCTTTAATCATTCAATAAAGAGATTTGAATGGGACAAGGTCAATATAGAATACCATGTAAACGGGTCCAAATCCCCCTTCTCCAAGTTTATTATTCAAAGAGAAGGAGTTGGTCGCATTTGTGATTGACAAAGCTGTGTAGACTTGCAGACTGTTGTCATCCTTTGAGTTTCCATTATCCTCATGTGGAGATGCATCACTTGGTCTGTCTATTGTCATCAGCTCTTTCAAAAACTTTTCTGGAATTCGGATTCCAATAGTTAGCAATCTTGGCATGCAGTCATGATTGTTAGAATGAACGCTAAGAATTGGTTGTGAGAAGATACCAACCATGTAACTTCTGTCTTCTCCATCTCAGGTACAACAAGAAGCCTGTGACCATTATGAGTAGACCACCAGTGGCACCAACGACGATCCATATCCACGTCTTGCTTGCTGTAGTTATCCATATTATGAACTGTTTTAAAGCCTTGCCCACAAAAGCCAGTAACTATGTTACATTAACCCTGTATATCTATGTCCTAACTAACAATCCACAAGAACAATCTACCAAATTGAGGTTAGCAATATGAGTAAGGTTCAACGAATTGTAACTTCTGAAAATAGAAAGCAGTTTAGGTTACTGCCATTGCCCCTCAAGCGACAAGCATCTATGATTTCCACAAGGGATGGACACAGTAAAGCACTTGGATCATTCATTCCTTGAAGTCACTCTATTGCTCTGGTCATCCATCAATACTACTATAACAAGTCAGGGAAAGAGGTGCAGAACTTACGTTTTGGAGGTGGAGGAGCTGGAAGAATCGCATAAACTTGCGCTTCATTCCCTGGTATATCCTGGAAACTAAATATGCTTGTATAGAAGGTGCAGCCTCTGAAGTTTCGTGCATCTCCATCTCGAACTTGAACTCCAGTACAGCTGCAGTTCCTCCAACACAGTTCTTTGCAATCAGCGAAGCTTAGATTCAGAGTACGGTTCCTTATATCTGGGAATCCAAAAGCCAGAGCAACTCTCTGTACCATCCGATCCCCAGGACGTCGGCTGCATGTTGGCCCTGATTCCCATCTCTCGCACCCATTATCCTCATTCTTATTCCCATCACAATTCTGGAAATTCAAAATCATGATCCGAGCTCGAGCGTCCAGTATGGTTCCTTGATAACCCATAACCCATTGGGACTCGTGGCTCCTACCCGGAGCCAGTCCCTCTTCATATAACTCGTAGCGGAAGGATTCCTCCCTCAGGCCAGAAACCGTGGTGAAATTGAAGTTCTTGTTGACTTCAGCCAGGGACCAGGTCGCGGGAAACTTCCGGCTGTTAGCATCCAACACCCCGCTCCTCCAGAAAACTGACTCACGCATTTTAACAAGCAGTTGGCGGGCTTTATAATCCCACTCCACAGTGAATGCTCCAGGGGCCGGGTTTTCCTCATCCAGCCACGAAGTCAGCTTCCATCTCTTCTCCTCCCCTGTTTTATTGCTGAACCCCAATTTCATCCCGTGCAAAAGGGTATCAGTCGGATGATCAAAGCTCTGCCACAAAACTTCCTCGGAGCTGCTACCTTTCGCTTTGATCACCAAGTTGCCCGAATCTTCAAGAACGGCCGAAACGTTTCCCTGAGTTGGGTTTCCATTCCCGGAGTATATCTCGACCGGGTCACCGGCGTCCTGCAGAATTTCCAACTTTCCAGAGGCGTCAATCGTCAACGCTCCTTGATTCTGAAACAGAGGCCGATCTCTGGAAGCAACCCAAACAGGGTGGGACCTAGGGCTGGGATCGTAAAGGGACGAGTTAAACCATATCCCCAAGTAGCTGCGGTTCATGAACCCCAGCAAGAAGCGGCCATTGTTGGAAACCAAATGATCGGAGGAATTCAAGACGTCCCCTTGGTTGAGCGTGTTCGTTGCTGCTGCAAACAGAGGATGAAGTTGAGAGACTGTGATAATGACTGCGAGAATGGCGGCTGCCGTGGAGTGGATCATGACGAACAACATCTGGGTCTGTGCGATCTGCAGAAAACCTCGTGATTGTTGACTTCTTCATAGTTCTTTGGTTTGGAGCTTGGAAGTCAATGGAAGTGAGATTAGAGGATTCAACGACTTCTACCAATTATTTGCCCTTCGGTTCTGTATTTTATTAGACTTCTTCCTCCACGATTCTTTAGGGATGGCAACGATGCCCGGCCCGCCGAGTATCCATCTTTAACCCGCCCGGAAAGAGGTGAAAAAATCCGTCCATCATGAGTAAAGCATGAATTTGGGTATACCCGAAACCCGATAATAGCGGGTAACGGGTGGGGATGGATATCGTAATATCCGCCCCGTTCTCGCCCGTCCCCAAAATGATGTCGTTTTCATTCAAGTAATTTATCCCATTTAATAACCCTCCCAGCCAAACTTCCATTCACACGCGCAGAAGAAAGCAACATTGATCACTGTTTCACCGCAATCCCTAATCACCCATCGCCCAATTCCACCGCCAACGAAAAATCCCCTCCTCCTTCTCCTCAATAGAGCGATCGTTGGCCATCGACTTTGCCCTGATCGTCGGCCATCAAGAAGACCTGTGTATTCGGGGGCGACGGGGAAGGTAAGTTCTCTGTACGTCGTCGGCAGCAGTTTTCTGTAAGGTCCTCCCCAACTTCCTTTCAATAGTGGACACTGGCCGTGGGATCCGTGGGTTCCCCAAACCCATCGACGGACGGTGACGGCAGCTAGGCTATCCTCGTTTAGTCGTCGGGGACGGGGATGGGGAAAACCGTCAAGGTTGACGGGCAAGGATCGGGAGGCTTGTACTCGGCCCCGATCTGCCCCGTTGCCATCCCTACGATTCTTAGCGCTTTCATTTGATAGCAATATCTCCTATAAAAAAAAAATTGATAGCAATATCCATTACGTTGGGCCCATTATATGGGGACCAAACTCAGATAGTCCAAGAGCAAGAAGGGGCCCGTAAGCCCACCCCTCGACCTTTGGATGTTGTCTGATCATACCGAACAACATCAAAGAGTCGCACAACATGAGAACGTTTTAGTCTACAACAAACTCTTGTTGTCGAGGCTAACGATCAATAAATAGTATTAATTATTAAATATCACTATAGCGAGATAATAGAAAAGATGTAGAGGTCTCTCAATAATAAAACAATGTGAATGTTATCACATTTAAGACTACGATTTTTCTCACTAAGATCTCGCACATATTTTTTCTTTTTAGAATATCATTCCTGATTTGATTGTCGGAGATCTAGCAAGTCGAAAAAGTCGTTGTTCATTAATGCAGTTGTATCAATATGATTGGGAGTTGGGACTAGGGCTGGCAAATCGGTTGCCGGTTAGCGGTTAGCCGACGGTTATAATCGAAAACCAATAGTAACCGACTAACAAAAAACCGACCTCGGTTGGTGTTCAGATGCATATAAGAGGGTTCCGGCTAGCCGAATAACCGGACATAATTAACCGCGGCTAACCGGCTAACCGACCCTCACCGAAAATCCCCTTCTCCCCATCCCAAAACCGCAGAAAATCCTTCACCCCCAAATCGAATAACCTATTTCGACGACCCTTCCCTCCCCCATCTCCCCGATCCCGCGCCGCGCCTCACCTCCGCCTCCACCCAGTTCGCCTGCAAACTTCCTCCGCCTTTGCATTCGTCGTCGTCGACTAGCAGAGCATGCGAGCCTCCGCCTTCGCCCAACTTCCGTCCCCTTGATTTGAGATAGAAAGTGTAGAAGAGCTTGAAAGTGAAGATCAGCGGCTGCAACTTCACCTGATCGTACGCCCCTTCGAAAATCTCCGAGAAGCCGGTCACGACCAAGAAGTTGTCCTCGTAGGTGAGGTACGGCCCCTCGACGGCGATGTTGCCGTAATCGCCGAAGTAGAACCTGTAGATGGCCTCGTAGCGGTCCCCTTTCATCTCTGGCTTGTGCTGGATCAACAAGCATATCCCCGACATGATCCCGATTCGCTTCTTCAGATCCCCGTTGTAGAGCTATAATCCGATTGCACAGAGTGGAAACATAGTAAGTAAGATTTGAATCATATTTTGTTTTTCTCAGGATACAAACGGGGAAAAATAGTCAAAATCAAAAGGAAAAACGACTTTGTAGCTAAAAGGACGAGATCGGGAACGGAGAGGTAGGATGGATGATTTTTTGGGGAGAGGAAAGGGTAGTAGGAGGAGATGGGAACAGGGAAGCATCGAGAATGGGAGGAAACAGATGGCCTAGCGGTTACCACGGTTAAACCGAACCAAAACTGAAAACCAATCGGTCGGTGGCCGGCTAACTGTGACTCCTTTCACGGTCGGTGGGTGACATCTATAGGGGACGACTCGGTTTAAAAAATCGGTTTTCGTTTAAACCGAAACCGACCGACTAACACCCCTAGTTGGGACAGACACAGAAGATTACACTCTGAGTTTGGTTCAGCAAGAATTTTATACAATATTCAACTCATGACAATGCGGTAAAGAGATAATCGAAAGTGCAATAATTAACACAAATTTCAGGAACATCAATTATATTAAAGGTTTGGCTAGAATTAACTGTTGTTGGATGAAAACTTAACAGAAAGGTATGTTTGAAAATTCATCACAGTAGATGGGTAAGTTTGACGTAAAAGTTAAAACATAATAGAAGGACAAATTTAATAAAATGCAATAATAAAGAGACAATTTATGATATTACCTTTTTTTTAAATGGGTAAATACTATTTTATAGCCAAACCTTTTTTCATTTCAAAATATTAGTCAAACTTATAAAAATACGAAAACTTAGCCAAATCTGTAATAACATTATATAATAATAGCTATTTCCTGTTAGATTTAACGGCAGAACTAACAGAAGTACACCTAATGGACACCTCAAGCCATGTGTGCTGCCATGTCACCCAAATAATTAAATAAGTAAATGTTTTTTAATTTATATTTTAGGAAAAATTCTAAACCCTTCTCCCTCATCTTTTCTTCTTCCTTCTACATAACACTGCCGTCGCCCACACCTTCTCCTTCACCTTCATCATCTCCGCCAGCCCCTCCGCATCCTCCATCCCTTGCTTCTCGATCCCGAATTGCTCCGCCTGTACCTTCCACAGTTGCTTCTACTTGAACGCGCCGTCCCTGTTCATCACATTAAATCCTCTGCTTCTCAGTCTTGACTAACGGAAATTTTAACAGAAACTTTAAAGTTGGCTAATATTTCATATTTTGAAAGGTTTTGCTAATATATTGAAATGGGAGAAAGATTTGGCTAAAAAAAATAGTATTTACCCTTTTTAAATCACCAAGCCAATGCTCACCCTATGTATTGGATCGTGGAAACCTTTGTACTTTCCGCATTATATGCAGTATTTATACCAACTTTTTAACTCGAAAATTAATTATTTTATATAAAATATAAATGTATTATCATTTTTTTTATAGAAAAAATGTATTATCATTTACTATAAGATATACCCTTTGATATATTTATCAGCAAATAAACTCGTTCGTATTTTTGAATACATGCTGCTACAATGTTGTGTACTTAGTACGAACATTACAACGTATTAAGTAAAAAATTTCTTGTTAAGCATTATATCTTTAGAACTTATATTATTTCCCACCTGTCTTTCATTCACGTACTAATTTGTCTAATGTTCGTGAACAAAAATCGAACATTTCCTTGTGTATTAAGGTTTTTTTTTACAATCATATCATAAAGTTTTAACAATTTCATAATTCAATCGACTTCGTAAATTTAGACTTTAAACTCAAAAGTCTTAAGTTACCTACTACTACTACTACTACCGTGGGCGCATAGTGGACAAGGATAACTCATTCACTGAAAACAGTTTCTTGCTCTGGTGCTCTTCTTCACCTGTATAATTCTCACTGCTAGTGCTTGTCCCTCCTCCGTATCGTGCTTGTCCAAGGTAGAACGCCGGCTGCAGCGGCATCGGCAGCTGCTGGCTCCCGTTGGTCAACATCGACAGTACATCTCCCATTACCGGCCTGTCTCGTGGGTCATTTTGCACGCACAGCAGTCCAATGTTAATGCACCTCAAGGCTTCATCTCTGCAGCCATCACCTTCCTGTCCAGCTGACGAATCGTTCACCGCTGGGTCCAATAGTTCCAGAGCATCGCTATCATCATCGGTCCACAGCTCCCATGCCTTCAGAAAAGAGTAAAACCAGGGGTTAATAGTTGCATAGGCAAAACAGATGCGAAATGGTGGTGTTAACAAACAAAACTTACATAGCCAGCGAGGTTGAGGGGACGATCAGAATGGTAAGCCCTGTGGTTCTTCTTGCCGGTCACTATTTCGAGAACTATGACTCCGAAACTGTAGACATCAGATTTCACTGAGAAAGTGCCCTCTGCTGCATACTCTGGAGACATGTATCCACTGAAACCACCATAGTGTTACTAGTATCAGTGTATCAGAAGCTACTCCTAATGAATTTCACACGAGTGCAATTGTATAGAGTAAGCTTACTAAGTGCCAACAATTCTTCTGGTGTTATCTTGAGCTGCGTCATCAGGTTTGAAAATCCTTGCCATCCCAAAATCAGATATCTTGGGGTTCATGTCCTTGTCCAGCAATATGTTGCTCACTTTCAGATCTCTGTGAATTATTCGGACTCTAGAGTACTTGTGCAGGTAAAGTAGGCCTTGAGCTATTCCTTCAATTATGTTAAAACGGGCCTTCCAACCCAACAATTTCCTTCTTGATTCATCTGCAAACCCAGCTTAAGATCAAATCTGACGCAAATAACTAGTTATCCCACATTTTGTTCAGTAATTATTGTTAGCTCACCGAAGATGAAAGAATCCAGACTTCTATTCGGCATGTATTCATACACCAGCATCCTTTCTTCTCCTTGAACGCAGAAACCAAGAAGCCTAACAAGGTTTGAGTGTTGCAATTTAGCTATGAGGATGAGCTCATTTTTGAACTCAACTAGTCCTTGCCCAGATGTTCTCGAAAGCCTCTTCACCGCTACTTCCTGTCCCTCCTTCAATCTCCCCTGATTAAGCATCCAAAATATAGTAAGCAAGACAGAAAGAGCATGCATTAAGCATTCAATAAAGATATTTGAATGAGACAAGGCCAATATAGAATACCATGTAAACGGGTCCAAATCCCCCTTCTCCAAGTTTATTATTCAGAGAGAAGGAGTTGGTCGCATTTGTGATTGACAAAGCTGTGTAGACTTGCAGACTGTTGTCGTCCTTTGAGTTTCCATTATCTTCGTGTGGAGATGCATCACTTGGTCTGTCTATTGTCATCAGCTCTTTCAAAAACTTCCCTGGAATTCGGATTCCAATTGTTAGCAATCTTGGCATGCAGTCATGATTGTTAGAATGAAGCCTAAAAATTGGTTGTGAGAAGATACCAACCATGTAACTTCTGTCTTCTCCATCTCAGGTACAACAAGAAGCCTGTGACCATTATGAGTAGACAACCAGTGACACCAACGATGATCCATATCCACGTCTTGCTTGCTGTAGTTACCCATATTATGAACTCTTTTAAAGCCTTGGCCACAAAAGCCAGTGACTCTGTTACGTTAACCCTATATATATTTATGGCATAACTAACAACCCAAATGAACAATCTACCAAATTGAGGTTGGCAATATGAATTAAGATTCAAAGACTTGTAACTTATGAAAATAGAAAGTAGTTTAGGTTATTGGCAGTGCCTCTCAAGCATTTGTGAATCCCACATGGGATGGACACAGTATAGCACTTGCATTATTCATTGCTTGAAGTCACTCTATTGCTCTGGTCAACCATCCATACTATATTAGTATACTACTATAACGATTCACACAAAAAGGTGAAGAACTTACGTTTTGGAGATGGAGGAGCTGGAAGAATCGCATAAACTTGCCCTTCATTCCCTCGCAAATCCTGGAAACTTAAAGTGCCTGTATAAAAGATGCAGCCTCTGAAGTTCAATGCATCTCCATCTGGAACTTGAACTCCATTACAGCTGCAGTTCCTCCAACACAGTTCTTTGCAATCAGCGAAGCTTAGATTAAGATTACGGTACCGCATATCTGGTAATCCAAAAGTCTGAGCAGCTCTCAGTAGCATCCGATCCCCGGTACGTCGGCTGCATGTTGGCCCTGAGTCCCATCTCTCGCACCCATTCTCCTCATTCCTATTCCCATCACAGTTCTCGAAATACAAAACCATGATCTGAGTTCGATCGTCTTGTATGGTTCCTTGATAACCCATAACCCATTGCGACTCGTTGCTCCTCAAGGGAGCCAATCCCTCGTCATAGAACTCGTAGCTGAAGGACTCCTCGCCCGGGTCAGAAACAGTGGTGAAATTGAAGTTTTTGTTCACTTCAGCCAGGAAACGAGTCGCCGGAAACTTCCTGCTGTTAGCATCTAGCACCCCACTCCTCCAGAAAACTGATTCACGCATTTTAACAAGCAGTTGGCGGGTATTATAATCCCACTCCACAGTGAATGCTCCAGGGGCCGGGTTTTCCTCATCCAGCCACGAAGTCAGCTTCCATCTCTTCTCCTCCCCTGATTTATTGCTGAACCCCAATTTCATCCCGGGCAAAAGTGTATCAGTCGGATGATCAAAGCTCTGCCACAAAACTTCCCCGGAGCTGCTTCCTTTTGCTTCAATCACCAAGTTGCCCGAATCTTCAAGAACGGCCGAAACGTTTCCCTGAGTTGGGTTTCCATTCCCGGAGTATATCTCGACCGGGTCCCCGGCGTCCTGCAGAATTTTCAACTTTCCAGAGGCGTCAATCGTCAACGCTCCAGGATTCTGAAACAGAGGTCGATCTCTGGAAGCAACCCAAACAGGGTGGCCCGTGGAATCGTAGACGGACGAGTTAAACCATATCCCCAAGTAGCTGCGATTCATGAACCCCAGCACAAAGAGACCATTGTTGGAAACCAAATGATCGGTGGAATTCAAGACGTCCCCTTGGTTGAGCGTGTTCGTTGCTGCTGCAAACAGAGGATGAAGTTGATAGACTGTGATAATGACTGCGAGAATGGCGGCTGCCATGGAGTGGATCATGACGAACAACATCTGGGTCTGTGCGATCTGCAGAAAACCTCGTGATTGTTGACTTCTTCATAGTTCTTTGGTTTGGAGCTTGGAAGTCAACGGAAGTGAGATTAGAGGATTCAACGACTTCTTCCAATTATTTGCCCTTCGGTTCTGTATTTTATTCTGACTTCTTCCTCCACGATTCTTAGCGCTTGCATTTTTTTCTTGATAGCAATATCTCCTATAAAAAAAAAATTTGATAGCAATATCCATTATGTTGGGCCCATTATATGGGACCAAACTCAGATAGTCCAAGAGCGAGAAGGGGGCCGTAAGCCCACCCCTCGACCTTTGGATGTTGTCTGATCATACCGAACAACATCAAAAGTCGCACAGCAGTCGAACATTTTAGTCTACAACAAACTCTTGTTGTCGAGGCTAACGATCAATAAATAGTATTAATTATTAAATATCACTATAGCGAAATAATAGAAAAGATGTAGAGGTCTCTCAATAATAAAACAATATGAATGTTATCACATTTAAGACTATGATTTTTCTCACTAAGATCTCACACATATTTTTTCATTTTAGAATATCATTCCTGATTTGATTGACGGAGATCTAGCAAGTCAAAAAACCAGTTGTTCATTAATGCAGTTGTATCAATATGATTGTGTTGGGACAGACACAGAAGATTTCACTCTGAGTTTGGTTCAGCAAGAATTTTATACAATATTCAACTCACGACAATGCGGTAAAGAGATAATCGAAAGTGCAAAAATTAACACAAATTTCAGGAATATCGATTATATTAAGGGTTTGGTTAGAATTAACTGTTGTTAGATGAAAACTTAACAGAAAGGTATGTTTGAAAAAGAGATAATCGAAAGTGCAAAAATTAACACAAATTTCAGGAATATCGATTATATTAAGGGTTTGGTTAGAATTAACTGTTGTTAGATGAAAACTTAACAGAAAGGTATGTTTGAAAATTCATCACAGTAGAGGGGTAAGTTTGACGTAAAACATAATAGAAGGATAAATTTGATAAAATGCAATAATAAAGAGACAATTTATGCTATTAACCTTTTTTTAAAATGGGTAAATACTATTTTTTAGCCAAACATTTTTTTCATTTCAAAATATTAGCCAAACCTATAAAAATACGAAAACTTAGCCAAATCTTTGATCATTACATAATAATAGCCATTTCCTGTTAGATTTAATGACAGAACTAACAGAAGTACACCTAATGGACACCTCAGGCCATGTGTACCGCCATGTGTACCAAATAATTAAATAAGTAAATATATATTTATGTTTTTAATTTATATTTTAGGAAAAATGCTAAACCCTTCTCCCTCCTATTTTCTTCTTCCTTCTACATAACACTGTCGCCGCCCACACCTTCTCCTTCACATTCATCATCTCTGCCAGCCCCTCCACTCGCAGCCCCTCCGCCTCCTCCATCCCGAATTGCTCCGCCTGTACCTTCCACAGTTGCTTCCACTTGAACGCGTCCATGTTCATCACATTAAATCCCCTGCTTCTCAGTCTTGGCTAACGGAAATTTTAACAGAAACTTAACAATTGGCTAATATTTCGTATTTTGAAAGATTTGGCTAATATTTTAAAATGGGAGAAAGATTTGGCTAAAAAATAGTATTTACCCTTTTTAAATCACCAAGCCAATGCTCTTCTATGCATTGGATCGTGGAAACCTTTGTACTTTCCGCATTGTATGCAGAATTTATGCCAACATTTTAACTCGAAAATTAGTTATTTTATATAAAATATAAATTTATTATCTTTTTTTTTTTGCTAAAAAATGAGTGCGTTCAATGCACCCAACTCAAAAACTAGTCTTAAGCTGTCGGATTTTGAATTTTAATTTGTATAATTAGTATAATATGATGATATAACATATGATAACAACTAATTAACGGATTATCCTAAGCCCGGGCCTCCAATTTTTAGTTCTATCCCTAAATCCCAAATTGTAAACCCTAACCCTAAATTTCTAAACTCTAACTCCTTCAAGTTAAAGTAAATCTTTAATGGTTTTGTGTAAATTCATGTGCGTTATTGTTCATCACATCATAAATGATGATTGACATCATTTTGACATAAATCGCATGTTTAAAATGATGGTTATGAAACTAGTGCATTGAATGCACCAAAAAAGGTGAGTGCACCAAAGTAACCACCCATTTACTATAAGATATACCCTTTGAAATATTTATCAGCAAATAAACACGTTCGTTTTTTTGAATACATGTTGCTACAATGTTGTGTACTTAGTAAGAATATTACAACGTATTAAGTAAAAATTTTCTCGTTAACCATTATATCCTGAGAACTTAGATTATCTCCCACCTTTCTTTCGTTCACGACTAATTTGTTTTCAATACAATTAGGATAGACACCGAAAGTTTCACCCATAACTGATTCAGTAGACTGCTATACCGTATTTTATGCGGTAAAAAGAGATAGATAAAAAGTGGAAAACTTAACACAAATTTCATGCATATTTTGATATTTTATTAATCACTCAATGGAATGGATGGTACAACACCAAGCCAATCCTCACCCTTTATATTCTATAGGATCGTGTGGAAACCTTTGTACTTTTCCGCATTGTCTGCGGATTTCATGCCAATGCAATTTTGGAATAAAAGCATATTTCTTGATCATTTTTAAAAAATGAAATGAGATGTACATATATACGGTCCCATCGAGGTGCTTATGGTTGCAGAATACTAGTTTATCCAAATCAATGGCTCCTCCAAATTGCTGCTCTCCTTCTCCTCTGCCGTTAATCCAATTTTTGGTCGGAATCCTCTCCGCCGTCTTGTTAACCTTCCCGAGGCCAGCCTCCGCCGGCGGATGCTTCAAATCAGTGATCAGCTTCGGCGACTCCATCGCCGACACCGGGAATTTCTGCAAGCTCACGCCCGTTGGGTCCATGTGCTCTCCTCCCTACGGCGAGACCTTCTTCCACCGGCCCACCGGCCGCAGCTCCGACGGCCGTTTGATCATCGACTTTATAGGTATAAACCAATTGCAGCTCACTACTTTTCAAATTTGATCGGTCGATGGTGTTTCCCAATCATTACTCTATGCAGCGGAGTATTTGGGTCTTCCTCTCGTGCCGCCGTACTACGGCGGGAACCAGACGGAATTCGGCACGGGGGTGAATTTTGCGGTGGTGGGGGCGACGGCGGTGGCGTCGGACGTGCTCGTGAACAGAGGGATCGGATATATGGCGACCAATGTTTCCTTGGGAGTTCAATTGGAGCTGTTTAAGAAATTGTTGCCGTCTCTCTGTGGCTCCTCCGACGCCGTTTCAGGCAAGTCACTCTCTCAGCTTTGGTAGACTTGGTAGGTGCTGGTAGTTTACCGGTTGGTTGTTGAATGCCAGATTATTATTTTTTTTTTATCGAGAAATAATTTTTTTTTAAAGATGAATAACTTAGTATTATTTTAATTTTTAAAATATTTTTATGGGTCGACCTATCATAATCACTAACCAGTACTCTTAAAAGGCAAAATACTCATATTTAGACCCCAAATTGTTAGGAGTTATGTATAGCTATACTGAGGTACTTGCCAGGGGTTGACAATGGGTCAGATAGGATTTGGTTGGGTTTCTCTAACTCAAAGCCAACCCAATGAATGCACCAATTAAAAACCTCGTATAATATTGTTTGAAACCTCGTATAATATTGTTTGGGTTTTAGACGTGCAAACCCAAGTACCCAACCCACCGAATACCTTCAGACTTGAACAATTTTCCAGCCCAACTCCTGCAGGGTGCAGCAACCTCTTCAACACTTCCCTTTTTCTGTTGGGGGAAATCGGCGGCAACGATTACAACTACGCATTGGGTCTCAAAATGACCACCGCAAGAATCCAAGAACTCGTTCCCCTTGTCGTCAATTCCATAGCCTCAGCTCTCCAGGTAATCAATCAATCAATCGATCGATCAGTTTCATATACATCACCCATTTCTCTTGTGTCCCGAAACTCTGTTTTTTCTTTTCTGGTAACGAAACTCCACTTGCTGTTCGCTTCCACCCACAGGAAATAATCAAATTAGGCGCCACCACAATCCTGGTCCCGGGAAACTTCCCCATCGGATGCATCCCCTACATCCTCACCAACTTCCAGAGCTCCAATCCGCAGGACTATGATTCCTCCACAGGTTGTCTCATCCTATTGAACCAGCTCGCGGAGCTCCACAACGAGCAGCTCCAGATCGAGCTCAACCGCTCCAGACAGCTCCACCCGCACGCCAACATCATCTACGTCGACTATTACAACGCGATGATGCGCATCTACGCGTCCCCGAAACGTTTCGGTACGCCCTCGGTTGCGATTCGAATTCGTGATCGCCGCCAATTAGTTCATTCATTCAATTTACACAAAAAATTCCAGGGTTCACGGGGGGAGTTCTGAAGGCGTGCTGCGAAGGAGGAGGAGGAGGCGGTGGAGGATCGATACTTGGCGGCGGTCCGTCGATGAGGCCGTGTGGCGAACCTTCGACGTATGTCAATTGGGATGGGATTCACTTCACTGAAGCAACTTACAGGCTGATTGCAAAGGCGGTGGCAGAGGAAGGTTTGTTTACCAGCCCTGCTTTCAATCTCTCGTCATCATCATCATCATCGTCTTGTGTTCGTGGTGTTAATGGGAATGGGCGGAATTCGACTTTTCCCGATCGGGATTCGCTCCCCAATCGCGGCGTCGGGTTGATTGTGCAACCTGCTGCAGCAATGGTTCTGGTAAATCTGTTGTTTCTGGTGGTTGTTGGAGGAATGATCACCGGCGGCAAGCTATAGCTTATATATATGTGGAGTAGTACCTTTTTTTCCCCTGTTGTAATTTACTCGTTTGTATCGTCCTTAGAAATTGTTGTAATTATTGAAGTATGAAAATTTTAACCGGAGAGGTTTTTTGTCCTATAGATTGTTTGCATATTGTGATTGCTCATTGGAGTTGAAGTTCTAATGATGGGGCGGGTAATCGAGAAAGTTAGAGAATGATAGGATATACATATTTACGTGATTCGTTAATTGGATGTTTGTTCTCAAGTCTACTAGTAAAAGAGACTAGTTTCACTAAAGTGAATATTAAAAAAAAAAGGTTAGAATGTTTATATAAGTACATTCTTAAAACACTAAACGAACAGGTCAACCGCGAAAACACAATTTTCAAATTGGAAAGGAAAAGGATAAAAAGTGGTTTAAGGGTTAAAAATGTAAAAAAAAAAAAAAATCAAATACACTATTGGATCTTAATTGTCACATTGCTCCCTAAACCCCTAACCGAACTAATCAAATGCGAGTAGTCAGGTAACTTGCCCAAAACGAGGGCCTCAGCCCTCCATATATTTCCCCCGGCTCCGGTTCAAGTTCTCCTTGCTACCAAAATCCAAAGGAATCGTCCCCCTCATTGAGCAACGTTGTGAATTCTCGTATACTTCCTATCTCTAAGCATTAGAGATTTCAACACTCAAACATATCAAAATTATTAACAAAGCATGATGGTGCTGTTCCAAAATTTAAAATGTGGCACAAATTTTTTTCCCCGCAAATTTATTAAATAATAATAATAAATACATAAGTTCATAAAATGATAAAAAAAAGAAATAATATCATATGTCATTATTTAAAAATAACAATAGTCTAATATTATCTGAAATAAAATCCTCTATATGTTATAGGAGATAAGTATAAGGATAATTATATGAGAGTTTGTTTCTCTTCAGAGATTTGAGAGTTATATAAATTATAGTATAACTTAATATTTTCTTGAGGCTTTGGATTGCATGATGGATTTCTTTAGGGTTAATATTATCTGAAATAAAATCCTCTCCTTCTCGCCATCTCACGAACATCTTGCTAACCTTCAAGTCATGCACGAGTACTACTTCATCAGCCACATCTTCCTTCTAAGAAATGATTCATTAAACCATTTGTTCTATTGACTTCTGGATTATCCACAATGCTACAAAACAACAGAAATTCAACTGTTCATCTCTCCTATTTAGTGTAGTAATCATGACCAGTGAAGAGAACTATGGTGGAATTCTTCCATATGATGGACTTATCACCAAGCTTCTCCAAAATCTGAGAGTCAGAATCTCCGAATACAAGATGGTAACATCCAGCCTGACCCTGAGTGCTCGAAACGTCCTCATCATTAGGCTTGATCTGCCCCCAAGATCGCAGAGATGGCATACCACCAGCTCGCCACCGACAACGCCCTCAATATCTTGTCAAGCTGCATCGCTCTGGAGTACGTGGATTTTACAGGGTGCTTGGATGTGGCGCTCGATGGAAAATTCTTTCTGGACAAGTTCCCTAAGGTGATCGTCTTGGGCCCACACGTGATGGATTTGTACTACCAGATGTACAGCTCCGAGGATGATGATGAGGTGTTGGATGATGATGAATAGATTCCGGAGGAGATATAACGGTTGAGTTTTATGGTGGAGAACTGAATGGAGTCAGTTATAGTGATCCTACTGTTGTGAAAAAATATGCTAGACATACTTAATTGGGTGAAAATTAGATAGTACTATATGTAAGTGGGATGTAACTCACTTTCTTCCCTCCCTCTATCTCACTTTCTTTCTTCCCCCTCTTTACCTCACTTTCTTCCCTCTCTCTAACTCACACTCAACTGCCCCCTCTCTTCCACCCTCCCTCATTCCTTCCTTCCTCCATCATCGCCCTCCACTCCGTAGTTGATTTCTCTCCGAAGCTGCAAACACTCCCACTGCAAGAAAATTAGATTTCGACGACAAAGGTTATTCACGTCTAACTATTATTTATTTTCTTCCGTTACATCTCTATGAGTGTTCTGTTAGATAGGTTACAGGAGGTAAAATATCTGGAGTAACTATATGTGAGTTTGTTTCTCTTGAGAGACTTGAGAGTTATATAACTTAATTATATTTAGTATTCTCTCGAGACTTTGGATTGCATGATGAATTTCTTTATTAACAACTTAATATTTTGCTGAACTGGTACTCACCCATACGGGCCTTAAGCCCTTTAACAGACTTTTGAACAATTTTCCAGCCCAACTCCTGCTGGGTGCAGCAACACTTCCCTTTTTCTGTTGGGGGAAATTGGAGGAAACGATTACAACTACGCATTGGGTCTCAAAATGACCACCGCAAGAATCCAAGAACTCGTTCCCCTTGTCGTCAATTCCATTGGCTCAGCTATCCAGGTAATCAATCAATCAATCGATCGATCAGTTCATATACATCACCCATTTCTCTTGTGTCTCGAAACTCTGTTTTTTCTTCTCTGGTAACGAAACTCCGCTTGCTGTTCGCTTTCACCTGCTGGAAATAATCAAATTAGGCGTGACCACAATCGTGGTCCCGGGAAACTTCCCCATCGGATGCATCCCTTACATCCTCACTAACTTCCAGAGCTCCAATCCGCAGGACTACGATTCTTCCACAGGTTGTCTCATCCAATTGAACGAGCTCGCGGAGCTCCACAACGAACAGCTTCAGATCGAGCTGAACCGCTCCAGGAAACTCCGCCCTGCTACAGCTACTGCGATTTCAAAGACCAGGTCTTGATCGACTCCCAATTCGAATTCAGGGTCGTCCTCTTGTACAAAACCGGAGGCGATTACCAGTGCAAAGTGTTCTGCTCCGAATTGGGCCGGTGGGTGGACCGGGTCGACAATTTCGAAGATGGGTATGAACATTATGTAACCCCTGGCTACCACATTACTCTGCCCTGCTTCAACGGGAAACTCTACTGGAAGTGCGAGGATTCACGTGAATTGGTAGGTTACGATCCGTTCGACATCAATGGAGAACCGGAAACCATCGATTACTACTCCGAATTCTATTCGCGTCCCCCCCCCCCCCAATTGGTCAGTCTACTCGACATTGGGGTCTCACAGGGTGCTCTGCATCTGATTGTGCTGGAAGACGCCGCGGAGGATGATTTTTCCATCGATGGATTGAGGGCCTGGAGCCTAGACGATAGTAAGACTTGGCAGCTGAAGAATCGAGTGTGGTTGAAATCGATTTGGGCGCGATTCGAATTTTCAAAGAAGAAGAGTAGGAGAGGGTTGATGAATGGTTTGGAGGTAAAGGGGATATTGGGTATCCGCCCATCGAAGCCAGAGATTGTGTACTTGGCGTATGGCAATTTCGGTGCCTGTTACGCTGTTTCGTGCAACTTGAAGAGTGAGGAGCTCGAGCTTTGCGGCGGTTTACCGGTCTACCCGGTCGGACCAATTTTAGAGCTGAAGCGGGAAGACGCTACCGGAGAAGGAAGAGGCAGCGAGATCTTGACCCGGTCGGAGAGCGCAGCGGCGGCGAGAGATTTGGTCATGAGCGTAGCGGCGGCGGTAAGTTTTATTTTTATTTTTTAATAGTTGTAAAATGAGGTGTAAATTGTAAATATTTAAATTTTATTAATTTATTATTTTTAATGGCCACGTTTCTCATTTAACGGTCAACTATAATAGTTGACTGCCACATCAGCAAAAACTAACGGAGACTAACGAAGAGTGACCAAACTTGAACTATTGAACTAATCTTAGTTACCATGAATAGAATTAAATATTTGCAGTGACCAAACATGAACGGTTTTAGTAAACCCAGTGACCATTCTTACAATTAACCCATATCTTCCAAGAAATGATTCACTAAACATCATTTGTCCTATTGACCTTTGGATTCTCCACCAGGCTACAAAACAATAGAAATAATTCAACTATTCATCTCTCCTATCTAGTGTAGTAATCATGACCAGTGATGAGAACAATGATGGAATTCTACAAGAAAACTAGGCTTCAAAGACAAAGGTTATTCACGTCTAACGGTTACTTATTATCTTCTGTTATATCCTTATGAGTGTTCTATAAGATAGGTTATAGGAGGTAAAATATATGGAAAACTATATGAGAGTTCGTTTCTCTTGGGGGACTTGAGAATTATATAACTTAATTATATTTAGTATTTTCTCGAGGCTTTGGATTGCACGATGAATTTCTTTATTAATAACTTAATATTTTAATTATATAAATTAAACATGATACATCGAAAATCTTAGTTTAGTTAAGTATTCTTTAAAGTACTTTTTATAAACATTGTTGCAAGAGATCATTTTTTTAATAATTAAGCAGTGCAACACCTTTTTAGGTGATGATATATTATATATAGCTAGCTAGACATTTCGATTTTAGTGAAGGTGTCTAGATTTTTTTTTCGACAATGAAAGTAACAAAATGAATATATTCTTTTTTTTTTCTTTCTATATTTGCTTCCCTTATTTTGAATCAGTAAAGTAAATAAAAGTTTATTATATAGAATAAGAGGGATGCAAACATGACCAGGTGCTTTGAAGCTTTTATGTTTTACTCATTTATGTTTTTGGCAAGAAGCATCTGTTCCTATAAAATTTAACAAGGTTATTAATTGAACCTTTTTCCAGAGGAATTATTGGTAATTAATTAGCGAGTTCGGATACTGAAACTGTGCTATAGTACGTGGAACAAGGGGTTGTATTTGTACATGCATTATATCTTTGTAATACAAGTGGTACAGATAGTCATATTTCGAGGATGATACTTGATTTTTAACATTCAACCATCCATTACTTAAACATTAACAACTCCAATTTTTAAAATTGGTCTTAATTATTAAAAACTAGTCCTTAAATAAGGGTTGTACATGTATTGTATCTTCGTAGTACAAAGTGGTACAAGTAGTCATATCGTTGAGGGTACGTACTTGTTATTAATTAACATTCAACCATATATCCATTACTTAAACATTGACAACTTAATTTTAAGAACTGGTCCTTATTGGAAGAAAAAAGAAGAGGAGTCAGACGACGAAACTGTTTATCACATACACAAATTATCGTTAATTGGTTAATTAATCGTTATTCATTTTATTATTTACCGAACGCGTCACCGACGCTGAAGCTCTTCCCGGCGGGCCAACTGTTTCTCGTGGTTGTTCTAAGAATTATCATGAAATGATTGAAGTATGTGACTAGTAGTTTGTACTTGGTAATAGAATTTGAATCACGGAGTTTTTATTTTTAAGTATACGAACTATTTTTTGGTGATTTGTAATAAGACACAAAAGCTTACATCAAATTGTATTTGTCCTTAGTTTCTAGCCGTTTATATCAAAGAAATTTTATTCAGTCGTATTGTACTGCCTAATAAAATATTATAGTCCGGCGATTACCGATCGGCAGGGTTGGCATTTGGCAACTTGGCATTTGGCAGGATTCCCCGGCGAGATCAAATAAGAACGTCGAAGTTGCTATATATATATAAGCAAATTAATTAGGCATCACAATAAGTTCCCAAAAATTTGTGTTCACTTTGACCAAAAGAGCAAAAAACAAGTATACGATGGATCCAAATCGTAGTGTTAACTCGGTCGGTGGTTTTCTCCGGCGAGGTCCGGCCGTCCTGGTAGCTCTGTTTCTATTACCCACAATCACAGCCGGCGCCACCGCATGCTACACGTCGATCTTCAGCTTCGGCGACTCCATCGCAGATACCGGAAATGAATGCATACTCTCGCCACTCCAACCTCCCTGCTCTCTCCCCTACGGCAGGACTTTTTTCCACCGCTCCACCGGCCGGAATGGAGACGGCCGTTTGATCATCGATTTCATCGGTACGTCTTCTGAATATAAATTGAACTCAGAATTGGACTTTCTTTTCGATTTTCTTTTGTGGGTCCTTAATTCGTTCTTTTTAATTTCTGAATGCAGCTGAATACTTGGGGCTTCCATTGGTACCGCCGTCGCTGGGAAAGCAGAGCAATTTCCGGACCGGCGCCAACTTCGCCGTGGCCGGTGCGACGGCGCTCGACTGTGAGTCACTTAAAAACAGAGGGATCCCCTGTTTTCTAAATAACATTTCTTTGGGGGTTCAGTTGGATTGGTTCCGGAAATTGCTTCCGGCGCTCCGTCACTCCTCCGGCAGTGCAGGCAAGTCAATCTCGCCGGCTTATTTGTTCTTCTTTCTCATCGCCGTAATATACCATCCGCCATATTCAAAATTCATTTGTTTCCCTCCAATATTGTACAATGGGTTAATATCGTTGGAGGACCTATACTTTCGAAAATATATCATTTGTGCCCCAATTTTTTTTGGTAAAAGTGTCCCAATTTTAACGGAATTGAAGTTTTGTAATTTTACTAAAGTTCAAACACAAACGACATAATTCGCGAAATATTTATCCTCTCGTGATATTAACCTAATATAATTTGTGTGATTCATTAGTATTTTTTCTTCTTCTTCTTTTTGACATTTACAGATCCACTATTCTTTTATATTAAAACATAATGTATTGTTTTAACAATGCAGAATGCACCAATCTTTTGAACAATTCTCTTGTAATTTTCGGAGAAATTGGAGGCAACGATTATAATTTCGCTTTACGCTGTGGAATAAGCCTAAAAAAAGTTCAAAATCTTGTTCCTGTGGTGGTCAATACCATAGGTTTGGCTCTCAAGGTCTGCCCCTCCAAATCATTATCATTTTTATGAGTTTTTTTTCTTCCTTTGATGATATGTTCTAATATGTTAACAAAATTGTCATTCGACATTGATGTAGGAGGTAATCAAATTAGGTGCAGTGAACATCTTGGTCCCTGGAAATTTCCCTATCGGATGCGTGCCAGACATTTTATCTCGTTTCCCGAGCTCGAACCCAAGAGACTACGATCCTTCCACTGGATGCCTCATTCTATACAATCAATTCGCAGAACTTCATAATGGACAGCTCCAGATCGAACTGAATAAGACGAGGCGACTTTATCCCCATGCCAACATCATCTATGTCGACTACTACAACGCTATCATGCCCATCTATCGTTCCCCGAGTCAGTTTGGTAGGTATTGACCATGAAGTAGTTCATATATATATGCTTAATTACATGCTAAATTAGATCATAATATTTGTTATAAACACATGGATCCAATAACTCGGGGGTTGTTGGGAGAAGTCCGTGTATGGATCTTAACCACTCTCTTCCACGACTCCTCAAACGAAAACCAACTCATGAGCTTGAACTTTGCACATGCCCGCCATACCATGTGTTTTAAGACAACATTTAATGTTGCGAGTTATGAGGACCTGGACACGAAACTAAAAAGGCAAACCAACTCTGATACCATGTCATAAATCAACTTGTTCCAACAACTTGAGTTGTTGAGACAAGTCTGTATATATATATATAAACTTTAACCACTTTCTTACATACGACCGACGAGTGTTGTCCACAGGGTTTACTGGAGGAGTTCTGAAGCCATGTTGCAATGGGATGAATCAATCGGCTAGCTGTTGTGACGAGCCTTCAACATTTGTGAACTGGGATGGGATTCATTTCACTGAAGCAACCTATAGACGGATTGTCAAGGGGATTATGAAAGATGGGTTACTCACAAACCCTAATCTCAATGCTTCATCTTGTCTTGTTGGGGATCCTTAGAGGTCAAGATCCTTAGAAGTCAACTGATGACCCTGGCACTAATGGTGATGTCAAGTTGTAAACCCACCACATGCTTAACTTTGTATGCATGGTTGTTGGCTTTGCCTTTTATGTAATTTGATACGTTTTCGTTTCTCGTATGAATATCCAAATTATCAATCATTGTCCTTTTTATCAACCAATACTGAATCATATATAACCGACAAAAAAATGCGGTTCAATTTGTGAAATATTGTTTGTGAATATTAGTATATTACTAGGATTCAAACATTCCTAGGATTCTAGCAATGGTATGTGAACCCTTCTAGCATTGCTAGTGAATATTGTTGCAGTTTATATATTGATTTATTTCCTTTTATTTTTAGCTCGATGACATGACACGATGAGAGGATACACAAGAATTCAAAAGATATATTTCTGACAATCCAAATCTACATCCTGGTATTGATCTGTCAGCTAGTCTTCTTTCGTCTAGATCGTGACCATAAAATAGCATTATCAATAACCAAACAAGTAGTTTGGCAATTCATCACGAATCTTGAGAAGTTTGTTCACATGCCTTTAGAGATGGTTATGTTTTGTTTTTTTTTATGTTGTTGTACATTTTCTCATCCATATTGTTCATATTGTCTTGTTGATATATAAGCTAGGGGCATCGAAGTATTCGATGGATACTATATGGAAAATTTAAAAAACAGGAAGTTAACATGGATCGACTCTTTTGGCACCTGCGATATTATTGGCAATTTTGAGACTCGAGAAATCTTGATGCGTGTCTCAACACATCAAGTACCTGCCATATCTAGTTTGTAGCAATTTAATATTGCAAAACTATTGTGGGATATATTGAATTTACCCAACTTTTAATTCTGGCCTACTATTAATGTTTAACTTTTGTCGATATCGAACTCGACTCTAAAATTTGAGGATGCAAACATATGATTTTCCTCATAATACGTCTCCAATATGGACATCGACGATTTCTATGCACTAATAACGAGTCATCTTCAACATCTACTTAATAAGCTTCTTAAGCTGACACCATCGGATCTCATCCCAGTTACTTGTCGATCGAGATAGAACTGTCTCTATATAAGTATAACACAAAAGGCATTTGGTTGTTTGCATAATATATCAATGCACACGAACTTAACTGATAATCTAAGTCTTGGTCTTCAAAATAGTTTGGAGATTTGAGAAGCATAAAACCAACTCGAACAAGGCAAGAAGTCAAAGGCACTTCCCAATGAGAGCCAATCAGAAACCACCACGTCACCTCAATTGACAAGGCTTTTAAACACACAGAATTTTATGTGAAAAGACAATTTACCCGTTACGAGGAACGACTGACGAGAGTCTCCTCCTTCCTCCGGAAGTCGTACAAACAAAACCCTCTCTCCCCGGCGGCCGCTCACTCTCTCACTGTTCTCACTGACTGAAACCTTCCCTTTTCCCCTTCCATCCGATCCATGGCGGATTGCCTTTGATATTTGTAGAAGGAGAGCTTGGAGCCCGTCTCGGAGCTGAGTTATGGCGACGACCCGATTTAGATCCAGTTTCTTTGTCTTGATCATCGTAGCTTGTTTGTGCTTTTCCGGCTTGGGTCCGGCACGGGGGCAGAGTCGCCGGCCGAAGAACGTGCAAGTTGCTGTTCGAGCAAAGTGGGAAGGCACTCCAGTCTTACTGGAAGCCGGGTATGGTTTCTGATTGATTGTGCTGGGCATTGCAATTTAACGTAATTGATATTTTCGTTTCTCCATTTCTATTCTTCTGCGCATGGTTGATTTCGCTTATCTTCGATGTCCCCAAGGAGCTCTGTGAAATCGGGGCTCCTTAGTTGATTGGATAGTTTTGGGATGCCGTTACTTCTATGTAGAGTGGGTCTGGAATTTCTTAATTATATGTCGAAAGTGGAAGCTCCCGTGAATCATCCAGTTGAAATGTTACCCTCAAGTTCATGCTTCTATTTCTCATAAAATTTTCCAACTCGTTATTTGCAGAGAGTTACTGTCCAAGGAGTGGAAGGATCTATACTGGGAATTCATTGACGTTTGGGACAAGATAGAGAAAGATGAACCTGATACTTATTCAGCAAAAGACTGTCTCAAAAGGATTGTAAAGCTAGGCAGTGTTCTTCTGAGTGATCCATTGGCCTCTTTATTTGAGTTCTCTCTTACTCTGAGATCAGCATCGCCAAGATTACAACTCTATCGACAATTAGCAGAGGAGTCTCTTGCTTCTTTCCCTCCGTCGGATGATGGGACATCAGCTGATGGTGGGACAGTTGTAGAGACAAGTGAACTTAAGAAGTCTGATCCTTTGCTTGTTGGAAGAAACCCTAGCAGCCCTAGTGGGAAGTGTTGTTGGGTAGATACTGGTGGAAGACTGTTCTTTGACGTTTCAGAGTTGCAATTATGGATCCGCAGTATCCCTGCTTCGTATGTTTTTATGTTGTCACGTGGTGGAGGCTCTTATTGTCCGTAATTTGAATCACACTGAACCGATTTCTTATAGTTACATACCATTTTTTCTTTGTTGCCAGTGCAGGAGACTCTTTTCAGCAACCAGAACTATTTGACTTCGATCATATTCATTTCAACTCACGTGCTGGAAGTCATGTTGCTATATTATATGGAGCTATTGGGACAGACTGTTTTAAGGAGTTCCACACTGCCCTGGTTATAGCTGCCAAAGAGGTTTAGCTCTTACTTCAAATTTTGATTCTGGTTCTCACCTTGATTTGTTTGCCTGGAACATCTGGCTTGTTCGAAATTTTTTATCATTTCATCTTCATAAATTAAATTGTTCTCTTGTTTCCGAAAGCACACCAGAAGATTTCCAAGACTCTGTGGAATTAGATGCTACCATTGTTATAGTTGCCAAAGGCCTTATTACTATAGATTCTGAAAAGCATTACCAACCTAATAGACAGTAAATGTCATACTAGCCATCTTGATTAATCTGAGAGTGGCATATCGTAGTTACAATCCTAAGAAGCATAGAAATAATTTTTTTCTTCTTCCACAAGGTTTGCAAGGTGCTACAATTCTTTATGTGACAATGTCATGACTGGCTTCGTACCTACATTGTGTTGTGTTCCTGCTTTTTGGCTAGCTGGAATGCAGTTGTTGTTTACATCATCATAAATTGCTGGTTCAGATTATTATTGAAATCCATCAATGCTTTGAACTTTTAACATCCTGGGATACAATGTTGTAGAAGGTATTTTAGTTATTTCTACTGGATATGGTGGTCAATAATACTCTTCAAGATAAGAAATTCCTTATGGCCGTATAAATGCAGGTTGTAGGTTCTCATTGTTATGTATAGATGTTAGGAGTCTTACCTCTGATATTGTCGTTGGCAAATTTTTATGTTTGCTTCTGATCAGTTGGGTTGAAATTTACAGGGGCAGGTAAAGTATGTTGTTAGACCTGTTCTACCCTCTGGCTGTGAGTCAGAAGTTCACCATTGTGTTGCTGTTGGAGCTAGAGAATCCTTGAATTTAGGAGGCTATGGAGTAGAACTTGCCCTCAAGAACATGGAATATAAGGCTATGGATGATAGTACAATTAAAAAGGGTTGGAACACTTGGCTTGATTTATTTTGACTCCGGGAATATTGCTGTATAATTTGAAGTTGCCAATTTTATTGCCTTTGTTAACATTTGAGTTGCACTATTTCAGGTGTTACTTTGGAAGATCCTAGGACTGAGGATCTTAGCCAGGAAGTCAGAGGGTTCATTTTCTCAAAGTTATTAGTACGTCATCTTTGACTTTCCCTATTTGTTCTCTATATTACAATGCAGTATAATTGTTACTTATGTGAGAGGTTTATGCGAGGCATTGCTGAACTCCATCGTACCTCCTTCAACGCTTTACTTGTTCTACAACATTTATACTTGAGTTCATGATTTGCCAATTCAGCTGCGTAGTGATCATTATTCATTATGCAAGAGTCATTGCAGTTTTTGATTTAGTAGGTTGCTACTAGTGTCTATTGAAAACCATAATATTGGAATCACAAGTATAAGCTTGTGTTATTGTGGTTTTTATTTGAAGGAGTTTATCGTATTGGGGTTTCTATTTGGAGGTTAAGAGGAGAGTTTTAATCAAATGACTTCTTGACAAGATTTTGCCTCCAATGATGTTGAATATGAATAATTGCTGAACTCATTTCCTGCCACCTTTCTGTGTTATCTGCCTACTGTTGCGTTCTATTATTGTGTGATTGATTAATCGAGAATTGCATGTTTTTTTCTTTGTTTAAGCCTGCGGGATTGATATTTTTGTTACCTCTTGCATGTCCGTGGAAACGTTCTGTTTTCTCTAAGCTTCCTCTCTGACAAGTCTTGCTTAAAAATTGTGTCATGACTTGGTTTTGGTATTGTCATATCTCTTCAATCGCTGCTTTTAGATATTTTATGATGCCAAACGTATTCACCTTGCTATTGTAACGATCTCAATATTTGTTTTCATTTCATTCCATAGGAGCGAAAACCTGAGCTTACGTCCGAGATAATGGCTTTCAGGGACTACCTATTGTCTTCAACAATATCCGACACACTTGATGTTTGGGAACTTAAGGGTGCGTACAAGCTATCTTGTATTCGCCATTGTAGTAAAAAAGTAACCTCTCTGACTTTAGGTTTCCATTTCGAACAGATTTAGGTCATCAGACAGCACAAAGGATAGTGCAAGCTTCTAATCCCATACAGGCCATGCTGGAAATCAACCAAAATTTTCCTAGTGTTGTTTCTTCTCTGTCTCGGATGAAGGTATTATTTTATTGGCATATATTTGATGAATGTGAAATGACTAGCAAAATGGCCGGTTCGCTCCAGCAAAATAAACAGTGTTGGTTATTTTAACGCTTCTTATATTACGATGCTTTTATGTTGCAGCTGAATGATTCTGTTAAAGAAGAAATAACCACGAACCAGCGAATGATCCCTCCTGGGAAGTCCCTAATGGCTCTCAATGGTGCTATACTTAATGTCGAGGATATTGACCTTTACATGTAATGCACTATTCGTATACACTATTTGATTTTCCTTCAAAATTTGCTTTTGAGCTTCGTATGCACTATTCGAAGGCAGCTTTGTTTTAACTTGTTGTCAGTATCTTTTGTTTAAATTCTCTATAACTTGAAATTTTGTGAAGCATTAGGTGAGTGTTAGTGACTACTAATAGCTGCTTCATTGAATAAATCAAAGATGATATCCTTGGAGATTATGTATCTCTATTCATATAATCATATTCTTTCTTCATCTTGAGCGATTTATCTATGCTAATCTTTCCTATGAAGTTAATTTAATTTGTTGTTGGCACAGTTGGAAAAAGTTGAAGTTTTTGATATATAATGTTTAGACTGATCGTACATTTTTATATGCTTCTGTCTTTTACTTTATGATTGTAATATTATGAAATATTCTCCGTTGCATTTAATTGAATTTTAAACAATTTCCTATTGATCTCTATATAGGTTGGTTGACTTGGTTCAGCAGGAGTTGCTATTGGCTGATCAGTTATCCAAATTGAAGGTAAATTGAGGAAAATGCGGCTTTCATTGTTTTGATTGTTATGGGATAACCTCATAGTCATTCATGTGGTGTCCAAAATGAAGAAAGATGCAAAATGATAGATAGGTGATTCATTCCTGACCCTAGTGAGAATTATTAGAATAAGTTCAATTTTACCTTATGCAATCTAGCCTATTGTCATCATGTACACACACAGGAATACTGAGTTTGAAGTTTGAACCATGCAAAAAAAGTCGCAGGACTTACTTGGCTCACACGTAACTGAAGTGGCTTAGTGCTAGGTAAAAGTGAAGGTTTTAACTAGTAAATATATCAAGAGGAGAATAGAAAATTAATATATCTGACAAGGTCTTATATTCTAGATTATTGCTGTCAATTATGCAGGACAGTTTTAATTGCCTGTTGCAAAAGTATGTTTCTTTCTCTATCTCCTGTTACAAAATCAATTTTCGTTCCCAATCGCCCGTCACAAAAGCATGTTTCTTATGCAATTGGCATGTAGAATATCCTGAACACAGCGAGACATTAATTCAAAAAATATCTCAGGTTCCTCAAAGCACTATACGAAGGCTTCTGTCAACAATGTCTCCACAAGAGTCCAATACATTCCGGGTTGACTTCCGTTCTGCTAATGTTCATTTTCTCAATAACTTGGAGGAGGATGCGATGTATAAGCGGTGGCGGAGCAACTTAAATGAGGTAAGATTTTTTTCATTTCAACATCAGCAAGATTTTTATCTCATATAGGAAATGCGTGGTTTCTCTAGAATTTTGTTTCTGATCAATTTGCGTCATGCAGATTTTGATGCCTGTATTTCCTGGACAACTGCGCTACATACGCAAAAATTTGTTCCATGCAGTTTATGCTATCGACCCAGCAAGTAGATGTGGTCTTGAGGCAAGCTTATGGATCTCTTAGAATTTATTTTGTCTCTTAACTAGACAGGACTGTTCCCACTCTGACTCTCCATTTTTTGAACCTGTCACATGTAGGCTGTTGACATGATTATATCATTATACGAGAACAATGTTCCAGTGAGATTTGGGTTGCTATTGTACTCTTCAAACTTCTTGAAGAAAATAGAACTGACTGGTGGTGAACTTCATTCATCTGCCACTGAAAGGACAGAAGATAAATCCAGTGTGGTAGTTGGCTTTTCAAGTTTTCCTTATTCCATTTCTTACCTTCCCAATGCTGCATGCTGTTTAAGTTTCCATAATCAATTTGATTTGTTAATATTATGCCCTATACTGCTATGTTGCGTTGACTTAATATGCTTTTTTCTCGTCTCGTGCAGATTATACGTCTCTTCTTATATATAAAGGAAAACTATGGAGTTCAGACGGCATTCCAGTTTCTCAGCAATGTAAAGCTTCAACTTTACTTTTCGTCAGAGAAAGTACATTAATAAACAAATTAGAAGGAAAAAGCTTTAGAAAGGGGTCCACCCTAAGCTTTGGCATGGATCCCCATCTTTCTTTATTGTGTGATTACTAATATTCTCCATGAGTTGAGTTTTGATCTGGATACCTGACTGAAAGTGTTTTGTATTACATAGGTCTTAGGTTACAAATGTTAATAGAAAAAGTAGATGAACTTGGGTAAAGTGTTTGGATATGATCTTGATGTGATTTCTTCAATAACTGTTGAAGGGAAGTGTATTGCGTTCAGGTCCACTGACCTGCTTAGAAGTCTGGTAGCATTATCAATATGATGTCATGGACCTGTAATTTCAAGTTTCTTAAACCAGGGTTCTGAAAACCTTTCTCTTGTGTAAATGTTTCCCTTAATGTGCTTGGAGCATGGTTATGTTCGTTGGTCATTTTTGCTACCAACTGTTCCATCCTCCTGTGGCAGGTAAATAGGTTGCACTTGGAGTCGGAAGACATTTCTGAAGCTCCTGAAATGCACCATGTCGAAGGAGCTTTTGTGGACACATTATTGTGAGTTGACAGGGTTTCATGATTGAATTCCTTTATGCCAACAAATATTTCACATCCTTAGGTCTCGCCATTTCTAAATCTACGTGGTAATACTAACTTAAGTTTCCATTCTGCTCCTTTAAGACCAAAGGCAAGATCCCATCCTCAAGATATGTTACTCAAATTGTTGAAGGACCAAACGTACAAGGAGTCATCACATGAAAGCTCAATGTCAGTTTTTAAGCTAGGGTTGTCCCAGATGAAGTGCCCTCTCTTGATGAACGGCCTTGTTGCTGATTCTACTGAGGTATTGGTTATGATCAAACATGATTTCTTCTCTTCTTGGCCTTGTAATTGTGAATCTTTATTTTCAGCAAGATGTATTGTTGGGTAAGGCCATCTTCTCTTGAAGATCATATCGTGTGTGTTTGTTTCCATTTTTTTTTCCAGTTTCTGAACTTTTAAGTTGGAAAAATAGCTCGAACAAACACGCTTGTTATATTTGAATTTTAGAACTACCTTGGTTCACAGCTTATTGATGCATAAGACCAGTCTGTAAGAGCCTTACTTTCTTTTATAAAAAAACTAAACTGACTAATTTAACCCAGATTGAATGCCAAGTTGCCATGCTGCTTTGTCATCTCTCTCTGTGCTTACCATCCAGAAAAGAATATTATATTGCGGAAATTTGGTCTTCCTTTCTTCCAATAAGTTCGATTTAATTTGAGGATTTAATATTCCAAGTCTTTCTTAAGAAAGTCTGCTTCATTTCCATATGCGACCAACAAAACATGAAAGCAGCAGCATTCTTTACTTGTAAAAGATGTCTTATGTTATGGAGACGAGATTAACTTTGGGTAGAGATGTTGGGCTTGAACTCTTGATTCGCTTGTGGTACATAAATGATCCCACTGCTTATTCTTTCTCTAATGTTGAATAGGAGGCTCTTATGAATGCAATGAACGATGAACTTCCTAGAATTCAAGAACAAGTATATTACGGTCACATAACTTCTCGCACTGATGTCTTGGACAAATTCCTTTCAGAGGGCGGTATCAGCCGATATAATCCACAAGTAAAGCACTTAATTCTGCTACTGGAATCATCTTTGTATAATGGATGTGAATTCAGTCATACTATATTATGTTTCTTATTATTGTCCTTTCTGGCATATTTACACTAGATCATTGCTGAGGGAAAGGAAAAACCCAGATTTACGTCTCTTATGTCGGCAGTTCTTGGAGAAGAGTCTGTTATTAATGATATAAACTATCTGCATTCTCCCAACAGTAAGTAGAATTCATATTTATGTAAGACTTTTCTATCAAGATCCTCTGTTGTTGCATTGTGATCTGGTTTTTCATTTTTCCAGCTGTCGATGATTTGAAGCCTGTGACTCAGCTTCTTGTTGTTGACATCACAACGAGGGCGGGGCTCAAGTTGCTTCATGAAGGAATTCGCTATCTGGTTAATCTTTACAACTGGCACTCTGTCCACATTGTTTCCTTATAGTCTGTTGTCTGTTTCTTTGCAGCCATGTTTCTGCATCAATAGTCATAAGATGTTTGGTGTATGATGCAGATGGAAGGATCTAAAGTTTCTCGTTTGGGTGTTTTATTTACTGCCAGCCAAGACGTTGATTTATCTAGTCTCCTTTTTGTGAGAGCTTTTGAAGTCACTGTTTCATCATACGGGTTAGTTATGCTACTTTGTGCAATGAGATGAAAATATGTTGTTTACTTGACCCTACAAGAAATATATTGACCTTCATTATCGCTTTCTTATGTGGCGCAGCCATAAGAAAAATGCATTGACATGTCTGGATCATATAACTTCATATTATGAGCAGAAGTATGTCTTCCCATCCTCTGGAGAAGTTGAAAGCCCACAAATATTCTTAGACAAAATCTATGAGCTTGTTGATTCCAATGGCTTGTCGCTGAAAGCCTACAAATCTACGCTGCCTGAATTATCTATTGAGGATATGAAAATATATTTGAGCAAGGTATCAACACAAACATCTTGTACTGATGTCTTTATGGATTCTTGTGTGAGATTGTTTCCTCAAAATTTCTCCACAAGTTCATCTTTGATGTTGTACTGAAGTTTTGCCATCCTATTCTTGCCACTAATTTTATGAACATAGAATCCTTCCTTGGAATGTATAAAATGAATTATGTTGTCCATGGGTATAGTTGATATGGATTGGGACTACAATGTTTATGCAGGTGGCACAATTTTTGTTCAGGCAACTTAGGATTGAATCTGGAGTGAATGCCGTCATTACAAATGGAAGGGTGAGATCTATTTTCAAATTTTTAACATTATGAAGTTTCAATTTGGATCCTTTGCTTGTAGTATTGTCTCTCAAGTGATAGAGCATTCCGCATGCTATCATTGCTTAATTTGATGGCTCCATCGATCTTGGTTTGTTACTTGGATTTTGACTTCTATACCGTCACCAAACAGGTGATGATCCCTAGTGAAGGTACCTTTATCAGCCATGATCTTCAACTCCTGGAGTCTGTTGAGTATAAGCAGCGTATCAAACATATTGTGGATATTATTGAAGAAGTGGAGTGGCAAGAAGCAGATCCTGACTTACTAACAAGGTTCGTTGGTTCCGATGCTGCTTCACTTCTCTAGCTTACTTGCTTCTGGACTGGAACATTACCTCTTTAAGAAGATTTCCATTCACTCCATAATCTGTTGCTGATTTCTTGTCCCTTGAACTTGAAATTGTTTTTTTAAATTTAATCCCGTTGATCCGCTTAGGACTTTTCCACTTTGTTGCCGTTGTTGTTGTCATGTGAAGTCTGCACTAATTTTGTAATTTCACTTGCAGTAAATTTGTAAGTGACGTTATTATGTGCGTATCATCTGCAATGGCCACAAGGGATCGAAGTTCTGAGAGTGCACGATTCGAGATTCTTAGTGATAAATACAGGTAATGGTTATACTACATTGCTTTTCACCTCATCACACTAGAGGTGACTATGAACCTTAAGTTGTAGAAAATTGTACATGCATATGCATATTCATAAGGTTTTCAAATATTACTTTTACTTCCTTTGGCATGGAAAATCATTTGCTAACTTATGGTGTCACTTTATATTTTGGAGCTTGAGTGATTTATTGTTTCATTATGTGTTCCTTATTGTCTTTTTTGTACAGTGCTGTCATTATCGAAAATGAACATTCCAGTGTGCACATAGATGCTGTAATTGATCCTTTAAGTCCCATTGGTCAAAAGGTGGCTTCACTTCTTAATGTTTTGAAGAAATACATCCAACCAAGCTTGAGAATGGTTTTAAACCCTCTGGTGAGTTAAAACTCTAACTTCTCTTATCTTTCAGTTTCAGTACATTGTTCGGTCTTAATGGGGTTTCATCTGTAATGTCTGGAAGAGTATACCTGCATACCAAGATTATCAAAGCAGTTGGATCAGTTCTTCAGATATGTTAAAGTCAAGTACTTCCTGTTGTCAGTCTTCAATAGCAGTCTTCGCTACTGTCTGTTTTGTGAAACAAGTGGTTGTTGTTGTGTATTGGTTCTGGCAACTCCATGTTGGATGAAACAGTCTTCAACTTAGCTGAGCTCTTACGGTAGCTGAAAATACAAAATTGTGCATGTTGCCTTGTATAAATGAACTTTGATCTGAATGGGAGGGTTGTGCCAGCCACTCAAGCAACCCCTGAATAGTTAAAGCATAAAACTAGATCAAGTTGCTACTTGGAAGAGGAATTCGTGGTGCATTATTTTGCTTCCTTAGGTTATTAGCTTGGAAGTTATAATATCTTCTGTTGCTTTTTTCAGGTTCCTTTTGTTTGTTTACCTGGTGGTGACACACTAACACATGGTTTTGTTTTCTGGCAGAGTTCTCTAGTGGATCTTCCCTTGAAGAATTACTACAGATATGTTGTGCCAACAATGGTATAGATAGATAACCTTCACATTTTTAGCATTTGTAGGTCCCTTGTCTCTTCCTTAATGTCCTTTGGCTTTGCAGGATGACTTCAGCTGTACTGACTACACTGTACCTGGTCCAAAGGCATTTTTTGCAAACATGCCACTATCCAAAACTCTCACCTTGAATCTGGACGTTCCTGAGCCGTGGCTTGTTGAGCCTGTTATTGCTGTGTACATTGCTTCACTCCTTAATATATTATCATAATTTTGCTTTCTCAATTCTAGAATATATTCATGCATCTAATTCTTGAATGTTCTGTTCTTCATGCCATATTCTTCAGTCATGATATGGACAACATTTTGCTTGAGAACCTGGGTGATACAAGGACAATGCAAGCAGTTTTTGAACTTGAAGCAGTTGTTCTTACTGGTGAGAACTAATTTTTCTTGCTTAGATCCACCTTTCTTGTTCTCATTGAATAAAATTTCTGATAATTGATATTGAGTAGGATAATTATGATCTGCAAGTCCTTGTCACACTACTAACTGAATGATCATTCGACAGGTCATTGTTCTGAGAAAGATCATGAGCCGCCGAGGGGCCTTCAGCTGATTCTCGGAACCAAGAGCATGCCTCATTTGGTTGACACAATTGTGATGGCCAATTTGGGCTACTGGCAAATGAAAGCTTCCCCTGGTGTATGGTACCTGCAACTTGCTCCTGGCAGAAGTTCCGAGCTTTATGCCCTAAAGGAAGGTGGTGTTGGAAACGAAAACAAGCATTTCTCAAAACGCATTACCTTAGATGATTTTAGAGGTAAAGTGGTTCATCTGGAAGTAATGAAGAGGAAGGGCATGGAACATGAGAAACTGCTTCTTTCTAGTGATGATGATAGCCAATCACGTGGACGGGAGAAAGTAAGTCACAATTGTTATTGTTGATAGCAGTACCCCCAAATTTGGGGACAGCTTGTTTTGTAATTACTTTTTCCCTTGAATCTCTACAGGGATCCCGTGATGGCTGGAATGCTAATTTCTTGAAATGGGCCACTGGCTTCATTGGTGGCAATGGAAAATCTAAAAAGGGTGGAAACACTGCAGTGGTAAGTTCTTCCTTTCTATTTAACTATAGCATTTGTCTTCTATCATGGATTATATTCATTTTAATTTCCTTACTAAATGGACTGGGGTCCTTAGTTAACACCTCTTGCTCGATATACCTTTATGGGTACAATGTAGAGTATATTTGTCTTTCCCCCACCCATCCCTTTGTAACTCATCTTATGCTTAATGTTTAGAGGATCTACTATTACTTTGTAGTCTGTTTTAGTCAACCTAGTATCACTGCATAGTGTTCCGTTCATCTAAGTTCTTAGTTGGTTCCCTATGAAGAGTTCCGAGTCGTGTTCTTCTATTAAGTTGTCCCTGCCACATATCTTCATCTCAACTACTGAATACTATTCTCACTAAGACAATGGTTAAGCTAAACTCAAGTTTCTCTTCTATTGTTCTATACAATTGGTTATTGAAATTTTGTTATCATGCTGAATGGGGGTTAGGTATAGTATGCATCACTTTCTTTTTTGGTAATGAAGTACGCAACACACTTACAGACACTTTCTTTATTGTTTTTTACCTATAACTTTTGTGGATGTAGTAATATGTCCCAATTTGATATATTGTGGTATGTTTTCAAATGTTATAATTCGGCTCTTCACACTGAACAAATTCAAATATTCAGTTAGCCCAACATGAATGAACAGCTTATGATAAATATTAAGATACTCAACTGTCATGACATTCATTGCTTTCGTGAGCATTATTCAATACTGTGATTTGGCTCAAAAAATGTAATGTAAAATATGAAAAAATGGATATCAATTGGTGTGCCATGAAAAAAAAAAACTATCTGAATAATTATAAACAAGATTAGAACCAAAAAAGATATAGAAAGGAAGAAGACAATTAAGTTTCTTTGGTTAGATGAAAATATTCATGAAAAGATACTCACCAGCGGATGAGATTGTATAAGCATCATGATTACCAACCTGTCATAACCTGGTTGTGGTGATTGCTGCAAACTGATTTTGAATTATGGCTATGCATAGGTGCATAGGAACAGTTGACTATGATTGTGGACCCCAAATTTACCTTTAACTTTTTTGTAGTTTCTTTTTGGGTGACAATTAACTCCTTGTGTTTCATTAGGCTAAAAAAGGAAAGGGTGGACGACATGGAAGAACAATCAATATTTTCTCTATCGCCTCTGGACACCTGTGAGTTGTCATTTCACTGACTTATGGAAACTCCTTCATATGTAATCTTTTATGGCACGTCTTTTGTACTAATTTTCTTGCTAATCATTTCCCTTCACACTGTGAAGGGAGAATGCAAAACACCTGGTTGCAGCTGTAGGGTGGGTTCTATCAATAGAAATGTCTTATTAGATGTTAATGAATGGACCTGTTTGGAGCATGCCGTATGGGAATTTTTTTTTCCTTTTCTTGGGAACTTATGTCAAATTGTAGATCGTTCCTATATTCAGAATTGTGTTTTCAGATGTCAATTGAGGATAAATTAGTGTATGGGAAGATATATTTGGGAACCTGGGTAAACATAGATGAAGACAGTCTGTGATGAAAAAAGATCATCATCATGCATTTTCTGATAAACAAACGTCTGCTAGTGGTTGTTTACTCTGAATTCTGTACGATGATTGATCATGCTTTTAGTTTAAGAGTTCCTATATTTTCCGAATACATGATTTCATGTATTTTGAAATATATTTGGTCGCTCGCAAACATTTTCAAATTACTGCTATTGGGCTAGCTCTACTAATGCGCTTGTCAGTTAAACCATTATCTAATGGTTGGCTTACTACTGTTGTAGTATTTTGAGTGTCATTTTGGACGAACATTATTATTCTCCAAGTTTCATATCTATTTGCTCATGCATACCTTATTCTTATGGATATTTTTATGAAACACAAGTTTCTGTAGAGTTGAAGAACGTTAATTGTTATGTTCTTTGAAGTTTTGGTATGAGTTAGATGAGGTTAAAGGGAATCTTAGATTCTATCCCATGTCTTAGGTTTACATACTTTCAGAACACTCGCAAACAAAAGATTTTATTTTGCCAGTACATACTTTGTAAAGTCCATATTTCTGGAGTACCTGGATTGTATAAATACATGTGTTCTCTAATACATAGTTGCCAAACACCGCCTAGGTATATGTAGGATATCCATCATTTTAGTGAAGCCATCGATCTCATGCGTATGTCACCCATGCATCAACTTGTTCCACTTATATAGTCGCTCACTTTTCGAACACTTGGATTCTTAAAATACATGTGTTCTCTAATACATAGTTGTCAAACATCGCATAAGGTACATGTAGGATATCCATCATATTAGTGAAGCCATCGATCTCATGTGTATGTCACCCATTCATCAACTTGTTCCACTTCTATAGTCGCTCACTTGGGAAGGCTTTCCTGCTTGTTGTAGATACGAACGGTTCTTGAGAATTATGATTCTGAGTGTCTTGAAGAACACTCAACGTCCAGTGAAGTTTTGGTTTATAAAGAACTACCTTTCTCCTCAATTTAAGGTGTTACCTATTCACTTGCATCCTTTCACTTAAGTGCACTTTCCCCAAGTTGAAAGTCTTACTTACACTTTCTCTATTGGTAACTTATGAACACCCAGGATGTTATTCCACACATGGCTGAAGAATATGGTTTCGAATATGAGCTGGTTACCTATAAATGGCCCACATGGCTACATAAGCAGAAAGAAAAACAACGAATCATCTGGGCATATAAGATTTTGTTCCTTGATGTTATCTTCCCTATTTCCTTGGAAAAGGTAATTTGTGTATATTTGTGTACTTCTGTGTTTGGATACCCTTTATTGAGAATTTTGAAGTAACTTGGGTTTGACTTTCATTGCTTTGATTCTCTGTACAGGTTATATTTGTAGATGCAGATCAGATTGTGAGAGCTGACATGGGAGAACTTTATGATATGGACATAAAAGGAAGGCCTCTAGCATATACACCTTTTTGCGACAACAACAAGGACATGGATGGATATAGATTCTGGAGCCAGGTAATTTTGTACTCGAATGTTCATTGTTTTGGAAATTATTTGTATAACCCTGAGAAAATCCTCCTTTGTGTATCTGTTAGTTGTCTCACATCTTGAGAATTGTGATTGAAATCTTCTCTTTTGTGTGGAACAGGGGTTTTGGAAAGAGCATTTACGGGGAAGAGCATACCATATCAGGTAGGTGGTTGGTTTGCGTTGGTTCCCTTCAAATGATATGACCACTTCAGGGGCATTGTTTCACTGAACGTGCATTTTCCTGCAGTGCTCTGTACGTCGTTGATCTTGTGAAATTTAGAGAAACGGCTGCTGGTGATAACCTGAGGGTTTTCTATGAAACCCTTAGCAAAGATCCTAACAGTTTGTCCAACCTAGATCAGGTATGGTTATTATTAGCTTGACTTTCCTACTGATTACCAGTTGTGCTTTTGATGCATGCAAAAGCATTGCCTTCCAAGTGGTATAGAACTGTATAAACTATAAGCACTAGAATACATTGCGTCTCCTGGTGCAGTGCAACTTGAGGTTTCTTTTTAGGGTGAATAGTTCATCTAAAAATTGGTGAAAAATAATTTATGTTTGAGCTTTTTCCTCAACTGAATTTTGAGAAACTAAGATTTTACATGAAATAGACGCTCCCTATGCCAACGTGATAATCGAAAATGCCCTCTTCCGCCTTATTTCAGGATCTTCCAAACTACGCTCAGCATACCGTCCCAATCTTTTCTTTACCCCAAGAGTGGCTATGGTGTGAATCATGGTGTGGCAATGCCACCAAATCCAAGGCAAAGACTATTGATCTTTGCAATAACCCGATGACAAAGGAACCCAAGCTCCAGGTTAGCATTCTCATTTTAGCTGCATGCTCCTTGAATACTCTATCCGTATTTGTCTTCTCGGTGCCTTTTTTTCTGTGTCATCCTTCATGTTGCGGTTTTAAGTCTGCCTCCGTTCTAAACTGTCTCCGATATTCCTTTTCTTCCAGGGTGCAAGGAGAATTGTTCCAGAGTGGGTGGATCTTGACTCTGAAGCAAGAAGATTCACCGCAAAAATCTTGGGTGAAGAATTGGAATCCGAAGAGAAGGTTGTTGCAGCCCCTGTCCAACCCGAGCCACAGAGCTCTCAACCCGATGTAGACCTGGAATCCAAGGCAGAGTTGTGAAGAGAACATCGAAGACTACTTGGGTTCCAGTTTCCAGAACTCTCTGTGGCAAATCGTAATGCACGGAGCTTCAGATATCAGGGGGCTTGACATTCTTGTTGTATCCGCAAAGTGTGATAGCCATACAAGGCCTGGTCTCATAGAATGGTGCTGCCAGAAAGTGCTCCCCAGCTTCAGAAAACATGAGCTCTATTCTAAATTACTCCACTCGAGAGAAAAAGAACAGCTTTGTTTTGGGCAGCTGTAGTTTCCATTTTGGCAGCCTTTGTAGTTTAGCAGGCTAAGAAATTTTTTATGAGATGGGCAGTAGAGAACAATGTGTTCTTCTCTTTTTGTTAATGAATGAGGGCAGTAGAGTAGAGCATATTAGTGTCTGAATACTTCCCAACTGTTCTTTTTTATCAGATGATAAACTTTTGCCTGACATTAAAGCTACCCGAAAGTTCGTTTGGTATAATCAATCAGACTATGGTGCTCACAGTTCTATCTACGAGAATGTGTTCAAAGCATGTCTGGCAGGTCGTGCAAGGGAATTCTATGGATTTAGAAAATGATTGATTTGTGGAGTGATTTGAGTGTGACACTTAGTTATATAGTCTTACCTCTAATTTCACCCATTTGGGACTTAAGAGACGATAATTAAAGAAAGACAAGCCACACCATCATGCAAAACACATTACTCATCGGTAGTAAAATCATTTTTTTTTTACCCCAAGTGAACAGTTAAAATACAGATTCAAAGTAGTTTGGAGAAATGAAGGGCATGTTGGAATTGAAAAGCTAAACCACCCCTCTTGAAGAGGTTAAATAATAGGCTTTCTATTTTCTATGCTTTCTTTGGTTCATTTTTTAATATGGCCTTCAGATATGCATATAACAGAGCCAAACCCCACTGCATTTTCACAGTCTGAGATCCAACAAACCCTGGAAATGGAGCCTCAGGTTCTTGCCCCTACTGGAATACAGAAATCATCTTCGATGAGGTAATTGTTACTACAATATCACCTAAATAGTTTGTATCGTACAATTCCATTTCGATAAAAGATAAAACGATTACGTTTTTATTCGGGCGATTCAAGAGTAAAATTCACTCCAAAAAAATATCAGGAGTAAATTGCACGAAAAGTAGTTCAAAAGTTGTGGCGGAGCCAAGAATCTGAATGAGCGGGGCTGATTTGAATAATCGTTATAATTAGGGGGGGTGGTGTTAAGGCCTTACCGACTACTCTATTTCTTAAATTTATTACGAAATATACATGTAATTTTACCTATATTTCAAATTTGAGGGGAATATAACCCCTCATGATTTCTATCTAACTCCTCTGCTGTTTAAAAGTTCGAACTGATAGTTAAAAAAGATTTACATTCATGAGCATACATATTACATGGAGTTTAGTCCGCGTTATATCAATAAGTATCTTGTTCTTCAAAGAGAATAAGTATCATGCTCTCATGGAACATTTTATTCCATAAAATATCATATTTCACTTCAAACCAAGTTTTATTTTTTATTTTTATAAATGTTTCACTTTCTCAAACTGGAAATTGATTCGTTTGCTGACCGGAAAAAAAACGAAACATCACAGTCCTCTTCGATTCGTTCGCCGCTTCTCAGGTTACCAGGCAAGGTCGCCGTCATCACAGGCGGCGCAAGAGGGATCGGCGCCGGAACGGCCAAGCTCTTCGCCGCCAACGGCGCCCACGTCGTGATCGCCGACGTCCTCGACGACATCGGAGCCGCTCTAGCAGTCTCCATCGGCGGCCGATACATCCACTGCGACGTCACCCTCGAATCCGACGTGGAGGCCGCCGTGAACCTCGCCGTCACCTGGAAGGGCAAAATCGACATCATGTTCAACAACGCCGGAATCCCGGGCCGCGACGGCAGCATCACAAACCTAGACCCCGGCGACACCAATCGAATCCTGGCCGTCAATCTCCAGGGCGTGCTGAACGGGATCAAGCACGCCGCCAGATCCATGATCCGGACGGGCACCCGGGGGTCGATCATCTGCGCGGCGAGCTCCGCGGCGGTGATGGGCGGATTGGGGTCGCACGGCTACACGGCGTCGAAGGGGGCGGTGGTGGCGGCGGCGAGGAGCAGCGCGTGCGAATTGGGGGAGTACGGGATCCGGGTGAATTGCATATCGGCGCACGGGGTGCCGTCGGAGATGCTGGTGGGAGCGTTCCGGCGGATTCTGGGGAGGGCGGAGATGGCGGCGGAGGAGGTGGCGGAGATTGTTGGGGAAAGGGGGAGTTTGGTGAAGGGCAGAGGAGGGAAGGTGGAGGATGTTGCATACGGCGCCGTTTTCCTGGCGAGTGAGGAGGAGGCTGGGTTTGTTACTGGGCATAACCTTGTGATTGATGGTGGGTATACTTGTGCTGATGGGAACATGAGCTTCATTTACAAGGAGGATTAATAATTGATTGAAGGGTTGATTTAGATTAATGAGAGACATTTTATTATTATTATTTTTTTTTTGCCAAAAGATCACTCGTATTACCGAGAAAGCCAGATATAACAAGTCACACAGCTGAAAACAGCCAAGAAACAAAATCGAACCCTCCTAAGTGAGGGAACAACGAAAGGGCTTTTCTTGCCACCAAATGGGCAACCCTGTTACAATCCCTACCAACAAACCGAATATCAAACACCGAAAACGAGCCCGTCAAGCATCGAATTTCTTCCAAAACCGTGCCACCCTGAACATCATCAACCTGACCTTCTCGAATCCTTCTAATCACCACCTGTGCATCCCCAGCAAAGACGATAGAATGAAGACCTCGTGCCAAACACCAACGAATCGCATCCCGAAAAGCTAACAGCTCCACCAAGGAGGGATCAAAAATCCCCACATACAAGGCCGCTGAAGCCGCCACCACCACGCCCGATGGATCCTGCAAAACCCAACCTCCAGCCCCGTGGGAACCACGCAGCGTGGCCCCATCAACAAACAACACTAACTCCCCAGGCGGGACTGACTCTCTAACCGCTAGGCGAGGACCCCTAGGACCTGGAAAAGGCGGCCTTTGTTGATTATCAGGAACGGAATCCCACTCTGTGACCTGCGAACGAAACTGAGAAAGCAAAACAGGGACAATGAACTGAGTGAAATCAAACACAACCCAATTTCGCGCCCGCCAAACACGCCAAAAAAGAGCCACCACCCGCATCAACGTGCTCCGGTCCAAATTGCCTTCCTCGAGAACCCTGCGCCAAAAGATGCTTATATTGTTAAGTGGGAACCGATCTCTCAGCAGGTGAAGCTCGGCCCCCTCCCAGAGCTGCAGCGCTACACGACATCGGAAGAAGAGATGCTCAAGAGACTCCACCTCCTCCCCGCAGACTGGACATGGCTCCAGCCCCTCCATCCCGCGAGTACTCAGTGCCTCACCAGTTGGCAAGACACCCCGGACAAGCTGCCAAATAAAATACCGCAGTTTAGGCGGTATCGGAGTGGCCCAAATTCGTTTCCACAGGCTACAGTCCCAGGATAGAGCGACTGCCTTCACCTGCAGCTCCTTCTGCCGTCTTAACTCGACCGCCTTGTGATACCCTGATTTGACAGTATAACATCCAGAGATTTCTCCATCCCAGACCAGGCGATCTGGCACAACCTTAATGGGGAGAGGAATAGCCAAGATAGCTTTAACCGTGTCTTCTTTAAAGATCTGACGAAGGCAATCTACCCTCCAGACACCCTGATTAGGACAAATCAAAGACGCCACTTTGCCTTCCACTCCAATAATACCCTGTCGCGGTTTGGGGGGAAACGGATGTAGAGCTGGCACCCAATTATCAGTGAGCACTTCTACTGAATCCCCTGACCCAATTTGCCATCGAAGCCCTTGGAGAAGCAGATCACGCCCTCGAAGAATGCCACGCCATCCCCAAGATGTGAGAGACCCAGTCCTTGCACTCAAGATACTTGAATTGGGAAAGTATTTCCCTTTATACACTCGAGCCAACAAGGAATTGGGATCCTTCCAGATTCGCCAGGCCACCTTAGCCAGAAGAGCTTGATTAAACTCTTCAAATCTACGGAAACCCAACCCACCCTCCTGCTTACCGAGGCACATCGCTTTCCAAGAAACCCAATGGATCCGCCTTTCCCCTTGTTTAACCCCCCACCAAAACCGAGCCAAATGTCTATCTAGAGAACGACATAGAGTCAGAGGGAACAGGAAACAAGACATCCCATAAATGGGTAAAGCATTAGCAACTGCCTTCAGAAGAACTTCTTTAGCGGCCCAAGAAAGACACTGCTGCTTCCATCCCTGGAGTTTTTGGATGACCCTTTCCTCTATATATCGGAACGTATCATACTTCGACCTCCCCACCAGAGAAGGGAGACCCAAGTATTGATCCGTTACACCAATAGCTCCAATCCCAAGTAACTGCCCCATCTCTTGTGCATCCCGTGGAAGAACATTCCTGCTAAAGCAGACTGCCGACTTATCTAAATTTACCTTTTGACCGCTGAGCTCCTCATACTGGTGCAAGAGAACCATGAGACTAGCACATTCGGCTCGAGAAGCTCGCAGAAACAGGTATGAATCATCTGCGAAAAATAGGTGCTAGATCACAGGACATCTGGGACTAATACGAAGACCAGAAAGAGCACGAGACGATAACGCTTGTCTAAGCAGAGCAGCAAAGCCTTCTGTGCAAATAGCAAACAAAAGCGGCGACAACGGATCACCTTGTCGAAGTCCCCGCGAAGCTTGGAAATAACCAGACGGCTGACCATTCATGAGAACAGAGAACGATGAAGAAGACACACAAACCCGAAGCCATCTAATCCATTGCACACTGAAACCAAGTTTCTCAAGCAATGCGAACAAAAATGGCCATTCCACCCTATCATATGCCTTCTCCATATCCACCTTGACGGCCATGAAACTCTGTTTTCCCACCCTCTTATTTTTCAGGTACTGCATCACCTCATGCCCTATAAGAACATTATCCACGATTTGCCTGCCTCGTACAAAACCGTTCTGCCCTGGAGAGACAATTGATGGTAAGTATCGAGCAAGCCTCTCAGCTAAAATCTTCGCAATGATCTTATAGGCAAATTGACATAGACTAATGGGCCGAAGATCCCTCATATTTTCAGCATTATCAACCTTTGGAAGGAGCACCAGCCAAGTATGATTACAGTTTTTCAGGAGGGAGCCAGTATCGAAAAAATGTCGGACCGCCATAATCACATCAGGACCCACTATCTCCCAGAACTTCCGATAAAAAACTCCTGTGAACCCATCCGATCCTGGTGCCTGCGTAGCTCCGATTTGAAAAACGCTGTTGCGAATCTCCTCCGGAGAGACCTCGGCAGTCAACCTAGAATTCATCCGATCCGTCACTCTTCTCTCAATCTGCAGTGCCCCCACCTTCTCCAAAACTGACTGAGAGTCCAAACCTCCCGACGTGAACAGATGGGTATAAAAATCATTAGCAATTAGAGCTTTTCCCTCCTCCGACGTCACCAAATTTCCCGCGGGGTCTTTGAGACTATGAATGTAATTATGGCGACGACGGGCCCTAGTAACATTATGAAAATAGGAAGAATTCTGATCACCCTCCTTCAACCAACCCACCCTAGACTTTTGTCGCCAATAAATCTCTTCATCCACCCAAGCCGCGCGTAGATGGCTTTCAATCTCTCGAAGCTTTCCCCAGTCAACATCAATAGCGCCTCTCGTAACATCCCATTCCCGTTGGAGGCTCCGAATTTTCCGTTCGGAGTTACTCTTACCAAGCTTACTCCATTCATATAACCGGTGCCTGAGGGCTTTAAGTTTGCACCATAGACGAAACATAGGGGTACCATCAAAGCTCATATCCCACACCTCCTGGACAATGTCCCGAACTTCTGGATTCTCACACCACCTAGCGTCAAAGCGAAAGAGCTTCTTTCCCCGACGTTGGACAGATTCCGTGGCCAATAACAGTGCTCTATGGTCCGACTCTTGGTCAGAAAGATGATGGAGAGCCGAATCAGGCAATTGATCTAGCCAACCGGCCGAGACCAAAGCCCGGTCAAGGCGCTCCTGGATCACCCGTTGCGGATTAGAATTTCTGTTTGACCAAGTGAACTGGGGACCAACAAAGCCCAAATCATGCAGACCCAGATCATCCACAAATTCACGGAAGTTAAGAGATTGAGCAGGAAGTCAAGGGTTACCACCCTCTTTTTCATTAGATGCAAGTAGAGAATTAAAATCCCCAACAATCGCATATGGAACTCTTAAGCGCGAGCACAAACTTTGGATGCGAGTGAACTGGTTTGTGCGCGTCTGGTAATCGCAACTCAAGTAAACGAACACCACCACATAATCTAAATTGTCTTTATTCAATTGAAAAGCAATAAAAAAGGAGTCACTACAAAGGACTGAGACTGAGATCCCAGTAGACCAACCTAAGGCAAGGCCGCCGGGAGCGTGGGCAGCATCAACAAAAAACATGTGAGAATTAGAAAAACCTAAGCGCCTAAACTGGCGAACTACGACATCGCGCTTTGACAAAGTCTCCGACAAGCAAACGACATCGGGAACAAACTGAAAATTCAAAGAAACAAGCTGCCGAATTGTCGTGACTGGCCCAATGCCACGACAATTCCAGAACATTAGCTTCATTTATTCACTGGGGGCCACTCGCGGCTGGCTTCCTCCACCGTATCCTCATTACCATCTCCATCTCCGTCCGGGTCTTGGCGAACTTGATCCGCCTCTTTCTCTTCCTCGCCCAACAAATCATCATTGTCGAGTCCGACATCCTGCATAACAGAAGGGTCAAAGCATAATTTCTTTGGAGGCAGAGGCTTATTCTCAGAAACAGTCATCATCTCTTCATTGCCTCTCTTTTTGTCAAATAGCATCTCCTCCAATTCGCCTAGACTCATCTTGAAACCAGGCTTCGGACGCTTCTGCCCATCTTTCCCAGAACGTCCCTGTGTCCCCTTTGAGGCTCCACTAGAACGCGCCGCCGGGGCAGCCTTTTTATGCTGGGTTTGCTGCTCACCAGGTTCGCGAATGGATATCCCTGAGTTTCGGGCTCTTGAACGGACCATCTCAGCGGTCCTCTTACCATCATCAATCATCTTACCCTTGCCTTTTTCCGATTCGGTGAAACGCCGACCTGACTGTCCAGAACCCAGCATTACAGCTTGAGAGCCAGACCTGTCTTGTTTCTGTCCACCAGCCCCTTCGTGTGTCTCTTCTCGTCCTGCTGTCACAAACTCCTGCATACGGGCAGCAGCAGAAGAATTCTTCCTATTAAGTATGGCCTCAATGCCCAACAAATCTGGTTCCACCAACCGATCAGCCGCAACCTGCGAGACAGAAACAATTATGTGACATGAGAATCCATCCCACCAATGTTTCCACGGATATCCACCATCCTCACATCCATAACTCATGTCCAGAGAAACAGCTCGTAGCCAAACGACTTGATAATGCAACTGACATCCCAAAACAATATGACATGAGAAAAATTGCCATACTCCAACAAGTAAACCAATTAGAGCAAGCCTATGCGAAGTTCTAGTTCTTAATTGTGGACATATCCCCCATAATAATGTGTACGCAGCTCTTCTATTAATGACACTAACAACATAGCAATAAGCACCCAGAGATGTACATAAACCCCCATTCATACCAGGAGTAAACCCATGATTTAAGCGAGCCAAAAAAAGGGCCAGAACTACCTCTTGAGGGACGACACGCTCCACCTCCATTGGAGCTAAATCCAGCTGTTCAACTTCGTTCACCACTTCATCCAGCTGGTTCGGGTTGATCCAGACTGAACGTATTGGCAGCAAAGTAGCCTCATCTAGGCGAAATCCCACCGGATCAGTCGACAGCTCAGGGCCATACACCTCGTTCCCTTCATGCCGAGGGAAGCGACATGCCCGCTCCGCATGACCAATTCTGCCGCAGTTGAAACAGAACAAGGGAAGCCTCTCGTACCGAAGTACAACCCTGAACTGGCCTAGTCTTGGATTACTTGCTGTCAATCTCGTACGGAGAGGCAGCTCTACGTTAACACGAACTCTAGCTTTGACAAAGTACCCCAGGTCACCCCTGGTACCAAATAAGCCAGTATCCACTTCCTCTCCGAGTCTTGCTGCCAACCGACGCCCCAGCTTCACTGTGCGGCATTGGGACGGGATGTCCCACATCTGGATCCAAAAAGGAACCCAAGCCAGTTCTTGGTACAATTCGGGAGTGACAGGGGCCCATTCACGGAGCATCAAAATGTGATCCTTGATAATCCATGGAGCCCGCAGCAGCACCCTTTCCCGATCACTCTCATCAGCAAACAAGAATTGCAATAGCCCCATGTCCGCCTCCAAGACCACCACGGGGGAATTACAGCGCCATAAGTTATTCACAATCCTCTGAAGAAGCGGGATGGGCATATTCTCCATGAACAGTCGCCCAATCAAGCTAAGCCTTGATCGAGCCATGCTTTCCTCAACATCTTCGTCCTCGAATTCCACAATCTGGTCATTGTCCTTGGATGAGCCCATGATTGTCGTTTGCTTCCTTAAACCAAAACAGAAACGAGAGAAAACAACGAAAACCAGCAGACTCAGTAATCCCCCCAGGAACAGAGCAGTCCCCATCGGGTAAAAGAGAGAGAACGATGAAAGTATTGAGAAGAACAAACCTAGCCAAAGAACTCCTCGAAATTGAGCCTGAGAATTAGGTCGATCTCTTCCTGTAAGTTCTCTCAAGATAGAGTGTGTTATTTTGCCGCCTGCATGCGTGGTTTTTATAGGGGATAACCGCCTTTCCATCCCTACGAGACGTTCGAAGGAATGACTCACAGCCCCAATCCAAAATTCCCAGACGCATATCAATCCGGAAACTGCCTGGTGAGGAGTAGAGCATATCCCCAATCCCGAATTAGGGATTATTTTGAGCAAACCGATAAGCACGAATCCTCCCGAAAACCGTTGCATGCGCCCGAATCCGGGTATTAGCTTGAAGATCCGGCATCGAAAACCCCTCCGCCTCCCCACAACAAGAGGAGAAAGTGCAGGGCCATCGGGCTTGATCTTGAGATATTTTCGTCGATAGAGACGAAGGATGATTATCCCCAAAAGGGATTTAAGATTAACCCTACAACGAGGGAAACATAATAATCCTCCAAATGAGGTATAAATCGGCCCGAATCTGGGCTTTCCTTGCTGATAATGATTATGCCATCCTCCATTATCCACCGATCCGATCGGAGACTGGGGAGGAAGCTTGGTCGACTCGCCGCCATCTTCTCCCTCCGCGAGAGCATCTGGGGGCTTTTTTTTTTTTTGCTTCTTTCTGAGTTATACCAACCATTATCTAGTTCGTATCTTGGTAATTGGTATAGTAAGGTATGGTGCTTCAAGTATGAAATAATGGTAATAAAGGGTTGGAAATGGATTTTAATTTCCAAAGGTTCGGATCAGGTGTATAATTCAATTTGAGTATTTGTAACTGTATTGTGTGAAAGGGTGGAACCGTAATGTTGTGTCTGACTGTTGTCGACGAAATATATGAGGCGCGATCTCGATCTTTGTATCAGTGTATAGTTCAAATGATTTTTTTTATACAATTCCCTAATCTCATGGTTGACGCGAATTCTCTTTGTTTGAACTCCAATTTTAAGATTTTTGGAATAGAAAATGAAATTAATATCACCTACAAAGTGATATTTATTTGTATATAGTTCGACAAATTATTTGAACTGTTTAAGACACATGCTAATCATGATCTGCTGGTATACAGTGATAGTACGATAAATATCCTACAATGGTACACCTTACTTAACATATATACTGTCACCGCGATATAAATCATTAATGGAATAATCGTGCCACCATGGTATAGTTTCTATACCGCCTATCGTGGTATAAACACATTGTCTAATGACACATACGTTTTTGTTCCAACATATGTGAAACTACATGAAACTCGTCAATCACTCTATTTGCTCTTTCTTGGAGAAAACTTTGAAATTCAAGTCCAGACAAAGAAGATACAAATGGTGATTGAAAACAAAGGGAAAAGGGGCACAAACAAGAAACCACAATATACTTCCATTAGCAAATTTTGAATTTGTCAAACTTTGGTGGATCATAACTTTTTATTATTTTATTTTGCATAATTTTTTTAGTACTACAACATTTACCAGGAATAAATTTTCAAAAAGGAATATTTTTTAATACAAGGGGTTTTGGGAATAACTTTAACTTTAATTTTCACATTTCCACATATATTCTGAAAATATTTCTATTTAGTCCTCGAAAAGTTATGCGAAATGAAATTTTTTTTTTGGTTGCTATGATTGGATAATCGAGCACAAAGTTAAGATTGTTGGAAGTTCAAAGGAGTAGTTCGAGTTCACTGAACACGAACCACTTCAGCCCCACATGGTTCGAGGCTTACATCATCGATCCACGTGTAGATCGAGTAGCTTACACTCGGACCAGTTAGTAGTTCGAGTTCCTTAAACTCGAAACACTCCAAACTTAGGTATTTTGCGAAATTTTTTTATAAATGCGGTAGTTTAGGAATTGTTTTTAGTTGTATGTGTATTTGGGGAAAAAGTCTGGGGGCTCTTCATCATCAAAGAGTAGTTTTATAAGTTTAAACAATTTTTAGCGTAAATTAACTGATGTATGATGAAAATGTTAATTGATAGACAATAGAAGAAAGAAAATGTGAACATGTATGTATGAAAACCTCTGTTCTTGTTTTTTGAAAGGATGAATGATAGAAAAACAAAGCAGAGCTTATAACAAGGAAACTTGCAGAGGAAAAAATGGGTTAAAACTTGGAAAGGTAAACATGTTAGATTGATTGAAAGAACACAACTTGGGAATCGTCTATTGTTGGAGATATCAAGATTAACAACACTCCCTTCAAAACCAAGAACACCCAATCGTTTCCCACCCCATTGTGTCAACCAATGGCCATTAACAGGTTACAGCTGAAAACAGACACCCAAAAGGAAACCCAGAAACAGATTCTAACTGAAATTGTGCCAACAAGATCCTCAAGTGTAAGGGAAACCAAATGTGCTAACAATGGGCAACTGAGGTAAGTTTTGACGCTAAAGTCAACTTGGAGAATATTCATAACGACGCTCTCAGATTCGGGTATGATAACTTCAACGAAGACTATAAGTTTGTCAAGATTTTGCAGTTGTTCAACGAACAAACTTTGTATCTCGAATCCAAACTAGTTTGTTATGGAGTTAGGCTGAATAGTCTCTCATTCGCGAATTTCCCTTATGTCCTAGATTCAGTCACAGGTGTATTTCTGGGTACAACTATTCATTGGGTTTGTAGTTGTAGGAGACGTGGCAACTGCCCATTTGGGGCAACCAGGCTTTCAAAGCAGACAACTGAGTCAATGGAGTCCCCCTCCAATCCTATGATCATGAGTTCCTGAGCAGCAGGACTCTCGGGATTCCCCACGTCACACCAAATAAGCCTATCGCCAGACTCCTGCACAAGAATACCCTGACCGGTGGACGATAATCCAAGATATCTACACAAGGGATTGTGATATCCGAACAAATATCCAACCTCTCTCGAGGGAAGTGGAACAGAGAACATATAGTCTTCGTCGAATATCACAATCCCGTGTGTAGATATGGAGTTCAAAATTCGTGGATACCGATGTTCTCTGTTCCACTTCCCTCGAGAGAGGTTGGATATTTATTCAGATATCACAATCCTGTGTGTAAATATCTAAGATTATCGTCGACCGGTCAGCATATTCTTGTGCAGGAGTTGGGCGATAGGCTTGTCTAGTGTGACGTGGGGAATCCCAAGAGTTCTGCTGCTTAGGAACTAATGATCATAGGATTGGAGGGGGACTCCATTGACTCAGTTGTCTGCTTTGAAAGCCTGGTTGCCCCAAATGGGCAGTTGCCACATCTCCTAAGACTACAAACCCAATGAATAGTTGTACCCACAAACACACATGTGATTGAATCTAGGACATAAGGGAAATTCGCGAATGAGAGATTGTTCAGCCTAACTCCATAACAAACTAGTTTGGATTCGAGATACAAAGTTTGTTCGTTGAACAACTGCGAAATCTTGGCGAACTTATAGTCTTCGTTGAAGTTATCATACCCGAATCCGAGAGCGTAGTTAGGAATATTCTCCAAGTTGACTTTAGCGTCAAAACTTACCTCAGTTGCCCATTGTTAGCACATTTGGTTTTCCTTACATTTGAGGATCTTGTGGAACAATTTCAGTTAGAATCTGTTTCTGGGTTTCCTTTTGGGTGTCTGTTTTCAGCTGTAACTTGTTAATGTCCATTGGTTGACACAATGGGTTGGAAAACAATTGGGTGTTATTGGTTCTGAATCTAGGACATAAGGGAAATTCGCGAATGAGAGACTGTTCAACCTAACTCCATAACAAACTAGTTTGGATTCGAGATACAAAGTTTGTTCGTTGAACAACTGCGAAATCTTGACAAACTTATAGTCTTCGTTGAAGTTATCATACCCGAATCCGAGAGCATCATTAGGAATATTCTCTAAGTTAAAATTAGCGTCAAAACTTACCTCGGTTGCCCATTGTTTGCACATCTCCTACGACTACAAACCCAATGAATAGTTGTACCCACAAACACACATGCGACTGAATCTAGGACATAAGGGAAATTCGCGAATGAGAGACTATTCAGCCTAACTCCATAAGAAACTAGTTTGGATTCTAGATACAAAGTTTGTTCGTTGAACAACTGCAAAATCTTAACGAACTTATAGTCTTCGTTGAAATTATCATACCCGAATCCGAGATCATCGTTAGGAATATTCTCCAAGTTGACTTTAACGTCAAAACTTACCTCAGTTGCCCATTGTTAGCACATCTCCTACGATTACAAACCCAATGAATAGCTGTACCTACAAACACACCTGTGACTGAATCTAGGACATAAGAGAAATTCGCGAATGAGAGACTGTTCAGCCTAACTCCATAACAAACTAGTTTGGATTCGAGATACAAAGTTTGTTTGTTGAACAACTGCGAAATCTTGACGAACTTATAATCTTCGTTGAAGTTATCATACCGAATCCGAGAGCGTCTTTAGGAATATTCTCCAAGTTGACTTTAGCGTCAAAACTTATCTCAGTTGCCCATTGTTAGCACATTTGGTTTCCCTTACACTTGAGGATCTTGTTGGCACAATTTCAGTTAGAATCTGTTTCTCGGTTTCCTTTTGGGTGTCTGTTTCAGCTGTAACCTGTTAATGGTCGTTAGTTGACACAATGGGGTGAGAAACGATTGGGTGTTCTTGGTTCTGAATCTAGGACATAAGGGAAATTCATGAATGAGAGACTGTTCAACCTAACTCCATAACAAACTAGTTTGGATTCGAGATATAAAGTTTGTTCGGTGAATAACTGCGAAATCTTGACGAACTTATAGTCTTCGTTGAAGTTATCATACCCGAATCCGAGAGCGTCATTAGGAATATTCTCTAAGTTAACATTAGCGTCAAAACTTACCTCAGTGTCCCATTGTTAGCACATCTCCTACGACTACAAACCCAATGAATAGTTGTACCCACAAACACACATGTGACTAAATCTAGGACATAAGGAAAATTCATGAATGAGAGACTGTTCAGCCTAACTGCATAACAAACTAGTTTGGATTCGAGATACAAAGTTTGTTCGTTGAACAACTGCGAAATCTTGACGAACTTATAGTCTTCGTTGAAGTTATCATACGCGAATCCGAGAGCGTCATTAGGAATATTCTCCAAGTTGACTTTAGCGTCAAAACTTACCTCAGTTGCCCGTTGTTAGAACATCTTCTACGACTACAAACCCAATGATTAGTTGTACCCACAAACACACCTGTGACTGAATCTAAGACATAAGGGAAATTCGCAAATGAGAGACTATTCAGCCTAACTCCATAACAAACTAGTTTGGATTCGAGATACAAAGTTTGTTCGTTGAACAACTGCAAAATCTTGACAAACTTATAGTCTTCGTTGAAGTTATCATACCCGAATCCGAGAGCGTCGTTAGGAATATTCTCCAAGTTGACTTTAGCGTTAAAACTTACCTCAGTTGCCCATTGTTAGTGCATTTGGTTTCCCTTACACTTGAGGATCTTGTTGGCACAATTTCAGTTAGAATCTGTTTCTGGGTTTCCTTTTGGGTGTATGTTTACAGCTGTAACCTGTTAATGGCCATTGGTTGACACAATGGGATGGGAAACGATTGAGTGTTTTGGTTCTGAATCTAGGATATAAGGGAAATTCGCGAATGAGAGACTGTTCAGCCTAACTCCATAACAAACTAGTTTGGATTCGAGATACAAAGTTTGTTTGTTGAACAACTGCGAAATCTTAACGAACTTATAGTCTTCGTTGAAGTTATCATACCCGAATCCGAGAGCGTCGTTGGGAATATTTTCAAAGTTGACTTTAGCGTCAAAACTTACCTCAGTTGCCCATTGTTAGCACTTACACTCAGTGGCGGAGCCAGAAAATTGGCCAAGGGGGTGCCTTTTCCGTATCATAAAAAATGAACTATGTAATAAAAAAGTCAACTAAACGTAATAAGAAGTCAATAACGTAGTGCCCAAATTTCCTATAATTACAAAATAGTTTGATGTACGCGACTTACAACGAGCTGCGATGAGATTTCATGTTTTGAAAGCATTCAATAACACATTATTTGTTCGAACTATATAGCAAATATTATTTAATATATGTTATAAATGTGTCGTTCAACCACTTATTGTTTATTCGGCATCGAAGATCATTTTTTATATATTTCATGGATGAAAATGATCCCCCTCACTTGCTTGAAGAATGAGTGTATTTCATGGATGAAAACGATCCCTCCTAACTTGCTTGAAGAATGAGTGTCAAGTGTGACGCCATAACCCAAAAAGAATACAACTTCAGAGTTTAGACGGTTGGAATGAGAGCAAGGGGTAAACAAAGGTGGGTTCAGTTTCTTTATGTGATATAAGAGGATGGATGAATATAAATCTTAGCTTGCTGACTTCCCTCTTATAACAAATTCGATGGGTGGCTGGTTTTTATCTCTGAAGGTTATATAGCAGGGAGCAATTGGATTGGCAGGGTGGCAGGGGTGGTGGAGGGCATTCGATTCAATTCAAATAAGGGGTTGATTACTTTCTGTAGTTTCAATGAATAAAGTGGCAACCTAGGGATAGAAACTCCCTATACCCGTTAATTTTTTTCTCCAGCCCAAGGGGGGTGCTTGCACCCCCCTCCTCTGTGAATAGCTCCGCCACTGCTTACACTTGAGGATCTTGTTGCAACAATTTCAGTTAGAATCTGTTTCTGGGTTTTCTTTTGGGTGTCTGTTTTCAGCTGTAACCTGTTAATTGCCATTGGTTGACACAATGGGGTGGGAAACGATTGGGTGTTCTATGTTCTGAATCTAGGACATAAGGGAAATTCGTTGATGAGAGACTGTTCAGCCTAACTCCATAATAAACTAGTTTGGATTCGAGTTTCAAAGTTTGTTCGTTGAACAACTGCGAAATCTTGACGAACTTATAGTTTTCGTTGAAGTTATCATACCCAAATCCGAGAGCGTCGTTAGGAATATTCTCCAAGTTGACTTTAGCGTCAAAACTTACCTCAGTTGCCCATTCTTAGCACATTTGGTTCCCCTTACACTTGAGGATATTGTTGGCACAATTTCAGTTAGAATCTGTTTCTGGGTTTTCTTTTGGGTGTCTGTTTTCAGCTGTAACCTGTTAATGGCCATTGGTTGACACAATGGGGTGGGAAACGATTGGGTGTTCATGGTTCTAAAAAAAATATTTATGTGAAAATTAAGATATTTATGTCGTATATAGCCATACTTATGTGAAAATTAAGATATTTCGCCATGTTTTCCTATCATGGTCGCCCTAATCTAATGCATTATTGGACTTAAAGTTTAGACATAAATTGAATATATTTATGATTCACGTAATGTTTTTCTTGTGTACAATTTTAATAGAATAACATATTATGGATGCATTTGTTTATAACCTTTTTAGCCTATTTCAACAAATATCGTGAAAAATTAAGATATGTCGTATATAGCCATACTTATGTGAAAATTAAGATATTTCGCCATGTTTTTCTATCATGGTCGCCCTAATCTAATGCATTCTTCGACTTAAAGTTTAGACATAAATTGAATATAGTTATGATTCACGTAATCCTTTTTCTTGTGTACAATTTTAATTGAATAACATATTAGGGATGCATTTGTTTATAACCTTTTTAGCCTATTTCAACAAATATCGTGAAAAAAACTAGACATATGTTGAAGTAAATCACATTTTATTAAAACTCAAACAACATTTGTGAATTTTGATACCTTTCACCTCGGTTTATTTGTGTTGGGGGGCATGTAATGAGTGGCCCAAGCATGGATCCAGGAAGTAAGCTTGGGCCCGGAATGTGGGCCTGGGCCGAGAAAAAGGCTAAAGGCCATGGCCCAACTGGCAGAACCGGGCCCGAAACAGGGCGCATGACGACAAAAGGGAAGTAACGGCCAGGGACGTACGGAGGGGACATGAAGTGGGGCCATGCGCCCTCAGAGCCACGGGAGGTGTCCGAATGGCAGGGCGCCTGAGGAAAGGAGGTAACAGTGAATTTAATGTGGGGATGACGTAGGGCGGATTTGGGGGGCACTGGTCGGCCCTACCCCGAGTATAAATAGTGAAGTGGGTGGAGCTCATTTACTCAGGTCCCAACTTCTCTCTAAACTCGTACCTCACTTCTCTCTCTAGAAGGTTCGTTCTGACTTGGGCGTCGGAGTGCTAACGAACCCCAGTTTAGGGGTTCGCTGGGCGCCTTGGTGTGCAGGTTACGGACGTGCAGGGAAGACGCAGAGGGGTCTAAAGGAGGCGCGGGATCTATCCGAGGCGCGGAGGGTACGTGGCACAAACAATTGGCGCGCCAGGTAGGGGAATATAGCCTTTGACAAAGCGACACGAGCATGGAAGAGGCACCGCAGTCGGAAGGCGCAAGGAGCCACGCGCCGAACGAGGCTGGATCGGAGGGGGCGCCCAATGTCTCCGAGGAGGCGCAAAGGGGGGAAGATGAGACGCAGGGGACGGCGCAGTCGGAAGGCGACACGCTGACCAAGGAACACTTGATCAGCATCATAGAGGAGCAGGCTCAGGCGCTTGAAGCCCTGAGGAAGGAGGTGGAAGTTCTGAGGAAGGGGGGTGACGTCGCGCCTCCCTGCGGCGGAAGGAAGAGAGACAGGGAAGAGGATGACGATGGAATGTCAAGCGCGTTAAGGCGAACGGAGGACGCGGGTAACCCGGTCCGGCGTGAGGCGCCGGACCCCGAGGAGCGCAATGCATGGGGCGCCCATGGGGGGTAAGGCAGCCGTTGGCGCGAAGTGTTCTAGCGGAGCAGGCCAACTCGGTCATACCTGCGCTTCCCAGTTATGACGGTACTTCCGACCCGGAGGACCACCTGAACAATTACTTCACCAAAATGCAGCTGTACAACAGCTCGGACGCCACGCTCTGCCGCGCCTTCCCCTCGACCTTTGTAGGCGTGGTGCTGGACTGGTATCACCAGATTGAAGAGGGGAGGATCGACAGCTTTGAGCAATTCGCGGCCATGTTTCTCTCGAAATTTGCCAGTCGGAAGCGCCGGAGCTTAACGATCAGCGCATTGTTTAAAGTCAGGCAGCGAAAAGGCGAGGCGCTTCGAGACTTCTACGAGCGATGGATGTCCGTCGCGATGGCGGTCAAGGATGTGAAACCGCCAGTCCTAGGGTGCTGCTTGGACGAGTGCACTAACAGCGAAGAACTTTGCCGGGCGCTTTCAAAGCGGGACGTGGTGTCCACAGAGGATTTGGACCGAAGGGTGCAGAAGGTCATAATGCTGGAGGAGACGCTGGCCGCAAGGAGGTTGGAGCGGAGAGAGACGCGCCCGGACGAGACCGAAGCGGCCCGGACGCCCCGACCGACCCCGGTCCCGCAAAGCGCGCAGGGTTACCTCCAGAACGCCCGCCGGCCCGAGCCTCCACGTTTTCCCCCCAGAAGCTCCACAAACTTCACCGAACTCAACGATACTTTGAGGAACGTGCTGCAATACGCGAGAGACAAGGGATATCACCTTCGCTGGCCGGGTCCCATGCGCGGGCGCCCAAATGAGCAAAACTTGGATAGGTTCTGCGAATTCCACCGTGAGAGGGGACATCACACGGCAGACTGTTACCAACTGAAGTCGGAGATCCAGGGGCTAGTGGACAGGGGGATGTTGAACGAATTTGTGAAAAAGGCGGAGGAGAAGGCGCAGCGGACCTTCATGGCGCAGGAGGAGAGGGCGGCGACGCCTCAGGGGAACAAGAGTGGGGAGGAAACGGGACGTGTTCGTATGGAGGCGCCGGAGGGAGGCAGGGAGCTGCCGCCTCCCCCCTTTGATGTCGAGCCAGAGACAAACCCCGCACGGGTGAGATTGACAATTGAGGCTATCTCAGGTACGATCGATCTAAGACAAAAGTTGGAGGAAAGCAGGCGGCTGAAGTCGGCCACCGCCAGTGCGCGCGCAGCCGTGCGAATCCATTTCAACGAAACACCCGAGGAGGCGTGTCGGGTTCCATCGGTGGAAGCGCTGGAGGTCAGGGGAGTGGTAGCCGGGTGCGAGGTGAAGAGAATGCTGGTAGACACGGGAAGCTCGATGGACGTACTATTCCAGTCTACCTTTGAGAAGATGCAGCTATCTCCGAGCATCGTGAGGCCGGCGGACACGGTCCTGGTCGGGTTTTCCGGGGTGCCAGCGCGAGTCGTGGGGCGCGTGCGTCTGCCCGTGACGCTGGGAGAGGAAGAGCACAGGGTTACGCACACCGTCGACTTTGGCATTGTGGACTGTCCCTCCAACTATAATGCCATCTTGGGGCGCCCACTTTTGGCCTTATTCAACGGGGTGGCGTCATCGTGTCACCAGGTCCTGAAGTTCGTCACCCCTAAGGGAGTAGGAGTGGCCAGGGGCGAGGCGTCGCAGGAGGCCCGCCTCGTCAAGAGAATGAGGATGTACAACATAGACGTGCGGCCCGAGGACCTGCCAAGGGCTGAGGCGGCGGACGCCGAAATTCAAGTACCCCTCGACGACGAGCGCCCCGAGAGGTGTGTGCGCATTTCTGCCCATACGAGCGGAGAGGCAGTCGAATCACTAGTGGGATTGCTGAAGGAGTTCGCAGACCTGTTTGCTTGGAGCGCCCGCGAGATGCCAGGGGTGAGCCCGGAAGTCGCGGTACATCGCTTGTCGGTGGAGAAGGGCGTGCGCCCCGTGCAACAGAAGAGGCGGCCATTGTCAGAAGAGAAGGAAGAGGCGTTACGGAGGGAAGTGGGAAAGTTGCTCGATGCCGGATTCGTAGAGGAGGCCAAATATACAACATGGCTGTCCAATGTGGTGCTGGTCCCGAAGGCGCAGGGCGATTGGAGGATGTGTGTCGACTATACGAGCCTGAACCGAGTGTGCCCATCCGATACGTATCCGATGCCCCGCATTGACCAATTGGTGGACGCGACCGCCTACCACGAGGCACTGAGCTTCTTGGATATGTTCTCCGGCTACCACCAAATCCTCATGTGCGAGGAGGATAGGGAGAAGACCGCGTTCATGACCTCTTTCGGCAACTTCCGTTACAAGGTCATGTCCTTCGGGTTGAGGAACGCGGGGGCTACCTATCAGCGCATGGTGAATACGGTGTTCCAGAAACAAATCGGGAGGAACGTAGAGGCGTATGTAGATGACCTGGTGGTCAAGAGTAAGAAAAGGGAAGACCACTTAAAGGACCTGCGCGAGACATTTGAGACCATGCGTTCTCATTCCCTACGCCTCAACCCCCTCAAATGCGTGTTCGGCGCGGAGGCGGGCAAGTTCCTGGGCTTCATGATCACGAAGAGAGGAATCGAAGCCAATCCAAAGCAGGTGGAGGCCATCAGGCGCCTTGAGCCTCCTAGGACACCTAAGGAGGTACAGAGTTTGAATGGGCGACTGGCGGCGCTAGGGCGGTTCATACCCAGGTCAGCT